CCCTAAACCCTAAACCCTAAACCCTAAACCCTAAACCCTAAACCCTAAACCCTAAACCCTAAACCCTAAACCCTAAACCCTAAACCCTAAACCCTAAACCCTAAACCCTAAACCCTAAACCCTAAACCCTAAACCCAAACCCTAAACCCTACGCATGAGGGAGGGAGGCGCTTCGGGAGAAGTGCCGTAACCGACCGACTAGCTAAGTCATTTATTACACCTAACCCTAGGTTCTCTGGGTCGTACTAAACCCGAAAAGTCACTAGCATTCGCATCCTTCCTGTGCACCTTCACGACACCCTACGGCCATCACTCATCGTCCAGCACGGCACCGCAGACTTCCCCCTCGACGCGCCGGACGTCGCCGGACTCTTGCGTCAAAGTTCCGTCTTCAGTGTTCGTGTTGGGCGACAAACGACCAGTCGTAGTTTGTCCTCTGTGAAAATAATGGAACCCCAAGCACTCATCTTGCGTGACACACAGTCGATTTGGGTGGAAAGCCTGCGAATGATCATTTATGCCGCAAGCCTTCTCACACAAATTTCTTCGTTGCCATCTCGAGACGCCTCCGACGTGCGTGTACACGGTGCCTCCAACGCGTCCGTCCCCGCCACCGCGCCGCGACGAGAATTATTACCCGACGGTTTAGGGACGAAATTTACGCGACGATATCCCCTAAACCTAAAATTCTAGCGAGCGATCGTTCATTTTCACGCACTACTGTATTTCTAAAACTTGCTAGGACGTCGTCGTCGCGAGCCGCCGCATCTCCGCGACGCGTTTACCGCACTTGACGCACGCACAACTAGTCGGTTGCTCGACCAATCGAGCGCGAAGACAGTAATAACAGTACGGATGACCGCACGGCTCGGCGACGAACGGATGAATCGGCTCTCGGCACCCACACGCGACGCACCGGTACGCCTGCACGGCGACTCTGTTCCTTTGCGGCGCGTCCGCGACGTTCGTCGGCGGCGAGGCTTCACCTCTACCCACGCGTGATGTCAGCGCACCGAGCGTCGACCGCACGCGCGTCGAGTACAAATATGGGAGCGTGAAGAGCACGAGCTCGGAAAGCTCTCGCCACGCCAACTGTTGGTTCAAGTACTCGAAATCGACGACGCGAGCCATCGTCGGTCGCTGATACACTAATCGCGCGCGCAGCGCGCGCTCCAAGAGCGTTGGGTAACGACCGTTGCGTAGAAACACGCAAAAGTTGACGAAATTCGCCATCGTGTAGCAATTTTCGACCGTTTGCGACAGCTTCCACGCCCGATACTTCCAACCGCCGCCGCCCTCGTCGTCTTCGTCGTCTTCGTCGTATCGCTCGCGCAACATCTTCCTTTGCCACAATCCCCACCCGTAGCCGACGACGCACGTCGCGAGTCCATACGCGATTCGTTGCGCGATGGACAGCCCCGGTCCCTCGACTCCGGTCTTCATCGTCGTCGTCGCCGCGCCATGGTCGCCGCGCTCGTCTCTCAGGCGCAAATTCATGAGCTCCATTCCCGGCGTCGGTCTGTTCACCCCCGTCGTGCACGCGAACATCGCGCAATCTAACAGCAGCCGCATCTCGTTCGCCTTGCTCGCGCGCGTCGTCGTCGTCGTCGTCGTCGTCGTCGCTCTTCCGCACGCCGACGTCGCCTCCATCACGCGTTCGAGCTGTGCATTCAGGACGTTCGCGAGTTCGCCGTCCAAACGACCGGCGTCGACTTGGGACACGCGCAGGACGTCCAGGCGCGGCGTCGACGCGCGCTCGCGACGCGCGCGCGCGGGCGTCGTCATGACGCCGCCGCGCGCGCGCGTCGCGTCGGTCGGTCGGTGACGCGCGCGCGAGTGCGAACGTCCGCGTCGACGCGCGTCACCGACCGACGACGTCGATCGGCGCGGCCGCGTCGTCACTCGGTGTCGCGCGTCGACGCGCGCACGCGACGAGCGCGCGCGACGGGAATCGATCGGACCGCGATCTCGGCGCGCCGAACGCGAATCGCGAGCGGCGCGCGATACATCGCGACCGAGCGCGTCGCGTCGCATCGCGTCGCATCGCATCGCATTCGTCATCGCATTCGTCGCGTTCGTCGTGAACATGTACGCGACGCGAGCGATCGCGCGGAGACTCGAACGACACGCGGCGCGATGTAAAGGCGCACACGTCGCGCGCGCGGTGCGAGGGGCGAGAGCGCGAACGACGTCCGCGCCGAGGGCGCTGTTGGACGCGCTCGGGGCGGGGAGGGGCGACGCGGACGCGTTCGGGACGAGGACGAGACGGACGAGGAATGCGTTCGTGTCGAGCGTCGACGGCGATGGGTCGACGGGATCGACGGGATCGTCGTCGTCGTCGTCGTCGAGCGCGTTCGGTGATTCGGCGTCGTCGGGGGGGATCATGGTGAGCGCGTCGCACCCGAGTTCGCACCCGCAAGTGCTCGCGGTGCCTTTGCCGAGGCGGCCGCTCATGCCGGGGATCATCATGCCGGTCAAAGTGACGGACGAAAAGCTCATAGCCGAGCTTGAGGACATGCGAAATCGTGGTCAAGCGTACGTGGGGGCGTTCTTGCAGCGAACGGACGCCGCGTCGTCGGCGTCCAAGGGGGAGGGCGAAGACGTCTTCGACGCGCTCTCGGCGATGAAGCGCACGACGACGTCGGTGGGTTTAGACGGCGAGGAAATGGTAGACGAAGACGAGGTTGATCCCGCGGATCACATGCACGACATAGGTACGTTTGCGCAGGTGCATAACATCGTGCGCCTGCCGACGGATTCGACCACGGGTGAAGAATCGGCGACGCTGTTGCTCCTCGGCCACCGGCGTTTGCGAAAGCTCGGGACGATGAAGCGGGATCCGATGGTGGTCAAGGTGGAACACCTCAAGGATGAGAAATTCGACGCCAACGATGACATCATTAAAGCCACGACGAATGAGGTGGTGGCGACGATCAAAGATTTGCTCAAGACGAATCCTTTGCACAAGGAGACCCTGCAGTATTTCGCTCAAAATTTCAACGACTTTCAAGATCCGCCAAAGCTCGCGGATTTGGGGGCGTCGATGTGCAGTGCCGACGACGCGCAGTTGCAACACGTGTTGGAGCTATTATCGGTGAAAGAACGCCTCGACGCGACGCTCGAGTTGTTGAAGAAGGAGGTGGAAATCGGCAAGCTCCAAGCCGACATCGGGAAAAAAGTTGAGGAGAAAATTTCAGGCGACCAGAGGCGTTACTTTTTGATGGAGCAGTTGAAATCGATCAAGAAAGAGCTCGGTATGGAGCGTGACGACAAAACCGCGCTCATCGAAAAGTTTACGAAACGTTTCGAGCCCAAGCGCGCGAGCGTGCCGGAAGACACCGCCAAGGTTATCGATGAAGAGCTTCAAAAGCTCGGCGGCCTCGAACCGTCGTCGAGCGAATTCAACGTCACTCGCAACTATCTCGAGTGGCTCACGTCACTGCCGTGGGGCGTGTGCGGCGACGAAAAATTGGACATATCTCACGCACAAGAAGTGTTAGATAGCGATCATTACGGCCTGGAGGACGTCAAAGATCGCATCTTGGAATTCATCGCCGTCGGGCAACTTTTGGGGACGACGCAAGGAAAAATCATCACCATGGTCGGTCCGCCTGGGGTGGGGAAGACATCCATCGGGCAATCGATCGCCAAGGCGCTCGGGCGTAAATTCTATCGCTTTTCCGTCGGCGGTATGAGCGACGTGGCGGAGATCAAGGGCCATCGACGGACGTACGTTGGCGCGATGCCGGGCAAGCTGATTCAGTGCTTGAAATCCACGGGTGTGTGCAATCCAGTGGTTTTGATTGACGAAATCGACAAGCTCGGACGCGGTTATCAGGGCGATCCCGCGAGCGCGCTGCTCGAACTACTCGATCCCGAGCAAAACGGCACGTTTCTTGATCACTACCTCGACGTCCCCGTCGACTTGAGCAAGGTTTTATTCGTGTGCACCGCCAACGTGCTCGACACGATTCCCGGGCCTTTGCTCGATCGCATGGAAGTCGTGCGGTTGTCTGGATACATCACCGACGAAAAAGTGCAAATCGCTCGAACGTATTTGGAGAAAGCGGCGCGAGAAAAGAGTGGGCTGTCCGACGTCGACGCGAGCATCACCGACGCGGCGATGGGGAAACTCATCGGCGACTACTGCCGCGAAGCCGGCGTGCGGAACTTGCAAAAGCATCTCGAAAAGGTCTATCGCAAGATTGCCCTCAAGGTGGCTCGGGCGAAGAGTGCGGACGAAAAGCTCGACTCTATCGTCGTCGATGTCGATGACTTGGTCGATTACGTCGGTCAACCACCGTTCGCGACCGACCGAATCTACGACGTCACCCCGCCCGGAGTCGTCACCGGCTTGGCTTGGACGGCGATGGGCGGATCCACGCTTTACATCGAGTGCACGGCTATCGATTCCGGCGACGGCAAGGGCGCGTTAAAGACGACCGGTCAACTCGGCGACGTCATGAAGGAATCGAGCACGATTGCGCACACGTTCACGCGAGGGTTTTTGGAATTGAAGGATCCCGGCAACAAGTATCTCGCCGACACGTCGCTTCACGTTCACGTCCCCGCCGGGGCGACGCCGAAAGATGGACCGTCGGCGGGAATCACGATCACGACGAGCCTGTTATCGCTCGCCATGAACAAACCGGTAAAGCCTAATTTAGCCATGACGGGCGAGCTCACGCTCACCGGTAGGGTGTTACCGATCGGCGGCGTCAAGGAGAAGACGATCGCCGCGCGTCGAAGCGGGGTGAAAACCATCATTTTCCCCGAAGGAAACAAGAAGGATTACGACGAGCTTTCCGAAGACATTCGTGAAGGTTTGGACGCACACTTTGTCTCGACGTACGACGAAGTCTATCGCCAAGCGCTCGATTGGGAAGCGTCTTCGTGATTGACTTCGGGTTCGACGGCGCGACGAATTCTTTGCGAAATATTTATACGCGATGGCTTAGCGTCGCAAACGAAATGTAAATCAATCACAATCACAATCACATCGATCGATCAACGCAAACATCGTCGCTCTTCACCTCTACGCTACCCTACGCTACGCCGCGTCCTCATCGAACGTCACCCCCTCCAACTCTCGTTCCGTCCAACTCGCCCCTAAATCGCGTCTCAAAATCACCGCGTCTGGCGGTTCGATGCGCTTGTAATAATTCTTCACCACCTCGCCCTTTTCGAACCCGAACCGCTCGTAAAACTCGAACGCTTGAAAATTATTCGTTTGCACGTGCAAGTACGCCTCCTTCACGAACGCGTCTCGAGACGCCACATTCAGCGCGTGCGTCAAAAGCCTCGACCCAATCTTCCCGTCCCTCCGTCCCGCGTAGACGCCGAGCGTCATGATGTACAACTTCGCCCCGTCGCTCGCGGCGTTCATCTCCAACCGACACGCGATCGCGCCCGCGAGCGTCATCGTCGTCGTCGTCGCGGATCCGGATCCGCGCTCGTCCATCGCGTACGCGAGCTGCGTGCACCCCCCCGCGCGTCTGCAATCGTCGTAAAACGCATCGCCGTATCGCACCGGGAACAGGACGGCGTTGAGCGCGCGCAGGTCGCGCTCGGTGGCGTCCGTGAGCGAGGCGAAGCGCACGGGCGTCGCGACGCCGTCGACCGCGTCTCGCGACATCGCAATGTGACGCGGTGCGACGACGCGACGCGATGTCGTTCGTTCGTTCGTTCGTTCGTTCGTTCGTTCGTTCGTTCGTTCGGCGCGGCATCGATCGGCGCGCGTCGATCGGCGACGCGAATCGGCGACGGCGCATGCGCGCGAGAGGGGCGACGCGCGCGCTCGCACCGTCTTGCAGCGCGCGCGCGCATCGAACGACGACGACGACGACGACGACGACGACGACGATGCGCGAGGCGTCGCGACGAATGTGTCGCGACGCGCGCGCGCGCGCGCGACGGGGGTGGCGAGCGTCGATCGACGCGACGACGACGACGCGGTCGGTGATGGATGACGCGCGAGCGAGTTCGACGCGTTCGGGCGATGACGCGATCGCGTCGCCTCGCGTCGAACGCGCGTTGAAGGCGTTGCGATTCGAACTCGCGAGCGGGTGCGTGGACGTGCGAGGGAAGACGTCGACGTTTAGTGAGTTTGCGAGGAACGAATTAGTGACGATGGGGGAAGAGATCGGTGCGGTGGACGATGCGCGACGGGCGAAGTGGGACGAGGAGTGCGCGAGCGCGTTCGCCAAGTACGAGGGGTTAAACGCGCGGCAACGCGAACGCGCGCTGCACGCGGCGAGAGATTTGTTGAACGGGACGACGGAGACGCCGACGAAGACGCCGACGGAGACGCCGACGACGAAGCCGGCGGGCAAGCAGAGCATCATCGAGGGCGACGCTTGGAAACACGCGCTGGAACAAGGTCACATTCGTCAACGAGAGGTTGAAGCCGTGATGCGAAACAAAGCGAACGGCGACGACGACGCGTCGCAAGAACAAGGCACCAACGCGTGGTTTCAGCTTCGCGCGTCCAGGTTGACGGCATCGGCGTTCGGGAACGCGATTGGATTTTGGCGCGAAGGTCGTAACGAGCTTTGGGAAGAAAAGCTAGGACTTCGCGAGGGATTCGCCGGGAACGAGGCCACCGAGTGGGGATCGTCCAAGGAGGACGAAGCCGTGCGCGTGTACGAAGCCTTCGCCGGGAGAAAAGTTTCGCATCTTTTATTCAACGTTTTGAGCGCCGACGACGCCGAACTGTGGATCGGGGCTTCCCCCGACGGGTTGATCGGCACGAACGCCGCGGACGTGGACGGTGAAATCGGCGGCGTGCTCGAAATAAAGTGTCCTTTCAACAAAGGCTCGCCGACGACGGCGTCGCCGTACGCCAAGGTGCCGTGGTACTACGTCCCTCAAGTGCAAGGATTGATGGCTGTTTTCGATCGTCCGTGGTGCGATTTAGTTTCGTACACCGTCAACGGTGGTGTCGCAATTTACCGCGTCGAGCGCGATCACGATTATTGGAATCTACTGTACGAATGCTGCAGCGAATTTTGGTGGCAGCACGTCGTCCCCGGCAAGCACGCGCTCGCCGCGGGCAAGGATGCGGAAAAGTACCGACCCGCGAGCGAGCACCCTCTGTGCGCCGAGCTCAAGCGCCGGAGCAAGGCGATCGCGGACAAGAGTCCGACGACGTGGATCGCTCCCGACCGAGTCGCCGACTTACGCCGACGATGATCGTAACGCGACCGAGGAAACATTGAGAGGCCGCGGAAACGCGCGAGATGTGTGAACCACACGGGGATCGCAAATGAACGATCGCGCTCGAAGAATTAAAGATTCAGAATGAACAGCGATTCACCCAACTTGTCGCCGTCTGCTGAGCGGTGTTTGCACCGCCGCTTTCAGGGCGTCGAGCTTGCGACGCGCATAGGTCAATAATCCTGCACGTAGCCTAACAAACTCTGTAAAGTATTACACGGATCTCAGGATCAAAGCCCGAGCTTGGCGCGCTCGAGTTCGAGCACCTTTTGCACTCGCTCCAGCGCTCCCGGCGTCTGTCCCGACCCGCTCGCCGCGTCGTACTTGGGTCCGACGACGTCGACCTCATCCATGACGACGATGACGTCCTTATTCCACTTGCACGGCAACGTTCGAGCTAAAGCGTCAAACACGTCCTGCGCCAAAGCGCTGACGTTTTCGCCGATGTTGTCGCCCGCGGTTTTCGCCGCTCGGCACGCCGCCTCGAAGCGGCGCTCGCGTCGAGGATCGTCCACGGTTGGCAACGCCTCGGGATCCTTCGCCGTCGACGCGTCGATCTCGATGTCTTTCGCGCCCGCGACGTTGACGAACTTCAAATCGTACGAGTTCGATATCTCACCGGGCGTGCGCACGACGAGCAACTTTGCGCCATCGTCGTACGCGAAGATTTCACCGCGAAAGCTTTCACCGCTCGCCGTCGTCCCTTTCGTCACCGTGGCGCCGTGCGCGTACGAGGTCGACATGATCGCGATGTACTCTCAGCGCTCGCGCGTCGCGGGCCTCGACGACGACGACGACGACGACGACGCCTTGTGCGGCCGCACCCGTGGGACGGGACCTTCGCGGCCGCACCCGTCCCACCTCGTGCGTCAGTGCGCGACGCGTGATGACGTCGAACGGCGCATCGCATCGCGGGATGCACTACCGCGCGCAACGACTGAGCGAGCGCCTGGCGCTCGTGGCGCTGTCGACATCGGCGATCGTCGCGTTCGCGTGCGGCTGGTTCGCGAGTGATTACGACCTCTTGAAACGCATATACTTTGGGGGAGTGTGCGGAACGGTTGCGATCGTCGTGCCGCATTGGGAGTGGATTTACGGCTCGAAGGACGGGATGAAGTGGCGCGCGAGCACGGGGCGATTGAAAGCGCGCGAGGGAACGCCGGAACCTTTGGCCGCGGAGACGAAAAAGAAGCCGAAGCGTCGCGCGGCGCAACGCAAGGCTGGGACGAAGACGGTTATTTGACGACGCGATCGCGTCGCGCGGGCGTAGACGTGATTGTTATTAGAGACATAGATTGTTCAGATTCTTTGACAGCGACTAGGTAATTATAAAGCTAATGTGAGGCGACGAATTCGGCTCTGCGGCGCGCGCCGCAAATCTAACCGATGAGCATTTTGTCGCCGTCCAAAAACTTGTATTCAGGAATCTCGAGGTTCTCCGGCGCCGGTCCCTTACGAATGCGACCACTTGCGTCGTAATGACTGCCGTGGCACGGGCAAAACCAACCGTTGTAATCACCCGCGTTTGCGATCGGGACGCAACCGAGGTGCGTGCACACGCCGACGGCTACGAGCCACTCTTGATTGGGCGCGCGCTCGGAGTCGGCTTGCGGATCGCGCAGCGAAGCGACGTCCACGGATTCCTCTTTCGCGATTTCAGCCGGTGTGCGTCGTCGGATGAACACCGGTTTCCCTCTCCACTTCACCGTCACGGTGCTCCCGAGCTCAACCTTGCTCAAGTCAACTTCGAGCGAGGCGAGCGCGAGAACGTCGGCGGTCGCGCTCATCGAGAGCAAAAACTTCAACACCGCCAACCGCAACGCGCTGGCGTAAATCATGCGACCGCCCGTCATGACGAAGTACGTGAACGCGCGCTTATCCGGGTCCCCCGCTCGCGCCACGGTGTGATTCGACACGTCGTAGTCGATCGTGTGCGCCGGCGTCTTCACCGCCCGCGCGATCGATCCCGAGTTCACCGCAGTCGTGGCGTAACCTGTCGTGGTCCGCGATGCGCGCGCGCGTCCGTCAGTCTGCGTTCGCGGCGTTCGCCGATCGCTCGATCGAGTCGATCTTACAGGCGTGGAGACGTTCGCGATCGAATCAACGCGCTCGCGTGCAACGCGACGCGCCGGCGCGAGACGTCCGCGCCCGCGAACGAGCGATACGAATTTCGCGCACCTCTTTCCCGCGAATCGATCGCGCTCGACGCGAACGACGCGGACGCGTGCGCCCTGTCGATCGTCGCGCGCGCGGCGAACCCCCGGCTCGTCGCCGGTCGGAACAACGGCGTCGTCGCGCTCGTCGTCGCGCTCGACGCGATCGAGGACGACGCGGCGCTGAGCTTGGAAATAGCCCGCGCGAGGCGCGCGCGCGCGCGATGCGTCGCACCGCTCGACGACATCGTGCGTCGGTCGCGATGTGACGATCGAACGCGCGCGCGGCGCGCGCGGCGACGGCGTCGTATGGGTAAACAGTTAGAAATCGTAAACCCTAGGTCATCCTCAAACAAAATCGTGCCGCGCTGAAATTTCGCGCGACACCGACAGACGGCTGGTTCGGCGACGGGCGCGCGATGCGGCCGCACTCGGCGTCGCGACGCCTCGCGCGTGTCGATCGACGACGATGACGACGACAAAGTACGAACGCGAAGTGGTTTGGGTCAAGGTGCGACGACAGCGCGCGCTCGCACGACCGCGCGCGAGTGAAAACGGTGATTTCCACGAGTTCAAAAATCAACGACGGGCGAGACCGACGTTGAATCGGTGCTGAATCGATGCGACGCGTAGAGGCGAAAGACTGACCGAGGGACGACGACCGACTCTCGACGCGTCGGCGCAGTACGGGAAAGGGGAGCGGTTTTGGCCCGCGCACGTGGTGGGACGAGACGCGGCGCGCGCGCGCGTGCCGGGCGCGGCGGCGGTCTTTGAAAAGCATCCAGGCGCGCGCGCGTTTCAGTACTTTGGCTACGGCGGGTATTACCAGCTCGAGAAACCGAACGCGCCGGCTGCGATAGCGTGGGCGGAAGGGTTAGCGCGACGGTTGGATGAAAAAGGGGTGGCCAAGGCGCACAAGACGGCTGTGACAAACGCGCGGGCGTACGTAGAGCGAGGCGATTTGACGAGCGAAGTCGCGGCGGGCGCGCTTTGGTGGAGCATGCCGCTTCCAGCACCGCGCGAAGAGCCGGCGAAGAGAACTCACGATTCGGCGGGGACGTTGTCTGAGAAGAATAAGAAGCCGCGACGCGGCGACGCGGCCAAAGATACATTCGACGAGCGTGAGGAAGTCAAAGACGCCGGCGCCGACGAGTTTGAGTTTCCTCGCATGTCCAAAACGTTCGTCGGCGGCGAACGCAAGGAATACACGCCCACGTTGAGCGTGCTTTCGCTCGGAAAACCACCTCCTTTTGAGCGCATCCATCGCAGCGTTTTCGTCAGCAGACCGCCGCCGGTGAAACTGCACAAGTCTGAAACCGCGGTGTGCGACTGCCATCCGCCGCCGTCGCGCGGCGACAGCGAGACGATTCGCGACGGATGCGGGCAAGAGTGCTTGAATAGAAAATTGCGATTTAGTTGCGACAGCCGAACGTGTCCGTGTGGGGACGCGTGCAGTAATCGCCCGTTGAGTCAGTTACCGGCGCCAAAGACGAAGATTATTCGCACAGAAAACAGAGGTTGGGGATTGACTTTGCAAGAGCCCGTGCGCGCGGGAACCTTCATCGTTGAGTACGCGGGTGAGATTTTAGACGAGCACGAATGCGCCGAACGGCTTTGGTACGACAAGCAGTCGGGGGAAGAGAACTTTTACTTGATGGAAATATCCGCAAACTACGTCATCGACGCCAAGTTTAAGGGCTCGATCGCGAGATTTATCAATAGCAGCTGTCACCCAAACTGCGAAACGCAGCGGTGGGTCGACGCTTCGACGAACGAGACGAGAGTCGGTATCTTTGCCACCGAAGACATCGCGAGTGGGACCGAGCTGACGTACGATTACAACTTTGCGCACTTTGGCGATGAAAAGGGGACGTCGTTCGTGTGCATGTGTGGGCATCCCAAGTGTCGAGGCACGCTCGACGCGGCGAAGACGTCGAAAAAGAATTTGCATCGCCGACTTCGCGTGGAAATCATGGTGAATGGGAAAGTCGTTAAGTCGCGCAAGAAGAAACAAAAAGTCAAGGCCACTGTGGTGGACTATGATGCCGCGAAGAATAGATACAAAGTACAAGTCGAAGGTGACGAGAAGGAAACCTTCGCGTGGGTGCGTCTCGATGGCGAAGGCGCAGCGAAACACTCGTGGCTGAGCAAATAGGCATCGCCGAAGCACACCGTAGCTTTTTATGTGATACGTAAGTAGTACGTGCGCGGGGATCGTTTTCTACGTTCTAATCTACGTGGCTATCGTTATCCGTCAGCGTGACGGCGTCAAACAATTCCCAAAACGCTTTAGCGTCGCTCTCCGCTGCGCCGGCACCAATGAGCAAATCGATAGTCGCATTTCGGTCGGTTTCAGTCGCTCTGAATATTTCCGCAACCTGTCTCGCGCGCTCGATGTCGGGGAAAAATATTTCGCCGAGACGCGCGTTCACCCACTCCGTCTTTGTCGGCATTGGCAAAGCAGCCTCGCTCGTCGTCTCTTCCTGCGACATGCGAACGACGAGGGCGACGATTTCTTCCTCCGTCATGTCGCCGAAGAGCTCATCGCACTCGATGTGCATGGCCCGCGCCGAGTTGTGCTCGCGCGATTGCTTTTTAAACTCGAGCTTCGATAAGCGTATCGCCTCGGCGATTTGCTCATCTTCTGCGTTGTCGTTTGTCTCCGGCTGTAGTTGTGGCCAACGCTCGATGTCAGCGCGAAAGTCGTCCTCGTGATTCCGACTTTGCGCTACGTGGACTTGCGGCTCAAATGCGACGCGCGTCTGCGTTCGATCCTCTCCGCCAAATGTAAACTTTCCGCTCGCCGTGCGCCTGAAACCAACGTCGAAGTCTCGGCGCCTGCGCGCCGGCACAATGTCGTCATCGGACTCGGACGATGGAACACGTGCGAGCCTCGACACCGACGTCGAAGCACCGTGCTTCCGAGCATTCGTGTAAGAACCTCCAGTTGGTCTTCGCGCGGGCTTCGCCGTCCTCATCGACGGCGGTGGACTACTTACGCCGGCGGGCTTTGACGAAACGCGCGCCGGCGCAAACCCACGATCGTGCTGCAAGTATTCAGCAAACGGATCAATGTCGACAACCGCGGAAGACGTTTTGGGCCCACTCGACACACGTGCGACGCTTTCTTTCCTCTTCGCGGCCTCGCGCTGTCGTTCGAGCCGCGATTGACGAAACTCGCTTGGCATAGCTAACATGCCAAGCGTCCGAAGCGCATCCTCCGTCGAAGCGCATTGCGCCGCGCGGTCGAAGTCGCTCATCGCGTTCGTGTCCGTCGCACTGGATTGCAGAATCGAGTCTGCATCGAACGACATCACCACATCGTCATTAAGCCTTCGATGTCTGTGATACATGTCGTACATTCTCGAAACGTCGCCGTCCCAGTACGGCCACCTGCTCAAGAGCAAGCGGTATCCGTCGATGGACTGTTTAGCGCTCTCATGCGCGCCTCGCTTCGTTATGACGATCGGTTCGGCACGCCCCGCAGCACCACTCACACCTTTCCCACTCCCCGTCGCACCGTGTCGCGGCTTTGTCCTCGGCTCTCTCGTCGGCGCGCTCGCGCTCGCTCTCGAGACGGGAACGCTCGTCTCGGCACCGCGCACGCCGCGTACGCACCGCGGGTCGAACGACTTCAGTACTTTCACGATGCGATCGAAAGATTCGTCGAACGCGATGACGACGGATTTCTTATCATCGCACACGCTTCCACCACATCCGAGCGCGCGCGTGAGCGTCGACAACAGCAGCGAAACATCGCCCGAGCAGTTGTCAATTCTCGTGTGCGTCTTGCCGTATTTCGTCTTCACGCGCGCGAACGGCACCGAACCTTTCTTCGTGCCGCACACCACGAACGGTACCAGCGGTGGCGACATCGCTCGCGTCGCGCGACGTCGGTGTTGATTCACGTCGTCGCCGTCATCGCGAGTGGCGAAAAGTGAAGACTCTCTGACCCCGAAAGGCCGAGCGCCATTCCACGACGACGACGTCGCGTGAGCGCCGCGCGTGTGTCGCACATCGCTCCGTCGCGTCGTGGTTTCGTCCGTACGCTCCTTCGTCGCGACTAGGTCCCGTCCGATGTCGTCGACAGCGACGGCGGTGCGCAAGATGATGCGAAGCGCCGCCGCGACTGTGCTCACGCGACACGCGACGACGCAGACGTTGGTTCGAGACTGCGTCTACGCGCGATCGTGGAGACGGCGCGCGTCGACGACATCATCGTCGACGCGAAACGTGGCAATCATCGCCCACGTCGACCATGGAAAGACAACTTTGTTGGACCAGCTCATTCGCTCGACGTCCGAGGCGAGAGTGGAGGAGCGCGCCATGGACAACATGCAGCTCGAAAAGGAGCGAGGAATCACGATAGCCGCCAAGTATACCGCCGTGTCGTACAAAAACGCGACACTTCATATCGTCGATACCCCAGGTCACGCCGATTTCGGCGGTGAAGTCGAGCGTGCGCTCGAGCTCGTGGACGGCGCGCTTCTAGTCGTCGACCCGTTCGAAGGCGTCATGACGCAGACGAAATTCGTCGTCCGTAAAGCGTTACAGAAGGGACTGAAACCGCTCGTCGTGCTGAACAAGGTCGATCGCGATGGTGTCACGCGAGCGTTGTGCGATGCGGTGGAGTCTGACCTCTTTGATTTATTCGCGGCGATGGGTGCTGACGATGCGCAGTTGGATTTCACCGTCGTCTACGCGAGCGCGCGTGCGGGCGTCGCGAGCACGTCGCTTGAAGAAGCACAAAAACAAATAGTCGAAGGGAACGGGTCGGTGGACGCTATATTACAGGGGGTTCTCGATCACGTTCCTGCACCGCGCGGCTGTACTCAACAGCCGTTCGCCTTGCTGGTATCGATGATTGAACGCGATCCGTTCTTCGGGCGGCTCGTCACCGGACGAGTCTTCGATGGCGCGCTCGGTATCGGAGACACGCTCAAGGTTCTCACGCTTGGGGATGGCGTCGTTCGCGAAACAGTCCGCGTACAAAAGATTTTTACATCCAGGAATTTAGAACGCGTCGCCGTGAAGGAAGCCAAGGCTGGAGACATCGTGACGATTGCCGCTGGTTTTGGCGACGCGACGGTGGCGGATACGCTTTGCTCGCCAGAGAGGCGCGAGCCGTTGCCGTCGACGCCCGTTGATCCACCCACGCTGAGTATGACATTTGGTGTAAACACGTCGAGTTTGGCCGGTAAGGAAGGGAATCAACTGACGGAACGACAAATTGAAGAGCGACTCCGCGCCGAGGCGGACACCGATGTTTCGCTGCGAGTCAGCGATTCATCCGATGAGGACGGGATCCCGGGACTGCAAGTCAGCGGGCGCGGCGAACTGCATCTTGGCATCATCATTGAAAAACTACGACGAGAAGGTTTTGAGCTTTCCGTTTCGCCGCCTCGCGTCATCCAAGGCATTGATGATGAAGGCCGTCGAACTGAACCCTTCGAAAGCGTGTTGCTGGAGTGCGACGCGAACGACTGCGGTGGCGTCATAGACGCCGTGACACAGCGAAAAGGAGATCTTCTCGATATGGATACGAACGCTGGCGAAGACGGCCGCACGCGCTTGACGTTTTACGTGCCGAGTCGAGGTCTCATAGGCTTTCGACAAGAGTTCATCAACGCGACGCGCGGCAATGGAGTCATGCAACGAGCGTTCGACTCGTACGGACCCTCACGAGGCGCAATTGGCAAGGCAAAAAAGGGCAAACTGATTAGCACGACATCAGGGGTGACGACGACGTACTCGCTCGGCGCGCTCGAGCCTCGCGGTACGCTCTTCGTCGGCCCCGCGTCTGAAGTGTACGCCGGGATGATCATCGGCGAGCACACTCGCGAGAACGATCTCGAGGTCAACCCGACGAAGGAGAAGAAATTAACAAATATGCGTGCGAGCGGCAACGACGAAACGATTCGATTGACGCCACCGAAGGTAATAGATCTCGAGAGCGCTATCGGATACGTAGGTACAGATGAACTCATAGAAGTGACACCGAAAGCGATTCGCTTGCGCAAAGCGGAGCTCGCGTCGTCCATGCGACGGCGCGCGTCGCGACAGGCGGACTCTTAGACACGTAGTAACGATAGAATTCGACGTATTGTTTTTCGGCCGCGCGTTGGATCCAATCCAACGCGTCGAACACGCGCATCGTCTCCGAGGCGCCCGCGTCGTCCGCGGCCGCGAAGTGAAAAAAGCGAAGTGCCACTTCGCGACGCGATGGCGTGTTCGCACGCCGCCGCGCGCCTCGCGTGTGCGGTACACAGCGCGCGCGCGATGACGACCGCGCGACCGGCGGCGCGCGCGACGATGCGCGACGCCGTCCGCGTCCTCGCGTCGCGCGCCCTCGCGTCGCGCGCGCGCGCGGGGGCGTCGTCGCGCACCGCCGCCGCCGCGTCGTCGAATGGGCGCGCGAACGATGGGTCGTTGGGGCGCGAACGCGCGGCGGATCTCGCGCGGGCGAACGAGGAAGAGGCGTACGACGACGATCCTTTGGTACACATGGGACGAATTAATAAGTCGGCGCTGAAGCGATTAGGTGCGAGCTCTCGAGAGACGCAGACGAGACCGCGCTCGAGGGGCGCGAGACGCAGACGAGACGCGCGACTGACGATGGCGCGTGACGACGATCGATATCGCGACGACAGCGCACGAAAAGAAAACAATGGCGAAAACCTTGCTGGCGCTGCCGAAATCGCAAATCGCGACGATGGAAGAGTTGAACGCCGAAGTCAAGGCGCTCGTGGCGGAGGGCAAAAAGTTGAAGGGAAATCACGGCGCGGCGAAGCGGCACGAGGGTGCTTTAGCGGGTGCTTTACGAAGAATGACGGAGAGCGAGATGGATGCGCTCGTGTCTAAAGTGACGGCGATCGAGAACGGCACGACGGGGGCGATCGATTCTAACGTGGACGCCCTCGCGATGAGTTGGCGAGCGCGTCTGTTGTCGGGAACCGAAGCGACGACGGCTTCGTCCGACGACGCCACGGCGTGTCTCGGGGAGATTTTCGATGCCCTGGCGACAGCGGAGGCAAACGAAACGTCCGCGCCCTTGAGTTTCACGCGCCAGGAATTAAAAGTCGCCCTTGACGCGGCGACAAAAGAATCGCGCGCTCGCGCGCTCGCCATCGCCGAATTCAACGCCTCCATCGACAAAGAGATGGAAGTGTTGGCGTACGGCGAAACGAACGAAGAAGTCTTGCGAGAGACTCGTGCGTTTATCGCACAAAAGCTAAAGAGCGGTGGTGGCGCGAGCGCGACGCCCTCGCGCTCGCCTCCTCGCGCAAAGTCTTCCAAGCGTTTGCTCGGCATGCTTCGAGACGTCGCCGCCGTCGTCGTCGCCGCCTAATCTGCGTCGTCCGAGCGCGCATCATCCCGCGCGCGTCGACGCGATCGATGTCCACGCTATCACCATTAGTTGTATCATCATATTTTCCCATCCTACTCGTGCGGACATCGCGCGATTCCGTAGCGCTTCCGAATCGCTCTCCTCGCGCCGCCGCGACGTTCGGACGCGCCGCCCGCGCCAGATCGTCACTCCGCGACGCACCTCGATCGCGCGTCCGCGCCCGCACGACCACGCGCGATGATGCAACAGGGCGGTCAAGGGCAACAAATCATGGTGATGAACACCAACGCCAAGCGCGAGACGGGTTCGATCGCGCGCGCGAACAACATCGCGGCGGCCAAGGCGGTGAGCGACATCATCCGCACGACGCTCGGGCCGAGGTCGATGTTGAAGATGATTTTAGACGCTTCGGGAGGTACGACGACGACGACGACGACGACGACGACGACGACGCATATCGCGTCTTCGCGCGAGTCCACGCGTCTCGCGCGCGGCGCGCGCGCGATCGATGAAACGCGGAGCGACAGAGTCAACGCGGCGAAAAGTCAACGCGAGCGAACGAACGAACGAACGCGGTTCGACGGTGACGGGACGCACGAACGCGGCTGAACGAGGACGCGAGCGTTGACGCGAGCGTGATCAGCGCTCGCTGATGGTCGAACGTCCGAGCGCGATGGCGATCGGCGTCGGATGGTGATTGGATGTTTTGGACGGGTGACTGACCTCGCGCGCGTTTTGCTCAAACGCAGGCATCGTGTTGACGAATGACGGGAATGCGATTTTGAGAGAGATCGACGTCACGCATCCGGCGGCGAAGAGTATGATTGAACTGTCGCGCACGCAAGACGAAGAAACCGGGGACGGGACGACGTCGGTGATTATTCTGGCTGGTGAAATCCTTCATCTGTCGCAACAGTTTTTGGAAAAGAACATTCACCCGACAGTCATCGTGAGGGCGTACATGAAGGCGTTGGACGCCGCATTGAAAGTGATTGATTCAATTAGTTTTCCCATCGATGTCACGAATCGTGATGAGATGATGAAGATCGTCAAGAGCTCTGTCGGCACCAAGTTTACCGCGCGCATGGGCGAACTCATTCCAAACTTGGCGCTCGACGCGGTCATGTGCGTGGCTCGCAAAAACGCCGACGGCACGAACGACATAGACATTAAAAAGTACGCCAAGGTGGAGAAGATTGCGGGTGGTTCTATCGATGACTGCACGGTGCTACGAGGAGTGATGATGAACAAAGACGTCGTCGCGCCTGGACGAATGAAGCGACGAATTGAAAACCCGAGAATCATGCTTCTCGACTGCCCATTGGAGTACAAAAAGGGCGAGAACCAAACCAATGTGGAAATCACCAAGGAAGAAGATTGGGCGGTGTTGCTGAAGATGGAGGAGGATTGGATCAAAGAGACGTGCGCGAAGATCGCGGCTTTCAAGCCCGATGTCGTCGTCACCGAAAAGGGATGCAGTGATTTGGCTTGCCACTACCTTTCCAAGGCGGGCATCACCGCATTGCGACGCGTCCGCAAGACCGATAATAATCGCATCGCGCGAGCCGCGGGGGCCACCGTCGTTTCTCGCGTGGATGAGCTTCGTGAATCAGACATCGGCACCGGTGCTGGTTTGTTCAACGTCGAGAAAATCGGTGACGAATATTTCACCTTCGTCGTCGACTGCAAAGAGCCCAAGGCGTGCACCGTCGTCCTTCGCGGCGCGAGCAAGGATATTTTGAATGAAATTGAACGCAACTTGATTGACGCGATGGGCGTAGCGAGGAATGTCGTCCAAGACCCGCGACTGTTGCCCGGTGGCGGTGCGGTCGAAATGGCTGTCTCTCGCGCGATCGCGGAAGAAGCGACGAAGATCGAGGGTGTGGAGCAATGGCCGTTCCGCGCCATCGGCGCGGCACTCGAGGTCATTCCGCGAACGCTCGCGCAAAACTGCGGCGCCAACGTCATTCGCACTCTCACCAAACTTCGCGCCAAACACGCCGAGGGCGAAGAAGCGCGAACGTTCGGTATTGATGGCGATAAGGGCACGATCGTAGACATGAAAGAGCTCGGTGTGTGGGATCCGTACGCGGTCAAGGTGCAATCCATCAAAACCGCCGTCGAGAGCGCCACGATGCTATTGCGCATTGATGACATCGTCTCCGGGCTTTCCCAAAAGAACTCCGACGCGGCGGGCACGGGCACGGGCGTCAGCGCGGGCGACGACGACTAATCGTCGAGCGTAGTACACTGCGGCGGATAGCGCTAATCGAATACATACATAGACTTTTGCCACTCATTCGCAAGCCTCGCTGTGCAAAGCCTTCGCGGCGAATGCGTTTTGAACGTGATTCAATCGCGCGCGTCTCGCACTGACCGTCGCGTTTCGTCGTCGTCATCGTTCGTCATGGACGCTCGCGCGATGGCGCGCAAAACGCTCGATCGCGCGCGCGCGGCCGGCACTCTCATCGCGTGCGCGCCGCGCGTGGTGTCGCCGAAAACGTGCGATTTAATCGAGTCAACTTTTCCCGCGTCTTCGCACGACCGCGCCGAGCTGCTGTCGCGCCTGATCGCTCTGGGTCTGCTGCAGTACGCCCAACACATGGCGAGCTACCGCGCGTGGCGACACAGCGCGCGAGCGTGGGGGGAGATCGCACGAGGTGACGCGAAGGGGACGTTTTGGGCGATCGCTCGCGCCTTTGGCACTTTCGCGCTCGTGGCGGAACCGTTGCGGTTGTCGCGTCGTACGTACAGGGCACTGTTGCGACGAGAGCTGGCGACGCGGTTCGGGGGCGACGTAGTGAACGCCATGCTCACCGACGAGGCGCTGGCGAGCGCGAAAGATGAGCCGATCGAGAGCGCACGCGAGGCGGCGGCTTCGGCGGCGGTTGGAGCGCCGGCGTTTGCGCGCGCGGCGCTCGATGCTGCGGCAGATGGGATCGAGGCGTGCGTGGCGATGGTATATCACGCGCAGTGTCTGTTTCAAAGCTCGTTCTGGAGCGCGCCAGTCTTGATTGGGAGCGCGTTGATCGGGCAAGTTGCGCAGAATGCGCGGACCTTTGACGGATATGAGGCGAAGAAGGAGGCGCATCGAGCGGAAACCGCGACGGCCCGACTTCGAGAACTGCTGGCGCACGCAAGGACAGATGGCGAAGCGATCGCACTTGCGAACGGGGCGATCACCGAAGCAGAAGAAGCGATGGCCACATTGGAAGCGGGGCAAGAGTTTGTGTATAGACGGGAAGTTTTGAACGCTCGAGCGAGTTTCCCGTCCGACGTGTACGATGCTGCGGCTAACTTGTTGCCCGTGGCGACCGTGCTTCCGCGTCTCGTACGAGGAGTCTCGGTGAACGCATGGGATATTCAAGTCGCGATGTCATCTTTTAACGGCATTCGCGCCGCACTCGCCGTGCTCGTACAGAACATGTCTACTCTGCGAACGGCGGAGCTGCACGCGGGGCACGTTTCCAATTTGTACGACGCCCTCGACGTATCCACAGTGCGTGGGCTCGCGGGTGACAACGAAAGCGGCGGCGCAAGCGTGCGTGTCGACACTCCGGAAGATGACATGTCGCTCGTCGAAGTGGATTCGTTGAGTTTGCGCGGATACGATGGGCAAGAAATCATTCGAGGGCTCGACTTCGTGTTGTGTCGCGGCGACTCGCTTGCCGTCGTCGGTCCTGCAGGGTGCGGTAAGACAATGCTCGTGAAAGCACTTGTGGGTCTATGGAGCTATGGTTCAGGTAGTGCGCGAGTCATTCATCGATCTCGCGTGTGTGTGCTATCGAGGAAACCTTACTTCCCCAAAGGTTCTCTCCTCGATGTGTGCTTGTATCCGACATCCTCTGCGGATATTGGAACCGACACTCGTGAACTGCTCACTGACGCCATGGTAGCCCTCGGGCTCGGAAGACACATCGATTACTTGGACGCGATTGCGCCTTGGGGCGACAATCTTAGTCCAAGTGAGCAGCAGCGCTTTGCGGTTTGTCGAGCAGTCGTGAATAGAGTCGACTTATGCGTGCTCGATGACGCCACTTGTGCGATGGATCCAAAAGATAGAGCCGCATCGTATGACGTTCTCAAGAAACATGTAAGCGGTATTTTGAGCCTCGGTGACGAAGTGTCGCTGCCGAAGCATCACTCTAGGACACTTCGCGTTCGTTCTGACGGGACGTTGGGCGATTTTGAGGAGATGGCATCGCCGGTAACGTCATCTCGCATCAACGTTAGAGATGTGGCTCGAGAAGCCATAGGAGAACCCCTCGTCGATGTCGCCTCCGAAGAAAGCGATTCGAGCGCTTCAGGTTTCAATCCGCTTCAGATGGAGGCAAACCGCAGAGAGAACCAGTTTATTCGTCGACAGAAGAAAAATGTCGCTCGTGCGCTCGGCGTGAATCCCCAAAAATTCGGTGTGGTTCCGACTCCTACCAAATCGACGAAAGGAAAGCCCCTCGCGTTCGACCCACTCGCGTAGAGAGTTGAAATTCCATGTTTAGTGTTGTTACATTCTATGTTAATCGCTAATCTAAATGAAGCCAAAGCCTTCACAACCTTCAACAATCGCGTACAGCAGCCTGTCGCGTAAGATTTGCTTTGAGCTGTATTCGTGCAAATCGAGTTGATTGAAGCACGTGTGTGCGGATGGCAACTTTGAATCATCCGCGTGCTGCCGATGGATTTGAAAACGTTGCGGGCCTTGCATGCCTTGCAAAGCACCGAATCCATCCAAAGGAACCTTAGAGGTACCGGTACAAAACATCAATAAGCGCGCCAAGTCTTCCTTGTTCATTTCCCTCACGACGTCCCAAAACCATTGAATTTGTTTTGACCCGACGGTGAAGCCGGTGTATTCAGTATTGGCGCGTAAATCCTCGACGTCGATGTCCGGGGTACCACTTATGAGCAGTTCCAATTCAGACGCATTCAGGATGGAAATCGTTTCTCTAGGGACAACTTCTTCAAACCCCTTCACGAGAGCAGCGAGTTGGTCCTTCACCGCATTCGTCATTCGGTGCGCGGTTATCAGGTTGACGTATTCAAACTTGTTTGCATCTGTCACTGCGATATTTCGTCCGTTTTCGGTCAAATCGTGAACTTGAGTTTCACCAAAATAAGACGTTGTGTCGCTGAATGTGTATTCCATGACACCCTCCACAGAGTTCTCCAGCATCCATTTCAAGCTCTTGTAATAATCTGGATCTACACCTTCCATGTCTTCGTATGTGAGCTGCTGACCGAGAAGGTGCTTGTAAATCGGACGCGTGAAGTATGCGTTGAGGAGAATGTCGTCGAACAAAGCCTTACCGACGAGTCTACCGACGAATCTAAAATAGCTGAGATAATCCGGATGGACCACACTGTTTTGATTCGGCTGATAGCATCCCTTGTCGTGAGACAACTCGAAGAGAGCGATGTTTGGATTGAAAACTTCTCGTGCCAAGATGGTGAACCACTCCTTTATCAAACCGCCACCGTCCATGCCTTCTTCGCCCACGAAAACGATGCTGATTTTGCCTCGAATTTCTTCGATACTCCGGCTGTTGAGTTGTCTAAACGAGTCTTCGAGTATTCGATCACGCCTAATGTGTAACGTTCGCGCCTCTGGACGATTATGTCCTAGGCGTTCGCGAAGTTTCTTGATTCGTGTCCGAATCTCCGCACGTTTGACGGAGAAGTCCAGCAAGCGTGGATTGCTCAACAGGATTTTCATGGGTCCGGAAAGCAACAGCGGGCGTTGCTTCAGCATGTCGTTGAGCATGTTTCTGTGTTGCTCGACAAACGCCCAAATGTCGCTCAATATGGCGGCGACTTTCGCATTTTTCCCTCCAGAATTTGAAAGTGCGTCGAGCATGTGACTCGACGTACGATGCAAAGACCCATGCGATGCATGCGACGCTCGCATACCCATCGCAGGCGAGGGTGCTCTCATCGAACCAGCGAGAGCAGGGAGCTGAAACGCACCGGATTCTCGTCTGCTCTTCGAAACTTCACCTTCGACGTATGGATAGAGGCTCGTTCCAATCATCAAGTACGTCGTTATACCCTCAGTCAGCGCGGCGCTAGCGTGCGAGCGTTCGCACAGGATCGATGCATCACCGCTTTCATCGCTAGTAATGTCTTGCATGAGACTTGCATAGACGTTCATCATCTGCCAAAACGGACGGAGCGCATCATGATATCGTATCAACTCTTCCTTCGCTTTATCCTTGAAAGCTTTTTGGAAACGGCTGTCTTTTCCATCCAAGTACGTCAGAACCTGAAGAAAACAATCCGTCAGGCGACGCAAATAAGGAATATGCGTTTTCAGGGATTGACGCGAGTCGGCGTACTCAACGTGTCGTGCGGATGGTTCATCGACATTTGGTCTGTACTTGATCGACGACGCCTTCGACAAGCACGCGATGGCTTCAACCGAGCACTGCAGGGCATCGGCATGGAATCGATTCAGTATGACTGCGTCGCATCCCTCTTCAAAGAAGTCGCCTAAAACTTTTTGTAGTATAGTGTTGATTTTCTCGTACGCACTCGGGGCGAGATATGGAACCTTGAGAAAGCTTGCTATACTCGCCAAAAGTTCAGGGGTGGCGGCGGTTGACAAGCCTTTGGGCCCGATGTTGGGTTTGGGCGTAGCCGCAAGAAACTTTGTGAGGTAAGCGTCAGTGCACGTCGCGCACAGCTCAATATTCTTTTGGTCATGAAATTGCGATGCGTGTGCGAGAAGTCCGACCAGGAAAGAAAGGAGTGGTATATCCACGGTGCTCACGCCAGCGTCAGATCGCAACACAGCTTCGCCATTCTCCTTCTGATTTGTGAGAAAGTTTACCATACTTGCGTCCTCATCCTTCGCAAAGAAAAGTTTCACGCACGTCAAATTAACGCCACGAACGCGATATGTCCCATGTACGTGCCTGTTTCGACTAATGAGTTGCGACAGAAGCGTCAAAAGTCGTCTCGTCACCATCTCCTTGCGTGCTCCGTTACGCTCGCTCAGATTCGCGCACAGCGAGCGCGCCATGGCTACTTCCATCGCCGCGCTTGGCTCAAGACCCTTGGCGTTAGGAGAACTCAAAGTGGACTCGATGAAACGAGGATCAGCACGATCCATCGTGTTCATGATCACAGTTTCGATAATCTGGCGCAAAATTGACTCGCGGTTTTGGTCCACCACGCACAAGTTTACACATATTTTGTTCACAGTATCCTTTAAGTCGATAGTCTGAACAAAGAACAAAAGCAACAACGTTCGAATATGCTGATGGCGCAATTCGACGTTCACTTTTAACGGCTTGAAATCTTCTGGAGCGACTGCGTCGCGCGTTGACGACTGACGGATTCGCTCGATGTCATTCCATGACATTTGCTCGTGACGGTCTAGACGGCCATCCCAGCCTTCACCAAACATCATATTTCCAATCTCCAACGGCGCAGTGTCTATCACTGTAGTTGTTGGGCTATTTGCACGAGGCCGAGGCGCGGATACCGAAGGACTGGCTTCGGTATGCTGAATCCTCGTCAACAATCTGTTTGCTCCGGAGGTAGTGCGTTGTATCAACTCGCGCTGAATATCGGCTGGCATGGCGCTAAGAAACTCAGCGCCGATCAAGTTGAGGTCGCTAGCAGCTTCCGGTGCTTGCTCGCGCGCACGGGCAACTAGTCTATTCGCATTCAAAAATCCATCTCGTAAATCTTCTGTAACCATGGAGAGCTCATTTGCGCTTATGTCCAGTGCCGCCGCTTCTCGGCGTTGTCGCGCTGTCCGCTCTTCGGGCGATTCGTCCACGATTTCTGCCAGATTTCCGTTGACGTTTTCCTTGTCTCGCTCACTGGAAACCAATGACGATGTCGCGAGTTCCGCGGTGTCCAAATGGGACAAAAAAGTACCAGAAGTCGCCAAAGACTCGCCGATACTCATGCACACTGCGTTTGACCAGAAACTTGCTCGGGCATTCCTTCCATCAAGGCTCCAAATTGTTTGATTCCGAACGCTGAATTCAGCCGGTGCTGTTGCCTGAAAGGATCCATCCCCGAGCCACAGGATTGCTTTTGCCGACGATAAAGGATCCAAAATTTCTAAATGCGATGGACGAACGGCCAAGCGAGCCATTTCCCCGCTGATAGAATTGAGCACGTCGTGCAACGAGCGAGATCTCGAACTAAAATCCATGGGTGTCGAGAGAGTGATATTTAAACTCGTGCCGACTCTTTGCACGTTAATGCCTTCGTGGTTCAACGCAGGCGGAACGCCCGTTTCGGATTGCGACCACGTGTGCCAGGGACTGCCATGCACCGGAGGATTTCCTCTCGCAAGAAGTGAAGGGTCACCCAGGGTCGCGCGTGCAATTCTTTGTGTTTGTTCACGAAGAGACGAAGTAAAAGGCACATCTCTACGATTGAAGAGTTCGGAAGCATTCACAGAAGAAGAACGAGGAGAGTGCTCGCGATTATGTCCCCGTAGTTGTCCCTCAGAACGAGATTCGCTGAGTGTCTGCTGTCTTTCGTCCTCTGTGGAAACTTGTGCTCGTTGCCCTCCTGCAATCTGCAGTTCGCCAACTGTCTGTGCCTCGACTCTCGGATCGGCACCTGACATGACGCTAGAGTAATCTGTGGCGAACCATGCTTCAACCTGGGCTCTCGAGACAGAAATGTGATCCCTCGAACCAAGATTGGATGTGCGTTCAACATGACTGCCTGAATGTGTAGCGCGAGGCAGCACGCGTACCCCAGACGGCGACGTATATGATGACTGTGGCGAGCTAGGTTCTTCAAAATCGCCTTCCTCTTCATCGTCGTCATCGTCATCATCGGAACCACCGCCATCATCATAATCGAACTCCTCACCATCTTCGTCATACAAAGCATCGTCAGACATTTCCAAGACATCGTTTCCAGGATCAGGATCGATGTGATCCATGTCGCTTCCGTAAAAGTCATCTGCCATGGCTTCTTCGCCTTCTTCATCATCTTCTTCTTCTTCCTCTTCAGAGTCCTCTTCGCTTGAGTCGCTCGTTCCACTTGATTCACCTGATTCGCCCGATTCGCTCAATTGTTCTTCGTCTGAGGATTCGTGCATTCCTTCTTCGTTGGCTTCATCGGAATCGTGGTCGTGGTCGTCGTCAACCTCCATCTCAGAATCATCGTCCGAGTTCTCGTGACCATCATTTGCATCGATGCCGTCGGCATCGCCATCGTCTCCTCCGAATACAGGATGAACACCTTCGATTTCTGGCATTCCGTCGAGGTCATCTTCGAGTCGAGCGACTTGAATGTTTCCTCCTGCAGCGTGTTCAAGCAAATTCTGGAGCATCTGCTCGGTTAGTGCGCGTCTCTCTTCAACTTCCTCACCGCTGGGTACCCGTGCAGCGTTTACCGCACGAACCATGTTACCGATGCGAGTAAGCCTGCTTTCGCGTTTGCTCTTAGTAGATCGAACAACTAGAGCTTCGAGTACTGCGAGCGTTACTCGAAGAAATCCTGGATTGCCACGTTTTTCGCGCGCAGCGCCAACGACGTTTGTCTCTTCAATGAGTTCAATGATCCGCTCTGGGACTTTTAGACTGTACATCGTCTTAAGAACTCCTTGTTGGAGATTAAAGACTACCCGATTGCGAATGCGTTCACCGCTCTGATAGCCACGCGCCAAACCGTAATCCATAAGAGAGTGCAATAAATCCACAAATGCGTGCTTTGGAACTAGAGAATCACCTTTATCGGCGCAAGTTGAAGCTGTTTCTTGCGTTAAGTCCGGCTCCTTCAGAAGCACAAGCATTTTCTCAATTATTTTCGTTCGCGCTTTTTGGCTGTTGACGCATAAAGTTGCGAGGAAGAACGCCGCGTTTTCGCACCCGCACCAAACTCCCGTCTGTTCACTTGAGGAACTTCTTCTGCTCGACGGCAGTTGATAACGAAGAATGTTGCGGAAAATGTCAGTCTGGTCGTCCATATCCATCAAAGCCTTCACACTTGATGGATATACCTCAACCAATTCGGTGAGCAGACGGAAAGCTGCGGCTTGTCGCTCGAGCTTCGTCAATGGGGCTTGATGAATCGGCTCTGTCGCTACTGCAACAAGTACTTCCACGACCATTCTTAAGTTCTTTGTCAATCGAACGGTTGGAAGCGACTGCATTGCTTTCACTTCAGCCGTCGGGATGACGTACTCCCGAGGTGTACTCAGCGGTGTATCCGCCATAGTTCTGATTTCGGCGACGTTTGCGAATGCCGCTTCAAAGCAATCAAAATCTCGCTCAATTATATTTTTCATGGCGACGCAGAATGTCTTGAGTGCAACCTTGGAGTCTCTACCCATCGGAGGCTTGGTGATGCTCTTGACAATTTCAAGCTCCATGGCGAATTGTAATGTCCGGGGATCGTTCACCATGTGCCTCAAAATGACCGAAACACTGTCGTTGGTGTTGTTCCAAAAGCATGTAAAGAGCGTGTGTGCAAAACTTCTCTTAGATATTGCGGCTCCATCCTTGCTGTCGGCGAATGAATTCGAAGCGATGCGATCCGCAATCACGTTGTCACGTGATAGATTTGCTAGCAGATCAAGAATCACGGCTTGGACGGAGTGCGATTCATAATCACTCGCGAGTTCGCCTGAATTTTTAACGATTGCTATCAAGCACTCGACGCACGCATCGGCCAACGCAATCTTATGACCGTCGTTCAGAAAACCGAACTTGGAGTAATTTCTGGCACTGGCGTCGGAGTCACGATGCTTTTGCAGGCATGCCGCAGCATTGATGCAGTTTGCCAAAGGCACAAACGACAACGGCACATCTTTTAAAAACGTCTCCAATGAGGCCGTCTTTTGTGCAGCGCAGATTTTGTCGACCTCGGCGATAAATGTTTCGACTTGTGAATCAATTACCGAACCCTTTATCCATAGCGCTCTTCTTAACACTTCATCACCTTGCCTAGCGAGCGCCTCAACGAACGCATAGTGCTTGATCGCATACACCTCATCTCTACCGATCTTCGGCGTACGCGTGCGCACGACTTCGTCCGTGAGAGCGTATATGCACTCATCACGACTGAGGCCGCTCATGAGCTCATGTTTCTCAATAACCTTGAGCAAAAGCGTCGCACCTTTCTCTGCACTGATGTGGAAATTGGCGTACAGCGCGGCAACTAGCTCGTTTATGGCAGGCAGTCGACCTTGGACTGCGTGCGTGTGATTGAAAGCAACAGGAGCTGTTTCCATAGCGTCCGCCGTCTCCTCTAGCGCAGTAGACTCTGACGGTGCAGGTTCTGAAGGCGCCGTCGGTGCTTCGTCGGGCACATCTTCCATTGGTCGAGTTAGCATGTACTCGAGCGCTCTCTCCACACTCTGTCCATTCACAGCTGCGAGTGCGTGATGCGCGTGACCTCTGCTGAATCCCATCTCAACGATGGAATCTATCATCGTCTCTGATGGAACAAACTGCCGTGGCGGCGGGCGCGGTGGAGCACGCGGTACCGACGCGGCACGACGTTGCTCGGACATGACGGCTTGTTCGGTTCCACTAATGATGTTGAGTAGACACTGCACTAGTGCGTCGGAATCCACATGACCTGCCGCTACGGACGCAAAAATGTCCGTTTCTGGCCGCCAAATACACTTCAACGCTTCATTTAGAGAGCAATGAATCCAGTCCATGGCAGATCTTGAGTTAGTGAACGCGTCAGAAATATGTGTGTACTTTGTCATCTTGTCGTAGATAGGATCATCTTCTACGCGTTCGGGAAGACGTGTACCAAGCGCGAGCTTATTCGAGTTGTTCGATGCCATCAATTTGACGTCGGATATAGAGACGAAAATGCGCACAAAGCAGCTCAACGTCCTGTAACATTCCGCTGCGACATGTCCTTGCTCAGCCTTTTCCCCGGTGCACGTTTCTAATATACTCTGTGTCAGAGCCACCGTGCCTTGAAAATGGGTGTAAAGTTGCTCGAATAACCCACATCGAGCGGCGTAGTTGATCATGACCCCGTTCGGTGAATTTCTCTTGTCATCGAAGAATGATTCGTAAATCAACGCAAGGAAATTGTGCGAGCAGCGCTGTTCAAAATCCATCTTAGCATTCGATGCGTGACTCGGCGGAAGTAGCTCAGCCTGTGCGGTGACACGAGACGTAAACGCTTTGGTCATCTCGCGCGCAACTGCAATTATTGCTTCTCCGCTAAGCTTGATGAAATTTTGAGCTTCTGGACCCAAGTCTTTACGTCGCCGCATCGTTGTCGAAAGTTTTGCCACCGCGGCAAACAAACCACTTGTAACTCGTACAAAAAGATCCGCTCGAGTGTACAGCCACCAAACCGGTGAATACGGCATTTCATCCGCTTGAATTTCCACTGCGAGTGAACGAAGCTTCGCTTCAATCTTTACCGCTTCATTGAACGCCGCCAACGCTGCGTTGAACAAGCTTTCGGCCATCATCGGGCCGTGAGGATCGTCACGTCGCTTATTCATGATAGCAGCAGACATCACCGGAACTTGCTGCACGAGAGTCGCGAGAAGTTCACACAACCTTTCGTGCGCAGCCATGCGCTGGCACAGTGATTTTGTCTGTCGACAGAACCGAACTTCGCGGTCCAACGCTGCTTTGTCACCTTTGTGCTTTTCGCTCAATGTCTTGCTGTAAATATCGTACGTCGCTAATTTATCGATGTCATCACCTGTCTTGTCGAGCTCGTGGACGTAAAACTCTTCAATCTGCACACCGATATCAACAGCAGAGGCCATATACTTTTCAACGACGGTAGTGCACGCGAGAATCACGTCGTCTGACAGATTCGGCGTGTTCGCGCCGGCATACGAGTTGCTGGGATCCGGCGGGTTAATGAGCGATTTGCACGCGACACTGATGGAGTTGTAGCTTGCACATGTCGAAAATTCAACCGGAAGAGGGCATGTCAACATATTGAGCATGGAATCCAGAGCCCCAGCTTGAACCAGCGGCGCGCACATATGCGAAGTCTGCAAAATACCATCCATGAACCTCGCCACATTTTGAAGCGTTTTCGATATTGGCATTTGCTCGACGACTGCCTTGTTGACGAACGCGTGCTCAAGATTCGTCTCCGAATCTGATATCTTTCGAAGTTGTATCGTGAGATCGGACAATATGTCGTTCAAGACTTCGACACTGACGTCTTTTAGTGCTGGAATGTGGCGCAGCGTCTCGTTGATCCCAGTTCCGACGATTCTCGACGTATCGGCGTTCAACGGGAAAGAACTATCTTGAAACATTTTTCGAAAGCAGACCAACGCCGAAGACTTCAACACTTTTTCCTGCCCTTTCTCGTTCAAACATATCGCGTTAAGTGTCGTCGGTATCGCGCAAAGTACTTTAGCCATACCCTTACTACGGCCGAGTGGCCACATGGTTTCAGTGATAAACTTCAGGAATGCGTCCACAATACCGGCTTCGTCTAGCGTGGCGTAACACGTCGGCTCGTTATGAATGACGTCGCACACTAAATTCGCGGTGAGCGACGACACCCCAGGACCAAACTTGAGAGGGTATTTCAATACACTTCCCAAGATATCAGTCAACGTCCCATCCGAAAGTCCGGGAACTCGCATGCGTGCTCCTCCGTACGCAAAACTCGTGTACGCCAATGTTCGCATCAGAACCTTGATCAAAACTCTTCGATAAAAGTTCACGTACTTTGGTGCCTTTTTCATCGCTGCGAGCGATGTTTCGGCGTCCTCTAAACTAGAAAGACTATCTATTTTTCGTTTTCTATCCGCCACGTCATCGAGATGTCCCGACGCCCGCAGCTCCTCGATCGCCGTAACGGACTCGTATCGCATGCGCTTCAAAAGCAAATCCGTTCCGTTCAACTCTCTAAACGCTACGACCGCGTTGGGTTGAAACTCCAGATACGATTCCACGATATGCACCACGTCCACGACCACCGGGATCGCTTCGAGGCGCTCCAGCTTGAAAATTGACATCAAAAGCGGAAGGAGCTCAGCCTCTCTTATCGCCGTGCACCCAGGCGTTGTTGTGCTCAAAATCCCGACAAGATGCATCAAACACCTCGCGTCGCGAACGACGTCGAAATCGATTTCCGCATCACTTGATGACAGCGGCGCAAGCAACGCCGCCGTCATCGTTGATACGCATTGACTAAGCGCTCCTCGACCGGCTGGCCGTCTCATGATTTGACAAACTTGAAAGCCGCTCGCGCGTTCGTTTGTGTACGCGCTCAGCAAAGTTGTCGCGTCTCGTCGTAGGAGCAACGACGGCGTGACTCCTAAATCTACCTGCATCAAGTCCAACAGCTTGATTGCGGTCGTCTGCGCGTCTTCAACGTAAAGCTCGAAATCGCTCGGTTCCGCCCCTTTCCCTAGATGGACGTTGATTTGCTGCGCGAGGATCGAAAGACGCGCCGCCTTCTCGCGACCCGCCCGCGTCCTTTGCAGCGATTTGCTCCACAACTGTGCCAACACACCAAAATACGCCGCGGAGATGTCTTTGAGAGAGTCCATTTCTTTGCCCGGATCGAACATTTGAGGTCGTGAAAAGTCATCGATTAAGCACTCAAGGCTCGAGGCGCGATTATACGGCCGGTGCATCTCGGACGGGTCGAGCCCCCGTCGGCCAGACGCCTTGAAGACTATTTCATCGCTACCACTCGACGTCGTGTCGACTGTAAACTCGTATCGCGTGCAATCTAACGGACCACTTCCCTCTTCGCGGTCTTCGGCAACGAATAACTCGTGCGCAACGACTTCACAGGCTTTCGACTCGTTCTCGTCGGCGTCGTTCAAGTGCGCCGCGCTCAACGGCATGTGCGCGTGAATCTTCGAAAGCATGAATCGCACTCTCCGCTGAAACACGTCCGACGAAAAGTACGCGTTACGCGGCGTTCGCCCAACCACGGATCGCCTCGTCGCCGCCGCTAATAACCGCAACGCGCTCTCGCACGTTTCAAAGAACTCCAAAAACAACGCCGTAGCCTCGCCGTGCGCAAACGACGGCAATTCGCCGCAATTTTCTACAATCTCTCGCATGAACTCCATGATCCAATTCACCGCCGCAAACGCCTCGATTCGCTCCGACGCATCGTCGCCGCGATCGCGAATCCATCGATTTTCGATCGCGCGCACACCCTCGCGCGTCAAGTACTCCGCGAATCGAGCGAACACGTCGCCCCAGTGTCGTTCCTCGCACTTCCCGTACCTCCACTCAAATCTCGCGCGCGTCGTCACCCCACCGGGCAGCGAGCACGCGAGCAACTCTTCCGCCACCGCCACAACCGCCGGGCTCTGCCTCGTTCGAAACCACCGTATCGTCAGTCATACAAACTCGTCTCCACCCTCGTTTCCACCCTCGCCTCGTCTCGTCTCGTCTCCACCCTCGTCTCGTCTCGTCTCGTCTCGTCTCGTCGATGTCGTCTCTCGGCGCGCGCGTCCACCCTTCCTCGCGCTCGCACGCACCGCATCCCGTCTCGCATCGCTCCCGCGTCCATCATCGTCGTCCGTCCACGCCGCGGAATCCCGCGTCGTCGACGCCGTCCCTCGCATCGCGCGCGCTCGCGTTCGCGTCCCGCGCCGTCGTCGTCGTCGTCGTCGTCGTCGTCGGTCGTTCGTGCCGCCGCCTCAATCTCGACCGTTCACGCCGTGCGCGCGCGTCCAGACGTCCGCGCGTCCACGCGTCGCGCGCGACGTTCGCTCTCGAACCCTCGTCGATTCGTCGCCGCGCTCGCGCGACGTCCTCGCGCGCGCGTCTGCGGGCGGCGCGTCGTCGCGCGCGCGCGGGGTCGTATTGGTCCGTGTGGGCTTGACCGAGCCCCCACACACGCGGGTGTTTTCGGTTACCCGCGACGACCGACGCGCGCGGCGCGCGAGAGCGCGACGCGAGCGACGCGCGACGCGAGCGATGCGCGGTGACGTCGCGCGAGCGATCGCGCGGGCGTCGAGACGCGCGATGACGACGCAGACGCACGCGCGAGGCGAAAGAATGGCGATGGCGAAAACGATCGCGGCGGCGACGACGACGACGACGACGACGAGGACGACGCGCGCGAGCGCGAGCGCGCGACGGATGATGAGCGCGAACGCGTCGAAGATCACGGCGGCGCCGATGGTGTACGTGCGGGGAGAGGAGATGACGGCGTACGTCATGGATTTGATTCGCGCGAAGTGGATCGAGCCGCGCGTGGACACGACGGCGTGGCGAGAGTTTGATTTGCGAGCGAAGAATCGAGACGATACCGAAGATCAGGTGCTGCGAGACGTGATCGAGGCCGGGAAGGCGGTGAAGGCGATATTTAAGGAACCGACGGTGACGCCGACGGCGGATCAAGTGAAACGATTGGGGTTGCGAAAGAGCTGGGGGTCGCCGAACGGCGCGATGCGACGCGGATGGAACGGGATTACCATTTCTCGAGACACCATTCACATCGATGGCGTGGAATTGGGATATAAGAAACCGGTGTTCTTCGAGCGACACGCCGTGGGCGGGGAGTACGCGGCGGGGTACAAGAATGTGGGCAAAGGGACTTTGGTCACGACGTTTACGCCGAGCGAAGGCCCAGACGCGGGGAAACCTGTCGAGGTCGATTCGCGCACGATCACCGACAACGAAGCGGCGGTGGTGACGTACCACAATCCGTACGATAACGTGCACGAGCTCGCGCGTTTCTTCTTCGGTCGATGCCTCGAAGCGAAGATTACGCCGTACGTCGTGACGAAGAAGACGGTGTTCAAATGGCAAGAGCCGTTTTGGCAAATCATGAAGAAAGTTTTCGACGAAGAGTACAAGTCCAAGTTCGTCGACGCTGGGGTGATGAAGTCCGGTGACGAGCTCGTGCACTTACTGTCCGACGCGGCGACGATGAAGCTCGTGCAATGGCGCCAAGGCGGATTCGGCATGGCGGCGCACAACTACGACGGCGACGTTTTGACGGATGAGTTAGCCCAGATCCACAAGTCCCCGGGTTTCATCACGAGTAACTTGGTCGGCGTCGATGAAAACGGTACGCTTATCAAAGAATTTGAAGCCTCGCACGGCACCGTCGCCGACATGGACGAAGCGCGTCTGCGCGGCGAAGAGACCTCTCTCAATCCTCTCGGCATGGTTGAAGGTTTAATCGGCGCCATGAACCACGCCGCCGACGTTCACAACGTCGACAAAGAGCGTACGTTAGCGTTTACCGCTAAAATGCGCGCCGTGATTCACCAACTCTTCCGCGAAGGCAAAGGCACGCGCGATTTGAGCGGCCCCTCTGGTTTAACCACCGAACAATTCGTCGACGCCGTCGCCGAACGTCTTTGATTTCGATGGCGTCTCTCACACCCTTGTCATACTAGTGCCGCGTCATTATTACATCACATCACCACCATTAGGCTCGCGCTTTCGATCGCGTCGCGTTTCCCATCGAACGAGCGCGCGGCGAGACGTTTTCGTCCCCGAACCGCGCTCTCGACGACGTCCTAACCCTGGACATTAACGTCGGTATCGTCGTAATTTGACCCTAACGCTGGCGTCACTCGCCGTCGAACGACGCCCGCGTCGTCTGCAATCGCGCATCGCTCGACGAATCGCACGAACGATGAGCTTTGCCACCCAAGCGGCCGCGTCCGACGGCGCTAAGAAGCCGCAAGAGCCCAAGGCGCCGGTAAAAGCCGTCGAACTCGACGGCGGCGCCGCGCTCAAGATCATGAAACATTGCGCCGACGCCGCGCCCGGGAGCGCGACCGGACAGCTGTTGGGGCTGGATATCGGCGCGAGCCTCGACGTGACGGCGTGCTTTCCGTTTCCCAAGGTGACCGCGGACGATCAGTACGATCCGGACGGCTCGTTCGCCGCGGAGGAGGGCGCGGCGTATCAACTCGACATGATGCGGTGCTTGCGAGAGATTAATGTGGATTCGAACATCGTTGGATGGTATCAGAGCACGTATCTCGGGACGTTTTATAACGAGGAACTCATCGCGACGTTTTTGTCCTACTCCGAGAGCTTGCAGCGCTGCGTGTGCGTGGCGTACGATCCGACGTACGCGGAGCAAGGCGTGTGCGCGTTGAAGGCGTTGAAACTGAGTGAAAAGTTTATCGAGGCGTATAAGAATGGCAACGGAGAGTTGACCGTGGAACAGATTCATGAGAAAGGGTTGAAGTGGAATGATGTCGTGGTGGAGGTGCCGCTGACGATTAGGAATAGCGCGCTCGCCACGGCGGTGATGGGCGAGTTGATGCGAGACAAGGATGTGACGCTCAACGACACCGATTACGAGAGATTGGATTTGAGCACGGCGCCGTTCGTGGAGGAGAACATGAAGTTGCTCGGCGAGTGCATGGAGGATTTCGCGAACGAGCAGCAGCGTGTGGCGTATTACCAGCGCAACATGCAGCGGTACCAGTCGCAACACGCCCACTGGTTGCACAAGCGTCGTCAAGAAAACGCGCGTCGACGCGCCGCAGGGGAGGACTTGCTTCCGGAAGAAGATCCCAACTACAAAGCTCCGCAACCGCCGAGTCGCTTGGAGAACTTTTTGATCACCAACCAAGTCGCTGAGCACGTGACTCACCTCGAAAATTTCACCAAGAAGACGTCGGCCAAGCTCGATTTGGTCACCGCGCTGGGGAAGTAAAGTCGTAGCACATCACTCATCTTGTTGCAACAACACACGAAGACGCTAGCAGTTTTGGCACTTCCTGACGTCTCCACGCGTCTACCGTTCACGCATCGAACTGTCGGCGTCCCGAGCGCGCGCCGAGGCGTTGACTCGCGTCTCGCGCGTCCGCCGCGGCGCCTCCCTCACACACCGACTCCGCGCGTCCCTCGACGGCGCGCGCTCGACGCGAACGCATCACGGTCGCGATGATGGTGGCCATCCCCCCCGCCCTCGCGCGCGCGCACGACGCGTTCGCGACGCTGGAACCGTTCCTCGCGCCCCTGGGCGAGTGGACCGCGAAAGTCGTCACCGGAAACCCCGCGCACGACGTCGCTCGCGCGCTATTCACGTACTACTTCATGTCCATCGCGTGTAACGCGTTCATCATGCTCGTGTCCCTGTGTTTCAGCCGCAGAGTCGTCGGGGCGAAGCGTTTCGACGCGATGAAGCCGCACGAGCGAACGACTTGGCACACGAATTTGTGCACGTTTTGGCCCGCGTTCGCGGTCACGGCGTACGCGCTGCCGGCGATCGCGACATTTTCGGGGAAGAGCGATTCGTTCGTGAGCGATGTGAGCGCGCTGACGTCGAAGGCGTGTGGGTTGTCGATCGGTTACATGACGTGGGACTTGGGAGTGATTTTAGCGCGTTGGGACGATCAAGTCGTGGCGTATGGAGGGAAAGGCGCGCTGTACTTGTTCATCGTGCATCACGTGTTTTCCATCGTGCTGTGGCCGTACGCGCTGATGCGACACTTGTGCGCGTATCACATAAACTATTTTCTCGTGAGCGAGGTGACGAATTTTAACATGTCGCTTCGATGGATTTTAGCGGCTCTAAACATGTCCAACACGAAACTGTATTTGATCAACGGCTTGGCGTGGATTCCATTGTTTTTGGGCGTCCGCGTGGTTGTCATACCGCGACTTTTCGCGGCGTACATGAACTCGGATTGGGGAGTATTGACGACGCCACAATACTACGCCGCGCTTTTGACGCTTCCCATTCCGTCGCTCTTAAACTTGTATTGGGCGCAACAAATCGTCGTCGGAGCGGCGAAATTCTTAATCACGGGCGAGGACGTGCTGAAACAAGATTAGTTCTCGCGTAGCAAACAGGTTGTAAACGAGGGCAAAGTTAAGAAATGCTTTGTGCGTAAAAAATACATGGTCTAAAACGGCGCCGTCACGCCTCTCGCGGACAACTCCGCGTACACCTCGTAAGCGATGGCTAACATCGCTAATCGTCCATGAATCATCTCCTTACGCGCGGTGAAGATTCCGACATCCTTCTTACTTTTGGGATCGCCGCCGTACGTCTTCCCCAAAAAGCTCGGCGCCGCCGACGCCGCGGCGACCACCGCCAACACCGCCGCGAACAACAACACGTGATCGTGCGCTTGCGTCACGAACCCCGTTCCCGTGGTGTACTGCCGCCACAGTCCGCACACGATCCCAATCTGCGCCGCTCGTCCGTTTACCGTCTCGGGCGCCCAACCCGAGAACGCCAGCGCGTCGAACGCGCTTCTTCCCTCCACGCGTCCTCCTCGCGCGTCTCGCGTCGCCTTCGCGCGCTCAAGAGCCTCACTCACGGGCACCATGACGTTATCGTTCGCTTTCGGCGCCTCCACCGCGCTCGATCGCACCGCTCGACGTCGCTGTTCGTTCGGTGGCGGAGTCGACGTCGACGAACTCGACGCCGCCGCCGCGTCTTTTCGACGGAACGGACACGCCGACCCGAGCGCGCACGAGCGCACGGCGGTGTACATTTTCGCGCGCGCGACTTTTCGGGGCGAGCGTCGCGGAGTGCGGCGGTGGCGACGCGCCACTGAAAAGTGTGCGGCGCGTGGACAGACTGTGCGTCGCGTCGCGTCGAGGGTCGCAAAATTTTAATTCGTTTTACATGATTAGCGTCGACGCCGACGCGGGCCGACGTCGCGATGATGAACATTGATGCGCGCGATCGCGATCACGGCCCCGAGGCGCAGAGCTTGGCGCCGAAAGCCACGCACGAAAAGAATTTCGCCTTGACGAGGACGAAGAGCCAGTGCAGCGAACCGTTTGGCTGAATGCTCGTCGTGAAACTCACGAGGACGCTGACTATGGTGAACAGAAGACCGTACGTCGCGATGCGTTCGTTGATGCGCTGTAAGCGCACTTCCACGGATGCTTGGACGAGGGAAGTGGTGCGCTCGAGGGCGTCGCTGAGAATTTTCGCTTGCTCGGCGACGGCGTAGATGGTGCTCACCGCCGGGTCGATGCGCTTCTTGACGAAGAGCGGTAAGAAGCGAATCTCGTACCCGAGACGCGTGAAACTGGCTTCTGCTAGGCGAAGCTCGATGATCTCGAGATACGACGCCGTCGTGAGGGCGACGAGCTTCGTTCGCGTCACGAGCTGCGTGATGGCTTGCTCGAGTTCGGTGATTTGCGTCACAAACTCTTGCTGGTCTTTGTGCCCGCGCGCAGTGGCTTTCGATCGGCGCAGCTCGCGCGATAGCGTTTCGTACCGCTCGTTCAAGCCGGCTAGAAGTGGGAACTTGGACTTGGCCATGGGTAAACGTTGCAGAATCATGAGTCGATATTGCTCGAGGGCGAAGAAGCGTTGCAACTGTCGCCCCGCGCGAATAAACGTGCTGTCTCCCGGGGGCACGACCACGAGCGTGGTCATCGCGCCCGAATCATCGAGCTCATAGTTGGCAAACATGCGACTCCCATCGCCTATGCCACATCCCACGAGCGAGCCGGCGTCCCATTCCAATACCGCGTCTTCCTCGTCCATCGACGCGTTGACCTTGTCCTCGTACAGCGTCGATCCGAGCGCTTTGCGAATGGCGTTCAATTCTTTCAGCGTCGGCTCTTCGCTTCGCGATGGCTGCGAAAGCTGTCTAAATACCGCGTGATTCACCAAGAAAACCTTGCCCGGAATGTCAGCCAACCAATCGTGCGGTAACAACCACTGCCACGGCGTGATGCGCGTTCCGAGCGACGCCTTCATGTTCCCCGGACCGCTCAGCGTGATCGTCTCGAATTCCGTGTGCCTTTGCATGCGTAAGTTGAACCCAGAGCCAAGATTCAGCGTGACGTCGGACCAACCGCGTTCGATACCGTCGAGCGTTTCTTCCACGAGCTCCTTCGGCATGGTGTAGTGCGCCAAGAGTTGCTCGATGCACTCGCGATACGCCAACCCTTCCTCGCGCGTGAACTTCCCGGTTTCATCGTACTCGCGATACCACGCTATGTGTAGAACTTCACCCTTCAACGGCACAAACGGTCGCGACCGCGTCTCCGCGCTCAACGCTCGCCTTTGTCCGAGCCCGCGGTCCGCCGTCGACTTCTTCGCCTCTCGTCCCTCCGCGTCCTCGTCCACCGACTCGCTCGTCGACGCCTCGCTCGCGCCGGCGTCACCGTTCGCACCATCATCCACCACCACCGCGGACGCGTCCTCGCCCTCCATCGCTTCGACGTCCTCGTCCCGAACGCTCGTCGTTCGCGCGTCGCTCGCGCGCGTCCTCGTCCCGCGCGTCGTCGCGCTCGACCCGTCCCGCGCGTTCCAAGCGTCGAGCCATCGCGATGCGCGCGTCGCGCGCGCCGCGCGCATCGCGTCTTCAACGCGCGCGCGCGCCGCGTCGTCGCCGATCGTCGCGCGTCGCGTCGCGCGCGCGTCGAAACCGCTTTCCGAACGCCCCCTCTCGAGCGCGCGTCGCGCCTTCGTCCGTCGCGCGCGTCGCGCGTCGCGCGCGACGACGCGCGCCGGCGCGCGCGCGGGCGCGACGCGCATGTTCGCGGCGACGCGCGTCGAGCGCGCGATCGCGCGTCGCGAATTGACGCGCGGCGCGGCGTCGCCGCGACTCTTATCCGTCCCGGTCGCACTCACGCGCGCGCGACGGCGACGCGCGCGCGCGAGCGACGCGCGCGGGCGGCGACATGCGGTGGGTGCGCGCGGAGCGCGACGCGCGCGCGCGCGCGTCGAACGCGGCGCGCGGGGAGGCGCAATCGCGCGATGAAGACGCGCGCGCGTCGACGTCGGCGGATGCCGAAGCGGCGCGGGCGGCGTCGCTGCGCCCGGCGACGCGGGCGAACGTTCGACGGGAGATCATGACGATGAACGACGGCACCGAACGCGAGATCACGGTGGACGCGCGGTTTAAGTGCGCGAAGTGCGCGCGCGGGAGCTCGTGCTTCGCCGTGCACCGAGCGACGAGCGCGGTGAGCGGGATGCGAGCGAAACGGCGGTATAACGAACGGAAAAAGGCGAAAAAGACGAAGAGTAAATACGCGTCGGACGTCGAGGGCGGCGGGCGAGGGTCGAGGGCGCGCGCGGACGCGGATCCGGTCGGGGCGACGCTGGCGCTGATACGAGACGGACACAGGCCGACGGCGAAGACGTTTACGGCGGTGATTAGCACGCTAGGCGCGATGGGACGCGCGAAAGAGGCTTTGGACGATGTGTTGCCGATGATCGAGGAGTATGGCGATGACGTCGATGTGGCGGTGTGGAACGCCGTGGCGCACGCGTTTTGCGCCGGCGGAGACCCGGCGGGGGCGGAGAAAATCGTGGATAGAATGGTCGGCGAAGACGGCGTGGGCGTGAACGGGGCGACGCATCCGGAGATCATATACACGTACGCGAAGCGTGGAGAGGCAAATAGAGTGTATAGGTTGATCAGACGAATGTCGAGCGAGCATGGAATAATCCCAGACGAACGCGCGTATAACGCGTTTTTGCGAGGCTTGTGCGAGCGGGACGATCTCGAGGACGCCGAGGAAGTGCTCAGACGATGGAACAACGAAAAGTTCGACTTGGAGCGACAGAGTGACCGCGGTGGGCGAGTGTCGAAGCCGAGCGCGGCGTCATACGGGTTACTCATCGACGCGTGGACGCGTCGCGGAAACATGCTCGCCGCGCGCAAGCTTTTACAACAGATGCAATGGGAGCGCATCGCGCCCTCACTGCCGCTGTTTAACATGCTCATAGACGGATACCTCAAGCAAGAAAACATGCGCGCTGCGGAAGGGCTGTTTCGCGAGCTCGAATCGAGTGGAACGTGGGATATGGAGTCGTTGGGGATCAAACCAGACAACGTGACGTACACGTTGTTTTTAGATTATTGGGCGAATCAAGGCCAAGTCGACGCGTGCGAGCGAATCTTCAATCGCATGCATCGCAAGGAAGTCGCGCCAGACGTCACAGCTTACGGGACGTTGGTAAAGGCGTACGCGCGCGCGCGCGATTCCGACGGCGCTGAGGCGGTTTTGGATCGACTCGCCGAGGCAAAGGTGGCTCCGTCGGTGGCTATTTACAGCGCCGTCGTCGCCGCACATTGTACGATTGGTAACATGTCGCGCGCGCGCGACGTACTCGAGCGCATGTTCGACGCGGGCTTGCGCCCGAACGAGCGTACGTTCGCTCATTTCGCGTGGGGATACGGCCAACTGGAAGACATCAACGGTATTGCCGAGGTGGCGAAGTTAATGCTCGCGAGCGGGCTCAAACTCAAGGGTGCGAACCGCACCGCCATCGTGCGCGCGTGCGAAGAGTGCGGAATGAGCATGAGCGCCGTACAAGCGCTGCTGGATCGAATCAATCCCGAAATGACGCAGCGCAAGGGCGTGTGGAAACGAGACGGCGGCGAGCCGAAACCCAAATCCAATCGAGCCGCCGCCGCCGCCGCCGACGAGGACCTCGAACCGTCAACGCTCGAACCGACGAAGACGAAAGAAATCTACGGAGGTCCGGAGTCCACCGCGCGTCGGGTGTCGCTTTCCCAGCGTGTAGAGTCCCTCGACGAAGACGACGACGACGGCGATACGGGCGCCGTGGACGCGCCGCCGGCGAGCTCGGATTGGCCTCGCAAAGTCTCCACTCGCGCCGTCGCCATCGCGCACCGCGCGTCCTCGCGCGCGCGCCCTATCCGTCGCACATTTACACGAACGAACGCGCGCGCGTTCGCGATCACGCGAGCCCTCGGCGCTGCTTCGATGTAATGTCAAACCGCTTCGCTTAGCTTCGCTCGCGTTCTCGCGCTTCGCCTCGCCGCGCGCCTCACCGCATTCATCGTCGCACCACCGTCGTCCGCGCGGGACGCGGCGCGCGCGCTCGCGCGATGGCACCACCGCACACCGACCTCCCGATCCGCGTGCTCGCGTGCGACGAGCTCGGATACGTCCGCGCGTTCGCCACGGACCCCGCCGCCGGCGGCGACGCGGCCGAAGACTTGACGCTGATTGGGAAATTCGGCGCGCTCGACCGCGCGCGACGCGCGGTGCGCGCGCGCGCGGTGTGCGAATTGCGCGGCGCGAGCGATGCGAGCGGACCGCGGGTGGTGTGCGCGCGAAAAGGCGGCGCGGTGGAGGTGATGGAGGCGAGGAGCGGGACGCGCTCGACGGCGACGTTGACGCTGTCGAAAGAAATCGTCGACGCGCACGCGTGGTGCGAGGGAGACGAGCGTGGAACGTCGTGGGAACGCATGCACGTCGTCGCCGTGCACGACGACGGTGAGGTTGGGGTGCATGGAATCGTGAATGAATACGGCGACGAAACGTGGCGAGAAACCGGGACGTTTCGAGCGTGCGGCGACGCGACGAGCTCCGATCTCGACGCAAGATTGGGGAGATTGGTGCTGGGAGGTAAGGGCCAAGGGAACGATGTCGTGGTGTACGACGTACACGAACAGAAACGGACGTATAAGGCGAAACCACCTCCGCCAAATTGGTTGGGGTACCGAGCGCCGCCTTGGGTGAGCGCGACGTGTTTCGCGTCGACGAGCGAATGCGCGCGCTTCTTCGTCGGCACGGGAGAGCATAGATTTAGACACTACGATACGCGCGCGGATAAGCGCGCGGTGCTGGACTTGGACGTCGGTAAGGGCGTGATCACGAGCGTGGCGAGCTCGGCGGATGGTTACGAGGCGTACGTCGCCAACGCTCGCGGGATGTTTGAAATCGTCGATCTTCGCGCGGGAAAAACGCGAGGGAAGTTTAAGGGAAACTCCGGGAGCATTCGTCAAGTCGCGGTCCATCCCGACGGCGCGCACGTGGCGTGCGCGGGTTTGGATCAATACGTGCGCGTCTACGACACCGCGACGCGCAAGTGCGTCGCCTCTGCGTACGCCAAGCAACCGCTCACGGCCATCGTCTTCGACGCCCACACGCCAGCGTTTGAGGCGGCGAGCGTCAAAAAATCGTCAAAAAAGAAGAAACGAGCGCCCGACGTCGACGACGACGACGCTCGCGCGGAAAAGAAAGCCAAGAAGAAGAAGAAGAAGATTCGCGAGTGCGCCGTCGCCGTCGACGACGCCGCGCCGAAGAAGAAGAAGAAGAAGAAATCCAAAGAATGACGCCACACGACGTTCAATTCCGTACGTTCAAGTTTAATTCTCTACGCTAGCGTTACACATTACTCGATACAACTCACGCGCGTCGCTTCGACCGCGACTCCGCGCGTCTCGCGCTCTCAGTGCACGATTTTCGCCCCCCCCCCGAACGCCCCCTTTCTCGCGAACCGCACCGCCATCGGCTCGACGACCCCTTCCCCTCGCGCCCACGCGCCCTCGCGCGCCTGTCTCGCCCCCTGCAGCGCCCACAGCACGACGCTCGCGATCGCCAACACGACGAGTTTCCACAGTTTGTTTCGCAACCGCTGCTTCATGACGCTCGGCGTCGGCGCGCCCACGCGCACGACGTCGCCGTGCAGCAGATCGCGCACGCGCGGATGGAGCACGTCTTCGGGATCGACGCCGAGCGTCGACGGCGTCGCGCGCGCGCCCGCCCGCGTCAGCGACGTCGGCATGGCGCCATTGAGTGACGCGGGCGTCTCGACGCGTCGCGATGTCCCGGCGCGCGTTCGGCGCGCTCGCGCGCGCGTGGCGCGCCGCGCGCGACGCGGACGTCGACCAACGATGCGCCGCGACGCTCGCCGCGCGCGCGACGACGACGACGACGACGACGACGACGACGACGACGAAAACGCACCGCGGCGAGCGACCCTACGGCGCGACGGGACCGTCGCGCGTCGCGAAACCGCCGAAACCGCCCACGAAGCGGTCGACGATCGACGTGACGATCGACGTGACGCCCGCGGACGCGCGCGACGGGCGAGACGCGAGGGAAGAGGACGGACGCGGTGGGTTGACGCCCGAACGCGCGACGGCGCTGCTGGACAAGCACATCGTCGGACAGACGGAGGCGAAGCGGGCGTGCGCGGTGGCGCTTCGGAATCGATGGCGGCGACACAGGATCGGGAAACCGATGCGAGACGAAATCGTGCCGAAAAATATCCTGATGATCGGCCCGACGGGGTGCGGGAAGACGGAAATCGCGCGACGATTGGCGAAGATTACGGATTCGCCCTTCGTAAAGGTGGAGGCGACGAAATTTACAGAGGTTGGATTTCACGGGCGAGACGTCGATCAGATCATTCGAGATTTGGTGGATAATGGGATCGCGGTGACGAAACAAAAGATGCGCGCGAAGTTTGAAAAGTTTGTGGAGGAGTTGATCGAGAATAAAATTTTAGATTTTGTGTGCGGGGAGGGGGCCAACGACGAGACGCGCGAGGCGTTTCGGACGTTGTATCGAGACGGTACTTTGGACGATCGCACGATCGAGGTTGAGTTGCCGGATTCGGGTGGGCAAAACATGAAGATCGACCCGAGCGGGGGACCGATTCCCATTCACGAATTAGTCATCAAGGTTGATAAATTGTTCGGAAACCGCAAGAGCACGTCCAAGCGTAAAATGACGGTGGCCGAGTGCAAACCTTTGATCGAAGAGATGGAGTTTGACAACTTGTTGTCCGCGGAGACGATCGCGAAAGAGGCGATCACGGCGGTGGAGAACGATGGGATCGTGTTCATAGATGAGATTGATAAGATTGTGTCGTCGAGCGATTACCGTCACGGCGCCGACGCGAGCTCCGAGGGCGTGCAGCGCGACTTGTTGCCGATCATCGAAGGCTCCGTCGTGAGCACGAAGCACGGCAACGTCAACACCGACCACATCTTGTTCATAGCCTCCGGAGCGTTCCACAGCGCGAAACCGAGCGACATGCTCGCCGAGTTACAGGGACGATTGCCCATTCGCGTCGAGCTCAAAGGTTTGACCGAGCGCGACTTGTACCGAATTTTAACCGAACCGGAGATGAACATGATCGCGCAACAAAAGGCGCTCATGAAGACGGAAGGGATCGATTTAGAGTTCACGAACGAAGCGATCGAGCACATCGCGAGCATCGCGGCCAAGGTGAACAAAACGGTCGACAACATCGGCGCCAGACGACTGCACACCGTGCTCGAACGCATCGTCGAGGATTTGTCGTTTGACGCGCCCGAGAGATATGCGAAATTCGTCGCGGCGGGCGGCAAAGGCGAGCTGCAGGTCAAGATTGGCGTCAAAGATATCGACGACGCGATCGGCAACATGCTCAAGCAAGAGGACTTGAGTCGATTTGTACTTTAGGGAAACGTTTCATCGTCATCGCTTGTTTTTTAATCACAACAATCATCAGTCATCCATTTTACTACCATCGTCTGGATCGTTGCCCGTCGGCGACGGCGGCTTCGCGCCTTCGTCCATCGCTCGCGTCGGTCGCACGTAGCTGCTCTTATACCGGCGACCGCGTCGCGCGACGCATTCGTACAATCGCGTTTGGTACGAATCCGCGTCCTCTCGTTCGTCGCGCAGCAACTTGGTCGAGGCGGCGTACGCGCCGCCTGCCCGGCATTCAAAGCACACGATGCGCGTCGAACACCCCGCGTTCTTGCCCTCCCCGTGGATCGGAGGAAACACCTCGGGCGGTTGGCACCGTCCGTGAAACATTCTTTCGCACCCGACGCACTCGTGCAGCAAATCCGCCACCGTTCCGATGGACGTTTGAATCCCCCCCCCGCAGTTCCCGCACGTCCCGCGCGTCAAATCCTCCTCGTGCGCCGCCTCGTACTCCAAAAAATAATTCTCATACGCCGTCAGCATGCGATTCCCGCAATCCGTCATCGTGTGATTTTCGTAGTGATTAAACATGTTTCTGAAAATCTCCGCCGCCTTGATTCGCTCCTTCGCGCTCGTCCTCGACGCGAACCCCCCCAGCGAGCACACCTGTCGGTACAGGTGCAAGCAATCCAGCGGCGCACCCGTGCGCCCGACGACTCGATCCAAATTCGCCCAGCACTGCTCCCAATCCCGTCCTCGCTCCTGATGAAACCGCATCAAATCAAACGTGAAATCCTCCAGCGAGCACGCCGCCAGCGCCGGTCGTCGCCACGCCGCGCTCGCGATCGTCCCGCGTCCGCGGCGCGTCCACGCCGGGCAAAACCCATCGTCGCCGTCGTCCCGTCCCGTCGGCGTCTTCACCGCCGTCGTCGCCGCCGTCGTCGTCGTCGTCGTCGTCGTCGTCGTCGTCGCGCGCGTCCCGTCGTCGTCGTCGTCGCCGTCGATCGCGGTCGTCGTCGCGCCCGCGCGTCGCGCGTCGTCGTCGCGCGTCGCGGCGTCCATCGTCGTCGTCGCCGACGCGACGCGCGACGCGCGTCGTCGTCGCGCGATGGCGTCGCGATTCGACGCGCGCGCGCGTCACATCGGCGCGCCGATCGAGGCGTCGAATCCGATGTTCGGCACGCTCGGAAGCCTGTTCGCGAGCGGACCGAGGCTGAAGTACGACCTCGGGCGCGAGTTCGCGTGTCGCGCGTTCGGCGTGTGGACGCACCGACGCGGGACGTGCCAGGTGCGACGAACGAACGCGACGCGACGCGAAGGATGAGTGAATGAATGAATGAATGAATGAATGAATGAATGAATGAATGCGTCTGATGACGATGATTGACGAAAGGAAACGCGCGCAGGAGACGGGAGAGGAACACTCGATATTCACGTTTCACGCGGACGTGAATCGCGATCAACAGCGGGTGAGGCTGGCGAAGAACGGGGCGCGACGGATGAAGACGCTTCGACACCCAAACGTGCTGCTGGTGAAGGACGTGATCGAGATCGAGAGCGGGAACGAGCTGACGATACACGTCGTGACGGAGGCGGTGACGCCGCTGGAGGCGCACCTGCGGGAGGCGCCGATCGGGGGGGGGGGGAACGGGCAGAGGGATGATTATTTTTCGCTCGGGGTGCGGGAAATCGCGACGGCGGTGGCGTTCTTGAGCAACGATTGTAAGCTCGTGCACGGGGGGGTCGGGCTGAGCGCGGTGGTGGTGACGGAGCGGTTAGACTGGAAGTTACACGGGTTCGATCTGTGCAGCGAGCTGGAGAGCATCGGACACGGGGTGAACGGGGACGCGGCGCTCATTCGCGGGGCGTATCTGGTGCCGGATCAATACAAGCCGGAGGAGTACAGAAGGGGAGACTGGGTGATCATTCCCGAAGGGCCGCCGTGGGCGATCGACGCGTGGGGGTTGGGATGCTTGATTCAGGAGGTGTACAGCGGCGGCGCTCTGCGCGGGACGGACCAGTTGCGCGAGATTGATCAAATCCCAAAGTCGCTGCTGAAGGATTATCAGCGTCTTCTCGGCTCGCAACCTGCGCGACGGTACAACCCGAAGAAGCTCATCGAGAACAAAGAGGCGTTTTCGAACAAGCTCGTGGAGACGATCACGTTCATCAACAACTTGGCGTTGAAGGATTCGATTGAAAAGGAACGATTCTTCGGCCACCTGCCGCGCGTGTTGGAGCAACTCGCCCAGGCGCCCGTGCAAAAGAAAATCTTACCCATGTTGTGCGACGCGCTGTCGTTTAATCAAGCGCCGCATCAAGCCATCTTACCCATGCTCCTCGCCGCAGAGGAGGTTCCGCGCGATCAGTATCAAAAACTCGTCATCCCGACGGTCATGAAGCTTTACGAGGCGCCGGATAAGATGATTCGACTGGATTTGTTGGAAAATTTGACGCGATATGCCGACCACGTGCCGGATGCCATGATGGATGATCCGTTGTACGAACGTCTACAGACCGGCTTCGCGCACAACGACTCCAACGTGCGCGAGATGACGCTGAAGGGGGCGCTGACGTTGGTGCCGCGACTCTCCGAGCGCGTCATCACGGCGTCGCTTTTGAGGCATTTGAGCAAGTTGCAGATTGATGAAGATCCGGCGATTCGCGCCAACACGACGATTTGCCTAGGAAACATCGCAAAGTATTTGAGTCAAGCGACGGCGAAGCGGGTGTTGCTGAACGCGTTCACAAGATCGCTCAAGGATGGATTTCCGCCCGCGCGACTGGCGGGTCTCATGGCGCTCGAGCACACGACGCAATATTATGAACCGTTAGAAGTGAGCCAGCGGTTGATCCCAGCGCTCGCGCCGCTCATGACGGACATCGAAAAAGACGTGCGAACGCGCGCGTTCACCGTACTTGAGTTGTACGTGCAAGGGTTAAAAGGGCACTCAGAGGCGCTCGAACTCGGCCCCGAAGCGGCGGCGGCGCACGTCGAGGCGCAACAACAGAAAGGGCACGCGAACGCGGCTAAACGCGCGGCAAACATGCTTTCGTGGGCTGTGAACATGGCAGCGACGAAAATAGGCGGACCAGATGACGCGCACGAACCGGTTGATCTTCAGAATGAACGATTGATGGCGAAATCATTCAGTTCGGCGGCGCCGCCGCCGAAGTTGTACGGCGAGAGCCCGCGAACTTCGACGCAAAACACGCCGGCGACGTCTCTTGGACCATCGCCTGCGAAAGCCATGACATCAAACGCGTACGACTCGAGTCGCCGAACGATCGAGGCGGCGGCACAAAAGGTGAGCGCGCTGTCCATGGGGAACGAAGACTTGGAGGACGACGACGACGACGGATGGGGCGATTTAGACGTCGTCGATCCCGCGGAAGAAGCCGCCCGCGCGCGATTGAACTCACGCGCGGGTTCGAGCGCGCGAGCGCCGATGAAAACATCCATACCCAAAGTGGCCAGTCACGAGAGCGATGGTTGGGGTGACGACGACCTGTTCGAGGACATGAGCGCTCCGGCGCCGCCGAAACCGTCGGCGAAGCCGCCGTCCCAGGCGCCGCGCGCGTCGTCGGGATTCAGCGGTGCGCGGTCGATGGGGGCGACCGGCCACGCTAGTATCGGTGGTGTGCGCCGTCCACCGTCGAGTGGATCGCTCGGGGGCGGCGTGCGCTCGATGGGAGGCGCCAAACCGCCGCCGATGAAGCTCGGCGGCGCCAAGACGTTGTCGAAGAACGACATCGATCTCGAGGCCATGCTCAACGGATAGTTTTAGTTAGACCCTACGTTCTGTTTCGATGATGTACAACAGTAAACTACTAACGTCTATATTCTTGATCCCATCGTCAGTGACGCTGTTGTTGGTAGTCCCCTTCGATGAGCGCTCCGTACATGGACAAATCGGTGTCGATGGCGCGTTTGAAGACTTCGGCGATGACGCCCTTCTCCGCGCGCTCGAGGTCGCGCTTGATCCAGTCACCACCGTCATCGATAGTGTTACCACCAGCGTCGACTTGCGAGTACAGATAAATATCCTCAAGCCTATGCGCCAGCAAACGAGCGCGCGCGATTTCCCAGGAAACCACGTACGGGTTCGCCTGCGGACGCGACGTGCGCACGGCGTGCAGCGCCGCTTCCAAATCAAACATCTTGACAAAGGTCAAATAACCGACCACGGTGAGCGATGCGCGATTGATCCCCGCCGTGCAGTGCACGTACGTGCGCTTACCCATCGCTTGAAACGCCGCCAACTTCCGCACCGCCTCGGGTAACATCTTCGCCTGGTCCAGTCGATCGAAATCGCGCACGTTCACCTGCACGATCATCACTCCTCGTTCGATCGCTCGCCTTCGCACGCTCTGCCAATCGATCTCCATCGCCGCGTGACACAACGAGCACTGCAAGCACACGATCGCCTCCACTCCCGCTTCGTCGACCAACCGGTCCACGTCCTCCGCGTTTCGCGGGCACGACCCGATGAGCACCCGCGCGCGCGCCATGTCCTCCTTCGTCGGTTCCTCGATCACCCTTCCCCGCGTATCGAACATCACGTGATCCCAATTCAGCGTCCACGACCACGATCCCGGCGCCGGGGCGTCCCCGCCTCGCGGCGGTCGTTTCTCCTCCACGCCCGCCGCCGCGCTCTCCGCCGCGCGCTTCTCGTACCCGCTCGCCTCGTCCCTCATCGCGTCGTCGCTCGCCTCGCTCGCGCGCGTCACCGCGACGCGTCGCCGCGCGATCGCCCGCGCCTGTCGCCTCGCGTTCGTCGCGCGCGTCGCCCCGCGCGCGACGCGCGCCGTCGATCGTCGCGCGGCCGTTCGCGCCATCATCGCCGTCGCGATCGCCTCGCGCGTCCGAGCGTCGCCTTCGACGCGCGCGGTGACGCGCGCGAGGCGCGCGCGGCGTCTCGCGCGCGCTCGAACGCCCTGCGCGCGGCGTCGAGGCGCGCGCAGGGCGTCGTTCGTCGCGGAATGCGGCCGACGAATGTTCGTGAAATGCGGCGACGAACGAGACATCGAGGCGCGCGCGACGCGACGCGCGACCCTCGCGCGCGCGCGACGCGAGCGACGGTCGATGGTTGTCTCGAACGACGCGCGCGCGCGCGAGGAGGACGTCGTCGCGCGCGCGCGCAGAGAAAATCGCGACACGGCGACGGCGCTGGTGACGATTTGGAAATCGCGATGCGAGGCGCTCACGCGCGATCTCGAGCACGCGCACGGAACGTACGAGGAGATAAAGAGAGAATTGTTTCGAGCGCGCGAGGACGCGCGAGAGGCGGCGGCGGTGCGAGAGGAGATGGAAAATGAGTTGACGAGGACGCGGCGGCTGTCAGAGTTGAATTCAAACGCGAACGCGAGCGCGGAGGCGGAGATTCGGTCGTTACGACGCGCGGTGGAGGAGGGAAATCGCGAAAGAGACGCGCTGGATGTGGAATGTCGCGCGTTTCGAGGAGAGTTGGCGGCGAACGCGGAGAACGCGGAGATTGAACGTGCGGCGGCGCGAGGCGCGCTGGACGGCGAGCGACGCAAGCGAGAGAGCGCGGAGAAGCGGGCGTCGAAGATGGAGCGAGCGGTGAAGGCGATGCGGGATGAATACGAGGCGAAGGAGAGACAGTTTTTGAATGAGCTCGAGCGCGAGCGAGCGGTGCGGGCGCGGTTGGAGGAGGAGCGCGTCGAGCTCGAAGCGGACAGACGGCGGTTTCGCGACTTTGAATCCATGTTGGCGGCGGAACGCGTCAAAGTGGTGGAAGCGCACAGCGCTGGGAAAATCGCGCAGGATGCGCTCAGAGAGCAATTGACGAAGAGTGAAAATGAGACCATGGCTCTGCGGCGAATGATGGAGACGAGGTCGACGGAGATGGCGAACGCGGTGCGGCAGCTCAACGAAGAGCTCGCGGCGCAGCACGAAATCGTTGAACGCGGGATGGCGAGTCGCGTCGATGCTTTACGAGAGACGTTTGATGATGAACTAGCTCGCGCGCGAGAGCGTGCGAATGAGATGATTGAATCGGCTAGGAAAAGTGTGAAGGAGGCGAACGAGCGCGTGGCTCGCATGGAGTCCACAGCGACGAGAGCCGAGAACGTTTCTCGCAACGCGCTGATGAAATTGAAAGAAATCGCCGCGGCGTCGGCCGATACCGAACGCGAGTGCGCACAGCTACGCACAAATTTGCATGCCGTCGGGGAAATCAACGCAAAGCTCACGCGTCGCATCATAGACGGCGAACCTTTCGTGTTGGATGAGGAACTCGACGTCGTTCGCGAGCCCGGGGCGGAGATGAGCGTCAACACGCCGTCGCCCGCGAGCGAGAGATCGCGCGGTAAACCTGCAAAATTTGATACTCGCGACATCCAGCACATCCATCGCGAGTTACAAAACGAGCTCTCCAAGCTACGCGTCGAGCACGAATCCATCGCGCGAGAAATCGGCGGGAGCTCGGGCGCCGAGGGAGAATTTCTCGCCAAGGCGCTCGAGGACGCGCAAGAGCGCGTCGAGAGTAAAGCGCGCCAGGTGAAACTTCTCAACAAGACGATACGCAGCGCCACGCATTAGAATACGATTAGATGACTTAGAAGACGAAACACTGATGTGATGATGAGACCAATGACACAAAACATGACGACATTGACACGATCTACGCTAAGGCTACTGAAGTGAATCGAGACGAGACGCTTACTCGTCGAGCAAGTAGTAGCAGTTCGCCGCCTTTTGTTCGCTGTCGAGCTGGGACTGGTACTTGTTAATGCGCGGACGGTAGTTCGTGGGATCGCGTCGAAACGTAATCTCCAACGCCTTCAGGAACATGTTCATACCCGTCAACAAAGACTGCGGCGCGTGCGCCGTCGCTTCGATGGCGGGGACGCCAGAGTACACCACAACCTTGTCCGCGAGGTACGTGGCCATGATGAAATCGTGCTCCACGATAAAAGCCACCTTTTTGGCGTGCAAGATGAAGCGCTTGATAACCTTAGACGCCCACACACGTTGCTCGGAATCCAAATACGCCGACGGTTCGTCGATGAGGTAAATGTCCGCGGGCGTACCCATGCACATCGCCAACGCCACGCGTTGCAATTCACCACCGGAGAGGTTTTGCACCGCTTGGTCCATCAACGGATCGATGTTCATAGGCTTCATAACGTCCGAAACGAACTGAGGGTGCATGTAAGAGTCGCGAATCTTCTTGTGAAGCAACTCGCGCACGGTGCCCGGGAACTTCGGGGAAATCTTTTGAGGCTTGTACGACACGTTGAACTCCGGAAGTTCGAGTTCTTCGTCGTCCGGTTGAATCAAGCCGGCGATAAGGCGAATAAAAGTCGTCTTACCCGTACCGTTCTCCCCGAGCAACACGACAATTTCGCTATCGGTGAACTCACCGGACTCGACGTTGAGTTTGAAATCGCCCTGCGTCTTCACCAACGCCGGGTATTCGTATCGCGAAAAATGTTTGTCGGTAATCTCCATCCCACTATCCGCGCCCGCGACTTTGAACGTGAGCGCCTCGTCGCGGAAACGCAAGTTCTCCGTCGGCACAAAACCGGCGAGGAAAATGTTGATGCCTTCGCGAACAGAGAAGGGCATGGTGACGACGCCGTACGCCCCGGGCTTCCCGTACAGGCAGCAAATGAAGTCGGACAAGTAATCGAGCACGGACAAATCGTGCTCGACGACGATGACGTACGTATCGTTCTTTAACAAAGAACGAATCACCCGAGACGCCTTCAAACGTTGCTTGACGTCTAAGTACGACGACGGCTCGTCAAACATATAAATGTCTGCCTTTTGGCACGCGATGATCGCGGTGGCGAACCGCTGAAGCTCCCCCCCAGATAACTGCGCCACCTGACGCTGCATGACATTCTCCAAGTCCAATTGGTCCTTGAGAAATTCCAAGTTGTCCAACTCGTTTCTATCGTTCAAGCATTGCTCGACTTCTCCCTTGACGGCTTTCGGAATGTTATCGACGTACTGCGGCTTAATCAACGCCTTCATGTCATCCTCCAAAATCTTCGTCAGATAGTTTTGCAACTCCGACCCGCGGAAGTGCGCGAGAATATCGCTCCACTCGGGCGGTTTCGTGAAATTCCCAAGATTCGGCTTCAATTTCCCCGCCAAAATTTTCAGCGCCGTCGACTTGCCGATCCCGTTTGTGCCCACCAACCCGAGCACCTGTCCCGCGCGCGGCGTCGGCAACCGATGCAACTTAAACGTGTTCGGCCCATATCTATGCGTCGTCTCTCGCTCCAAATTCTTCGGCAGATTGATGATCGTCAGCGCTTCAAACGGGCACTTCTTCACGCAAATCCCGCATCCGATGCACAACTCCTCGCTCAGAAACGCAATCTTATCCTTCGGTCCGACCTCGATGCACAACTTTCCGACCTTCACCACCGGGCACGATCGCTTACACTCTTGTTTGCATTTTTTCGGTCGGCACCGCTCGCCGTTGACGATGGCGATGCGATCGAGCTTTTCGTTCGGGTCCTCGTCTTTGTTCTTTTTGCCCATGGCGATCGTCGACGCGCCGTTCGTCGCGCGCCGTCGCCGTCGCGGTCGTCACGACGTCGTCGACGATGCCGTTCGTTTCCTGCGTGCGCTCGTGCGTGCGCGTGCGTTCGCGACGGCGTTCGCGACGCGCGCGCGAATGAGGTTCGACGATGACCTAGCACAGCCCTAGTGGTGCGCGGGCGCGAGCGTTACAAGGGCTAGTCGTCGTCTTGCGCGGCGCTGAGCATGATGAGTAAATCCTCGTCGCGAATCGCGCCGTGAACGTCCACGGCGACGTCGAAAGCGGTCTGACCGCGCCCGTTGAGGACGCGCGGGTCGGCACCGCGACGGAGTAGAACCTTGGCGAAGGCGTCTCGGCCTCTTCGTGCGGCGTAGTGGAGCGCGGTGTCCTCGGTGTACGGATTCTCTCGAGCGTTCACGTCGACGTTGTGGTGCAGCAGAGCTTCGAGGATGGCGATGGAAGCATCACCGCAGTCGCAAGCGGCGGTGAGCATGACCCAGTGCATCTTGATGTGCGGGCCTTTGAGGAGTAAATCCATGACGGCTGGTAGCGAGTTGGAGTTGATCGCCGTCAAGAGCTGCGACTCGGTCGGTTGCGCCTCGCGACGGCAAAACGCCTTGGCGACGTACTTTGAGAGTATGAAAGCCTTTCGAGATTCGAGCGACGAATTCTTGTTGGGTTTTTTCGCCTCGACTTCGGCTTTTTCGTACTCCCAACGCGCGTTCGATTGGGCGTTGCCCCAGCGCGAGAAAAATTCCAACACGCTTGGCTCCCACGCGCGCACGTCGAGCGTTGCGCTCCGAACTTTGCTCACCTGCACGCCCAACTGCCTATGAACGCCGCTGCATTGCAAGCAAAGCATGATACCGAGGTTAAGACTCGCCCAATCCGGCTCTGGCATGTCGCAATCGGCGCAGAATCCGTTGCCGGGCACGGCGCCGAGCACCGTCAAGGGTGGCGGACCGTCGTACGCGGAGACGCTCGAGATCGACGACATCGTCCGCGAATGCTTGCTCCCGTATTTGTTCACGCTCGCTTCGTGCTCTGCCAGGATTGTTTCGTTCACGCTCGAATTTAATAAACTCGCGATCGCGGTCGTGATAGCTTCCATCCATTTGCTTCGCTCCGCGTTGCTTTCGCAGCGTAAATAATACGTCTTTTCGGGAGAAACGATGCGAAACGCGAAACGCGCGTTCGAGTCGTCGTCCAAGTCGGGTTTAATCGTCGCCGTGAGCAAAGATACCGTCTCGCGTACCTCTCCTCCGCCAGTCGTCTGCGTCGAAGGCGCGTTTGACGACTTATTTCGCATCGACCCGAGCGATAACAACTTCCCGCCGAGCGCTTTCCTCGGATTGGACGAAAGCGATTTCGTGTACGTCAGCGATCCGCGCGCATCCAAAACGAAGAATCGCCGCTTCCAATCTTGAATTTTCCCGCTCGATCGCTTCAATAAATATCCTTGCATCAACGCTTCGTTTTGAGAGGACCCGTATCCCGCGGCGGACGACGCCATCTGCGCGCTCATCTCTCTCGCGCGGTCACTTACCATCGACAGTGCGTCCGATGTCGATTGCGCTTCGTCATCGCACCGCGCCATCAGCTTTTCCATTTCCTCGTTCAACGCCGCCTCTAAGTCCGCGCCCTCGGCCTCCGCCGCCGCGACGTCCTTTCTCAAAATATCCAGCGTGGGCGAGAGGCGAGTCAATATTTCCACCCCCCGACGAAAGTAATCCAACTGCGCGTCGATTAAGTCTACGGCGCACCGTTTCGTGCGCGTGTGCTTCGCCACATTCACTCGTTGCAGCGCTACGAGCAAATCCCGTCGCGCGCGCTCAAACGACAGTTTCGCCGCGCGCAACTCTTCCTCCCCTCCCGTCGTCTTCATATATCGCTGTCGCACCCCATCGTACTCCTTCTTCGCCGCATCCACCGCTTTACGACGTTCGCGCAGCTCCCCGACGTCCTTTTCCGTCGCTCTTCGCACGTTTTCGCTCGCCAGCGCGTTTCTCGTGAAATTCGCCAACCGCTCGCGTTCGCTCGACAGCGCCTCCATCGCCTCCCGCATCGCGTCCGCGCCCTCGCCGCTCCCGGTCGTCACGCACGTCGCCAACGCGCGCGTCTTGTGCGCGCACCCGACGTCGGCGTCGGACACCGACTCCAGCGCGTCCGCGAGCGCGTCGTACGTCCGGCGTCCTTCGTTCGTGAATTCTCGTTCGAGCTTCAACACGCGCTGTTTCAGCGCCGGCGAGTGCTCGAGCGCGCGACCGAACAGCGCGAGCGCATCGTTCGCGTCGCTCGACGGCACCGCGCGCGCGCACGCGTCGACGCGCGCGGCGATTTCGTCGTTCGTGTCCAACGCGTGCACGCGAGGCGGGATGATGCCCGCGCCGCGCCTGTGCGCCGTCGACGTCGAGCGCGCGAACATGCGCGACGGTCACCGCGCGTCGTCGCGTCGTCGCGTCGTCGTCGGCGCGGTCGCGCCGCGCGCGCGTCTCGCGTCGTCGTGTGCGGCGGCCGCGATGAAGCGCCGACCGCACTCGACGACGCCGCGCGGTCGCGCGACGCGCCGGCGATCGAGCGCCGCGCGCCATGGCGACGGACGCGATCGACTGCTCCGTCCCGGGCGTGCTCGCGCTGCTCGGCGACGCGCTGAGCGCGGACGCGCGGCGGCGCGAGCGCGGCGAGGCGGCGCTGCTGTCGGCGGTGAAGCGCGCGGACGGCGCGCTCAAGTCGCTGCTCGCGATCGCGTGCGGAGGCTGGACGGAGACGGTGCCGACGATGTCGGCGAGCGACGCGGAGGCGGTGCGAACGCTGGCGTGCGTGACGGTGAAGCGAAGGTGCACGCCGAGGGCGTTCGCGTCGAGGTTGACGCGCGGCGAGAGGGACGAGGCGAAGCGAGCGCTTCTGGATCGAGCGATGACGGCGGAGAGCAAGGCGCTGAGGAATGCGGTGCTGGACGTTATCGCGAAAATCGCGCGTTGGACGGTGCCGCAGGGGGAGTGGAACGAGTTGTTGGAATTTTTGGGACAGTGCGCGAGCTCGCCCGAGACGGCGCATCGAGCGTTGGCGTTTAAGTTGTTCGAGAGCCTGACGGAGACGATCGTGAGCTCGCTGAGTCATCACTTTAAGACGTTGGCGGGATTGTTTGCGAACGGACTCGTGGACGCGCACGATGAGGTGCGGGTGAGCGCGCTTCGCGCCGTCGGGGCGTTGGTGGCGAACGCGTCGGGCGAGCCCGAGGAGGTGGCGGTGATAAAGTCGTTGGTGCCGCACGTGCTCGAGGCGGCGAAGACGGCGGTGTCGAACGAAGACGAAGAGTCGGCATCGATCGTGTTTGAGGTCCTAGATGCGCTCACGGAGAGTCGCACGAGCGCTTTGAGTGGACACGTGCCCGCCGTCGTCGGCTTTTGCATTCAAGTCGCCACGGCGGAACGCGAGCTCGGGACGAGCGCGCGACGACGCGCGTTAGACGTGCTGGCGTACATGGCGCGTCACAAACCAAAGGCACTGACAAAGTCTAAGCTTGTCGAGCCGATGCTGGCCGTGTTGTGCCCGCTGTGTGGTGAGCCCAAGGAAGCCGAGCTCGCGGGCGAGGACGATCTCGAAGACGAAGACGAGGTGCACATACAAACCGTAGCGAGTCAGCTCATTGATATTTTAGCGCTTAAAGTGCCGGCAAAGTATGTCCTTCCGACGGTTCTGTCATTCGCCGCGGCGAATATCAACAATGCATCGAACGACCGCTTGCGTCACGCCGCAGTCGCCGTGCTCGGCGTCGTCACCGAAGGGTGCGCCGAGGGCGTGCGCGCGCACGCGAGCACCATCGTGCCGAGTGTGGTCGGACGCTTGAGCGATCTAAATGGACCCGTGCGAGGCGCGGCGGCGTTTACGCTCGGACAGTTTGCCGAGCACCTTGGGTTGACGTTGGAAGACCCGGACATGCACAAGCAAGTGCTGCCGAGCTTATTCACCGCGCTTCCGGTTGAGCAAGTGAAGAGCGTGCAAGAGCGCATGATGTATGCAATGGATGCGTGGTTGGAAGACGTTCAAGACGAAGTCGGCGTGTACGTCAAACCTTTGCTCGACATAGTCTTATTAGCTCTCGATAGCGGTGCCAAGCGCCACGTGCGCGAGATGTTACTTTCGGCGCTCGCGTCCGCGACGGCGTCGAGCGGGGACAAGGTGCATCCGTACTTGGGCGAACTCTTGCCTAGACTCGATCGTTGCTTGTCTCTGACGGCGGATGAAGAATTGAACGTTCGCGCGCGCGCGTTAGAAGTGCTGGGGATGTTGATTTCGGCCGAAGGTGGCAAGGAGGCCATGGGACCGCACGTGGAAAACGCCATGCAAGCCGGGCTCTCTGGGTTCGAGCTCGATTTTGCCGAGCTCCGGGAATACGCCCACGGCTTGTTTGGCGAAGTGGCGGAGGCGCTCAAGGAAGATTTCGATCGCTACCTCGCCGTGTGCGCGCAGAAAGCGTTCGCGTCGCTCGAACTGGACGATGGTATCATGTTTGACAGCGAGGACGAAGCCGATCGCGAAGAGTTGGATTCGGACGACGACGGCGACGGCGACGGTGCCGATGGTATGACGAGGAAGCCGGCGGGTTACTCCATTCGCTCCGGCGTCATGGACGAGAAAGCGTCGGCGTGCAAAGCGCTGAATTGTTATGCTTCGCATTGTCCTCGCGCATTCGCGCCGTACATCGCCAAGGCGTCCGAGCTACTCGGAGGCATGACGGATTATATGCACGAGATGGTGCGCGTGCAGGCGCACCTTGCGCTCGCGCAAACTACGATCGCGGCACTCAGCATCAACCCCGAAGGCGCGAAAGAACTGGTGAACGACTCACTCTCGGCCACGATTCGTTGTGTTTTAGAAGACGAAGATCGGGATGCGGTGGCCGCGTCCGTGGAAGCCGCGGCGCTTCTCGTAAACATTCTCAAAGAACATCGCGGGGTAGACGTCTCGCAGCACGTCATCGATCTCACCGCGGCAAGTTTGGAAATTCTAGAGGGCAACACGTTCTGTCAAGTCGAAGATGGGTATGACAGCGAAGAAGGCGACGAAGAAGGCGATGAAGACGAAGACGAAGACGTCGAAGCGGGCTTGGTTGTCATCGAAGCCGTCGCCGAGCTCTTACCTGCGCTCGCGATGTACATGGGAGAGACGTTCGCGACGCACTTTGTGCCGCACTTCAACGCTTTGATGAAGCGCACGGAAGAAAATCATACCGAAACCGAGCGTTCACTGTGCTACGCGACGCTCGTCGAGGTGGTGCGCGCCGTCGGTGCGCCCGCTGCGGGATGCGCCGTCGTTGCGCTCCCGAGGTGTTTGCGTGACGTCGCGTCTCTGGACGTCGGTTTGAGGCGCAACAGTATTTATTGCATCGGTATACTGGCGCAAATAGGTGGTGCGAGCGCGATAGATTTCCACGGCGCCATCGCGGAGGCACTCGCGCCGATGACGCGAGCGGACCGAGAATCCGACGGCGGCGTTCGCGATAACGCCGTGGGCGCCATCGCGCGTTTGCTACAAGTCATCGACGGCGGTCATGCTCGCGAAAACGCATCCGCACTGCTTGATGTCGTTCTCAACGCGCTACCCTTGCGAAACGATTTAGAAGAAGGCCCGGACGTCTACCATTGGCTCGCGTCGACGATTACGGAAAATCCAACCTCGCTCGCCGACGCCGCGATGACTCGCATCGTCGGTATTTTAGCCGAAGTGGTCACCGATGGTGCGCTCGCACCGATAGACACGTCGCGAATATTAGGAATCGCGCTCTCGCGCGCCGAAGATCAGCGCGTGCGAGCTACGCTCTCCAGTCTGCCCGCGCAGAGTCAAGACGCGATTCGTCGAGCCGGGGCGTAGTCGAAACGTACACAGGTGTTTGATAATACAACGCTATTAGTTCCTAGTTAAGCTCATCGGCTCATCGCTTGGACTTTCTCCCCGCCTTGACTGCCTTGCCTTTTTTCTTTGTCTTCTTCCCGGACGACTTCATCTGCGGCCGCCTGCCCTCGCCGCGCAGCATCGCCTTCGTGTCCACCAACTTGTCGTGATTCACCATGTCTCTCTTGTTCACCTTCATCACCCCGTTACTGGTACTAAACGTCGACGACCCCCACGCTAATCCGCGATCGCGCGCAGCATCGCTCGACTTCTTCGCCGCCTTCTTTTCGAGCTTATACCCAGCCGCGAACGCCTCCTGCCTCGCCGTCTCCGCGCGCTTTTCGTTCGCCTTGGCCAACCCGACGCCGATGGTCGGCGGAATCCTCGGTCCTTTCTTCGGCTTCATCCCGAGCTCGACCAATCGTTTCGTTTCCAGCGCCTGCCTATCCCACTTCGCCAATCCGCGCGCGCCGAACGCTTGCACCTCCTCCCGCAGCGCGCTAAATTTCCCGAACCTCGCCTCGCCGCCATCCTCCGCGTCCTTGTCGCGCTCGCGCGCCGCTCTCACCACGTCATCGTTCAGCACCTTCCCCGCCTCGGCGCTCATGAACGCCTTTCGCGCCTTTTTCGTATCGATCAGCCGTCCGCTCGGACTCGCGCTCGCCGCGCTCGCGTCCCGCGCCTTCGCCTTCGCCGCCGCCGCCGAAACCGTCCGTCGTCCGTCGAACACCATCGTCTTCCCGTCGTCCGACGTCGACCCGTTCGCGGCGCGCGATGTCTTCGCGACCGCGTCCGTCGAGCGCGCGCGTCGCGTCGTCGTCGCGTCGTCGTCGTCGCGCGCGCGTTTCTTCGCCGCCGCCGGCGCCGACCCATCGCGCGCTTTCGCGCCGCGCGGCCCGCGTCGCCGTCGCGCGCCGTCGTCGTCGGCGTCGAACATCGCCATGAACGCCTCGCCGTGCCTCGCGAGCGCGTCGCGCGCGCGCGCGCCGGTTTCCGCGTCGTCGTCGCGCATGGTTGTGTCGTCGGCATTCGCGCGCGCGATGGCGCCGGCGCCGGCGCGCGCGGGCGCCGACGCGCTCGCGCGTCGCGCCATCGCGCGCTGGAGCGCGAGCGCGCCGCTCGTCGGCGCGTGGGGCGCGGCGTCGATCGCGCTCGTCGTCGCGGCGCCGCGCGCGCTGTACGTCGCGCTCGTGCCCGGCGTCCTCGGCGCGCTCGCGGCGACGACGTTCTTCGTCCCGAGCGCGCGCGGGCGGCGCGGCGTCCAGGGCGCGCTCGCGACGCTGCGCGTCGCGGGCGGCGCGAGCGCGGTGATCGACGCGTGCGCGAGCGCGGCGTGCGCGACGCTCGCGGTGGCTCGGCGCGGCGTCTCGCGTCGCGGCGTCGCGATCGGATTGGCGTACGCGACGCACGGCGCGGCGTCGATCGCGGTGTACGCGATGGCGGTGGACGTGCAGGGGGCGATCGAGGCGCGAGACGACGACGGCGACGATTCGCGGGATGGATTTTCGGCGTGACGCGCGTTCGGCGACGAATTTTCGGCGACGACGAACGACGCGGCGCGAGACGCGGCGTCGACGCGACGACGACGCGCCGTCGTCGAGCGCGATATTGTTGTATCATCATCACGCTGTGTTTTGCGTTCGCGAACCCGCGCGCCGTCGTTCGATCGCCGCGGCGCGTCTGAACGTCGCGTCCGAGCGTCGCTTTGGAATTTAAAATTCCAAAGACAGCTCGCGATTCCAAAGCCGCACGTCGCGTCGTTCGTCCGTCGCCATGAGCGCGTACGAGTTAGAGCGCCTCGAGCGCATCGAGGCGAACAAACGACGCATGGCGCAGCTCGGCGTGCTGGAGCACGCGAAATCGCTCGCGCGCGACGCGCAAAAGAAGCGCAAAAAAACAAACTTTTCGAACGCCTTCGAGCGGACGTCGAACGAGGAGAATAAGGGCAGCGCCGCGCCCGTGCGCGCGTCGCGGCGCGTGCGCAACGAAGAACCGGAAGCGTTCGATCCGAACGACGCGTCGCGGGATTTGTTCGAGGTGCGGTACAACGAGGAGGTGTACGAAGCGCGGCACGCGGAGGCTCTGGGAAGCGCGGCCGAGCCGTGGACGCTGTTCGAGGACGGTTACGACGATAAAGGGCGCAGAATATACGACCCGGTGAATGGACAGTGCTGTCATCAGTGCCGACAGAAGACGAAAGGGCTGCGGACGTCGTGCGCGGGGTGCGAGATGATGCGCGGGGTGTATTGCGGCGACTGCCTCTACATGCGGCAGGGACTTAATATTCGGGAGGTCATCGCTCGCGGCGACGCGTGGCGGTGTCCGAGTTGCTTGGACATATGCAATTGCTCGTTTTGTAGAACGAAGAAGGGATACCCGCCGACCGGCACCATGTATCGCCGCAGTTTGGCGATGGGCTACGATTCCGTCGCGCACTACTTGGTGCTCACCGGGCAAAAAGACGAAGCCGCGCGCGCGCGTTACGAAGCCGAAGCGGCGGTCAAAGCCGAAGCGTACGCCAAGCGCGAGGCCGAGGCCGAGGCGCTGCGCGAGAGCGATGAGAATGCGCCGGATAGAAAGCCGCATTGGTTGAAGGAAAAAGTCATCGCGAGCGAATGACGACGAGAAACGAAACGACGAAACGAAACTGTATTAAAGAAACGAAACAAAATTGGATTATTAAAACGACAACCTTATTAAACGACGACGACTCACCACAGCAAGTGCGCGCGACACGCCAGCGTCGTCTGGCGATGTCCGCGATCATCCGTGGAGATTACGACGCCCGGAATCAACGTCGAGCCGGGTTCTTCGCCGTCGGAACCGATGCGCAAGAACGCCTCGGCTTGCACGCCGCCGCGATTGGCGGGCTTGCCGGCGACGATCCCCCATCCCGCGTTCTTCACCAGTCCCGCGCCTTTGGTCGGAGGCACGCTCGCGGCGATCCCCCACTCGGTTAAATCCTCGCGCGCGTTCGGTTGCCTGACGGCGACTTGCCCCCAGGCGTTACCGACGACGGCTCTCGTCGTCTTCGGCAGCGTCTTCGCCACCGTCAGCGCGACGCCCAGGATGGCTTCGCCGCTCTGACACCTCGACGCGTTCACCGCGAAGTTCACGTGGCGCGTGGACGTCGAGCTCTTCGCGCTCGCCTGCGCGAGCACCTTGCCCATGTTGTCCTCGGGTTGTCGGTTCCCGGTGAACACCCCCAAGTGCGCCGCGAACCTATCCTTGTACTCCACCGACACCGCCCCCATGCTGTCCTGTTCGCATCTTTCGATCAAGTTCGACCCGAGCGCGCCGAATCCCGTGAGTCTGTGCGACCGTCTCGCGCCGCCGACCCCTCCCGGGCACGCGTCCACGCCCTCCGCGCCGAACGGCGTCGCCCGCGCCCGCACCCTCACCCCGTTCGCCGTCTCCCGCACCGTCCGCGCGAACGTCACCTTCTCCAGCGTCACCACTCGCGCCTCGTACTCGTCCTCGTTCGCCAGATAATCCGCCCGCGCGCTCGCGAACCTCACCGTCGCCTCGCCCTCCGCGCCCGCGTCGCCGAACGTCGCCCGCGTCTCGCGCGTCGCCCGCATCGTCCGCCGCGCGTCGCTCTTCATCGCTTCGGACGCGTCGTTCGAGCCTCTCGCGACGTTGATCTCGATCGCCGTCTCCGTCGCGACGCGCGCGTTCGCGCGCGCGCCGCGCAGGTCGTCGAGCGCCGACTCGGCGATTCGTAACCGTCGCGAGACGTCGTGCGTCTTCTCCGCGGCGTCGCGCGCGATTCGTCGCAGCCGCTCGACGTCGTCCGCGACGCTCGACGACGACGCGCTCGCGGGCGTCGACGCGGTCATGGCGCGCGATTCGAACGCGCGTCGCGGAGTGTTCGAACGCGCGCGAATGAATGCATGCGAGAATGCGCGCGCGCGCGCGTCATTCGTCGACTCGACGACGAATCGCGGGCGACATGCGCGCGACGACGGCGCGCGCGCGCGCGCGCGTCGACCGCGGCGCGCCGGCGCGTCGCTCGCGGCGTCGCGGCGTCGTCGCGCGCGCCGACCGGACGACGACGACGACATCGACGACGCGACGCGACGCGCTGCGCGCGCTCGCGCTCGCGCCGGCGCTCGCGCCGGCGCTCGCGGCGCGCGCGAACCCGCTCGAGGCGGTCGCGGACGCGCGCAAGGCGGCGAACGCGCGGTTTTTGTTGGGCCCGATCGCGCTCGCGCGCGGGCGACTCGCGGCGCTGCGGCGCGAACTCGACGACGACGCCGCGACGCTCGACGACGCCGCGCTTCGCGAGCGATTGACGAGCGCGACGCTGGATTGCACGAATCCGCGAGATTCGCTGGAGATGTACTCGAACGCGCGAGAGGTGTGCACGCTGGCCATTCTGGCTCGATCCGCGACTTCGGGACCGGCGGCGAGACGCGACGCCGCGTCTCGCGAATCCGTCGACGTCTTTCGAACCCTCGACGCGTGTCGCGCCTCGTTCGAGGCGCTCGAGCGCGTCCTCGCGTCTTCGGCCGCGGGCGAGCGCGAGCGCGACGCCGCGTTCGACGCGTGCGACGCGGCGCTGCTCGAGTTCGCGCTTCGCGTGCTCGCGTGTTTCGGCTTCGACGACGCGCGCGCGCGCGACGCGATGGCGGCCGTGCCGGGCGCGTTCGCCGATCCCTCGGCGTCGCGTCGATCGAACGCGTCTTAAAAGCTCGCCGTGCGTCGATTCTCGCGCGCGTTCGAAACCGCGCGCTCTTTGTCGTTCGAATCAGAATCTTTCTTTTCGCCGTCATCGTCATTCGTCGCGCGAACGCCCCGACGTCACTTTTCGACGCGTCTCGACGCGTCTCGACGCGCGCGCGCGCCTCTCGCGCGCCCGCGAGCGGCGTCGCGCGCGCGCATGGTCGAACTCACGATCGTCCCGTCGTGGGACGGTAAGGGCGTCACCTGGCGCCCGATATTCGACGACGACGAGGAGGCTTTCGCGGCGTACACGCACGCGTGCGAGTACGCGAAGAGCGGACGCGGGAAGTGCGGGAAGTGCGGGGAAAAGGTGCGGCGAATCGACGAATCGACGCGAAGAGAAGAGAAAAAAGACTGACGACGAGGGGTTCGGATCGGCGACGAAGATCGCGAAGGACGCGGTGCGAATCGGGGAACCGCTCAAGTATCGCGGCGGCGATTACGGATGGATATCGAAGTGGATGCATCCGGAGTGTTATCGCGCGGAGGGAGTCACGAGGGAGGAGCTGGAGACGCGCGTGCACGGGTTGGACGCGCTGAAGGATGGGGATCGGGAGGTGTTGCTGGCGACGGTGCTGTCGCCGGATCGGCCGGAGATCGAGAACACGGCGTTGGACGTGACGAGCGAGGAGTTTTTGCGTCGGCCGGCGGTGGAACCGATGGAGGCGCCGCGGGCGTTGACGCGGCCGTTGTTGGGGTTTCAGCGCGAGGGGTTGCGGTGGATGTGCGATAACGAGAGCGGCGATGCGAAGGGGGGGATATTGGCGGATGAGATGGGGATGGGGAAGACGATACAGTGCATATCGATGTTGCTGGCGAGGAAGGAGGCGTGGATGCGAGACCGCGCCGAGGTGGGGGAGATGGTGACGGACGACGACAGACCGCCGCCGACGCTCGTGGTGGTGCCGACGTCGGCGCTCGTTCAGTGGGAAGAAGAGATCAAATCGTGCGTCGAGGAAGGGTCGCTGCGCGTGTTTGTGTATTACGCTGATCGCGCAAACGTCGTGGAAGGAGACTTTAAAGGATACGACGTCGTGTTGACGACGTATCCCGTCGTCGAAGCCGAGTGGCGGAAAATCATCAACCGACACTTGACGGCGTGTCAGTGGTGTGGGAAAAAGTACTTACCTCGCTCCATGGTGACGCACTTGAAGTACTTCTGTGGACCAGACGCCGTGCGCACGGAAAAACTCGCGCGGCGCGAGGTGACGCGCGACGTGGCGAACGAAAAAGCCATGCGCACGCTGAAAATCAAGCCGGGCAGCGCCAAGGACGTGAAGAAGGGGATTCCCACGATGGCGAACGTATACAAGGAACTCATGGCGATGGCCGGACGGGAGACGCTGAGCATGTATGATGGCGCGCACAAGGCGCGCGCACGCGCGGCTTCAGGTCTCGCCCCGGGCGGCGACGTCGTCGTCGTCAAGGAGGAAGTTGAAGACGGCGTCGCCGAGCCGAGCGAAGTTCTGAAAGCTTTGATTTCGCAGCTTCCAGTGCCGACGATTGTAGTTGAGAATATCAAAGAGGAGTCGATTGAGGAGAAAGAAAAAGAGGTCGAGTCAGTGAACGAGCCCGCCTTGGCTGACGCGTCAACGGCGGCGATAGCGAGTACGGTGAAGAAGGCGCAGAAGCGCAAGTCGAAGGCTTCGGGTAAAGCGACTTCGACTTCGAGCGCAAAGAAAAAGAAGAAGAGTCTGCGCGAAGCTAGCGACGGCGAGGCTGAAAGTGATTACAAACCGGACAGTGATAGCGAAGATGATGAGATCATATTAGTCGACGATAGCGAGAGCGAAGATAGAAAGCCAAAGAAGAAACAGAAGAAAAAGAAAACGCCGGCGAAAACCGAGGAAGCGGACGACGTGAAGGCGTCCAACATCGACGACATTCCGCAAACCTCGCAAGGTGGTTCGCAAGGTGGGAGCCAGTTTGAAGACGAAGACGACGTAGATTTGTCGGATTCCCTTCTTCATCGCACGCAGTGGCACCGAATCGTTCTCGACGAAGCGCACAAGATCAAGGCGCGCACGAGCAACACCGCCAAGTGTATCTACGCTTTGAAATCCACGTATAAGTGGTGTTTGACAGGTACACCGTTGCAGAATCGAATCGGCGATCTTTACAGCTTGGTGAGATTTTTGCGTATGGATCCGTACGCGTTTTACTTTTGTTCGACGAAGGGTTGCGAGTGCAAAACGCTCACCTGGAACTTCGGTCCTCAGGCGCGATTTTGTACCAACTGCGGATGCGGCGCTCCTAGGCATTATTCGCATTTCAATCGCACCGTGCTAAACCCGATCAACCGTTATGGCTACATCGGTGACGGCAAGAAAGCGATGCTGACTCTTAGAAATGACATTTTGTTGCCGATGCAACTTCGCCGGACCAAGGCGGAACGCGCCGAGGACGTGCGACTGCCGGACTTGAAGATTATCATTCAAGAAAACACATTCAATGAGGTTGAACAAGACTTTTACGAGTCTCTGTACATGCTGACGCGCTCGAAGTTCGACGCGTTCGTGAAGAAAGGGAGCGTTTTGCACAACTACGCACACGTCTTCGAGCTCCTCGCACGACTGCGACAAGCGTGCGATCATCCGTACTTGGTGATTCATTCGAAGAGTGCGAACGTGAAAAAAGACGCCCCTGACGCGCCGAAAGTTGAATCCCCGGCAGACACCGACGTTCCGAAGCATTATTGTGGCATGTGTCAGGACGAAATTGAGGAAGAAGACGCGGCTCTGGCGAATTGCAAACACATTTTCCATCGTGAGTGCATCATGCAATACGCGTCTTGTGCGCCTGCGGATGGCAAAAAAGTGACTTGTCCCGTCTGTCGCACGGCGTTGACGATTGACTTCTCTCCAGAAAGTCTCGAAAACGTCAAGAGTGCCATTAGTCGTAATTTCAAGGATGCGCTACCAGACAAGTCAATTCTCAACAAGCTCGATCTCACGCAGTACACGTCGAGCACAAAGGTTGAGACGCTCGTTAACGCTCTGCGAGACATGCGTAATCAAGAAAATGGGCACTTAAACAAAGCCATCGTGTTTTCGCAGTACACAGCCATGATAGAAATCGTCGAATGGCGTTTGAAAAAGGCCAAGTTTACCATCGCCAAGCTTCTCGGTTCCATGCCGGTCACGCAACGCGCGGCGAATTTGCAAGCTTTCCGAGAAGATCCAAACGTCAGCGTGATCTTGATGAGTCTCAAATCTGGCGGTGAAGGACTCAACTTGCAAGCGGCGAATTACGTATACGTTCTTGAGCCATGGTGGAACCCAGCGGTGGAAATGCAAGCCGTGATGCGCGCACATCGCATCGGGCAGCTTCGACCGGTGACCGCTGTTCGATTTTCGACCAAAGGCACGATTGAAGAACGCATGATGGAGCTTCAAGAAAAGAAGCAGCTTGTGTTCGAAGGGTGTATGGACGGCAATCAAGCCGCGCTTTCTCAACTGACTGCCGAAGACTTGCAATTTTTGTTCAAGCGATGACGATGATGTATGGTATAATGACAAATTTGACCTATGTAGCTAAAACGCTGTAACGCTGTGATGTGAGCACTTTCTGTCATGGCTCTTAAAAATCCTTGAAAATCTCGTTCGCACGATTCATAGACGCATCCGTCGGTCCTCTCGCCGAATCCATTTCAGTTGCGAGCAACGATTCCCGTTCGATCTCGATAAGACGTTCGCGCTGAATTTCTAAAAACTGCCGCGAAAGCGTCAGCGGCTTGGGCGTGTACTCGCCACTCTCTAGCAGCGCCCAGTCAAACTTGGCGAACCAAGGGTGTCTCTTAATCTGACTGACCCCGCCTTGCATGTTTCCGAGCCTTTTCGCCGAGTTTCGCTGCAAGAGCTGAGAAATAAAATTGCACGCCTCGTCGGTGGCGTACGTGGGGTATTGCACCTCGTACGACATGTCCACGATTCGCCGCATCACTTTCAATGGATCGTCTTTTTGGGACGGATCCTTTGATATCGTGAACGGCTGTTGTCCCGTTATTGTGACGTACGTCAAAACACCCAGCGCCCACCAATCGACGGCGTAGCCGTATCCCGTGGACAGCACAATTTCTGGCGCCACGTACCCAGGGGTGCCGCAAAACGTAAACGCGCGTTCGCCGACGTCAAGTTTCTTCGCGTAGCCAAAATCTCCGAGCTTACATTTGCCGTTGAGCGCAAGCAATACATTCTCTGGCTTCAAGTCGCGATAGATGATTTGGTTGCCGTGCAGATACTCGAACGCGAGAATAACCATGGCGGTGTAGTATCGCGCCGTGTCTTCGCTGATGCCAATCTGCGTGGGCACGTGGCGAATCTCACCATCGATTTGTGTCGGAATTAACTTCACTTGCACCGCGCTCGCAAGCATGTCCATCAAGTCACACCCATCCATGATGTCGAAAAGCATGTACAGATGATTCCTGTCTTGGAAACTGGCGTGCTGACACATCAACGAAAAGTGGCTGATTTCGCTCGTGACTTCCTTTTCGCAGAAAATGTGCGACGGACTCTCCATCACGGCACGCTTACGCACGCGCTTGAGCGCGAAGGCGCGCGGTGACGACACATTCATACCTTCTTGAATAACGCGATACACGTGCCCACCAGTGCCTCCACCGAGCATTTCCTTCTCCACTAAATCGATCGACCCCAACTCCCGATTGACGTCCGTGGCGAACGACCTCGGGTTTACTGAGCCGTACATGCTAATGTTCACCTTCTTTCCTCCCACGCGCGCGCTACCTAACAGGCGAATTCGGGCGGAGCGCCACGACTTTTCACCCTTGAGCTGCCGCATGCGATTACGAATGACTTCTCGAGACTTTTCTCGAAGTAAATCTTCGCGCACGGATGACAGCTTCTCGAGGAACACGTCTCGATTGACGACGTAACACACCAGAGGAGTTTCCACGCATCGCACGGTGTACTCTCGCGGTTCATCACCGCGAATGATCTCGGAAGCACCAAAAAAGTCGTGTCGAAACAAGTGATTCACCGTGCGCGGTTCACCCGTGTCCGGGTCGAGCTTGGAAACTTGCGCTCGCCCCGAATTGACGAGGTAAAATTTACCGTCGCACGCTTCGCCTTCGGTAATAACGTCCGTGTACGGGTCGAACGAGACCGTCTCCAAGGCATCCGCGAACGACTTCCGCGTGTCGATCGGTAAAGCGCTGAGCACGGGAACTTGTTCGAGGAATAAATTCTTCGCGAGCGTCGTCGCCTCGACGCTGTGCTTGACCTCCCTCTTGAAGACTTGTTGCGTGCACACCCAAACCTGCGACCGCGTCTTCGCCCGCACCGTCGCCGAGCGCGGCACGCTATAAAGTAAAGCTAACTCGCCGATGATATCGCCTTTCGTGCGCGTGAGGACGCTGATATCGGCGCCGAGCCGATTTTGCAGCACGTCGAATTCGCCTCCGGCGATGAGATACAACGCGTCGCCCGGTTCGTCCTCCTCCATCAAAATCGTCCCCTCCGGCACGTTGATGAAGAACATTTCGCTCGCCACGCGTCGCCTGACGTTCGCATCGAGCTCAGAAAACGTAAACGTCTGCGACAGCGCCTCGCACAGCGGTTCCAATTCGCTCTTCGTCGCTCTCCGTCGCTTCGCCAGCATCTTCGCGTTCAGCTTCACGAAATACGTCAGCTCCGCCGATCCCGCGTCGCCGACGAACTCATCGTCTCCTCCGTTCGCGTTCGCCGTCGCCTCTTCCCCCGACGCGAGCGATCCCTGACTCGCGCGCAGCGCGTAGTCGACGCTCTGCCGCCTCGCCTTCGCCTCGCCCGCCGACGCCGACGCCGACGTCGACGCCGACGCCGTCGACGTCGCGCGCGCGCGCGTCCCGTCCGACGTCCGACCCGCGTCGGCGTCGCTCGCGCTCGTCGACCCATCGCTCGCGTCGCGTCGCGCGTCCTCGTCGTCCGACGCCGCGTCCCGCGCGCCGAAGCAGCATCCGACGCGCGCGCGCGCGCGCGCCGTCGGTCGCGCGCGTCCGCGCGCGCGCGCGTCCGACGACGAGTCCGTCGCGCGGCGCGATCGCATGCGCGCGGTGTCGACCTCGTCCGCCATCGCGCGCGCGCCGCGGGAAGTGCCGACGGACGCGCGGCGTCACATCGCCGCGCCGACGCGCGCCGAGTCGCGCCGCGAGCGCGCCGCGCGTCGGAGCGACGCGCGCGCGACGCGCGCGCGTCGCGCGTCGACGCGCGTCCGCCGCGAGCGTCGAGCGACGCTCGGAAGCGACGCGAATTCGGGTTGGGATTCGGCGGCGGCGGTGCGATGGCGATTCGACGCGCGTGCGGCGCGCCGCCGCGCGCGACGGGCGCCGCGCGCGCGCGCGGGACGCGGACGATGGTCGCGCGACGCGCGATCGTGCCGGACAGGGACGACGGCGCGCGCGCGCGGGATGAGACGCGAGGAGAGACGCGCGCGGGACGAGGGCGCGAGCGCGGCGCGAGCGAGGGCGAACGCGAACGCGAACGCGCGCGGAGGGAATACAGGGCGTACCGCGCGCGACGGACGGACGTCGGGATGGACGCGCGCGCGGGGGAAGGGACGTCGACGTCGTACGGGACGGATGGCGCGGACGCGGACGCGGAGGCGGCGGCGAGGCGGGGACACGCGGAGGCGCTGCGCGCCGGGGACGTCGACGGTGCGGTGAAGGCGCTGGCGACGCTGGCGAGGCGGGGGGAAGGGGACGCGCGGATGACGCGCGCGGTGGTGTCGAAAGCGATGGCGAAATCGCTCGCGAAATCGCATAAGGGGTTCATGAAGCTGTGCGTGAAGACGTACAGGATGGACGCGGCGCTGCGGTACGCGCGTCTCTTCGACGCGCGCGATCGCGATTTCGCGCGCGGGAAGGATTTGTATTGCACGGTGATTTATCTGTGCGGTCGCGAGGAGGGGTCGAATCAGTGGAACATCGCGCGAGAGGCGTTTGAGCTTCGACGAGACGAAGCGGGGTTGGAGCCGGATCCGTACGCGTACAGCGCGCTCGTGTGCGCGGCGGGACGGTGCGGAAAGGCTAGGACGGCGCGAGAGGTGTTCGAGGAAGCGAATGCGGTCAATGCGGTGGATACGGTGGTGTACAACGCGTACATAGACGTGTGTGCGCACGGGGGTGATTACGACGGCGCGAGGGCGACGCTCGAGCGCATGAAGACGACGCCGAATTGCGCGCCGAATATTCGTTCGTACAACGGCGTCATATCCGCGGCGACGCGCAAAAAGCACTTCCCGGGCGCGATGTGGGCTTGGGAAGAGATCGAGACGGCGAATTTACAGCCAACCATGATCACATACGGCGCCATGCTCGCCGCGGGCGCGGCGGCGGACGACGTCGACGTGCGTTGGTCGGAGGACTTGTTCGCTCAAGCGTTGGAATCTGGCGCGTGTGGCAACGCAGGGAACGATCACATGGTGACTTCTATGCTCCAGACGTATGCTCGCGGCGTCGCGCTCGAGCAAATCGAGCGTGATGTCGCGATGGAACGCGGAGAGAGCGTCGTGCAAGCGCTCATAGAGGACGCGCAGTGGGACGAACGGCGCGCCGAGTCAACGCCCAACGGACGCGTCTGGTCGGCGTTGATAACGCTTTGCGCTCGATGTGGGCGCGCCGCGCGCGCGATCGAAGTGCTCAAGATTATGATTTCTACTCGCTCGCATCGTGTGGGACACGAATGGTTGCACTTGACGTACGCCTTGACGTCCGCGCTCGAAGCGTCGAAGGAGGGCATCGAGTACTTTGCCCGCGTGCAGCGCGAAATCGAACAGAGCCCGGCGATGGTTCGAGACTGCACGGGCGTTCGCAACGGCTTAATCGCCACACATTTGCACTTTGGTGATTTCAAGAGTGCGTTTAAAGTCTACGACGACTTCAAAAACGATATTTTCAAGTACCGCAAGGCGCACGAAGAGAATTGGAACGCGCGCGCGCGGAGAGGGTTGGAACGTCAACTTCCAGATACGATTACGTACAACTCCCTCATCTACGCGTGCGCTGATGACGACGTCAAGGCCATGGGACTGTATCACGACATGGTCTCGAACGGAATCAATCCTACAGTGCGAACGTACGTCGCGCTCATCGTCGCCTTGAGCCGATCAAAGCGTGGAAGTAAAGTCACCGAGGCGGAAAAAATATTCAAAGCCGCCATCGACGACGGCGTGACGCCGAACGAGTTTTTGTTCACCGCGCTCATGGACGCTCAGGTCAAAGGCAACCGGCCGTTATCTGCGTTTGAAACGTACGCGCGCATGATTGAAGCTGATGTCAACTGCACGACTGTGACTTTCGGGTGCGCACTGCAAGCGTGCTGTTACGTCGAGGATGTCGAGGAGAGCGTCGAGCGCGCGTACTCGGTGCTTCGTGATATGACGGAGCGTGACGTCCAGATGAACGACTGGTGCTCTAACACGTTCTTGCGCGTCATATCACGCGCCGGTCGCATTGAAGAAATGCTCGAAGAAGTGAAAAAGACGGTTCGTCGTAAAGGCAAGCTCGAACAAGAGACGCTTGAAGCCATCATTCGGGCCTTGTGTTCGGCGGGTTACGTCGAGCGCGCCAATCGCTTCATCTCTATGATGAACTCGCGTAACTTGGAACCGCGTGAGCAAACGTTCAAGGAGTTCATCGTCGCGAGTAGTCGCGATGGATTCGTCGATTGGGCTTGGGAGTCGTACAAACGTTTCACACGTTTAGGACACAAACTCGACGCGGGCACGCGGTCGGCGCTAGTCACCGTCTTGAGCGTCGCTTCGACGAGCCCGGACCCCGACGATGCGGAACTCTTGCTCGCTCGCGCGATCGGCGTCTTCGAAGCCGCGTTTAAACGCGCGGATGAAGACAATGGGCCACAAGTCTTGGACGTCATCGACGCCGAAGCGCGATGCGCGCTCATAGTCGCCATGGCGCGAAGCGAAAAACTTGACCGAGCATTGGATATCTGGCGCGACTCCCCAAAGGCTCAATCATTTTCCAAGGCGCGTAAGCACACTTCGAGTGAAGGGAACGATTACATCGGCGATGTGCGCGCCATGTATGAGTGCCTCATCGAAGTGTGCTGTCACGAAGATCGCATCGACGACGCGCTGGAGGTGTTCGATCACTTGAAGGACGCCGGCGTGCGCGTCAGTACGGTGACGCTCGCGTTTTTGGAATCATCGTGCCGCCGATGTCGCGTGGAGGAATGGCGAATGTTTGACGTGTGCGCACAAATGCGCGCGCAAGTGGAACAAAAAAACGAAGGTCGCCTGGCGAAGCCGACGAAGATGAGCCACCACGTGCGCGACGACGGCAACATCGCGAGCGAACTCGCCACGGATGGACTGGGGGGCGAACAAAAGACGTCGGCGTGGCGCAAAAACGTCGATTGATACACTACATTTACAAGCACCGCACGCCGCGCTGCATTTGCTACCACTACTACTGCATTGCTAATTTTTTTCTCTTGTACCAAATACATCGCAAGCACATTTCTTTACTCGTACGTCTGCGCGTACTTTTCCTGCAAGTAATCGCCGAAGCGAATCGGCGCGTATTTCGCCGCCTCGCCGTCACCCACACACACCGGTTCAATCACGGCGTCGTAACTCGGCTCGAAGAAAAACGGTATCGAAAACCGTTCGCGCTCGCCCGTCGTCATCACGCGGTGTCGCGTGGAAGCGAACCGTCCGTTGGACCATCTCTCCAGCAAGTCCCCGACGTTCAACACGAAATGATCCGGAGGCGGCGTCACCGGCACCCACGTCTCTGTCTCTCGGTCGTAAATCTCCAACCCCGTCGAGCCGTCGTTCTCCACCGCCAAAATCGTCAAGGCGCCGTAATCCGTGTGCGCGCCGCAGGCGAATTGGCCTTCGCCTTCGTCGCTCCTCGACGCCGAGTACTTTAAAAACCTCAGCACGCAATTATGCGACGACGCCGACCAATGCGCGTCAAAGTACGCGTCGTTCACGCCGCACGCGCGCGCCAACGCGGGCAACAGCCGTTTCCCGAGCGCGTACATCGATTCGTAATACGTCGTCGCCGCGTCTTCGAACGCCGCGCTGGGCCATCGATTCTTCGCGCGTTCCCGCACGACGTAAAACCCCTCCTTACTGTCGCCGACGCTCGAACTCGACGGGTCTAACTTTTCGGACGCGAACGCGGTGTACCCGATCCCCGGCGCGTCGCCCGTCAGCGCGCGCTTCCTCGTCTCGTCGCTCGAGTCGAAGAACGTCCTGCTCTCCGCGAAACACTTTCGAACGATCTCCGGCTCGGGCAGCGCGCCCTCGTGCGCGACGAACGCGAATCCGCGTCGAGCGAAATCGTCCGACGCGAACGCGTCCGTCAAACCGCGCGCGGAGCCGTCGCGCGCGAGATTGATGGTTGGAATGCGCGTCATGAAGTGTCGTCACGTCGCGCGTCGCGTCGCCGCACACGCGCGCGCGGTCGCGGTCGATGCGACGCGCGACGTCGCGCGCGGACGTCATGCGCAAGGCGTCGTCCGCGACGAGCGATCTCGCGATCGACGCGCTCGACGCGAGCCCGCAAAAGGCGTCGCACGCGCGCGGGTCATCTTTATCCTCCACGGGCAGTCTCTCGTCGAACGCGTCGGCGCCGGGCGCGTCGGCGCGGCGCGGTCGCCACCGCTTCCACCGGCCGTCGATGTTCTTCGCGCTGTGCGCGCTGGTGACGACGACGCTGGCGACGCTGACGCACGAGGGGCGATCGGCGACGTGCGCGCGAACGCCGACGCACGTCGTCTTCGTCGACGCCGGGAGCACGGGGTGCCGCGCGCACGCGTTCGCGATAGAAAACGCGAGGAAAGCGAAAGGGAGAGGATCGTTGTTCGAGATGCGCACGCTCGGGACGAAGGAGAAGACGAGACTGCCGTTGGCGGAGATGGGAGGACGGGTGCGCGAGGAGTTGATGCCGGCGGTGCGCGCGGCGTTGGCGAAGATCCCGGATCGCGTCGAGCGCGCGCGAACGCCCGTGTACGTGTGGGCCACGGCTGGATTTCGCGTGTTGACGCCGGCGAAGCAACAAGCGCTGTGGCGCGAGGTGAGGGAGGCGGTGGAGGCTGAGACGGGGACGCGGCACGGGTACGGACATTTTCGAACCGTCGACGGCGCCGAGGAAGGATTTTACGCGTGGCTGGCGGCGAATTACTTGTCAGACGTCGACGTCACCGCGGTCGGGCGATTAAACGACGCGAACACGCCGGCGCCGGCGTTCGCGCGCGTTTCTGAGGACGATAATCCTTTGCTCAAGTCTGTCGGCGCGATTGACGTCGGCGGCGGGAGCGTGCAGTACGTGGCGCTGCCAAGGGAAGGCAAAGGCGCGTTCGTGAAGTCCATGCTCGAGTTGAGGAATGCGGTGAAAGTGGAGTCGTTTTTGGGGTACGGGGCGAACCACATGGAGACGAGATGGCGCGGCGCGCTGGCGGCGGCGAAGACGACGCGAAACGCGTGCGCGTTTCCGGGGCACGTCGTCACCGTGGACGGCGTGGAATTGACCGGAACCGGCGAATACCGCCAGTGCGTCGTGGGATTACGCAAACAAATCGCATCGATGCAGCGCGAACAAAAAGTGACGCTGCGCATGCCCGACGATTTCAAACGCGTAGAGCGGTTTCTTGGCATGTCGCTGCTGTTTCATCTCACAAATTTCATCACCGTCGCCCTTCCGGGCGCGCTGCCATCCATGCCCAAGGCCACGCTTGCGGAAATTGCGACCGCCGGAGAAAAGCTGTGCGCCATCGAGTGGGCGAAGCTCGTGAAGGATGTCGATGGGAAGGATCCCAACACTCCCGCGGATCGCCTCAACGGACGTTGCTTCGACGCCGCGCTCGTGCAGGCGCTCCTCGGCGTAGACTTCGCGGAAGACGACATCGCCGCCGGCGAAGTCGGTCTCGGATTTTCACAAAACGACGAGCGTTTGAATTTCATCGAGCGCATCGACGACGCGGAGGTGGAGTGGACGCTCGGAGCGGCGATGAGCGTCGTGCACCCGACGGCGGCGCGCTCGAACTCGGCGTGGGCGAAGACGCGCGTACCGACGGAGTGCGCGCGCGTGCTTCACACGTCCTTTTTGAACGCTCTTTACGAGTGGGGCGTCATCATCATGCCCGCGGCGCTCGTCGCTACCGGGTATTTATTGTACAAGACGCTCAGGATGACGGCGAACGTCGCCACGATGGCGCGTTCGCCCTCGTACCTCGAGGTACTCTAGCTAGCTAAATCGTTGAAATTAGTCGGCGCGCGGTCGCGGTCGCCAGCACTCGAGCAGCTCGAATTCCTCGTTCGACGCCGGATAATCGGGATGCGCCTCGGACGCCGGCACGCGCGTGACCTCGAAACCGTTCGCCTCGATGATCGACGCGAACAACTCGACGCTCTCCGGTCGATGCTCTTTACACGCCGCGAACACCGCCGCGCGACCCGGCCCCACCAACGCCATCGTCGTCGCCGCCAGCGCGCGAATCACGCCTTCGTCCGAGGTATACATCAAATCCGCTCCCAGCACCACGTCCGGCCGCCGAATCGCCTCCGGCAACCGCTCCACGTCCTCCGCGCGTCCCCACCGCAGCGTCGTCGTCGCCATCGCCACGCTCGCCGGTATCCGCCCTCCGCTTTCCGCCTTATTCGCCCGCGCGTTCATCCGCGTCAGCGGCACGACCCGCTTTAAATCCGTCATCGCGCACACCATCCCCGCCTCTCCCTCCGCGCTTCCCCGCGCCGCCGCGACGAGCAGCGTCGCCAGTCCCGTGCCCGCGCCCAGCTCGAGCGTCGTCGGCCCGCGCGCGTCCTCGCGCGCCTTCTTCGTCAACCGCCGCCACGTCCTCTCCCGTCCGACGTACTTTCCCAGCAGCACGCTCGCGTCCCACACCGTGAATCCCGTCGCCGGCACCGCGTCGTCGTCGTCGTCGTCGTCGTCGTCGTCGCGCGTCGTCGTCCCGGTCGTCCCGGTCGTCCCGGTCGCCTTGACGAACGCCTCGCTCGACGCGTACTGCCGCACGACGACGCCGTCGACGTCGCACGCGTCGACGAATTTCTCGCGAAAGCTCAGGCGGTTCCGGCGCCACGTCGACGCCATCGCGCGGCGCGGTGCGCGGCGCGGTGCGTCCGCGCCGTCGCGCGTCCGACCGACCGACCGTTCGTCGGTAGTTAGACTGTATGCACATACGAGACATATATAATCACGTAAAGCCCTATATGTACGAACCGACGGCGCGGCGACGCCGCCGACGGCGCGCGAGACCGCGTCGCGCGTCGCCGCGCGCCCGCGCGCGCGCGAGACGCCGCGCGCGCGTCGGCATGTCGCGCGCGACGCGCCTGCGCGCGACGCTGTTCGCCGACGGCGCGAGCGACGCCGAACGACTCGCCGCGGCGCGCGCCGCGCTCGACGACGACGACGACGACGACGCGCGCGCGGTCGTCCTCGCGTGGACGCGCGCGCGACTGCGACGCGCGGGACGACGCGACGACGCGTCGACGACGCGCGAGCGCCGAGGCGACGACGCGACGCGGGACGGGACGCGGGACGAGGAGACGCTGTGGCGGTGCTTCGCGGACGCGAGCGAAAGGGCGACGCGATCGGGACGCGCGATGACGACGGACGCGAGCGCGGGGCGAAGGGAGGTGATGCGCGCGCTGCGACGGGCGGCGGCGTCGAGGGCGCGAGCGGTCGATGGGGAGACGCTGCGACGGGCGTTCGACGCGTTGACGCGCGACGACGGCGAGCGACGCGGCGCGAGGGCGTCGTGCGAAGAGTGCGTCGAGGTGGCGAAGAGCGCGATGTGGGACGAGGGGAATGCGGCGCTGATGAGCGCGGCGCTCGCGGCGGCGGCGGCGGCGGCGAACGCGCAGCCGAATAAGCCCGCGCCGGCGTGCGTGGATTTTGAGTTTTTGTGGAGCGTCGTCGAGACGTGGTCGCGAGCGGGCGAGGGGGACGCGCGGAGAGGTGCGAAGGAGGCGTGCGACGCGACGATGCGGGCGTTCGTGTTGCACCCGATGTACGCTCGCGCGATTCCGAATTTAGTCGCCGACGCGGCGAGCGCGAAGAAGCAGAAAACGATAGCCTCGACGGACGACGCTCGCGGCGCCGGCGGCGCGCGTTCGTCCGCGCCCGGGTTCATTTGCGACACCATCGCACGCGTCGCGCGAGCGGCGGAAAGCATGGACGTGGACGCGTTGCGCTTGGCGCCTTGGGTCTTGCGAGCGACGTGCGAGCAAGACGCAAACGAGCGTAAACCCACGGCGAGCAGTTCGGCGAACAAGTCGAGTGAATCGGTGTCAAAAGACGCGCGCGCGCTCTTCGTCGAGCTCTTTGAACCGATCGCCGCCGCTTTCGTTGCGGTACCGACGGGCGGGAAGGGTGAGCGACGCGTCGACGAAGACGCCGCCTCCGCGCTCGTCGATGCGCTCGTCGGATTACTCGACATTGCCGTCGATTTCACGATTTACTCGCCTCTGGAAGACGAAGGTCGCGTCGAAAGCGCGCTGCAGGCGTTCGTGACCAGCATCGCAACGGTCGTAAAGACGAATGAGGTGCGCGATCGAGGTTGGTCCAGAGTCATCGGCGCGTTGTCAACGTTGGATTTGCGATTAGTCGAGCCGCACGTCAAGGTGATGTTGACGCTCTTACTCGTGAAATCGCGCGACGCCCGTGAAGAGTGCGTCGCGGTGACGCAAACGATGATAAAAGCGTTCGCCGAGATGCGTCAGCTACCAGAGTTCATGGAATCTGTAGGTGAAGTCGTCATAGAGGCGATGGCAAACGGCGAAAAAGTCAACGACGCGCTGGCTTCGGAAGAAGTCCTCGTCGCGTTTCAAGACGCCGCCAAGACCGTCCCGCTCAGGCAAACGCCTGATCTCATGGTGATATGTCGCAAGGCATTCATCACCGCCTACGACGGCGACGAGAAGCCCAGCGGTGCGCGAGCGCCGTACGATTCTTTGGACAAGCTCGCGCGAGTGCTGCAAAGCGCGCTCGGGACGTGTCCGATTGACGCGGGCGAACCACTGCTGCCAGAAGCGCAAGCGTGCCTCGAAGGGTTTTCGGAAGATATCGCGCAGCGTTTGCACTCCCACGTCGAGAGCTCACCTGCCCGCACAGGTGCCTTACTCCGAGCGTACGTGCCCGTAGCATCACTCCGCCAAGGCTTGAGCGAGGTCGCGGATGCGACGGCGCGAGATTCTTATTTTCGTTCCGAGAGCGTCGACTTGTCCGCCATCGTACGACATCTCGTTCGTGATAGTCCACGTGCGAACCAAGAGCACGAAAACGCCGAGTCGGCGGCGATTGGATGCGCCATACAGCGAGTGAATAATTTGTCGCGGCTGCGGTATCCGCGCGAAGACGTGAGTCCAGAGGAATCCGCTAAGGCTGGGTCGGAGATCAAATCTCTGTTATCTGCGTGCTTAAAGCTGGTTCCGGATACTTTGACGACTTCATACGATGCGCCCGACTCCAAAACGGAAGCGTGGAAGGTGTTGACTTCCACGATCGACCTCTGGTACGAACAAGCGACGGATGCTAGAATCTTAGACTATTATCGATGCCGCCTCGAGACGGACATCGAAGGCGAAGGCGCGCTTTCGACAGAAGAGGAAGATAAGTTTAGCGAACTCGTGGCGACGTTTAAACCATGGGTCAGGGCGATTGCGAGCGTTATCACGCGTGGTGCGGTAGATTTAACGCGGGAGTTGAAGGAGTCGCTGAGCAGAGATGACGATTCCAGCGCGGCGGGAAGATGCGACGTTTTAGAAGACATCATCGCAGATTGCGTGGAGAATAAACGGCAAGGCGAGGCGGCATGCGATAAAATAAAAGACTTTTGGATCGGACCGGCGAGCACGCCCATCACCGATGGATTTGGAAAGAACTGCACGAGAGAAGATTCGGCGGCGCTGAAGCGAATGCGAAGAGCCGTGGATGCGGCTGAGCGCTTGCACTACCGTGCGGTATCGGAAACCGACGTCCACGAACTATCTATCGCGTTACAAATAGGCGATTGCGCGATGTTCAACGCCGCATCGCTCGGCATGTCATCCGCCATGGATTTGTGCACTCGCGTGCGCTCGCGCTCGGCGTTTTTAGCCACGCACGACGAAGATTCGGCGATGATTGTATCTGGGTTGATCACACGAGGAGGGCATTACTTGAACGTCACCAACCTGGCGCTTCGCAACATGCTCGACGTAGAACTCGCGTCAAGGCTCATCGAGTCGACGACTAGTGCGTTCCAGGCGAGCTTGGTCGGAAGCGCGTTGAAGGTAAAAGCTGCGGTGTATACGAACGCGGCGACGAACGTGGCGCGTCTTTTAGACGACCGATTTATAAACGAAGACTCCATCGAGCGCAACGTCGCAAACGTCGGAGGTGCGTTCGCTCTATCGCTGGTAGAGTCCCTATTCGCGGCGGCGAACGTGGTGCACACGGAGCCCGAGCGGGAGAAGTACGGCTGGGTCGACGGTAATCCAGATTTGGACGAGGAAGACGAGCTCACGGACGAGCAAGGCGACGCCATAGCGCAATTTTGGGACGCACCTGCGGTGATGCAAGTTCGTGCGCGTATTGAGTCTATGATTCTCGACATGAAAAATGGTCTTGAGAACGGTGAGTTCAAGCCCGTCGCAGAGTCTGTCGAAGTCGTCGCCTCGTGCGTCTCCGCCGCTGGGTTCATTCTCGCGGTGTCGGCGACGACACTGGATTACAGCGAGGCGTTCCATCGCACGTGCGACGCAGATTTTGTCCAAAACGCGATCGCGGTTGCGATTAAAGTCTTGTTGGACACGTCTAACGAACTATCTTCACGCGGGACGTCGCGACTGGTCAACTTTATCGGTGCGGCGTGCGACGCGTTGAAGCAGACAGGACCACAGCTCACGTCCGAGGCGCACGCCTCGCTCGTAGCTGTCCTTATGTTCACGTACACGCGCGGAACGCGCGCTTTAGTGGATCGTGACGGCGCGAAAAGCGCGACGCCAGCGGCAGATTTGCACGAATCGCTCAGTTTGACGATGTCGGAGCTCGTCTACGGCGCAGGCAAACGTCCCTTGACTGCGATGTACGACGCGTGCGTCGACGCATTCAAGACGACAGACGCAGAATCGCGAAGGGCGTATTTATCGTCCGATCGCTTGGATGTTTCCCTGGCGGCACCCATGTGGTGCTTGATGAATCTCGTCAAGTCGTTTCATTTGGGCAAGGCGATTCGCACGGCGGCGCAGGAAAATGTTGAGACCGTGATGGATGCGTGCATGCGAGCGATGACCGTCGCCATTAGGGTGCCGAACGCCAACGCCGTGGTACATAAGCTCCTCGAAATCACCACCGAGTTCGCCAGACTCGGTCCTCGATGCGAGATAAGCACAAGATGCGTGTCGCGCATGTGTCAGCTTCCGAGCGTCGCGTGCGCGTCGGACGCCGTATTCGACGACGGCGACGCGATGACAAAGATTTTCTGCCAAGCGTGCGAACTCATCGGCGTGCTGTTGAAGTCTCGAAAAGATCACCTGCGTCGCGCGGTATCGGGTATCACCGTGGCGTGTTCAGATCTCCTCGCCGCGTTGCGACGATTTAAAGCCTCGGGCGCGAGCGCCGCCGTCATGGAAAGCTGCGCCGGTAAGCTCTCCTTCGTGTACGAATCCGCCGAGGCCAGCGGTCTGGACCGTTATTGCACCCACTTACTCGCCGACGCCATCACCGCCATCACCGGCGGCGGCATCGGCGTCGTCGCCGAATCCGCGCTCAAGCCCGGTCTCTTCGCCCTGCTCGACTCGAGCGGCGACCGCGAGCTTCAGCAGCTTCACGCCGCGCTCGGCGCCGGCGCGGGCGGCGCGCGCCGCGTCGTCTTCGCCGCCCTTCGCGAGGAGCACAAGCACACCCACAAGTTCACCGGTCGCGTGTAATCGTACAACATTTCGTCTTCGCGTCTTCGCGTCTTCGCCGCCGCCGCTCGCGCCGAGGCGACCGATCGCGTTCGCGTCCACCGTCGCCACTCGTCCGCGCGCGTCGTCATGAGCGAGCGCGATTCCCTGATACCGGACGTCGATGACGTCGAGCGCGCGTCGCGTCGCGCGTCCTCGTCCTCGCGCGCCGCGTCGCGCGCCGTCGCGGGCTCGAGCGCCGAGGGTGTTGGGCGACACGTCGTGTTCAACATGCGCGTCGCGAGCGCGCTGTTCTTCGCGGGAACCACGCTGCTCGCGATGGGCGCGATCGTGGGACGCTCCGCGGACGCCGCGCGGGCGTCGGCGCTCGGCGAAGGGGCGGGAGGGACGTGCGCGTTGTCGCCGACGGGCGCGGGGGCGAACGCGGCGGCGAACACGTGCGCGGCGCGATACATGGATGAGCTCGGATTGTGGGACGCGGCGGACGCGGGCGATAACGTCGAGTTCGAGACGAAGGTGTACGAGTGCATGAACGAACCGACGGGCGCGCCGGTCGTGGTGCCGCAGGATGGGGTGGCGAAACCGTTCGCGACGAAGCCGGGTTCGGCGTACGCGTGGATCTTCGTGCACATTCCCAAAGCCGCGGGGTCGGTTTTCATCGAGATGTTGAAGCAGAATAAGAACCACGAGACGGTCGTGCTTCACGAGCCCGCGCACCCGGACTTTCTCGTGAATCCGTGGAGGCCGTTGAATTCGTTGCAGGCGCGGCACGTTCCGACGATGTTGAGGACGTTTAAACAAAACCGCGAGTCGAAATCGGGTACGTTTTCAAAGGAATTTATGCACGCCGACTACGACGAAGGCAGACGGATGTACTTCACCGGTGCGACGGGCATCGGGATGTGCGGAACGGTCGACGCGCCGTGCGCGTACATCACGGTCCTTCGCGAGCCGATGTCTCGCCTGTGGAGCGAGTACACGTATTTGTGTCTCGAGGCGAACGAGGGCCACTTGTCGTGGACTGCGGAAGAGATCGCAGCGGACAATCACCAGGGATGCCCATTGAATCCCTTGGAGTGGTACAACCAGAAGCGCAGCACGGCGGCGCAGCTCACGGGCTTACTCGGCGCGCGCGGCGGTCACACGCCCTGCGGCGCCGAAGCCGCCAAGGCGAATTTGGCCTCGTCGTGCGTGCGCTACATTTTCCAAGACGACATCGAAAACGGTATGAAGCGCATTCGAGAAAAGCTACCGGACCTCGCGCATCTCGGCGACGACGGCGGGAACAAGCAGTACATCAGCGGCGCTCTTCTCGAGCATCACAACGGCAGCGCCGAAAAGCTCGCCCCCGCGCTCGCCGCGCGTCTCGACGCGTACAAAGCCGACCCCACCATCGTCGCGGGATTGCGCGCGCTCGTCGAGCACGACATCAGCGTCTACGAATTCGCCAAGGCCAAGTACGACGAGCACTGGAGCGCCCCGCTCGTCTCTTGCTAGCGCGTCCCGAGCGTCGGCTGGTTACGGCGCGGCAATCCGGTACCAGCCGGTACGAGCCGGTACGGAGACGACGACGTCGAGACGCGCCCGCTGGTGACGGTGGTAGGCATGGCGTGAATCGCGCGCGCGCGCTGTAGTCTTACGAAAGCACCATCGTATCGTCGACCATCGATTTTCAGCCTCGTTCCGCGTTTTCGCGCGCGCACGCGCGCTCGAGCGCCCGGATTCGCAAAAATTCACAAAAATTCACAAAAATGTCGAGCGCCGCGTCACACCGTCGCGCATGTCGTCCGCGCGGTCCGCGTCGACCGCGACCGCGTCCGCGCCGTCGCGCGCCGCCGTCCCCGCGCGCGCGTCCGCGCCGAAACCCGCGCCCGGCGTCACCGTCGACGTCGTGCTCCCCGCCGAGCGCGCGATCTTCACCCTCGAGCACGTCGACGCCGGCGCGCGCGAGATCTGCGTCGCGCTCGGCCCGTTCCGACGCGCGATCGCGTTCGTCAGAGACGCGCTCGATGGACGCGGCGGCGTCGTCGCGGCGATCGCGGTGCGAGCGGCGATGGTGGCGGCGATCGCGCGGCCGAACGCGGCGTGCGCGGCGCTGGCGGCGGCGTGCGCGCTGGCGACGCGAGACGGAAAACGACGCGCGGATCTGCGGCGAGCGCTGATGCGCGGCGAGGGCGGCGGCGAGAATGAGACGGAAGAGACGGCGCCGGTGATGGAGTTCACGGCGAAAGACGCGACGGTGTTGATGGAACGCGCGGCGAAGGCGGCGGAACGGGCGGCGAGCGTGGCGGAGTGGCGGTCGAGGACGGTGAGCGCGGCGACGATGTACGCGGCGATGGCGCTGAGTGGAGTGAGCGCGTTCGTGAGGGCGGATGTGATGATGTGCGCGATCGCGCTGTACGCGACGCGGCCGGCGAGGTTGCGGGTGATTCCGGATCCGATCAACGCGTGCTGGTCGCGCTTGCCGAGCCTGTGGAAGGATCAGTCGAAGATTCAATGACGCGTTCGTTCGAGTTGTGCGCTAATGTAGCATCGTGTGTATTCATAGTCTACCTACGTCGTGGGTTTTTTAATTTTGAACGAAAGTTTGAGCTTCTTCGCGGGCGCGGCGTCCTCCGTCGCGGCGGGCGCGGCGTCCTCCGTCGCGACGGGCGCCGCAGGCTCCACGGCAAACTGCGTGACGCTCGGATTCTGATCTCTCGCGCGCTTCAGGCCACCCACCGGAGTACCACCTTGAGGCGTGGCGTCGCCTTCTGATCCCATCATCGTCGCCGTGCGCTCGGAGACGGTCGTCTTGTCGTCTTGTACGTGTTCCGCTTGCTGTTCGACAAACGCCGCCTCGGCGTCGATTCTACGCTGTTCAGCGTTTTTCAAGTCTACCTCGGCGCGCGCGGCTTGTCGCAAGCGCTCGCGTTCTCGCTTCCGAGCACGCTTAGCTTCCTTCTCCGCGCGCTTGACTTCATCCTCAGCCGTTGGCGCGGCGTGCGCGGCGTGGACATCGACGCCGACTGGGACTTGATCGCCCGCGCGCCGAATCGCCTCGGCGATGGATTCTCGAATCTCACTCAGGCTCTCATCTTGCGAAGCGAGCGTGGCGAGGATCGAAAACGCCGCGCTCGCAATTTCGCTTCCGCCCTTTAGCACGAGATCACGGAGGTCGGCCAATATCGGCTTCGAGACGCCCTTCAAAGAATCCGCCCCGGCGACGGATTGCAAGTACTCGCACGCGCTCCACAACATGGCAGCCTTTGTCGCCGCAGACTCTTGCGCCGATCGTTCAAGCATGTACTTGAGCGCTTCGATCTCGCTCTTAGTTTCGACGAAGCGAAGGTACATCATCGTGTCCGCGGAAGCGAGCACGGTGGATTGTCTACCGAGCGCGAATCCAAGTTTGGCGACGTGTTCGGCGTCGGCGCGGAGCTCTTTCGAGTCGATCGTCGAAGCGAGTAAGCCTAACGCTCTGATTCCAGCGCACGTCACGCAAAGGTCGTCGCTTGGAAATCTGTCATCACGCCGAATGTAGTAATGAATCGTCTGCATGACGGTTTGCAGTTGCTTGCCATCCGCGGGAACGCAGCGGCCGAGCGCGGCGATGCACGTCGCCACGAATCCGTCATCACTCTGCGGATTGCCCTCGTTGTCGTTATACTTTAGTCGGGCAACGATAGCCTCGAGCGCATCCTGATGGGTGATTCCGTTATCCATGACGTAACCAAGCGCCGTGATGACGGCTTCGTCAACGATGACTTTCGCGAGGTCTCTAAAGTCGTTTTGTTTCGGCTTTCCCGTGTTGGCGTCGCACTGAAACTTTTTGTAATGCCGAATCAACGCGTTCAATCCGCCCCATTGCGTTTTCTCGCTCGCACTTTTGCCGAGCGCTAGCGCTGCTTCGGCGCGCACGCGACAGAAGGTATCCTCAGAGTTCAGACACTTATCCAGCACGAGAACTGCGCTCACGGATCCGTTGGCGACGCGGCGACCGAGAAATTCCACGGCGATGGTTTGCGCGACGATGTCTTTTTCTTTCTCCAGCATCTGCGCCATCATCGACTCTAACCCGACCTGCTTCGCACTTTGTTCTATGTTGCCCATCCACTCGAATTCCGGGTCCACGCGGACGTATCGTACCGGACAATCCATCGCGGCGATGAGTTCGGGGTCACCTCCAGATTCGATGATTGTCTTCGGGCGACGATCTTTGATTTTCGGTTGCAGAGGAATCTCCATCAACTGCCAAGCAGAATGTCCTAGCGATACGACGTGATCGTTCGCATCCGGGCGGTTCTCTTCGCGCATGCGCACGGTGACCGAAGTGCGATGGTTTCTGGCGACGGCGAGTGCCGCTCTGTCGGCCGCCGCCGCCGCGACGCTCCCTTCGAGTTTGACCGCAAACTCCATGACGTTTTTCCTACGTTTCACAACGTATCCAACGCACAGCTTCGGCGTGCCCGCGCCATACACCCAGCGTTCTAAGAAGGAGTTCACCTCACCTTTGCCCAAGTTGACCGTCGCGCGGCAGTGATCGAAGAGTTGCAGCGTGTGAATCCAACGCGCGTTGCTCGACAGCACCTCCGCGGAGGGACCAGCGCGCGTCCCGCCCTCCTTCTTATTTCTACGAACATGCAATCCTGCGAAATATTTCAACACCTTCTGCATGACATCCGGCCCGAGGCGTTTCTCGAGCATGTAAATGATCGTCACCGCCTTGGCTTGCAACCCGCGCTCGACGCTCGCCGAGAGTGGCTTCGGCGTCCCGCCGGCGGCAAGGTCGGGGCCGGCGTACTGTCCGGCGCGCCAAATGCGCGCCGCACGACTGGCGAGAGGGGGGAGTGATTCACCGTCGTCCATCCGCGCCGTCAATTGCATGTCGCGCATGCGCCTGAACGACAGTTCGTTCAATCCCGTCAACTTTTTCACATACGCGCCGGCGAGATACTGCGCCAGTCCTTCCACGACCCAACAGTCCGTGGTATCCGCCGGGACGACGACGCCCCCGAACCACTGTCGCGCGATGGCGGTGGCGATATGCACGCGCGCATCGAGCAAAGCCGTGTTGAGCGTCGGGTCTATCAACCATTTAGCCGAGTGAATGTTCATGCACGCGCCCAAGCTATCGCGCGCTCCCACGTACTCGTCCGGCATGAAGACGATATTCAAGCACGAAATAGGGTACGGATGCCCGAGATATTCCTCGTACGCCACGATAGCCTTACTCACACCCGCGGCCGCGATCTCCAAGCGCTCGGCGTAATCGCCGTCTTTGGGAGCGAACAAAGTCACGCCTTTGATCGGGCTCGACACCGCCTTGAACCTGCCACAAATCAATCGCATTTCGTGCGCAAACGTCGGATACATCCCCGTGAAGTGATGTCGCAGCCTAAAGCCGTCTTCGTCTTCATCGATGTCGTTGCACCGCTCGACGCGATCCCAATGCGCGGACGTGATGACTTGCAAATCCCTCGGCGCGCTCACCGAGAAATCAAACGTCGTCAGCACGTCCCCTCGCTCGACGCACGGAAACCAACACGCCGGCCGCCTCGACGCCCCCGGGCACAAAAAGTACGATTCATCCGCCGCGATTCCCATCGCGCTTTCGTCCGTTTCGTACTCGATCTCAATCACGATTTCCTTCTCCGTAGTCGCCGACGTCGACTCCCCGTTCGCCGCGCCTCGCGCTCGAGCCTCAATCTTCTCCCCGCTCACCGGCGCGATCACCACCTCCCTCGAGTGTTCCTCTCCGTCCAAGTTACTCTCAGACTCCAAATACGTCCGCACGTCTTTCGCCAGGCTCAACGCATCGCTCGGCGCCGTCTTCGTCCCGATCGTCGGTTTACTCGTCTTCGTCTTCGTCGCTCGACACTCCACGCCTGGCGCGCGTCGAATTCCATCCATCACCCGTCAGTCTCCCCGCTCGCGCCTCCTCTCGTCGCGGCGTCGCATCGCGTCGCATCGCATCGTTTGCATCGTTCGAATCGCTCGTCGTCGTCGTCGTCGTCGTCGCTTCGCCTCGCGCGTCTCGCACCGTTTATCGCGCACGACGCGATCTTCAACCCCTCGGCGCGAACCCGCGCGCCCGCGAACGCGCCGTCCGCGCCCGCGCACGTCAGCGTCGTCCTGCCGCGAAGCGCGCGTTTCGTGCGCCTCACGTCGACGTCGATGCGCTGATGCGTCACTCTGCGCGCGTCGTTTCGTCGATTCGTCGCGTCAGTCGGCGCGCCCTCGTCGCGTCATCATCGCGTCGTCGTCGCGCGTCGACGCGCGCGCGCGCGAGAGCGCGTCGGCGTAACGCACCGCGGGAATAACACGCCGCCGTCGTCGACGTCGCGCGTCGTCGCGCGCGACGCCATGGCGGCGCGCGCGGCCGATGCGTCGGCGAGTGACGATTGCGTCGCGTCATTCCGCCGGCATTCGCGCGCGCGCGCACGAATCGCGCGCGAATCGCGCGTCGACGCGCGTCGACGCGTCGGTGCGCGTCGCGCGGACGCGCCGACGTCGCGCGGCGCGCGGCGCGTCGCGCGCGGTCGGCGATTGTGAATCTCGATTGACACAGTTTGGTAAACTCGCGAACGAATGGCGCCGGTGTTCGACGGATCGACGACGAAAAAGCGACACATCTCGCTCGGAGGACGGCGAAAGGATGAACCGTCGACGCAGCGGGCGCTGATCGAGAGCGCGCGCGAGGCGCGGGAGCGGAGGGCGGCGCAGAGGGCGACGGCGACGGCGACGGCGACGGCGCAGCGGTTTCGACGAGGCGCGCGGGAGGTTAGACGCGCGAAAGCGGCGGTGAGGGAAGCGTACGCGAACGCGAGCGAAGGTGTGATGGTTGATGACGCGTCGTGCAGGGCTTTGGTGTATTTTGGTGATGGATGGAGAGATTGGGCGGCGTGCGCGGCGGCGTGTGAACGGTTGTACGCGGCGGCGACGACGACGACGAGCGTGGCGCCGAGCGAGGCGTTCGTGGAGAGATGGGACGACGCGATGCGGGCGTCGGGCGTGGAGCGCGCGCGATGGGTGATTAGGATGCGGAAGATGGTGCGGTTGATCGTGGGGTCGCTTCGAGCGACGACGCGCTTGGAGGAGACGACTGGACGCGACGTCGCGGAGACGCACTTAGCGAGCGCTTTGTTGGCGCTCATGGCGAGAGATGACGCGAGATGGAAAGATACTGGCGTTCAATTGTGCGCGACTCTGTGCTCGAACGATGGTTTGGAAGATGTGCGAGAGATTTTGCTCGATATTTTGAGAAATCAAAGTCGCCGCGACGACGTCGTTCGGGCGGCGATGCTTAGGACGTGCGAAAACATCGCGCGGTGTAGCGGTGACGACGCGAGTGGTGCGCTCGCGTCGATGCTCGCGACGATACCCGGGGTGTGGGACACGTTCGGGCCGGAGATTCATTCGAGAGATTTGTGGTCGTTCGTCGTCGACGCGTTCAAGTCTGATCGTCACGTCGACTCGGTGGCTACCGTCGCACTCGAGACGCCGCTGAGCGGCGTCGACGCCGCGCTCGGGAACGTGTTGCAACTCACGAAAACGTTCATAGGTACGATGGACTTTTCGCAGTCACAGAATGTCGTCGTCGCGGTGACAAAACTCATGGAGTCGTCTGTTTTGAGCGGCGCGCTCTTTGCCACAACGCCGAACGCGATGGAGGACGAAGACGATGACGAGGGCGGTGCGGACGACGACGACGACGACGACGATAGCGTCAAGATTGACTTACTCAATCTTCGCGCCGTGCGCGCGGAGGCGCGTAAAATTCGACGCGTGCCCCCTGACGTGGACATGGAGGCGGTGCGAGCCACGAGGACGTGGATGCAAACGCGCGAATTCTTCGGCGACAACGCGTGTGTCGCGCGACTCGTCACAACGATCATGCCTGCGAACGACGCGCAGCGATGCTTAGTAGGCATCGAAGGGTTCACGCATTTCGCGTGCGCGTGCGACATGGTGCTCAGAGGCGCCGAGCGAGCGTCGTTCACGCGCGTGCTCACGTTTGGCACGGATTGCATCGCTCAACTTTGGCCCGCCCTCGAGCATTGGAGGCAAACTTCCGGAGGTGGGCAAGAACGCTCGTTCCGCAGAGCCTTGGGCGTTTTCGCAAAGTTGTACAACACCTACACCGCTATTTCCGACGATGAAGAATTTTATCGTCTGGGAAAACCGCTCGGTCTCGAGGCGACGACGCGTCTCGTCGCATTTTTAAGAGACACGCTCTGGACGTTGCTGTGGGTTGAACGGGGTCCGGATGGCACACCTTTAAACGCGCTGTCTTTCATCGACGAATATTTCGAGGCGGAGACATGGCACGCGTGTTCTATAGCGCTCGCGCGCCTGCACGATCGCAACGGGCGTCATCAATTTATGAACCCGCTCGAGTTTCAAGTGCGCGACGCCCAAGTGGACATCCCAACGCTTTTGCAAGAGGCCCGCGATGCAAAATCGCGCGCGTCGATGCTTTTGTGCGGTGCACCGTGTTTGGTACCGTTCGAAGTGCGCGTGCACAAATTCATGGACGTCCGTCGTCGCGAGCGTCAAATGGGCGCCGTTGGTTACGCCACGATTCGCGTAAGACGCGGGCACTTGCTCGAAGACGGCATCGCCGGTCTTTCGGATAAGCTCACAGAGACGCTCGGCGGAATCATTCGCGTGCAGTTCATCAATCAGCAAGGGCTCGAAGAGGCTGGCGTCGACGGCGGCGGTTTATTCAAAGATTTCTTGAACGATTTAATTGCGGAAGCGTTCGATCCGAAATTCGGCTTGTTCGTCGAGACGCCCGAGCGCACGCTCTACCCGAATCCAGCGTCTGAGTTGCACGCGGGCGAGCGACACTTGCAGTACTTTTACTTTCTCGGCGCCATCCTCGGCAAAGCGTGCTACGATGGGATTCTTCTCGACGTTCCACTCGCTGATTTCTTCCTCGCCTCGCTGAAAGGTCGACACGTCGAGTTTAACGACCTGACGACGCTCGATCCCGAGCTTTATCGCAACTTGGTTTCGCTCAAACGCTACCAAGGCGACGTCGAGGATTTATGTCTGTACTTTACCGCCATCGATCGAAGTGGCATGGAAGAAACTGTGATCGAGCTCATCCCGAATGGCTCGAGCGTACCGGTGACGAGGGCTAACGTCCCGCGGTACCTTCATTGCATGTCGATTTATTTGCTTCGAGCGCAAATCTACCGCCAACTTTCGAGCATGAAGGCGGGCTTTAGCATCGCCGTTCGCAAGCGTTGGCTCGACATGTTCACCCCCGCCGAACTGCGATTACTCATATCAGGTAATCGCACGGGAAGCATGGACATCGATGACATGGCGGCAAACTGCGAATACTCTGGCGGCTACGAGGCGTCGCATCCGACGATTCGCGCGTTGTGGCGCGTCATGCGTACGATTTCCCCAGACGACCAACGTTTGGTGCTCAAATTCATCACCTCGTGCAGCAACACACCACTGCTCGGGTTTTCGCATCTCGAACCCAAACTGTGCGTGCATCGAAGCGGTACCGCGGGCACGGACGCCCCCGACGCGACCGCGGACTTGACCAGGCTTCCCACCGCCGCGACGTGCATGAACCTTCTGAAACTACCGCCGTATTCTTCCGACGACGCGTTGCGCGAAAAATTAATGTACGCCGTCAAGTCCGGCAGCGGCTTCGATTTATCCTGAGAAGTTTCTACTAGTGATCACTCCAGCAGAGTTTGTATCGATACGCGCATTCATTCATTCATGGCGCGTCCGCGAGCCGACAGCGCGTGTGCTCGCCGCTCGCCGCTCGGCTTCGCGTCGAGCGCGCTCGGATCCAGGCACCGCGTCACTCACCCGCGCGCGCGGGACATGCGCGTCGACGCCGCGCACACAGCGCGCCCGCGACGCGTGCACTTTCTCGTCGACGCGCGCGCGACGCGCGAGCGCGCGAGCGCGACGCAGTCGGCGTCGACGTCGGGAGCTGATTTTAAATCTTCAACTTGGAAAACCTTCGCGCGCCGCGCGCTCGAACGCGCCGTCGACGGGCGCGCGGGCGAAGACGTTGAATTTACCGTGCGCGCGTGCGATGGGTCGGTGCCGCCGCACGCGTTCGACGCGCGGGCGCGAGAGGCGACGGGACGACGCGGCGATGAGTTTGGAAAGTTTCGGCGGTGCGACAAAAACGCCGTCGAGGACGCGTTCAGGACGTGCGAGACGACGTGCGGGGAGTATTTAGAGACATTTACGAGCGGCGGCGACGTCGCGGCGAGCGACGAGGATGGACGGGGGGCGATCGAGAGTTGGTTGGTGAACGCGACGCGGAACGTCGGCGCGGCGACGAACGATTTCGCCGCCGCGGGCGGCGGATTCGCCGCGACTTTCGCGGACGACGACGACGAAGGCGAGAAGTACAGCGCGTTATTCATCATCACCGCACTCCCCGAGCTGTCGGAAGCGGAAGCGGCGAAGGTTGATGCGAAGCACGTGGCCAAGTTGTTTAAAGGCATCGAGGAGAAGTTCAAGCGAGACCGCGTTCGAGCGCATTTGTTGTACGTCGGCGACGGACCGACGGGCGCGTTCGCGGACGTCTTGCAAGAGACGTTTCATAAATTGAATGGTGCGGTGATATCGCTCGATGTCGCGAGCAGACTCGCGTCCTGGCTGCCGCTGTATTCGACGCTCTCGGCGCTGAGCCGCGGTGACGAGGCGAGCGCGTCCACGACTACGGTGGAGTCGACAAGTACGGTGGACATAATCGTCGAGACTCGAGACTCGCAATCGGCGCATCGCTTAGGCGAAGCCCATCAAGCGCGATATCATGGTCGAGGTGACGGTTCGATTGCCATTGTCGGTTTCATCGACCGCGCCGAAGCGCCCTCAGCCGCGGCGCTGGCTGTTGAAACGCAAACCATTTTGTGCTTTGACGACTCGCCGATTCGTGCGCTTATGGCGATGCTTGTACTAAAAGACGCAGTCGCAGTCGTCCGACGCGATGCTGGGAGACACGAGCAGATCGCGATTCTAGAGCCGTTGACGTGTTCGTCCTTCATCGTCACTTCCCTGAAGACGACGCCTGGCGAGCTGTGCCCGCGCGCGTCGGCAGCGAAAGCGAGCGCTCGGAGCGAAATTGTTAAACTCGCGTCGAGGCGAGATTGTTTAGCGTCACTCGAAAATGTGCACGTATTGCTCGCGAAGATTCGCGAAGACGTGCGCGAGAAGATTGTGTCACCTCCGGCGACGCAGGATTCTTTAGCGTTGACGCAACAAGTGTTGTCGATGGACGCTGCGACGCAGAGCTCAAGTGCGCCGCTGATGCCGGTCGATGTGAACACCCTTGAGGAAGCTTTCATCGCGGACCAGCGAATTGGCGTGCAACAAGATGCCTCTCGGTTGGAAGCTTGGTACGGCTCGCGCGATTTGGTGCCAAAGACTCGAGAAATGTTGCGTCGCGTGGAAGATAAAGCGACGAAATCTTCAGACACCGCGGGCGAACTCTTGAATAATCTCGATGAACGGTTCAAGGACATGCTCAAACGCCATAATGGCATTGTTTCGCCGCCGCGAAAGTCACGAGCGCGACGATCGCTCGCGTCTACGCTAACGGTGTTTGCAATGGACGCTGACGTGCCGCCATGGACTGGGGATGTCGAACAGGCGGCGCTCGAGGAATACGAGTCATTCGTCGCTACGTTCAGCGCGCTCGAAGGTGGGGACGGATTGAACGAGCCGAATCTCCATGATTTCGCTGCCAAGATTATTTATCGATTCCGCTTGAGCGTGGGCTCGAACGAAGACGATAATCTCGTCGAGCGACTCGAACGCGCAATCGCGAAGAATTCAAAAGAGCTCAAGGCAAAGTACGTCGGTGTACACTCATCCAAGGCGGCCAAGCGGCTGGAGTTCATATTACAGATGCACGTCGCGCTGCAGTTGGCTTCTCTCAAAGTGACGCAAGTGCGCGATGAGAATGGCGCGGACGCGTGCGAGGCTGTCGAAGAGCGCGCCATCTCGAAGAAAGAGCAAAAGAAACTCGTCAAGTCTGTGCAAAAGTTGGTGGACGAGATTCATTTTCTTCTTCAACCCTGCGGCGTCGAGGGCGTGCGCTCGTTGATGGCGGCAGAGTTGACTCCACACTATAGCGGATTCATACCAGACACTTTGCGAGTGTTGCAGCGCGATCTCGGCTTGACCATGGAACCCGACGCCGGCGGCGACGCAAGTGCCGTCGCGTTGACGCCGTTTTCTCCCGTGCCCGCGCTCAGGCGCTCACCAAGAAAGCCGAAAGCACCGGAAAGACTCGCACCCGCAGAACCGGCGCCGAAGCTCAAAATTAAGGCGAAACCGCACGAGGGCTGGCATCACCTCGCGCGTGGGCGGAACAACACGAAGGAAGTCAAGGTGTCCGTCAAAGATTTGAAAAAGCCGACGTTCGCGCATCCGCGACCGCAAACGTTTCGCGGCGTTACGCGCCATTCAGCTCTCCAAGGTGGCGCCACGCCCGCACCGAGCGGTAACCGCGCGCTATCGACGCCCGCGATAGTGAAATGCACGCCCATGGGCGGCACCACGCCCGCGCCGATGCGCGGGGGACCGCGAGCAATTGTCGCCGCGACACCCGTCGGCGGCGCGATGTCGACGCCGTTGGCGAATCGTGCGCCCGTCCGCAAGCTGGCCGACGACTTCACGCCCGCGAAAAGATCGCGACTGCACAATACATAGCTTCGATCATCGTTGTACAACACGTATTCACAATAAACTAAGGGAAAATGCTCTAAGGGAAATATTCGCGTTCTCGAAACGCGCTGGCGCCGAGCGCCATCGTGAGCTCTCTGGCGCGAGCGATATCCACGCCGGGCGTTCGCGTCGTCGTCGCCTCTACCTCCATCCCGAGTTCACTACATCGTTCAATGAACGCCAACGCGTCTCCTTGCGTCCTTCCGTCCCTCGGCGCCATGATTCGCGCGTACTCATCCGGATCCGCGCTCGCAAAGTTAACCGTCACGCTTCGCAATCCGGCGTCCCGCAACGCGTCGCACACCGCCACATCCACCAGTCCATTCGTCGCGACGCGCGTCGCGATTCCGTGTCTTCGCGCTCGTATCTCTCGCAGCGCGTCGCACAGCACGTCGTGGCGCAGCAACGGTTCGCCGTATCCCGCGAAGACGACGCCCGGGTCGCTCTCGCCGCTGCGCGCGTCGTCCAGAGTCACTTCTTTCGTCAGCGCGGGGTCCGATCGAGCGCGAGAGACGCTCGCGGGTGGAATCGAGCCGCGCGCGCGGTCGCGTCGACGCACCTGCTCGCGATGGGCGGCAGCGCGTCGTAGAAGGCGTCGATGACGTCGACGAGTTCAGCAGCCGTCGGCTCGGGCTCGGTCAGTAACTGAAACTTTGACGACGCCGGCATCGAGAACGCGGGTCCGCGGAGTCGCGTCAGCGGCGTCGCATTCGTTTGGTTGGTCAACGCGAGATACAACGCGCCGCGAAGGGTGTAGGCGACGCCCGGTCGCGCGAGGGACGCCATGATGTGCCGGGACGGCGGGCGGCGCGCGGCGAGACGCGAATTCGTTCGACCGGACTCGCTACAGAAGTCGCCGCGACGCGACGCTACGAGCTAAAACTACTTGTACAGAAACGCCACACCGCTCAAGAGTGGGGCGCGGGATTGCGCCAGGGTGGCGTACACGGTGACGGATCCGCGCTCGCGCGCGGGGGACACGCAGTCGATTTCAATGTTTTCGCCCTGCGCCGAAGCGACGGTTTCGACGACGGCGACTCCCGCGGGGCGGGCTTGGACGCGCGTGGAACCAAAGTGGCACGTAAGCATCTCACTCGCGACGGCGATGGAGAGCGTGGCGCGAACTGGCGTGCCGCCGAATGTCCAACCGCTCGCCGCGTCGACGGCGGACATGTACGATTGCGCCATGGACGTCAACGCCACGCGCGTGTGCGAGGCGGAGGCGGTCGATCCGGTGGGTAATGCTTTGGTGGAATCGCACTCTTCGAAACACGGCGTCACCCAACGCTCGACCACACCCGTGGACTCTGCGAGCGGAGACTCGCACATGATCAACGCGCTCGAAACAACGACGCCACCAGAGACGCCGGCGCCGCCGCCGAACACGCACAGCGATTTCGCGGAATCTATCGTTCCCTCGACGTGCGTGGATATGAGATTCGATCCCGTGATTGATATCACGTCTACCGGTCCCCAGGTCTGGCGCGGATGCGCGCCAGTAACCGCGTGGTCTTCCTTGACTAACAAAATCGCCGGCGGATCGAGCGACGCCGCGGCGGCGTCGCGCGCCAATCGCACGACGACGAAGCCTGGGGACAGGAGTGCGGGCGTCGGACAGTGCACTGAGGGTGCGACGTACGTACCGACAGTGGCATTTAAATTTCCTGAACCGAACACGCACTTCAAAGTTCCCACGGACAACGTCCCGAGCTGTTGATGATCCCCGACGATTATTTTCGCCGTCGCCGCAGCGAGGTATGTCGTCGCCGGCGTCAACCACAACGGCGGCGCGACGTACGCCGACGTCGTCTCCGCGGTGACTGGAATAGTCAACCCGTACTGTACTAAATCTACCGACTCCGTCGCCCCGAACCCGAGCATGAGCGCGCTCTGCGACGGCTTCAACGCCGGTGTCACACATTCGGCAACTGTCCCGCTCATATATCGCGCGTGCACGGGACCGACGGCACCGAAATGACATCCCGAATACGCTCGACTCTCGCCTTCGTCGGGATACGACGTCCCAGTGACTTGTAACGCCACGCCACCCTGATGCGTGATCGTCAGCACGTCCACGCTCGTGATCGTTGGCACCGCCACGGGGGCGACGTACACGGAGCGAACCACCGCGTTCGCGTCGGCGCTACAGCTAATTTTCACCTCTCCCGATGTCCAAGTCGGGGTGTCCAAACACCGCGCGATAGCGCTAGATACGTACACCAATCGTGAAGTCGAGGCATCGGGATAGGTGCACACGCAACCGTCATCATAATCGAAAGAAAAACCTGAACCTCTAACGAAGAAATTGCCGCCGAGGACGACGTCAAACGGCGTCGCGCCGCTCGCGACGTCTAGCGTCGGATTCATCACCACCAAGCTCTGTGCCTCTTCCGCGGGCTCAAGTGGGTCGGTTGTCTGTCGCGTTGTTTCGGTAAACGCCACGTTCACGGTCGTCGTGAGTACGAAGCGACCGTTGCCGATGCCCAAGCGCAACGGCACGCTCGCCGCCGCCGCGCGCGCGGGCGAGTAGCACGTCGCCGTCTTCGACGCCGTCACGCGCGCGTCGATGGGGCCTATCGTGCCAAAGAAGCAACTCAAAAAGTCTCCGTCGTCCTCCCCGCCGACGGTGCTAAAACCGTTCCCCGTGACCAACACGGGCGTGCCGCCCGTGACGTTGACGCTCGACGTGGCGCTCGTGAGCGAAAAGTCATTCGTCTCCAACACAAATCCCAACACTCCGCGCGATCGCGGAGGTATGGAAACCGTCTGATTCGCCGTCGTCGCCGCGAGCGCATTCGCGTCGTACTCGCTCTGCGACGCCGTGAACGTCGCGATCACCATGGACGAAATCTCCCCGCTCGTCAGCGGCGGCGTCTCGCATCGAATCAACGCGCTCGACACCACGTCCACCCCCACGTGCGTCACCGGCTTCGTCCATCGCACGCTCACCGCCTCGTGCAAGTGCTTCCCTTGCAAATAAAACACCTCTCCCCCGATCTCCGGCGCGTCCGTCGGGTACGCGTTCGTCACCGACATCTGTTTCGCGAAATTAAACGTCTCGCCGTTTTCATTCATCGGCGCCGTCGTCGCCGCTCGGTTCGCCCTTCGCAGCGTCAGCCCCACGCTCACGAACCCTCCTCGATCGTCCGCGTGCCTCGGGCTCAGGCACACCATCGTCGCGTGCCCGCTCTGCGTCCCCTTCGACGTCGGCGCGACGACGGCGTCGTCGAACGCGCACGCCGCGTCCGCGCTCCCGCCGTACCCCTCGCCCGCGAGCGTCACCAGCGTCCCGCCCACCGCCGGCCCGACCTCGGGCGTCACGCAGTCGATCGACATCGACGCCCCCGGGCGCAGCGCGACGACGCACGACCACGACGCCGCGATCAGCGCGCGCGCGAGCGCCGTCGCCGCGACGCCGCGACGCCGCTTCGCTCGACTCGACCGCGGCATCTTCTTCAACGTTTCGCGCCTCGCGCGCGCGATCGGCGCTCGCGCGCGCGACTCGGACGCCATCAGACGCGCACAAAGATACGTGTGCGCGTTCGCATCGCGCGTTCGAGCGCGCGCGAGGGCGCGCGCGTCGCGGAGTCGCGAATTTGTGACGAATTTCCGTTGACTCATCGGGACGATCTGCACTCGACGACGCGACGCGACGCGCGCGCGCGGCGACATGGCGCCGTTTCTCGGTGGTATGCGCGGCCTGACGGTGTTCGTGCAAGACGTGCGGAACTGCAGTAATAAGGTGCGGCGAGCGCGCGCGCGCGAGGGATGACGACGACGGGCGAGGGCATTCGATCGAACGAAACGACGCGCGGTGACGCGTTGAGCGGCGAGAGCGCGAGAGAGAGGCGCGCGGACTGACGACGAGGGTCGCGCGCGTCGCGAACGCGAACGCAGGAGCAAGAGCGCGCGCGCGTGGAGAAGGAACTGGCGAATATTCGACGGAAATTCAATAAGACCCACCGCGCGCTCACGGCGTACGAACGGAAAAAGTACGTGCTGAAGCTGCTGTACATATACATGCTCGGGTATAACGTGGACTTTGGACACACCGAGGCGCTGAAGTTGATATCGGCGTCGTCGTACGCGGAGAAACAGGTTGGGTACATGACGACGTCGGTGATATTGAACGAGAGAAACGAGTTTTTGAGAATGGCCATCAATAGCATACGCACGGATGTGATCTCGAGCAATGAGACGAATCAGTGCTTGGGGTTGTCGTGCATCGCGAACGTCGGGGGGCGGGAGTTCGCGGATTCGTTAGCTGGGGACGTGGAGACGATTGTGATGACGCCGACGATTCGGCCGGTGGTTCGGAAAAAGGCGGCGCTGTGTCTGTTGAGGTTGTTTCGTAAGAATCCTGAAATTTTACTCGCGGAAACGTTCGCGTCAAAAATGACCGACTTACTCGACGCCGAGCGCGATTTGGGGGTGCTCATGGGCGTCTTGGGTTTGTTGCTGGGTCTCGTGCAGCACGATTACCGAGGGTACGAGGCGTGCGTGCCCAAGGTCATCGCGTTGTTGGAACGATTGACGAGGAATAAGGACATTCCGCCCGAGTATTTGTACTACGGTATTCCCTCTCCATGGTTACAGGTGAAGTGCATGAAGATTTTGCAGTACTTTCCCACACCAGACGATCAGGCGCTGCTCGATTCGCAGCTCATCGCCATGCGAAACATCCTCACCAAGACGGACACGGTGAAAAACTTCAATAAGAACAATGCGCTGCACGCCATCTTGTTCGAGGCGATCAATTTAGTTACTAGCATGGACTACGCGCACGAACTGTTGGACCCGTGCGTGGAGATTCTCGGGAATTTTCTCGACATGAAGGAACCGAATATTCGCTACTTGGCTCTCAACACGCTCAACGCCCTCGCGGCGATGGCGGATTTGCGAGAAGCCATAAAGGTGTACCAAGAGCAAGTCGTGGCTGCGTTGCACGACGCGGACATTTCCATTCGTCGCCGCGCGTTGACTTTATTGTTTTCTATGTGCGATGCTTCCAACGTGCACTCTGTCATCGAGGAGCTCATCAAGTACTTCGTCACCGCTGATTTTGACATTCGCGAGGAACTGGCGCTCAAAACGGCCATCTTGGCCGAGCGCTACAGCGTGAACGATCGCATGTGGTTCATTGAGATCGCGATGCAAATGATAGACAAGGCGGGCGATTTCATCAACGACGACTTGTGGCATCGCATGGTGCAAATCGCAACCAACGACGCGTCGCTTCACGGTCGCACGGCGCAATTGATGTTCGTCAAGTTGCGCGACGAGGGCGCGTCGAACGAACTCATGCTTCGCGCGATGTCGTACTGCATCGGAGAGTTTGGGTATTTGCTTCCCATTCCCGCGTCGCAGTACGTCGATCTCTTAGTGCCACTGTTCCAGGATACGGATGAGGTCACGCAGGGCATCATGCTCACAGCCTTCGTCAAGGTTGCGATGCACAAGAATTGCGATCAGGCGTCGATGGGTAAGATCGTGAAGGTGTTCACCGACATGAGCTCATCGTTTGACGTCGAGTTGCAGCAACGTGCAAACGAATATCTGAAGCTCTTGCGTCTCGGACCGAACATGCGACCGATTCTCGAGCCCATGCCCGAGTACCCTGAACGTTCGAGCGTGTTGGAGAAGCACATACAAGTAGAAAACGTCGCCTCGGACGTCGCCGCGGGAGTTCGTAAACTTGCCATGAGTGGTGTCGTGACGGCGAGAGAGCAACCCCGCGCTCAGGCGCGGTCGGCGCCGGCGCTTCCTGCAGCCGCAGCACCGCCGGTCGATGCCGTCACAGATTTGCTCGGCAACTTGATGGGCGACGGATCTTCGGCGCCGGCGGCGCTTCCGCCGTCGTCGACTGGGATGAATCTCGACGAGCTTCTCGGAAACGCCCCTCCCGCACTTCCAGCGGTAGAAGAGCGTCTCGCACTTCCGAGTTCCACGTCACCTCCCGCGGGGCCGGTGACGACCACATCGTCCGCAGACGCTTTAGACGATTTACTAGGCTTAGGCGCGCTCGCGGCGACGCAACCGCCGCCGGCGACGCACGGCGACGCCTTAGACGCCTTTGGAGCTCTGGGTGCGCCGGCGCCCGCGGCGCCGGCACCGACGCAACCCGTGGCACCGGTACAATCATTGACGTCGAGCGACGGTATTCAACCCACGGTGAACGTTCAAGACTGCGCGAAACGGTTCCTCATCGCCGACAACGGCTTGCTGTATGAAGACGCGAACGTACAGATTGGCGTGAAATCGCAGTGGCAAGGGTCTCAAGGTCGCGTGATGTTCTACGTTGGGAACAAGTCCGCGAGCGCGGATCTGCAAAACTTCAGAATGGTCATACCGTCGATCGAAGGCTTGCGTCACAGTCTTCAACCCTTCCCCGCGTCCATCGGACCGAAGCGCCAGGTGCAGTTGATGTTGCAAGTAGCGATTACGTCGGCGTTTGCCTCGGCGCCAAAACTCGAGTTTTCGTACACGTCCACCGCCGTCGCGGCGGCGTGTGCCAGGTCTCTGGAGTTGCCCGTACGTGTGACCAAGTTTTTGAGCCCGATGACCATCGCTTCGCCGCAAGAGTTCATCGCCAAGTGGCACCAGATGGCGTCCGCCGGGCAGCAACAGAAAATTATGGACGTGTCGCAGCAGTACGCGACGAGCATCGAAAGCGTGTCAAACGCCTTCTCGGGCATGCGGCTCGTCGTACATAAAGGCTTAGATCCAAACCCCGCAAACTTAATCGCGGGAAGCCGGTTCGTCGGCGAACGATGCGGTGAAGTCTTTGTGGGCGTTCGCGTGGAGAGCGACGCGAACGTGCGCGGACGATATAGATTCACCGTCGCTTCGATGGACGCCGTCGCGGCGGCTGCGGTCATGGATACGATCGTTACCGCACTCCAATAGAATAGCGCGAAAGGCTTTCTTTTCTTGTCAATTCTAAGTCGTCTCGTTCACAACATTTCTATATCGTCGCTTTCTATATCGTCGCTTTACTCGTTCAAGTCTCGCGGCGCCCCAGCGGCTCCCTCGACAGCCGCCCCCGCGTCGCGCCGCGCGCGTCGCGCCGCACGCGTTTGCACCCCATCCGTGTCGACTAATCTCTGCCGCGTACCGAACAAAGCGCACACGATTGCGGGCGTTTTCAACGGCTCCCTCCCCGTCATCTCCGGATACACGTCCTTCAAAAAGTAATACGCGTGTCCGGCGATCATTCCTAGCGCATCCGTGATCGGCTGCGATCCGATCAAGGTGGAAAAAATCAGCAACACCCACGGTAAATACGGCGCCGTGAAGTTGAACAACCCCAAAAACGACATCTGCGTCGCCGCGTTTCTCCGTCCCCACACGTACACCATCATAAACGTCAGGCTCGTCCCCAAAAATTGCACGTTGACGAACGGCGCGAACGCCGTCAACAGCGTCCCCCCGAACAGCAGCATGTAAAAGAAATCGCACGACCGTCCCTGAAACGACCCTTCCTCGAGCATTCGACAGTACCGGCTCAGGAAGAACATGTGAAACACGAAGTCGACGCCGAGCGAGCCGAAGAAGAAGAAATTCGTCACCAACCGCCACAGCTCGTACTCTTGAAATATCAGCTTACTGTTGAAGTACACGTTCAGCGGCGAGATCAACTGCGTCGAGTCGCGCGCGCGCGTCGTCAGTCTCCCGCCGTTCGCGCGCGTCGCCCCCTTCGCCGCGCGAATCGAATCTTCGTCGCTCGGCGTCGAATCCAATCGAGCGCTTCCGTCGACGCACCTCGAGCGCGCAGCCCACGGTGACGGCGAACGTCAGCGTGAGGTACATGCGCGTCACCGTCGGCACGCTCGCGTACCACTCCTCGAGCGTGTTCGCCATCGCGCGCGTCGCGCACTGTCGCGAACCGTCGCCGTCGGGACGAGACGAGCGGGACGACGACGACGACACTTTACGACGACGCGCGCGGCGCGACGCGCCATGGGCGGCGGACGCGACAAGCGGAAGAAAGTGGCGAAGAAGCTCGGCAAGGTGAGCGCGGATAAGCGTACGGGGGCGACGAAGACGGCGCTGAAACGAGAGAAGAATGCGGAAAAAAATCACAGACGGCTGGAGAGAGGACTGGTGGAGGATGACATCGACGCTATTTTAGCCGCGATGGCGATAGAGGACGCGCGGCGCGCGGAGGTGGAGGTGGAGAAGGATTGCCCGCGACCGCAGGCGCGAGGACACGCGTCGCTGACGGCGACTGTGGTTGGGAGAGGGAATGAGTTGATTTTGTACGGCGGCGAACGCGTGACGCCGGGGGATGAAAAATGCGTCGTGTACGGTGATTTGTATCGATACGACGTCGACCGCGATCGATGGACGAAGGTATCGAACGCGAAAGGACCGCATCCGAGGTCGGGACATCAGGCGTTGGCGTACGGGGGGTACGTGTACGTGTTCGGGGGAGAGTTTACGTCGCCGAATCAAGAGCGGTTTTTACACCATCGCGACTGCTGGAGATTTGATTTGGAGAGTAACATTTGGGAGGCAATGCCGGCGAAGGGAGGGCCAAGCGCGCGGTCGGGGCATAGGATGGCGATTTGGGGGAAGAAGGCGATCTTATTCGGCGGGTTTTACGACACTGGACGCGAGGTTCGGTATTACAACGACGCGTGGGAGTACGATTTCGAGAAGAGCGAGTGGAAGTGTCGGTGCGCGGGGGGCGAGGGAGCGCTCGGACCGAGTCCGCGCAGCGCGTGTCACGTGGGCGTGCACGATGACGCGTTCATCGTGTACGGAGGGTATTGTAAAAACGTTGACAACGACGGCGACGCCGACGAGGATCGTAGCGAACGCGGGACGACGTTTTCAGACGCTTGGAAGTTAGATTTAAAGACGTGGCGATGGGAAAAGCTGAAGCGACAAGGATTAGCGCCGAGCGCGCGCGCAGGGGCGTCGAGTGCGATGCACGCGTTGAAGAAGCGTTTAGTGTTGTTCGGCGGCGTCGTGGATCACGAGGTCAAGCGCGGCGACGTCATCGTCTCTGAGTTCTTCACCGACGCGTACAACTTGAACATGGAGGCCAAGAAATGGTTCCCTGTCACCTTGTACGGCGAAGATAAGACGAAAACACACAAAGCGGGGAGCTTGGAAGAGGCCGAGCGCGTCGCCGCCGGGGACGTGGTGAACGAAAACTTTAATATTCGCAGCGAGGCGCACCGGGCGGCGATTAAGATTCAAGCTCACTTTCGCGGTTATCAAGTTCGCAAGGCGTACAAGCTATACAAGGTCGGTGGCGTCGTGAGCGAGTTGCTGTACTCACCCGGAAGTGGAGAGGCGCCGCCGAAATCCCTCCCGAAACCTCGCGGACGAATCAACGCCGCCATAGCGATCAAGGCGAATAGCATGTACTTGTTCGGCGGCGTCGTCGAGCTCGGCGACGTAGAAGTTTCCCTCGACGACGTGTGGAAACTCGATCTCGGTAATCGTCCGAAATGGACGTGCATCACACCACTCAGCGACGAAGTGTCCGCACAACTCGCCGGCGGCGGCGCGGAATCCGATTCCGATTCCGACGACGGTTCGGGCTCCGACTCGGCGTGACTGCGAATCCGACGCCCCGTCGATCGACGGCGAAACCCGTCGGCGCGCGCCGCGCGCGCGGCGCCCGCGCCAAAAGTTGTAATATCACGTTACTCAAGCACCCTCGCGAACGCAACCGCGCGCTTCCGCACCGAATCCGTCGAATGTGGTTCTCGCGAGCCAGAGGGGGAAGGAACCGCGAGGACGGGGTCCCGCGCGTCAAACACCGCCGCCTCGCATCGCCGCGAACGCACCGTAAACGCGCCACGCGCGCGTCGGGCGATAGTACGCGTCGTGTTGAAAGCTCAACCGCGCGCGCGCGCGTGGCGCGCGTCGGTGCGCGACGCTCGTCGACGTAACGACCCCGCGGCATTCCGCAAATTCGCGAAATTCGGTGCAAAACCGACGCGGAATGGACACGAATTGGACGCCAGCGACGCCCGCGCGCGCGCGTGCGGACGCACGAATCGCGTCGGATAAGGTGCTGTCGACAAAGGCGTTCGAGGACGCGCGGGTGAAGGATCACCGCGACGTGGAGCGGGAACGCGGGGTGTACCTGCCGCCGAGCGCGGAAGAGGCGGCGACGCACGCGGACAGCGCGCAGCCGAGACTGCTGAGCGAGGATGGGAAATTGGAAAAACTTAAATATTTTGACTCCGAAGTAGACTTGGGATTGGAGTTCGGGGCGGGGGTATCGGGATACTTTTTCGTGCTGCGGGCGTTCGCGTGCTTGTTCTTCGCGGCGTTCGCGTTGAATTTGCCCGCGATGTTCATTAATTACACGAGCACGTATTACGCGTCGCATTACGAAGCGGAGCCTGAAACCGCGACAGCGCCGACGGCGGACGCGCTCAGTGGACGCCCGACGACGTCGTTTCACTCGTGGTTCGTCGATTGGCACTGGGCGAATCCGATGAGCGCGAGCTTGGGGACCGTGGCGCCTGACGATGTGCCGCAACGAGCGTGGGTGCTCGCGGGGACAACGAGTGGGGTGCTGCGGTGGAGCTCCAGTAAGATAGATTTCATTCGATTTTCGGTGGTGATGGATGTCGTGGTGTCCTTGATAATTATATTGAGCGTTCCAGTGATTATGCTTGTGTTGATGCGTACGGAGCGACGGGTCGAGAGAGGGACGGCGACGTTGAAGGATTACACGGTATTAGTTACAGGATTACCAAGCGATGCGACCGATGAAGAAGTGCGATGCTTTTTCGCGCTCAGGTTTGGGACGGTAGCCGACGTCGTGCTCGTAAAGACGGAGTGTATGCAAATCAACGCGCAGCGACGGCGTCGGCGCTTGTTGGAGGATTACGACGAAGCCGAAGCTGCGCTCATCGCCGCAGGTAATCGCGGAGGTGACGGCACGAAGACGGCTATAGAAAACGAGATATTGGCTGTGGATAGGAAATTGAAGCGCAGAAGAGCGCGAACGCGGGCGAAACAGTGTAGTGCTTTCATCACGTTTGAAACCGAAGGCTCAAAGATTGATTGTATATTGCGCAACACGCGCAGTATAATGTCGTACATCTTTGCGTTTCCTAGGAAAGAGCGTTTCCGAGGAAAGCGGAAGTACAGAGTGCGAGATGCTCCCGAACCTGAGGACGTACGATTCGAGAATCTGAATCTCTCGAATCGCTCATGGCGTCGACTCGTCGTGCTATTCTCGTGCTCGGCCGTCGTGCTCTTGTGTTACGGCTTTTTGAAGATGCTCGTGGATGACAAGGAGAAGCTGTGGGAGAACGCAGACATGATGGTCACTACGCTTGCGGACGATGTTGGCATTGTCGTCGCCCACGGTAATCCGGTTGAGCAATTCGAGACGCATAAGAATCAGTTCAGGACAGCATGCAGAGCTCGCTTGGACCAATGCGGCGTGGCTTTTTCCAAGGACAAAACGTACGTTGGCATGCCTTGGGGGGCGCCAATTTACGCTTTCTACGACTACCCCAACGCCACACTCTTAGATCGTCGTTACGCTCAGCAGGATGCGGTTCGTGATTTGACGAATTGCGCCCAAGACACCAACCGTTGTCCGGGAGGTCCGACGATGCAAAACTGTCACGCGTGCTACTGCGCCAGTCTGAAGTACGGCTTAACTTCGGAGGTTGTTCGGGCATACAACAAAGCCATTCGCCACTCGTGCGCGAAATACGTGAACCTCGGTCCAGGAGAGTATTACAACTGGTTGTGGGTGTCGTTTTGCATTACGCTCATGAACGTCCTCCTCGAATGGATTGTGCCCCTCCTCGTCGCCGCAGAACGTTTGCGCACGCGCAGTGCCACGAAGGTGCTCAAGACGAAAATAATCTTCTGGGTGCGATATTTGAACGTCGCGGTTATTTATGGCTTGCTCAACGCCAATTTCTATCACATTGGCAGGTATTTCCCGCTCATCAAGCAAATGTTTGGGCTCAAAGGCGAGTACGCAGATTTCACGAGCGAATGGTTCAACGACGTCGGCTTGGTGTTGTTTTTCGCAATCATGATGAGCGTGACGATACGTATTTTGGCTCGAGTACTTGTAGACATCATCACGCATGTCGGTCGAAAATTCTCCGTGGCGTACTGTCACACGCAAGCAAAGCTGAACAAGGCGTTTGAAGGGCCATCGTTTGACACCGGCGCCAAGTGCGGCGACGTTTGCTTTACGATTATGGCGGCGATGACCTTTTCGAGCGGTATGCCGCTGATATACTTGGTTTTGTCGATGTACTTCGTGTTGGTGTACCTGTACGATTACCGCCTCCTGTTGAAAGTGTGCAAGTTGCCCGAAAGATCGAAGAGCACGCTTCCCATGACGGCGGCGAAGGTGCTTTTCATCTCAGTCTCGATTCACGCTCTCATCGGTCTTTGGATGTTCTCGTACCACTGGACACCTGATTTGGCGAAACCGACGAAAGACTTTGAACATTCGAGTAAGAACAATGCTCCTCCGCTTGCGTATGAGATTGGGGGTGAAATATTAAACCCGCCGCACGACAACGGCGCGCTCACGGCCATCGTGCAAAGCACCGGCGTCGCGACGACGTACTTTCATCAGTATCGCGACGCGACAGTCGGGGCGTTGTCGGCGGGAGATTTCGTCGCTCCACCGCCACGCGTACAGCTGCGTTTCGCAGAACGACCGTTCAGCGAAGCGGGGATGCCGTTCATGGGTATGTTCTTCGCCCTTTTGGGCGTCATGGGTTTGTGGCAAATCGCAGTCGCGTGGCATAACTGGGGCAAGTCGCGTCGAGACATCGCGCGCTCGTGGAAAAACTTACCTCAGTATCACGAAGCCATCATGACCGGGTTAATCGTCGGTTCGGAGACGTACCGTCCCGAATATCAGCCCGATTACGCGTTCTTGTTCGACAAGAGCACTGTCGCGGCGGCCAAAATGAAACTAGGCTCGTACGCGGGAGGCCCCGTGCGCGGCGACTCGGTGAACTCGCGAGACGCGTGGTCGCTCGGACAAGGCGACGACGATGATATCGCGGAGCTGATTCATCATCGTTATGATAACGAACGCGAGTACGACGGTGGCGCGCCTTGGGTGCGTAAGACCGGTTCAAAGATATACGGCGGCGACGCCGCGACCGCGAAGCGAGGCTCTCGCGGCACGCGCCAGCGCGACGGCGGACATTACGGCGTACCAGTGGTCGATGTTCGCGCTTTGGGGGTTGGAAGCGACTACAATCACGTCGAAAACAACGCGTTCGGGCACTCCGACGCGTTCGTCGCGGATGATCATGAGTGGGACTCCGCCTCCGACGCCGACACGCTCGACGACGACGCGTCGACGCAGCGAAGTCAATCCTTTAGCGATTACGAGAACGATGATCAACGATTCGACGGCGCCAGGCGACCGGCATGGCTCGACTAGGACGAAACGTACAGTGTAAGAAAACATAGCGTATTCATAGCGACAATCATAAAACGTGGTCACACTACAAACGCGGTCTGTTCGCGCTCCCTCGCCGGCGCCGCGTAAAAAACTAAACAACATCACGATTCACCATCAACGCGCGCGCGTCATCGGAGCACGAACTTCGAACACTCACTATGAAGTCGATTTCGTTCGATGCCCGTCACGTGCGCGCGCGCCGCGGCGTCGTTTCGTCGTTTCTTCGTTCGCTCGCGCGTCCCGAAGGCCACGTCACTTTAGATAACGTAACCTTTCGCGCTCACCGCGCGCTCGAACCGAGCTTCGCCGTCCCGTCACTTCCCCCCGGGGAAGCGCTGCGGCGTCTTCTTCTTTTGCTCCGGTCGCTTCGTCTTATTCGCCGCCTTGTTCGCGCCGGAGTCGCGCTCAGCCTTGATGAAGCTCCACACGCCGGTGCCTTGCAGCTTATCGGTCGCGCCGACGGCGTACATCGCGCCGTCGGCGGCCGTTTTGATGGTTCAGAAGATGGGCATGACGCGTTCGCGACGTTCGAGCGGGCGCGTAAGTCGACGCTTTTGCGCGACGTCGTGTGCGGCGACGCCGTCGCCGTCGCCGTCGCCGTCGCCGCGGCGCCGCGAAGACGAAGACGAAGACGACGACGAAGACGACGACGAAGACGAAACGAAACGAAACGAAACGAAACAGATGAACAAAAGTATTCAAAACGCTAACCGTCACCAGCGCGACCGACGCGCGACGACGTCGGCCTCACGCGACGGCGACGAGCTCGACGTCGAAGTACAGCGTCGCGTTCGGCGGTATCGCCCCTCCCGCGCCTCGCGCCCCGTACCCGAGCTCCGGCGGGATCACCAACCGTCGCTTCCCTCCCACGCGCATCGCGGGTATCGCGTCGCCGTCGCCGCAGATCCCGAGTCCCCAGCCCTGAATCACCTGCGACGGTTTAAACTGCAGCGGCGCGCCGCGCTCGTAGCTCGAGTCGAACGCGCGTCCGCTCTCCAACCGCCCGACGTAGTGCGCCTTGATGACGCTCGACGCCGTCGGCGTCGCGCCGTCGCCGACGACGGCGTCGCAGAACGCCAGCCCGCGCGCGCCGACGACGAGTTCGTTCGCGCACTCGAGCGTCGGCAGGCCGCGCGCGCGCGCGCCGCGCGGCGCGAGCGCGACCGCGAGCGCGCCCGCGGCGACCGCGGCGCGGCGCGACGCGATGGACGCGTCCGCGTCCGGCGCGCGCGCGGCGGCGACGACGGCGGCGCGCGAGAGCGTCGACGCGAACATTTTTGCGAACGATTGGTGTTGCGCGCGCGAGTGACGCGACGAACGCGACTCGGCGACGCGCGACTTCGCGACGGCCGCGACGCGACGCGCGAGGACGCGACGGCGACGGACGGGACGCGCGCGGGACGCGCGCGGCGCGAGCGGGCGCGCGCGAGGGCTCGATCGGGCGAATCGACGAGGGCGCAACACCCTCGGGGACGCGCGATGGCGTCGCTCGTGCGCGCGATGGTGAACGGCACCGCGGTGGTGAACGCGACGAAGGTGCAAGAGCTGCTGAACGACGTGGACGCGGCGATGGACTGGAAGAACGACCCGCTGAGGTACCTGTGGGCGACGGCGAGCGCGGTGTCGACGTTCATGTGGTTCGGGTTCGCGGGCGATAACTTGCAGTACTATCGCATGAACGGTGGGTTGGCGTACGCGGGCGGGGCGACGAATCGAAGCGTGTGGGCGGAGTCGTTCGGGAAGTCTGGGGTGTTTTTGTTGGCGTATCGAGCGTGCGCGACGGCGGCGTGCGCGTACTACGAAGTGCGAGAGAAAATCGCGCCGCGATTGACGGTGAACGCGGAGACGGAGATGTATGGGTTGGACATGTCGTACTTTTTGAATCTGCACGATTGGACCGTGCACTCGGTGACGCTGTTTTTCTTTTTCGCGACGCTGGCGTCGCTCGCGGGGATGTGTTCGAGAACGGCGACGCACGATCACTACCTCGGCCACAGCGGGCGGTGTAACACGTTGGGACACTGGGTTATGGCGCTGTACACCATCGCTTTCACGATGAGCGTTTCATTTCTCGTCATCGTGCTCTTTGAGGCGGCGTTCGCCCCGCAGTGCGTGCCGTCGAGCGCGAGAGGGAAGTTGACGACGTTTCTCGATCCCGCCTCGCGCCTGTGTTACCTCGAGCCGCAATACATGATAGGGTACTTGGGCAACGTCTTGTTGTTGCTCATCGAGGCCTCTCTCGGGCGATTGGTGTTCCCAAAGTGCTACATGTCGCAGCCGATCTTTTACGCCAGCACGTTTTTCATCATCGGTCAGTTCAACGTCATGGTGCTGAACGGCGACTGGGCGTACCAGTGGACGAATTATTGGCGTCGAGAAACCGTGGTGTACCTGAACGCGTTCTTGTGTCTCGTCATGTTCACTCACTTGGTGTTGGTGAAGTTTTTACGCGCGAATTCGAATTCGAAGCTGGCGAAAAACGTCGAGGAGCGCGTTCCCTTGTTCATGTAAACCCGTAGCAGTCCCGTAGTCTAGTAGCGTGTCGACGACGTCATATTTCAACATTTACATCTACCCCGTTCGATCGATCCCGCTCGTCGCTCGGGCAATACTACTACGCTCAGTCGCGCTTGCTCTTCGCCGCACCCAAAACCTTCTTGCGTTGGCCGAGCATGTACCCGTACAACATCGGAAAGCCCGGCGCGTATCCCGCGAAGAACATGAGCATCGCCGTCGGCAAATGAAACGCAAAGTTCACCGCATTCGGCATCTCGTACGCCAACGGGTTCGTTTTTACCAAATATTTGAACCCGCTGTACGCCAGAAACAGCTCAGAGCTCACGCCTAGCGGGTACAGCACGATGAACAACGTGTATCGACACCACGTCACCGCCCTCGGCACGTCGCCCCGAACGAGCTTAAAAAAGTAAAAGCTATACCGCACGACCTCGGTGACGCCCCAGGCGAGCATGAGCGACGGTACGCCGATTTTCAGCGGTCCGACGACGTCCAGACTCGCCGTGCGCGAGACCGGGGCGAGATGTAAGACGCCCCAGACGACCATCAACCTGCTGCTCACCTGCATCGCGGTGACGAGCACGGGCGATCGCGCGATCCCGCACGCGGCGTGCGCGATCTCGAGCACGGCGGCGGTCTGTGCGAGCGCGAGCGGGCGCTCGACGGCGGCGTAGACGGCGGAGGGGCCGGCGGTGCGGAGCGCGGCGAAGGCGAGGATGAGGACGTAGGACCAGCCGGCGACGAGCGCGGCGTTGTACGACGCGAGGTACGTCTTCGCGAGGGACATCGCCGTGGAGAGATCGTGCGTTGAGTTGCGTGCGTTATTTACGGCGACCGACGACGGGACGTCGCGAGCGGCGAAGTGAGGCTACGGGCGCGGCGAAGGGCGACGCTCAGTCGGCGACGACGCCCTCGAGAGCGCGCGGGATCGATTGATTCGACGCGCGTAAGACGTGCGCGAGCTCTCGCGCGTGCTTGCCGTCGCGCAAGATAGAGAAGAACGTGTGCGATTTGCCTTTGCGTCCGGCGCGACCGGTGCGACCGATTCTGTGGACGTATTCCTCGACGCTCTTCGGAAAGTCGTGGTTGACGACGAGCTTCACGCCGACGACGTCCAAGCCGCGACTGGCAACGTCGGTGCTGATCATGATCGGCGATCGCGCGGCGCGAAATTCTTCGAGGACCCAGTCGCGCTCTTTCTGTTCTTTGTCGCCGTGCAAGCCGAGCGCGGGCCAACCCTCCGAACGGAGTCGACGCGTCAGCTGGTCCACGAGCGCCTTGGTCTCGACGAAGACCAAGATCGAGCTCCCGTCCATCTCTTCTTCTAAAATATCCATGAGTTTAGCGTACTTTGCCTCCGCGTCTTCGACTATGTGCACGATTTGTTCGACGTTTTTCGATGCGAGCAAACCGTCGCCCGCGCCGCCGACGCGCATCTCCACCGGGTCGTTGCGAATAAACTCTCTCGCCACTTCTCGCACCTCCACCGGCCACGTCGCGGTGAACAGGAGCGTTTGGCGATCGCAGCGCGTTTGAGCGATGATTCGACGAATCTGCGGCTCGAAACCCATGTCGAGCATTCGATCTGCCTCGTCTAGGACGACGAACGACGTTCGTCGCAAATTCGTCTGCCCGCCGTCCAAAAAATCAATCAGGCGGCCCGGCGTCGCGACGCAAATCTCGCTCCCTCCTGATTTCAACGCTTTTATTTGCGGACCTTTTGGGACGCCACCGGTAACGCACGCGTGCTTGATCTCGCTCGACGCCGCGAATTTGGCGACCTCGAGTTCGATTTGACTCGCCAACTCTCGAGTCGGCGCGAGCACCAACGCGATCGGCCCCTCCCCCTTCTCCAGCACCGGCTGCGCGTTCACGTGCACGATCGCGGGTAACACGTACGCCAACGTCTTTCCAGACCCCGTCTCCGCGACCGCGATCAAGTCTCGTCCGCTCAGCGCGATCGGCCACGCCTGGCACTGACACGGCGTCGGCGTCGCCAAACCGCGCTCCTTCAAATCGTCCATCACGTACGCCGGGAACGACGCCTCCTCGAACGTCGTCACGATTTTGGGCACATCTGCCCCTCGCACCACGCGCACGCCGCGCGCTCGCATCGCGTCTTCCGTCGCTCTCGCGCTTCGCGCCGTCGTCGACGGGTGCTCAAAGTACAAATTCTTCGAAAACACCTCCCCATCCCTCACCGTCGCGCTCGTTGACGCGTCTGCGTCGCCCGCGCGGCGCACGGCATCCATGGCGATCTCCGTTCGCGCGTCTTCGCGCGCGCGCTTGGCGCTTTCGTACGTTTCTCGAGTCGTCCCCGTCGCGGACGAGTTTTCCACCATCGACGTTTCGCCGTCTTTCGCGCGCGTCGCGCGGCGATTCCGCGCGCCGACGCCGCGCGCGCCCGTTATAAAGCCTTCGCGACGCGCGCGCGCGCCGCGGTCGCGCTCGACGCGACGCGCGCCGCGTCGCCGCGTTTTGAAGCGCTGGAAAGTGTGCTTTTCGCTCGCAGTCGCGCTCGGCGCCGCACAGCGCGACGACGACGCGCGCCCGGACGCTCGCGCGCGCCGCGACGAATCCCCGAGACGACGCCCGAGCGAGCGTCGGCGCCGACGATGCGATCGAGCGCGCGAGGCGTCGCGAGCGCGGCGTTTCGAGCGCTGACGTCACGACCGAAACCATCGAACGCGACGTCGCGAACGAGCGCGGTGAAGCCGCGCGCGATGACGACGGCGACGGAGACGCCGACGGAGGCGCCGAAGACGATATATCTGAAGGATTACGAGCGACCGGCGTACGCGTTCGAAAGGGTGAATTTGGACTTTGAGCTCGGGGAGGCGACGACGACGGTGACGTCGACGATTCGAGTTCGACCGGCGAACGATGCGAATGGGAAATCGTTGTTCCTGAACGGCGATGAATCGGTGGAGTTGGCGGCGATCGAGGTGGACGGCGCGAAATTCACGACGTACGAACGGACGGGGAAGGGGATCACGCTGCGCGCGCTGCCGACGGAGGCGTTTGATTTGCGAGTGACGACGACGATTAAGCCGCAAGAGAACACCGCGCTCGAGGGACTTTATAAGTCGTCTGGGAACTTTTGCACGCAATGCGAGGCGGAAGGTTTCCGACGAATCACGTTTTATCAAGATAGACCGGATGTGATGTCGATATTCACGACGCGCATCACGGCGGATAAGACGAAGTATCCGGTGCTGCTCGGCAACGGAAACTTGGTGGATTCTGGAGATTTGGAGGGTGGTAAGCACTTCACCGTGTGGGAAGATCCGTGGGCAAAACCGTGTTACCTTTTCGCGCTCGTCGCGGGTGATCTCGGGATGGTGGAGGATAAATTCAAGACGATGACGGGCAAAGAAGTGACGCTTCGCATCTTCACCGAGACGCACAACTTGGACAAGTGCGCGCACGCGATGACGAGCTTGATCAAATCCATGAAATGGGACGAAGACACGTATGGTTTGGAGTACGACTTGGAGCTTTTCAACATCGTCGCCGTGGACGATTTCAACATGGGCGCCATGGAGAACAAGTCGCTGAACATTTTCAACTCGCGTCTCGTGTTGGCGACGCCGCAGAGCGCCACGGATGCCGATTACGCCGCCATTGAAGGTGTCGTGGCGCACGAATACTTTCACAACTACACTGGAAACCGTGTGACGTGTCGTGATTGGTTCCAACTGTCCCTCAAGGAAGGGCTGACTGTGTACAGAGACCAAGAGTTCAGCGCGGATATGAACTCGCGAGGCGTCAAGCGCATCGGCGACGTCTCGCGCCTTCGCATGGCGCAATTCGCCCAAGACGCGGGTCCGATGGCGCACCGGATTCGCCCGGGAATCGTACATTAAGATGGATAACTTTTACACCGTGACAGTTTACGAAAAGGGAGCGGAAGTCGTGCGCATGTACGAGACGCTCCTCGGCAAGGATGGGTTCCGCAAGGGGATGGATTTGTACTTTGAACGTCACGACGGTCAAGCGGTGACGACGGAGGATTTCTTCGCCGCCATGTGCGACGCCAACGGTGCGGACTTGTCCACGTTCAAGCCCTGGTACTCCCAAGCGGGTACGCCGCGCGTCACCGCGAACGGGTCTTACGACGCCGCCGCGAAGACGTTCACCCTCGAATGCTCGCAAGTGGTTCCGAAAACGCCCGGTCAAGACTCCAAGGTTCCGGTCTTGTGCCCGATCGCCGTTGGTCTCGTTGGTCCCGACGGTGCAGACATGAACCTCACGATCGACGGCAAATCCCACGGCACGACGGCGGTGCTTCGTTTCGATCAAGCCTCGGCGACGTACACTTTCACCGGCGTCGACGCCAAGCCCGTGCCGAGCATCTTGCGCAACTTCAGCGCGCCCGTGCGTTTGACGACCAACTTGACGCAAGACGACTTGTTGTTCCTCATGGCGAACGACTCGGACGCGTTCAACCGATGGGAGGCTGGGCAGACGCTGCTCAGAAACCTCTGCCTGGATCTGATCAAGGGCGGCGAGCAGTCATTCAAGATGAACGACGCCATCACGGCGGCGATGCGCACGATTCTTTCGGGCGCCAAGGCTGCCGACGCGGACAAGGCGTTCATCGCGCGCGCCATGATGGTGCCTTCCGAGGGCGAGCTGAGCGACATGCTCGAAGAGGGCACGGTGGATCCCGCCGCCGTGCACGCCGCTCGCGACTTTGTCATGAAGACGCTCGCCACGGAGCTTCGCGCTGAGTTGGAAGCCACGGCGCAAGCGAACAGCGCCGCGGTGTATTCGAACGAACCCGCCGATCGCGCCGCGCGATCGCTGAAAAACGCGTGCATCGGATATTTGTCGTATTTGGACGCGCCGGAAATCGCCGCGATGACGTACGAGCGCTACGTCGCCGCGGACAACATGACGGATAAGATTGCCGCCCTGAGCGCGCTCAGCGGCAAAGACTGCGACGAACGCATCAAAGCCATCGATGCGTTTTACGCCGAGTGGTCGCACGACCCGCTCGTCATGAACAAATGGCTCAGCATCCAAGCCGCGTCGTCGCTCCCGAACAACCTCGCCAACGTTCGCGCGCTCGCCGCCGGCTCCGCCTTCGACATCAAGAACCCCAACAAAGTGTACTCCCTCATCGGTGGTTTCTGCGCCTCTCCCACCAACTTTCACGCCATCGACGGCTCCGGTTACGAATTCCTCGCCGACATCGTCCTCGAGCTCGACGATCTCAACGGCCAAGTCGCCTCTCGCATGGTGTCCGCGTTTACGCGTTGGCGCAAATTCGAGCCGACGCGCGCGTCGGCGATGAAGGCGCAGCTCGAGCGCATCGCCGCCAAGACGGGTCTGAGCGAAAACGTCTTCGAGATCGTCTCCAAGTCGCTCGAGTGATCGCGCGACGCGCCTCGGTTTCAACGCTAAGACCGCGCATTCGTTCCTTCGCGTCTCCGTCCCTCTCGCGCGTTCGCTCGCGGCGTCGCCCGTCGTCCATCGCCGCGCCATCGCGCGCCACTCCGCGCCCCTGCCGCGCGCGCGCGGCGCGCACGGCGACGCCCGGGTCGAGCGCGCATGCCGCCTCCCTCCCGCGTCCCTGCCGACGCCGATCGCGCGCGCGCGCGCCGCGAAACGCGCCGCGACGCTTCGTCGTCGGCGACCGACCGACCGCCGTCGTTCGCGCGTTCCCTCCGCGTCGGCATCGCGAGCGGCGCGTGCGCCGGCATCGCGTGCCAGCTCGTGCTGTTCCCGCTGAACACGCTCAAGACGCGCGCGCAGGCGGGCGGGCGATTGACCGCGGACCGGCTGTACGGCGGCGTCGCGGCGGAGCTGCTCGGCGCGGCGCCGGGCACCGCGTTGTTCATGTCGGCGTACGAGTGCGCGAAGAGCACGCTCGGGTTGGACCCGTCGATCGCGGCGATGCTCGGCGCGCTGGCGTCGAGCGCGGTGCTGGCGCCGATGGAGCTGATCGCGCGGCGAATGCAAGTGTCGCGGTTGAGCCTGGCGACGGCGGCGAGGCTGTCGGCGAGACGAGGAGAGCTGTTCGCGGGATTCGGAAGCTTTCTGGCGAGGGAACTGCCGTTCGACACGATCCAGATGAGCGCGTTCGAGGCGATGAAACGAGCGACGCTGGCGATCGAGGGCGCGGCGGCGGACGAGAGCGGGAAGAAGACGAAGAAGAAGAGAGCGCTGGGGAAGCGACAGACGGCGATCATCGGCGGCGTCGCGGGCGGTCTCACGGGATTGGTGACGACGCCGTTTGACGTCTCGCGCACGGCGCACGTGTGCGCGTCTTCGATGGGAATCGATCTCAAGACGCATCCAAAGGGATTGGCGGGGTTGAAACGACTGAAGGAGAGGTTCGGGATGTCGTTTTTCTTTCGCGGCGCGGCGCCGCGCGCGCTGGAAATCGGTTTGGGCGGGGTGATTTACTTCACCGTCATCGAAACCACGAGGAGGTACTTTGAGTCGTCGTCCAGAGAGACGAAAGACGCGAAGGTTTTGAAAACCGTGTAGTCGCGTCGCGCTTCGAAGCGAGGCGCGTCGTGTTTAACGTTATTGTGCAGTTGTGATTGATTTGTTGTTGTTTACCGCTACGAGACGCCCCGAAGGTTGTCCGCGCCGCGTCCATCTACGACTACGCCTACGACTAATCAGTACTGCTCCGCGAACACGACGTCATCGCTGCGATAGTTCTTCTTCTTCTTCTTCAGTCTCACGTTCAGGATCAAGTGCACTTTGCGATTGAGCGCGCGCTCGAGCATCGCTCTGGCGTTGATGCCGATTCGCCCGACGACTTCGCCCGACTTTCCGACGACTATTTTCCTCTGCGACGCGGTGTCGACTAAAATATTTTGCTCTATGCGCGCGTCACCGTTTCTAAAGTCTTCCCACGAGACGTGCGCGATGTCGATGCCGTACGGTAAATCTTCGTGCACGCCGTCGTACACGCTCTCGCGCACGATTTCCAGCGCCCTCTGCGCCGGCGTCATATCGCTCGTCGACGTCGCGTCGAACTCCCACGGCGCCTCCCGAGCGCCGGCGACGATGTGATCCATCAGCGCTCTCGTTCCCGCCCCCGTGAGCGCGCTGACGGGAAACACGCGCGCGAATTCAAAATCCCCCGCGGCGCGGAAATCGTCCACCATCTTCGTCAACCCCGCGCGTCGCTCCTTCGGAATCTTATCAACCTTATTCAGCACCAGCACCGCCTCCGGCGGCGCGCGCATCTCCCCCAGCGCCGCTCGCGTCTTTCGCACCGCCTCCAGCACGCGCAAATCCCGTCGCTCCAACTGTCTCGCCGCGTCCACGACGAAGACCAACGCGTCGCACTCGCTCGCCAGCGCCGTCGCGTCCTCCACCTTTCTCGCGTGCGCCGCGTTCCTGTAGTGCTCGCGCCCCACGATCCCCGGCGCGTCCACGAACACCACCTGCGCGTCCCCGACCGTGCGCACCCCCAGCGCGCGCGTCCGCGTCGTGTTCGTCTTTCGACTCACCGCGCTCACCGCGTCGCCGACGAGCGCGCACGCCAGCGCGCTCTTCCCCGCGTTCGGCGCGCCCAGCACGCCGACCCGCGACAACTTTTCGACGCGACGCGCGCCGTCGTCGCGGTACGCGCCGTCGCGCGCGTCCGCGCGCGCCGTCGCGTCCCACGCGCGCGCTCGCCGCGCCGCCGCCGCCGCCGCCGCGCGCGTCGACCGCGCGATCGCCGCCGCCACCGCCGCGCGTCGACGCTTCGACTCCAGGTACGACGACGACGGCGCGCACCGCGACGACGTCGTCCCGTCGCACGCGCCGCGCGCGCGCGCGCCGCGACGCCACCGCGACGCCGGCATCGACGACGACGTCGATTCGCGCCCTTCGCCGCCGCCGACGCGCGGCGCGGCGTCCGCGACCGCCGACGCGCCGCGCGCGGGTCGCGACGCGTTCGACGCGCCCGCGACGACGCGACGAAGCGCGCGCGACGCCGACATCGCGACGCACGAACGCGAATCGATTCGATCCTCGCGCGGCACTGTGCCGCGCGCGTCGACCGCGCCGCGATGCGCGTCGCGCGCGCGGACGTCGCGACGACGAGCGAAGACGCCGCGACGACGGCGACGACCTCGATCGACGCGGCGAAACCGCCCTCGACGGCGACGCGGCGCCGCGAGCTGGACAAAGCCGAGAAGAAGGCGCGGCGAATGGCCGAGATCGACGCGTTCTTGCGAGCGCGCGAAGTCGCCGCGGCGCGCGAAGACGCGTCGCGGGATGACGCGGACGGCGACGCGTCGAACGGCGCGGCTCGACGACGCGAAAACGAAAAGAAAAAGAAACCGACCGCCGCGGCCGACGGCGTCGCCGCCGCGGCCGACGGCGCGCGCGTCTCGCGCGAGTGGTTCGCCGCCTTCGCCGTCGTCGCGTTCTTCGCCGTCGTCGGCGGCGCGTATTCCTTGTATTCTTTCGTCGCGCGCGTGGCGTCGCGCGCGTTCGCGTCGTAGCGTCGTCAGGCGTCGCGCGCGTTCGCGTCGTAGCGTTGGCAACGACCAAACGAAAATCCGCGCCCATCGGTTCCCGACTCGTCGCGCGTTCCGAGACCGCCGAGAATCGGCGCGTTCCGATACCGCCGAGGATCGAATCGACGAAAATCGACGCGGCGCGTCGCCGCGCGAGCGGTCGCGGTCGACGCCGCGCCGCAGTTCGCGACGTGCGCTCGGGGTGGGCGTCTCCGGACAGTCGGCGCGGCCACCTCGCGCGCGACGTCCGAGACGCGCGCGGGCGCATGTGCCTGATCACGGACGAACACGGGAACGCGCTTCCGGCGCTCGCGCGGTCGCCGGCGATGGGAACGTCGTCGAGCCGGGTGAAGGTGCCCTCGCCGCGGCGAGACGCGGCGGCGCGACGGGACGTCGCGAGCGCGCCGGCGTCGCCGCGCCGCGCGCGACGCGCGCCGAAGCGCGAGGACGCGAACGCGCGCGTCGAGTTTCGTCCGCGCGCGGTCTCGCGCGACGCGCGAAAGCACCGGCGCGCGAAGAGCGAAGAGGCGCGCGCGCGGGACGTCCCGAGACGAGAACGAGAACGAGAACGAGAACGCGCGGGGACGCTTTTCCAAGATTTCGACGCGCTCGGGATCGAACGGCGCGACGATTCGTCGGAATCGTCGCGCGCGGACGAGGGCGAACGACGCGCGAAGCCTCGCGTGGGTTACGCCTCGGTGGCGCCGATGAAGGAAATTCTACAGACCCGCGGGGGCTCCGCGCTCGAGGCGCTCGGGATTTTATTTCGAGATTCCGATCGAGAATTCGAGCGCGCGGCGGCGACGACGACGCCGTCGAGCGATGATTATTCTCGTCGTCTATCCTCGCGAGACGCGCTGTGATGCGGACCGGTCGCGCGTCGGCGAAACATTTTTTGAGTGAAATTTGGTCGGAACGGCGAGGACGCCGTCGAGGTCGGCGTCCCGTCGCGAACTCGCGACGCGCTCACGAAACCATCCCGCGATGCACCCACGAAACCATTCTTTTGTAACAACAGCGCGCTACGAGATCCACGCGCGTTCGCGCCATCCGCGCGATCGATCGCGTCTTTAAAGAACCGCTCGCGATCAACCGAACGCGATTCTCGCCGCGACGGCGACCGCCGCGAAACCGAGGGACGCGCCCGCGCCCATCGCGAACGCCGACCCGATCTGCGTCCCGATTCCCTCGCGCGCGGACGCGCCTGGATCGTCCGCTAAAAATTCCGTCGCGGGGCGCGGCGCGCCGACCGCGGAGGTTTCGCCGGTGCGAGGATTCCAAAAGTACACGCGCCGCGTCTCGCGGTCCACCACCGGTCGCCAAGGATTGGCGTCCGACGACGACGACGACGACGCGACGTCGCTCGAGTCGCGGCGGACGACGTCTTTGCCCGCGCCGGACGCGAACGCGCGCGCGTCGGCGACGCGCGGGACGAGGCGCGCGAGGCGACGGAGGGGCGGGGACATCGCGCGCGCGAGGCGAAGTGACGCGAGGGACGCGGCGCGGCGCGAACTATACCGGTGCGTTGACGATGACAAATTGTCGTTAATACGCCTGCGCCTGGGTGTTGGCCAACACGGCTTGCGTGAGGGCGGTGGTCTTGGACAGCAAGGCTTTGGTCTTTTCGATGATTTGCTCGTTGACGGATTTCTTCTCGACGTGCACGTGCACGAAGCCGGCTTCGGAATCGATTCGCGCGTTGAGCTTACTGCCGCGGATGAGAGTCGCGATGGTGGCCTCGACGTCGGCGGCGGGCATACCGAGCATTTGCGCCAAGTTGGCGATGTCGATGCGCTTGTTCACCTTGCAGTAGTTTTCGATGACGTACTGTCGAGCGTTTTCGTCAAACGCGTCCTTGCAGCCGATTAAAAAGAAATCCTTTTCAATCATCGCGTCGCACTTCTTCAGCATCTCTTGCGTCTTGGAGAAGTCGTAGTCGACGAAGGCCGCGACGACGAAGTCGAGCGCGGGATCGTCGTACACGTCGCTCTGGATAATCTTCACTAAGTCTTTGAGCATGTTGCGGCGCTTCTTGTTGGCGACGATGGCGACGGCGAGGTAACGCAACAAATGCGGCGCCTCTTGTTGCACCGCTTGCATGTATCGCTCCTGGAACAACACGTCGATGATCAAGTTGCGACCGTTCGGGTGGTTGAAGAAGACGAACAGGGCGTAATGCAACAACCACGCGCGCTGCTTCATCTTGACGAGGTTGCTCGTGCTCGCGTTGCTCTCCAACGCGTCTCGCAACCTATTCATGTCGTCCAGAGCCCCGCCCCAGTTCCGCAACAAAATGTCCGCCGCGAACTTCCCCCACAGCGCGCTCTCGCACCGCTCGTTGTCCGCGCTCAACAACTGCACCGCGCCCAAGTGCTCCGAGGCGTTTTCGTAATCGCCGCACTCGTACTCAAACTTGGCAAACTTGTACAGCGCGTCCACGTCCGCGCTCGTCACCCCGTGATTATCCTCCGCGAACTTCGCGTTCGCCGCCTTATCCCGTCGCAAGTTCTTGATCAGCGCCCCATCGCTCGCGAACTTCACCGCCCGCGCCGCCGCCTTCCCCAGCGCCGCGTGCGCCTCCACCGTCGCGTCCCGCCTCGCCTTCGCCTCCGCCGCCGATCCCGACCCGCTCGCCTCCGCGCGCGCCTCCTCCGCCCAATCGCACATCTTCGTCTTCACCAGCGTCGCCAGCTTCGCCTCTCGCAGCGACTTCGCATCGTGCGTGCCCTCCGCGAGCGCGAACTCCAGCAGCGGCAGCGTCAGGTGCGCGTCCAGCCGCGCCGCGATCTGCGTCGTCGTCCCGCGCTCCGTCAGTCCTCGCGCTCGACCGCGGCGCGTCGGCCCTTCGCGTCCGCGACGCGTTCGCGATGCGTTACTCTTCGCCCGCGTCCTCGCGCGTCCGCCGCCGTCGCGCGCGCCGCGTCGCCGTCGCGATCGCGCAAACCCTGCCGCCGCCGCGTCGCCGCGTTCGCGTTCGCCGTCCGCTCGTCGCGTCGCCGCCCGTCGTCTCCCGTCGTCTCCCGTCGCGCGTCGCGTCGCGCTCGCGTCGCGTCGCGTCGCACCGTCGACGTCAGGTCGCGCATCGCGCGTCGCCGTGTCGCGCGCGCGCCGTCGATCGCGCGATCCGTCGGCGCTAATTAAATCACACCGCCCGTATTGAAGCACCGCGCAAACAGCGCGCTGACTGCGCCTCCATACGTCGTATTCGAGAACGAATTCGTTCGAGACGTCGACGCGCGGGCGTCGAAAATGTCGTCTGTACTGTTTACGCACATACGGTCGGTCGCCCCGCCGCCACGCGCCGCCGCGTCCCGGTAACGCGTCACATGGCGCTCGCGCCCGGCGCGTACCGCGCGCGCGAGCGCGCGCCCGCGCGCGATGGCCACGACGCGGCGCGCGCGACGGTCGCGTTCGATCCGGCGCGTCGCGCGGCGACGCCCGCGATCGACGCAAACGCGCCGACAGCGACCGACGCGAAAGCGGATAACGCGCGCGCGGGACGCGCGGCGACGGCGTGGCGACCGCGCGCGAAGCCGCCGCGCGCGCGACCGCTGAGGTTCGAGATGGACGCGACGCGACGGGAGGTGGCGAGCGAACGGGCGTATGCGCTCAGCGCGCGGTTCGCGGCGCGCGTGGCGTGGTGCTGCCAGGAGGGATGTTATCCGCACAAGGATCATCACGTGAATCAGGACGCGTGCGCGACGTGGGAGGGAAGGGAGATGGCGCACGAGGAGGCGGTGATCGATGGGGAGGGAAACGATGCGGTGGCGCGGCGAGAGACGGGACGGGTGCTGGTGGGGGTGTTCGATGGGCACGGGAAGCACGGGGAGGAGTGCGCGCAAATCGCGCGGGCGACGTTCGCGGAGACGCTGGCGAGGGAGACGCGGGGAGGCGCGGCGCTGAGGGATGGGTACGCGCGGACGTTCGAGGCGGTGAACGCGGTGGTGTGCAAAGAGATGGGGGAGAACGCGTCGTTTTCGGGGTCGACGGCGATCACGGCGCTGTTTGATGACGAAGGCGTGGTGCGCGTGGGAAACGTCGGGGATTCGCGATGCGTCGTCGGCGTCGAGCGCGCGGCGGGCGTCGCGGTCGGGAATCGACACACGAGGCGATGGGAGGTGAGAGATTTGACGCATGATCAGACGTGCTTTCGCGCGGACGAGCGCGCGCGGATGAAAGCGGAGGCGACGTCGCCGATGACGTTCGCCACCATCGGCATGGTTTTGGGCGAAACCGAGGCGCACGAGGACTTTGGCGACGGCGAACCGGGTTCGGACGAGGAATATTGCGACGACCCGCCGCGCGTTTTCATGGCTGGTTATCGTTTTCCCGGATGCGCGTTCACTCGCTCGATCGGTGACACCGTGGGGAAGTCGCTCGGCGTGAGCGCGACGCCCGAGATGAGCGAGTTTGACTTGAACGCCGAGCCGTCGACGCGGTGCGTCGTCGTCGCCTCCGACGGCGTGTTCGAGTTCATGTCCAGCGCGGAAACGATGGCGATCGCGGAGAAATTTTACGAGGAGAACATGCCCGGTGCCGCCGAACGCGCCGCGCACGCCATCGTGCGCGCCGCGTTCTCGCGTTGGCAAGAGCACGACGAGCGAGCCGACGACATCACCGCCGTGGTGACGTTTATTTATCCGCTCGACTCCGACACGTCCACGGCGACGGTGGTGGTGAACGACATGGACGATGCGCTTAATAAACTCTTGTTGTAGACTAGACTGCGTGCGCGCGCGATTCTTTCTTAATACCGATATTATAAGCGTTATCGCTAAGCGAGACACCACCGCGCTTCGGCGTTCGACGTTCCGATGAATAGAATTAAAATTCGTTTGAGCTACTGATGATGAACGATCGATGCGATTTTCGTTGCCTACGACTAGCGCGCCTTCGCTGTCTCTTCCTCGATGATCTCTTTCGCGCGCTCGAGTTTCTCCGACGTGTCCCCGTCAACGTCGTCGACGGCGGCGTCGAACTCGTCCGCGCTCGCCGTCGGGGCGTCGATGGACCCTCGAACGACGTCGACGTCTTCCAGGTTGCTCAACGCCATACCGGTGACGTACGTGCCGTCCATCTCTCGCCCACCTCGCCCATCGCGGCGCTTGAGCTTGACGTGCAAGCCGTTCGTGGTGTGAATCGTCGCGCCCGTCGTCATGCCGCATTCGCCGTCGGGGTGCTTGGACTCGTCGAGTTCAAAGTCGAATCGTCGCATGAGCATGGCGAGCGACACGATTGACTCAAAAATAGCAAACTGATCGCCCACGCATTTGCGCTGGCCACCGCCGAAGGGCAAGTACGCGTACTCTTCGGTGTACTCGTTCGGCATCGGGGCGTCGATCGGGAAGCGTTCGGGCTTGAACGCGTCGGGTTCGTCCCAAATCCGCGGGTTTCTGTGCAAGTTCCAAACCGAAATGAAGAAGTCGGTTCCGGCGTCGATGTTGTACCCTCCGAGGGTGACGGGCTCTAACGCGCGCCTGATTAACACCGGAGGTTGCGGGTAAAGTCGCATGGACTCGTTGATGACGCGCGTCGTGTACACGAGCGCGCGCATATCCGCCACCGTCGGGTTGCGGTCGCCGACGACGCGGTCAACCTCCTCGAATACCTTGGCCTTCACTTCGGGGTGCTTGGCGAGCAAAAATGTCGTCCACGTCAGCACCGCGGCGGTGGTTTCGTGGCCGGCGATCAGGAGCGTCATTAAATCATCGCGAAGTTGCTTGGACGTCACGTCGTCGCCGCTCGCGATGAGAAAGTGCAAAATGCTCGGATCGTCCGTGTTCATGTACTCCTCGACGAATTCCTCATCCTCTTCCTCCACCACGGCTTTGCATCGGTTGATGAGGTCATCCAAGGTGTCGTTCACCACTTGCAGCGCCTCCTGGCACTGACGCTGCCTCGGCACGAGCCAGCGAAGCGGGGGAACCTTCCAATAGGGAATAAACGTCACGCTCCGGTACTCGGCTTCGCGCAAAACCGTGTACACGGCTTTGATCACGGGGTCGTCCGTGGACAAGGAGTCGAAATCGTAATTGAACACCGCCTTGCCTATGATATCCAAGGCGAATCGCGAGTAAAAGTTCTCCATCTCCACCGACTCGTTCGCCTTCTCCGCGCGCGCGAGCTGCGACATCCCCTTCAACCCGCAGTCGCCGAACATGTCCACCATGGACGTGACGTACTTTTTGTGCAAGCTCGGCACGATCACCTTGCGTCGAATCTTCCACACCTCACCGTTCGCCGGGATTAACCCCTGACCCATGACAAAGTCCAAAATCTCCGACAGCAATCCCTTGGAGAAGCTCTTCGCCTGCGTGAGCAACATCTCCTTGGCCACCGCGTTGTCGCTCACGACGACGAATTTCTTCGGCCCGATCGCCAGGACGAACATCTCCCCGTACGCCAAGAACAGCTTATACAGCGGCACAAAAACCGGTTGTCCCGCGATCTCGCGAATGTCCCCGCTCGCCACCGGCATCTTCGACATCGCCTCGGCGCGCCACCGCCTCGATAACCTCGCGAGCGCCAGCGACACCCCTCGCCCCACCGGTCCCGCGTCTTCGGGCACCAGTCCCCGCAGCCCGTCCGCCACCTTTCGAAACGGTCCCGTGGACGACGCCTTCGTGAACTCTCCGCTCGCGATGCGCTCCTCGAGCGTCAGCGCCTTTTTATCGTCGCCCGACGCCGCCGCGCGCGTCCCGGCTCGCGCGCGTCCCGGCCCTCGTCCCGCCCATCGCGCGCGTCCCATCGCGCGCTCGTCCCGCGCCGTCGCGCCGCATCGAGGCATCGCGCGTCGTCGCCCGTCGTCGCGCGCGCGTCCCTCGCGCGCGCGTCGCCCGCCGCGCGTCGTCGCCGTCGTCGCCGTCGTCGTCGTCCGCATCGTCGTCGTCGGCATCGTCGCCACCGCGGCGTCCGTCGGCGCTCGCGCGCGGTCGAGCGCGGTCGAGTCGACGCTCGAGTCGCGCGCGCGCGGTCGAGCGCGCGCCGGCGCGTCGCGCGGTCGCGTCGCGTCGCGGTGTGGCGCGTGGCGCCGTCGTGGATAGCGTTTCGAGAAAATATACGTGATGGGGTAAATATGAATCACAATACTGGTCGTACGTATTCGGACATACGGGTGTGTGTATTTAGTGTACGTGATAGTTTAGTGTAAGCATCGTCGCGCGCTCGATCGCGCGCGCGCCGTCGAATCGCGCGAGACGTCGGCGCGGCGCGGCGCCGACGCGACGACGCGACGCGCGCTCGAACGTCGGCGTTCGAACGCGCCGGCGCGGCGCGCGAATGCGCGCGGCGTTCGGCGACGGCGCGCCGGGATTCAAATTCCAATTCCACGCGCGCGGAAAGCGACGCGAGACGACGACGCGCGCGACGCGCGCGCTCGCCGCGGCGACGCTCGCGGCGACGGTGACGACGGCGACGATGTCGCGCGCGAGCGCGCGCGGCGCGGAGGCGTCGACGTCGGCGAAACGACGCGAAGGGACGCGAGAGGAGGCGCGCGCGCGAGCCGCGAGCGGGACGACGGCGACGACGACGCGAGACGCGACGAGAGGGAGGACGCGAATCGCGAGGGACGCGAGCGAGGACGCGCGAACGACGGCGGTGTGGGTGACGACGACGGCGGGCGCGCTGGCGGGCGCGACGGCGCGCGTGTGCGTGGCGCCGTTGGACGTGATTAAGATTCGGTTGCAGGTGCAAGTCGAGCGAGGCGCGAGCGGGAAGTATCGAGGGCTGGCGGACGCGACGCGGACGATACTGCGCGAGGAGGGGGGGCGCGCGATGTGGGCGGGGACGGTGCCGGCGCTGCTGCTGTGGGTGCCGTACACGGCGATACAGTTCACGGTGTTGAATAAGTTTAAGGAGGCGGCGAGGGAGCGGGAGCGCGCGAAACCGGGATCGACGGCGGGACTGCCGGTGAGTTTCATCGGTGGCGCCGCCGCGGGATCGGTGGCGACGGTGGCGACGTACCCGTTCGATGTCATTCGAACGTTACTGGCGAGTCAGGGTCACCCGAAGGTGTATAATAACGTGTTCGACGCCGCGCTCGGCGTCGTTCGCGAACGCGGCGTCGCCAAAGGTTTGTACGCGGGCGTCTCCGTGACGCTCGCCGAGATCGTTCCCGCGAGCGCGGTGCAGTTCGGCTCGTACGCTGCGTTGAAATCAAACCTCCCCGAAGTGTTCGGGGAGAACGATTTCGCGTGCGGGTTCGCCGCGGGCACCATCGCGCGGCTCGTCATTCACCCGCTCGACGTCGTCAAGAAACGATTCCAAGTCGCCGGATTCTCTCGAAGTTTAGCCTACGGCCAACGCGTCGACGCGGGCGCGTACAAAAGTTTCTTCGCCGCCGTGCGAACGATCGCGCGCAGCGAGGGCGTGGGTGGGTTTTACAAGGGCTTGATGCCGAGTCTGATCAAGTCCGCCCCCGCGAGCGCGATTACTTTTAGCGTCTTCGAAGCCGCGCGACGGTTGTTAGAGCGCGCCGCGGACGACGACGACGAGGCGCCGCGACGATAGGTCGCGACGGCGAACGCGTTAGGGATCGGGACGCCGCGTCCCGAAGATGTAGAAGAGTCAGAGCCAGTCGCAGTGAGTCGAGCGCGGTCGAGCCGACGCCGTCCCGCACAAGATGACGCTTTTCGACGAAGAGATCGCGCGCCTCGACGTCGAGCGCGCCGATCTCGCCGCGCGCGCTGCCCGAGAGACCGACGACGGTCGTCGCGCGTACGTCGACGCGATCGTCGCGCGCGTCGAGCGCGCGCGCGCGACGCTCGCCGCCGCCGCCGCCGCAGATTCGGGTGTCGAAAAACCGACGACGACGGGACGCGACGTCGCGCGCGTGCACGCGCGCGATCTCACGCCGCGACGTTTTCGACTCGAATACGTCGCCACGGATACCCCGGTCGTGATCGAGGGGCTCGGGAGCGCGCTGACGGAGGACGGCGCGGACGGCGAGACGTGCGCGTGGTTGACGCGGCGCGCCGGGAATAAAAAAGTCGCCGTCACGAGGAAGGATGGTCACCGACGCGCGACGCTGTCGTGCGAGGTGACGGACGTTTTGGATTTAAAGGACTTTTTCGCGGAAGTCGTGGACGATCGAGGGGCGGGGAGTTACTTGTACGACACGTCGATTCCGCTCAAGCTGCCGTCGTTGTCGGAGAGCGTGCGCGTACCGGCGTACGTGGCACACGATTACATGCAGCGCACGATGCGATTGACGGCATTTTCACGGTCGTGGCCGAGCTTGTTTGTCGCCGCGAAGAACACGCGATCGTCCCTGCACGTCGATCAGTGGCAGGGGCACTTTTTCATGGCCGTGGTGCGCGGCACGAAGCGATGGACCGTCTTCTCGCGCGAATCGCTCGCGTTTTTACGGCCGAGCTGGTCGCGCGGCACGCTCGATCCCGCGATGCCACCGTTGGAGGAACAAGAAGAGATGGGAATGTTACCGCTCCCGCGTGAATTCGGCGCGCGCCGATGGGACGTCGATCTTGGCCCGGGCGAGGTGCTTTTCGTGCCGGGCGGCTCGCCGCACGCCGTTCGAAACCTCGATTGCACGGTGGCGTTCGCGGGAAACTTCGTCGACGACGTCAATCTGGACCGCGTGTTGGAAGATTTAAAGCTCATGGCCGCCAAAGATCCCGCGTTGATGGAGAGCTACCGAGCGCTCGACGAGGTGGATTTCGACGACGAAGGCGCCGCGCTCGCGGCGGGCGACGACGACGTCCACGCGGGCGCGTTCGACGCGAACGCGCGCGTCGTGCGAGTCGCCGATTATCTCGCGGGGGGGCGACTCGTGTGATGGGATGGATGTCTCGCGTCGCGTCTCGGAGTTCGGGACGAGGGGTTCGCGGCGTCGTGAAAAAGTGACAAAAAAATCAGGGAAGCCGAGCTCCCCCCATGGGGGTGAATCTCACAGCGATAAATTTTTTAAAGTACTATCCGTCACCCCGAAACGACGAAAGTCACAGTGTTGTCGTGTCGCTTTTCCATCACGGACAATCGGGTGTGGGAAAAAGTAAGGTGTGATGTCGACACATCTCTTCCTGCGGGTTTCGATCCCGCGGCTTCCAGATCTCTATCGGAGCAGCCGTCATATTCGACGGAGACTTTTTCCTAACAGTCTGACACTCTACCAGCAAAATTGTTTACAGAGATACCGCGACGAGATTGAAGCAATACAAGGAACTCGATGGGCACCTGATGAACGCCTCCGTGTGGGACGAGTATTTGACCCCAGAGATGCTCAGTCTGTATAATCCCGAAACAGACCAATTCGAGGAGCCCAAGCACTGGCTAAATGGGAAGCGTGTAGGAATTGCAATACTGGCGGATGATGTAAAATCGAGTCCGTTGCTGTCTAACAAAGCCTGGCGCAACCTGTGTATCAAATGCCGCCACCTTGGATCCTTCCCTGACAGTTCTCCACCAATAGGGTGCTCGATTTTCTGCGCGAGGTCAAGGACGCCGACGCGACGCTCCCAGACAAGTTGAAAGCCGAGGTACCGACCATGCTTCAGAAAGGCGTGCGCGCGTATCTGGATTAAGCTTCACAAGTACCGTGGTGTGGGTAACATCTGGGACATCTTATCGAAATAATTCATCGATGTTCGCCAGGAGATCGAGGAACAGGTGCCGTAAATTACGAAGAGCGTTTCGATTTACAATTTATATGATCCTCTAGCTTGAAAAATAGATCTCCGTCAGTGGCCGTGGGTGTGTTTGCCACAACTTGATTTGATAGTAATTGACATTTTTTTACCGCTCTCATTAGTGCGCGTGTGCGTGTGAGTCTCCGCCACCGCCACCGCCTGTGCAATGCTTGTGGTTGAGGAGCACGAGACTGATGGCAACAACGCCGACGATGAAGGTGAGAATGCTCGTCGCGCGAAGACGAGGTGAAGTGGCGCTCACTGATACTCGGGGCATGCACTCTGCGGCGGCGATTTGCAGATAGACTCCAGCACCGAAGGCGAGCAGCAGTCCATGCCAGAAGTCGTTGTTATTTCCCGATCCAACACTAATGAGGACGCCAAGAATGACACTCAAGCCGGAAACGAAGTTTAAAGTCAGCGTCGGCAACGGCGCGAGATCGCCCTGGAAGGGGTCTACGAGCACCAAGTAGTCAGCAAGCTCTTGAGCGATTTCGTGATAGACGGTCGCGGCGGTGATCGACCATCCCATGGTACTGTCGCAGTTCAGAAAGCCGAAGCCAATGAAAATACCATCCACTAGGTTGTGCATGAAATCTCCAAGAATGATACCACTTCGAACGCGATACTTGTGTGAGTTACAAGTACAAGTATCACAGTCATCTTGAGCGCCTTTGACTGCAAGTTCCGCATCGGTTGTCTTCGCTGTATTTCCAAGAGTTGGGAACACGACAGAGATACCAAAGTCGATGAAGTAGGCCATGAGAAAGCCGAAGATAGAAGCGGAAGCCCACCATGCGGTCTGCTCTGCCTCATCCGAGCCAGCAGGTTTGATTAAATGCGTGGCTTCGTAGAACATCAGATAAAACGCAGCCGAAAGAAGTGCGCCGGCGGCAAACGAGTTAATTGTGCAACTCACAGTTTCAGGGTACGCTTTCTGCTTCTTAGCGATACTCGGGATGAGAAAGACCACACCAGAAAGTGTGACGATATTGACGATAATTGCCGCCCCAATGGCGTTGGCCCACGGTTTTGATTTCGATTCGCTCACGGTGGATGCTTCGGGAAGTGAAGCTTTTGGCACCACGTCATCTCCGTGGAGGTCCTTGAGATAGTGCGCGTCGCGCTCGAACTCGGTGGGAACGTGCTCAGCGAAGATTGAGATCGCGTCGATGCCAGTCGTATTAATCTTAAACGGCGTCGTGTGCCAGGTGTTGTCAAATTCAAGGTTGACACACCCACTATCAGGTGTCAAAACACTATCTCGTATCTTAGCCGTCGTACAAGCTCCCCCGATTGCGGTATCACCGCTATCCTCGCGGGCTTCGAGCTCGTCGTGTCCGGCGGCGATTTCGTCGTAGATGACCATTTTCATGGTATCGGCGGCGTACTTATCGGCCACCTTTTGCGCCTGCCACACGTATTCATTCTCTGGCGTCTCAAAGATTCCAGCCCATTCGAATGCGTGCGCGCCGGACGCGTGCGCGCCGCGCTGCGCGAGCGCGCTCGCGACGATCGCGATGCCACCACCGAGCGCGCTCGCGCAGCGCATCGTTCGCCCTCGTCGTCGCTCGACCGTCCTCGCACCGCGTGCGCGTTCGCGCGGCGGCATCGTCGTCTTCGTGTTCTTCGTGTTTTCGTTCGTCATCGTTTCCGTCGTCGTCGTCGTCTTCGCCGGCGTCGGTAAGTGCGGCTGCGCACAAACTAAAGCGGCATACGAACCGAACCGGCGCGATGGAGGGCGGTCGTTTATAAGTCACGACTCGCGAACGACAAAATGTCGACATCCGCCGCAGTGTCGACACATCTCGGTGGTACTTGGATATGTCGAAATATGTCGACATGTGCGTCGAGACGTTTTTCGTATATAGATGCATCACGGGGTTCAATGCGTACACGCGCGTGGGTAAATATGTCGACATGCGTGTCGACATGTTTACGACGCGCGTCGCGACGCGATCCGTGATGGGCTTCGCGGGGCGTCGCGTACGACGATCCTCGACACGTGCACGACGCGAATCGTCGACACGTGCACGACGCGCGCGCATCGCCGCACTTCGCGACGCCTCTTCGGCTCGTTCGCGCGCGGAGACGTCGATCGCCGTACATCATGTCCACACCCGCCGCAATCGCCAATCATAATCGATTGCCGGTGACAACGCTGTGCGGGTTCCTCGGCGCTGGGAAGACGACAACTCTGAAACGCGTGCTCGAAGCTAAGCGAGACGCGAACGGAAAGTTTCGGTGTGCCGTCGTCGTGAACGACGTCGCGGAGTTGAACATCGACAAAAAATTAATCGATGATTCCGCTTTGCTGCAGAGCGACGAGGTGGTTGCCATGCAGAACGGATGCGTGTGCTGTTCGTTGAGCGGAGACTTTGTAAAACAAATCGGGGACATGGCCAAGAGTGGCAATTTTGACTACATGATCGTAGAGGCATCAGGAGTGTCGGAACCGGCGGAAATTGCGAAACTCTTCGCAAATTGTGAGGACGATCACGATCATGAAGCTGCGCACGTTGATGAGCATGAACATTTGAGCACACTGGCGCGGCTGGATACGTGCGTGACGGTCATCGCTGCAGGTGACTTTCTCGACATGATTGATTCTTTCAGGGCGTCAGCTGTGAACAGGCAGTCTTACTCTCAATTGTTGGCTGAACAGATAGAGTACGCGAATGTCGTCGTATTGAACAAGGTCGACACTGTCGATGACGAACAACTCGCCGAGATTAAAGCGCAGATACAACTTCTCAATTCACGTGCTGATATTCTTGAAGCTGTGAACGGCGCGATCGACGTTACGCGAATCGTCAATACAAAACTTTACAAAGAGAATGACTTTGCTGGTTTCATAACATGGGAACAAGAGATAGAAGCAACATCTGTGAAGTCATGCTGCGCCGGCGCTAGGGACAAAGGTGAGTCTCCATGCTGTAAGCGAGCTCGCATGAGAGAAACAGCCTTAAGCGAGGTCACGCTTGCACCAAGTTCTTCCCAAACACGTCACGATAGTCGGTTCGGTATTACGTCTTTCATTTACCGAGCCAGAAGACCTTTTCATCCCAAACGGTTTTTAGGCTCATTTGTCGAGCGCTTCTTCAGCTCCCTCGAGGCCGATGACCGTGATGAAGAAAAAGATGAAGAGACACCAAGTGTAGACTGGAGTGCAGTGAAAGATATTCGAGCGCGACAAGAAGCGATGAAACTCAAGCGCCGTAAAAGGGAAGGTGAAATTGGTGTGCTGCTACGTTCGAAGGGTGTAACGTGGCTCAGTGATGCCCACGACTTGATAATTGTTTTCAGTCAGGCTGGTAATATTTACTCTCTCGAAGGATCAAGCCGATGGACCGCGCTGAATAAAAATGCTTGGGTCGGCTCACAGGGGATAAAGCAAGAACTTCGTAAAGACTGGGAGGGGCCTTATGGTGATCGCCGACAAGAACTGGTGTTCATTGGCAAGGATCTTAAATACGATGAAATTCAATCAACGTTGGACTCTTGCCTCTTGACCGACGAAGAATTCGAAATGGGTTCTGATGGCTGGAGAGCAGTCATGGGTGATGTCTTTCTAGACGAAGACGACGAAGACGAAGACGACGAAGTCGATGACGAAGACGACGAAGAAATCGACGAAGATTTGGTCGACGACGAGGAGATCGAAGAGGAGATCAGGCCGCAACCCACTTCAAAGTCGAAGGCAAAACCAAAGGCAAAGTCGGCGCCCTCTCAAAACGACGGCTTAGTCTGATGTCTTTCTAGGTGACACTGAAGCGGAACAGGGTGGAGATGTGGACTCGGGCAACTCTTCCGACATGTAAGCTTGTCCTTTATAGTGAGCCCACACCGATGTGAGCGCAAGTCATTTTTATGCACACAGTGACATCTTCATCGAATACCAGACGTGGTTGCCAGCGGCTGCGCGCGGTCAAGATAGCGCGACGAAGGTCGGCAATAAGCTCAAGGACTTCTTCAAGAAGGAAAAGGGCCACAGGGTCCCAATGGAAGAGGACCACCTGAGGCAAGGTAGAGACGAGAAGGGCGTCTATTGGGAAATTCACCGCGACGGGTGCTTCGAGTGGCTGAAGGACAATGGGTACACAGGGGAGACGGAGCTCGCGCCGGCGGTCGTCTGGTGCTCATACTAATTTTGTAATTCGTACATTTGCAATATGAAGACTCAACGAGACACCAAAAAGACCATGGTTTGGATCCTGACGAAATGACGAATGACGAACTGTTTTCATAAAGGTCCACACTGTTGCTTGTCATAGATCTAAAATAAAAATAAACATTAAAATATTTTAACATTTCGTCATTTTCATCATTGGTACACACAAAGTGTCACCGAACGACGGGTTGACGAATTTGTGGACGACAAAACAAGTTCGTCATTTCGTCAGGTCTCGACGGATCACGAACGTCCAGGTGTGAAATCAGGCGGTTCGGTATCTACATTCCGGACCTTGCAGCCCACGCAGCGATACGCGTACCTATGGTCTCTCGGATGTGACTGCAAACCGCAGGAGGAGGCACTTTTGGCAACAATATTTTCTTAGGGATAGATAGGTAACCAGGACAAATGCCGTCGGGATGCGTGTACGAAATGTTTAGCGATAATGCGAAATGTAACAAAACGTACATCGGATCGACGACGGGTTCGCTCAGAGCGCGCCTTGCCTCGCATAAATACGCACGACATCCAATCTTCACGTTTGGCGACGCGGACGTGAGAGTTCTCGAAAAGGACATTCCAGCTGGAGAGCTCCATCAACGTAAAGGTGCCTACATGAGAGAGAAGCGTGACGGCTTATTCAACTCCCGAGCTGCTGGACGCAGCCAGAAACACGCGTGCCGCGAGAACGTGGACGAGAGTCCAGCCTACAGCAGAGCTCAATATACGCCGAAGCGGGACGGCGGCGATGGTAACTACAGACAACTCAATTATTACAAGCAGCACGCAAAAGGAATACTGCGCAAGACGTGCCTCAAGAATGCCCGAGCGCGCGGCACGCTGCCTTCGAAGCGCAGTCTCGACAAGTATCAATTTACGGTAGATGAGTTACGCGGCTTGGCTTGACCACTTCACTCACACGATTGGTTCTGGAGAAATCTTACATGCGGTACATCAACGTCGATGTGCGGTTTTATCATGTTGGGGTGCCCCAACTCAAAAAAAAAGTTTATTTTTATTACTCATAGCGATAAATTTTTTAAAGTACTATCCGTCACCCCGAAACGACGAAAGTCACAGTGTTGTCGTGTCGCTTTTCCATCACGGACAATCGGGTATGGGAAAAAGTAAGGTTTGATGTCGACACATCTCTTCCTGCGGGTTTCGATCCCGCGGCTTCCAGATCTCTATCGGAGCAGCCGTCATATTCGACGGAGACTTTTTCCTAACAGTCTGACACTCTACCAGCTGAGTTAAGGAAGACTGTTTATGCATACGCACAACATCGCGGACATTCGACTGCCCATGCTCTTTATTTCGAGGCTTAACTCGGCGAGGTGGACGAATAATTGGTATTATACGTCGCTCGATGGTGGGTTTGCGACAGATCTTCGCGGCTTGACGCCGTCGATCCGCGATCGCGAATGTTACAGGTTGAGGGCTCGGGCGAGGACGTCGGTGGTTTTCGCGCGTTCGTTCGTTCGTCGTCACTCCGCGGTCGAATCCATCGGTGGATACGATGGATTCGACGCGGTGCGCGACGTGCCGGGCCGTCGTGCGCGGCGGCGCGGCGACGTGCGCGGAATGCGGGGCGCCGCAGGGCTACGATTCGGATTCGGACGCAACGATTCGCGTCGACGATGACGATGATGACGATGATTCTTCGCACTACGCCCGGGACGCCCGGGACTCGAGCGCTTCAGACGCCGACTCGAGCACTTCCGCCTCGTCCACGACTCGGCGTCGGCGGGAAGTCGAGTCGCGCGAGCGGGAGATGGAGGAATCGCCCGAGGCGTTGAAATTGTTGTACATGCTGAGTTTGTACACCGACGCGTCTCAGAAACAGTCGAAGTCGAAGTCTGCGGTTTCCAACAACAACAACAACAAACGTTCTCCCTGGATTCGCGAGCTGCCGCTCCTGGTGCTCGTGTACGAGGGCATCGTGCGAAACGCGGTGTTCGATTACGATTACGCGCCAAAATCAGAAAAGATATTTGGAGCGTGTCCGAGGTATTTGAACGTCTCGGAAGAGGGACGAGACGATTTAGACGATTTGCGTGAGCTTGGTTTCATCACGGCGCTCAAGGTGACGAGCGAGACGTACGATCACTCGACGTTGTTGAAGATTTCCAAGAAGGGGAGCGAATTCTTGCAGAGGATGACGGCCTCGGGACGGTTCACGAGCGCGATGCGCCAGTCGGTAGATTCGTTGGTGCACGAAGCTGGTCACCTCCTCGAGGTGCGGTACGACCGCGAGTCCTCGGATTTTTTCCTCACCGTCCCCTCGATCGGGGTCCGCATCCGCTCCACCATCACGGACGTCGAAGACGTGCCGTACGTCTCGTCTCCGTACATCCCTCCGCACATGCTGAGCTCCGATGCGTTCACACCGAACGCGTTGAACGGGCACAAAAAGGCAAAACGCGTGCTCGGCGGCGCCGTTCAAAGTAGTCGCGATATTCGCGACCCGCGCCTGAGTGAAAGTATCTTGCTCGACTCGGTGAAAATCATCGTCACCGAATACGTGCCGATGGGATCGAACGAAATGGTTTCTTTCTGTAGAAAACTCGGCACGGGAGACCGCGTCGCGGGCGGTATGTTCACCGCGGAAGCGAGCGCGACGCAGGACGAATTCAACATGGTGGTCGGGATCAACGCCGACAATAAAACCGAGCTAAAAGTCCTCGACGTCGACGAAACGCGATTCGTAAACGTCGAGGCAGACTTGCTCGCCACCGGGGCGCCCAAGAGTAACTTGGTGCAGCAGCAAATCGAGGTTTTCGGCATCAACTTTCGGGAAAACGGCGCCATCACTTACGGCATCGTCGTCAACGGCATCGCCGATCGAATTCGAAACGATATCAGCGTCGATTTACTCGCGCGCTTACTTTCCGACGTCCACGAAGACACGAGCTCGCTGGTGGGAAATTTATTTTCCGAGCGTCAGCGCTCCATGTTGAACATCACATACAAGGGCGAGCCGGACAATCGCGACAAGTTTACGTGCATCATCGCCGAGCGCGCGACGCCAAAACTGAAAGCCGCGGCGTACATGGATGGTGAAGATAACGAAAACGAGCTCAAGCAAGTCATCGGCGCGACGTTTTACGCGTACGACCTGAACGAACAAGAAGTCATCGTCTTTGGTTCACGCGGTGTCGTCGTCTTTGGTCCGCGCACCGAACGTCATCACAAGCTTCTCGCGACATATTCAGCGTTCCAAGCTCGCTCGTTGTTCATCAAAAGTGTCTTCAGCAGTTGTTTCGCGCTGAACGACGAGTTGAAGAAGACGCGAGCGTTGATTGAAACCTATCAGATCGATCCGACGAACGTAACGCGCATTCGTTCGCGCCTCGCCGATCACACGACGACGGTGACGATCTTGAGCGCCACTCAGCAGTTCGTGCTCGAGTCGCTCGAAAACGTCGACACGTCTCGTGAAAAGTTGAGCGCGGATATGAGCGACGGCGCGTCGCAAGTGTTGTACGACTTGTTTCAGTTGGAACCGTCGTGGAAACGCTTGCAAAGACGCGCCGTTGACTTGGAAAAAGTCATCGCGGCGTGCGTCAACGATCTCGAGTCTCTGCGAGAAATGAACGCCGTCATCGGCTCACGAAGAAAGCTCCGCATCAACGAGGCGATAGAAGGGACGACGAAAAACTTAGAGGATGCTTTCCGAGCGCAGGCGCGCAACAGCACCACGCTCGAGGTGACGCAAGTGATTTTGTCGGGGACGCTCGCGTTTGACATTCTCGATCGATTCACGGGGCAATACCTTTCGTTCACCGAGATTCGATGGGCCGTCGAAGCGGTGCAGCCGTACATAGTGAATGTTCCCGCGGTTTGGTTCATCTTGAACATGCTCGCGTGGTCGGCGTTGGGCGGTGGAATTGTTTATTTGATGCGCTACTTGGCCTACATGCATTGCAGCGTGGAGACGAAAAAGCTCACACTCAATAAACCCATTCATTTGTCGCGATGGCGGCGATTCATCGCGACGCGCAACGTGGAGTCGACGGCTTTTAAGGAGGAGAACAACCGTCGCGTGGTGAAATACGGCTGGACCGAGCCCATCGACGTCAAAAAGTGGAAAGGAACGCCCCCGAAGATTAACGTCACCATCGACGAGCGATACGGTTTCATCTTGCAAGCGATGATCATCATCAATAAGCGCACGTGTACGCTCTCCGGCGATGCGGTGTGGCGTCAATTTTGGAGCGATGTTTTCGTCGCTCGCAACGTCCACGATCAAAGTCGAGAGCTGTTTGACACCGACACCGGCGACCGTTTGCAAACGGCCGAATATTCGTCAGAAGAAGAAGACGAGACTCGCCGCGACGTCACGGCCAAGATCATCGGCATCGACAACCGAAAGTCCACGTTAAAGTGGCGCGATGGCAGGCAAATCCTCGCGCAAGACGACACCGACGACGACATCGATTCGGACGAGGAGGCGATCGCGAAGACGGGCGATTTGACGTTTGAAGGCTTCGTCGCGTCCAGGTCGTTGAAACTCGCTCGAGAGGAAGAGAAGGCTAAAAAGAAACGAGCGGCAAGGATGGAAAAGTGAAAGCCGCGCGATCGCGGCCGCGGTGAAGCGAGGTAGGCCGCCCGCGTCGTCGTCGTCGTCCCTCCCGTCGGGTAGAATAGACAAATTGCTACGTCACACACAGAGAACCGACCCAAACTTCACGTCGCGACGCGCGCGAGGCGCCCGACGTCGGCGTCGATCGCCATGCGCGCCGCGTGCGTGCGCGTCGTCGTCCCGGACGTCCCGTCGTCGTCGTCGTCGTCGTCGGGCGCCGCCGTCCCGACCTGGCTCCCTCCCGGCACGGGATTCGTCTCAAAAAGCCTCAAACTCGACGTCTCTCGACCCTCCCGCGCGACGCAGTGCGAATTCTACGTCGTCGGTACCTCCCACGCGAGCGCGGCGGCGGCGGCAGACGTTCGACGGGTCATACGACGCGCGAAACCGCAGGCTGTGGTGCTCGAGCTCGACCAAGAGCGCGCCGACGCCCTCGTCGCGAGCTTCGTCGAACGCGCGCGCGTGATCGACGATTCCGAATACGGGAGCGATTTGTTGACCGGTATCATCGAATCAGAGCGCGAGGACGCGCTGACGGTGTACGGGGACGTGCGGGCGAGAGGTATAGGCGAGGCGTTGGCGGCTCGCGCGTTCGGGACGAACCCTTTCGCGATCGAACGGTGGAAAACGGTGTTGGCGTACGTGAAAAACGCGTGGGATGGTGGATCCGTGGGTGTTTCGAGCGATGGCGCGCTCGCCGCGGCGGACGTGGCGAGAGCTCTCATGGACGAGCCGAGAAATCTGACGCCGCTCGCGGGACCGGCGGCGGCGTTCGTCGCGGCGACGTTGGCGAGCTTGGCGATGCCGAACGGAGCGGAGAACGGTCTCGTGGACGCAGTCGGCGTGTTCCTTGCGCTTTTATTATTTTGCCCGCTCGTGGAGACGCTGTGGATGGAAAGAGACGAGGTGTTGTGCGCCAACGCGTTGAACGCCGTCGACGTGTGCTCGGGCATCGCTCGAGGGCGGGTACGCCGCGTGCGATTTGGGTTTTCCACCGATCCGTCGGCGACGAAGAAGAGCATGCAAACATTCACCCCGAGTGATGCTGGCGCGGTGCCGTGCTTCACGCTGAAACGTCCGCTGAAACGGGGCGAAACGAGAAGGCTGAACTTGTGGGAGCCGCGTTGGCTAGCGCTCATGGACTCGCTCGCGGAAGCGAATGGCGGATCCCTCGTGGGCGCCGAGCTCGGGTGTTTACTCGGGCGCGCGAGACATTACGTGAGTAGTTCTTGCTTTGAGATTCTAGGCGATGCGGCTCGACGTACTGGAACCGTGGCCGTTGAGGATTCCATGCGCCGCGCACGAGTGACGCGCGTGGTGGAGGGCGAGCGCCCGACGACAAAGGCTCGGAAATTGGAGGTTTGGATCGAAGGAATGGACGAGTGCGACGTGCACGCGTTAGAGACACATCCGGCTGGGTATTTACTCGCGAGCGCGAGCGTCGAGGCGTCGCAAGCGCCGCGGATTGATGAAGACGACGACGAAGTCGTCACGTGCGTCATCGTCACCGGCTTGGCGCACGCGAACGGCATCGTTCGCGGCATAGCCGAGGCGCAGTAGAATATTGTAGTAGTATATCACACTTAGTTTATATGTACATTCTCTGGTGTCGTGCCCTACGCCGCGGCGTTCTTCATGCCTAACTTCTCAACCTTCGCCGCGACGATTTCGGCGTCGAGCGGAGACGATAAATTACGCACGACGCTCTCGCGATCATCCGGACCTTCATCACCGCTCGAGCTCGCGGGGCTGTCTAATTCAGGAGTGTGGCACGTCCCGGGATGACCTTCTTTGGGTGTCAACGCTGTGACGGAGTGTCGAACCTTGACCAAGCGCGAGTCACACAAAAAGTGCGTCCGACACAGCTTCAACGCCTTACCCACAGAGCTCAGTTCAGCGAACTCGATGAAGGCGATGGCTTGCTTCTCGCCCTTTTCGAACGCCTTGTACCAGAATAACGCCACCTCACCGCATTCCTCCTCAAACTTGTCGCGCACGAGCGTCGGTTCGATCTCAGGGTCGATATCCGTCACGTAAACCGTGCGATCCGCCTTTTCTTGCGCTACTGGATCCAATGGCCGTGTCAGGGCGCGCTTTTTGCTGTGCGAGATCTCAACTTTGAGCTGGCAATCATCCACTTCTTTGCCGTCTAAATCCAACGCGCGCTTTACCGCTTCGTTGTCCTCAAAGTCTATGAAAGCGTACGGAAACTTACTCTTTGGGTTGGTGAGCAACTCGACGTGTCTCACTTGTCCACATTCGGAAAACATCGCCCTGAGACTCCCTGGAGATAAAGTTTTCGGAATGTTCCTCACGTAAACTTTGCACGGCGGCGACTCCGGCGTCGTCGGTTCATCACCGATGGTCCGGGTGGACGTCGAGTACGGGTAAGGGAACGGTGGCATGGTTGCGCGCTGCGATTCGGCAGACGAGTCGCCCGAAGTCGAAGCCGCGGATCCGTGATTCGTTCGTCGATGCAAACGGAGCGGCGTCTTTGACGCACTCACGCGAATCATGCGGTTTCCAAGCTGTTCACCCGTCAAATGCAGCGCGGTTCCCACGCTTTCGAGGTCGACGAACTCTACGAAGGCTACATTCGCCACGGCGTTGTTCTTCACTTGCAAATGCAAGCGGTTGACGGGGCCGGCGCGGTCCTCGAAAAGTAACTTCAACGCGTGCGAGTCCACGGTCTTGTCGACGTTTGCGACGTAAATTGTCCTCGCGCACGATTCAACCTCTCGTTCATTCTGCGGTAGCAGTAACGGGTTCACTGGGATCACCGCGGTGTCGCTCTTCTTCACCATGATGTTTTTCCCGTGGAGCGGCGTCTTGTCCAACAATAACGCCCGATCCACCGCCTCGGCGCACTCAAACGCCACAAAGGCGTAGCTAAACTTGTGTGTGTTCGCATCACCGCACATGCGACAGTCTATGATGCGGCCGCACGAGGCGAAAACATCCGCTAATTCGCGTTCGCTCACGCTCGCCGGCACATCCTTGACGAAGACGGTGTACGGCACCGCCTTTTCGTTCGCACGTCCATCGCCGAAATATCGTCCACTGGCGCCGTAGAAGCGGCCACCGACGATACCACCGTTCACGTGCACACCATTACGCCACTGCTCGCCGCGACCTCGGCCGCCACGACCTCCCACTCGACCGCCGCGACCTCCCGGCGATCGCCTGCCGTATCCGCGACCGCCAGGGACAAAGCCCGCGCCCATGTAAGGCGGCATCACGTACCCGTAGTGGTCGTAATGATGCGCGTTATGCATGGCTGCGTAATACTCGTGCTGCGCCGCCGTCATCGCCGCGTATGCGTACTCACCGTACGCCCCCGGCGGCGCCGGCGCGCCCATCATCATCATCGGCGGCGGCACCCCGTACGCGCCCGCCGGCGCGTACGAACCGGCCGCCATCGCGTGCGGATCGTACCCCCCGTACCCCATATCCGCCACCCCAGGCGGTGACATACCCTCCCCACCCGGCATTAAGTTCACCGGCACCACCACCGGCACCGCGAACTCGTGCTGAGACACCACCTGCAACGGCGTCCCCGCCGCCGGCACCACGCCGCCGTTCGCCATCGCCGCTCGATACCACTCCATGTACGACGGCGTCATCATCGGTCGTTCGCTCGACTCGTACGACGCGCTCTGCGACGTTAAAAATCCACGTTTCGCGCCTTCGTCAGTCTCTCGCGCGCCTTCACCGCGCCCCGATCGCCCTCGCGTCTTCGCGTCCTCGCGTTTAAAAAATCTTTCAAAATCACCAGCCGTTTGAAAGATCGCCCATCTCCCGAATGTTTCCCTCCCGTCGCCATCGCATCGCCCGTTCGCGCGTCGCGCGCACCCTCGTCGGCTCTCGAGCGGTTTTCCCATCGTTCCCGTTCGCCTCGCGCGCGTCCTCGCGCGTCGTCGACGCGCGCGCCGTTCGATTCGCATTCGCTTCATTTTCATTTTTCGCATTCGCGCGCGTGACGGCGACGCCGTCGTCTCCCGCGTCGTCGTCGCCTCGCGTCGCGCGTCTCGGCGCGGGCGCGCGCGGGGACGGGCGATCGACGTCGCGCGGCGTCGGCGGCGACATCGCGCGTCTCCCGCGTCCTCGAGCGTCGCGTCGTGCCGACGCGCGCGCGCCGTCTCCGGGCGCGCGTGGCGCCCAAAGGTCACGTCGCGCGTCGAAAGTTCATGGCGGTTTCGCCCCGGTGAATACGACTTTGCGCGCGTCGTTCGCGTTTATGTATACATTCGGCACGCGTCGCGATCGCGGTTTCGCCCCGGTGAATACGACTTTGCGCGCGTCGTCTGCGTGTCGTGACTTAGTATCACTGTCGTCGGAAGGCGTCACACACGGATTACGACGACCGCGCGACGCGACCGCGCGACGACCGACGCACCGCGACGCGCGTCGCGCGCGACGACGACCGCTCGACCGCGCCGATCGCGAGCGGACGCGCGCTTTAACGCCGAGACGCCGAGACGCGAACCGAAAACGCGCGCGCCGACGTCCCACGCGCGAGAAAACGGACGGGAATTGCGTCTCGGGAGCGCCGGGACGACGACGCTGATTCGCGGCGACGGCGCGCGCGGGATGGCGAACGGGGGGCATCGCGGCGTGGACGTGGCGCGGCGATTGATTTTCGAGGACTCGACGCGACGCGGGACGGGCGCGCGCGATGGGAGCGCGCCGGGGACGCCGGAGAGGGAGGGGCGGGCGAGCGCGGGACGCGGCGCGAGCGCGGGACGGGCGAACGCGGGATACAGCGATCGGTACGTGCCGTCGAGGAGCGCGAGCGCGGGATTTCGGGGTGATTTTAGTATGCTGGAGGCGTGCGCGAGCGTCGGGGTCGGGGCGACGGGAGGGGGTAGGGGTGAAGAGATCGGCGGCGCGAGCGGCGGCGGCGGCGGACGAATCGGTCGGGACGGACGCGGCGACGCCGATCGGGGACGGGAGGGGGACGCGAATCGCGATGCTGATAGCGCGGGCGCGCACAGGGGTGATGGTGGTTCGGCGCGAGCGCACGAGCGCGAGGATACGAGCGCGGCGTACGGGGCGTTGTTGCGAAGCGAGTTGCTCGGAGACGTGTGTCCGCCCGAGGCGTACGGCGTGACGCCGCCGGCGACGCCGAGCGCGGCGAGGTACCGACCGCGGACGCCGGCGACGCCGATCGATGGATCGTCGTACTCGTACTCCACTCCCGGAAGGAACTTGTTCAAATTTCGCGACGATGGCTCGTTCGGGACGATCGCTCGAGGCGAATCGCCGTACGCGTTGAATCCAGTCGGCGACGGCGACGGACCGCTCGGCATGACGCTTTTATCGCCGCGCCGCCGCGCGCCGCGAAAGATCGCGCGTAGTCCGTTCAAAGTACTCGACGCGCCGGCGTTGCAGGACGATTTCTACCTCAACCTCGTCGATTGGAGTTCGAGCAACGTGTTAGCCGTCGGTTTGGGAACGTGCGTCTACCTGTGGAGCGCGTGCACTAGCAAGGTGACCAAGCTGTGTGAGCTCGCTCCTAACGATTCCGTCGCCTCTGTGGCGTGGACGCAGCGTGGGACGTATTTGGGCGTCGGCACGAACAGCGGCGAGGTGCAGATATGGGACGTGGCCAAGTGCAAAAAGACGCGAGCGATGCTCGGGCACCGCAGTCGCGCCGGGACGTTGGCGTGGAACTCGCACACGCTCTCGAGCGGGAGTCGCGATCGCGCCATCTTGAATCGCGACATTCGATCACCGAGCGATTACTCTAGCAAGCTTCTCGGGCATAAGAGCGAGGTGTGCGGATTGAAGTGGTCTTACGACGACCAACAGCTCGCGAGCGGCGGCAACGACAATCAACTCTTCGTGTGGAATTCGCACTCGACGTCACCAATCTTGCGATGCAGCGAGCACACCGCCGCGGTCAAGGCCATCGCGTGGTCTCCACATCAACACGGCTTACTCGCCAGCGGCGGCGGTACCGCCGACCGATGCATTCGGTTTTGGAACACCGTCACCAACACGCCGTTGCAGTGCGTCGACACCGGTTCGCAGGTGTGCAACTTGGTTTGGAGCAAGAACGTGAACGAGATCGTCAGCACGCACGGCTACAGCCAAAATCAAATCGTCGTCTGGCGTTATCCGAGTATGTCCAAGCTCACCACGCTCACGGGCCACACCCTCCGCGTGCTCTTTCTCGCCATTTCTCCCGACGGCCAAACCATCGTCACCGGCGCCGGCGACGAGACGTTGCGCTTTTGGAACGTCTTCCCCGGCATGAAGTCCCCCGTCTCGGGCGCCGGCGACAACACCGTCAGCACGCTCGCGCGCACGAGCATTCGGTGATTCACCGCATTCTTTCTTTCGATACGAATCCGTCTGTACCGCAAACTTTTTTCATTCATTCGTCGCCGTTGTAACTCGTACCACTCGACGCGTTCGTCCCGTCGCCCGCACACCGCGCCGCCCTTCCGCGCCGCGTCGACCGTCCACCAGCGCGCGCGTCGGCGCACCGTTCGCCGCCCATCCCGCGCGCGTCGCCCTCGCCTCGCCGTCCGCGCGCGCGTCCGCGCGTCCCGAAGCCGCCGCGCGGCGTCCCGAAGCCGCCGCGCGCGCGCGCCTCGCCTCGCCTCCGATGTCCGCGCCGTCGTCCGGCGACGCCGCGCCCTCGACGAGCGGACGCGCGGTCTACGACGACGTCCTGCCCACGGCCTCGCCCTGGGGCGTCGTCGGGCGTCAGGCGGTGCTCGCCGCGGTGGCGGCGTTCAGCAAGTGCGTCCTGGACGTCGCCAACGTCACGACGACGACGAATCTCGCGACGTTCGAGCGCGCCATCGCGAATCGCGATCGAGCGAACGCGCAGGGATTACTCACGGTGTGCAATCACGTGAGCACGTTCGACGACCCGGGAATGCTGAGCGCGCTGATCCCGTGGTCGGTCTTCGTCGGCGAGCCGCGGCGCGGGGGCGTGCGGTGGACGCTGTGCACGGATGAGATTTGCGCGAAAACCAAGCTGCGAGAGAGCTTTTTCTTGTGCGGTAAGGCGCTGGCGATCAAGCGAGGCGGTGGGGTGGAGCAGCCGGCGATGCGAACGGCGGCGAATCTGTTACTGAGAGGGGATTGGGTGCACTTGTTTCCCGAGGGTCGCGTCAGTCGCGACGGAGAGTTGGGAACGATGCGAAGAGGCGTGGCGAAATTGCTGTGCGACGTCGAGATCGCGGGCGGAACGCCGCCGATGGTGCTACCGTTTTGGCACTCCGGCATGTCCGACGTAAAACCGTACGGGCGATGGGAGATTGGCGTGGGTAAGCGCGTGCACGTTACCGTCGGCGAACCGCTCGATTTGACCGACTTGACGGCCAAGTGCGCGCGCTGCGAGAAGAACGCCAAGGCGCGCGACCATCTGCACGCGCAGATCATGCGTCGCGTGGAGACCGCGTTGAAAGATTTAGAAGCCCAAAATAGGCGCGAGCGCGGCGACGCGTCCGCTTGACCTCGTATTGTAACCGTCCGCGCGCGTCCCGGGTCAGCCGCAGAGCGCGCCTCGCCGCCATGTCCCACTCCCCGTGGCACCGCCTCAACGCCACGCTCACGCTCGCCGTCGCCATTTTCGCCGTCCTCGTCGCGTGCGCGTCCGTCACCGATGTCTTTCACGCCTGCGCGCCGACGTCTTCGATGCCGTTCATGTCCCGAAGCCCGATCGTTCGAGTCGTCGACTACGAACGCTTCGCGCGCGTCGCCGACAGCCGAGACGAGGCAGTGGTGAGGCTGGAAGTAGACTACGATCTGTCGTCGTGCGCGAGCTGGAACACGAAGATGGTGTTCGCGCACGTGACGGTGTCGTGGGAGACGGAGACGCGCGGCGTCAACGAGGCGACGATTTGGGACGACGCGGTAAAGTTTGATAGATGGGAAAGCGCGGAGAGTAAGGCGAAGAAATTGAGGAAACAGGGCGTGATACGGGCGAAGTATAAGCTACGGAGCGTGGACGAGCGGTTGTCCGGACGAGGGATGGAGGTGAAATTACGGTGGGCGGTGACGCCGCGCGCGGGACGGATTTGGCGAGGCGAAACGTCGACGTCGAATGCGACGTTTCCGGTCGAATATTTGAATGTAGGTGGAGACGGACAACGCGCGAGGGCGGCGCCGCGGACGCCGGGGATGCCTTGATTCGATCAAGAGTTTAGAGATTTGATAATCGTACAGTAGTCGTCGCGTTTCGTCGAGCGTCTAAGCTGAAGCTATTTACAGTGCGCGCGCTATTCCTACGTTTCTACATGTCGATTAAGTTTGGGAGCTCGTCAACGTCTGCCATCGTCGCGCCCGTGCGCTTAGACGGCGTCACGGGGGCGAGCGTGTCTCCGGCGTCGTCGAAAGACATCAAGTTCGCCATCATGTTTGCCGCGCCCGAGACTGATTCGACGCGTGGCGGCGGTGCCGACGCGAGCGTCGGAGCCGGCGTCGGTGCCGATGCGAGCGAGTCGACGATGGGCTCGCTCATCGCCACTGGTTCGTTCACTTCGACGGCTTCGCGCTCGACCACCGGTGATTGCGTCTGCGGCGGCGCGGGAACCGGCGCCTCTGCGGTCGACGCCTCGGCGAAACTCAAATTCTTCGCCGTTCCCTCGTCCGTCCACTCCGCCCATTTCGCCTGCAAATCCTCCGAACTCTTTTCTCTGAGTTTTCCTATTGAGTGTGCGAGCTGCGAACGTTTCGATGCGAACGCCTCGCGCATGCCCTGAATCGTCTTTGACGTCGAGTACGCCTTCTTCGCCTTTCGCATCGTCTCGCGAAGCGCGGAGCTTCCCACGGAGAACGCGTGCGACGAAGCGGAGGCGAACTGCTCGGACAACGCTTGACCTCGCATCATTAAATCAGAAAGCGTCAACTCGCCCTCTTCGAGATCGAAATCGACGATTTCGTCCCCCATGGGCACGAAGCCGGTTTTCCTCGCCACCTGGGCGCACATGCGCAATCGCTGTCGCACGAAGACTTCGTACATTTGCGTCCCTCGCATCGCGGCGAGAATGCCGGCGTGCTTCAAGTTTCCGAGCTCGAGTCCTCGTTGGTCGAGCCATAAACTATCGGCGATGATGGCGTCTCGAGGCGGCGGATGCGCGACGACGCCCTTGATGTGCTGCTTGTACGGCCCGAGCACGCTCGAGAAAAACGTTCGAAACACGCGCGCCACCGCTTGCGAGTCTTCACCTCGCGTGCGCTCGATCTCCCTGAGCAACCCGACGCGAAGGAGCGTGAACGGACCGGACGGAATCGCCTCGAAATCTTCCTCAAAGTACGTGAACGATCCGTCGTCGAGATTCAACGTAAAGACGTCGTCGCACGGAAGTCGCTTCGCGTCCTCCGACAGACTCGAATGCAAACCGACCAAAAACGGCATCGGCGCCGTCAAATAATCCAAAAACGCCTCCGGAACGACGGGTAAAAATATGTGCTGCCAACTCAGCGGATACAGCGCCGCGTTCGCCGCGTGCACCGCCGCGCTCACCGCCTCCAACCGCCCGCTCGTCAGCACCACCCGTCGCTCCGTCACCAACGCCGCGAACAGCGCCAGCACCGCCTCCACGTGCCCGCAGTCCAACAGCGCCGTAAATTTTATCCCCCCGTTAAACTCCTTCCTCAGATCCGGCGCTCGCAGCCGCACGCTCTGCGTCGCGACGCCCGCGAACTCGGTCCACGGCAGCCCGACGTCCGCCGTCGTCCCCGCCGTCGGCGCCCGCGTCCCGATCGTTCGATCCAGGTACTCCCACAGCGCGTCCCCCCGCGCGAGTTCCCGCGTCGTCCCGCGCGCCGTCGCGTCCAGCGCCTCCATCGCGCGCGTCATCGCGTGTCGCAGGACGTCGTCGTGGTACTCGAACCGCGCCGTCCGCGTCAGCGCCGCCGCCGCCCGCCTCGCGCCGACGCGTCGCACCGCCCCGATCGTCCGCGCGCCGTCCGCGCGCGTCAGGCAAAACGTGAATCGCGTCGTCGTCGTCGCGCCGTCCGTCGTCCGCGCGCGCGCCGCGGCGCGACGCTCGGGAAACGCGAATCTCCCGTCGACGACGTTCGCGCACATCGCGCGCAGCTCCGCGGCGAGCGCGCCGTCGTCGCCCGCGAGCGTCGCGAACACCACCGTCGGAGTCCCGTCGTCGTCGTCGATCGCGACGAACGCGGCGCCGGTCGCCGCGTCGGTCGCGCGCGACATTCGCGAAGCGCCGACGCGATGCCGCGTCACAATCTGACGCCGCGCGTCGTCGCGCGGCCCCGCGAGCGCGCGCGCGCGCGCGGGATGCTCGAGCGCGACGCGCGTCGCGCGCGACGCGCGTCGGCGACGGCGTAGGCGCGAGCGACGCGACGCGCGCGATGGAGAGCGATTTCGGCTGGGACGGCGCGGTCGACGACCGAGACGACGCGCGCGCGATCGACGACGGCGACGACGACGAAGAAGAAGAAGAAGAATCGTCCGCGCTCGCGAGGTCGCGCGACGCGTTCGACGACGACGACGACGACGACGACGCGCGGCGGCGACGGCGACGACGCGCGACGGGACGACGGGCGACGACGGCGGCGACGGCGTTCGAGCGAACCGTCGCGGCGTGGACGGCGAAAGACCTGACGGCGAACGCGCGGGAGGGCGAGGGCGGGCGGATGGTGGCGGCGCGCGCGACGTACGCGAGCGCGGACGCGTGGTACGCGACGTGCGAGGCGTTGGCGTACGAGGAGGCGCGGGCGACGACGGCGGCGGCGACGTCGCGAGGACGAGGCGAAGCGTTCGACGCGGAGGTGGTGGAGACGCGCGCGAGCGATGGATTCGTGGAGCTGAGCGCGCGACGCGTCGGTGGCGAGAAGACGGCGAGGCGCGGAGGCGACGACGCGGATTGGCGTCGACCGGCGACGGTGGTGCTGTTGCGTCGCGCCGACGACGAGACGCGCTCGGCGCTCGCGCTCGTGCGGGGACGCGGCGACGCGCGGGGCGCGGACGTCGTGCCGCTGTTGGCGAAACGTTCGCGCATTTTCGACGACGTCGAGGGCGTCGAGTTTAAAGCCGTCGCGCTGGCGTCGCTCGTCTCGTATCAGCGCATGGCGCACGCGTGCTTCGTGCGACCGCGCGTGGCGTTTGCGCACCAAATCGTCGGCGCCAAACGCGCGACGCACATAAAATTTAGCGATTCCGACGAAGACGACGACGAGCGAGTCGACGGGAAAAGTGGTGTCGAGGGTGATGATGAATCCTCGTGCGACGAGCGCGAGGGCGAGTACGTTTTACCGCTGAATGCGTCGCAGCGACGGGCGTTGCGTCGATTCTTCGCGCGCGACGGGCATTTCGATCAGTTACAAATGGTTCAAGGACCGCCGGGATGTGGGAAGACGCACTTCATCGTATCGCTCCTCGCGGTGCTCGCGGCGAAGAAACAGCGCGTACTCGTGTGCGCGCCGAGCAACAAGGCTGTGTGCGTCGTGATGGAACTTTACCTGCGAACGTGCGGCGAAGACGCCGCGCCGTGCGTGCTCACGGGCGCCGAGGATACGTTGCGAGAGGCGTCGTCGGTCGACGGCGGGGCGATGGATTATTTCATTTTCGAACGTTGCAACGTCATCGCGTCGTCTTTTCGACGATCTTTCGTTTCGGGAGGCGACGGCATTCGCGAGAGCGCGAAAGCCGCGCGGCGAGCTCTGGAATCCATAGCGCCTTCGTTTTGCAAGGGCGTCGTCGCCGAAGGTCTCTCCGCCGTCGCCGCGATGGACGACGAAGCGTCCATGCGCGCTCGAGGTGAGGAGATCGCGCGAGAAATCGAAAAGGGCTCGGGGCGCGGTGAGCGTTCGGATGAATTCGCGCGCGAAGCTTTGAATCGCGCGAGCTTGGTGTTCTGCACGCTCGCGAGCGCAGGCCAGTCGATCATGTCTTCGCTCGAGCAGCCCGACGCCCTCGTCGTGGACGAAGCCGCGCAGGCGCTCGAGCCGGAGATTGCGATTCCATTTTTGCGGTATCCAAGAAAAGCACTGCTCGTGGGCGATCCTGCGCAGTTGCCAGCCACGTTGATCTCGGAAATCGCTCGACGTCACGGCCACGCGACTTCGCTCATGGAACGATTGATGTCCGCGAACGCCGAGCGCGCGAGTTTGCTCGACACGCAATACCGAATGCATCCGTCGATCGCGAGTTGGCCTGCAGCGCAATTTTACGGTGGACGCCTCGCGAACGCCGATCACGTGTTGACGCGAAATCTCCCGCAAGGTCTTTCATCCAGCGTGCCGTCGTACGCCTTCGTGGACGTGGCGAGCGTCGAGAGTGGCGGAGTGGGAAAATCGAAGTGGAACCAGCGCGAGGCCGACGTCGCGTGTGCGCTGATTCGAGCGTTGAAAACCAAGTCTCCGACGCTTTTCGTCGTGTGCATTACGTTTTACAGCGCGCAAGTTCGTGCCATCGCTCGAGCTTTGCAACGAGCAGGCGTTCGCGATGTGGCGGTGCACAGCGTCGATTCGTTTCAAGGAAGCGAGGCGGACGTCGTCGTGTGTTCCGCCGTGCGAAGCAACGCAAAGGCGAACGTGGGATTTTTATCCGATAAACGTCGTCTCAACGTCGCGCTGACGCGCGCAAAATATTCCTCAATTGTCCTCGGGTCGCGCGATACGTTGTCTCGATGCGGCGTCGACGCGTTGCGTTCGCTCGTCGAAGACGCCGCGGCGCGCGACGTCATCGTCTCCGAGCATGACATCGTGCGTAGAATTATTAGAAATTAGCTACAGTAGTCGATGTAGTCGATGTAGAAGTACTAGGCTATCGCAGCGCCGACGTGTCGAAATCTCACGCCAACCCTTGGCTCTTCAAACGCTGGATGAACAAATTAATCGGCGACAGGAGCTGCTGCGGATCCTCCATCGTCGCCACGGTGCCGCAGCCCTCGATCTCGATCCAGCTCGTCTTGCTCGCCTTCATCAACGAATTCATCACGATCGTGTCCTTGTACCAAGGGCTGCTCGTTCCCGCCAAAATCATCGCGTCTATGTCTAACGACGCGTACACGTGCTCGTTATCCAATCGATGCAACGCCGCGTCGTAATACGCCAACGTCGCCTCCGGGTTCATCTCTCGCATCTCCCTTCGCGCCGTCTGCGCCAGATCGCTCTCGTACATCCCATTCGACCCACCAAGTCCGCGATAACTAAACATTCGCTTCAGCAAGTGTTTCAACGTCCACGGCGTCCATCCGTGACGCTTCAAATTAAACTTGCAAACCGCCCCCAACGCGTGCTCCATCGTCCTCGCTCGTCCGCAACTCGGCGACACGAATATTCCCGCCCGACACGCGCTCGAGTGTCGTCCCGCGTACAGCGCCATCACCGTCGCTCCCGCGCCGACCCCCAAGCACGTCACATCGCGCAATCCAAAGTGTTTCACGACGTCCTCGACGATCTCCGCGTGCGCGTCCAGCGTCGTCGCCGTCGTCGCCGCGTCCCCGTCCCCGCCTCGATCTCGCCCCCGCGCGCCGTCCTGGCACCCCGGGGCGTCGATGTGATACGCGCAGAACCTGCTGACGAGGTCGCTCCGCGGTCCCGCGCACACGAACAGCGGCTGGAAGCACGTGCGGTGGTTTAAACCGACGTCGTGGTAGGTGACGAGCGCGGGTCTCGAGCGATCGGCGCCCTGCGCGGTGACGGTGACGGGGCCGTGGCGCGTCGGCACGACGTGCGCGACGCCCGAGACGTCGAAGGACGCCGCGGGTAACAGATCGAGCCCGTCCTCGGGGAGCGACATGACGGGACGGCGCGCGACACGCGCGACGACGAGTGCGGCGCCGGCGGCGCGGCGAACGCGAAGGCGACGCGCGAAGCGCGCGGAATTCTCACGCGAGTTCTCACGCGAAGCGCGCGTTGGCGTTCAACGCCAACCCGAGCTTAAAATCTAAATCGTCTCCCGGATCGACGAGCGCGCCGCGGACGAGCGCGGCGTGGCGTTGACGCATCTCGCCCAGGAGCGCTCGACTCTCGAGCGAGAAATCGTCCGCGGAATCGAAGGGTTCGTCTGCGAACACCATGTCCTTCAAAACCTCCCGCGGCGACTTGGCGCACCCGAGGCGAGCGTCCGCGAACACGCATCCCCACGGATCGCCGTCGCGGTCGGCGTCCTTCGCGAGGACGATTTCGAGCGCGTCCGACGCGACGCTCCACGCCGTCTCGTCCGCCTTGACTCGCCGCGCGAGCGCGCCGGATAATCCCTCGACGACGCCGTGCCACGACGTCCACACCGTCAGCGCGCCGTCGTCGACCGTCACGCGCACGTCCCGCCCGCGCGTGTTCGCGGGCAGTTCGACGGTGATCTCCACCGTCGACGTCGTTTGATTCCACAACGCAATCTCCGTCCAGCACCTCGAAGAACCGCGACACGCGGACGACCACGCGCGACGCGCGCGCGCCGAGTCGGCGTCGCCGTCGGCGCGCGCGACGCATCCGTCGCTGTCGTACCCATCGTCGGCGTCGCCGGCGCCCATCGTCGCGCGCGTCGCCGTGTGACGCGTTTTCCGTCGACGTGCGTTTCGCGCTCGAGTAAAATAAAAACGGTCCGTCGCGCGCGCCGCCGTCGGCCTTCGACGCGCGTCGCGTCGCGCGCGCGTCGCGTCGCGCGCGCGGGGGCGTCGAAAACGAAGCGATCCATCGTTTTCGGCGCGTCGCGTCGCCCGTCGTCGCGCGCGTCGCGTCGCGACGCGCGCGTGCCGGCGCCGAATCGGCAAAAAAAAACGGTTTAGGTCGCGCGACGGACGGCGCGCGGCGCGCACACCGCGTCGCTTCGCGCGGCGTCGCGCGACGCTCGACGCCTCGGCGCGCGCGCGAGCGAAGGAACCGGACGACGACGCGCGCGGTCGACGCGATGACGGCGTCCGGCGCGTCGGCCGCGGCGCGCGCGACGCGCGCGGACGTCGAAACGATCGGCGCCGAGGTCTTTCGAGACGCCGTCGACGACGGTTTGCACGACGCGGTGTGCGCGTGGGTCGCGGAAGAGCTCGAGCGAGGACGGCGAGGGGAGCTTGAGGGTAAGACGCACGCGCCGGTGCCGCCGAAGTGGGCGCGAAGGGATCAGTCGAGGGAGATGCTGCAGTACGGGACGTACACGCACAGTAACCGAGTGGACGCGGAGACGCGCGTAGCGGCGATGCCGGCGATGTTTGAAGACGTGCTGGACGCGCTGGTGGCGAGAGGGGTGATCGGGAAGGATGAAAAGATGGATTCGTGCACGGTGAACGTGTACGGGAAGGGACAGTGGATACCGCCGCACATCGATAATCCGACGTTCGCGCGGCCGTTTGTGACGGTTTCGTTGGCGAGCGCGCAGACGATGACGATGGGGCGAGGGATGCTGTGGCCGAGTGGGGACGAAAAACCGGATCCGGGGGTCGTTTATGAGGGGGAGGAGTTCAGGGTGGTGCTTCCGGCGAAATCGGCGGTGCGCATGGAGGGAAGGGCGGCGGACGAGTACGAGCACGCGATTCCGCCCGTGAGCGAGGATAGGATTTCGCTCACGTTTAGACGACGAATGGCGGCGAATACCGAAGGCGACGCGATCGCGGCGCAGATGGCGATGACGGAGCAGTTTCGAGCGATGTATAGGGAAAAGCGCGCGGTCGGTCGAGACGATTCGTTGAAGGAACCCAAGGAAGTTTCCGAGGAGCAGAGACGACGCGAGAGCATCGCCGCCGAGAGGGCGGCGATCAAGGCGGCGCGAGAGGAGCGTAAGAAGGCGAAACAGTTGCGCAAGGAAGGTAAGCGGTCGGATGCGCTCGAAATGGAAGAGGCGACGAGGAAGAATCCGTCGCCGTCCGTAAAAACGAGCGTGTCGAACGCAGGGACGACGGCGACAGAGTTGGTGAAGAAGCCGCCCAAGCGAGCGTGCGCCGTGGTGCCAGAAAATTTCATAGACGCCGCGGAAAAGGTGACAGCGATGCCCGAAGTCGAGCGCGAGCACGTGCAGAAGGTGTACGATATCGTCGCGCAGCAATGGCACGGCACGAGGTATCGCGCGTGGACCGGGGTGGAGGCTTTCGTTAGGAAACAGCCGCCCGGTTTGCTCGCCGCGGACGTCGGATGCGGCAACGGTAAGAACATTCCCGAAATCGTCAAGGGCGGTGGTTTCGCGCTCGGAAGCGACTTTAGCAGAGGCTTGATTGAAATCTGTCGCGATAGCGGATACGAGGTAATGGTGGCCGACGCCGTTATTTTGCCGTATCGATCCGACGTGTTCGACTACGCGCTCAACATCGCCGTGTTGCATCACATATCGTCTCCCGAACGTCGCGTGGAGCTCGTAAAGGAAACGATGCGCATCGTCAAGGTTGGTGGTGTCGCATTATTCTACGCCTGGGCGCTCGAGCAAGAGCAAGGGGGGGTTTCTGGTCACCAATTTGAAGGCCAAGACGTCTTGGTGCCGTTTCATAACAAGATCAAAGTCAAGGGCGTCGCGCCCGAGGACGAGCGAGAGCGCCAATCGCGCGTGAGCGGCGCGCCCACGCACGGTGAGGCCGATCGCGAGAAACGATCGGTTGTGTATCAGCGATATTGTCACGTGTACACCGAGGGTGAGCTTCCAAAGCTGTTTGAAAACCTTCCTTGGTGCGAGGTCACGGCGGCGTATTACGATCACGGCAACTGGTGCGTCGAGGTTTTGAAGACGTCTCGTCCTTAGATGTCGTACGCGTCACCTTACAAAACTACTACTCGTACCGCGGATTGTCATCGTCATCATCTGTACTCTATTCTCACCGCCTTGCGCGTTTTGTGCACCTCGTGCCTGGCCTGCTTAATTCTCCTTCGCGCGTCCTTGTAAATTTCGTTCGCCTCCTTCCACGCCTTTTTCGCCTCGTCGAGCTCGGCTTTGGCGTTCGCGTACCGCGCGTTATTCTCCACCTGCGACAGCCTTCTCGGTCGCACGACGGAATCATCCATCATCGCCTTCATCGCGTTCCAATTCCCATCGTCGCGCACGTACCGCGCGCTCGCGTCGTCCCCGTCCACCTCCGTCACGACGGCGTCGAACGCCTCGCGCACCCGCGCCCACTCCTCAAACGTCAACGTCGCCCCCGCGTACTCCAAGTATCCGTTCACGTTCCCGCACGCCATGCGCCACTTCTCCGGTATCCCATTCACGCCGTCACCGTCACCGTCACCGTCACCGTCACCGCGCGCCTCGGACGTCGTCGCGTCGTCCGCCGCCTCGCGCGTCTCGAACGCCTCCGTCGCCTCGATCGCCTCGTGCGCGAATCGCCGCGCGAGCGCCGTCGCCTCCGCCTCGCACTTTCCCACCTCCCTCGCCACCGCTCGCGCCGCCGCCGACCCATCCTCCGCCTCCAGCGACGCTCGCACGCGTCCCAGTCGCCCGCCGACGCGCGCGCTCCACCGTTCACAAATCTTCGCGACGCACGCCGTCTCGCCGCGCGTCGCGCGCCGACGCCGAATCGCGCCGACGTAGCACATCGCCGTCATCGCCTCCGCGTCGATCGCGCGTCGGCTTTCGCGCAGGAGCTCGAACGCGCGCGTCGCGCGCGGCGTCGCGCGCGCGAACGCGTCGAGCGCGTCGCGGTCGTCGGCGCTCGAGCGCGTCGCGGTCGCGTCGGCGCGCGCGGCGCGGCGGCGGCGAATCGGCGCCGGTCGACGGCGCGCGACGGCGCGCGCGGGCGCGCTCGAGCGCGCGGGCGAGCGCGCGCGGGCGGCGGCGCGCATGCGTCGACGCGCGGGCGCGCCCGACGGCGCGCGCGCGGCAGAGCGCGACGCGGTGTGCGGCGAAAGGATTCGTCATGACGCGCGGTGACGGCGCGCGCGACGGCGCGTCGACGCCGCGCGCCATCGGGCGCCTGCCGAGCGACGTCGTCAATCGCGTCGCCGCGGGAGAGGTGCGTCGAGGGCCGGCGCGCGACGGCGCGCGCGATGAGAGATTGAATGTTTGAACGTCAGCTCGACGACGGACGACGCGAACGCGCGACTGACGACGCGAGACGACGCGACGACCGAACGCGCGCGCAGGTGATCCATCGACCGTCGAACGCGCTGAAAGAGCTGGTGGAGAACTCGTTGGACGCGGGCGCGAAGTCGATCGCGGTGACGACGAGGGAGGGCGGGAATAAACTGTTGCGAGTGCAAGACGACGGACACGGAGTGCGAATAGAGGACTTGCCGCTGCTGTGCGAGCGACACGCGACGAGTAAGATTGAAAAGTTTGAGGATTTAGCGCGATGCGAGAGCTTTGGGTTTCGAGGAGAGGCGCTGGCGAGCATGAGCTACGTGGCGCACGTGTCGGCGACGACGATGGCGGCGGGGGCGACGCACGCGACTCGAGCGACGTATACGGATGGGAAGATGGATGCGGAGGGGGCGAAACCGATCGCGGGGGTGTTAGGAACTACGATTAGCGTGGAGAACTTGTTTTATAACGTCGTGACTCGAAGGAAGGCGTTGAAGAGCGCGTCAGAGGAGTACTCGAAAGTGCTCGAGGTGTTGCAGAGGTACGCGGCGTTGCGAACGGATGTGGCGTTCACGTGTCGGAAGCACGGTGAGTCGCGAGCGACGTTGCACACTCCCGTGGCGCAATCGCGCGTCGAGCGGTTGCAGGCGATTTACGGTCCCACGGTGGCGAGAGATTTGAAGAAGCTCGACTTCGACAGCGAGCTGTCCAAGAAAAAGTTTGATTTCAAGCTGCAAGTGGACGGTTTAGTGAGCGGTGGGAATTATCATTCAAAGAAGACGACGTTCATTTTGTTCATCAATTCGCGTTTAGTGGAGTGCGCGCCGCTCAAGCGCGCGTGTGAGTCGGTGTACGCGGCGATACTCCCCAAGGCTGAGAAGCCGTTTGTATTCATGCACCTCCGCCTGCCGTTTGAAGACGTCGACGTCAACGTGCATCCCACGAAACAGGAGGTGCACTTTCTGCACCAAGAAGCCATTGTGGAGTTGATTCAGTCCAAACTAGAGAAGATTCTTCTCGCGACGAATTCGTCGCGAACATTCACCGTGCAAACACTGCTTCCTGGCGCGGAGAAACTGGCAAAGAAGGATGACGAAAACGACGCCGAGCGAAGCGGCGACAAGGAAAATAGCGAAAAAGCGGACGAACCGCCGGCGTCGCAGGCGAAGACGATGCGGACACAGCGCGAACGCGCGGGTGGTGATCACAAGCTCGTTCGCACGGATGCGAATTTAGCAGCGGGGAGTTTGGACGCGTACTTGCAGCGAGCGATGAATTCCGAGGGACGCGAACACGAGAAAATAGAAGAGGTTCGACGCGCGGTGAGAGAGCGTCGAGGACAGCGCACGGAACCCGAAGACACGTACGTGTGCGAGTTGACGTCTATTCGCCAGCTTAACACCGAAATCGCCAATCGCGCGCACAAGGAGCTCGGCGACGTGATTAAAAATCACACACTCGTCGGCGCCGTGGACGCGCGCAAAGGCGTGTGGTTACTTCAGCACCAAACCAAGCTCTTCATGGTGGACGCCGTAAAGCTCACCGAGGAAATGTTCCATCAAATGGCTTTGAAGAACTTCGCCAACTTTGGGTACCAATCGCTGCAAGATCCCGCGTCTTTGGCCGAACTCGCGCTGTGCGCGCTGGAGGATAAATTCGTCGACGACGAAGAGTGGGACGCGAGCGATGGCTCCAAGGAGGAAGTCGCAGAGAAAATCGCAGAGATGCTCGTCGAAAAGGCGGACATGCTCAAGGAGTATCTCGGCGTCGTCATCGACAAGGAACGGCGTCAGATCACCGGAGTGCCGTCGATGCTTCCCGGGTACGCGCCGGAAATCGGCAAACTTCCCGAGTTCGTCCTCGCCCTCGCCGAAGACGTCGATTGGACGAGTGAAAAAGAGTGCTTCGAAACCTGCGCTCGAGTCATCGGCGCATTTTTCGCCATGGACTGCTCTTTCCACGATCCGAAAGCCGAAGAAGGCGACGCCGAGTCCGACGCTCGTCGCGTCGCTCGCCTCTGCGTCTTTCCCGCGATGAAGCGCCGTCTCGCCCCGCCTCGTCGTTTCGCCGACGACGGCACCGTCATTCAGATCGCGTGCCTCGAGCAGTTGTACAAAATTTTCGAGCGCTGTTAGTCGGTCCGCGTCGTCGTCGTCGCCCTCGAACGGCGTCGGCGTTCCGAATCGTCTCGCGGCGCGTCGCCCGGTCGTAAAGCTTGAAATCGTGAACCAACCAGCCGTTCGATTCAACCGACGCGCGTCGACCGCGCGCGCCTCGGTCGTCACTCCCGCGCGCGCCACCGGCTCGACGGACGGACCGACGCGACCGACGCGACCGACGCGCGCGTTCGAATCGTGCATGCGCGCCGCGCGTCTCGTCGCCGCGCGCGTCGCCGCGAGAACGCCGACGTCATCGCGTCGCCTCGCCGCTCGAAAACTCAAAACGACGACCCGCGCGCGCGACGCCGCGATCGCCGAGCGAGCGAGCATGACGACGGGCGAACGCTCGAACGCGTCGAAGCTCGCGGCGGTGCGAGAGGCGATGGCGAAGCGAGGGGTGCGAGCGGTCGTCGTGCCGTCGCAGGATCCGCACTTTAGGCGCGTCGGCGAAGCGAAGGCGAACGAACGAAACGAGGAACGACGACGCGCGCGACGGGAAAGACTGACGAACGGGCGAGGGCGTGTTTTTGTGGGGAACGCAGTGAGTACGTGGCGGCGTGCTTCGAGCGACGACGATGGTTGAGCGATTTTACGGGGTCGGCGGGGACGGTGGTGGTGACGGACGCGGCGGCGTTGTTGTGGACGGATGGACGGTATTTCGTGCAGGCTGAAGACGAGCTGAGCGAGGACTGGACTCTGATGCGAAGTGGGGTGAAGGATGTGCCGGACGTGAAGAAGTGGTTGTGCGCGGAGGAGGCGGGACTGGCGTTTACCGGAGCCAAGGTGGGCATCGATCCAAACGTGCACTCGGTGAGCGAGGCGCGAGGTTTGAGAGAAGCGTTGAGCGCGTGCGGGATCGAGTTGATGAGCGTCGAAGAGAACTTGGTAGATTTGGTTTGGAGCGATCGTCCACCGTTCCCGAAGACGCCGCTCAGAGTGCACCCGATGGAGTACGCGGGGAAGAGCGTGGCGGAAAAATTGGAAAACCTTCGAGAAAAAATGAAGGAAAACGACGCGCAGAAGCTCGTCGTGAGCTCGTTGGATGACGTCATGTGGCTATGCAATGTTCGAGGCGGTGATGCACCGTGTAATCCGGTGACGTTGTCTTACGTCTTGGTGGGTGAAAACGACGCTTCGTTTTACGTCGACACGGACAAGGCGACGCCTGAAGTCGTGGCGCATCTCGCCGAGGCAAACGTGACGATCAAGCCGTACGAAGACATGGCCAAAGACGTGTATGCCGCGGCACAGCGCGGTGAGCGACTCTGGATGGACGTCGATAAGGTCTCCATCGCCATGCTCGAACAGGCTGAAGCCGGAGCCGCCGAAGCGCCCAAGGATGCGAAAAAGGTGAAGACGGAGAGCGCGCCGTCCGCCATCAAGGAGGGCACGTGTCCGGTCCCGATCGCAAAGGCGGTGAAGAATGAGGCCGAGATGGCCGGTATGGTCGAAGCCCACCTCATGGATGGCGCTGCGATGGCTGAATTCTGGTGCGCGATCGAGCGAGACGTCGCCGAGGGGCGCGCCATTGACGAGTACGAAGCTGGCGAGAGGGTCTTGGCGTGCCGAGCCAAGCAAAACGGTTTCTTCGAAGAATCGTTCCCGACGATCGCGGGTGAAGGTCCTCATGGCGCCGTGGTGCACTACCGTGCTTCGAAAAAGAGCGCGAGGGCTATCGGTAAGGACAGCTTATTACTCTGCGACAGCGGCGGCCAGTACGCGTGTGGCACGACGGATGTCACTCGAACGGTGCACTTCGGAACGCCCACCGCTCATCAAAAGGAGTGCTACACGCGCGTGCTCCAAGGTCACATCGCACTCGACCAAATGGTTTTCCCTGTCGGCACGAAAGGTTTCGTTCTCGACGCCTTTGCGCGATCGCACCTGTGGGCCAACGGCTTGGATTACCGTCACGGCACCGGCCACGGCGTCGGCGCGGCGCTCAACGTGCACGAAGGTCCGCAAGGAATCTCTCCGCGTTTTGGAAACATGACGCCCCTTATGCCAGGAATGATCTTGAGCAACGAGCCGGGGTATTACGAAGACGGTGCGTTCGGTATCCGCATCGAGACGCTTCTGCAAGTGAAGGAGGCGAAGACTGCGCACAACTTCGGAGACACTGGATTTTTATGCTTTGACGTCTTGACGTTGATCCCGATTCAAACGAAACTCATGGACTTGAGCATTATGAGTGAAAAAGAAATCGCGTGGGTGAACGCGTATCACGAAAAAGTTTGGCAACAAATTTCCCCGCGAGTGTCGGGGGAGACTAAAACGTGGCTCGAACGCGCGTGTGCAAAGATTTCCAAGTAGGCGGCGTAGATTTACGTGTTTTAATTTGATGTTGAATTCGAGGTTGTTTTCGGCGAAAATTTGAATGCGTCTCTCGTTACAACTTTATTTTAGGATCACATTCGTTCGTTGAACACAAAAGTATGGTACGACGTATTTTCTCACTGGGACTCTATACCGCTAAGATCAAGAAGCAAAGGCTTTAGATGGCCTTGTACTCAACCTTGGTGATCTTACCCAACATGACGGCGGTGTTACCGTCCAAGAAAGCGATGCGGGAAAGACCTTCGCACTTCTTGAAGGAGTCGACGACGAGCGGGTGGACCGGCTCGAAGACGCACTCGGCGACTTCGTTGGACTTCAACGACATCGGGGACTCGAGCTTCTTACCGCCGGTTTCCTTGCCAACCTTGAAGTTGAGCGCGGTCAACTTGCACGCGGAGCGGCCGCATCGGACGAAACCGATGGGGCTGTAGCCCGCCTTGAGTTCACCCGGAATGTCCAAGGTTTGGATTTGCGCGGTGAACTCCTTGCACGGGGCGAGGGAGGTGTCCTTCTTGTAGATCATCACGTCACCGGTGCGCGGCATGTTGAGCTTGTCGAGACCCTTGATGTTCATACCGACGTTGTCACCCGGCGCGGCGGCTTCGACGCGCTTGTGGTGCATTTCGACGGTGAACACCTTACCACCGCACGGGTTGGAGGAGGTGTGGGTCGGGAGGAAGACGACGTCTTCACCCGGCTTGACGAGACCTTGCTCGACGCGACCGGCGAGGACATCACCGACACCCTTGATCTTGTAGACACCGGAAATCGGAAGGCGCATGGCGGCTTCCGTGTTGCGGTCCGGCTTGTCGACCATGTCGTTGAGGACGTTGAGGAGGCAGTCGATGTGGAACTTCTTGCCGCCGCCCATGTAGTCTTCGACGTCGACGCCGTTCCACCACGGCATCTTCGCGGACTTGGACAACAAGTTGTCGCCGTTCCAGCCAGAGATCGGGAGGACCGGGACGCTCTTCTCGACGTAATCCTTCTTCCAGCCGACCTTGATCAACATGTTCTTCATTTCGTTGCGAATTTCTTCGTAACGCTCTTGCTTGTAGCCAGCCATGTCGCAATCCATCTTGTTGATGCCGCAAATGAGCTGCTTGACGCCGAGCAAGTTGAGAAGACGCGCGTGCTGGCGCGTTTGGCCTTGGACTTCACCAGCCTTGTGGTTACCCTTTTGGATGGCGACCGTGAAGTTACCGTCCGCCGGCACCATGAGAAGCGCCACATCGGCTTGCGCCGCGCCGGAAATCATGTTCTTGATGAAATCGCGGTGACCCGGGGCGTCGATGATGGTGTAGTGCCACTTGTCCGTGAAGAATTCCTTGGTCGTGCAAGAAATCGTCACACCACGCTCACGCTCTTCCTTTTGGCGATCCATGTAGAACGCGAACGCGAAAGAAGACTTACCGAGCGCATCGGCTTCGGCGCGAAGCTTTTCGAGTTCGCGCTCCGGGATACCCCCGAGCTCGAATAACAAGCGACCGGTCGTCGTCGACTTACCGGAATCGACGTGACCGCAGATCACGATGGAAAGATGTTCCTTGCCTTCAGACATTGTGCGTTTATTTCAACTGTTTCGAGCCACGCGCGCATCGTCAGTCCCCCTTCCTCTCGTCTCGCCTCGTCCCGCGTCCAAACCTCCCGCCATCGCGCCGCCATCGGATCGCGATCGTCAACCTCGCCCCCCCCCCTCGCTCGCGACCCTCGCGCGCGTCCCGCGCCGCCCGATCCATCGCGCGCGTATTCCTCCCGATCGTTTCCATCCGCGACCGACGCCTCGCGCGTCGCATCGCGGCGTCACCGCGTCCGATCGTCGTCCGCGCGCCGTCCGCGATCGATCGTCGTCCGCGATCGATCGCGCGGCGCCCGCATCGCCTCGCCCTCGCGTCGTCGCGCGCCCTCGCGCGCGCGCCGCGACGCGCGCGAATATTTCCCACCGCCGCGTCCGTCGATCGCCGTCGCGCGCGCGTCGTTCGCCGCGCGCGGGCGCACCTTTGACCGTCGAAGAATGGCGCCGCCGCCGTCCTGGGGTCTTCGCGAGGATGCGTCGACGCGTGCGTTTCGTCGACGGTTCATGACTCAAGAGTATGTGTCTTCGTATGGGTAAACAGTGTGAGTATCAGCAGAACGCCGCCCAGCCTCGACGGCCCGCGCGGCGGACGCCGCAGCATGGCGCGCGCGCGCGCCGACGCGCGCGACGCGCGCGCGAGCGATTGGCGCGCGTTCGTCGCCGGCGTCGCGGGCGGCGCGTCGAGCACGCTCGCGCTGCACCCGCTCGACGTCGTGAAGACGCGGCTGCAGGTGCAGGACGACCCGGACGCGCGACGCGCGCGGTACGCGGGCGCGTGGCGAGGCGCGCGACGGATCGTCGCCGAGGAAGGCGCGCGCGGGATCTACGCGGGCGCCGCGCCGGCGATCGTCGGGAGCGCGGTGAGCTGGGGGGCGTATTTCGCGTGGTACGACGGCGCGCGGGCGCGGTACGCGGACGCGCTCGGACGAGAGCGAAACGGGGCGCTGCCGGCGGGCGCGAACATGATGGCGGCCACGGAGGCGGGGGTGGTGACGACGGTGCTGACGAACCCGATTTGGGTGGTGAAGACGCGGTTGCAGTTGCAGAGAGGAGGAGGATTAGGGGACGCGGCGAGCGAAGCGGCGAAGAGCGGCGAAAAGCGATACGCGGGATTCGTCGACGCGTTGGCGACGATCGCGCGAAAGGAAGGGTTGAGAGGGTTATACAAGGGACTCGTGCCGTCGATATGGCTCGTCTCGCACGGTTCGATACAGTTGACGGCGTACGAGTGGTTGAAGGAAATCGCGGCGAGCGGCAGAGCGAGACGCGCGCGAGGGGGCGCGGCGGACGTCGCCCCGGTCGAGGCTGGCGCCCTGGGCTTGGCGTCGAAATTCATCGCCGTGACCGCGACTTATCCAATTCAAGTCGTGCGCGCGCGCATTCAACAGCGCTCGGACGTCGGTAGACCCGCGGACGCCCCGACGTACGCGCGCTTCGGCGAAGCCGTCTCGCGCACCTTCGCTCGCGAGGGCGTTCGCGGCTTCTACAAGGGCTTCGCCCCCAACGTCGTTCGCGTGTTACCGAGTTCGGCCATCACGTTCGCCGCGTACGAGGGCGTTTTAGGCGTATTAAACGACGATCCCGTCGCGTAGCGTAGCGTAGCGTAGCGTAGCGTAGCCGTTTGCAACGCGTCCTCGCGCGAGGGCGCCTCGAAACGACGATTGGCTTCGCCGACCGACGCCTCGCGCACTTCGCGACGCGATGTCGCGCGCGCCCGACGTCGCGAGCGAGCGACGCGACGCGTCGCGCGTGTCCATGCCGTTCGCGCCCGGCGCGATCCCGCGAAGCGAGAGCTACGACGCGTTCGTCGCGTCGGTGCCCGACTCGCGCGCGTCGCCGGTGAAATCGCTCGCGCGCGCGCGCGATGCCTCCGCGAGCGCGACGACGGGCGACGACGAGCGACCGCGCGTGATGCTGCTCCACTGCGGCGGCACGCTCGGGATGGGGGTGGAGTCGTTCGAGCTGCGAGAGGCGGACGTCGTCCCGCGCGCGGGTGGCAAGTACAGACCGCTGGGGGCGTCGAAATATCTGTTGGACGTGCAGGAGGTGATACCCGAGCTGCGAGATTTCGCGCGGCTGGACGTGGAGGTGTTGATGAATAAAGACTCGAGCGAGATGGACGGAAAGGATTGGGTGACGCTCGCGCGGGCGCTGCACGAGAGGAGGGAGGAGTACTCGGCGTTCGTCGTGGCGCACGGAACGGATACGATGGCGTACGCGGCGAGCGCGCTGTCGTTGATGCTGGTTGGGTTCGGAAAGCCGATCGTGTTGACGGGCTCGCAGTTGCCTCTGTCGTTCGCGCGATCGGACGCGCGCCAAAATTTGATTGACGCCCTGACGTGCTGTTGCGCGAGTCGAAGCTGCGGAGGTACCGTGGATTTCGCGGAGGTGGCGATTTGTTTCGGCGGTAAGCTTTTACGCGGGAATCGCGCGTCAAAGACGAGCGCGACGGTGTACGCGGCGTTTAGTTCACCTTCGTATCCAGCGCTCGCGAGATTAGGAGTGGGGGTCGATTGGAACCACGCGCGTTTGTTACGGCCGGCGCCAGAGTACGCGCCGCAATTTGAGTTGAATTCGAACGTCATACGCGTCCCGGTGATTCCTGGCTTAGACATCGAAAAGGCGTACGGCGATTTGTACGGTCGAGGCGTGCGAGGCATCATCTTGGAAGCGTTCGGCGTGGGAAACTTCCCGCAGAGCCTCGTCCCTTGGCTCACCAGCCAAGCGTCGCGCGGATTGCAAATCTACCTATCGACGCAGTGTCAAAGCGGCGAATTACGACCGGAGCTCTACGCCGCCGGTCTCGGCGCGTTAGCCGTAGGGGCCAAATCTGGCCCGGTCATGACCAGCGAGTGCGCCGTGGTCAAAATGATGCTCCACATCGCGAATCCCGAGCTCGAGCTCCACGTATCGTACTCTGGCGAAGCCGGCGACGTCGATTTTTGCGACATCAAGTGACCGCTCGCGCCTCGTTCCACGCACTATCCAAACCTAAAAGTAGCCCTTTTAATTTTAGCCACCGCGCGCCGAATCGACCGACCGCGCCGGCGTCGGGGCCACGGTCAAAATCGCGAACCGCCGCTGGACTCGCGAATGGCGACTTTGGATGGATGACTTTGGTCGGCATCAGATCGCGACGCGTCCACGACGCACGCGCGCATCGATCTCCCTTTGGACGCGCACACGCGCGCGTGAACGTGATCCCACGCCGTCGCGATGTCGCTCAAGTCCATCAACCCCAACGCCGAGCTCATGAACGCCGATGCCGCGCTGTTCATGAACATCAACGCCGCCAAGGGTCTCCAAGACGTGATGAAGACGAATTTAGGCCCGAAAGGGACGATCAAGATGCTCGTCGACGGTGCTGGAGGTGCGTGTACGATCGTTTCGTCGATACATCGCGGTTTCGCGCGTCACGGCGGCGCGTGAGAGATGCGCGGTGACGGTGATCTGTTGGATTTCGCGCGAACGCGGCGCGGCGTTGACTCTGTTGACCGAACGACTGACGGCGATGTTGAAATCGATGTGCGTAGGTTTGAAGCTCACGAAGGATGGGAACGTGCTGCTGAGAGAGATGCAGATTCAAAACCCGACGGCGATCATGATCGCGAGGACGGCGGTGGCGCAGGATGATATCACCGGGGACGGGACGACGACGACGGTGCTCGTCATCGGAGAGTTGTTGAAGCAAGCGGAGCGGTATTTGAATGAGGGTTTGCATCCGAGAGTGATCGTGGAGGGATTCGATGTGGCGAAACGCGAGTCGCTGAAGTTTTTGGAAACGTTCAAGCGCGCGGCGCCGGGTGTGGAAGCGCCGGATCGAGAAATGTTGTTGTGCGTGGCGCGCACGGCGTTGCGAACAAAGTTGCGGGAAGAGTTGGCTGATAAGTTGACGACGATCGTCGTCGACGCTGTGTTGTGCATCGCCAAACCGGAAGAGTCGATCGATTTGCACATGGTGGAGATCATGACCATGAAGCATCAGACGGATGACGAAACCAAATTGATTCAGGGTTTGGTCCTCGACCACGGGGCGAGACATCCGGATATGAAGAGATACGTGGAGGACGCGTTCGTGTTGACGTGTAACATCAGCCTGGAATACGAACGATCGGAGGTGAACTCGACGTTCATGTACACCGATGCGGAACAGCGCGAGAAGATGGTCGCCGCCGAGCGCGCGTACACCGATGAAACCGTGCGCAAGGTGATCGCGCTCAAGAAGCAGGTGTGCGACGGCAACGACAAGGGTTTCGTCGTCATCACACAAAAGGGGATCGACCCAATCTCTCTGGACATGCTCTGTAAGGAAGGCATTATGGGACTTCGTCGCGCCAAGCGCCGAAACATGGAGCGTCTCGTCCTCGCATGTGGTGGTCAATGCATCAACTCTGTTGAGGAACTCTCGCCGGAAATTTTGGGCCACGCCGGCGAAGTGTACGAGTACGTCTTGGGCGAGGAAAAGTACACTTTTGTGGAAAAAGTCGTCAACCCGACGTCGTGCACGGTACTTTTAAAAGGCTCGAACGATCACACCATCGCACAGCTCAAGGATGCGGTGCGAGATGGCTTGCGGGCGGTGAAGAATGTGTTGACCGACAAGGCCGTGGTTCCGGGCGCGGGTGCGTTTGAGATGGCCTTGAACAAGCACTTGAAGGAGAACGTCACCAAGATGGTCGAAGGTCGCGCGAAACGCGGCGTCGAGGCGTTTGCGGAAGCCATGCTCGTGGTCCCGAAGACACTCGCGGAGAACAGCGGTTACGATCCGCAAGACGCCATCATCGACATGCAAGAGGAGCACGACAGAGGCAACGTCGTCGGTTTCGATATCAGCATCGGCGAGCCCTTCGACCCCACCATGAGTGGTATCTACGACAACTTTCTCGTCAAACAGCAAATTCTGCACTCTGCGCCCATCATCGCCACGCAGTTACTCTGCACGGATGAGGTTCTCAGAGCGGGCGTGAACATGCGCAAGCGATGATCGACGCGAGTCAGAAACTTATAGAATTTAGTGGTGGTGCGTACGCACGTACGTAGTAGCAGCGTGTGTGAATCTACAAGGAAAGAATTGCTAATTAAGCGCGCGTGAAAATGTATATTCCGCCCGCGGCGGCGCGTCCGATCAACATGTCCTCGTCGCAAAACGTGAGATGATACGTGCCCACGGCGGCGCCAGCTTCTCCGCCGCCCATGGACGTCAGAGCGCCCCGAAGCGGAAACTTCAGCTCGAGCTCTTTGATAAACATCAGCACTTGATGATTCAGCGACGACCGAGGCAAAATCGCCGGCGCCAACAACGTCTCGGCGAGCGGCGAAATACTAATCTCGCTCACCTGCGCCTCTTGAAACGTCAACGCGATGCGCCGCCGCCCGACATCCTTAAAACTCGCCTGCACGCGCAATCCGACGCCTCCCGGCGCGCCAACCTTCGCCTCGCTCAACAAAAACGGCACGCTCAGGCGTATCTCGTTCGTGATCCCCGTATTCGTCCCGTTCGCGCACCCGAAGCTCTGAAAAATATCCCCCACCTCGGGCACCCCCAACCTCTGCGACGCCATCAACAGCCCCAGCACGTCCGCCGCGTTCGTGTACGCCAACCGCCACTTCCCATCCAGCGCATCCCACTCGATCGTCTCGCTCGTCGTCAGCCGCTCGAGCGCGCCCGCCGCCGCCATGATCTCCGCCGCGTCGTCGCGCGTCGCCAGCGCCCCGCGATACGTCCCCGCGCACGCCTCCCGCAGCCGCGCCCTCGCGCGCGCGCGCGCCTCGTCCGCGCGCGCCTCCGCGTCGACGTCACCACCCTTTCCTCGCGCGCGCGCGTCGTCGATCGCGCGCGTCGTCGTCGCGCGCGCCCGCTCGAACCTCGAACCGACCCCCGTCGACGTCGTCCTTCGCGGCGACGCCGCCGCGCGCGCGCGCGCGCGCGTCGCGTCCGCGCGCGCGACGGCGACGCGCATCGTCGCGATCGCGTCCCGTTCGCCCGAGCGCCGCGAACTCGCGTCGCGCGCGCGTCGCGCGATTGTGACGCGCCACATCGCGCGCGATCGTATTCTCGACGCGAATGCCGCCGCGCCCTCGCGCGGACGCGTCGGTGGACCTCGCGCGCGCGCGCGCGAGCGCGGACGACGTCTCGCATCGCCTGTCGGACACGCGCGCGCGCACGGTGCAGGCGGTGGAGCTCACGGAGCGCGCGCTGAGGGAATTCAGAGACGCGGACGCGCGCGACGCATCGAAACCGCGATCGACGCTCGTCTCGCCGTACGACGGCGAGGAGGACGAGGAGGGCGGAGATAACGAACTCACGGCGCTGGTGCGGCAGCTGGAGTCGTTCGCGGAGAAACGAACGGGGACGGGACAGGCGCCGCGAGGGGCGAACGGGACGAGCGGGACGACGCGCGGCGAACGGGAACGAGAACGGGAACGAGGAGGGGATAAATGGAGCGTGAAGAGCGGAGATAGCGGCGATGGACGATCGATGAACGATGAAAATTCGTTGGTCGGGTACTCGATGATGTACGGGAGCACGGTGGACGACGATGGGAGCGCGGCGGACGCGGATGAGCTCGCGAGCGAGTTTTCGGTTGATTTTTCGCTGCCGAGCGAACGCGTGGCTGGGGGTGCGACGGCGAGGAACGATAAAAAGAGCGAGCTCGGGAGCGTGAGTGGGCGGATAAACGCGGTGAGCGATAGTTTAACGACGAGCAAGTCGCGATTGCACGAGAGCATCGCGAGCTTGGAGCTCGAAGCCGGGTTGACTGAAAACGGCGCCGAGATGGATTTCGAGCAGTACAAGGACGACATGCCCGTGGTCGGGAACACGAAGACCGGTCAGGTCGTCATCGATTTAGCCGCGAGAGGCGTGAACTCGCTCAGTCGATCGAGTTCGCAGTTCATGGGCGAAGGCAAAGGCGGTCGGGGCGGCGACGGCGCCGAGCTCAGTCCGCTTGTGCGAATGTTCAATAGCGTGTGCGGCGGTTGTTGCGCCCTGCGCAAGTGACGCCGCGCGCGAGATGACAACCACCACTAGCTACGGTGGGTGCGTGTAAAACTAAACAGCGCAGCGCGACGCGATTCGACGCGACGCGCGCGCTCGAATCGAGACGAGCGTCTCTCGGCGCCGCCGCCGCCCTCGCGCGTCACTTCGAGCCCGCCCGCCATGCCGCGACTCCTCTCTCCACGCGCCCTCGCGTCGTCGCGACTCTCCCTCGAAGCGACGGTGCTTCCGGGTCGTCGCGCGCGCGCCTCGCCGCGCGCGCGCGTCGCCGTCGCGCGGGCGTCCTCGCTGACCATCGCTCGACCGGACGACTGGCACCTGCACGTCCGCGACGCCTCAAAGCTCGCCGACGTCGTCCCGTTCACGTCGAAGACGTTCAAGCGCGCGCTGGTGATGCCGAACCTGACGCCGCCCGTGCGCACGGCGAGCGAGGCTGAAAAGTACCGGGAACTCATCGCGAAGGCGGCGCCGGCGAGCGACGGATTCGAACCGCACATGACGCTGTATCTCACGGATAACACCACGGTAGAGCAAGTCGAGGAAGCGCACGCGTGTGGATTCGTGCGAGGGTATAAGCTGTACCCGGCAGGGGCGACGACGAACAGTGAATTTGGGGTGACGGATGTGGCGAACGTGGCGAAGGCGACGAAACGCATGGCGGAACTGGGGCTGACGTTGCAAGTGCACGGAGAAGTGACGCACGCGAGCGTGGACGTGTTCGATCGAGAGGCGAGATTCATTCAGGACGTTTTGATGCCGCTGTTGGATAGATCTCCGGATTTGAGGGTGGTGATGGAACACATCACGACGCGCGACGCCGCCGAGTTTGTCGCCGCGGCGGGGCCGAACGTCGCAGCGTCAGTGACGCCGCAACACGTGCTGTTCAATCGTAACGCCCTTTTCAAGGGTGGTTTAAGACCACATTTCTATTGCTTGCCCATCTTAAAGCGTGAGGAGCATCGCGAAGCCGTGCTCGCGGCGGCGACGAGCGGGAGCGGCAAGTTTTTCCTCGGCACCGACAGCGCGCCGCACCCCAAAGGCGCAAAGGAGGCCGCGTGCGGGTGCGCGGGTATCTTCTCTGCGCATGCCGCGTTGCCACTCTACGCCATGGCTTTCGAATCCGTCGACGCGCTCGACAAGCTCGAGGCGTTTGCGTCGCACAACGGAGCCGACTTTTACCGCGTCCCGCGTAACACCGAGACGGTGACGTTGGAGAAGAAGGCTTGGAAAGTGCCGGATGAGTACAAGTTTGGTGACACTACGGTGGTGCCATTTTACGCGGGTGAGGAAATTCCGTGGAGCGTGGTGTAATTAAAATCGACAACAAATTGTAGGAGACGCGGCGAAGATAATCAGCCATTACAAATTGTACGCCTCGCAGCTCTTGACGCCGTTCTCCTTGCAAAACTCGATGCTCAAATCCCAAAGCTTCGCGTTAGACTCGGCGTTTTTCGCGCGCGGCGCCATGGCATCGGCGCCGAAACCGGCGAACGCTTTGGATAAGAGAGGCATGCCGAACATGTACGTCGCGCTCTTGTGCATCTTGAACAGCTTGGACATTTTAATCTTGAACGGCATGTAAAGCGTCGCCTTTGTTATGGACGGCAGCGACGCCGCGTTCACGCTCGTCATCGCTCCTTGCGCGGGCGTCAAGGCCAAGATGCTCATGATCTTTCGCAAAACCGGGTTGTAATCTCTCCAAATGTTGCTCGCCACGAAGCCCGGATCTGCGGCGGCGCAGACGATCTTGTTATCCGGATACGCCGCATCCAATCGTCGCTGCAGCTCCACCGTCATCGCCAAACACGCCAACTTGCTCGACCCGTAGTTCCCCTTCGTCTTACTCGCACCCTTGTAGTAGTACTGATACTTGTTTGACCCGAACCACGTCGTCACCGAACTCAACGCCACCACCCTCGCGCCGTCGCTCTTCATCAACTGCGGCAACAACAACGACGTGAGCATGAAGTGTCCGAGATAATTCACCCCCATGCATATGTCGTACCCTTGTTTCGTCGTCTTCGGTCCACTGTATCCGCTCGCCCCGTTCAATCCCGCGTTATTCACCAAGACGTCCAATTTTTCATACTCCTTCCCAAACTTTTCCGCGAACGCCCTGACGCTCGCGGCGTCGCTCAGATCGAGCGCCATCACCGCCACGTCGTTCGCGCCCCCGTTTGACGCGTACTCGAGCGCCGCCCTCGCTCTGTCGATCGAGCGACACGCCATGACGACGCGCGCGCCGGCGTCCGCGAGCAACCTGGCCGTCTGCAACCCGATCCCGGTGTTCGCGCCGGTGACCACGGCGATCTTACCGCGCATGTCCACCGCGCACGCGGCGCGAATGCCCATGGCGCTTCGTTGGACGACGTCGACGACGGTCGGGCGCGATCGCGCGCGCGACGCGACGTCGCGGCGGAGTGACGACTTTATCCACTTCGCTCGGGACACTTTTCGGCGCGACTCCGAGGCGCGACGCGCACGTCGCGACGCGCCGACGCGCTTCGACCGGTCGCGCGCGCGCGGACGAGCGACGATAGACGCGGGCGATCGTCGAGACGATGCCGGCGCCGACGCGACCGCCGACGCGACACCACCACTTCGAGACTGGGACGTACAAACCGAGCGGGCTGTTCCTGCCGGACGACGAGTACGGACGCGCTTTGGACGCGCTGGTGAAGGGCTGCGTCGATTGCTTGCTGACGAACGAAAAGGGAGAGGTTTTGCTCGGGCTGCGCAAGCACGAACCGGCGAAAGGGACGTGGTGGTACATCGGTGGACGGATGCGCACGGGGGAGACGGTGGAGGAGACGGCGAGACGGCACGCGAAGCGAGACATCGGGATCGAGATCGACACGGAGCGGTTTCGATTCGTGACCACGAGCACGATGAATTGGGAATTTCGAGTGCAGGAGCCGGCGGGGAACGGGACGTGCGATATTAACGTGGTCCTCGCGGCGACGCTGACGGAGGAGGAAATCGCGCGCAAGACGATGTGCGCCGACGAATATTTAGATCAAAAATTTTGGTCCGTGGAGGACATCTTAGCCGTGACGGACGAAAAAGTGATTTTACCGCCGATTCACATCTCTGCAAAGAAAATGGTGTGGTCTGAACGCGAGGATGCGATGTACGCGGCGGTGGCTCGCGGCGCGGACGACGCGGAAATCGCCCGACTCGCGCGCCGCGCGTACGAGTTCGCGTGAAGCGTTCGACGTGGCGGACGCGGGCTTTCGCGAAGCCATAGTTAGACGCAATTGTTTTAATGATTGATGCGCAAATGTTTTCGTGTTGTTACACTAACTGACTAAGTAAGAAGTCTTCGATCATCGTCGTGAAAATTGGCGCGGCGGAGCGCACATCGTTAGCGCTGCCCATCCTTGCTTGAAAAAATGTTGTTTGTTTATCTTTGTCCGATATCGTTCGATTAGAACAGCGCGGAGCCGCCCATGATCTTTTCGACGATCGGCAACGCGACGAGACCGATCATCGCACCGCGACCGTTCGTCATCTCCGCCTCCGCGCGGAACGGCCCGAACGCCTCGGGCGCCTCGTCCAAGCCGTTCGGCGACGACTTCTTGAGCGCCGGCGCCAAAGAGGACGCCAAGGTCAAGATCACGCAGGCCGGCACGAGGAAGAACCCGGCCGCCGGGTACGTGGACGTGCGCGTGATGCCGTCCGCGAGCGTGAACGTGCGTTCGTTGAACAATTGGTGCATGAAGCTCGTGTTCGACGTCAGCTCCACGTAGAGCGCCGCCGTCCACCCAATCATCGCCGCGCGACCGTTGATCGTCTCCACCGCGCGCGAGTCCTTGAACGCGAGCATGACGGAGTCGAGCATGGAGTTATCGTTCCCGAGCGGCGCCGCTTCGGCGATGGAGCCGTCGGCCGGGTCGATCGCGTCGACGCGCATCGTCGGCTGCTTGGACGCCGCGTCGGCATCCTTCCACTCGGAGTTCGCCTCTTCGACCGCCTTGGAGACGTCGTTTTCGGCGCGGACCGCGACGGAGGCGCGGCGGTGCGCGCGCTGCGTCTTGACGACGGCGCGGGCGGCGAGTTGGGGGCGAGTCGTGACGGCGAACATGTCGTGCGTGCGTGTGCGAGAGTGACGCGATGCGGCGCGCCGTCGACGGTGACGTCGAATTTTGTCATTTTCGCGCGTCACTGTTTACGCATACGAGCGGTCGGTCGCGCGACACGAATCGTCGACGTCGACGGTTCGCGCGTGACGTCACGCGACCGCGCGACGAAACGCGCGGTCGCCGCGGTCGACGCGGTCGACGCGCGCGCGGTCGGAGGCGAGGCGTCGGCGTCGGCGTCGCGCGCGACGCGCGAAGCCCGCGGGGCGCGCGGCGAAGGGCGCGGCGAGACGCGACGGTGCGCGCGACGACGCGATGGACGCTTTATGACTTTATGGGTCCTCGGGACGAGGGGGCGAATGTTACAAGTTTGAGCGATGCGCGCGATTCATCGCCCGTCGCAGACGTCCGCGACGTCGTCCGGTCGTCCGACGATGACGTCTTCGCGGTCGATGGTGACCATGCCGAGCCTGGCGCCCTTGGGCTTTTTCACGTACTTAGGAGACGTGTACGAAACGTTGACTTTGCCGCCCGTTCTCACTTTCGAATGAAAGCTCGCGACGTTGGCGGCGAATTGGATGTCGTCGTCTGAGGCGGTTTCGCCTGGTTGTTGGCGAAGGATGACGTGCGCGCCCGGGGCGCCGCGAACGTGAAACCACACGTCTTGGTCTTGTCCGAAGAAAAGCGAAACCGCTTCGTTTCCGCGGCTATTTCTTCCGCAGTACACCTCCTTTCCACTCGGCGCGGTATAGATGCGAATGGCGTTCATCATCTCTTGCTTACGCGCTTGCTTACCGGTTTTCGGCTTCGCGCCGCCGCCCTTCTTCGCCGCCGCCATCGCGCGCGTCTTCGCGTCGGCGCCCTTGCCCGTGGGCTTTAAGAATCCACCGTCCACGAGTTCGGCGCCAATTTCCTCGATGAACAATAAATCGTCGCGCGATTTGAACTCGCTGACTTCGAGAATACTAAATTCGACGCCCTCTAAATACTCAATCTCGCTCGCATTTTGTTCGATGAGCGGCTCGACGGCGTCGGCGGTGCGACGCAGCTTTCTCGTCTTTTTGTACAGCGCCTCGGCGGTGCCCACAGGACCTTTCTCGGGATCTACTTTAAACATCACTGTCTCGCCCGTGGTGAAGTCTTGACCCTCAAGCTCGCTCGAACCAGGCTTATAGTTGTAACTGTACGCCATCAACGCGTCGGCGAGCAGTTGAATTTCTTCGTGCCCGCTCGCCGCCTCTAATTGCTTGCGGAACCCAACGTCTTTGCTCGCCAACTTTTTCAGACGCGCGCGCACGGCTTGTAAAATGCGCGAGCGTTCGCGCTCGAACACGTCGGTTTCGCCCGCTTCGCCGTACACAGCGCCGAAAAGAGCGCCGATCGGCCCGCCGGCAACGCTCAAATCGTCGGCGGCGGGCGGCAAGACGACGCCCGCGGACGACGGGTGCAATAACAACTGCCCGAACTCTTCGCACCACGTGGCGTTTGCGAGCGTACCCGCACTGTCGGCATCACTTGAAACGCTCGCAATCCATCGCATGAACTCATCGTACACGGCGACCCAATCGCTCGCACTCGCGGTTTCGACGCGCTCGCCATCGGCGACGCCCGCGCCGCGAATCAACGCCTTGGCCAAAGCCGGTGACACCCCTCGAAACGCGCGCACCATGCACTCATCCAAACGCGCTTCGCCCATATCACCACTGCGACCGCGTGCGACGTCGCGCAACACCGCGGTCCATCCGTCCACGCCCCCTTCAACCCCGGTCGTGGGATCGATCCCGGGCGCCGAGGGCGGCGGCTCGTACGCGTACCCGATCGCCAATCGCCGCACACTCGTCTGTTTCTCCCCAACCTGATACCCACACGCTAAAACTTCATCATTATTTTTACTATCAAGCAAGAACGCGTTGCTGTACCGCCCCATGACCTCACACAACAGCTCGTACTCTGCCTCACCTCCCGGCCTATCGCCGAATCGCAACCGACACGCGCGTTCCCACGCCGTCCCCACGCGCGCATCCAGCAGCACCTTCCCCTTGAGCAGCGCGTTCGCGCTCTCGCCAAAACTAAGATTCATCCCCTTCTCCACCTTGGCCCCGCGCGCGCTCATCGCGACGTGCGCGGTCACCGGGTGCCAACTCACTCGCACGCTCCGCCGTCCATCCGCCGCGCGCGCGTCCAGCGTCATCGAGTGCGCGTCCACCTGCGCGCACGCGTCGATCTTCACCGGCGTCGACAGCGCGTTTATCTCCCGCACGCTCGCGACGAGGGCGGTGTAATCGAACGTCGCGGGCGTCGCGCGCGCGGCGCGAACGACGACGAGCGAGCGGCGGTGACGCGGCGACGGCGCGCGCCGCGGCGACGCGAGCGACGCGATGCGCCAACGCGCGCGCGCGGGGATGCGTGACGCGCGGTACATGACGCCGAGCGCGGGCGCGGGCGGGCCGCGGGCGCGCCGCGGGCGGACGCGCGCGAGGGAAAGTGAGGACGCGGCGCGAGCGGGACGCGAAGCGTCTCGGCGAAAGGTTCGGCGCGCGAATGAATATCTGGCGATGAGCGTTGACACGCGCGCGCGTTCGTTCGGTCGGTCGTTTGTCTAGGATGTCTTGGCCGATTTCGGGGTGACTTCCTCGGCGCGCGTCTCGCGAAGGAAGACGCGGTCTTCGGGCTTGTTGTTCTCTCGCTCTTCGTGCGCGTACGAAGACGCGATGGCGAGCAAGGACCCACAAGGACTGAAAGCGAGCGCTGAGATGGAGGTGGGGTAGCGGGGCGACTGAAAAAGTCGCTTTTTAGCGTCGCCATCCCAAAAATTGACGTAACCGTCGCCGCCGCCCGTGGCGAATGTGCCGTGGACGGGATGAAACGCCACCGCGTGGACGGGATAAACAATCTCACCCACGCTCGCGTCATCGGTTTTGCGATGACACTTGAACGCATATTTTCGCTTGTCGTTCTCTTCATCGCGTATGAACTCCACCGCTACGCGTCCCTCGACGCTCGCGGCCACGAATCCATCGCCTCGGATATTTGCTGCGATGGCGCGCGTTTGAAACCGCATGCTCGAACGTCTATTTATCAACGGACGCGGCGGCGCTTCCGACGCGCGTCGTCCGTCATCACCATCCACACCGCGCACTAAATCTCGCGTCTCGTACGCCAAAACTTGCCCATCGCTCGTCGCCACGAAAATCTTACCGTCTCTCAAATCCGCCGCGTAGCACTTCCCAGCCGTCTTCGTCGTCGACACCGCGCGCCCTCGCTCGTCCTTCGTCAAATCCCACGCCCTAATCGTTCGATCCCAGCCAAACGTAAACAATTTCTTCGTCGCATCATCGTACTCCACCGCCGACACCGCGCCGTCGTCGTGCGCGCCGACGACGCGAAACGCGCCAGTTTTAAAATCGACGAGGCGCACCGACCCGTCGAGGCATCCCACGCACGCCGCGTCCTCATCCGTCCCGACGAACGTCCCGCACAGCGCGGGCGCGCCCAAATCGATCGAGTTCAACGATTTCACGTCCCCGATCTCGCGCGCGCGGCACGCGTACCGCCGCGCGGTCCCGTCCCAGGACGTCACCAGGAGCGTCAACCGTCGCGCCATCCCATCGTCGTCGTCGTCGCGACCCTCTCCCGCGCTGACCGCGCAGAACCGCACCGCGCTGACGCCGTCGCCGAACGCCGCGCCTCCGGCCCCTCGCACGTCGCGACCGAGGTCTCGATGCGCCATCGCGCGCGCGCGTCTCGCGCGCGCACCGCGCGCGCGTCCCGACCGTCACCGCGACGACGTCGTCGTCGCCCGCGCGCGCATCGGTTTATCGCCGATCGACGACGGTCAAACGCGCGTTCGGGCGCCGTCTCGATCCATGTGCGATCGCGATGACGCGCGCATAAATAATCATCGCCGCGACCGAACGCGCATTGCGACGCGCGCGAACGCCGTGTCGTGCGAGCGCGTCTCGCGCGGGCGTCGCGCGCGCACCGCATTTCGCGACGGCGGTCGATGCGGGCCCCGTCGCGCGCGCCGTGCGCGTCCGCGCGCCCGGAGGCCGGCGTCGTCGACGCCCTCGATGATCTCGCCGCCGTCGACGCCCGCGCGTGCGGCATCGGCAAGCTCACGATCGCGCACGACGACGACGACGACGACGCGCGAGGTCTCCGCCATCGCGACCGCGGCGCGTTCGCCCTCGATTTGCGCGCGTGGTCGTTCACCGCGCGCACGCAGCCGGTCCGCGCGCTCGGGGCGTGCGCGCGAGACGCGTCCGTCGACATGCGCGTGCCGTTCAGGGACGAATACGAGCGACACAGGGCGTCGCGACCGGACGAACGCGCGCCGCGAGGGGCGAGTTGGCGCATCCATCGAGTGCGAGGATGGCGCTTCGACCTGCGCGCGCTGTACGAGGAGGTGAAAAGACGCGGTGGCGCGGACGCGATCGATGGAAATCAAGGCTGGCGCGAGGTCGCGGAGGCGATCGGGGCGCACGGACGCGGATGCGCGGCGGGACACGCGGCGAGAGCGCTGCACGGGGCGTGGCTGGAGGCGTTCGCGCGCGACGCCAAGCGAAGAGAAGACGCGGTGAAGAGCGCGCAGTTCGACGCGGTGAAGGGAGAGATCGAACAAGATGACGCGCTGGCGATCGATGCGCTGTGTGGGCTCGAATTTGGGGCGTCGGGCGCGCCCGAACGGCGAGTCAAGGTGGAAAATGTGCGTAATTCGTGCCATATCTTCTTCGCGCGGGACCGGGATGACGGCGAATCGCACGCGTTCGCGGCGCGTGCGACGCGCGCGCGCGATGATGGGCGTCGCGATGACGTGCGACTGACTTTTACGGCGCGTGTTTTCGCGACGCAGGGCCTCGATCTCGTCGCCTCGCAGCTCGCGGACGCGCCCGAGGGCGACGCCGACTGCGACGTGTGCGGCGCGAGCGGGAACGAAGACGCGATGATCCTGTGCGATGGGTGCGATCGAGGGTGCGTATACGACAATGCCACGCGAGAACGCGCGCGTGAAAATTATCTCGATCGTTCGGACGCGCGTTCGGGGAGAGAGAGCGCTCGCGCGGCGCGCGAGGGCGCGGCGAACGCGCGCGTGGGCGACGGTTAGACGTGGGGTTTAGAGGCGCGCGGGGGAGAAGGAGCCGCGAAGGAGCGACGAGACTGACGAATGATGCGCGCGTAGGTCACATATGTACTGCTTAACGCCGAAGATGACTGAAGTGCCGAGTGGAGAGTGGTTTTGTGGACGATGCGAAGAGATTGACGCGGAGGTGGAGCGATTGAGCGCGGATGAAGGGACGCAGTTTACGCTCGGCGATTTCAACGAGGCGTGCATAGAATTTGATACGGCGTTCTTTGGCGAGGACGCCAAGCGAACTGGGATCGATATGCAGGTGATTGAGGAGTGTTTCTGGCGAATGGTTGAAGATGCGAGCTCGGTGGATGATGTTTGCGAGGTCAAATGCGGCACGGCGATTGACACGACAAAGTACGGAAGCGGGTTCCCGAGACACGGCGAAGCGCTTCAGGTAAAGATTGACGGCGTGAGCCCGGAATCTATCAAGCGCTGGTCAGAGTCGAAATGGAATCTCAACAACGTCGCGCGCGCGAGTGGGGAAAAGTCGTCGCTACTGGGCGCGTTGAAGGATGACGTGGCGGGCGTGACGACGCCATTCTTAGAAGTCGGAAGCACGTTTAGTTCCACGACTTGGCGTCGAGAAGAGCATAACATGTACAGTATCACTTACAATCACTGGGGTGCCGCGAAACTGTGGTACTGCGTGCCGGCGAGTGCAGCGGACAAGTTGGAAGAATGCTTCCAGAAGGTGATGCCCGACGTCTACGAGGCGCACGTCAACGATTTGGGAAGCGTCTTTACGATGCTCTCGCCGAGCTTCTTGATGAGCGCGGGAGTGCCCGTGCACACGTTGGAGCAATTCCCAGGAGAATACGTGGTGACGTATCCCGGGGCGTACTACGCGTCGTTCAACTGTGGATTGAACTGCACGGAGAGCGTCAACTTTGTGCCCGCTGACTGGCTCCCAGAGGGCTCGGCGAGCGTGGAGAGAAACCGATCGTACGCCAAGCGTTCATTGTTTAGTCACGACGAGTTGGTTTGCAGAGTAGCAAACAATCCTAGTTCGAGCATAGCGCCGCACTTGTGGCCCGAGATTGCGCGCTTGTACGCTGAAGAGGCAAACGGTCGCGCCGAGCTTTTCGCGTCTGGCGTGACGCGCAGCGCGCAAATGACGTCAGCAGACGACGACGACGACGACGATGGCTGCGAAAAGCCTCGTAAAGTACGATCTAGGTTTGACGATGCATCGAACTCTGGATCCGATGAGTGCGTTGTTTGTCGACACATTTTGTACTCGTCTGGCGTCGGGTGCTCGTGCGACGAGACGCGCAAGGCGTGCTTGCGACACGTCAACGACTTGTGCAAATGTGCGATGTCGAAGAAGACGATGTTTTACAGAGAAACAGTGGCTGATTTAGAAAGTCTGGTGAAGAAGACGGAGAAGGCGCTTTCTCAGAAGGAACTAGCCAGCTTAAAATCCAAGCACAGCGACTTGGACTCAGTCACAGTGAACAAGAATCTCGTCAAGAAGGCTCAGGCTTGGGTGAAACGAGTGGGCGAAGAGCTCGTCAAACCACCTTTGCCGCCGCTGGACAAGATGAGAAATTTACTCGCTGCGGGTGAAGAGTTTATTTGGGGTGGTGCTGATATGAAGGCGGCTCGAGAAGCGTACACTCGCGTGACGAACGCCGTCGCGTGGCAGACGAGTCTTGTGGCGCTGAAGCAAAGGCTTGGATCCAGTGCTGGTGCCGAGGCCGCGCACGATGACGCTGGTGAAGCGCGATTGAGATTGAACAGACTAAAAGAGCTCCTTGACAACCCACCGGTACCGATGCCTAAGGCTGATACTCAACCTTTCCGCGATTTGCTCGCGGCGGGCTTGAAATTGGAGGAACGCATCAAGGCGGCTCTCGCCGAGGTACCGAATCCATCTCCTCGCGCTTGTACGACGCTTCAAACTGAAGCGAATAAGTTTGGTGTGGAAGTCCCTTCATATAAAAAGCTGAAGGACGTCATCGTTAGAGCAGGCGCGTGGTCCACGAAGGTGCGCGGCGCGCTTCCAGGACGACGACAACTCCCGCCGCGCGAGGAACTAGCGAATGCTCGAGAGATCGAGGCGTTATACGAAGAGGCGCATGGATTACCCGTTCAGCAGAGCGAACTCTTGACTTTGCGCAAATCTTTAGAAGAGTTGAATTTTTGGCGCGCAAAGTCTGAGTCGCTGTTCGTCGCCAAGGTTGACGTGGAAGAAGCCGAGGCGCTTCTCAAGGAGGGCATGGCGTTGTCAACAAAACTCGACGAGGTCGACAGACTAGCCGATCAAATCAAAGCTGTCAAAGTGTGGGCCGATCATGCTCGAGCGAGTGATTATCCGGGAGCAAGAGTGACGGATTTGCACATGCTTCTCGTCGAGGGTGAAAAGTTTAGCGTGCGAGTGGACGAAGTCGAGTGGTTGCGAAACCGTATCGTCGTCCGGGAGCTGGCAGAGAAATTGAAGGACATGGTTTCATCGAAGAAATATCCGCTCGCCGAAGTCGAAGCGGCCGTGCGGGCGGGTAACGAGTTCCTCGACTCCGAAGATAAAGAGGTTGCCCCAGATGAAGAAGCGCTGCTGGCGCAGTGCGAGAGCCACATCAACGCGGCGAAGAAGTGGAACGAGCGCGCGGCGGTGATGCTCAAATCTCTCGATAGTAAGGACCGACCGTCACTCGAAGACGCCGCGTCGCTCATCCGCGAAGGAAGCTCGATTCCAATCTTTCTGAATGGATTCGACGTGCTTTCAGAAGCGGTCAATGTAGCCAAGTCTTGGTTGGATCGTGCACAACCTTGTTTGAAGGGAAAGCAGCTCACTCGTCGCGGTGTGTCAAATCCGATTCCGCCGCTTTCCGAGGCGCAAGAGCTCATGAAAGAGTCTTCGAACTTGAAATTGTTTGTCAAGGAAGTTGAAGCTTTGGAAGAACGCGTCGAAGCCGCAGAAGAGTGGGACGTGGACGCGAAGGACGCCATCGAGCGCTGGCGAGAAGACGGCGCCGAGGTGACGTTGACCGAGCTTGAACTTTCGCACGAAGACTTTGGATTAGAATTACCAGCCATGGAGACAGTTCGCATTCGTTTAAAGTCGCTCAAGTGGGAAGAACGCGTCGCTAAGATCATTGCACCCAAGGCGAAGCTCGTCGAGGACACCGTTTTGGACGAGCTCAGGGAAGAAATCGACGTGCTTCAAGACTTGAAAGAGGATCTTGTCGCTGAAATCATGAAACGGTACACGATTGTGGACGAATGGCGCAAGAAAGCGGATCGTTTGCTCGATCCTCCTCTCCTTGAAGACGGTCGATTGGCTCCGAGTGCATCACCGGAGGAAATAGACGCCCTCATCGCCGAAGGCAAGGCACTTCCCGCTGACGTCTCGAAGGTAGAAGACCTCGAGGCGTCGTTGGCGGATCACGCACAGTGGGTCGACACCGTTCGTAAGTGCTTGAACAGTGTCGCTGAAGGTCGATCTCGCCCTTCGATTGACGAATTATACGATCTTCTAGCGGAGGTGGAAGATTTGACCTTCAAGTGCTCAGAGAGACAAGCGCTCACAAATGCGTGCAACGCCGCCACGGCGTGGACGGAGAGGCTCAACGCGTTGCTCTGGGCAAACGATCAGGGTGAAGTCAAACAAGAAAAAACGCTTATCGAAATGTTGAGCAATGTTCTTGATTCCATCAAAGCTGGTGTGGAAGACATCACCGGGACTGGCGAACCGCCGGAGACGGAGGAGGGTTAGTTCTGCCTTTGTCGACAAGCTGGAGGAATTCAAATGGTTGGATGTGATGATTGCGGTGACTGGTATCACTTAAAATGTATCAATGTGACGCCTACTATGGCAAAGACGATGCACAATTACATCTGTCCGCCATGCATCGCGAAGAGTGGCAAGGCGAGCGCACTCTCGTTGGATACGTATCGCTCGGTGCATCGCACCAATCGCCCAAACGTCATGCTTTTGCGAGAACTCCTCGGTGAAGCGCAGCGATTTCCTGGAGAAGTGCCAGAAGAAGCCGTGTTGAATCAAGTCATCAATACTCACGACGCGTGGCGATTGGAAGTACGAAAGACTTTGCATAGAAAGAGTATGAAGGAAGCACACGACAACGCCATCAGTCAAGCTTCGAAGATTGCCCAAGAAGCAGCGATGAGAGAATCTGAGGAACGCACACGACGAATCGCCGAAGCGTCGCTCGCGGCGACTGCAGAGAACCCCAATCCTCCAGCTTCTCTCACGCCATTACAGCAAGTCATGCTGATGGGTCAAGCTGTCACGTTCGCCGCAACGCAGCGCACGCACGCGTTGAACATTTCGCCGTGTTCGCAGGAGATTTCAGATGTCGTCACAAAGCAGCTCGGGCAACTTCAACAGCTCGCCATGCAACTCGCGATGTGCCAAGCTCAAATTCACATGGCTCCAGTTCGGTCTAGGCCCCACATCCTCCACGTCTTGATGATGCAGCAACAGCATCTAAAGATGACAAACGAGCACGAGGAAGAGCTGGCAAATGTTGGCGCTAGCAACTGGCTCATGGAAGCGACTCTGCAACTATCTGGAATGTCTGGCATGATGCCGCCGCCGACGGCGCAAGACACCGGCAAAGAACCTTCAACATCCACGGGTCATGGTAGTCCAAGCGATATGTCTGCTCAGTTGAAGACGAACGAACCGATGATGGTTCCGCAGCAGTTCATGTTGCAACCGGCCATGCCATCGCTTGTCGGCGACGCGTCTGGAATGCCCAAGCAAGAGATGGATTACACGTATGACATTCCTCGAAAAGATAATGTCGATCCAGCGCTGCAAGTGTACGCGGGCATGAAGGGTGCTCTGGCGATGGAGCTGGAACCTGTTGAGGAGACGCTCGCGTTGATGCGCGAAGTGTGCGGTCCGGCGTGGAGAGAACAAGCCACGCGGCTCATGACTGGTGCGCCGTTCCCGAGGTTGATCAAGCTTCACGAGCTCAAGGAATCTGCCATGGCTGCTGGTCTTTGCCCTGGTGCCGGCATTGATCCTTTGGCCGATCGCGCGCACGCGTTGGAGGTTGCTGGACAAATCTGGCTCGAACGCGCCGCCGCCGTCGTGCAAGACAAAACGATTCCTATCGAGGCGGCGCAGTTGCTGCTTCAAGAGGGTCGATCTTTGCCTTTATACTTGAAGGAGGAGCTCGAGGAGTTGGGAGAGCGATGCGAACTGTATTGCGTTTGCCGAAGCGCGTACGACGCTCTCAGGCCGATGATTTGCTGCGATCGATGCGATGGTTGGTTTCATTACGAGTGCATCGGCATGCAGTCGCCGGCGCCGGGCGAGGAAGACGAAAACGCCGAAAACGTCAAGTTTGCCTGCCCAGAGTGCTGCGCGGCGCAAGGTATTCCGTACGTTCCGTTCCGTCCAGCGCCGAAGGACACGGACAAAGCGCCGGAGCGAGCCGCGCCTCCGCCGGCTGAAGAAGCTCCGGAGCCGCCAAAGACGGAAGAAGAAGCGAAGCCGCCCGCTAAACCAGAACCGGAAGTCGCGGACAACAAGAAGAAACGAAAAACGGTGGAGCCGACTCCGCCTGCTAATAAAAGTACCTCTAGTCGCAGCAGAAGACGAAAGTAGTTCTCTAGATTTACAACATTTGACACAATAAACAACAACTTCAATAATTCAACCGTCCAGGTGCTCGTCCCATCCCAGGTCTCGTTTCGGCTTGCGCCTACCGACCAACTTGGCCGCGTCCAGTTCGGTCAACAATTCAATTTCGTCGAGTGTTTCCTCGCTCACATCGATGTCGTCCGTCACCGCGAGCTTTTGACCCTTTCTATGACGCTCGACGAGTTCTTCGAGATATCCTTGCTTTGCGTAGTTCGGTATCAACCTAGACATGTACACGCCGCGCAAAATACGTTTTTCTTCCTCAGTCAAATCGCCGTGAAACCCTCGGCGGTTGATCCGGTCCGTCACGGCGTGCGACATCACGAGCGCGGCGGCGACGGAAATGTTCAAAGACTCGGTGAAGCCAAACATCGGAATGTACACGGCGCCATCCCGCAGCGCTCGCGCCTCGTCCGAAACCCCCTCGCGCTCGTTCCCAAACACCACCGCCGTGGGCACGGTCCAATCGTAATGCGACAGCGGCTGCGCGCCGTCAAACTCAGTCGTAAGAACGCGGTATCCTTTCGCCTTCGCGACTCTGAGCGCGCGTTCCGACGTCTCAAACTGCTCCACGTGTTGCCACTTCAGCGCCCCTCCCGACGTCCTCCCGCTCGCCTTGAACGACAGCCCCTTCGAGCTCACGATCGACGCGCACCCGATCCCCAGCGCCTCCGTCGTCCGACACACCGCCAAGATATTGCCGACGTCGTAGACGCCCTCTAGAATCGGCAGCAACGAAAAACTTCTATGCTCCAAAACGTTTTCCAGCCGCATGCGTCGCTCTTCCCCGACCATCGCCGTCGCGAGCGCCACCATCGTCTCCGTCTCGCACGTCGCCCTCGCGAACGCGAATCCATCGCCGTACGGGAATCTTTCCCTCTCGTCCTCGTTCGCGCGCGTCCCCAAATCTTCCCGCCGCGCCCGCACCAGCCCGTGAAACTCCAGCGCGTCCGGCGCCCACGCGCGCTGCCTTCGGTGCGCCTTCGCGCTCTTCGTCGCCACCGCGCCCGTGCGCGCCACCGCGCGCGTCGGTCGCGGCGTCGTGCGCTTCACGACGACGTCGTGCGGGCCGGCGTGCGCGCGCGACCCCGGTTCCGACACCGATTCCGATTCCGCCGCGTCGTCGTCGCGCGCGCGTCGCGTCGCCGGTCGAGCGACGCGCGCGGCGCGCTCGCGAGCGTCGCGTCGATTCGCGTCGATTCGCGATCCCGCGCCCGCGATCGCGCGCGTCGACGCCATTCGAATCGCCGCGCGACGCGAAGTGTCGACATCGCGTCGCGCGGCGATTCGAATCGCGTCGCGCTCGAACGGCGTCGCGTCCTCGCGACGCGCGCGCGATGACGCGCGAACGTCGCGCGCGCGCCGCGCGGTCGCGGGGCGCGCGCGCGCGCGAGACGATGGCGGCGGTGACGCTCGGGACGTTTTTGGTGTTGGGACGCGCGGGCGCGTTTCGCGGCGCGAGCGCGCGGCGCGCGCCGCTACAGGCGATGGACGCGGGCGCGGGAAGCGCGGGAGGGACGGCGTCGCGGCCGGCGCGGCGATGGATGACGCACCTGCTGCGCGATCACCCGGAGATGCGATGCACGCAGATTCCGAGCAAGCCGGTGATCGTCGGCGGCGACGGCGGCGGCGCGGGAAAGCCGCTGATGGAATTCCTGAGGGATTCGAACGCGGTGACGTTCGGACCGACGGATAAGGATGGGAACAGCGACGCGGAGCGGTTGAGCGGGTTGGATGACATGGTGGTGGACGTCATGGCGTTTTCGAAGCGGTTGCTGTACGAACCGGATGATTTGCCGATGGATTTGCAAGCGGATTTAGCGAAACATTTGTGCGATATGTTTGCGAGACAGGAGAAGTGGTTGCACCCGGGATTGACGATGAATGGGATACAACACGATCAAGAGGTCGGGCGGTGGGGATGGAAGGATCCGTTGGCGATGTATTTGGTGCCGATTTGGAGAGACGTGTACGGGCCGTCGGTGACGTACGTGCACTTGGTGCGGGATCCGCGGACGCTGCCGCTCGGGAATTTGCACGACAAGGAGCGGGATTTACAAAAGGCGTACTTTGGTCAAGAGCGATGGGAGCAGTTGACGGCAAAATTTGAATCCGAGTGGGCGCATCTCTCCCAGCACCAGTCGATGACGAGCGTGAAGAAGGACGACGTGATTGATTTATTGCGCACGACGGCGTACTGGACGTCCATCAACTTTGAGCTCGGGGCGCTCATCAAGGGCCCGCTCAAGAACTACGCCACGGTGCTCCGGGCGGAGGATTTGGTGCAACCGGACATGGATCACTTCCGACGCGACGCCACCGGGAAAAAACCGGAAAAGTACCAAGCCGCGCAAAAAGTCATGCAAGAGCTCACGACGCTCCTCAAGCTCCCGGCGAAACTTTCCAACACGCTGGGAAGCCACGAACACATGAAGCAAAACCTCCGACGGTTCACGATCCACCGCGAAAAGTTCGTCTACCGCACCGACTCCCCCATCATCGAAGTCCAAACCCGCATCGCCGAGAAGACGTTGGAACTCTTCGGCTACTCCGCCGACGCCGCGCTCTTCGTCTCGCGGCACCCGTCGTCGAGCGAGCCCCACGGCCATCGTCTCACCCCCGAGGGCGAGTACATGCACGAGGAGCACAGGTATACTCCCGACGATTTCGAGCCCACGATCGAACCCGCGTCGGAGGGCGATCTTCCCGGCATCACCAACCACGTCCTCGGCGCTCAGCTCAAGTACACCGACCGCGTCGAGCTCGAGCGCGCCAAGACGCGCGCGCCCGACACGGAGCAATCTCGCGCCGTCGAGGCCCAGCTCATGGAGGCTAAGAAGAAGACCTTTTTGCTCGAAACCACCAAAATCGACGGCAAGTCTCTCAAGGACGTCATCGACCATCTGTGAGGTGTAATTAAAACCAAACGCGCCTCGCGCGTCCCGCCGCGTCGCGAACGACCGTTCAAACCCGCGCGCTGGATGTGCGTCACATCGCGCCCGGTCGTCCGTCATGGACGCCCCCGAGCTCGCGATCGCGCTGGACGAGCTCGCCATCTTACCTCCCGCGTCGCTCGCGCACGTTCCCACCCTGCGCGCCGCGCACGCCGCGCTCCGGTCGTCCCAGTGTCCCGGCGTCGCCGCCGCGCCCGCGCGCGACGTCGCCGACGCGCCCGAACAGCTCGACGTCGACCGCCTCCACGACGTCTTCGACGCGTGCGCGCGCGCGGGGTGCGCGTCGGTGATCGCGCACTACGTCGACGAAGTGTGCCTGAGCGACGATGGAAGGTTCTCGAGCGACGACGGCGCGGAGGCGTACGCGCGGGACGGGGCGTGCGCGAGCGCGTGGGCGCGAAGAGCGACGAGACGAGCGAGCGAAAGAGTGCACGCGAGCGCGGGAAGACCGCGAGAGGCGAGAGTGGCGGCGGTGGAGGACGCGATGCGAACGCTGGAGGCGGCGCGAAGGACGGTGGAGGCGCTGGGAGGATGGAGAGAGGACGGGGACGAGGCGAACGCGGAGCGAGAGGCGCTGCGAGCGACGGCGGATGAAGTGGTGACGAGACAGCTGCAGGCGGAGGCGCTGCTGTGGGCGGCGAGAGAGGGATTGAGTGATGCGGTGGGGGCGCGATACGGTGGACCGGCGGCGTGGGCGGGGGCGGTGCAACGGCGAAGGAGCGCGGCGGCGAACGGGGACGCGCGATTCGGAGGCGCAAACGCGACGACGTTTTTAGATGATTTACTCGCGGGGGTGGGCGAGCATCAGCCAGCGTATCCGTTCAAGACGGTGACGGATGCGGCGAAGTGCGTGTTCGTGGACGGGAGCGCGTCGCCGGCGGCGCTCGTGGCGAAGAAGTGTTTGTTTCTGTACTTTTTGCTCGATTCCGGCTTGCCGCACGACGGGTCGCCGATGGAGTACGCGCGACAAGCGCGTATTCATCCGAGGTTGTTTCAAGAAACGCGCGCAGCGGTATTGCTCGATGACTCAGAGAACGAGGCGTCGCTCGACGAGGCGTGCGCGCTCTTACCTCGCGTCGCGCATCCGTTGTTGCCGGTGAAGTTTATCGCGAGTTTAGCTCGACGCGGTCGCGCGACGACGGCGTTAATGGTGGCGCGCGCGCGCGCGCCTTCGTCCTCGGACACCGAGGCCATAGGTTTAGATGTTTCAATCCGTCTCGCGTGCGGTCTCATCGCCGAGGCGTTTATCGCCGTCAGAGACGCGTTCAAGACGTTTCCCGAATTGCGCGGCGATTCAAAATCAGGCGCATACCTCGTGAGTCTGTTGTTAGATCACGGCGTCGAGAAGCTTTGCCTGGACAAGGTCCTCGAGCTTCCGTTTTACGGCGAGATGGAGAAGTTACTGCTCGACCTCTTGTGGGCGCGACGCTCGGAAGTTCCCGTGGAGACTGGAATTTTGTACTTGCTCAACCGAGGACGCGCGCTCGAGGCGTCCGAGTTGTTCTCCAAAGCCAGAAGTGAAGGGCGTTTAGAAGACGAGCACGCCGCGAAACTCGTGAAGCGAATGCAGGAGAGTTTGTCACGCTTGCCGGTGCCGCAAAAAGTACTCGTGGCGGAAGCCGCGAGGCAAAGAGGCGACGACGACGCCTTGTTGGCTCGCTCGCTCGTCGTGCGGGACGCATCGGAGGACGCTTTGGCCACCACCGCGAGCGCACTGTTGATCGATGAAGTCAAGGAATTCGAGGCCGTGTTGAAGAGCGAAGACGCCGCCGTCGGCATCTTGCCGTTTCTCAAACCACCCATCGAACTTGCGCGCGAGCGGCGAGAGCCGTCGATCGACAGCGCGACGGCGGCGTTGGCCACGACGATGTTGGTAAGCCCGGGCAAACCTTTGACGTTCGTTCGACCGCACGACGCGAAGGCCGATCGTCGCAGCGCGCTCGAACGCGGTCCGTCGTCCTCACCCGCTGGCATCAAATCTCTGATGACTCCGTCGGGCGCGCGAACTTCGAGCTACACGGTTCCCGAACCGACCATGTACGCCTCACCGTTCGGTGCGCGTCGTCGACCATCACTGGACGAGCCCACCGTCGCACCGCCGCCGAAGGATCACACCGCGTCTTTGCTGTTCGGCGCGCGTCCGACGCCGCTTCCCGGCGGAGACTTCCCATCCTTCCTCTCGCCCGCGCCCAAGCGCGCCGCGCGTGCATCGACGCGCGACGAACGCGGCGATCCCTCCGACTCTCCTCGGCGTCGAAGCTCACGACTCGCGAAATAACGATCGATCGACTGTATTTGAAACGTTTCCATTCGACGCGCGCGTTCCCGCCCGACCGCGCGAACCGCCCGACCGACGCGCGAACCGTCGCGGTTCCGTCTCGCGCTCTGGGCAACGGTCAGTGCGCGGGACATCGCCAGACGCCGACGCGCGCGCGGCGCGTCCGCGACGCGGCTCGCGTCGAACGAAAGAAAGCGCATCGTGGCGTCGTCACATGCCGTCGCGCGCGAGAGACGTCGCGCGAACGACGCGCGACGTCGCCGCGAAAGAGATTGGATTGTTGAGCTCTGGAGCCACCACCGCGGAGCGAAGTTTTTGGGACGTCGTCGGCGCCGCCGTCGTTTCCGCGGACGATGACGACGCTTCGCGAGAGGACTCGAACGCGCCGCTGCGCGCGGGAAGCTGCGTGGCGATGTACGCGCTCGGGGCGAGGGAAGGACGAGGGATGTACGCGGCGCGGGACGGCGGCGGTCGGTCGACGCGCGCGAACGACGCGCCGGCGGCGACGGAGGGGAAGCGCGCGCTGGAGTTTTCGTGCGCGACGCTTCGGCGAGACGGAGTTTCAACGTCGACGTCGGCGAGTGGGGGTGGCGCGGACATCGATTCGTTGATGCTCACGGCGAGAGACGCGTCGACGCAGTTGGTGGTGCTGAGATTTGGCGAATTCTACGGGTTTCGTTCGCACGCGGCGGGGGGGAAGCTTTTGCAAGCGAGACGCAAGGCTGCGAGCGAGCTGTGCTTTTACAACTACAACTTTGGAGTGTGCGAACAATGGGAACTGGTGAGCGTCGATCACGAGCGTGCGACGTACGGACGGGCGATGCTGTTTAGGAATAGACGCTTCGAGCACGTGACGATCAACGCCGCGGTGGTGGAGGTGCCGAAGGAGTTTTTGCCAAAGTATGCGTTGGATGATATGAGTCTCTACGACGATGATTTGGCGTACGTGGAATATGGGACGTCGTACTACGGCAGTGACACGGAATCCGAATCGTCGGTGCTCAATCTAAAACCTTTGGCGGCGCCACCGAGTCCGAGCGCCGCAGCAAACGCGTCGCCGTCGAAGCCAAAATCGAAACAGAAGCGAGTCGAACAGCAACCCGTGTTGATCGAGCCACCGAAACCGGCCGAGTCTGCACCAAGTTGGCTTTCCGCCGCCATAGTAGAAAAGTGGACGCGCATATTCAAAGACGAAATTGAAATCCGTCGCGGTGTGGAGCGGGAGCTGGAAGGTTTGCGAGAAGAGCTGAAAATAGTGGAGAAGAGCTGGATGAACTCGGTACAAACGGTACAGTTAGAGTTTGAGTCTATCAACAATGAAGCTTTGAAGACAATGCGCAAGACGATGCAGCAAAAGATGCGAAAGCGCGTTCAAGCGGTTCAGGTGAAAGCGATAGAGCGCATGACGCGGACGTCTGCACGCGCGTTCAGGGATGAAACTTTTAAAAGGTGGAGAGCGTTTGCGGATAAGGAACGTCGAAAGCGCGTCGGCGTCGTTCGGTTCTTATTACGGGCTGATAGACGAGGTCTCGGCGCGGCGTTTGATGCTTGGAAGAATTACGCGAACACTCGAAAGTTGAAGCGCGAGAGGGACGCGCTGTTGAGCGCGAGGCGACGCGAGAGTCTTGCTCGACAATTCTTTGATAGATGGAAGTCGTGTGCTTCGGAATCAAATCAAACGCGTCGAATAGCCGCGAGGGCGCATAGACGTGCGTTGACTGATAAATCCAGAGAGCTGAAGCAAAAAGTGTTCGTATCGTGGTATTTGTACGCGAAACGAGGGAAGCATGTCGCAAAGATTCAGCGTCTCGCGGTGCACAAGATGCGTGAGCGTCTGATGTTTGACGCGTTTGAGTGTTGGAAGAACCGAGCGGAAGAGAGAAAAAGTTTCACTCAACGTCTGATGCGGACGTTCGCGCGCTGGGATAACCGCACCGCATGCGCAGCGTTTTTGAAGTGGAAAGAAGTCGTGGACGATTCACGTCATGCAAAGAAGACGTACAACGGCGTGTTACTGTGCTGGAACAAGGACTCACGCAAGACGCTGACGAAGCTTCACTTTTTCGCATGGAGAACGACTGCTCGATTCGTACGGGTGCATCGCGAAAAGATGTATGCCGTCACGCGGGAACGCATGAAAAATAACACAACGCGAATCGTCTTCCATAATTGGAAAATGCTGAGTGCGCGACGGCAGCGCGAGGAACAACATCAGAGAGGCGTCGTGCACGCGATGGCGTCGTTGCGGTTCAAATATATTCGAGCGAATTTCGACGCTTGGCGATCACAAACGATCAAGTCTGCGTTCCGTAAACACACTGTCTCAAAGTTTATGAACAAACTACGTCGTTACGAACTGTTGAGAGCGTTCCAAGGCTGGAGATACCGCACGCATACGTTGAGAACGCAGAGACGAAGCGTAGCGGCGACGCTAACGAGATGGCGTCAACGTGTGTTGTTGAGTTCGTGGAACCAATGGAAGTTCGCCACTCAAGAGCACTCTAAGTTGATCGCTGTGAGCGCGTTAGCCATCTTTAACCGCCAACGACAGTCTCGACTGCGCCGAAGTTTCGCGATTTGGCGCGGCATGTGGCGGGCGCAAATGGTCGCTCTCGTCAAGATGCGCGCGTCGCACCAGTTCGCCACGCGTAATCATTACTTCACACGTTGGCGGAACGCGATTCGGCAGCGCGAAGAGATGCAACGAATGGTTGTTAGCAAGCGCGTGACTCATAACTTGTTCCTCGATTGGTATTGGGAAACGTTCGGCGAGCAGTTCACACGGCTCATCGAAGGCAACGATACAGACGAGTATCAGACTTTAGTTCGCGTGGACGATCCTGAGGTGGAACTATTCCACACGCCCTTGCGAACGCCTGAAAAGGTGTTCTGGAGTCCACCGAAACCGCGTAGGATTTTATAGTACATAATATTTGCGCGTTAAAAAATCATAAAATCTGAATCCGTCATTCATCCGTCGAACGGAAACTCTCCGACGTGCTCTCGACGACTCTTGTCATCGCCGTCGATACCTGCTTGCTCGCGAGCGCAATCTTTCCCACGATTTCTGCTAGATCTCGTCCTTTAGATTCACCGTTGGCCGCGCCTTGCAGTTGCGTCGACAGTTTTGCCGCGCTCTCCGTCGTTTCCTTCGCCGCTGAGATTGCCTCTGTGAGGGCGTTCTTCCGCCGCGCCTTTTCCGCCGCGCTCAAATTCTTCGCGTCTTCGTCAAACGCACCATCGTCTAAATAAATGCCCACGCTCTGCATGACTAGCCCGAGCTCAAGCGACAAACGCCTGACGTACTCAGTCGCATCGTCTCCCAAATCCCGAAAATCCTTCGTCGGATCTTTCATCTTTGCCGTGAAATCGTTTACGAGCGACTCGACGTACTCCGTCGCATCCAATTTCGACAACGCCTCCCGCGTTTCCGCCGCCAACGCCTCCACCTCTCGCGCGCTCTCTTCCATCGCTTGCAGCGTCTCCGGTAGCTCCTTCGCAGTGTTTTTCGCTAACGCCTCCACTTCATTCGCCGCGCTTTCCGCCGCCGTCGCCGCCGCGTCGACGCTCGCGCTCAGCTCCCGCAGCGACCGCACGAGCGGCGCCACCGCGCCCACCGTCGTCAGCAGCGCCGCGCCGGCGGCGGCAAATGCGAACGACGTGACGTCGCGCCCGGCGACGGCGACGAGCGGCGGTTTCGGCGCCGCACGCGACGACGCCGTCGACGTTTGCGTCGTCGACCGCGACGGCGGCGCCCAGCGGCCGGCGGCGTTCGCGCGCGCGCTGTGGCGCGTTGCGCGTCGAACGTTCGCGTTGCGCGTCGAGCGCGCGCGAACGCTCGGACGCGAAGCGAACGAAGCGCTCGACGCGAGACGCATGCGCACCGAGGCGTGAAGGTCGCGCGATTGTGGCGTCACCAGCCGCGGGGACGCGACGACTCGCGAGACTAAACAATCAATGCGTTACAAGCTACGGTCGATCGCCTTGAGAGCGTCGGCTGTGGAGACAAACTTTTCTCGTGGTTTTCCGCGCGCAGCGCCGCGCTCGCGCTCGAGGCGATCGATTTGAATCCAGTCGGCGGCGCGCACGACGCGGACGCCGCGCTTCTCGAGGAGGCGGTCGACGCCGTCCTCGACAGGATCGGGAGGTGGGGCGACGGCGAAATCGGCAGCCATTTTTGCGATAGTTTCGTCGGCACACGTGAGATTGGTGCCGATGATTCCTGTTGGTCCGCGTTTGAGCCAGCCGGTGACGTAGAGACGAGGAATGGTATCGGCGGAATCCGCCGAGACGGCGACGGCGCCGTACGCGTTTGGCACAACGCGATTCTTTTCGTCGAATGGCAGTCGCAATTGAGTCAAGGATTCGTCTTTGACGGTCATTTGAATCGGTTCTGCACGATATCCCACTGAACGCAGCGCTAAGGCGGTGGGAACCATCTCCGTTTCGCCAGATGCGATGGATTTTCGCGCGCCGGCGGCGCCGACGAGTTCGTTCCTACCGAGCTTCATCCAACTCAACACACCATTTTCACCCCCGAACGCTAGTGGACTTGCGAGAAATCGCACATTGAGTATTTTTGTGCATCCATCCTCGCTCGCACACTCCCCTGCGGTCTTTCTCTTGACGAACGCCTCGTGCGCTCGCCGCCGCGGTCTGTTCTCCGCCAACTCGGCTTCGTCTTCGGGCTCCAGCGTGAGGTTCTCGTCCGAAATCACCACTCTTACGTTCCGCAAATTCAACAGCTCGCGCAACTCCTTCGGTGAAAATGAAGCTTGCGCTACCCCGCGTCGCCCGATCACGGACACGGCGCGCACGGGATGGGCGCGCAGCACCTCCAGCGCGTGCTCGCAAATATCCGTCCCCGCGAGCGCATCCGCGTCTCGTAACAACACCCGCGCGCAATCGATGGCGACGTTCCCGACCCCGATCACCGCCACGTGTGCATCACCATCACGACTACGCAAAGCCTCCACTACCGCCGCGTGCGTCGCGCTCTGCGGCCCGTGTTCGGGATCGCCGTTGAACCACGCGACGAACTCTCTCGCTCCGAGCACGCCTCGGTGTTCGCCCTCTCCCGGTACCTCCAAACGTCTGTCTCCGCTCGTCCCGCACGCGAGCACGACGCCGTGGTAGCTATCATAAAGTTCTCCTAAACTCACGTCTCGCCCGAGTTGGACGTTGCCGTAAAACGCGACGTCGTCTCGCGTCGTGAGCGTTTCATGAAACTTGTTCGTCACGAGCTTCGTCTCCGCGTGGTCGGGCGCGACACCGTAGCGCACCAAACCGAATGGCGCGGGGTAGCGTTCGAACACGTCTACTTTTGCGCCATCGAACGTCTTCGTGAGCGCCAAGACGGCGTACATGCCCGCGGGACCGCTGCCGACGACGGCGAATCGCCGCGGACTCGGCCCGGCGGCGGATGAGGATGCGCGAAGCGCGAGCGCGTGCGGAAGATCTACGCGCGCGCACGACGCGTGTGCATCGCGTGCGAACGTCGCGAGACGTCGCGCGAGTCGCGACATGACGCACGCCGACGCGCACGCGCGGGACTCTGACGCCCATCACGCGGCGCGCGAGCCCAACCGTCGAATCGGCGAGACTGCGAAACGTTCCAAGCCCAATAATCAACGCGCATCTACATCGAAAATCAAAATCATCATCACAAACAGAAGAAACAACACAAATCAAACAAGCGAGCGAGCAAGCAACCCAGCGCCGTTTCACTCTAAATCATTTCACGCGTATCGTTGAGCGGGACGCTGCTCGCGTCGTTTGCGCGCGGCGTAGTATACAAAAGGGCGCGCGGGGCATTCCTCGACGTCACGCATAATACTTTTCTTGTCCTAGCCCATCGCAACTCACTTTACGATATTTGACGTCGACGATGCCGCGGTGCCTGATCGCGATGGAATCGAACGCCGCGTAGCTCAAATCAAAGTGGCGCGCGTTTTGTTCGCCACCGCAGCACCATCGTTGATTACTGACGCGTGAACACGTGTTCGTCAGTCTCGAGCGCGCGCCGCAAAAGATTGATCGAATTTTTATCGATCGAGAAATTGCGACACCGACGAATTTCCTCACCTCGGATTTGGATGGCCACACGGGCAACTGTCTGTGATTAGCACTGTGATCGATTTCTCGCCGTCGCCGTTCGCGCAGCCCGCCCACGGGCCGAGCGCGCTGTCGGCCAGTCCTCGCTGCCGACCCGCGACGCACATCACTTCATAACACGCGCCGCACTCGTCCGTGAGCCCGTGATCGTATCCACCTGCGCAGTTTATGTTTTCAGAGTTGAAATTCCACGCAGCAGCGTCGGTGTTCAACGTACCGTCGGTATTCAACGCGGCCACGTAGTGACTCGGAATGTTCGAGCCGTATTTACAGCTCCCGGTATAAATCGACATGCCGTCGGGGCCTGGACCATTCGGTCCGCCGTACCACGTGGCCGTCCCGCCTTCGCGCCAACCGAGTCCGTCTTCCGCGCGCGCGGCGCCGCGCCGCGACGAGGCGAGCGCAAACGCGAACGCCAGAAGATGCGTGGTTCGGGACGCGCGCGGCGCGCGACGGGCGGTGCGAGTGGCGAAATCGCGATTGGGAGGCATGTCGTTTCGTTTCGCTCGGCGGTCGTTTCGAGTCGGGCGTGAACGTGCGGCGCGGTGTGAGGCTGGTGCCAGGCTCGTTCGAGACCGAGAACGACGACATCGGCGAGATCGGGCGACGCGACGAACATTGTTAGGAAATGTGCGTGATTAGTGGCATTGAATGTTTCGAGCGAGATTTCACGATCCTCGACGCGCGGAGCGGCGACGGACGGTCGAAGAGGGTGACGCTGTCGGTTTTGCGTCGGCGCGCGCGACGGCGACTGTGGTTTTTCTCGCGCGAGCCGTTTTGGGCGCGGCGGCGGCGGCGGTTTTCGGCTTCCCACTCATCGCGTACGCGAGACCGCCGGTGACAACCATGACGGCGCTGATGGCGCCATTGTAACTCAAACACTGTCTCGCGTCGTCCGAGCAAAATAAGACGTGCGAAAACGCGATGACGCCGACGCTGCGAATCGCGTTCGAGAGCGCCAACTGCGTGGCGCCCGCTCTGGCGACGACAGCCATCATCATCTTCACCATGAACGCCCGACTGAGCATGTTTCCTAGGTGCACCTTTAAAATCGATGACACATCTCGCGGCGAGGCGTTGTAATACGCCCATACCATCCCGTCCATATCGCGCGCCGTCCTCGCGAGCGTGTAAATCGCAAACGCCGCCAACCCGCACGTTCCCATCAGCATCGTCTGCGCGTTCCCGCTCAGACTCGATTTCGACGCGCTCAGGTATTCCATGACCAATCCCCGAAACCCATAACTCACCGTCGCCGCGTTCGCGATCAAGATCCCCCTCGCGTCGATCGCCGTCCCGCGCCTCGCCGCCTCGTCCGCCACGTCCTTCGCCTTCACCGCCAGCCCACAAATCACCACCGCGATCGCCCCAATCTGCCCCTTAGTGAACGTGCGTTTCAGCACCACCTTCGACAGCAACGCCGAGAGCGGAATGAGCAACCCAGAGATGGTTTGGTACAGCGGTCCCCCGAGCGCTCGCATCGCCTCGAACGCGCACGTCAGCCCAAACAAATCAAACACCGGCAGCAACAGCGCCGCGCGCGGGAACTTTCCCGCGCGCCTCGCCGTCGCCGTCACTCGCCCGTCTCTTCTCGCGCGTAATCGCGCCATCAGGACGCCCGCGCTCGCGCTCGCGGCGTCGCTCGCGTAAATCATGCCCGTCAACGGCTGCGCCTCCGGCGACACCAATCGCGCGTCCAACACGCGCTGCGCCGTGAGAAAGTAACACACGCCGAACGCGACGTGCGCGCACATCGCCGGGATCGCGCTCTTCGGCGCGTCGCGCGCCATCGCGGCCGCGTCGCGAAGTGTCGCGACGCGCCGCGAGCGCCGCCCCCTCGCGACACTTGGCGACGCGACGAAAACTCGAAATGCCGCGCGCGTCGACCGCCGACGCGGACGCGGACGGGAGCGACGTCGAGTTTAACCCCTCGTTCACGTTCGACGCGTCGGACGACGACGACGGGCGCGGGACGCGCGCGGGACGAGCGACGAAGGGACGCGGCGGCGGCGGCGGCGGACGCGCGGCGACCGAGGCGTGGAACTTTGGCGACGCGCGCGAGGCGCGCGCGCGCGAGCTGCGAGCGAACAAGATGACGAGCGTGGACGAGAAGATCGCGCGGGCGAGAGGGCGCGGGAGGCGAGGGAGCGCGAGCGCGGGTGGGTCGGAGGACGAGTACGGGAGCGACTCGGAGGACGCGCCGCTGCCGGGCGAGGACGACGGCGAGACGGATGACGACGCGAGCGTCAGTGGAGACAGCGAGAGTGGTGAGGAGAGCGAGAGCGGTGATGATGACGACGACGAGAGCGAGAGCGAGCGCGAGCGCGAGCGCGAGCGCGAGGAGGAAGAGGAGGATGGGACGAGCGAAGGCGAGGAAGAGCGCGAGGCGCGCGAGGAAGACGCGGCGAAGGACGAGAAAGCAAAGACGCCCACGGCGACGGCGACGTCGTCGGAGAGTGATTCCGAGTCGGAGGATGGGTTTCAAGAGCGCGCGGTCGTCAAGGGGGCGAAAGGGGACACGACGTTCGACGCGAAGGCGTTCGACGAGTTGCACCTGTCGCGGCCGCTGACGCGAGCGTGCGAGGCGCTCGGGTATAAGAAACCGACACCGATTCAGGCGGCGGTGATTCCGATCGCGATGACTGGTCGCGACGTCTGCGGGCGAGCGGTAACGGGGAGCGGGAAGACGGCGGCGTTTATGCTGCCGCAGTTGGAGCGGATGTTACATCGAGGACCGAGGCCGGCGGCGGCGACGCACGTGTTGGTCTTGGTGCCGACGCGCGAACTTGCGGTTCAGGTGCATCAAATGACGGAAAGTCTCGCGCAGTTTACAACAATTCGAGCCGTGCTCGTCGTCGGTGGATTGTCGGCGAACGTGCAAGCAGCTGCGCTGCGCACTCGACCCGAAATTGTCGTGGCGACGCCCGGTCGCGTCATCGACCACGTGCGAAACACGCACTCGTTTGGGCTAGAAGATCTCGCGACGTTGATTTTAGACGAAGCCGATCGTTTGCTGGAGATGGGATTCTTGGAAGAGATCAAAGAAATTGTTCGACAATGCCCGAAGAAGCGCCAAACGTTATTATTCAGCGCCACGCTCACCGCCGGCGTCGAGGCGCTGGCGAGTCTTTCGATGAAGAATCCGGCGAGGCTTTCCGCGGACACGCTCGGCACGACGCCCAAGCGGTTGGTGGAGGAAGTGTTAAAGCTCAAACCTAACCAAAGTGCTCAGAAAGAGGCGTTCTTGATGGCCATTGTGAGTCGTTCTTACGACAAGTCGACCATTATATTTTCCCAAACCAAGCAAGAGGCGCATCGTTTGAAGATCATCATGGGTTTAAGCGACATCAAAGCGGGTGAGTTACACGGGGACATGACGCAGACGCAGCGCTTAGCAGCGCTCGATGAATTTAGGACGGGCACAGTCACGCATTTGATCGCCACAGACGTCGCCGCCAGAGGCTTGGATATTCCATCCGTCGACGCGGTGATTTCGTTCGACGCGCCGAAGACTTTGGCGAGCTATTTACACCGAGTCGGGCGCACAGCGCGCGCGGGGAAGAAAGGCACGGCGTTGACCTTCATGGAAGAATCCGATCGTAAACTAGTCAAAACCATAGCAAAACGAGGGGCGAACCTCAAAGCGCGAATCGTGCCCGGGAACATCGTCGCCGAGTGGCACAAGAAAATCGAGGATATGGAGGAGCAAATTGTGCAAATCAACTACGAAGAGCGCACCGAACGTCAGCTTCAAAAGGCCGAAATGGAGGCAAATAAGGCTTCGAACATTCTCGAGCACGCGGCTGAGATCAAATCGCGACCGGCGAAGACATGGTTCCAGAGCGAACGCGACAAACGCAACGCGCAAAAAGACGCGCTCAAGGCGATGGAAACAGCCGAAATGGACTTGATGGATCGAAAGTCTCACCGCAAGGGCGCCAAGCGCCGACAGGAAGCGGCCGGTCCCGATCGTTTACCCGACAGCAAGCGCGCGCGACGCAAACTCGCGCAACAGGCGCTATACAAAAAGGAGCGCGGCGACGACGACACCCCTCGAGGCGGCTTTCGCGTGACCAAGGGCGTCAAATCCGTCAAAGCCATCGAACGCGAGGCCCGCTTGACCGGCGGCGTCGCCACCAAAGTCGTCCGCATGGTCAAAAACGCGCGCGATCCCAAGGCCAAGGCCAAGCGCGCCGCGCGCGCCGACGTCCACGACGACGACGACGCGCGCGTCCAATCCTCCGGCCGCGGCGCCGATTTCCGCGGAGGATTTCGCGGCGCGAGCCCGGGCGCCCCCGCCAAGCCCTTCAAGACCGCCCGCGGCAAGTTCAAGAGCGCCAGCAAGTACCGCAGAAAGTAGTTTTGTCGCGCATCTCCCTCATTCCGTCGATTTCGTCCGCATCCGCGCCTTCGTCTCGTCGCTTCGTCCCCTCGTCGGCGCGCCGCGAATCCGTCTCGCGCCGGCGCCCGCGCGCGCCCAACCGACACGATGACGCGATCGCGCGTCCGCACAGCCCGGCGCGCCGCGATCGCGCGACCCGGTCGCGCGACGAGATGACGATCGCGTCGCTCCGCCGCGCGTCTCCGCGCGCCGCGGCGACGCGCCGTGAACGCGCGACGACGACGACGACGCGATCGCGCGGCGCGCGATCGACGCGCGCGATCGACGCGCGCGCGCGCCGCGGACGCGTCTGCGGCGGCGACGCACCGCGAGGAGACGTGCGAACGCGCGCGAAACCGCCGCAGCGCGACACGGGGATCGCGAAAGAGGACGAGGCGTTCGAGGACGCGGACGACGAGGACGACGGCGCGGCGGGCGCGAGCGAGGACGGCGCGCGAGGCGGAAACCGGGAAACGTCGACGTCCGTGGAGGAGAAGGGAGGAATGAAGACGACGCGAAAGCGAGGATTCGATCGTGGAGAAGGTGGGTATCAGTCGAGGTGGTGGACGACGAAGAGAGATTGCCCGGATGGGCGAAGCGGATCGAGCGAGACGCGGTGGGCGAAGTGCGATTTTAGCGGTTACAAGGAGCTCGGGTTCGAGAAGAGCGGATTTAACGACACGGGTGAGACGTGGTGGGAGACGTGGCGAGAGATCTATTGCCGGGATGATTTTACGGGCGTCGAACACATCGAGAGGAGCGCCGATAAGTGGGCGCGAGACGCGCAGAGTAAGGAGTGGCAGGAGAAGTGGTGGGAGCGGTACTACGCCAACGGCGCCGTCGAGCGAGGGGTGGAAAAGAGCGGGCGAGAGGTTCGACAGGCGTGGTGGGAGAAGTGGGGAGAGCAGTACGATGGCGAGGGCGCGACGCTGAAGTGGACGGATAAGTGGGCGGAGAACGGCATGGGGATGCGATGGGGCGATAAATGGGAAGAGCGCCGAAGCAAGATTGGCAGCGGACGCAAGAGCGGGGAGACGTGGCGCGTCGGTGAAGATGGCGAACGGTTCAGCCGGACGTGGGGAGAAGTGTTATCCCCCGATGGTAGCGTGCGAAAGTTTGGGAACAGCACTACGGGGGAGAGTTGGGACACAACCGTGGTCGAGAACGTGTACTTTGACAAGAGCAAGCCGCCGACGTGGCAAGAGGTGTTGAGTTCGAGCGAACGCTTAATGTCGATAGAATTGACGCCTGTGAGCCAAGACGACGACGACGACGACGATAAGTGGTCGCTCGCGAGAAACGCGCCATAATTAAGTACTATTCAATTAATTTAACGAAATCTTTCTCTTTCAATTACACAAGTTCATCATTTAGAATTCCATCCCAGACTGTTGCTCCGCCTTGGCTTGACGCGTCTTTGCGGTGAGCCGCTCGATGTTTTCCCTCGCGCACGCGTTCCAGAACGTGTCGTTAAAAGTTTTGATCGCCCCGTCTAAGGTTTGCGCACCGGAATCCAGATCGACGACGGTGGGCACGAGTTCCGGATTGAAGGAATCCGCGGTGGCGGGATCCATGGGCACGCACACACGCCCAGTTTTTGGGTGAACGCAAAACGGACCCTTCAACAAGTGATTCATGTGTCTAGACACCTCGATATCGACTCGAGGGTAGATGTGCCAGAGGATTATCTTTTCGAGCGCACCGGTAAGCTTGTAATTATTTTTCTTCAAAGAGTCTTGCACGCGGCGCTCGATGACACCCCAGCGGTCGACCGAGTTGAGCGAACTCGTCGCAAACTCCGACGCGAGATCCTCTCTAATGTTTTCGTCGGGAATCAGATTGAGGAGTTGCTCGAGCTTGGTTTTGTCCTCGAGAATTCGCTGCGTGGGCAAGTACGACTCGATCCAATATTGTTTCAAGACGCCGTCGTACGCGCGCTTCACCGAAGGGTGCATCGGCGTCGACGACAACACGCGGCGCCCCTGACCCTCGCCCTTGACGACGGCGAAATACTCGGCAACCGCAGAGCGAGCTTCGTCGCTCAACTTTCTCGCGCGCTCATCGCTGATCCAGCAGTGAATACCGCGACGACCGGAATAGACCCACAACAAGTGCTTGAAACCGAAATCCTCGCGCAAGCCGACGTCGAGCACCTTGAGCGCCACCGTCATCAACGGCCAGCACTTTCCACAGATCCCAGCCTCCTTGCAGCACGTCCGCACGTCGTCGTAATCCGTCATATCGATATCAAAAACCAACTCCCGCTCCTCCGGTTTTAACTCCACCGTGTGCCTGTCGGACGGTCTGCGGTTACAAATCGGCCCGAATTCGATGCGCGCCGGCTTTTTCCGCTCCACGTTTGTCTTAAAATCCTTCGCGTCCACGAAACTCTGATACCGCGCAAAAATCTCTCCCCCGCCCTCTTCTTGTTCCTTATCCAGCACGAAACAAAACTCCCGCCGGCTCGGGTACGTCTTCTCCGCCCTCGCGTGTCGTTCGTCGTTTCCGTGCGCCAACCACTTGAACAACAGATCCGCCGGGTAAAATTGTTTATAATACCTATACATCAAGCTCTTCACCCGCGCCTTCCCCACGTTCCCCGTGTTGAGCGCGACGTTTTCCTTCTCCCCATCCTCCGTCTTCAATCGCTTCGTCTCCGGTTCGACCGTCGCCATCCTTTGTCGATCGTCACCGCGTCGATCGTCACCGCGTCGGCGCGTCTCCCGCGTCGTCTCTCGCGTCGTCTCGCGTTTGTTCTCGCGTTCGTTCGCGCGTCCGACGCCTCGAAAGCTTCGCCGCGCGCGCGCGTCTCCCGCGTCGCGTCGCGTCGCGCCGCGCGTCGCGCAGTCGCGCGGTCGTCGCTGGAATTTTAAATTTTTCGCGCCACCTGTCGCGGCGTTTGAAAATCCTCCCGTGTGTGTCTTCGCACTGTTTACCCATACGTGTCGGAAATCTTGTGACTGTTTACCCATACGTGTCGGAAATGAACGCGCGCGCGCGCGCCGACGCCGCGCGACGACGGACGACGACGCGCGCGATGGCCGCGATGGACGACGCGCGCGCGAGCGCGACGGCCGTCGTCGACGCGCACGTCGCGCGCGGCGCGCTGACGACGGACGACGCGCGGACGCTGCGCGAAACGATCGCGCTGGGACAAGCGCATCTGATCGCGGATTGGCCGGCGCCGGGCGTGGACGACGAGAGGAAGCGCGCGTTCGTCGAGGAAGTGCGACGGGCGGATCGGGGGTACCCGGGGGGGGTGGCGAAGTACGTGTCGAACGCGCGCGAGCTGCTGAGGGCGTCGAAGGAGGGGAAGAATCCGTTCGAGGGATGGACGCCGAGCGTGCCCACGGGGAAGACGGTGGAGTACGGATCGGCGGCGCACGAGATTCTGGAGAAGATTGGGATGCGGGAGACGGCGGAGACGTGCTTCGTGCTCGTCGCGGGGGGGTTGGGAGAGCGATTGGGGTACTCGGGGATCAAGGTCGCGCTGCCGGTGGAGCGGGCGACGAACGCGTGCTATTTGGAGTTGTACGTGAAGAATATCTTGGCGATGGAGAAACGCGCGGAGGGTGCGGAGGGTGCGACGAACGCGGGTGGGTGCGGGTGCTTCGGCGGTGGCGGCGCGAAGGCGAAATCGTCCACGAAGATTCCGTTGGCGATCATGACGTCGGAGGACACGCACGCGCTGACGCTCGATTTGCTCGAACGCAACGATTACTTTGGCGCGTCTCGCGATCAAATCACGCTCATGAAGCAAGAAAAGGTGCCGTGCTTGATGGATAACGATGCACGTTTGGCGGTGAAAGACGACGATCCTTACAAGCTCGCGCTCAAGCCGCACGGCCACGGTGACGTGCACTCTCTCCTGCACACGAGCGGGTTGTTATCAAAGTGGATGAGCCAAGGCAAGAAGTGGGTCGTCTTCTTTCAAGACACGAACTCGCTCGTGTTCCGCGTCATCCCTGGTGCGCTCGGGGTGTCGAAGACGATGAATCTTGAGTTCAATTCTTTGTGCGTTCCGCGAAAAGCCAAGGAAGCGGTCGGTGCGATTTCGTTGCTAACTCACGAGGATGGACGCAAGATGACCATCAACGTCGAATACAACCAGCTCGATCCGCTTTTGCGAGCCACTACGAATCCCGAAGGCGACGTCAACGATGCCACGGGCTTCTCCCCATTCCCGGGTAACATCAATCAGCTCATCGTGAGTCTTCCAGAGTACGCAAAACAACTCAAGAAGACTGGCGGCGCGATCGAAGAATTCGTCAATCCCAAGTACAAGGATGAGACAAAGACGGCTTTCAAATCGCCGACGCGATTGGAGTGCATGATGCAAGACTATCCCAAGAGCCTCGGATCGAAGGCTAAGGTTGGTTTCACCGTCTTTGCGAACTGGATTGGCTACAGCCCGGTGAAGAACTCTCCGGCGGACGGTTTGGCCAAGTTCAAATCTAACGGCCCGACGCACACGGCGACGAGCGGCGAGTTTGAGTTTTACGAATCGTGCGCAAACTTGTTGCGTTTGGCCGGTGCCGACGTCCCCGCCGCCGCCGTCGACGCTGAATTCAACGGTATGAAGCTTCCCATGGGTCCACGTGTTGTGCTCGGTCCGGATGTCGCCACATCTTTTGATGAACTCAAGTCGAAAGTCGGCGCCGTCAAGTTGGGCGCGAAGAGCGCGCTCGTCGTCGAAGGCTCTGGCGTCAATTTGAAAAACGTCGAAGTGGATGGTGCGCTCGTCATCAAGGCGTGCGAGGGCGCGGAAGTCATCGTCGATGGTTTGAAAGTGACGAACAAGGGTTGGCAGTGGAAGCCGACCGGCAAAGGTGCGCCCGAAGTCGACGCGCTCGCGGGATTCGTCGTGAAGAAAAACGAAACGGCCGAGTACGTCTTCGACAAGCCTGGCAAGTACACGCTCCCGTAAGCGTTTCTCTTCTCCCTCGTCCTAGTAAAAACCACCAGCGACGCAAAAACACGCCATTTGAATTGAAATAACAACACGAATGAATACTTTGTGGACGCACGTGATTACTTTATTACAGTTGCTCGCGGGAGACAGCGCTGGGCCATCGCCTTCGAGGCGTGCGCGGCATCGTCGAAGTGAGGTGGGACATTTTCAAAATGGTCATGTGCCCCGTTTCCGGCGACCTTCTGTCGATAGTGGCTTAAATAACGCACGGAGTGTCGCGAAACGCGGAGACAGAGCTCTCAAATTCATTACAAGCCGACTCGCGTAAAGTAGTCGTTAATTTATTCACGCGTCGTTCGCGACTTTCATCGTGCCGCAGCACTTGGTCGCCTGACGCGTTTCGGTCGTCGATTGGTGTCCGCAATAAAGTTTGTACGGACCTTGGCATCCGCACCAGAAGCACGCACAACCGCTCACGCAGCCCATCAATGGACCACAATATTTATTGTCGTGATCGTACCGGAGCGAAAAGTCGCGCTTTGTCGTTCGGTCACACACCGCGATTTGGTTGAAGTACTCGCAAAAATCGTCAAACTCCATCCAAAACACGCCGTCGTGATGATCGTTCACGTACGCGAGCTCCTTCGCGATGGCCGGGTGTTTGTCCCATTCTTTCGATCCATCAGCCCAAGCGCCCTTCCATTCAAACGTCGACCACGGATTGCGAAGCTTGATGAAACGCTTTCCACCGACGCCCCAAGAGCGTCCAGCCCAACGCACGGAGATGACGGAGAACAAGTGACCGGACACCAAGCCGGTGGTTTCGTCTTTGCTCTCGCCATTTTTAGTCATCCTCGACACGGCGATCAGGGACTTGATGCTGTCGTACTGGGTCAGGATGTTGAACAATTTATCGCGCACGATGTTTTCCTCGACTTCTTCGTGATAGATGCGATCCTTCTTACCGCCGTCACCGGGCTTACCGATAAACTTCATGTTGTGTCGCCGCCACGTGCGTTCGACGTCCATGCGCTTCTTGAGCAAGAAGACGTTATCGCCCGTGAGCGCGTGCGTGGCCCACGTGCCGAACCCGCCGTCCAGCGCGGCGTAGCTCCCCATAAACTTAGCCATCGCCTTCTCCACGATCAAAGGCCAAAACTCGTTGTTGTGCGGTTGCATAAATATCGGATTCTTCGTCCCCTTGTAACAAGGAATGAGATCGTCCACCGTCACGGTGACCCACCTCTTCTCCTTGCCGTCGTAAAACCGCACGCGATACTTGCCGCGAAGCGACTTTTCCCCGTTCAATATCAACCGTTTGATCGCTCCCGGGTGTTCCGCCAGGCACGCCAGCGCGCTCACCAACCAACAATCCCCGAGCTGGCCCTGCACGCAGTCCCGAGGTTCGATGATTCCCTGATACAGCACCATCGGCTTGTCCTCGCTCCCCGCGCTCAGGTCGTCGACGCGCGCCCAATCGCACCCGCGAAATTCGCAATCCACCCCGAGCGCCGCGTCGCCCGCCCAGACCTTATCCTCGTACCGAAAGCATTCCAGCAGGCAACAGCACAGCGATCCCATCGCGCCGCGCGCGCCCAGCCGCGCGTACGCGCCGAGGCACGGCGTCAGATACGCATCGATCGCGTTCCACGCGAGGACGAACGGCGCGACGAGCGCCGCGACCGCGGGGTGCCCGTTCCCGGCGCAGTGCGTCGCCGCGCACGATTCCTGCGACTCGACGTCGCGCGCGTTCGAGCGCGCGGGCGCCATGGCGCGCGTCGACGTGACGCCCGACCGTTCGTTCGCGGTCGGTCGACGCGCGCGTCGCCACAGCGCCGCGCGCGATGTCGAGCGACGGCGACGACGGCGACGACGGCCGAGGGCGCGACGACGGCGACGACGGCGACGACGCGCGGCGCGCGGGCGCGTCGCGCGCGCGCGCGGACGCGAGAGGGACGAATAATCATCGCAATCACGACGATGGCGTTCGAAATCAACGACGACGACGGTCGAGCGACGACGCGCGCGACGGCGCAGACGACGAGACGACGAACGCGCGAGCGACCGACGGTGACGACGAACGAACGGACGCGCGACTGTTCCCGCCGACGCGCGCGGACGAGGAGGGGACGAAGACGCGGACGCGCGGGGACGAGGCGACGCGCGGGACGAACGAGGCGAAGGAAAACGACGACGAGGGGCGAAGGAAAGCGAACGAGCGCGGGAAAACGCGCGGGAGGGAAGGCGATGGCGGCGTGGGAGCGACGGGGGGGTCGATCGTGGACGCGGCGAGGGAGAGCGCGACGGCGGGGTTGGCGGTGTGCGGAAACGTGTACGTGCGGAGCGTGGAGAATAAGCTGCCGCCGGGAGTGCGATCGGTGGTGAAGGGCGCGAGGTGCGAGGTGCGGACGTTCGCGGATGTATTCTTTGCGACGATGTTCGCGTCGTGCGCGCTGACGGTGCGCGTGGTGGGGGCGGGGGCGGGGGCGGCGCGACGCGCGGGCGAACGGACGATGTCGACGGCGGGGGAGGCGAGCGCGAGAATCGCGCGCGAGGTCAAGATGAAGACGATGACGATCGCCAAGGGCGGGAACGACCGCAAAGAAGCGCGTGGGGAGGCGTCGAAGGCGTCTGAACCGTCGTCGGTGGCCTCGTTGGCGAAGGAGAAGACGAAAGAGGCGTTGCGAGGGCTCGACGACGCCAAGCTGGCCGCGCTGGCGAGCGTGAAATCTTTCTTCGATGACCGAAATAAACCAGGCGGGGACGGGACGAAGTCGAAAAAGAGTGGCGAAGCGTCCGGGTCGAAGTCGAAAAACGCGAAGAAGAAGTCGGTCGATGTGACGAAGACCAATGGCGACGCGAAGCCGCGGCGGAAGAAGTCGGTCGCGACGGAGGATGGGAAACTGAAAAGGCGCGTCGATCCTTTGCGAAGCCTCGTGAGCGAAGAAACGTCTAAAAAGGTTAAAGAAAAGTTAAAAGGGTTTGAGGATGCCGTTGGAAGTTGGCCAATGGTGCAAGCGGTGAAGCCACGCGTGGATGGCTTCGTTGAAGCGTTCGCGGAGCGTCAACGCGTCGTCGTCGCCAAGCTGCACTCGTCCACCGAAGGCGGCGTCGACACCATACGCGGTGCGCGTGCGAGCTTGGTCCATCACGCTAAGGGCTTAAAAACACGCGTCGAGGATGGTGTCACCGGCGCGCGCGGTATTTTGGCTGGTGGAATCGCGAGCACGAGTAGACTCGTATCTCCGCTCCTCCGTCACGACAGGAGCGCGACGCAAAAAAGTCGACTGAAGACGTTTTTAAACCCTGGTTCGAGCGGACGTGCGATTATGAGAGATGACGAGTACAGCGCTGCACAGATTGAGCGGCACCACGAGCTGAGTAAACAAGTGGAGCGCGCGGCGAAGCTTTCTCGCGAGGCGGATGGCGAGTTGCTCGCCAAGCCGCTGCGCGTCGTCGTGCAGCCGGAGGACAATCTGTTCGACATCGCCAGCATCGCTGGCATCAGCGTCATGGATCTCGCGCGCTACAACAACTTGCGTCCGCATCCAGAGAGCCACTTCCTCAAGATTGACCCCGGCCAGGTCCTGTACGTCCCTTCGCGGTCTTTGCTCGACCGCCTTCCCGCGATCGATCGCGCTAGAGAGCCCAAATACGAGCTCTCCGTCCGCGTCACCGACGTCCCGCGCGCGGCACCACCACCGACCGCTTCGTCTCGCCTCGTGCATCCATCGCGTCACTCCAGGCACAAATCCGTGCGCGAATCCGACGACGCGTTGGAGTCATCCAACTTTGCCGCGTCTCTGGGCGTCTCGCTCGCCCTGTGCGCCGCCGCGCTCGCCCTGCGCAGCGTTCGCGAAGCCATGAATTCCGACGACGAAGACGTCAACGACGCCTAACTCGCGCGCGAATCGTTCATTGTATATCTCATTTACCGCTAGCGCACAATTCCACGACCCCTCCCACGCGTCTCGATCGCCGACAGACTTTACCCGCGCGCGTCCCGGCGGGGACAGTCACCGGGCAATTCTTTCGAATCGCGCATTCGCAATCGGTCAAATCGCGACTCGTGCGCGATGCCGACCGCGCTCCGAGCGAGCCGCGCGCGAACGCCGACGAGCGAAAGCGCGCACGCGGTCGATGGCTTGCCCGGCACGCAACCGCGCGCGAAGAAAACAAAGGAAGTGAGCGGCGAATCGCTCGGCAAGTACCGAGGCGTGTACAAGTGGAAAAATGGAAAATACCGCGCGATGATCAATAGCGAGGGCAAGACGTACGGGCTGGGCGTGTTTAGCGACGTCGAGGCGGCGGCGATGGCGTTCGACCGGGCGAGCATCGTGCTCGGGAGGCAACCGAAGAATTTCGCGACGTCGAATCGGTATGAATTTGAGTTGGACGAGCTCTCAAAGTTGAACGGGAACATACAAGCGTTGCGAAGGATGACGAGCGATAGGGCGCCGGATAAGTCGAAGAGTATGAGCGTGTATAGAGGCGTGCACCGGTGCTCGCGAACGGGACGATATCGGAGCGAGATTGAACACAACGGTAAAAAGTTTAGCTTGGGAGTGCACGCAAAGGAGGAGGACGCCGCGAGGACGTACGATCAAGCGGCTATAGTGTGTCTCGGCGGATTGGCCGTGACGAACTTCGATCGGCAGGAGTACCAACTCGCGCATTTAGACCATTTTGCGGGTGATTTAGACAAATATAGAGCGAGCTTACACATCAAGATTCGAAGACAAGGTACCTCTCGATCCCGTTGTACGAGCAAGCACGAGGGTGTACGCAAGTACGAACACACCTGGAAGAGCGGTAAGAAGACTGTCAAATGGCGTGCCGAAGTTAAGGTTGAGGGTAAATCGAAACAGTTGGGTTATTTCCGTTCCGAGGACGAAGCGGCTCAGGCGGTGAAGACATTCCGCGTTGGGTACGCCGCCACGGCCACGGCGGGCGCCTAGACTAGTTCCAACTACTTTTACATGCAATAACATCACAACGAATCTACAAATACCGACTACGAATACTAAAGACTACGAATACTGAGGCCGACCGAGCCACACCGGCAACGAACTGCGACACAACGGACACGAATCGTCTCGCGCCAGCCACTCCTTCACGCAGCGCTCGTGAAACACGTGCGAAGCGCTGCACGGCATCGCCACGACCACTTCATCCGTCGCGTAGCAATCGAAACAAATTGAACACTTCATCCCTACTTCGTCATCGCGTGGTTTACGATATCTCAGCGCTTCCACGCTCACCGTGGACGCCGCCGCGCGCGAACCTTCGCTCTCGTCAAAGTCTCGTTCTAAACCGTCGACGAGACTTTCAAGAGATCGTCGGCGCGCGGCTAAAATCAAACGCAGCGCCTCGTTCACGACACCATCGACGTTCTCATCCATCGTCTCGTCCTTCGTCTTCGTCTTCGTCTTCGGTGCCGTCTCGTCCTCGCGCGGCGCCGTCGCCGTCGCCTCGCGCGTCTCGGCCAACGTCGCCAACGCCGCCACCAGCGCCTCCCGATCGCTCCCACCGACCGCGTCGCGACACGCCTCGATCGCGCGCACGCCGACGTCCCACGCCTCCGCGCGCGCATCGCCGTATCGACTCTTCAGCGTCGTCGCGACGCGCCGTCCCGCGCGAGCCAGCGCGACGCTCACGCGCGCGTCGCCTTCGTCTCGCGCCCTCGCCGCGCGCTCGATCGCGCGCGCGCCGTCGCTGAACGTCGACCGCTTTCCCAACGCCTCGATCGCGCCGTCGAGCGCGCGCGCGCGCGCGTCGTCGTCGGCGCGCGACATGACGCGGCACTGTGTGACGCATGCGCGTTCGCCCGTCCGCGATGGCGACGGCGTCGAGCGCGCGCGCGGCGACGCACGCGTCCGCGGCGGCGCGGCGCGGATCGACGCACGCGATGCGCGCGCGAGGAGGGGCGCCGCGCGTCGTCGCGCGCGTCGCGGGGACGGTTTTGGGGATTTGGGCGATGGCGCACTTGGCGCGCGCGACGTCTCGCGCGTTCGCGCCGACGCTCAACGCGCACCGCGATCGAAGCGGACGGTGCGAGGAGACGCCGGGGAAGTGGGACGTCGACGCGGCGCGAGCGCGGGCGCGGGCGCTGACGGCAGAGAGCGAGGCGATGCGCGCGGATGGGTTCGCGGTGCTGCTGAATACGTTTGAAAGACCGGATTTGTTGAAGACGGCGCTGAGACACTACGGGAAATGCCGAGGCGTGGAGGAGATACGCGTGGTGTGGAGCGAAAAACGCGACGCACCGCGAGAGGGGACGGCGGAGGATGGATACTTTGTGAAGAAGAAGCCGGGATTGGTGCGATACGACGCGCACGCGGAATCGACGAGCATACAGAATAGATTTGAACCGTTGGATGATTTGCGCACCAGGGCGGTGTTTAACGTGGATGAGGACGTGAGAATTCCGTGTGAGACTTTATATAGAGGATTTAAGGCGTGGCAGAAGCACCCTGACGCGTTGGTGGGGTATTACGCGAGGAATTATGCGCCGGCGAAGAAGCCGAGCGACGGGTGCTCGTGGAGATACGTCGCGAACGAGTTTCAACTTTGGTGGAGTGGGAAGTACAGTATCATCCTCACCAAGGCGGCGTTCATGGATCAAAAATATTTAAAACTGTATAAGGAGCATTTACCCGACGGTGTGCGGGAATACATCGACAAGGGGGGGGGGAATTGCGAGGACATCGCGATGCAATTTTTAATCTCCTCGATTACGCGCGAGGCGCCCGTGTACGTGCCGGCAAGTTTGATGTATTACACCAAGGCTAAGTTGGGTGGAGTTGGCGTCGCTGGAATTAGCAGTGGTGCGGGACATCACCTCAAGCGCGGTGATTGCATCACGGATTTCCAGACGATGTTTGGCGCCGAACACATACCCCTCGTGGAAACGTATCAATAGCGAGCAATGCATTACATATATTCACGCGTCAGCAATCACGCGCTCACACCGCGTTTTCGAGGTACTTGCGCGTGAATTCGTCGCTCTCGCCGAGCTTGAAAGCGCGAGAGTGAATTTCGAGCACCGAACCCACGCGCATGTCGCGCAAGTCGTAAAACGCGCCCGTCTCGTCGCGCTTCCTGACTCTGGCGCGCTCCAGAAACTTGCTCGAGCAACTGTCCTTTGACGCTTGTTCGAAAATTGACAACGTCTTGTCACCGACGTGGAACGAGACCACAAAACGACGCGAAGCATCGAATTCGCACACTTCATCAGCGTCGCTGATCGGGACCATTTCGGCGCGAAACTGCAAAACGATTTCGTCATCCTTCGCGACGTCCTTGCGCGGCGGCTTGGGAATGAGCGAAATGCAGTTTTGCAAGCTGTCCTCTTCGCTCCCGATGGCGAGACCTGTGTGCTCAGGTATGCGATGCGCTGGAACAGTATCCTCGGGCTCGGTGACGTCGTGCGGCTCGAAAGCAGCCTCCGTCAACTCGCCCGGGAATTTCGTCAGGTACCACGACTTCGTGAATTCGTCGCAGTCGTAGATGAAGAAATCTCTCTTGTACACTCGAATCGTGTCCCCGACGTGCAAGTCTTCCGCGGTGACATAATCGAAATCATCGTTCGCTAGACCTCTGGCGTTCGCATCTTCATCGCGCAGAGGTAATCTGGACCTGTGCAGAAGCGTCGAAGACATCCCGCTTCCTCGCCCCGATTTGTTCGCTTCGACTTCGGTGATGGCGACGGTGTCGTCGATGAGAAAGAACGTCAGAACAAATCTTCGCCTGTCGCCGAATTTCGACCTGTCGTCCCAAACGCAGTAGAAGCGAAGCACTTGCTTGTCGTGCGTGAGAAATTTCCCTCGAGCATCCTTCTTCGTAGAACGCGCGGCGCGACGCGCGAGCCGAACCTCCTCCCACGACGGACCGACGCCGTCGGGTTCGCGCTCATCATTCGGGACATCGACGCCGACGCGTCCGAGGTAATCGCGCGTGAATCCATCGCAGCGATAAATTTTAAACTCGAACCCGTAGATCGTTACCGCTTTGCCAACGTTTAAATCTCCCAAAGTCACGCCGCGCACGACGTGACGCTTGAGAAACGCGCCTTGGGGCATGCCGCTGTTCTCCACGCGCGGTTCCGTGATTTTGATCGATCCGTCCTCGAGGAAAAAGTAAATGACGCATTTCCGGCATCTCGCGCTCTCCTTTTGACCGTTTTCGACGGTTTCATCAAAATACGCGTTAAATCGCAAGACGAGCCCGTGCAATTTAACGTACTCGGGCGCGTACGCCTTCGCCTCGCCGCGCGCGGGCGCGTCCGCGAACGCGTTCGCGTCGAACACATCGACCTCGCCGTCCGAGTCTCGAGGAATCGCGTAGCCATTCACAAAACTCAGCGATTGCGTCTTCGGTTTCATCGATGCCTGCGCGCGACGACGCATCGACGCTCCGTCGTGAGTCGTTCGAGTCGAGTCTTCGCGCGCGCGCGACGGCCGCCATCCGCGCGCGACGACGCACCGTCGGCGTTCCAATCATCCCCGGAAGATTCGCCAGAGTCACGCACTCCACCGCGCGCCGCGTCCTCGCGTTCGTTTCGCCCTCCATCGCGTTCGTTCACCGCTCTCCGCGCGTCGCGATGCGTCGCGATGCGTCGCGATGCGTCGCTTCGCCGACTTCTATTTTCGGCGCTTCGCCTCCCCGACGACGCGCGCGCGGGAAGCGCGCCCGTAACAACGAACGCTGTTACGTCGTTCGACGCGGCCGTCACCGCGCCGCGCGTCGACGACCGCCTCGCGCGCGCGTCGACGACGACGCGTCGCGATCGACGCGGCGTCGCGCGTCGCTCGACCGTCCCGCGCGCGCGCCGCGCATTCGCGCGTCGTCGTCGACGCGCGCGCGACGCATGCGGCACAGGATCGTCGAGCGACGCGCGCGCGCGATGCACGCCGACCAGTTCCGCGATCCCGCGCGCGAGGACGAGGACGACGACGACGACGACGACGAGATGGACGCGCGGGCGCGGGCGCGGGCGTGGGCGCGACTGCCGACGAAGACGAAGTGCCTGGGACCGACGCTGCTCGCGCTGGGGACGGCGATGCTCGGGACGCGCGCGCTCTTCGCGCTGGGCGCGATCGAGGCGGACGCGCACGCGGCGCGAGGGACGACGACGGCGCTGACGGTGGTGGGAGGGATGTGCGCGCTGGCGGGAGGGTACGCGACGACGGTGATGTGGATGACGGCGCGAGGCGCGCGCGGGTGGTCGTACGAGATGATTCCGGGGGAGTGAGGACGACGGGTTCGGGACGCGAGGCGGCGTCGGGTGATGTTACAGAGTCGATGTGAAGCGCGCGTCTAGGCGCGTTCGGAGAGCTCGGCGACGCGGGCGCGGAGACGGGCGTTCTCGTCGCGAAGCTCGGCGATGGCGGTCGCTTGGGCTTGGGCTTGGGCGTAGAGATCGCGGAGGGCGGCGGAGACGGAGGCGGCGGATTGCGCGACTTCGGAAAAGTAGCGTAGATCCACGCCCATGTCGTCCGCGCCGGCTTCGGAGTGCACGGTGAATCGACCTTTTTGTACCGCCTTCTTTGTGCGCGAAACGCCCGGCGCGGGTGAGCTCGCGGGCGTGGGAGACGTGCTTCGGCTGCCGCGCTGGTTGTCCTCGATGATGTCAAACCGTCCTCGTCGCTGCACCGTTTGCGACGTCGCCGACGACTCGGGCGCGTCTTCGGTGATGATTTCGAATCGGCCTTTCTTCTCGATGCTCCTCTTTTCGCCCATGTGCATGTTTTCGAGCGCGTTCGCCGCGGCGATGGCGTTGGATTCAGCCACCGCGGGATCGTCCATCGCCGCCGCCTGCGCCTTCAATTCGTCGACGTCAAAATTCCAATTAGACACCCCGTGCTTGTAAGCTTCGTTCGAAGCGGCTTCCGCTTGCGCCTCACCCACGGCGTTCGATTCCGCGCGCCGTTTCGCCTCGCGTTCGGCGAGCATGCGCGTGCGATCGCCCAGAGAAGGGATGTTTTCGAGCAACGTCTTCGCGAGCCAATCGGCTTTCTTCGCCTCCTTCAAAAATTTGTGCTCCAAAAGCTTGCTCGCCGGCGGGCGCTTGGACGGATCCTTTTGCAGGCAAAGACTGACGAACTCGCGAAGGGCGCGAGAGAAATGCCGACCGTCTTCGGGTTGCTCTTCGAGCGTCGGCGCTGGGTTTTGAAGCGTCATCAAGAGCACCTTCATCGGCGGAAACTTGGAAAACGGCGCGTGCCCGTGGCACAACTCCAGCACCGTGATCCCGAGCGACCAAATGTCGGCGTGAAAATCGTACCCGTTCTCTTGCTCCATCACCTCTGGCGCCATCCAGCACGGCGTGCCGACAAAAGTCTGGTGCGACCGCGGTCGGCCTCCCGAACCCCAACACGAAGCGCTCACGCCGAAATCGGCCAGCTTCACCGCCCCGTTCTCATCCACCAAAATGTTCCCAGCCTTGATGTCTCGATGAATATTCCCATTACGATGAAAGTAATCCAGCGCCTTGAGCGCCGCCTTGACGATGCACGCGATGACGGGTTCCTCGAAACCTCCCGGATGCGACCACTTCATCAAATTCAGCGCCGATCCCCCCGCGAGATACGGCATCACCACCCAAAGCGACGCCTCGTTCACGAACGAGCTATAATATTTCACCAAATTCGGATGACTCAGCATGCTCATCGTCTGCGCCTCGCGTCGGATCTCGTCCAGGTGTTCCGGCTCGTGTTCCTCGAGATCCAAAACCTTCACCGCGACGACTTCGTCGTTCGTCGCGCATCGCGCTCGCCACACCTGCGTCGCGCGCCGACACCATCGCTCGCCCGTCAGTCCCGCGTCCGTCTCGCGTCATCGCGCGCGCGTCGTCTCGCGCGTCGTCGTCGCGTCGCGTCGCGTCGCGTCGCGTCGTTCGCCTCGCGCGCACCGTCGCGCTCACGCCGTGCCCGATCTCCTCGAGCAGCTCGTACGCCGACGCGTTCGTGGGGTACGCCGACGGCGCGCCCGGCGCGTCGCTCGCGCCCTCGCTCGCGTCGCTCGCCATGGCGCGCGTCGCGCGCGTCGATCGTCCGCGCGCGCGCCGCGAAGTGCGACGCCGCGAAGCGCGACGCCGCACGATGTCGCGCGCGCGCGGACGCGCGGCCGCGGCGGCGCCGACGCGCGCGCGCGCGAGGCGACGCGCGCGAAAGGGCGGTCGTCGAGCGACGCGCGTCGCGCGCGCGCGCGCGGACGACGACGACGACGACGACGACGACGACGATGGACGCATGCGAGAGGACGAACTGCGCGCGGCGATCGACGAAGCGAGAGAGATCCTCGCCGAGGCCGCGCGAATGGCGAACGAACAGGCGCGCGCGGAGCTCGCGCGAACGTTCGACGCGGGCGACGGACGCGGCGCGGCGTTCGAGTGCGTGCGGGTGGAGGAGTTTTTGAAGGGGAAGGGCGCGCGAACGCTCGACGCGGAGCGCGCGGCGAGGGAGCTGTACATCGGGGACGCGTACTTTCAAGACGTCGAAAAGTTGATGGTGCAGTTCGATCGGTTGGAGCGCGCGCTGGGAGGGGTGCCGGGAATGAACGTGGGCGCGCTCGTGGGGCGGTGCACGGAGGTGGCGACGTGCGACATCGCGAGGGCGACGGCGAACTTGTTGACGCTGCGAGGGGCGTTTAAGGTGGGAAAGATTAGCGCCATGGTGATGGATTGTCCGAAACTGTTGATGTGTGACGATTTGGAAGATCGCATACGGCGCACGCAAGCGTGCATCACGCGGATTTGGGCTTCGGAGAGCGACGAGGATACGATTTACGCGATCTCAGAGGAACCAAATTTGCTCTTCACGCTGTGCGATTTGCCGATCTTCGCGGAAGATATCTCGGTCGATATTTCAGAGCTTCCGATGTCGGTGCAAGGTGCGTGTGTTGTCGTCGCGCGCGCGCGCGTTCGTCGTCGAACGGCGTTTGTTTCTAACCATTCTTCGCGTGTAGAGGCGCTCGTTTTCGCGACTCGAAGGTTCAAAGCTTAACGGTTCATAGACTCACCTCCGGTGGTTTTCCACGCTCTACGCGCGCAGCGATGCTCGTGTACGCGTGTGGCATGGAGAACGAGTGATAATGTGTTCGTGTTGTATTCTATCTATAGGCATTTGTGCATTATAAAACGCAGGCTTGTAAAACGATTTCATTTGTAGAATTTCTTCTTGGCTGGGGATTGCGCGGCGCCGGTAAAACCGGCGTACGAACTAAGCTGCGGGATTTCCACTCCATCAGCCTTGGCTTTTTCCATGGCGGCGATCCTGCGCGGATCCCATTCGTCTAGCACGGCGAGCGGCAAATCGTTCGGGTGTCGCGCCACCACGTACCCCCAAACTTCGCTACGAGGCAACTTTTTGTGCCACGCCAACACATCGCGCTGCATCGACCCGAAACAGCAGTACCAGAACGACAGAAACGGTGAGGTACGTTCACCCAGGGCGCCTATGTGCGTTCGCTTGCGACGCGCCTTGGCGCTTTCTTCGCTTTGACCTTTGGCGGCGCGCGCCTTCACCATCGCCTTGGGTGTCCAATAATAATAACGCTTCTTCGGCGCGATGTAGAATGGCAAGATTTGCGCTCGAGCGGCACCACCACCGTGACGCTTGATACCATCGTCATTCTCCTCGACGTCATCTTCGTTGTTTTCCTCGTCTTTGCGCTGAAGCTCGAGCGATTTCGCCTTTTCCTTCCCTCGCGAGCCGCCCGTGAGCAACGCGGGCAGGTAGTAATCCTTGTGAATGACGTACGAGGGCAAGAGCAGCATGTACGGACGGCCGTGTGCAGCAAGATTTTCTGCCGCAAACGTCACGCACTTCTCTATGTGGTCAGCAGAGTACGGTGGATTTGTCAGGAAGACGTCGTGCTCGGGCACGCGCCCCTCTTCGATGACTTTGTAAAAATCTTCGTTGCGATTGATGACGTTCGTGAATCCAATCAAAGCCAAGTTCCTTCGCGTACCTCCGGCGCAGTAGTAAGGGTCATAAATCACCAGGTCGGCGGGCGTTTTATTCAAGCGCCCGCACGCCGCCTTTAAGAAATTCGCTACGTTTTCGTGCGCCTCAGGCGACGTCTCGCAGTGGTCGTCCGCGTCCGTCTCGAACGGATGCTCTACCTCCGCCGGCGCCTTAAATTCTTCCGCTAACTTCGCGTTCCCCTTAAAGATCGCCGGTATCGTCTCCCCACGCTCGTTCAAAACCGCCCCTTTCTCTTTTCTCTCATCCTTTTTCTTCTCCGCCGGTTTCCAATACGTATAGCTCTGCGTCGCGTCGTCCCACGTCCCGATCCTGACGTGTTCCCCATTCGCCGTACGCTCCGTGCTCGAGTACACGGCTTTAGACTTTTTATCCACGAGCACTAATTCGTCGTTCATCACCACGCCCTCGACGTTAAACGTGCCGTGGAACACCTTGTCTTCGTCGTCGGCGTTCGCCGCGTCGCCGCCGCCTTCCGTCTCGTCCGTTCCTCGCGGTCGTCCCTCTTCCAGTTTACGCCGTTTTGCGCGCGCTTGCTTGGCCTTGCGCTTCTTTTCTCGCGCGCGTTCGAGCTTGGACGCGCGATTCGCGCTCACGCGCGCGTCGGCGTCGGTTTTATCGTCGCCGCCGCCGCCGCTCGTCGTCGGCGGCGACGCGTCGGCGGCGGCGCTCGCGTCGTCGGCGCCCTCGGCGAGCTCGCGCGCGCGCACGCGAGCGATGAAATCGTCCTCATCGCTCGAGCCTTCGTCGAAGCGGGAGAGATCGGGCGCGGTCATCGCGCGCGCGAGGCGGCGTCTGCGGCGAGTCGAGGCGAATCGGTGTCGTGTACTACAAAGGATTTTATTACGCGGTACCGCGCTTGACGTATCGAGCGGGTTGTCCAGGGGCGAGCGGAGGTAAGACTTCCATGTCTTGCATCTCCCCGCCGCCCTCGCCGGTGGTGATCAACGCGATCTCAACCTTGTGCTCGTCGCCGTCGATGCGCGTCGCCGCGGCGATGACGCCCGGACCGAAAAACGTCGTAATCTTGCTCACGCGATCGGTCCACTCGGTGAAGTCCATCTTGGGCGAATCGAACTCGAGGCACAACGCGTAACGATCGTTGATGATCTGTTCGGACAACCCCACGAGCTCGGGGGCTTGGTTTCTTCGCAAACCGCCCGGTCGGTTGAAGCGGAAAATAATCTTCAGCGCCTCCTCCAAATGTTGCTCATCTCCGTATCTGTATCGCGTCACGTCCCCTCGCACTTGAGTCAAGATCGGCGTCGTTTGTTCCTCCCGCACTTTCAAAGCGTCCTCGTACGTCACGAGCTTCAACGGTTCCAACTCGGCGTACTTCAGCGCGAAGCCGATGAGCGAAATCGGAAAGCCGTAAATCAACATCAACGCCGAGATGTCCGCCCCCGGCAGGAACGAAAAGTACGCGCAGAACCCGTACAGCAGCAGAGGCAATCCAACGCTCAGACCGATCGTGCCGAACGACGTCGTGCTCAGCAGCGCGGCTTCCTTTTCGTCGGACACCTTTCGAGACCCGCGGCGCAGCTCAAACGTCGTCGTCGTCGCCGCCGCCGCCGCGCCCGCCGCGCCCGCCGCGCCCGCGCTCGCGCCGCTCTTCCACGCGTCGATCCACGCCTGCGCCTCCTTCGCGCGCGCGTCCGGGCTCGCGATCGCCGCGCTCGCGCGCGCGCGGACGGCGGACCGAGCGGATAAGACGCGACGCGCCGTCGTCGTCGTCGTCGTCGCGCGACGCGCGGGCGCCGCGCGCGCGGGCGGCATCGCGCGCGTCATCGCGTGCGTCATCGCGGCGTGCATTCGATCGGCGTCGGGCGCGTTCGCGGCGCGCGACGGATTGTGAAGCGCGCGGTGGATGCGTGACGTCGGCTGACGTCAGCCCTCGGGACGCGAGGCGAGGCCGCGCGAGCGGGACGTCGCGAGGGACGACGACGCGCGAGGGACGACGACGCGCGTTCGAAAGGATATAAATTAATAATGAATGCGACGACACGAGGGAGATAGGAAGAGAGAGACTAAGGGAAAACGGTGAGGAAGCCGGAGACGTCGAAGCGCTCGGGGGGCGCGAGGACACTGGAAGGTCCGCGGCGAAGAAAGAGCCAAGATAAGGCGTGGAATAAAGCCACGGCGAAAGCGGCGAATGGGGAAGGGTACTCCATCGCGAATTCCATCGCGAATGATGCGATTTTGACGGCGGATTCCGCGGCGCGGGTGTAGGAAACCGACCCGGGCGTCGCATCCGGCGGAGGCGTCGACGCGAGTTCACGCAGCGCGTCAACTTCCGCTTCAAGCTGCGCTCTTTCACGCTTACACGCCTTATACTTGTCGTGCATGATTTTTGCGTGCTTTTTCTCGCGTTTGATGGACGATTTGACCTCTGCGCGATATTCATCGAGGTTGTTCAACGCCTCGCGAAGACGCGATTCGCTGACGCGCAAGGCGTCTTGTAATTCGCCCATTCTCGCGTCCATGCCTCGCCTCTTCGCCTCACTCTTTTCAACTTCATCACATTTTGCTCGAAGCGCGCTCGCCAGCCACTCTTCGTTTTCAGACGCCGTCTCCAAAGCTTTATTAAACCGCTTCTCCGCGCGGGCGCTCTCCGCCGCCGCCGTCGATTTCGCCTTCGCCAACTCCACCCGCAGTTCGTTCTCGACCGCCATCGCCGCCGTGGATTCACTCAATCGACTCTTCAACGCTCGCATCGGCGTCGATTCCCGCGCTCGCGAGCCGTTCGTCACGTCTCGGAGCGGCGCCGCGGTCGACGTCGTCGCCTTGAGCCTCGCATTCTCCGCCCGCAACGCCGCGCACTTCGCCTCCATCGCCGCGTACTTCCCATCACCGGTGGTATTTCGCGTTTTTTCCACGATTTCTTCCAGCTCCGCGATTCTTCGTTCGAGCACGCGGGCGTAGGACGCGGCGTCGAGTTCGTCGACGGCGGTTGAAGATGAATCGTCAAGCGTTCTTTCCCCCGTCGACCACGTGCTCGGTTTCACCGTCGCGGGAGAGTGAAATAGCCGCGCGGTCGGGCTCGAGTGCTCGAAACGCATCGTCGGAGGCATGACGCGCGGCTAGCGGGGCGCGACGAGCGCGAGCGTCGTCGAGGAGGCGCGGAATGACGCGATTATGGTGATTTACAAGACCGGGATGCGGTGGACCGCGTTTTTCGTGGACATCGGAGCGTACTGGAGCAAAAGTTCGATCTCACCCTTGGCTACGCCTTGAAGCTTGAAAACGTCCTTCATTATGACGTTTTGGCGGACGAGTGAGACGTCGATCTCCACAAAGCCGAGCGAGACTTCAAAACCTCTGATTTCGATTCTGAGCGGGTCGACGTCTGGAATGACGTTGTAAAAGACGAAACGTTCGTTGAACTTGGGCTGCGAAGTCTTCAATTTGCGCGCACTCGTGTACGTTTGCTTTGCACAAGACACGTGAGCCATGGGATTCGGCGGCAAGTCCTTGACACGAAGCAAATTGCGACCTTCGAGAAGTTCGACGGTGAGCAAACCTTGCTCGTAATCCTCATCGAATTCATCCGGAGCGCCGGTGTCGATGTACTCGAGCTCGACTGTCATCGTCGGGTGCATGAACTTTTTCCCACCAGGTGTTTTCGTCTTGTTCTGTTCCTCGATGCATCGGTAAAAGTATTTCATGCGCGCCTCATCCGCTTCTTCTTCGCTTTTTTTGTGCCACTCGGTGATTTCGTTGCTGCGAGTCATGATTTGTTCGTGCGTGTAGCCGTCGGCGGCGGCGAAATACTCGAGTGGGCACTCTTTCTTGTAGTACGTTGGATCGATGAAAGGGAGTTCGAGAACAATCGGACCTGGCCCGCGATCGGCGATTTCTCCGCACGTGATCGATGCCTCGCCATAGTTGGAGATACGCTCGGCGCCCTGTTTAAGGAGGCGGAACGTCAAGGGAGTTTCTCGATCGCACAACACAAACGAGTCTTCGACGCCATCCCAGCTCGGTGCGTCTCCTAAACGCGGTGGTGTACTCAGCTGGCGCTGCTCGCGAGTCCAATACTTGATAAAGTAATTGTCCGATTTGAGCATGTTTCGCATCAGCGAAGAAGCCTTGCCTTTCTTGCGCGAGAGGCGGCTATAGTTGCGTCGCTTGTAGAACGCATTTCCCTTCAGGAATCTAATTCGCATCATCCCCGTCGAAGACTCCTCGATACCGCTGGCCTCCATTATGGGTATGTGCAGTTTATAAGGATATAAGAGCATCTTCTCGATGGACGATTTCACGGTGCGCTTGACGAAACCGTGCATGAAGGGGAGCGCCATGAGATCGATTCCGCCCGGAAGGAACAATCCAAAGTCCAAAATCTCAGGCATACCCATCAAGCAAGCTTCGATCGCACCGAGACATGGAATGATATCTACCAACGGATCAAAAGTCACTTGCACCAAGCACTTCAGCTGAAGCTGGCGTAAAGACACCGGAAATCGTATCCCAAACGCGTACAACGTGACGATGATTTCGCACGACGAAGCCCACGTGAGCTCGATGTCCAAGATGGAATTCTCCATGTGAGACGAGTGCGAGCGAATCCCACAAAGCGTCGGTGCGCGCGGACCGAGTGTAAATTTCTCAAAACCAATCCAAGTCACGCTCTCGGGAAGCATGTCGCGTAAAATCGGCTCGACACTCTCCTTCACCGTCTTGCTCACCCCGGTGTCAATGTTCGGCCAAGCCGCGTCGATCACTCGATTGAGCCAATGCACGCGATTGAACGACGCGTCTTCCGTCCATTTCGGCGAATACGTGTTGAATAACGTCTTAAATTCATCCTTAAAGTGTATCTGATCCTGTTCGTTCGTCTCCAACTCCTTCTTCGCTCGCACGCTCTCCAACCACGTCAACGAGGGCGATGCATCCGCATCCTTTCGCCTGCGACGACTTATCAGCACTCGTCTCACGTAGTCTTTATCCCTCGTGCGCTTACTCCACACCGTGAGCATCGCCCCGAGGACGAATCCGATCGCCGTCGTCGCCGTCGCCACCGCGATTTGCGTCGTCGTCGCCCGAATCAACCACCGCACCGCTTTCACGACGAATTCCAGCGCGCGCACCGTCGCGTTCGACGTCACGCTCGTCTTCGCGTCCACCGTCATCGTCGCCGCGCCTTTCGTCGCTTCCATCGCCGCGCGCTTCGCCATCGCTCGCGCCGATGCAGAATTCCCGATCGTCCCCGTCGTCGCCGTCGTCGCCGCCGTCGCCGCGCTCCTCAGCCGCGCGAACGGCATGCCTCGCGTCCCGCGCGCGACGTCGATTCGCGCGCCGACGTCGATTCGCTCGCCGCGCGCCGCGCCGCGCGCGCGCCGAGTCGTGACGACGCCGCACTCTCGCGCGCGTCGCGCCGATGCTTCGCGGCGCGCGCGCCGCGACGAACGCGACGCGCGCGACGAACGCGACGAACGCGCGCGCGCGCGCGCCCTCGCGAAGCGCGTACGGCGTCGCGCGGACGTTCGTCGCGCGCGTGGACGCCGGCGCGGGCGAGCGCGGGGCGACGGTCGCGCTGAGCGACGCGCTGCGCGCGCACCTGCCGAGCGAATACGCGAGCGCGACGAGCGCGAAGCGAGAGATACGACGGAAGAATGTGCTCGTGAACGGAACGGTGCGCTCGGTCGGGGACGCGGTCGCGGACGGGGACGTGGTCGAGGTGCTGGCGCGGATTCGACCGTCCTCGCCGGTTGCGGCGGCGCACAGAGCGGGCGAGAGAGCCGTCGCGCTGGCGCGGGACGACCCACACTTTGCGATCATGGTGAAGCCGGATGACTGCGTGAGCGTGGGGAAGGGAAGCGATCCGATGAAGTGGAGCGCGGAGCGGCTGTGCGCGACGGCGCTGACGCCGACGCCGGAGGGCGTCGAAGGCGCGTTGTCGAGGCCTCGGCCGGTGCATCGGTTGGACGAACTCACGGGAGGATTGCTGGTGTGCGCGAAGACGCGGATGGCGATGACGGCGCTGTCGGCGGCGTTCGAGAAGCGAGAAGTGCGGAAAAGGTATCGGGCGGTGCTGCGAGGACGCGTCGAATCGAAGAAGGGGGTGGTCGACGTCCCGCTCGGCGGTCTGGAGGCGCTCACCGAATATAGCGTCGTGCGCGAGTACGAAAGCGAGGAATACGGCGGTATCTTGACGTTGATTGATTTTTTCCCGAAAACTGGGCGCACGCATCAGCTTCGGCGCCACGCCAAAGCGCTCTGCGCTCCCATCCTCGGCGACGTCAAGTACGATTACGCGTCGCGCGCTCACGAGGACGGCTTGTTTCTGTGGGCCACTGGTATCGTGCTTCCGCCGAGCGCCACGCCTTGGCGAGGAGAAGATTGTGGTGAATTAATTGTAGACATAGAAGAGGGCGAGAAGTTTGCGCGCGTGCTCGCACGTTGCCAAGAACTCGCGTAGCGCATAGGCAATGTTTGTAGGAGAGCATCGGAAGACGATGCAACGGTGTACGAACCATGTGACCTCATTTTGACGCACGCACGCTCGCTTCACGCTTCAAACCAAATCATGGCTTTTATCGTCAATCAACACAATCAACGCTTCGCTTACATCGCGCTGATCGTGTTATCTACCCTAGGGCAGTGCGCCGAGTGGTGTAAATACGTTCCCACCGGAGTTTGGGGCGAAGTCGCGCGGTGTCGCGGCTGTTGAGTCCGGCAAGAATTCGTGAGCGCTCGCGCGCATCTCAAGACCATGAGTAGCTTCGAGACGATTCTTTGATGTTCTTTTAATGTTACTTTCGCACCAGTTGTACCTCGAATTACAAGAAAACAAGAAAGAATGAATATACAAGAAGTGTACAAGAGCGAGGCGGTTCGCGAACTAATCTCGCGTTCGGAAGCGACGCACAAAATTCGATCCCATCCTTCGAATTCTATGACTGAGACTGAAAGAGCGCGTGCTTAAAACGACTGCGGTAGAATCAGGCGCGTTCACGTCCGTTGAAACCGCAAAGGCGGTGGCAGATCGGTTCACCGTCGTCTCGGCTCGTCCACTGCTGATGAGCTCAACGTTGTTCGCCGCATACTGCCAATCTAATTCGTCCTTGATCGAATCGAGCGCTTCTCGCGAAATATTTGCCGCAGCAAATTTAGATGACAGGCTGTTTGGCGCGCGTTTTGTCGCCGGCGCGGCTGACAGCGCTCTTTTCATGAAGTTAGCGTCGAAATCGAGAACGCTTCTCGGCGCGTTCGCGCGCGGTTCCCCAGACGAACCGAGCGAGACAATCCAAGGATGCTCTAACATTTCTTCCGGCTTCAATCTCGCGCTCGGGTCGAGAACGAGGCATTTGCGGATGAAATCGGCGCCGTGTTCGCTGACGAATGCAGGGATCTTGAACGAACCTTGGAGAATCATATCGTACGCTTGCTGTCGACTCGTCGACTGAAACGGCGGAAACCCGACGACGAGCTCAAACGCCAAAGCGCCGATGGCCCATAAATCCACAGCCTTGCCGTACCCAGCGCGATTCAATCGGAGGTATCGTTCTCGAAACTCTTTATCGCAGCGTACAACCTCCGGCGCCATGTAATCCGTCGTTCCCAAACGCCCGAGCGGTTTGAACCACTCCAAATGTAACGCAAAGCCGAAATCCGTCAGCTTCGCTCTGCCGTCATCGGTGAGTACGACATTTTCAGGCTTGATATCTCGGTGTATGACGTTCATCGCGTGCATGTGCGCGACGGCTTTGATGACCCATTTCATAACTCCCGTCACTGCTCGGCTTTCACTAAACTTTCCTCCAACTCGCGCCAAAGCGTTGAAAACGTCGCCCCGGTTGTGAAGCTCGTGTATTAAATAATAGTTCCCAGTCGAAGTGTCGATGAACGAACCAAAAAATCCCACGATGGCCGAGTGTTCCATGCTATGATGCACCGCAATTTCGTGCGCAATCTGTTCGTACACGTGCAGTTTCAACTTTGCCTTGATGTAGCACTTCAGCGCCACTTCAAAGTTCATCCTGCGATAAAACGCCTTGTATACCACGGAATATCGCCCGCGACCGATGACGTTGACGAGCTGAAAATCCTCCAGGCGAAATCTCCACCCGAACATCGACGCATTCAACACGTCCTCTGGTTTCGCCATTCCCAGCGGGTCGGGATCTGCGTCCCATTCCTCCGGGACCGCCCCCAACGCGCTCCTAAACGTCCCGCTCTGCGAGCTCGACGCGCTCGTCTCCGACAACCGTCCCGACCTCGTCGCATCGTCGTCCCGGTCGTCGTCCGCATCGAGCGAACTCCCTATCCACGTTCCATCCTCTTTTCCATTCGCTCTCAGCTCACTCGGCGTCAACCTCCGACTCGCGCGCGCGTCGCCGATCAGCGTCGCCGTCCAGGCGAGCTTTGCGCCCTCCGACGCCTCCTGTCCCGCCTGCCCGAGACCCTCGCGAGAGCTCTGCGCTGACGATCGCGCGGATAGCGCGCTCATCGGACTCGTCGCGCGGTCGTCCGCGCCCTTTCCCGCGTCCGTCGGCGTCGATTCCGTCGTCGTGTCGAAACTGCGGCGCGGCGTCCGAACGAGCGCGGCGTCGTCGTCGAGCGACATCGCGCGCGACAGACGCGCGCGAGCGACGCGCGCGAGCGCGTCGCTTCGTCGCGCGCGAGGGGCGCGACGACGGACGCGCGTCTGCGACTGACGACGCCGGGCGCGCCGCGCCTGTGGAACTGCGCGAGGGACGGGACGGCGAGCGCGTCGCGGCGCGCGTCGTTATTACATCGATCACATCCGTGATGCGGCGTCGAGAGCTCGAATGGCGTCTCGACTGGCGATGGCATCTTCGATTTCGACCTCGACGTCGACGATGCGGGCGTAGAAGTCGCGGAAGACGCGGGCGTTTCGCTCGGCTTCCGCCACCGGATCTTCGTTGAGAGGGAAGGTGTCAAAGTAGAGCACGCCGGCGTAGGATATGCGACGTAGCGCGCGGACTAATTCCATGGCGGCGTGAGGATGGACGGAGGCGAACATCAAACCGTCTTCGGCGCCGAGACGGGTGTGACCGTCGCCGAGTTGGACGCCGAACAGAGCGTTTCTCGAAGCCGCCATCGCGATGGACTGGGCTGGATTCTCGCCCGCGGCGAGCGCGTGGCCGACGTCCAGTGTCAGGCCGAAGTTGGGCTCGCCCACGGCGTCGACGAGTAGGAGTGCGGCACCTGTGGTGGGGATGAAGCTGAAACGGCTCTTTTCGTCCGTCGGCTTGAATTCGACGCTCAACTTGAGCGAGCGACACTCTTCGCTCGAGGCCACTGCTTTGTAACCGACAATCATGTCCTCCCACGCCGTGGCGTAATCCGCTTGGAGATTGTAATCGTATCCATCGTAGCGAGGCCATATGACGACTTCGTCTGCGTCGAGTGCGGTCGCAGTCGCGCACGCCTTGCGTGCCAAAGTCGCCGCGTGTTCGCGAATCACGCCATCGGGATTCGAGAACGCGCCCAATCGAAACGGCTCCTCGGGAAATCGCACGCATACGGCGCCAGGGCGCAACTTCGCGGCAAGAATCTTGTCTCGCAATTCCACTGCCGCGAGCTCGTTGCCGTCTGGTCCGATGAAATGTTCGGGGTAGTTGAGAAACACCGAATGCACGCCCTGAACGCGTCCCATGCGCTTTATGAGGTTGAAGACTTCCGGAACGTCCGGTTCGGCATCCGTGAATAAGTCTGCGCGAGATTTCATGCTATTCAATCTACTGGCAAATCGAAGTGCCTCGATCGCCGCCTCACTGGACGACGAAGACGACGAGATAGGGGACGTTCGGCACGGATCTGAAACGCCAAGAAATTCATCCACGTCGCTCCGAAATGGAAGGCTTGGCATCGCACCCAACTTCGTCACCGCCAAAGCCCCCGCGGCGCTGGCGAACTTCATGGCGTCGCGCTCGTTTTTATTTTCAGCCATCGCCACCGCGAACGCGGCGCGAAACGCATCACCAGCCGCGGTGGCGTCCACTTCTTTGGCGCCGGCCGGAAGTTCCATCGATTCGACTCTCGTGACGTCTTCGCCTCTCACGAGCAACGATCCTCGACTCCCCAGCGTGCACAGAACGGCGACGCGCGACGTTCCTGCGACGATTCTCGCCGCCTTAACGACCGCTTCGTCCCCAGAAGAAACCTCCTCCACGCGCATTCCCGCCATTCCCGCGAGTTCGCTCTCGTTCGGCGCGACGTAATCCACGAGCGCCAACAACGCCTCATCCGCCGCGTGAAACGAGCCTCCCGCGTCCAGCACGATCGTTCGCACACCGATTTCCCTCGCAACCGTCGCCGCTATCACGTTCACGCGTTCCGGCACCTCCCGCTGCAGCATCACCGTCTTCGCGCCTCGCAGCGCCTCGCGAAACTCGCTCGCCAGCGCCTCGTCGTCCGCGTTCCATCCGAGCGCGTTCGCCCCCCCCACGACCACCGCGCTCGGCGATCCATCGTCCGTCAGCATCACGAACCCCATTCCCGTCTCGATTCCGCTCCCTCGCGCCATCGTGACGCTCCCGGACACATCCGTCTCTCGCCGCAGCGCGCGTCGCAGCGTCGTCCCCGCCTCGTCCTCCCCGAATCGTCCCACGAACGCCGCCTTCCCGCCGCGCTCGCACGTCAATCGCGACGCCGCGACCGCTTGATTCGCTCCCTTCCCTCCGCACGCGCGCTCGACGCGCGCCGCCGTCGCCGCGCGCGTTTCTCCGCGGCGCGGGACCGATGTTCCGACGCGCGCGATGACGTCGGCGTTCACGCTCCCCACGACGGCGATCGACGCGCGGTCGGCGCGCGCGAGCGCGACGCGCGCGAGCGCGGTCAGCGCGGCGCCGAGCGCGAGGCGCCGCGCGCGACGCGCGCGACGCATCGCGACGACGAATGCGGCGAGCGGATTGGAATGGAATCGAATCGACGCCGCAGAGCGCGGCGTGCGGCGGCTTCGACGACGCTCGAGCGGCGACGACGACGAACGCGACGCGACGCGCGGTCGGGCGAGCGACGGGGCGACGGCGAGGACGAGGCGCGCGATGAAGGCGTCGCGAATCGCGGATTTGGAGGCGCGAATGCGCGGGCGCGCTTCGCGCGAGACGGCGTCGAGCGCGGCGACGACGACGGCGCGGGACGCGGACGCGGATCCGACGACGTCGTATTACGCGCCGTCGATCGGGGAGGACGAGGAGACGTTCGCGGGCGCGCGGGCGACGGCGCGCGAGGAGGCGGCGGCGCGGAGGGCGTACGCGGAGGCGTACGCGCGGCGAATGCTGGCGACGCGTCGACGAGGGACGAGCGCGGACGCGGAGGACGATTTGCGAGCGAAGCTGAGCGCGGATAAAGCGCTGGTGCTCGTGAATGATTGGGAGAGGGTGGTGGACGCGGGGGAGGCGCGAGCGCGGGAGCGGGAGAAGCGCTTCGCCGAGGCGCGCAGAGCGATGATGAGCAAAACGCGATTAAAGAGGGAAGGATTGTACGGATTGAGGCCGGAACAGTGTACGTGGAGCGCGTTTTCGAAATTGCGCGGGCTGTGGGAAAAGTACGCGCGGGCGCTGGTGAAGGACGCGAAGCGCGGCGAGGCTGAGGCGCGACTGACGCGCGGGCTCGACTTACACGGTTGCGTGCTCAAAGTCGTGCGTCACGCGCGCGCGCCCGATCTCGTCGGTCGCGAAGGTGTCGTTGCTTTTATCTCGTCGCGATGTCTCTGGCTCGTCGCGCGCAAGCGCGAGAAACCGATCAAAGTGCTCATCGACGGCGGCACGTTTGAGTTTGTTTTGGACGAGCGCGTCGTGCGTCTTTCGAGCGAGGACGTGTTGGCGTCCGCGCCGCGTCCGTCGTAGCGGACAAAGTTTCATGTAAGACCCATTAGTGTTAGGCGATTCGCATCCCTGGATCACGAAATCCCCAAAGTCGTCCGCGCCGCGTGGCGCGCGCGGCGCCATAACTCGGCGCCATGGCGTCGGCGGCGGATCGCATCGCCGCACTTCGCGCGAAAGTCGTGAGCGAGCGAGAAAAAGCGCGCGAGACCTCGCAAATCGCGTCCTCGTCCGCGCGGTCGTCCACAGAAGCGGAAACGGTCGCGGATGCTTCCATAGATTTTGAACGAAAACTCGCCGAGTTTCGCGCCGACGCCGACGCGAAGCTGCGCGAGGCCGTCGCGCGAGCGGTCGAAAAAGAACAAGCGAAGACAGCGGCGATCGTGGAAGCGATGAACGAGGGAAGCGGGGCGACGGAAGGCGCGGATGGAGACGATGCGCGGGCACTGCGGCAAAGGGTGGCGGCGTTGACGGAGCGCGCGAGCGAGGCGGAACGAATGCGGGGGATGGATCTAGCGAGGAATGCGTCGAGGGAGGACGAACACAAGAAAGAGATCGCGACGTTGAGGAGTGAGCGCGACAAGATGGCGACGGAATTGAAGAAATTGAGGGCACATTTGTTGGCGCTGGAGGACGAAGAGGACGAGGTGGCGGAGGAACAGGAACGAGAAATAGACGAGGCGAGAGAGGAGGAAAGGCGAGAATACGAACGGCGTTTAAGCGACTTGAAGAAGAACATGAGTGGAAACGATGCCGAGGTCACGAGGTTGCGGGAGGTGATAAAGGCTCGAGACGAAGAGGTGGAAAATTTACAAAAGGCGCTCGGGGCATATTACGCTGAAATCGAGAGCGCGGACGCGCAGCGCATTGAGTCGGCGAATCTACGACAAAAGCTAGCCGCACTCACCTCGCAGGCGACTGCTGATAGAGCAGCATGCATGGAAGCCAAAGAAAAGGCGAAGGAAGCGGAGGAAAGGTTGACTAAGTTTGAGGCTCACTTGAAAATCGCCAAGGAGGAATGCATCAAGGCCACGAGCGACGCGAGTAAGCTCAGGAAAGCGCTCCATCACGCCCTTCAAAAGAGCAGCGATATGATGGTAGAGAGTGAGAAATTGTTGGATAAGCGCATAGTGAGCGATTTATTCATCGCTTATCTCGAACGCGAACGAGCGGAGGACGTGCTCGATTTGCTCGCAAAAATGCTCGGCTTCACCGACAAACAAAAGGCACGGATGGAAGCTCTAAAGAGACGACAGAAAAAGCGAGGTGTGCTCGGAACGATCGCGCGCGCGCCCGTGAGCATTGCAGCTGGTGCGATAGGCGTCGCACTCGAAGTTACGGGCGCTACGGGCGAGAACAAACCAGTACCAGTCGCAGACTTGTGGATTTCGTTTCTCGAGCAAAACGCAGCCAACGACGAAGAAGTAGAGAACAAAATTCCGTCGTCAAGCGAGCTCATCTCAGCCGCGCGCGAATTGTAGAATAGCAATGTTAGGAATAGCAAAGATAGTAAATTACAAGCGCAGCGCTAGAGACGCGATTGCGCAACTTGCCACTGCTTCATCGCCTGTCTAACACCTAAATCGAGCATAATCTCCTCGCTCCCGCCCGGGATCGCATAAGCGCGAACATCGCGGTAGAGCCGCTCGATCTTTTCACCTTGACCTCCCCGGACGTAAGAGGCCCCACCAAACACCTGAGCCGCTTCTCTGGCGCAAAATTCAAACACTTTGGTGCTCTGCACTTTGGCCAACGCGGTGATACCCGCAAGCGCTTTCGAAGATTCTTCCTTCGTCATGGTATTCATTTGATAGGTGATGGTCTCTAGCAAGTAATGCGTCGCCTCGACTTGTCGAATCATCTCAGCGAGTTTGTGTCGAATCACTGGGTGCTCGATGAGTTTCTTACCAAACGTTCTTCGACGGTGCGCGTACTTGAACGATTCCTCATAGCACACGCGTGCAAACCTATTCGCCTGAATCACAAACCCCCAACGTTCGTGATTGAAGTTGTGCATGATATACTTGAAGCCTTCGTTTTCTTTGCCGATCAAATTCTCGACTGGCACTTTCACGTCTTCAAAGGTGATGAACGTGGTGCCGCTCGCCCAAACGCCCATGCAGTCCATGCGGCGACAATCCACGCCAGGCATCGAACGCTCGATGACTAGGAGCGAAATCCCACCCATGCCCGGCCCACCCGTGCGCACCGCGACGGTGAAATAATCTGCCCAAATCCCATTCGTGATCCATTTCTTCTCCCCCGTCACTCGATAAAACTTCCCGCTCGGATCCAACTTTGCCTCGCACCGAATGTTCGCCACGTCGCTGCCGGCGTACGGCTCCGTGATCGCCAGACATATGATCCCTTCCCCTCGCAAGCACGGAGCTCCTACCCTTCGTCGCAAATCTTCGCTCCCAAAGTTCAAAACTGGTGGCAAACCGATGTGTATGCCCTCCAGTAGTCCCCAAAGTACGCCGCCGCTCCCGCACCGCGCGAATTCGTCAAAGACGATCAACTCATGAAAGTAATCAAAATGCTCCGGTTCCTCGCACTCGGGGACCAAATCCTTCGGCCACGGTTTTCCAACCACCGCGGGTAATATCCCAGCCGCGTACGTCGCTCTGTACACTTCTGGAGGTATGGTTTTCGTCTCGTCCCACTCGTGCACGTACGGCGCGATGTCCCGCTCCACGAACGCTCGCACCTTGTCTCGAAACTTCGCGTGCGACATCGTGTAATACGGCGAATTAAACGTCGTGTACCACGACGGCTGTGATGACCATCGATTCGTACCGTCGTCAGTCCTCCGCGTCGCGTCGTCCGCGCGTCGCGTCGCGTCGATTCATTCGTTCCGTCGGGTTAGTAACCGTCCTCGGAATTCCATCGATTCGCGGCAGTCTCGTCGCGCGCGTCCGCGTCGTCCGCGCGCCCGATCGCGTCGCGTCGCGTCGCATCGCACGCACGTCGCCGAAAGGCACGCCCTCGCCGAACGGCTCGCGCGTCGTCATGATTGAACGATTCGATCGATTGTGCCGTCGGCTTGAAGTGACGCGACGCGACGACACACGCCGACGCCGACGCGGACGCGGACGCGAGGCGCGAGCACCGATGGCGAGGCGCGCGCAGTGGCGGTCGTTCGCGCACGCGAAGTGCGACGTCGACGACGCCCTCGCGACGACGTTCGCGCTCGCGAAATCGGTCGAGGTGGCGGTGCCGCGAGGACGGCGCGACGACGAGGACGCGATCGCGCGCGCGCTCGACGACGACGCGAATGCGATCGTCGGGACACATTTCGAGGCGGAGATGTCGATCGCGGACGCGCTGGACCCGCACTTCGTGCACGAACACGTGCGACGGTGGACGGCGGCGAAGACGAAGACGCGCGACGCGGGCGCGACGTTTGGGCTGACGACGATCGACGCCGAGGTAGATTCGGACGATTGTTTTTGCGTGACGCCGAAGGGACGATTCGTTGCGTCGCTCATGGCGGACGCAAAGGAAAGTTTGGGGATGCAAACGACGGAGGACGCGCGCGGGAAGGCGCTCGCGAGCGTGAATTTGACGCGAGAAGAGTTCAAGGTGGGGAATTGGTTTCACGATCGAATCGGGGCGTGTGCGCGGGCGTTTGAGCAGCGAACGGGAAAGTCAAAGGTATTGTGCGCGTACATGGTGAGTGGTGCGCACGAGGAGGTCAAGTTTCCACGCACAGTGACGGCGGCGAGGCGCGCAGAGAGCGTCAAGACTTCGTCGCAAGTTCGCGTCAATTTGGTGAGTCAAAGTGCCGTGTTACTCGCGTCTGCGAGTCCACCGATGAGAGGCGAGGAAAAGGACATCGATGTTGATGATTTAGATCGGATTTTAGAATTTTGTGGGCGCATAAGTCTAGGAGACGCCTACATGGAGGGCGCCGAGGACGACCGAGGCGACATCGTCGAGACGCGTCGCTGGCGAGGTTTGATGTTGTATCCAGATACTCGACGCGTGATTGATATCGCGCGAAGGATCGTGAACGATGGGCTCGCACCGTGGGCCGTCGTCACTGTTTGGGCTTTCGCACACATGCCGAGCGAACTCACAGGTGAGCCGAGAAAGAAAATTGAGCGCGACTCATGCGCGCCAAAGATGGGCGCCGTGTTCACCATCGTCTTGTACCCCGACGACAAGTATTTGAAATTCGTAGCGTAGCGTAGGAAATAGTGTATAGCTTGTGTACTCGTACATATTATTAAAAAGTAGAATCTCGCCAATGTGAAATTGTCCAGTGGAAGGTGGTGTGTGGTGTGTGGTACAATTAATCTGTTATCTTGAGACGTATTGAGAAAATTGTGTCCTTTACTTGGAGCCTTCGCCTTCGGCGCCGGAAGAACTTCGGGAGCCTTCTTTCGAACCTTCGTTCGAACCTTCGTTCGAGCCGTGACCGTACTCGTCCACTCCCTTGCCTTCGACTTCGCCGACCTTGTTCGCCTCGCTCGCGTTGGTTTCGTTCGACTTTGGTTTGTTGTCCGATCCGTTTGAGACGTTTTCAGTCGTCGTCGTCGTCGTCGTCGTTTCATCGTTGTTTCGAGTGAACTGTCCGCGAACGCGAGGACGGGATTCCGAGAGCTTTTGTCGCGAAGGGTAAAGAACTTTCTTTTCGAAGTTCCTTTCCTTGCGCTTCTTCAAAAAGCGTCGAATCGCCGCGGCGCGATGCTCGGCGGCTTGGCTCGAGCTCGTCTGCTGGGTGTGATCGGCCGCAGTTTGTAAAACGTTGAAAAACGGATTCGCCATATACGATTGATCCATCACTGAAGCGTCGACCGAAGACGCCGCCACCGCGGCGGCGGCGGCGGCGGCGGCGGAGAATTGGTTCATATCGGCGTACGGCGGCATCGGCGGCGGCACGGGCATTTCCATCTTCGGCATAATCGGTCCGTAAAATTTGGCGAAATCTGACGGTGGCATCATGGAAGACGCTTCATAAAACGAGTGATGCTGCTGCGTCAAGTCAACGCTCATCATTTGCACCGCGGTATCCTTGTTTTCGTTCTTAAGGTAGTTTTGAAACCCCTTGAACGCCGAACGCGAGTTTGATCGTCGAACGACGACGTGCTCAGACGCGTGCTCTGGTAAAGAGAGTTCGAGCATAGTCGTTGCCCCACCGTGCGCCTTGATGAGTTGCACGCTCAAGCCGCGGAACTTTTCGCCGTCGTTTGGATCACGCTGGCCCGACCCCGAGCCTTCGTGGGAGCCGCTACCGCTTCCCGTGCCTTGACCCGAGCCGCCCGAGCCGCAGTCTCCCGACCCACCCTCGCGACTGGCCCATCGATCGATCGCTTCGGCTTCGGCGCGTCTCGTGAGCGGTTTTTCGTTGTATTGATTATCGCTCCCCGAATCGTTTTGCCCACCGCCCGAGCCCCCCGCGACTTTTTCCCTGCTCGTGAGCTTGGTGAGCGACGACTTTGCGCTCCCGCCGACGTTGTCGTTTGGATCCATGCAGTTCCCCGAACCCGAACCCTCACCTTCAACGCTACCACTTTCGTGGCTTTTTAACGCCCGCGTGTGCGCCAAGCTCTCCTTCAACTCGATGCGGTTCACCGGTTTCGTCAAGAAACCGGCGGCGCCCGAATTTTCAAATCGCGTCTTGCACGCCTTGCGCTCGTCCACGGTGGACATGATGACGATCGGCACCCCGCGCAGGGTTTCGTTCGCCTTACACGCCTCCACCAGTTCGACTTCCCCGTCGAGTTCGGGCATCAACACGTCGAGCAAAATCATATCCACCGACGTGTCCTCCCTCGCGCTCTTCGGCGCCCCCCGCAAGACGTCCAAGACTTCGTTCCCATTCGTCGCCGCCACCACCTCCACCCCGAGCTCGCGCAGCATCGATTCCACCATCTTTCGCGTGTGCGCGTCGTCCGTCGCCAGCAGCACTCTCAAGTGCGCGCCCGCGTCGTTCAACCTCGGTCGCGCGCTCTTCCCATTCGTCTTCGCGCGCGCGCGTCCCGCGCGTCCCCCCCCCCCGCCCGCGTTTCTCGCGCTCGCGTCCTCGACCGCGTCCGCGAGCGCGTCCGCGAGTCGCGTCGCGCCCATCGCGTCGTCGTCCCGCATCGTCGCTCGCGCCCGTCGCCGCGCCTCCGTCGCGTCGTCGAGCGCGGTCCGGACGACGCGACGGACGCTGGTTTTCGCGCCGCGCCGCGCCGCGCCGCGCCGCGCGTCGATCGCGCCGCCGCGTCGATCGTCGCGCGCGTCGTGTGCCTGAGAATGCGGGGCGCGCGCGACGCGCGATCGACGAGTCGCGACCCGGCGCGGGGGGGCTCGAGCGAATCTTTTCGACGACGCTTTTTCGCCGCGAAAAAGCGAAACGCGGGATATTCGCAGACGTGTGATAAATGTACGTATTACACGCGTGTTGAAGGGTATGCAAAAGGGATCTCCCGCAATGATGCGTCCCGTTGAAAATATCTTCGAGCCGACGGCGGCGCGGTGGGCGGTCGGTCGCTCGGCGACGCCGGGCCGGGACGGGAAGGCGGACTCACGCGCTCGAGGCGAGGGCGGCGGCGACGTCGGAGCCGAGGGCGGAGGCGAGATAATCGCCGATCGACGCGAACGGACGCGCGACGGCGAGGTCGAGGGCGAATAAGGCGAACCAAAACGCGCTGGGACGCGTCAAAAAGGCGCGGACGTAGTCGGCGTCCGACGAGACGACGTCGCGCGCGCGAAGTGAGGCGCCGAACGTGGACCAGTTCAGGAGCCAAATCAAACCAAACGTGCCGTGAGCCCATATCGTGGGGAGACCGGGTCTCGCGGCTTCGAGCGCGGCGACGGAGGCGACGTCGAGGACGCGCTGCGCCGGGAAAATTTGAGCTCCGAAACCGAGCGTGCCGAGCCACACCGCGAGCGCGGCGCGCTTGTCGTCCTTCGTGAACAGGACGATGTATGCCGACGTCATCGTTTGCCACACGAATGGCAACCACGCCAACCAAAGGGTGTCCAATCCGGGGACTCTGAGCGCGGGATCGACGACGCCCGCGAAGCGAACGCACTCCCACGTCAACACGAACTGAAACGCGATCGATCGCGCGCTGAGCTCGGTTTTCCGCCAACCGCGGCTCTTTGAAAGTGGTAGTCCACTCAACGCGCACACCGTCGCCAGCGTGAGCGCGACGCCGGTCAACGCGGGGTCCAGCCCCGGAGTCGCGCCGCCACCGCTCGTCAGCGCCGTCGCGTCGTCCAGCGCCCACTGGCCCATCATTCCCGCCCCTAGCGCGGTATATAACGTTCCCGACACCGCGTGCGTGTGATACTTGTCCGCCTTGGTCCACATCCTGCGAAACGCGCGCTCGGGAGTCATTTCGTCGTCCTTTGAGCTCGTCGACGCCTTCGCGCTCGTCGACGCCCGCGCGCGCGCGCTCGTCGACGCGCGCGCGCGTGGAGACGCGCATGACGACACTGTGTGCTTCGGCCACGCGTGGACGCGAGACATCGTCCGCGATGACGGTGCGCGCGCGCGTGTGCGGGGCGGCGCTATTCACACGTCGAGTATACAGAGCTACTTATTACGACACCCACACATCGGAGGCGCTACTAGGCGTGACTGCGCTGTGATCACGACGTGTCCATCTTCACCGCCGCGTTGACTTTGATTTTATCGATGAAGTGAATTGTTTCGGCTTTGGAGACCAACAAGTTGCATGACGTGCGACCGCGCCAGCACGCGATGGCGAGGTCCGCCTTGCTGACGTTGATGGCGGCCAGATCTTCATCGCGAGGAACGAGAATGCAGCATCCCAAAGTGAGATCGAGCAAGGCTTTTTTGGTTTCGGCGCAAGAGATGACGGCGCGTTGCGGCGCCTCTGCGCTGTACTCAAACGCCAACGTGCGACGTTCAAGGATGGCTTTAAAGTCGTCAAAAGTCGGGCGAATGATGCGCTTTCTCACGAACGGGAACATCATCGGTATTCCGTCTTGCGTGAGACGGAAATCACACATCGCACCAGAAGTTTCTTCTTGTTCTTTGACTTCATCCTTGATTTCCTGGCGCTCGAACGCCTTGAGCCCGCACGACGTCACGCGAAGACTTTCGTTGACGTCGCACGCTAAGTACTGGCGCAAGGAGTCGGTGATGGTGTACACACGCTTCGGTCGTGAAGTGTCCGCAGTGCGTGTGACACAATTTTTGTGTAACGCAATGTCATCGCTTTCGATACCGTAGACACTGTAGATGCTATTGATCACCTTCGGATCGTTCACCGGAAGCACAGGATCGATGCCGAGCCATCGACTGCCCCCGTTCGGACCCGTCGCGCCTCTGTGTGGGAGCAAATACTCGCCTTTGTCGTCGACTTCCGGAGGTATAGACGCAGTCTGACCCTTGCGGGCCAACGTGATCACCTCATGTGACATCTCGATCTCGTTCTTCGCGTTCACGTTGAGCGAAAGGCGAACACGCTCCTTCACAGTTTGCTTCTTTGCGTTCACGTCTTCTTTGATCTCCATGGGCTTAACTTTCTGGAATACGGCGACAAAGAATCCACCAGTGTCTTGATGATGAGGCAAAAGTCGCAGACATCGCTCCAACGGCAGTTTCTTCGTCTCTTCGTCGGAGAACATCGTCTCGCAGAGCTTGAACATTTGCTCCTCGCCTCGAAAGCTTGGGTGATAGCCAAACTTATCCCACACTTGCCAATCGCGCAATCCAGGGCTACGCTTCAAGTCTGGCAATTCGTCACTCACATCGAGAAGCTCCAAAGCACCATCGCATTCCTTCAACAACGCCGCCACGACAGCTTCGTTTTCAATCGGATTCAGCGAGCACGTGCTGTACACGAGACGACCGCCCACCTTGAGGAGCTGAGCACCGCGAGCAGCGATTCTAAGCTGTAAGGTATGCAAACCGTTACCATTACCAGGAGTCCATCTGTTCCAGATATCCGGTGCCTTGCGCATCGTCGCGTCGCCCGAGCACGGTACGTCGCACAGGATGGCGTCAAAGTCGAAGAGTTCACCCTTTGGGCCTTTGATGATGGGATAGTTTTGCGCTTCATGATTGGTCACGAGTAACGTCGGTGAGTTCGCTCGCTTCGTTTGATGCGTCAGTAAGTTGCAACGCTTCAAATCGACGTCATTGGCGACGACGATTCCGGTGGGAAGCTTGGTGTTGCCGTCAAAATCACCGTGCATGCGTTCCAAAATCTGAAACGTCTTGCTTCCCGGCGACGCGCACATGTCCAAAATTCGATGATGCGGTTGCGCATCCAAGAAAAACGGAGGAATCATCGATACTGCCTCTTGCCTAGAGATCGACCCGAGCTCGTTAGCGTTCTTGATGAAGTCGAAAATTCCTTGCAGCGCCGGCAACCGTCGCAACTGCGCTCGCGTATAACTACACTGCCACGCCAATCGCTCGGGATACCACGCCAACGGCTTCGGCGGCGGTAATTCATTTTGTTCCTCATCTTTCAATTCCTCTTTGAGCAATTCCGCGAACAGTGTCCCCTCCAATTGGTCTCGCATATCCGTCGCGAACTTTCCACTTCCATTGATTCTAAACGTCATCGGCAACGGCGACCGCATGCAGTCCAAAAACGTCTCCCACTCGCTCTCCGGGACGATATTCTGGGCTTTGTAGTACGTCTCAAACGCTTTGTTCGTCTTCTGGATGTCGTGATAGCCGTCGTGCGCGTTCCCTCGTTCACCTCGCGCATCCATGCCGCCGCCGCCGTCGCGTTTTTGTCGCTTGAAGTCGCGCGCGAAGGCGCCGCTTTGAGGACCGTTCCCGCGACCACCGCCTCCTCGACGCTTGTTAAATCGACCCCGACCCATTTCGAGGGAAGTTCCGTCGCGCGCGCGCGAGTGCGGCGGCGACTCGATCGCGATTGCTTTGGCGGCCGTGAGGTCAAAAAGTCTCTGACAATCATCGCGAATACAATTTATTACAATTTGGCCGCAACCGCGCTAAGATAATATGAATACAATGAACAGAGACAATGCAGTGCCGAGGAATATACCGGCGACGAGGGCAAAGCTGAGGACGACGCCCTCGGCTTGACGTTTTGAGAGCGGCGCGCGGCTGGCGCCGTGCATCATGGCGACGCTCGCGAGCCAACCATTCGTCACCGCGAGGGCGGATATGAAGAGGAAGGGGAAGAAGTCGGACGCAAACACGGTGGGCACGCGCCAGTTCGGCGTGGTGACGTTGCAGGCGGCGAGAAACGGGATGAAGGCGAATCGAAGCGTCGCCGCGCGCCGCAACGACGCGCCTCTCGGCGGCGTCTTGGGATACATTCCAGCCAGATGTCGGCCGAGAAAATCGCCCAAGTTGAAGAGTAAGAATAATACCGGCGACCAAAACGCTCCCATTGCGCCGTGCGAGCTCTCGATTGAGCTCGTGATTGCCGGAAACGCGCAGAGGCTGGCGATAAACGTCAACGCGACGGCGAGTCTATAATCGCGACTCTCGTCGCCGAAATCCTCCACGCCTGTGGAAGCTCTCAACGGCGCGCCCTCGACGTCGCTGTCGTACTCATCGACGTCATCATCCCGTAGGAGCGCGTTCATCTCCGACCGGCGCCCATCTCGATGCCGCTCGACCCCAGTGAGCTCTTCGAATGCGGGCGTCTTGTCCAATCGCGCCGCCGTCGCCGCGCAACCCAGCACCACCGCCGCGGCGACGTAAAAATACGCCTGTGCGCCTTTCGCGGACGACGAGGACGAAACTGATCCCCCACCATACGCAGTCGTCGCCAGCGCCACCAAAGAAACCACCACCCCACTCACCGCCTGCCCGCTCATCGCGCCCTGCGCGAACTCGGGCGGCAACCGACTCGCGAGCGCGAACCCCCCGGACTGCGCCACCGCCGTCGCCAATCCGACCACCACGATCACCCCTAGCGTCTGCGCGAATACGACGTCCATTTTCACCCGTTCCACGCCCGCGACGACCCCACACGTCCATATCCCCACCGCCGCGATTCCCAGCGCGCTCGCCGTCGCTCGCGAACCCGTCGCCGCGCCGCGCGCGTCCCCATATTTCACCAACCCCGCGCATCCGATCAGATTGCTCAGCGCGTACGCGTTCGCGAACGTCCCTTCGAAATTCGCCGCGAAGAACGACCCATCGTTCGCGCCATCGTTCGCGAACCGTCGCGCGAAGTACGCGCGCTCGGTGATGAAGACGTTCCACGGGAACAGCGTCCCCACGCCCACGGCGACGAAGCGCGCGTACAGCGCGCGCGCCGGCGTCATCGAGGCGCGCGTCGCTCGAGACGCGTTCGCGTCGTCGCCCGCGCGTCGGCGTCGCGCGTCGGCGTCGGCGTCGACATCGTTCGCGTCGTCGTCGTCGTTCGCGTCATCGACCGTCGGGACCGACGCGTCGGCGGCGGCGGCGGCGATCGCGTCGCGCGCGCCGCGCTCGGAGTCCCCGCTCGCGCGCGTCGCCGGCGTCGCGCGCATCGCGCCCGCGGCGAGGCGCGCTCTGCGGCGTCGCGCCATTCGTCGACGCATCATCGATCGAGACGATGACGTTCGCGACGACGACGCGCGCGACGACGACGACGGCGCGATGCGCGACGACGCGACGCGCGACGACGCGACGCGCGCGCGGCGTGTTCGCGGCCGCGCGGTCGAGCGCGACGCGCGCGCGCGCGACGACGAAGACGATGACGACGACGCGAAGGCTGGAATCGCCGCGCGTCGGGAAGACCACGCGCACGCGCGCGACGCCCGCGGACGATGAAGGCGACGTGCCGTTCGGGTACACGCGCGCGGACGTGATGCTGATCGGGACCGGGGTCACGGGCGCGGGATTCGCGGCGTACTACGGGTTGCAATCGTTCGCGGGGATGGATTCGACGAAGGCGGGCAACGCGGTGCAGTTGACGTTCGTGCTCGGATTGACGCTCGCGTGGGTGGGGTCGTACGTCATGCGAGTGTTCAATAAGGACATGACTTACGCGAAGCAGTTGAAGGATGTGCGTGCGAAGCGAACGAGGCGAGAGCGCGAGACGAAACGCGAAGGAGAAAGAAAACGCGAACCGAAGACTGACGCTCAGACGTTTCGTTTCGACGATGGTTAAACAGTACGAAAACGCGGTGATGCAAAAGCGTTTGGAAGAAATGCCGGCGAGCGAGCTGGAGAAGATGATGGACGAATTGGACGAGAAGTGAGTAGTGTTCTATTGCAGTGTAAGTGCGGCGCTTTTATCAGTTTATCCTCTCGCCCTGGCGCGACGCGCCTCCTCTTCCCCGGCTAAACGATCGCTCACGCTCACCATCCCACGACGGTCGAGGAACGGATACTCGCCCACCCAGACGTTAAGGAACGGAAAATACGCCTCGCGAACGGCTTGAAACGTGTAAAAGTACGGGTCGTCTGATGTCACGATGAGCTCGACGTCGTCGCCTACGTTGATATCCGCGTACTCCGCTTTTAAAGGAACTTTCAGCGGTACTCGCGCCCCGGATCTATCTCCGACGACTAGGTTAAACATCCAATCTACGCTCGACGTCCCGCGCGTCTCCACGGGCTCGACTGAGATGACTCTGGCGCGCCACAGGCCCGCGTATTTAGCGCTTCGCACCTTTGAGTTACGTCGCGCCGCTAACGCCACGGGTGCCCACAAAAAAAACGTGCTCGCGGGCACGGCGAGCGCCGGCGCCGCATTCGCGGTCAACACCGTCGTCAACAGCGACAACCCCACGCGTTGAAACGCGGTATCGTTATCCCCCCAAAAGTACCCGTATTGCTCCCCCGTCGCCGCGATGGGCAGCACGCGTTCGTAATCCCGCTGCGTCAGCACCAGCACGTTCGGTCGCGCTCCACCTCGATCCCGTCGCTCGTTTCGTCGCTCTCGCGGTTCCCTTCGCGCCGCTCGCCGTTGTCGCGTCGACGCCGACGCCGTCGCCCCTCGCGCGCGTCGCGCCTCGTCCTCGTCCAGCCACCGCGCGTCCTCGGCCGCGCGTCCCGACGCGCTCGCGCTCGCGTCGTCGTCGTCGTCGTCGTCCATCATAGCGTCGTCCGCGTCCGCACCGCGTCGAGCGACGCGAAGCGCGCGTCCGCGGCGCGTCGTCGAGCCGCCGCCGGAATTGAATGCCCGCGCGATTCCCTCGCGACTCCTTCGCCGCGCGCGCGCCGCGCCGTTCGTCGCCGCGCGCGTCGTCGCGCGCGATGTCCACCGCGTCGTCGGCGCGCGCGCGCGCGCGTCGACCGACGCGGACATCGCGCGACGCCGCAGACGCCGGCGCGCGGCGCTGTGTCGCGCGACCGACGGTGATGCGCGCGCGAATCGTCGCGCGCGCGCTCGCGCGGTCGTCCGCGGCGCGGCGCGGGATGTCCGCGACGTCGTCGACGCGCGCGGACGCGCTGCGCGAGCGCAGGACGTTCACGGCGGACGATTGCGCGGCGTTCGCGCGGTTGACGGGCGATGAGAATCCGATTCACTTCGACGACGGCGCGGTGGGTGACGGCGAGAATCGATTGCGAGGACGCGCGGTGCACGGAATGCTGGCGGCGAGCGCGTTCGGGGCGCTGCTGGCGCGCGCGAGGCCGGGGACGGTGTACGCGAGCCAAGAGTTGAAATTCAGGGAACCGGTGCGCGTGGACGAGGAGCTGGAGATTGAGTTGAAATTGGTGAAACGATCGGGAACGAGGGCGCGGTACGAGACGGTGGTGCGGAAAGTGAAGTGTGGGACGGTGTGCGTCGATGGGCACGCGCTGGCGCTGTTGCCGGAGGAGTAGGCTGTCGTAGAGGGGTGTAATTTTATCTAGGCGCGCGAGCGATGTTGCAACAATATATTCATTCATCCGAGAACGATTCACCGCCGCTGCTGCGGCGACCGAGGTTCGAGAACATGAAGTCGAGTTCGCTCACTTTGTCTCGACCAGTTCGCGAGAGCGGCGACCCGCGCGGTACGGCTCTTGCGGCGCTCGCTTGCGTGGCTTGGGCGAGACGGGCTTTTTGCGTCTCCCACCGTGCGCTCGCGGATTCCGGATCGGGATAGGTCGATAGCAGACCTCCTCGAGCGTCGTGCTCGACGTCGTTCCACTCGTTACTATTCGAAGCAATTGGCGGAAGCCTTTGCTCGCGAGGCGCAGTCTCAGAGACGAAAGATTCGTGCGAGCTTCCGATTTCGGCGCCGTCCATGACTTCGGCGCGTTCCCTGTCTACGATTGACTTTCCAGTTTCCGTGCTCTCATTCACGTCTTTGTCGCTATCGAATTTAAACCCCTCCACGTTGAGTACGCGTGCGATGCGGTCGAACCAGCCGAGGGCGATGGCGACGCAGTACAAGCCCAAAAACGTGGGCACGATGATGTTCAGCTCACCCGCGAGCTCTGGGACGTTGTTGGCCATCTTCCGTGAGAAGGTTGTCATCTTGCCACTCGCGCGAATAATGGGCAAAAGCATGAGAAAGTTGAAACTCAGCGGCGCTGAGTAACGGCATACCAGACTCGCGTTCACCAAGAGCGAAAACGCATCCGTGTGTCGAGGCACGAGCGTGTAAAACGAAAACATGCCCAGCTTGTGGAGGGAATGAAACGTGCAAAGGCACATGTAAGCGAGCGGAAACGCCACGACGACGTGCATGGAGGTCAAACCCGATGTCGAATCTTCAGCGTTTTCCAGCATCACGCTCAAAAGAGATATCTGATCCGCCTCTTCCCACAGTTTCCCGATCCAAATACTGCTCTCTGCGATGATGATGGATACCGAAAAAAAGGCCAAACCAGTGGCGATGACTCTCAAGAGGACGGGCACGATGACGATCGACCACGTGTACTGCACATCATCCATACACTTTCCGAGCGAGCCGCTACGAGATACCGAGTTTGGCGGGCGATGCAATCGTCGAGTTGACGATGCCCGCGATTGCTCGGCGGCTTCCGCTTCAAACGCATCCTTCACCGCTATCACGTACTGCGCCTTAGTGCGATCGTACTGCCTCAGCGAACGGCGAACCGCGCGACGCAGCGCAACTAAATCGTTCAACTCATCGTAATCGTAATCCAGCACGTCTTCCTCTGTCGCGTCCAACGCTTCATCTAAGCTTCCTCGGTGCATTTCTGAGAACTCTGGCGTCTCGTTTTCGATGACGCTCATCGCCCAACGCAAACTATGTCGCCGTGGCATCACTCGACTCGTCGTCGTTACCGCCACAACTTGCCGTGCCAAGCGCGCGTGAGCGTTACCGAGCGCCCGCGACACTCCGGCGACGCGCTTGTACGACCGCGTGAGACGATTATTAAACGCCGCTCGCCGCCAAATCGCCCGCGGCACGTCCACCAAACCAAACCCCATGAGTAAAACCCCGGTCGAAATACCCCACACGTTCGCCACCACGATCCCATACGCGCGCATCGCGTCCAAAGACAGCGACTCGGTCGCCAACAGCGCCGCCGCGCCCACGAACATCGCCGTCGCCGCGATTCCCAAAAACATCGCGTTCTCCCGCGCCGCTCTCTTCAATCGTCCCACGGACGAAAAATCCGCCGCGTCCACGTAACACTGGTGCAGCGGCAGCACGATCCACGTCAGCGCGTACGTACTCCAGTACGCGACGTCCCACGTCGCGTCCAACCCGCGCGGCGCCTCTCCCGCGCGCAGCGTCGCCGTCACATCCGTCGGCACGATCCCCACCATGATCAGCGCCAGCGTCCACGCGACGAAACAGTGCGCGCGCACGGCCGCGCCGACCCGACGATCGGCGAATCGCGCCACGGCGAGCGCCGCGACGCACGCCGCGACGACGAACACGGGCGTCGACCACGACGCGAAGAATCCATCGTCCGCACCGCTCCCGGACGATGTTTCCGCCGCCGAGCGCGTCCAGCGCGCGCGCGTCGCGCGCGGGTCCGCGGCGACGTCGCGCGTCGTCCACTCCATCGCTCGAGCGCGCGACGTGCGCTCGCGGACGCGCGCGCGCGTGTGCGGACGGCGTCGCGACGGCGCCGGGACGGCTCGGGACACCTCGACGCGCCCGCTCGACGACGACGCGCGCGAGCGACGACGCGCGATGGCGAGCTCGACGACGACGTCCGCGACGACGCTGCGACGCGCGACGCGCGACGCGACGACGACGCGACGCGCGACGCCGCGACGCGCCGCCGCGGTGCGAACGCCCTCGGGACGAAGACGCGTCGAGACGCGCGCTGGTGAGGACGAGTGGGGCGCGAAGCCGTGGGACGACGCGCGCGATGGGGCGGACCCGCTGTCGAACGAGGTGCTGCTGTCGATCGTGCGCTCGGAGCTCGCGGATGAGGAGGTGAACCGGCTGGTGTGGAACGCGCTGGGCTATCGCTCGCGCGTGGAGCTGGACGCGGAGACGCTCACGGCGAACGAGGTGTGGACGCCGGATGAGGTGTTTCCGAATTGGGCGAAAAGTTATCCCGAACCACCGGACGTGATCGGGGTGACGAGGAAGTACGATCCGAAGATTGACGCGCCGGTGAAGGTGGCGTGCGCGGCGTTGACGCGGTCGGTGCCGGAGGAACACAAGCAAGGGATTAAGACGACGCTCACGCCGTTGGGATGGAAAGGGTTTAAGATGGAAGGGTTGACGCCGAACATGACGCGTCGAGCGCAGGTGGCGAATTGGTTGTTGTTTTACAGGCGCGAGCTTCGAGGGGTGAGCATCGAAGAGTTGCGAGCGCGGCGCGACGCGCGCAAGGCAAAGGAAATCGCCGAGGGCAAGCAGGATCGCCCGACGGGGACGACGAAACAAGGGGTGGTTTAGATTTTTGATTTTATATTACGTATTAATACGTAAACTCACCGTATTCACTCTTCACCACGACTTCAGACTTGCCATCCTTGGCTTCGACTCTGCCGACGACGCGGGCGTCGATGTTAAAGCTCTGGCTAATATCGATAATCTTTTGCGCGTGTTCGGGGGAGCAGTAAAACTCGAGACGATGTCCGCAGTTGAACACTTTGTACATCTCGCTCCATTCGGTGTTGGAGCACTCCTGGATCAAGCGGAAGAGCGGGGGAATGGGGAACATGTTATCCTTGACGACGCGCAAGCCGTCGAGGAGAAAGTGTCCAACCTTGGACTGCGCGCCGCCGCTGCAGTGCACCATGCCGTGAATATCCCTCACGTCCATGGCATCGAGCACGGCTTTCACCACGGGGGCGTACGTTCGCGTCGGACTGAGCACCAACTTGCCAACCGTCACGCCGGTTTCCGGCTCGACGTCGGTGAGCTGATACTTGCCGCTGTACACCAACGATTCGGGTACGTTCGGATCGAACGTTTCCGGATATTTTTCCGCCAAATTCTTCGCAAACACGTCGTGTCGAGCAGACGTCAATCCGTTGCTTCCCATTCCGCCGTTGTACTCGCTCTCGTACGTCGCTTGACCGAACGACGCCAAACCGACGACGACGTCTCCGGCGCGAATGTTGTCGTTACTCACCACCGCGTCTCTTCGCATGCGCGCCGTGACCGTGGTGTCCACCACCACCGTGCGCACTAAATCACCCAAATCCGCGGTTTCACCTCCCGTGGACTTCACCCCGACCCCACACTCGCGCAAAGTCTCCAAAACCTCCTCCGTCCCGTTGATGAGCGCGCTCAGCACCTCCCCCGGAATCAAAGCCTTATTCCTCCCGATCGTGCTCGAGACGAATATGTTATCCACGCACCCGACGCACAACAAATCATCCGTGTTCATCACGATCGAATCCTGCGCGATTCCTCGCCACACTCCCAAATCTCCCGTCTCTCTCCAGTACGCGTACGCCAGGCTCGTCTTCGTCCCCGCGCCGTCCGCGTGCATGCACGTGCAGTACGCCTCGTCCCCAGCGATGTCCTCCACGATCTTACAGAACGCCTTCGGGAACAATCCCTTGTCCACCTTCTTTATCGCCGCGTGCACGTCCTCCTTGGACGCGCTCACGCCGCGCATCGCGTACCGCTCGTCCGCCGCCGCGCTCGCCCTCGCGTTCGCCCTCGCGTTCGTTCGCGTCGTCGCGCGCGCGCGCCATCGCGACGGCATCGCGCGCGCCGTCGTCGTCGTCGTCGCCGTCGCCATCGCGCGCGTCGGTGTCGCGCGCCGCGCGTCGGTCGGCGCCGGCGACGCGCGAGGTCGATTTCGAAATCGAATTCGAAATCACACCCGCGCGCGGTGCCAATACACGACCGACCGCGACGTCGGACTGTTTACCCACACGACATCGACGCCTCGGAGGCGCGCGCGATCCGGTCGCCCCGCACACGCGCGCGCGCGACGACGCGACGCGACGCGATCGCGGCATGACGAGGCCGATCACGACGAGTGCGTGAAGAACGACGCGAGCGACGCGACGCGACGCGACGCGAGACGACGCGACGCGCGAGACGACGCGACGAGGGCGATCGCGACGGTCGTCGGAAAGATGTCCGGAAACCATCCGCGAGACGCGGCGACGACCGGAGACGCGACGACGGCGACGGGAGAGCGTTGGGACGGGCGCGAAAGATGGGAGAGCGCGCGACGGTGCGAATGGAGGCGCGCGAGGACGAAGGACTGACGACGCGCGCGGTTTCGGGGACGACGCAGTATGTTGCATCGGCGCGGGATACGTGGGCGGGCCGACGATGGCGATGATCGCGAAGAAGTGCCCGCAGATCTCGGTCACGGTGGTGGACATCTCGCAGCCGAGGATCGACGCGTGGAACTCGAGCGAGCTGCCGATTTATGAGCCCGGGTTGGATGAGATCGTGTTCGAGTGCAGAGGGAAGAACTTGTTCTTTTCGACGGATGTCGAAGGGGCTATTCGAGACTGCGAGATGATTTTCGTCTCCGTGAACACGCCGACGAAGAAGACTGGTTTAGGAAAAGGTAAGGCGGCGGATTTGACGTACTGGGAGTTGGCGGCGCGCACCATCGCGGCGTGCTCCGAGAGTGATAAGATCATCGTTGAGAAGTCTACGGTGCCCGTGCGAACGGCGGAGGCCATTGAAAAGGTGCTCCAGCGCAACTGCCCGCACGACGGCGTGCGATTCGACATCTTGTCCAACCCAGAATTCTTGGCCGAAGGTACGGCCATTGTAGACTTGGATGCGCCCGATCGCGTGTTGATCGGGGGTAAGATTGAAAACGCCAAAGGTCAAGCGGCGGTGGACGCGCTCGTAGGCGTGTACTCCAACTGGGTACCGAAAGAGAACATTCTGACCGCTAACTTGTGGTCTGCCGAGCTCTCAAAGCTCGCTGCGAACGCATTCTTGGCGCAGCGCATTTCTTCCATCAACGCCATGAGCGCGCTTTGTGAAGCGACCGGCGCGGATGTCCAGCAAGTTTCGCACGCCATCGGCACCGACACGCGTATCGGCTCCAAATTTTTGAACGCCTCGGTCGGTTTCGGTGGCTCGTGCTTCCAAAAGGATATCTTAAACTTGGCATACATTTGTGAGTGCCACGGCTTGCCGGAAGTGGCGGAGTACTGGCACAGCGTTGTCGGCATGAACGACTACCAAAAGAGCCGCTTCGTCAAGCGCATGATTTCCGCCATGTTCAACACGATCAGCGGCAAGAAGATTTCAATGCTCGGTTACGCTTTTAAGAAAGATACGGGTGATACTCGTGAGTCTCCGGCTATCGACGTCGGTCACGGCCTCATCGAAGACGGTGCGAAGCTCAATATTTATGACCCGAAGGTTGCTGCGGCGCAAATCGCGTTGGACATGGGCGAGGAAGCGATGAAATCCATCACGTGCTGCAAGACTCACACTGAGTCTTTGACTGGTGCGCACGCCGTGTGCATTATGACGGAATGGGACGAGTTCAAGACGTACGACTGGGAAGCGATCTATGGCGTCATGCAAAAGCCGGCCTTTGTGTTCGACGGCCGCCTCATCTTGGACCACCAGAAGTTGAAGGACATTGGTTTCATTGTGTATGCGCTTGGGAAGCCTTTAGATCCTTTCCTTTGCTCCGCCGAAGGCGCACCGTAAGTATGTACGTCGTGTGTCAGTAGTACGTCGCTAGTGATTGTAACGTTTCTACCTAAAATCTCTAAGAATAACAAAGATTGCTGTCCTATTTGCGACCTATTCCGCTTATCTCAGCGTCGACCGCCGCTACGTAATCTTGGATTTGAAACTTTCTCTTGCAACCGGCGTAATTCATATACCGCACTTTACCGAACACCGCGCGCTCTTTCCATCCTTGATCGTGCACACCGGCAATGCTCCACATACAACCAACGTAGCCGTTGGGATCGAGACCGTCTAACGCGTAAGCGTCGTTGAGTTGAATCGCCGTCTGCAGGGCCACCTCCGGCGACGGCGTCCACTCAAGAATCTTCTTCGCCCAGTACATTCTCATGAACCCATGCATTCGTCCGAGATGGTATAATTCTTTCTGAGCCGCGTTCCAAAGCTCGTCGTGCGTGTTGCCACGCTCGAGTGTTTTGTAATCGTACACGTACTCGCGAACGTCGCGGGCGTGCAAACTCAGTGAATCTTGCGCCCATTGACTCGCTCCTTGCAACGAGTCGTAATACGGATTGAAGAGACAATAGTTGTCTGATAATTCCCTTCGAACGATGAGCTCTTCCAAGTAGCTATCGATCGCCTCGTCGTCTACGATTCCCCGAAGTTGCGCAGCTTCCCACGCGGCGCGACGTGGCGACAGCTGGCCGTGATTCAAGTACGGCGAGAGGCGAGACACGGCGCGCGGCGACGTCGGCTTGTTTCGCTCCCCGTAGAGTGTCAATCGCTGTGGGAGGAAAGAGTCGACATTCGGATCGAGCAGCGCGGCTAAGGCGGCACGTTCACCCGGTTTGATCCAGTCAACCTCTGGGACGTGCGCGCCCTTGACGCGCGCGGTGTCAATCAATGCGTCCCAATCCGTCTCACTTGGCGTCAACGCGTCCGGCGCGGCGATGAGATCATCTAACGCTTGCGGTGCGGTGAGAAAATCCCCGAGATTTCGATGAATCTTCGGCCGAATCGTTCTCGCCGCGTACTCTTGCTTATCGCTCGTCACCCACGCCGGCACGACGTTGTGCGCGTCCACTTCAATCACCGGAACCTCCACCACACGCGCCACCGCTTCCCTCGCCGCACGCCCCTCTCGCAACGGCGAAAAGTCACACACGACCGCACTCGCATTCAGCGTCTCGCACGTCTCCACGATTCCTCCCGCGACGTCGCTTCCCGTCGTCGTTCGCGTCGACACTCCTCGCGCTCGCAAATCCTCATCCAATTCCTTCAACCCCTTCAGCGCGAACACCGCCCTGCGCGCGCCTCCGATGCCGCTCCCGCTCAAATCTGTCCCCACGTGCATCGCCACGACGAGCGGGACGCGCCTTTCGTTCGCCAATTCCATCGCTCGTCCCAGCGCGTCGTTATTCGCGCACCGCCTGTCCCGGTCGCACCAGTACACCACCGGCCCCGCGCTCGCGCTCGCGCTCGCGCTCGCGCGCGCGCGCGCCGACGCATCCAACGCCGCCTTCGCCGCGTCGTTCATCCCTCGGCACCGTCGCGCGTCCACGCCATCGCGCGCACCGCGCGTCGTCGTCGCCGTCGCTGTCGTCGTCGTCGCACCGCGCGCGCCCGTCGTCGCGCCCGCGCGCCGTCGCGCGAGCGCGCGCGCGAGTCGCGCGCGCGCGCCGTGCGCGCGCACGGCGTCTCGAATCGCGAGAGACGCCATCGCGCGTCGTCTCGCGCGCGGCGCCGTCGCGCTGTGACGAAAGGTCGCGGAGCAGCGAAGGCGTCACATCGACGCGTCGTTCGCGCGCCAACGAATGGCGCCGCGCGATGGAAACCTGCGCGTGAGCGTGCCCGCGCACGTGCACGACGCGCGACCGCGAACGCGGCGGTACCGCGTCGCGAACGCGGTCGGATTGATTCATCTGCCGTTCTTCGTGCTCTACGCGATCTCGCTGAAAAAGTGCTACGAAACGTCTGGAAACCCGTACAGGGCGGCGCTGGCGCATCACATCGACGCTGGATACGATCCCGCGGTGTTCGATGCGGTCGGGGTGGAGAAGACGCGGGTTGGCGAAGGGCGAGTGCGAGACGAGTGGACGAGCGGGGACGGCGGGGACGACGCGAGCGGGGCGTGGGACGCGGGGGAGCCGGAAGCGAGCGAGGACGACGCTGGGGCCACGGTGGATGAAGAGGTCAAGTATGAAGTACCGCCGACGCTGCCCGCGCGATGGTTGCCGGACTTTCCCACGGTTTTGGCGTTCGCGTCCATCGCGACGGCGCACGCGTTGTTGCTCTTCGCGCAACATTGGAGCGTTCGTATTCGGTGCTTCGTGCAGTACAAACCCATCAACCGCGTGACCGAGGGGTCTTACTTTATCATTACTCCGCACGCGCATCAAGGGAAACCGGAAATCGTGCCGGTGTCGCGCTTACGAGTGTTTGACGCGGATGGTAGTTTACGAACAATGCTTTGGTGCGTGTTTCAGCGCCAGCGGTACGAGTACGTGGAGATTGAGTGGGACGAAGCTCGCGGCAAAGGTCAAGGCGAACTTCGCGAAATCGAGACGCCAAAAGATTTACCGCTTTCGCATTACGTCAAGTCGAGAGGTCTTTCCGGAGAAGAGGTACACCACAGTCATGAACGATACGGCGACAACGCGCTCCAAGTCAACATTCCCACGTTTTGGAACTTGTACAAAGAGCAACTCACGGGTCCGGTGACTGTTTTCCAAATCTTTACCGTACTCCTTTGGCTCATGGATGAGTACTGGAAGTACGCCCTGTTCAGCGCGTTGAGCTTGTTGATCTTTGAAGGCACTACGGCGTTTTCGCGGCAGAGAAACATCGCCACTTTGCGGGGTATGGGTCAAAAAGCTGGGCGCATCCTTGTGCGACGTGGTGGTGTATGGGAAGATCACTCAACTGAAGAGCTGTACCCTGGCGATATCATTTCCATTAAGCGTAACGGAGGCGAAGAAGTCCCGGTTCCTTGCGACTGCGTGCTCCTTGCCGGATCAGCTGTCGTCAACGAAGCGAGCTTGACCGGCGAAAGTGTCCCGCAAATGAAAGAGCACATCAACCCGGAGGTGTCGAAGGATGAAAGACTTGATATGAATGGCTTGCACAAAGTACACATTCTCTACAGCGGCACGACGTTGATGCAACACACCTCAAAGACAGAAAGCGAATCGTCGGCGCTCCAAGTGACCACGCCGGATGGCGGATGCTTGTGCTACGTCCTTCAAACGGGTTTCGCGTCTACGCAAGGTAAATTGATGCGTATGATGGAATTTAGCAGTGAGCAAGTCACTGGAGACACAAAGGAAACGCTCGTTTTACTCTTCATTCTCCTCATCTTTGCTTTAGCGGCGAGTTACAACGTTTACGTCAAAGGCATTGCAGATGGGAAACGGAGTCAGTATGAACTCATCCTGCGATGCATTATGATCGTCACAAGTGTTGTGCCTCCGGATCTTCCGATGCAAACAGCGATGGCGGTAAACACGGCTCTCATTGCTTTGGTGAAAGCTTCCGTTTACTGCACAGAGCCGTTCCGCGTTCCCGTCGCCGGTAAGGTGGACTGCTGCTTATTCGACAAGACTGGCACCATCACGAGCGACCGTCTCGTTGCCGAGGGAGTCCTAAGTGATTTGACCAAGGGCGCTCCGCTTAAACAACCCGTAGAAGCGGACAAGAACGTATCCATTGTCATCGGTGGTTGTCACGCACTGCTTGAAATCGACGGAAAAACGTTTGGCGACCCTCTCGAAAAGGCTGCTCTTTTGGGAATCAAATGGAAGTACGATCCCGCCACTCACTTAGGAACGCCAAAACTTGATGATAAGATTACTCGATCGTGGACTGGCGCTGAGAACACTTCTGTGAAGATTTTGGTGCGCAATCACTTTGCGTCAGCATTGCAGCGAATGAGCGTCATTGCAGACGTCTCGAGTAATTCAACCGTTAGTCGATGGTCTTTGGTGAAGGGTTCTCCAGAGATGATCAAATCACTGTTGAAGAACGTTCCGCAAGGTTATGATGCCGCGTACCGCGGCTTGGCCGAGCAAGGTATGAGAGTGATTGCTCTGGCGCACAAGGAATTGAGCGCCGAAGAGAGCGCTCGAGTTGGCTCCCAGTCCACACCTTTGACTCGGGATGAAGCGGAATCAGATCTCGTGTTTGATGGATTTTTTGCGTTCGCTTGCAAGGTCCGCGCTGACTCTGCTGAGATCATTCACGCACTACAGGCGAGTTCTAATAATGTGATGATGGCGACAGGCGACGCAACGCTCACGGCGTTACACGTCGGTAACGAAGTTGGGATCGCTCGAGGTGGTCTCGATGGAGCGTTGATATTAGCACGTGACCAGTTGGATAAATTGGAGTGGCAGAGCGCTCGAGTTGATGAGCACATGAAGCCTATGAAAGTTTTCCCATACGAAGAAACATCCATTCGCGAACTTGCGAAAGAGTACAGTTTGTGCGTCACCGGTAAAAGCCTGAACGTCGCTCTCACGGCTTCCGGTACACTTTGGGATAACCTGGATCAAATTAGCATTTACGCTCGTATGTCTCCTGACGACAAGGAGAGAGTTCTAAAACGTTTGAAGACGCAAGGAAAACATACCCTGATGTGCGGCGATGGCGCAAACGATGTCGGCGCACTCAAGCAAGCGCACGTCGGCGTCGCCTTGTTGAGCGGATTTGGTAGTGCAAACACGAAGAAGCAGGAAGGTGCCGCTACAATTGCCACAAAGACGGAAACTTTCGCCGAAAAGATGGCCCGCGTCAAGGAGCAAGCCGAAAAGATAAAGGCGGACAAGGAAAAGGAAAAGCTCGCGCAGGCGGCAGACCGTGCAGAATTACAAGTACTTCAAACTCAATGGTACGAAGAGGAGTTGAAGGTTCGCTTAGAAGCTGGAGAAAAGTGGGCTCAATTGAACGCCATGAAAGTGGCGACGCAACGACTAGTACAAGAGGCAAAGCGTAGACAAGCTGCCAGATCAAAGGTTGCTGGGACTGGGCAGTCGCTGCAGCAAGTGTTTGCAGAGTTGGAAGAGACGGACGGGGAAGTGCCGAAAGTTAAGCTTGGTGACGCCTCCATGGCTGCACCTTTCACGAGCAGAGCCCCGAGCATTAAAGCCACGGCTGATATCATCCGTCAAGGTCGATGCACGCTCGTCTCTGCCATTCAAATGCAGCAAGTGTTGATGTTGAGTTGCCTGATTTCCGCGTACTCTCTATCCGTGTTGTACTTGGACGGTGTTCGCAACAGCGAAAGTCAAATGATGGCGGCTGGAACCGCGCTCACGGTAGCCGGGCTTGCGTTTTCGTACGCAACACCGGTCCACACGTTGAGCGAGGTTCGTCCTCTCCGCTCGATTTTCCACCCGGCAAACTTTTTGTCCCTCTTTGGCCAACTCGTCATCCACCTCGCCGCCATGGTTTACGCTGTACATCTTGTTAAGTCCGTGACTGGGGAAGAGCTTGCTTTCCCTACTGCTGAAAAGGTGGCTGTGGTGAGTCAGGAGGTTAAAAAAGCAGCGAACGAAACGCAGCGAAGCTTCTGGGAACAGGGACCGCCTTTTGAACCGTGCTTGCTGAACACCGTCGTGTTCCTCGTTGACACCGTGCAGCGAGTATGTGTCATGCTCGTCAACTACAAAGGACGTCCGTTCATGCTCGGTGCGATGGAGAACAAATCTCTCATGGGATCGATGGCGTCTATGGTCATCGGCGCCTTCGTGTGCGCGTTCGAAGTCATCCCATGGTTGAACAAGAAGCTCCAACTCGTATCGATGCCGGACGACGCTTTTAGATACAAGGTGCTCGGTATTCTCGCGGGATCCGTCATCGGTACCGTGGGTTGGGATCAACTCATGCTGTTCATTTTCGCTAGGGACATTTTGTTCGCGTCTTATCGCGACACCATCACCGCCATGCCGACGATGCAAGACGCGCTTCCTTTCATACGCCGAGCCATCATATGGTCCATCATCGCCATCTGGTACGTTTGGAGTGAAGGTAGCGTGTTCATCATGGTTGGCGCGATTCAGGCGTATCGACGAGGATACATTTAGATATATGCTACGTTTAATATAACAACTTCCTTCCCGAGTCGCGTTGCGCGTTACGCCGCCGCCGTTTTTTTTCTTCGCTTTTTCGACGAACTCTTCCGCTTCTTCGTCGACTTCATCTCGCTCGAAAGTTTCTTCAACGGTTTCCTCCCCAGCGGCGCCCCACCGAGAAGAGTTCCCACGGACACTCTCCCGCTCATCACCGCCGCGCCCAGGCAACAGACGCCGGCGAGGAACAGCTTTACCAGATTATTCGACAGCGCCCCTCCCCCTCGTCTCTGCGGCATGTTCCCTCCTCGTTTCCACGCCTCCGGCATCGGGCGATCGCCAAACGGTCGTTTCGTTCGCGTTTCGATGAGCTGTGCCGCGATCTCGGGTCGCATCACGTCGACTTCGGCGTCGAGATAATCCAAATCATCAACCAAAATCGCGCGCATGGCGTTCGTGATCATGAACTGCACCTTGGCGGACGACATCGCGCGCGTCGGCGTGTGGTGTTCGTCGATGTGTTACGCGTCGTCGTTCGTGAACGTGATGGTGCTCGGGGCGATGAGACGGCGATGTTGAGCGCGCGTCAATGAAACGAACGCGAAATGCGGAATGCGAAATGCGAAATGCAGCGCGCCGGCGCGGTTGGCGCGGCTGGCGGCTGGCGGTGGGCGAATAATTAATGTAATGTACAGTACATGATGAATACAAACAACAATGAGCGAGGCGACGTGCAGGAATGGTAATGAACGATCATCTCGTGCTTCACTTTTTCTTCGCCGATGGCTTCTTCGCGAGACCGCTCGGACGCGCGGACGACGGCGCGTGCGTCGAGACGCTCGAGCCGCGACGCTTGGCGGTTGATTTCGTCGACATCGGAGCGCTCGAGGGTAAGCCTGCGGGACGCGCGCGTCTCGTGCGAGGAGACTTTGTCGGAGAAGCGTCATTTTCGACGTCAGACGTCGCTTTTGAGTTCGGAGGCGGCTGCGAACCATCAGAAACTTTGAAGAGATTTTCCAACGCTTCGTAGTTGATTTTCGAGCTGCCCTTCTTTTTAGCTAAGACTTGACGCGCAGCTTCCGCGGGAGTCTCCGCGGGCAGCGTGTCGGGGGCTTTTCTATGCTTCTTTTTCGTCGGCGCGCTCGTGCGGCTGGCGGCTTGCTCTTTCAAGGCTTGGAATTCCAAGTACTCCTTGTTCATCTCAGACCAAACCAAACGACGAAGGTTGACTTCGTTTTCGTTGTGAATGTACGAATCGATTTCATCGTCGTCAACGTCCGAGAGCGTATCGATGACTTCGTTATCCTCCTTGGCGACGAGACCGTCGCTTTCAACGACCGCAAGCGCGGCCTTCGATGACGTTTGCGATGGATCGAACGGCGTCGTTTGGAAAGCCTCGACGTCGTGCGGCGAATGCTTTGCCAACTGCGCCAGAGCTGAATCGTCGAAACACTTCGCGGCTATTAAAAAGTGTAAGACCAGCGCGTCCACTTGCGCGATGCGTTCACCTTCGTTGTTCACAAAGGTTTCGTAGTTTGGATGGAGCTCACACATATGCATCTTCGACAGTCGCGCCTTGGAGAGATCGCTTGTAAACGGTAAGCAAACGAGTTCGGCCCATCGAGATCCGACGAGCAGGCGCAGGGCGTCCTCGGCGCGTCTCAAGAAATCAGCGTCGACCGGCTCGCGGCGACTAGTTTGAACGTGATGTTGCTGTTGCTGCTTTTGCCCCTTTTTCGTCATATTCCTCGCCGAAGTCGCGCGTTTCGACGAGCAAGGTAAGGCCAAGGGCTGAACTGAATTCAACGGCGTAGGCGACGCGAGCAGCGCGCTCAAGTCTTGCTCGAGCGCCGAGTTAAATTCTTGCGTCAACGCGTCTTCGTCTCCCAATTCGCCCGACGACAGCGCGGGCAACAAAAGCTTTTGTTTTGCATCGATTTTCCGCTTCGCTTCTGCGCGCATGAACGCGGGCGGATCGGCGCCTCCCACCGAACCCCCCGAAATTCTAACGTAATCCACGTAACACGCGCGACACATTCCGTGCGCAAAGTGCGGAATGTTTTCGTTGTCTTTGTGCACACAGCTCAGCACCGACATTGGGCTCGACGCTAGCGATTTTGTGTTTTTATTCGCTTCTTCTTCAGCCTCAAACGTGCGAGCTTGCGTGTCAAACTCCTCGATCGACAGCGCCGCGCTCGGCGTGTTTTCGAATTCGCTCAGACGCTTCTTCAGCGTCGATTCGCCGACGTGCACCACAGCCACGACATCGCGCTTGCTCGGACTGAATCCATGAATTTGAGCGGCGACCCACAACGCGGCACCACAAATTCCATTCGGACGACGACCAGTCTGCATCCAATCCCGCTTCATGGACGCCACGAGCCGCAGCGCCGTGTTCGCCACGGTGTGCATCCGTCGTCCCAAGTTCAACTTGTCCGCGAATCGATGAATGAACAGACTCGGATCGATCGGCTTTTGCATGAGCGGATGCTGCTCCAGTCGCAACAACCGACACAACTGTAAGAACACGCCCCCCAAAACGTACACGTTCGTCTGTAAAATATCCGCGAAATCAATCAACATGTACGGTCTCGATTCCTGTCGACAGATGATGTACATGCACGCCCCCGCCACTTGCGAAATCCTTCGCCCTCGCGTAAAATTTCTCTGCACCGCGAGCTTATACAGCCGATGCGCCGCGTCCACGACGTCCTCCCTCGGTCGTATCCCCAACCGATCCGCCAACTGTTTAATCTCCAGCTTCCCTCGATACAGCGTGCGCTCGTGCGAGTCCAACTGCACGCCGTACAGTCTTCCGCCTCGCGTCGCCCGTATCACCCCGTGCGCCACCCCGCTCTCCGGCACGTAGTGTCCATCCGGCACGGACGCTCCCTGCGCGTTCTTCACGAACGTCGCGTCCGCGCTGAACGCCGCGCGCTCGTCTAAAATCTTCCCGCACGTCGTGCAGCACGTGAACCCGTTCGCCTCGTTCGTCTCCGCCGCGACCCGTTTCCCGCACGTCTCGCACCACCGGTGCACCATCGCGCGCCGCACCGCGCACCTCGCGCACCTCGCGCACCTCGCGTCCCGCGCGCACCGCGCCGTCCTCTCCCGTCGTCGCGCGTCGCGAGCCCAATCCTCGTCGCCCAATCGTCCCGCGCCGACTCGACGAAAAACAACCCTCGTATGGCGATCCCGGACGGACGAAAAACACCCTCGTGTGGCGATCCCGGACGAAAAATACCCTCGTATGGCGATCCCGGACGAAAAACACCCTCGTGTGGCGACGTCCAGCGCGGTCGCCGGCCGACGGGCCGCGTCAGCGCGCGCGACGCGGACGCGGACGCGCGCGACGCGCGGCAGTCGGCGGCGCGCGTCGGCCGGGCGATCGCGACGCGCGCGCTGACGCGGACCGTCGGCCGCGACGCGAGGCGCGACGCGAGGCGACCGACGAAGGACCGACGGGGCGACGGACGCGGTGGTTGACGGACGGACGGACGGACGGACGGACGGACGCGCGACGACGCGCGACGACGGGACGACGGGACGACGGGACGAGGCGACGAGGCGAACGTCGATGGACGACGGCGCGAGAAGCGCGCGCGCCAGAGCGCGGACGAAGACGGCGCGGGACGAGGACGAAGACGGCGCGGGACGAGGCGCGGAGGCGGCGCGCGACGACGGGGCGGCGACGACGACGCGAACGACGCGGATGGACGAGGACGGCGCGGGAGGATTCGCGCGACGGAGTCGAAATATATTCGCCGACGCGCAGCGACGGCAGTGGTGCAGAGAGCGGCAGATCGGGGAGCGACGGGGAGGCGCGGCGAGCGCGAAGACGGGGGCGACGGCGCTGCGGTGCTCGAATAAGCGCTTCGTGGAGGAATTGAGGCTGAGGGAGACGCTGGAGAAGCACGGTGGGTGCGTGAATTGCGTGAGTTGGAACGACGATGCGTCGCTGTTGATCTCTGGGAGCGATGATATGACGGTGTGCGTGTGGGGGTGCGGGGCGAAGATGCCGCTGAAGGGGTCGGCGTTCACGGGGCACACGCACAACGTCTTCGCGAGCGAATTCGTGCCGCAATCGAACAGCGCGTACTGCGTCACGACGTCCGCGGATGGAGACGTGCGGTTGGTGGATTTAGAGCGTGGGTTTCGAGGGCCCGCGCCCGCGCATTACGGTTATCGCCTGCGCGGGGCGAATCAACCGAATTCCGAGTGCAGTCGCTCGCTCTGGCACGGTCGAGGCGCGGGGATGGGGTTCGGCATGACGTTCGTGCCGAACGAACCGAATACGTTTTTGTCGTGCCATCAAGACGGTCGCGTTCGTTTGTTCGACTTGAGGCAAAGTCACGGTGGTTTCGAAGGAAACTCACACGAAATCGTCGTCGATTTGAGCGCGTGCGGGCCGACGTCGGAAATCGTGTTCGACCCGACGGCGCCTACGACGTTCGCCGCGTGCTCGGACGATCCTCACGTGCGCGTGTTTGATCTCAGACACGTCAAGAGTAACCGGCGAGAAGCGGCGCGCGAATGTCCAGCGGCACCGAGTCCGAGCACGTCGCCCACGGGTCAACCGATGTTTCTGAGATCGCCTCGGCCTTCGATGAATCACGACATTCCGTGCGTCATGATGCTCAGTCCGCTCGAGCTCGGTCGAGGCGTGCGAAGCCCGGGCTTTGAGGGTATATCTGGCCTGGCTTACTCGTCCAAGGGCGAACTCGCGATTAACTGCAAAGGCGACGACGTGTACCTGTTGGACACTCGCCGAGCGGCGGCGAATATCAATTCTGAGGAACGTATTTTTAAGTCGTTCTCCGTGCCGTGGGAAATGCCGATCACGCATCAGGCGGCGAAGAGGTACGTCGGACGCAGAAATGTGAAAACCTTCTTAAAGGGTGTCGCTTTTATGTGCGACGATGAGTACGTCACGACGGGTGGTGACGATGGCAACGTATACGTCTGGCACAAAGATACGTGCGAGCTCGTGTGCAAAATGCAAGCAGACAGTCAGGTGGTGAACACCGTTTTGCCGCACCCGCACTTGCCGACCATCGTGTGCTGCGGTATAGACAATCACGTGCGCGTCTTCGAAGCTGGTGATGGTGGAGTGCATCTCGGCACCCCTCCCATGCGCGATGAACACGACGCTTGGGGATTTGACGAAGAAGATGACGAGGAAGAAGAAGATACGGATGAAGACGATGAAGACGAAGCGAGCACCGATAGCGACGACGACCACCGCGGCGAAAATCTCGCGAGATGGTCTCGAGCGCTCGTCGATGCTGCGGATGCGCCAGAAGAGGATGACGACGATGATGCCGACTTTGAACCTGATTCGATGCGCGAAAACTAAACGAATGTTCTAGCATACTGTACTGTACAACGATGGAGCTCGGAAAAACGACGCTGGCGACGACGAAGGATGACAACCGCGGTCTGGGATGATTGCGAGATGACGACGACGACGACGACGACGCTACCGAGCGAAAGAATATCCAATTTTTAATTTCAGCAATTAAACTGATGACGATGAAGTAGACGCGCGATGTTTAAGATGCGAAACTTCTTTTATTTAGATACGCGCTACTTCACGAACCTCGTAATGATGACCACAACTACGCCGACGACGACCAAAAAGAGCAAGAGCATGATGCACTTATCCGTCGCTAACCCACGGGTGATGTCCTTCAGCACGCCAAACGACTTTTTCAACGAAAAGTGGATTTCATCGAGATCATCTACGATTTTCTCCAGTTGTTTTGTCTGCCCGCGCAACGCCTCGGCGGTTTGCGTCCCTATTTGAATCGTCTCCTCAACCACCGCTTCGCTTCGCATGATGCTCTTATCCGTTTGGTCCATGACGTTCCTACCGTGATCAATCAAATCCCCAGCCTCCATGAGTTGCAACTGCTCATCCTCTACAATCTCCCCCTTTGGCTTTGGCCGGAACGCCGGCAACGTAAACGCCGTCGACGTAGCCGTCGTCGACGTCGTCACCCCTCCCGACGTGCTCGCTTCCCCGCCCTGACTACCAACCTCGCTCTTCCTCTCTTCTTGTTTCTCCGCGATCGCAATCTGCGCCTCCTTCTTCATCTGCACAAACTTGTTCAACCTCGACACGTATTCCTTCTTCGCCGCCGCCAACGCGTTCGCGTCCATGGCCCCTTCGCTCAGCGCCCGTCTCTCAAACTCCTTGATCAGCTTTTTACTCTCCGCCATTTTATTGGTCAACTTTTTCAAGTGTCCGCTCGACACCGACGTCTCGCGGCTCTCGAGAACGTCCTTACGCTTGAATCCGTCCCTGCGCCGACGCGTCGCGAGCTCGCTCCGTCAGTCCCGTCCCTCGCGCGTATTCCGTCTCGTCGCGTCGCTCGCGTCGCTCGAATCCCATCCCATCGCATCGCGCGACGCACTCTAACTCCGCGAACGCCGTCCGCAGCTGATCTCGCGTCGCCTGCGCGCTCATCGCGTCGTCGTCGACCGTCGATCGCGCCACGTGTTGTCGGTCGTCGTCGCCCCGCGCGCCCGTCGCGACGACTCACGCCCGATCGCGCGTCGGCGATCGCGCCGTCGTCGCGTTCTCGCCGTCGACCGATCGCGATCGCGCGATCGCGTCGAGACGTCGCGTCGAGACGTCGTCGAATTGTGGCGTCGACGCGCGCGCGCATTCGCGTCGTCGCGTCGACTCGCGAGCGATTAGAATGACTCGTTCGTTACAAACTCGCGCCCGTCGTCGTCGCTCAAAACAATCCGAACAGTTTCTTCTTCGGCGCCTCCTCCTTCCCGCCCTTCCCGCCCTTCCCGCTCGTCGTCTTCGTCTTGCTCGACGTCGTCCCCGCGGCGACGCCGCCCCCCGGCATCGTCCGTCCCGCGCGCGACGGTCTCGCGCTCGAGATCGTCCTCTGAAACTCCCTTCGCGCCCCGAACGCGGTCGACGCCTCCTTCGCGCCCCGCGCCTTGCGCTTGTTCTCGTCGATCTTTCGCTGCTTCTCCGCCATGCGTCGTTGAATCTCCTTCGCGTCGATGTTCGGCCCGAACCCACCGAGGCTTTCGATCTTCGGGCGCGTCGCGCGCGCGCGTCGCGTCGTCGCCGTCCCTCTTCGCGTCGTCACGCGCGTCGCGACGAGCGCGCGCGAGCGCGTCATCGTCATCGCGCGCGGCGTCGCCATCGCGTCGTGCTTCGCGTCGTCGCGTTGTGTCGCGACGCGTCGCGTCCGCGCGCGTTCGGGGTCCGCGCGGCGCGGCGCGCGCGCGGAGGGCGCGCGCGCGAGGGCGCGCGCGCGAGGACGGTCTCAATCGGACGGTCTCGTCGAACGGAAGGCGCGAGCGCGGGCGGCGCGGGCGCGCGGGCGGTCGGACGGACGACGAACGACGCCATCGAGCGACGCGCGGCGGCGATGCGGTGACGACGCGCGCGAATCGGGCGAGGAAACGACGCGCGCGCGCGTCCGGGATGCGCGCGCGCGGACGCGGGCGCGAGCGCGCGACGGGGGCGCGCGAGGAGGCGACGCGACGACGCGCGGGATGTCGTTGGGGACACTCGACGCGCGCGCTGACGGCGCTCGCGCCGGCGCTGTGCGTCACGCTCGGCAGCGGGGGGGAGACGATGGTGACCGTGGTCGCGATCGGGGCGAGCGCGGCGCGCGGGATGGACGCGATGGGGAACGGAGAGGGGGCGCTGGGCGCGATTTGGACGACGGCGACGGCGGCGCTCGGGACGCTGCTGACGAGAGGGAGCTGGCGGACGAGCGCGACGGTCGGGACGTCGTGCGCGCTGCTCGCGGTGAATGGGGTGAATTTGTTTTTATTTTGCTCGTGGTGCACGCTGCAATTTCGGTGGATACACGAGTCGCACGCGGGCGCGGCGGCGACGTGCGAGCGTTTGATTTTCGCGCTGTGTCCGCCGACGACGACGACGATTCTGACGTGGGCGTTCGCGAGCGCGAGCGCGGGAGCTGAGAGAGCGGCGTTTTACGGCTCGGTCGTGTCGTTGATCACGCATCGGATGTTTTTGTTTCCGTGCGCGAGCGCGTGCGCGGCGGTGACGAAGACGAACGGGCCTCCGTCGGACAAGCGCTCGGCGTTGACCGAGAGCGACGCCGAGTACGCCACCGTGGCCACGCTCGGCTTACCCGTCGCGTTGTATTTATGGACGAACCTCGACACACTGTTCAAGTCCCTCGATCACGTCTTCGCGTGTGGGGCGTTGGTGACGGTCCCGGTGTTGTATTTAATAGCCGCCGGCACGGAGAAGTCGTTGTGGTGGCGCGCGCGCGGCGTCGACGTGGCGTCGAAAAGGATGGAAACCGCCGTGCTCCTCTTCGCACTCACTGGATTTGCGGTGAGCGTTGAAGGTGGAATAATATTTAGTGAATTTGCCGAGTACATCGAAATCATGGCTCCTTTGAATTACATCATGGTGACGGTTTCCGTCCACAGCGCGCTGGCAGTTTTCGCCGCGTGCTACGCAAACGCCGTCGGCGACGGCGTCCCGACGGGTGCGGTGAAGGCGACGTTGGCTCTGTCTACGTCGACCGCAATTTGTGCTTTGGGTGCACCTCTGTGGATGATTCCGATCCCCATCGCCGGATCATCGTCATTCGTCAAATATTATTACGAGGACCGAGAGCCGAAGGATTACGGCGTGTTTGCCGCGAGTTGCGTCGGATGCTTTTCGTGGTTTCTTTCGAAGAATTTCTGGTCACTCGATGTGCGCGTGGGAGCTTTCGACGTCAAACAATTGTGTGTCGCCATATTACTCCTCGCCGTGGCGGCTTTGGCTTTGCCAGCGGTGTTGAATACGAAAAGCGCGCGCGCGCCGACGGTTGGCGTCCTCGTCGTCTGTTACGTCTCGGCGCTCGCAACGATTGAACAAATCCTGAGTCAAGCGACGCATGACGACGATTCTTTGATTTATCCACCATATTTGGTCATCGTCACTTCCATCAGCGGCTTCTTGGCGAGTCGAGGCCTCGTCATCAGCGGGAGAATCAGTCGCGAATTTGGCTGGGTGATGCAGAGCGTGTGCGGCGCAAAGCTCTCCATGCTCTTTGTTCGCGGTTTGAAGGAAATGTTCAGCGTCTTGGTGGTCGTGCTCGCCATCACCGCTCCGCACGCGATGTCACGGCGAATGACTCAATTATCTCCGGGCGCGAGCGTTGGTTATTGCGTCGCTTTGGTGTTCTCTTTGGTATTCGCTCGGTTTGCGATGTTTGACGTTATATTTGAACTCTCGGGTCACCGACCGACGGACGCGACGCTCTTCGGTGGACTCCTCCTGATCACGGGGGCGAGCTTGGCGTCCGTGGTAACGCGACAAAGTTACGGTGATGACATGTTTAGCAAACGATTGATGATGCTCTTGAGTTTCTGTGGCGTCTTTCTCATCACCTTCCGACCGCCGATGCCTTGGAAGGGCGAGGTGGGCATGTGGTATGACGCCGAACACGTTCCCGACTCTGAAGAAGACGAAGCGAGAATGTACGGCGTGCGCGAGAACGCGCATCATGGATGGCCGAGCTGGTTGCTGATGTTAGCCGCGCTCACCGCGATATTCGCCGTCTCGTCTCCACGACAACAGACAAAATCAACGTCAACGATTCGAATCGCCTTAAGCGCCGTGTGCGGTGGGAGCGTTGGTTTATATATGGCGCTGGAATTCTTCGTCCAGCAAGTGGCGCTGACGGCACTACTATTTGTCGCGTGTGCGCTGGTGGGAGTGTTCTTGTCTTTCACGTACAGCCCTTCGCCGAAGTCTTCGCGCTGGTTGCCTTACGTGTATTTATCGTTCGTCTCCGTTCTCGGCTTGGCGTACGTCACACAAATGGGTGGCTCAGACGAGACTGTGGACGACCATCAGGCGAGAATGGAAGGAAAATTCGGTGTCGTCGGCGTTTTCGCCGGGACTTCGCTGCAAATCGCGTTTGCTCTGAAGTTGAGAATCAAAACGAGCCTGGAGAGCGTGCAACATCGACGACGTCAAGGCGGTACTTCACCGTTCCTTCCCGCCACTGGTCGCAGTCGTCCGGAATATTTCCGCGGTGTCGCGAGCAGAAACGAGCACAGAGAACTCAAGGCAAAGGCGATCGCTTGGATGCCAATCATCGGGAACATCGCCACGCTCACGTCCTTTCTCGCGTGCGTGGTGCTGAGCGATGAGTTGGCCGATGGCTCCGCGTTTTCGGTCTTCGTCCTCGCGCCCATTCTGCTTCTTCTTCACCAAGACTCGGTGATATTTCCTATACTGGAAGACAGCCAACGATACGCTCCACCGCTCGCGATGATCGTGGGTAAGATGTGCTGGGACGCCGTCGCCGCCATCCTCGCCGGCCCGAACCGAGTTCACGTTCTCGCCGCGACCGCCTCCAAGTTGCCGTGGATGACGCTCAACGCGTTGAGTCTGCTCCTCGCTTCGGTGAATAGCATCAATTTGGTGCACTACCTCGCCACGAGCGTTCGCACGGACGGGATGACGCTCATCTTGACCGCCCCGCTCGCCGTCGTGGCGCCGTTTCTTTCAAAAATTCCCTCCGTGCGCGCGCTCGCCTTCACCAGTCTCATCGCCGTCGTCACCCAGCACACCCTCCAGCGTCGAGCGAAGATCGTCGGGCTGAAGTATTTATAGTTCATAGCGTCGTCGCCGATTGTAGAGCGCCCGAGCGACCGACTTCCTCTCGACGCGCGCGCGCGCGCCGATCGAGTCCCCACTCCTTGAGTCACGAACGCTCGCATCAACCCTGGCCCACGGGGTCGGGTTCGATTTCGCCGCGCGTTCGCTCGAACGACGTCGAGCTCGGCCCGCGCCCATCCGTCTCTTTTCGACGCCCCGCCGTCGACGACCCGGACTCGGCCGATCTTTGCGCGCGCTCCACGCACGTAAACGTCACGCACGCGCGTTCGATCGATTCACCGCACGCCTCGCGCGCACGGACGCGCGCGACGGACGCGCGAAGAAAGTTCTAGGGTCTTCAGTTTGAACGACGCCGAAATCGCATTCATCCGCGACTCGTCCTCGATCGAGGGACTGCGTAAAGTTTTAGACACGCGAGCGTCGTAAACGCACGATGCCGAAGAGTAACTCCAAGGGAAAGGGAGGGAAGAACCGTCGTCGCGGGAAAGGGGGCGGCGAAGACGAGAAGCGCGAACTCATCTTCAAAGAGGACGGTCAAGAGTACGCGCAAGTGTTGCGCATGCTCGGGAACGGGCGCTTAGAGGCGCAGTGCATCGATGGGGTGAAGCGTTTGTGTCACATTCGCGGTAAAATGCGGAAAAAGGTTTGGGTGAACACCGGGGACATCATCCTGTTGGGCTTGCGGGACTTTCAAGACGAAAAGGCGGACGTCATCTTGAAGTACTTGGCCGACGAGGCGCGCTCGTTGAAGGCGTACGGGGAACTCCCGGACACTTTCCGCGTGAACGATACGGATACGTTCGAAGAAGAGCGCGACGAGAACGATGACTTCTTCGATTTCGACGACATTAATGACATTTAAGCGCGCGCGCTTGAAAATTGTGTAGCATCATCAATCACCCGTGGCTAATTTGTGAGTTGTTCAATAAAAATCTACGTCAATCTAGCCTCGAACATGTTTGCATAAAATCTCATCTGCGCAGGTCCGTCGTCTCGACACAAAACGCCTCGGCTTTCTGCCATGTAGAGGTACTCGAGCGCTATTTCGGGCGTCGTCGCTAATATTTGCGCCGCCTCGTACGAATCGATTGAATGCTCGTAAGACGGCAATCGCGCGAGCAATCGCGCGCACGCTTCCTCGTCTGTGCGTTCTACGGTATGAATCACCATCACTCCGCTTTCAAATTTACGCAAGTGCAAATCGACCCCGAGCGACTCCCACGATTCGCTCGCGCGAAGCATGTCTTGCGGGGAAACTAACTCCGTGCCTCGCGCGCGATTGAACAAACAGAACGCATCGGTGACGGTAATGATGCCGTTCGATTTTTGCACCACGGGCGTTATCCAATCCGCTAATTGTTTACCTAATTCTCGATGAAACTCTGCCCCCGCGTTCGCGCGCGTCACCGGACTCGTAATCCCGAGACTGAGCACGAGACGCTGAAGCTCTGAACTTTCCCCTTTCCCGTCCATCGACTCCGCGAGCCGCTCGGCGAGCGTCACCATCTCTCCAGCCTTCGCCATGAGCGCTCTGAGATCGGTAAACGCCTCGTCCATCGTCTTATTCGTCGCCTCCGCGCGTTCGAGCTGTCGATTCACCGCGCCGCCGACGCCCGCCGTCGCCGCCGACGCGCCGCTCGCCCGCCGCCTCGCATCCTCCCGCGTCGTCTCCACCGCCGCCGTCGCTTTCTGTCTCTTATACTTTACGATCGCGTTCTCGATTTTCCCGCACACCTCCTCCGCGCTCGCCCCTCGCGCGCCGATCGTCACCCGTCTCCCGCTCGTCAAAACCAGCGCCACCCCGCGCTCGCGCCTCCTGAACAACCCACCCAGCGTCGACCGCGACTCCTGCGCTCGTTCGCACGCCGCCACGTCGTCGTACTCGATCACCGTCCCACCCTCGGCCGCGCTCCCCGCCGCCGCCGCCGTCGCCGTCGTCTCGAACGTCAAAATCAACCGTCGCGTCGTCGCCCGCGCGACCGCGTCTCGCCGCGCGCGCGCGCCGTCGTCCGCCACGACCACGCGCGCGCGCTCGACGAGCGCGATCTCGTCCCGCATGCGCGTCACGCCCCCGACGCCGTCTCCCGTCCCGTCGCGCGCGTCGACCGCGACGCCCGACGGACGACGCGCGTCGAGCGAAAAAGTCGTCCACACGAGAAAAAAACGATCAACTCAATGGTTCGCAAGTGGCCGTCGAACGCGATTTTATGGTCTCGGCGACCGACCGCGCCTTTGCCGACGACGAATTACGGGCGCGCGACGTCACTGGACGTCCCCGCGGGCGACGGCGCGATGATGTCGCGCGCGTCCGTGGACGCGGTGCGCGGCGCGCGACTCGGCGCGCGACTCGGTGCGCTCGCGATGCGGGCGAGAGCGACGCCGGGAGCGATCAAACACGCGCGGAGCGCGCGCGCGGTGGCGACGCGGGCGACGTACGGACGACCCGAGCGCATCGCGCGCGTGAAGGGAAACGACGGGGGGGCGTCGCGCGTGGGCGAGGCGTTGGAACTGCGAGGGTGGGCGCGATCGGTGCGGACGCAGAAGGGAATGGCGTTCATCGACCTGAACGATGGGAGCGCGATCTCGGGGATGCAAGCGGTGGTGAACGAGGGAAGCGCGGCGTGGGACGCGCTCGACGCGGGCGGCGTCTCCACGGGGGCGGCGCTCAGGGTGAAGGGGAAACTCGTGGCGAGTCCGGGAGGGAAGCAAGCGGCGGAATTGGCGGTGGAGGAGATTGATGTCATCGGAACGGCGGATCCGGAGACGTATCCGCTGCAAAAGAAGCGACACACGCTGGAATATCTTCGAAGCATCGCGCACTTGCGACCTCGCACAAACACCATCGGCGCCGTGGCTCGCGTGCGCAATCAGTTGGCGTACGCGACGCACACGTTCTTTCAAGAGCATGGGTTTTTATACGCCAACACGCCGATCATCACCGCGTCGGATTGCGAAGGCGCTGGGGAACAGTTTCAAGTGACGACGCTGTTGAACGGCTTCGGCGCCGGCGAGTGGACGACGCCGGCCTCGGTCGTGGACGAGCAAGAAGCCATGGTGAAGGCACAGGGTGACGCGGTGAAGGCCCTGAAGGAGGCGAAGAAAGCGGGAGACGCGACGAAAGAGCAAGTTGATGAGGCCGTGGCGAAGCTTTTAGATCTCAAGGCGAGCGTCGAGGCGCTGAAGAACAATCGCCCGTCGTCCGACTTGCCGAAGAATAAGGATGGTTCCATCGACTATTCTCAAGACTTCTTCGGCAAACCGTCTTATTTGACCGTGTCTGGGCAATTGAACGGTGAAATCATGGCTTGCGCGGTCAACGACATCTACACCTTCGGTCCGACGTTCCGCGCGGAGAATAGCAACACGTCGCGCCACCTGGCTGAGTTTTGGATGGTAGAGCCCGAACTCGCGTTCGCGGATTTGAACGACGACATGGATTGCGCAGAAGCGTACTTGAAGTATTGCCTGAACCACGTCCTCGAGCACTGCGACGAAGATCTTGAATTCTTCGAGAAGAACATCTCCAAAGACAACCTGAGAGAGCGACTTCGAAACGTCGCGTCGCAAGAGTTTGCGCGCATCACGTACACCGAAGCCGTCGAGCACGTGTTGAACGCGAAGAAGAAGTTTGAGTTCCCAATCGAATGGGGATCGGATCTTCAGAGCGAGCACGAGCGGTACATCTCAGAAGAAGTCTTCAAAGATCGCCCCGTGATCGTGCGCGATTATCCGAAAGATATCAAGGCGTTCTACATGCGTCTCAACGACGACAACAAAACCGTCGCCGCAATGGACGTCTTGGTGCCCCGCGTTGGTGAGTTGATGGGTGGTAGCCAAAGAGAAGAACGCCTTGATGTCTTGGAGCGCCGAATCGAAGAGGTTGGTTTGGAAAAGGAGTCGTACTGGTGGTACTTAGATTTGAGACGATACGGTTCGCAGCCGCACGCCGGTTTCGGCCTCGGTTTTGAACGCCTCGTTCAGTACGTCACAGGTGTGGAGAACATTCGTGACGCCATTCCTTTCCCCCGTTACCCGGGTAGCGCTGAGTTCTAGATTTAGTCTAACGCGGCTGTAACTAAACTACTTAATCTACGCTAGTCTACGTCTACGGTGTCTCTACAGTAACGCCTTGCTAAGCGCTTTGAACGTGTAAAGTGATCCCGTCACGACCACGACAATCTCGTCGTCGCCGCGCGAGAGCGCTCCTTTCAAGGCCTTCTCGAAATCATCTTCTGAGGTGGGAGTCGGACCATGCGCTGGGCCGATATAAGCCTTCGCGAGCGTCTTCGCGGGCGTCGTTCGAGACGATGCGCCGGCGACTTGCATTTGAGTGCACACCACACCGACGGGATCCGCCCTGTACAGCTCTTCAATAAATCCTCCGTGATCCTTGTCGTCCGCCATCGCTACGACGAACAAAAGTTTTCGGTCGGGATAAACCTCACGAATCGTGTTCACGAGAACTCGAGCGGAACCTTTGGTGTGCGCGCCATCAGCAATCATCGTGGGCCCTCCACTCGTCTCAAATACTTCAAAGTTCCCCGGACTGCGCGTCGTTTCCAAGCCTCTTCGAATATCTTCCAGAGATGCGTCGATTTTGTTTTGAGCGCGAAGCCACCACAGAACACGAAGCGCAAGACTTATGTTCTCGCGCTGGTGCGGCCCAGCGAGAGGAATTCGAACGTTCGAAAGGGTGGACGCTATTTTACCATCCACTTTGATGTCGATGTCGACGTCCTGCGAAGCGATCGAGTCTTCCACGTGATACCGCACGAGACGCGTGTCTACGCATACGTTATCGATAACGTTCGCCCCACGCGCGCGGAGCGCAGTTTTCAACATTGTTGTTATTCGTTCGTCCACGTTTGGGGCACAAAACACCGGACGACCTTTATGCGCGATGCCAGCTTTTGCGTCTACGATTGTCTCAATCGAACCGCCGAGCGCTTCGAGGTGTTCCTCACCTATGTGTGTGATCACCGCTGCTTCTAGATTTTCTGCCGCGAGTACGTTTGTGGCGTCTCGACTTCCCCCGAGACCGACTTCCACGAGCGCTAAATCGACGTTTGCCTTTTTAAAGTATGCAAAGGCGAGCGCCGTGAGGACTTCAAAGTACGACAACTGACCGCCCTCACGCTGTTGTGCAGACTTTATCTCTCGCTCTAAATCGCGCAGTACGTCGAGAACTTGTGCAGACGCATCACTTTCGCTACTCCGAATCCTTTCCGCCACGGTATACACGTGAGGGCTCTTATACGTGCCGATTCGTAATCCAGCGGCGCGCAGGACGCTCGCGAGCACGGAAACCGTCGTTCCTTTCCCCTTCGTTCCCGACACGTGTATCGTGTTATACGCCCTGTGTGGATCGTCAAAGTCTCGCAACAATCTATGCATGCGTCCGAGATCGAATCCGTCCGTCGTATCCGTCCCAGCGTTTCGCGGGACGCCGCTCTTTTCGTGATTGACGAAGTCCCGCAACGCTTCGTCCACCGTCGCGAATGCGGTCGATGTGCGGGCTCGTGCGCGCGCTCTGTGCGCGAACGAGAACAAATTCTCACAGAGCTCGCGGTGTTGGCGCGAACACGCCGAGCGTCGCATGGTAGCGACGCACCGAGACGCGCGTGCGAAGCGCGGTCTGCGGTCACTCGTCGGGCGAGCAGAAGAGCGGCTGCGAAGTCGGCGAGCTCTCGTTGGCTCCTCGCACCGCTCGAATCGTGCGAAGAATGATGAGTACTAATGAGAAAGGTGGTAATAAAAAGTCCTAAACTCGACCGCGTCGCTCGCCCGCCGGCACGACGACGACGTGGTCTTCAAAACGCATTCGCTAGCGAGGAGGCGCTGGGGAGTTTTCCAAAATCACTCCGCCGACCTCGACGCGAGAACCACGCCCTGTGATTATCGTGTTTCTAACATTGTCTGCTATTCTGGGATCCAGTCCTGCACCATCCGCGCACGTCACTCGACTCGATCGCGTCTCTTCCGATCCAGCCGTTCTGAAATCTCCCCAATACTCCTTGTCCCCCGGTCCGTCCGCGGAGCCAAAGTTGACGTACACCGGACTGTCAAACAACTCTGGATACGTCGCCAGTAGCTCTCTCTCGGCGTAACGCAACGTATCTAACACCAACGGTAATTTTTGACGAAACACGACCGAACGAAGGGGCGCCGCCCATCGTATCCACCAAGCCTCCTTCGCGCTCACCTGACAAAACACGTGCAAGCCGTCCTCGCGCCACTCCGCGAGCACCTCGTCTCTGAGCAATCTCGTGTACCATATCGACGTTTGATCGTCGTTGAACGCGTCGCCTACCGTGAGCGTCAAATTCCTCGTCACATCGTTGTGCGTCAGCGTGTAACGCCGCTGCAATAAAGACTCCGGTTCCACCCGCGTCGAGCTCGCGTCGAACGCCACCGACACTCTGTCCGGGTCAAACTTCAAGGCGTCGAAAACCGCGTTCGTCGTCGTCTGCGCGCGCGCGATCGCCGTCGGTCAGTGTCACGATTCCATCGAGTCGCACTCGCGCCTTTCTCGCGCGTCGCTCGCGGTTTTAGACGTCGCCGTCCCCCCCCATCGCGCGAAAACCGCGCCTCGGACGTCCCGTCCCGTCCCGATCGACGCGCGTCGCGCGCGCGTCGCGTCGCGTCGGTCGCCGCGCACCTTCCCCCGTCCGCGCCCCTTCGCCGGCCGTCCTCGCGCGCCGGGTCCCGGTCGCCGTCCGCTCGCGTCGCGCGTCGACGTCGACGTCGACGCCCCGCTCGCGCGCGCGCGCGTCGCGAGCGCCCTATCCAGCGCCATGGCGTCGACGGCGCGCGCGTCGCGTTCGCGCGTCGACGACGCGCGCGCGTCGACGACGCTCGCGACTCGTCGACGACGACGTCGACGACGACGACGCGCGTCGCTGTGCCGGGCGTCGTCGCGTCGTCGGATCGTCGTCTCGTCGTCGTCCCGCGGCGTCCCGCGCGTCCGCCTCGAGCGCGAGCGCGAGCGGTCGCGAGCGGTCGCGATCGGACGATGCGACCGATGGTGCGATTGAATGGATACACACGGACCACACCGATCCCATCGACGAGTCTCGACTCGAGAACGAGTCCCTCGACGCCCGACGCGCCCCGACCGACGTCACGCGATCCGATCCGCGCGCGGCGTCGTCGCGTCGGCGTCGTCGCGTCGGCTCGTCACAGCGCGCGTCCGGGACAGCGAGCGCTCGAACGCCCGAACGCGCGAAGCGCCCGAGACGGATCCGAACGCCACGAATCCGCGCCGAGCGATCGAGCCCGCCATGCGCACCGTCGCGCGCGCGTTCGCGACGACGACGACGTCGAGCGCGAGGTGTGATTATCGCCGTCGAGCGACGACGACGCGCGCGACGACGAGCGCGGTGCGCGCGGACGCGCGGCGCGCGCGATCGGGGAGGTATGCGATCGTTCCGCGATCGATCGAGGGCGAAGGGAACGCCGCGGTCGTCGAAAGAAGCGTCGAGGGCGAGGAGGGGGAGAAGATGATGTCCCTGGAGGCGAGACGCGAGGCGCTGAGGTTGCCGCGCCCGGACGTCGCGGCGCCGGGGATGGAGGATCCGTGGAACGATGAGAAGTGGCAAAAGGTGAAGTGGACGGTGTTTCGAGACGTGGCGTACGACCTCGGACCGTTCTTTGAGAAGCATCCGGGCGGGAACTGGTTGTTGAACCTCGCCATCGGTCGCGACTGCACGGCGCTCATGGAATCCTATCACTTGCGACCAGAGGTGGCGACGGCGCGCTTCAGGATGTTACCCAAGCTCGAGGGGTTCCCGGTCGACGCCGTGGCGAAGTCACCGAGACCGAACGATTCGCCGCTGTACAACAACATCCGCAATCGCGTTCGCGAGGAACTTTTCCCGGAAGAAGGGAAGAACAAACACAGAATGGGTGGCGACCACGCGACGATAACGATTTTGTCTTTCGCCGCGTTTGCGTACGGTGTGTACGCCACCATCCCGGGCTTTCTCTCGGGTTGCCTCCTTGGCTTAGCTGGTGCGTGGATCGGGCTCACGATTCAGCATTGCGCCAATCACGGGGCGATGTCACCGTCGCCCGCCGTCAACGGCGTCCTCGGTTTGACGAACGATCTCATCGGCGGCTCGTCTTTGATGTGGCGATACCACCACCAGGTGAGCCACCACATTCACTGCAACGACAATGCTATGGATCAAGACGTGTACACCGCCATGCCTCTCTTGCGTTTCGACGCTCGTCGTCCCAAGGCGTGGTACCACCGCTTCCAGCACTGGTACATGTTCTTGGCCTTTCCGTTGTTGCAGGTGGCGTTCCAAGTCGGCGACATCGTCGGTTTGTTCACTCGCGATACCGAAGGCGCAAAGCTCCACGGGGCGACCACTTGGGAACTTGCCACCGTAGTTATCGGCAAGTTTGTGCACTTCGGTTTGTTGGCTGCACCTTTGATGAGCCACGCGGCTTCCGCCGTCGTCGCCGGCATCGTCGGTTTCATGGCGTGCCAAGGAGTCGTCCTCGCGTGTACGTTCGCGGTGAGTCACAACGTGCCCGAGGCCAAACTCCCTGAAGATACCGGTGGAGAGGCGTGGGAAAGAGATTGGGGCGTGCAGCAGTTGGTGACTAGCGCTGACTGGGGTGGAAAGATTGGAAACTTTTTCACCGGCGGTCTGAACTTGCAAGTCGAGCATCACCTGTTCCCGGCGATTTGCTTTGTGCACTACCCCGCGATCGCGAAAATTGTCGCGGAAGAAGCGGCGAAGATGGGCATTCCTTACTCGTCATACAGAACACTTCCCGGCATTTTCGTCGCGTTCTGGAAATTCGTCAGAGACATGGGCACGGCGGAGCAAATCGACGACGTTTTACTTCCGAAGTTCGCGAACCCGCAACTTTCGCCAGCCATCAATTAGAATTATAACTTACCTTACGCGCTTGTTGACTTCAAACGAGCAAACGACAGAAATACGATTATTGTGATATACTTACACCTCCGCCTCATCATTGTTTTGATCTAATTCTAACTTACAAACTACACACGAATTCTCAAGTTGAGCAACTCTCGCTCGGCGCTCGTTCGATTAAACGTCACACTTTGTCCGATACTCACCGGCTCCGGGGGTGCACCACCCTCTTCGTATGCCTCGTAACTTCTTAAAGTCCCATCAGGACCGGCATACGCGCCGTCGACGTAAGAATGGCAGTTGTGCAAACCGGCGTCTGAAAGCAGCTGCTTCGCCCACGCCGCGGAACTACTGCTTCGGCTATGCAACAAGATGAGATTATCCGACGTCGGCTTGTGAAATCGGAACATCCGCACCCACTCTTCATCGTTCATATGCACTGCTTTGGGCAGATGATCCACCGGGACGTGCGTTGACCCCTCGAGTGTTCCGTAAAGCGCGCGCTCGTCAAACCTTCGAATGTCCAAAATCACTAGTCCCAGCGCATTGCCGTCGTCTCTCACCGTTTCCAGGAGAAGTAACACCGCGTCGAAGCTCAGAGCTCGATCTTTCCCTGATGAAAACACAGCGGGTTCGTCGAAGTGTGCTAGAGGTACCGCCGCGGCGAGTCCGCCGTCCACGATGGAGCACCGCGTGAATCCCAGGCTCGTCGCGAGCGCCGCGGCGTGCGACGAGCTATGCCCGTGCGTGCTCACAAAAATCATCGTCGTCCTTAAACTCGGCACGGGAATGTTTGGAAATCTCTTCTTCCACAGTGTGTTACGATTGCGCAACAAGTTCGCCAACTCTTCCGGTAAGATGTGCGTCACGGCGAGTCTGTCGCTCAGCTTCGTCACCGCCGTCGCCCCCCCGTCCTCGCTCTTCGGTCTGACGTCTAATAGCAAGTATTTCACCGGTTTCGTTTGAACCAACATCCAAAACGCTTTCGCACTCAGCACCCCGTACGTCTGTTTGTTCAATTTCACCGTCGGTTGCGAGCTCGACGTCGTTCGCTGTCTCGCTCGATCTCTGTGCTTGGCGCTTCGCAAGACGCGCACGGACCAGGCGATGAGAGACAGACACACGGCGGTGGTTAACGAACCGCCGACGTTGGTGACGTGCATGATATTCGTCCGCACGCGCGCCGCGCGCGTCCGTCTGCGGGCGCACCGCCGATCACGCGCGCGGTCGACGTGGACGCGCGTCGAGTCGATTTCGAACGAACGAACGCCAAAACGAACGCGCGTCGAGCGATTTCGTGGGCGTCTCGAGGGCGCGCAACCCTACGAAATCGTCGTCGAAAAATCACGCACTCAAAGACAATTTAGAACTATCTGCAAACACGGTACGCGCGCGATAAACGCCGCGTCGGCCCCCGCGCGCCGCGCGCGCGAACGAAGCGACGTTCGTGGCGACCGTTGAAGCGCCGAACCAGAGCGCGAGACCGCGCGCGCGTCACAGCGCGCGGCGAAATTTGCGAAAGCGTCCACACGAACATGCTCTCGGTTTCGACGTCGTCGCGATCGCTCGCGAGCGCACCGACGGCGCGCCGAGGATGGCGTGGGCGTCGCGGCGGGAGCAGGTTAGAAACGGTTCGACGGGCGCAAATCGGCGTCGATCTCGTCGACGCGGCGAGAAACGGGTTGGAGACGTTCGTTCAAAGGGTACGTTATCGACAAGCGCGAGATTCGGACCTAAAATCGATCGGTGCGCGCCGACAGAGCGATGTCAAGAGTGGTTTTGTTGCCTCTCGCCGCACGCTCTCGGTGAAGCAAACGAGCGCAAACGCGACGAAGATTGAGGCTGACCGATTTATTTTCATTCGTAGGCATCGAAGGCGTTACCAATACTGCTTGGACACGACGATACTGTCGAAATCGAGCGGGAAAACGAGTCGTTAGACGCCGCGAAGACAAACTCGAGAACGCGAGCCGCAGAGCTCACCCAGGCGCGCGTGGAGAGTTTGCTTAAGCCCGACGCGGGAAGAGATGATATATTCCACGCCGCGGGTCAAGGGTTAGCTGGTGTCGGAGGCGACGTCGTAGCGATTGGTTGGTGGGACTCACGCGGGGTAGAAGGCACGTCCCCGCAACTTGAATTGCAGGCGCTCAACGACGGCGCCAGGGCACAACTCATAGGGGTGGTGCTCTTGGCGCTTAAAGAAGGGCTCGAGAACATAGAAGAGAGCAACGGAAGCTTGCGTGAACTCATTCAAACAGTGGCTAGGGTCTCCGCGAATGATTGGATGAATTCGATGGCGCTTGACATCGGCGCCAAGGAGCGGTGCGCTCGGGTGGTTCGCGTGGCCGGAGACGTGGCCGATGAAAAAATTTGGCAGAACGGTACGTATGATCTCGCTTTCGTCTTCGACCGAGCTGATCGCGTTTTTCACAGGAGAAATACTTGAAGGAAGTAAGATGGCTTTGTATGCCGGAGTGATGATGTATTTGGCCAAGGTACGTCTAACTTTCGCTGAGCTTCACAAATATTTATTTAATTATTCTGAATTATTTCAATCATCGCAGAACTCCAATCGAACGGACAATATTTCCGAAAGCGTTCAAGTCGTTGAGAAATCGACGAAAATTAACACTCAAGACGTCGAACCGGTGCTGGAATTCTTCAATTCTCCTATGGCTTCGGTGTGCGTTTCGGTTTTGCAGGACGTGGTATTAAATATTGCCGACTCCGTGGCGTGTGCTTACGTGACGTGTGCGCGTGAAAGCGGGCTACAAGCGCCTGTAAATGGTGGAGTCGCACGTACGGAGGACACAGGAGCGGTCGTGCGCATTCCACCGTTCAGAGACGCGTTGAGCGTTCGCTTGAAGAGCACACGTTCGTTGGAAAAATTTCGAAATGAAACATCATTGCGCACGTGGCTTGCACGCAATTATTACGACGTGGTCGCGATGTACGAAGATTGGCATAAATTGTGGGGCATGAATGCAAACGGCGAGGTACGTATCTCCGCGCGACGGCGCGTTTGAATTAATTTTTTAATTTGTCGCTGAAATTAATTATTTTTCACACAGCTCGTGACGAGGAAAATTCACGTTTGTCGCCAGCCAGAGCTCGCAAAGGTGAAGGGATTTCGTTTAGCTGTTTCTATGATAATAGAACTCGCTGATGTGAGCCTTCCCTTGTTCAGAAGCGCACTGAACAACTGCAGCCGGGTGGCTTCTTGGTTACTGGTGACATTAATTGGTGCGTTTGAAATTAATTATTTTGTGCATCGACTTACTCTCTCTAACGCAGGCCGTTCGCTTGGATTGGTGTATCGTGGAATCAAAGAAAGCATGGACCCTCAAAACAGAGTGAAATTCACGTAGTAGACGACAGGCAGCACGGGGCGATCGCTTCTACGCTGGGGAAAAAATTAATAATAAATGACTCCCGTCATATGTCACTACAGCACTGTAAAATCTAATGAGGAGAAAACGTCTCATGCTAATCGTCTTCCTCGCTATCCTCTTCCTCGTCGTCTTCCTCGTCCTCGTCTTCGTCGTTATCGTCGGTTTCGTAATCTACTTCATCGTCCTCCTCGTCTTCCTCCTCGTCTGCGCTGGCTGACTTTTTCGGCGCAGGTTCGGAGTCTTCATCCTCACCTGGGTTCACGAAGCCGTCTTCCAACACCCAGCCGTGCTGTAGGAGTAACTCATACACACGAATAGCCTTGAGTGGGTCTACTTTGAACATATTCCGAACGTGATTTCTGTTGAGCGGCTTTTCGGACTTGAGACCCTCTCGCATCAACTCCACCTTCATCGAGAGATACTGCACAGGCAATAAGCGACAGCTCCTGCACAACTCCTTTTCGTCGTCGTTCAAAAGGTCTACGCCTGGAAGATCGGCGAGATCAAGTGACAAGTACATTCGACGGCGAGGACCTAAGCTCGACGTACGAGGCGTCGGGATCACGGATACCGTCTTGTCTTCGTCGTTCATGCGAGTCAACTGCTCATTGATTTGTGTGGCATCTCGCACGATGAACTTGTTCGCTCTGGCTATGTTCTTGCTAGTTGGATGCTCGATCGCGTGTAGACGAGCGAACTCCGTCTCACGACGACGCTTCTCCAAATCGTAATCCTCGCCCTCTGCGATGGTATGAATACCATTGCGTCTGTACTCTTTCAGTTCGGTGATGCGGGTTCGGATTCGGTGCTCCGCGGCGAGACCCTCGAGCAAGACGTCGTACTCGGTACTCGTGAGAAAGCGTGCAAATATACGCATGGTGCCGTGTAAGTCGCGCTCGTATTGTGAACGCTTCTTTTCCACGTTTTGTTGCTTTTTCACGTTCAGCAGATTGCGTTCGAGAATGAATTGTTTTCTTCTCGCTCGTTCTTGAAGCCGGCTGTTGTAGATTTCAATCATTCGCAGCTTCATCTGGACGTCTTCTTCGGTGTCGTTTTCGCGAAATTCCATCTCCGCCAGGGGAAGTTCGGCATCCATGTCGTATTCGGGATCGAACTCATTGCGCTTGATGTTGTAACCTGTGAGTTCCTGCACGTTGCCCTCCGTCTTCACTGCGTTCGGGTTAGCAAGCGATTCGAGAAGCTTCTCCTCCTCCTCCACATCCTTATTTTCGTTCGCCTTTTGCTCCGCCTCCGCTTTGAGCTCGTCTGATGTCATACGCGCGACGCCTTTTCCTAAAATCTTCGACATATCCGGTAACGGCGCGCAAGGAGACTTGACGTAGACTTCAAAATAGTGCGCGTGACACTGCGCGCGCGTCTTCGTCCCGACGTGTTCGCTCACCTCGGTCCAGTTCCCCAACCCGAACATCTCCACTGCCTCCAGCAATAACAACTCTTCGTCAGCCCCCCAATCTCGCGTGAACAGCGGAAACGACATGTTGTCGATGACGTGATACTGATGATACGCCTTGTGCGGGTGCGGCTCCACGCCGACCGCGAAGCACTCCGTGCACAGATCCACGTTTGCGCACTCCGCGCACCGTACGCGCACCACGTTCGAGATGTCCTTTTGGCAATAGTTACAGTTAAACAGTGCGCACGACTCCCCGTTCCCACTCAGCTTCGTCATCGCGTTTTCCGTCGCCACCCGTCGCCGTTTCGGCACGAGCGCGCTCGCCATGGCGCCGAATGCGATGCCGAACGCCGATGCCGATGCGTCGCGTTACCTCCGCGTCCGCGTTCCCGTCGCGCGCGTCCTCGACGGTCGTGCGCGCGCTCACTCGCGTGCGTTCACGCGCGACTCGCGCCCGTCGTCGTCGTCGTCGTCGTCGTCGTCGTCGTCGTCGTCGTCGTCGCGGTTTGAAACGACCGCGCGCGTCGGGACGTCGTGAGACCGCCCGCGGTGTCAAACACACGGACCATCACAATCACCCGCGCGCGCGACCGGGTGGATGGCGCGCGCGACGACGTCCGCCTCTACGCGACGCGTTCGACGCGCGACATGGCGACTCAAATGCAGCTCAGAGGCGTGCTCAAGGGGTGCGTCGCGCGAATCGATGATCCGAGCGCGCGTCGCGTCGCGTCGACGGCGAACGCGCGGCGAACCGATCGTTCGTGGAATAGGGTCTGCGCCATCGAACGAGGCGGACGTTGACGCTCGCGGCGGCGGCGCGCGGCGATGGGACGCGCGACGACGGCGACGCGTTCGTGCGATGATTATTTCACGCGTCGAACGCGCGTCGTCTCGAGCGCGTGACCGTTCACGCGAAACGGACTCGAGCTCGACGAGCTCGATCACGACGTCGAACGACGACACTAACCCACACGTTTTTTTCATTTCCGCGCAGGCACGAAAACTGGGTCACGTCCATCGCGACTCCGTTGGATAACTCTGACATTCTCTTGTCGTCCTCGCGAGACAAGACGGTGATCCTTTGGAACCTGACGCGCGAGGAAGAGAACTACGGTTACCCGCGCCGATCGCTTCACGGACACTCGCACTTCGTGCAAGACGTCGTCATCTCCTCGGACGGGCAATTCGCGCTCTCGGGGTCTTGGGACGGCACCCTTCGATTGTGGGACCTTAACACCGGTACCACCACCCGACGCTTTGTCGGACACACCAAGGATGTCCTTTCGGTGGCTTTCTCCGTGGACAACCGCCAAATCGTCTCCGGCTCCCGGGATAAGACGATCAAGTTGTGGAACACGCTCGGCGAGTGCAAGTACACGATTCAAGACGCCGACGCGCACTCCGAGTGGGTGTCGTGCGTGCGCTTCTCCCCGGTCACCTCCAACCCGATCATCGTGTCTGGGGGCTGGGATAAGCTCGTCAAGGTCTGGAACCTCACCAACTGCAAGATTCGCACCAACCTTGTTGGTCACACCGGCTACATCAACGCCGTCACCGTCTCTCCGGACGGTTCCTTGTGCGCCTCCGGCGGCAAGGATGGCGTCGCCATGCTTTGGGATCTCGGCGAGGGCAAGCGATTGTACTCCCTCGATGCGGGTGACATCATTTACGGCTTGTGCTTCTCCCCCAACCGCTACTGGTTGTGCGCGGCGACCGAGTCCTGCGTCAAGATTTGGGACCTCGAATCCAAGTCCATCGTCGACGAGCTCCGCCCGGAGTTCCCGCCGGTTGGCAAGAAGTCCCAACAACCGTACTGCACCTCCCTCCAATGGTCGGCGGACGGTTCCACCCTCTACACGGGCTACACCGATAACGTCATTCGCGTTTGGTCGGTCGGTTCCGTGGGCACCGGCATGATGTAAGCGGCTCACGCTTACTGGCTTTCGTTCACGTTCTTAGCAAATAGCGAGACTGTGTAATTGAACGAAGCAACGCCTGCTCAAACCAAATTCCTAAACGCGCATTCAACTAAAATTACACATCATCGCGCCGCATCTAATCGTGACGTAGCTATCGTCTTCGTTTCACGCCCGTGCTCGGACCGTCCTCGTCCATGTCCTCGTCCTCGTCGACGCGCTCGGCGACGTCCGGCTCGGCGGCTTTGAGTTGTTTCTTCGTCTCCTCTATCGCGGCGTTGAGCTCGTCCTCGCGCGCCAGTGATTCCGCTTTTTCACTCGACACGTACGCAATTTGCTCATTCAAACTCGCCAACATCGTTTCCGTTATCGCGTGCCACCGCGAGACGTCCGCGATGACGCCGTCGAGCGCGCTCGCTCGCGCGTCTCTCGCCTTCGCGCGTCGAACCCGTAAAACTTTATTTTTCGGATCGAGCCTTCCCCACACGATTTCTCCCAGGCACTCGTCGACGATGAACTTTTCCATCGCGCGTTCGCTCGTGAACTCCAGCTCTCGCATCAATCGTACGTACGCGATCGTCCCTCCCTCCGCGCACAGCGCGCACGTCGACAGTCGCTTCAGTTTCGCCTCCTCGCGCGTCGTCAGCGTCGGCAACTTTTCGTTTGCCGCTCGCGCGCGATATTCGCGCAGCGTGCCGTGCGCGAATATTTCCACCATCGCGCGCACCTCCGCCGCGCACTCGAACCCCTCCGTGCGCTCCATGGCGTGCAGTATCTTCGTCACGCGCATCGCGTCGCGCGCCTCGAGCGCCTCGCCGAGCGCGTCGCGATCGAGCGTCTTCGTCGTCGCGATCGACGTCGCGCACCGCGTCACCGCGCCGTCGTCGGGCGTCATCGACGCCATCGCATCGTCCTCGTCGTCGGCGCGCATCGCGAGCGAACGACGCGCGCGAGTGTCGATCGATCGGCCCCGAATCCCAATCGCGCCATCTGTTCATCCATCCATCCACGCATCCATTCTTCTCTCCGCGGTCACATCGCGACGTCGGCGCGGTCGAGGGCGATGCGAGGCGGACGACGCGACGCGATGCGCGCGCTCGCGCGACGATGCGCGGGCGCGACGACGGGCGCGACGACGGGCGCGACGACGACGACGACGACGACGACGACGGCGCGGCGGTTACCGCGCGCGCGCGAGCGACGGGTCGAGCGGGACGCGGGACGCCGCGCGCTGGCGACGCGGGCGGCGCGGGACGTCGAACTGACGTGCGCCGCGTTCGCGGTGTGGGGGGCGAACACCGCGGTCGGGAAGACGCTGGTGTCGGGAGGACTGGCGCGCGCGGCGCGGAGCGCGGAGGCGGGGACGCTCTTCGTGAAACCCGTGCAGACGGGATTCCCAGAAGATTCAGACGCCGCGTTCGTGGCGCGCGTGAGCGGTGGCGTGGAGAGCATGGGCGAACACGCGGCGGTGGCGGCGGGAGAAACGGCGAGGAAAGGATTAGAGGGCGATCGAGGGGCGTGGGCGCACACCGAGTTTGCGTGGCGACGCCCCGCGGGGCCGCACGTGAGCGCGGCGGAGGAGGGGAGAGGCGTTTTAGACGATGACATCGTGCGAGCGACGTCGAGATATTTGAGAGAATTCGCGGAAAAAATGCGAGCGAACGAATCGGGGCAGCAGCGAGCGTTGGCGCTCGTCGAAACCGCGGGAGGGGTGGCGAGTCCGGGGCCGTCGGGAACGCTGCAATGCGAGCTTTTGCGCGGGCTACGATTGCCAGCCATACTCGTGGGTGACGGGCGTTTGGGCGGGATATCTGCCACCACGGCCGCGTACGAATCACTGCACGCGAGAGGGTACGACATCGTCGCCATCGTCATGGCGGACGATGATGGTTTGGCCAATCACAAAGCCATGGCAAAGATTTTGCCGAGCGAAACCCGCGTCTGGGCGCTTCCGCCTCTGCCCCCAGAAGGACAAGCGGACGCTTGGCTCGAAGACTCAAAGCACACGTTCGACGATTTACTGAAATACATCACAAAATGGCACGACGATCGCATCAAAACTCTGCAAAGTCTTCCAGACGAGGCTCTGACGAAGATTTGGTGGCCGTTTACGCAGCACGCGATGGTGGAGCGCGACGCCGTCACGGTGATCGATGGGAGATATGGTGAAGATTTCGCAATCTACGCCCAAAACACGCACTCATCGAAAGATGGCTCCATAGTACTTCGCTTTGATGGTTCAGCGAGTTGGTGGACGCAAGGTTTGAGTCCAGAATTGCAGCAAGAGTTGGTTCGCACCGCGACGCATGCGGCGGGACGATTCGGGCACGCGATGTTTCCAGAAAACGTGCACCAGCCCGCCGTGGACGCGACGACGGCATTATTAGAAGGACCTGGGAAAGGTTGGGCAGCTAGAGCATTTTATTCCGACAACGGATCGACTGCGACAGAGGTTGGGTTGAAAATGGCTTTTCGCAAGTTTTACGTCGACGCAGGCTTTGTGTCTAAAGACGGCAATCAGAGAGCGAAAGATCTCGTCAACAAAGGAGCCGATGACTTACCTCCGCTGCGAATAATAGCATTGGATGGTTCGTATCACGGTGATACTCTCGGTGCGATGGATATGCAATCACCGAGCGTTTTTACGGGTCCAATGCAAACGCCCTGGTACCAACCTCGCGGACTGTTCCTTCAGCCTCCGAGTTTAGCGATCAGAGAAGGACGTTGGAACGTGGCGTTGCCGCGTGATGGATTATTGAACGACGGCGATCGACTCTTCCGCGAAGGCAAAGATGTGGATGAGAACACCAGTTGGACTAGCAAGGAGGCGGCTTTCAACATCGCTGCGCGTCTCGACAGCCCGCTCGCAAAAGAATACAAAATTGCGATCGACAAAGTCTTAGAACGCGCCGCGAAAGACGCCAAGGATAATAACATGGGTCACGTCGGGGCTTTAATCATGGAACCCGTGCTTCACGGTGCAGGTGGGATGGTTTTGATTGATCCGTTGTTTCAAAACATTCTCATGAAGTCGTGCCGCGAGCGAAAGATTCCAGTCGTCTTGGACGAGGTATTTGCTGGCATTTGGCGATTAGGCACGGAAGGTGCGTGGGAAATCATAGGCGAAAAACCCGATATTTCGTGCTACGCAAAACTTCTCACTGGTGGGCTCATTCCCATGTCAGCCACGCTCGCGACGGCGGATGTCTTCGACGCTTTTTACGGCCCTGGAAAAGCCCAGGGCTTGTTACACGGGCACTCGTACACGGCATACCCCATGGGATGCGCCGTGGCGGCGAAAGCGCTTTCTATGTACAAAGACCCCGCGAAAAATCGCAACGTGATCGTCTCAAAGTCTTCGAGTACGGGCGAGCCTACGTCGGTGCTTCGCGAGCTCTGGGACGAGGACGCGTTGAAGAAAATTTCCACTTTGAGCAACGTTCGCCGAGTCATCGGTCAGGGTTGTGTCCTCGCCGTCGAGCTCGAGGTCGAAGGTGAAGGTGGTTATAGCTCCAACGCCGCTCGAGACGTCGTCATGCGTCTTCTTCCCCACTCCATCCAAGCGCGTCCTCTGGGTAACGTCGTCTACCTCATGTGCGCGCCGACGACGTCCAAAGACGCGTGCGACGTCCTCTTGAGCGCGCTCGCGACAGAGCTCGCGGCGTGATGTAACATTATACTATTTTTGTGTTGTCATCGCGTCGTTTTCGCTCCACTCTCTCCCCCCTCGACGACTTCATCGCGTCGTTTGTCGAGCACAGTCTCTAAAATCTCGTCCCGGTGCCGAGCGCGGTTCGCGAACCTCGACCGACGTCCCATCGCGAGGTCGTTAAAAATAATCGCGATCGGATTGCGGCGCGTGTTCGTCGTCATAACGCGTCGTCGTGCGTCGTCAGACTCGCCGTCGACATGGCTGATCAAGTCATCGTCATCGGCGGTGGTCTCGCGGGCCTGTCCGCGGCGCACACCGTCATCGAACACGGCGCGCGCGTCGTGTTGCTCGACAAATGTTCCTTCCTGGGCGGGAACAGCACGAAGGCGACGAGTGGGATTAACGGAGCGTTGACGAAGACGCAGGCGCGGTTGAACATTCCCGACAGCGCTGATAAGTTTGAAGATGATATCATCAAGGGCGCGGCGGGCGTCGGGCACACCGAAGCGCCGGCACACACGGTGCCGCTCGCAAAGGTGCTGGCGCAAGGAAGCGGTTCGAGCGTGGATTGGTTGATGGAAAAGTTTAACCTTGACTTGTCCCTCGTCGCGCAGCTCGGTGGGCACTCGTTCCCGCGAACGCATCGAGGCAAAGAGCGGTTCCCAGGGTTCACGATCACGTACGCCCTGATGGAGGGGTTGGAGAAGATTATGGAGGAGACGAATGGGGAAATTGCGCGAATCGTGACCAAAGCCGAGGCAAAGCGGTTGCTAAAGGACGGAAGTGGTACCGTGATCGGGGTGGAATACGAGAAGGGTGGCGCTTTACATCAAGAGTACGGTCCAGTCGTCATCGCTACCGGTGGTTTCGGTGCGGATTACCAGTCAGACTCGTTGTTGAAAAAGTACCGACCCGACTTGCAGGCGCTGCCGACGACGAACGGTGACCACTGCACGGGGGATGGAATCAAGATGGCCTTGGCCGTCGGAGCGGATACGATCGATATGGAGTCTGTGCAAGTGCATCCTACCGGATTAGTCAACCCTTCAGAGCCAGATTCCAAGGTGAAGTTCTTAGCCGCCGAGGCGCTTCGAGGCGTCGGAGGCATCCTCCTGGACGCAGACGGGAACAGATTCGCCGATGAGCTCGGTCGACGAGACTACGTCAGTGGTGAAATGAACAGAAACAAAGGGCCTTTCCGTTTGATTCTGAACGGCAAGGCTTCAAAGGAGATCGAATGGCACTGCAAGCATTACGTCGGGCGAGGCATCATGAAGCGTCACGATACGGGTGCCGAAGTTGCAAAAGAAATGGGCATCAGTCCACAAAAGCTCGCCGACACCTTTGCCAAGTACAACGAAGCCGCTCGAACGAAGAAGTGTCCGTTCGGTAAAAAGTTTTTCACCAACGCTCCGTTCGAAATGAATGATTTCTTTCACTCCGCCATCGTGTGCACCGTCGTGCACTACACCATGGGTGGACTCGCCATCAACACTGATTCGCAAATCGTCGGGTCGTCAGGACCGATTCCTGGTTTATACGGTGCGGGCGAGGTCGTTGGGGGTATTCACGGCCGTAACCGACTCGGTGGTAACTCTCTGTTGGATTGCGTCGTCTTTGGTCGCGTCGCGGGTGCCTCAGTTTCTCGACACCTCATGGCGACGGCTATCAAGGCGCTTAGATCTGGTCAATCCGTCGCTCTTAATCGCGTCGCTAACTTGAACGACAAGATCAACCCATCCATGAGCACGGCGTCCGCCGCGCCAGTGTCTAGCGGTGGCGGTGCTCGCGCTATCACCATGGATGAAATCGCGAAGCACAACTCCGAGGGCGACCTCTGGGTCATCATCGAGGGCGCCGTTTACGATCTCACGACTTTCTTGCCCGATCATCCAGGTGGAAAGAAAGCGATCATGCTCTTCGCCGGAAAGGATGCCACTGAAGAGTTCAACATGCTCCACCCTCCGAACGTCTTGAAGAAATATCTCTCTCCAGACGCGAAGATTGGAACCGTCGCGTGATTTGACACGTAACTCGGTCGCCTTAAAACTCGCATCTTGCGCTTATAACAACACTCCATTTACTGTACGTACATCACGGTTCGATAGCGGTTTTGTCAAATAAAATTCGGACTCACTTTCACGTTATCATTAGCGTGCGTTAAGTTTACAATAACTACTAATTGAAGCGCGTTGCAGATGTATACTTGATGGGTGCCCGCGCGCGCGGGCATCTACACTTGAGGTCGCGTTTGAACGATGTAGAGCTGCCCATCTTCAGATATCGCGCCCTCAATGTCTTGAGGAGACCCACAAAGTGTCTCAATCTCTAGTGCAACCTTGGAGATGGTCGCTAAAAGCTTTTGTCGCTTGGTTTCGTCCGTAATGAGGCTGTCGGTGGAGTAGTCGACGTTTTTCAACGTTGCCTCCTCCATGGTGATGCTATCGTACAAGCCCGCACCGGCGAACCCTTCCAGGTCTTCGCCGTTACTATCGGATCGGAAAATAAGTGAATCTTGCTCCATGAAAAGTCCTTTTGACTTCGAAGGGAACCCGACGACGGTCGGATTATCCAAATTGCTCTTGGATGTCTTGAATGACAATGCTCGACCAGAAAAGTTACCGACGAGCGCTTCGCCCAGACCACACACAAGCTCACCGTAAATTTCGCTCTTGTCGTTGTTTTGTGGATTCACTGTGTGCAGTACGAATGCGTATCGCGCACGAACGACGGGCTGACAAAGCACAGCCATGGACAAATCGGCGTGATTCAGCCCTGCCTTTTTGCAACTCAAAACGGCTCGCTCGTTGTACTTGCTTGCCCATACGCCAAGAATCGTCTTCCATGCCTTTTGACCTTGAGCGCTCGTCACGAGATCTCCCGGCCAACCGAGTGATTCGGCTTCGAAGGCGACTTTCAAACTTTTCGACAGGTCGGCCGTCGGTTTTAAAGTGGCGATACATGCCTTGACTTCCGCAATGAGTGCTTTGAAGCCAACGCCGTCTGTGGAGTCGTACGCTTCAAGTTGTTTGACTAACTCTGCAATTTGTCTCTTTGCGCCTGCATTCTCAGGGACATCAAGAACTGCATCGAACGTACCAAAAGGCATCGCAACGGACGGCGGTAACTTTATGAGGTTTGAGACTCGACCGCGAAGGAGTTGCAAGTTTCGAGATTTGCCGCCGACAAGCTCTGGGGTAAACTCTGATGACGTGGCGACAAATTTTCCTTGAAACGGACGTTTGATGATCGATATGTCACTCGAAACGGAATCGCTCGACGATGTTGCTATGACCTCCGCGTCGGTACCGATGATGCCGTCGACAACATCGAATTGCAAATCGTCGCCCTGCGCAGACGGCTTGAGTTGCACGGATTTCCCGGTCATGGCTTTCATCTGTTCTAGAACATTCACGTCAAACAAAGTAGCGAAAAGAACCTTTTCGTTACGGGCGCGAACGGCGCAGTGAGACAGCACATCTGGCATATCAGGAGTAACGATCGCGACCACGCCAACCGGAATGTCCTCTTCGCCACCAACGCGGTCGGCAATAATGACAGTCGGTTGAGAATACTTGACATTTTGCACATCGGCGAGGGATGCGACCGAAACAATCACGCCACTACACTCGGCGTTACTGACGATTTGCCAGCTGCCCATGTTCGCAACATTACGAATAACTGGGTCGAGAACTCTGAGCATTTGAGAAAGTGGCGCCGCTGCAGTTCCACGGATGATTTCTTCCGAGAACAGGTCGAGCACGTGTCCATCCACACCGAGCTTGTTTCCCATGCTCTGTGCCGTCGGCTGAAGTGCGTCAATATAGCGCTGAGAAATTTCGCCAAGCGAGTTTTGCAGTCGATCGCACACCGCTTTTGCCTGCAAAGCCCAATCTCCTTGGCGTCTCGCTGCTTCAAGCACATTTTGCCACTCTTTCAGGCAAATGCGCAACTCGTGGTTGCCGCTTGCAGACATGCAAAGATTCTCGAGGACGAGGCTCATGATTCTCAAAACTTCGTAAGGAGCTCGAGTAGGCAAAGATTCAAGAGATCCTTCGATGACCGAACGCGCCGCACCTTCTAACGCAAGATCGAGATAAATGACATCCTTGATGCGATCGTTTGATTTTCCGCCGGGACGAGTCCACGTCCAAAGGTATCTTCTCGCCTCAATCATCGCTTCGAGCGCGAGCAAAGGATCTTCAGAACGTAACTCTCGCGCTGCGCATAAGAGCTCTTCCAGACGTTCGCTCGCAACTTCACGAATCGGAGGAATATTGATCTCCTTACCTTTGCACGCATCTTGGTGGTAACCGAGGCACGCCTCTGCGGCTGAATCAAGATCAGCACCAGAGTGCACCGCCTTCAGCGTGCGAAGATACTCGGTCAAATCAGCCGTCAAACCTTCGTATTGATCTCGAGAGAAGCTGGGTTCGCTACAAATTTGGCGGTCGTAAGCTTTCATCCGCGCGGCGTCAATGCCGTTGGCGTGAAGGTGCGCCCAATAAACGCTGATGTCGCAATCTGCCGCAATAAATTTGAGCAACGCCTCACAAATAGGAACATCGTCCGGCGACGTGTTGTTGTGCAACTTTTGATGCCACTCTTCCATCATTCCACCCTTGCAGTTGTTCTTTTGCTGAACGGCAAGAATCTCGTCTCGAATGCGCTGACCGACGTCTCCGTCGCCACCTCTGCCAATCGTAGCCATGATGAGACGCACGATGTCTCTGTACTCAGGATCTTGTCTGTAAATCGCACTCAGACCCTCTGTCATTCTCGCCTGCGCTGCACTAATTTCTCGTGGCTTGATGTTGTAATCGTTATTCCAGACCAACTGTCTCAACGCCATGAAGCGGAACCAACAGAAGAGGGCGGTGAGTCCGGGTTCGCCCGCGCCGTGCATTGCGCCCAACATGTCTGCGCCAGCGTTGTATCGATGCATCAAAGATCGTGTTGCACCCGATTCTTCGCCACAAATCCTGTCAACCATATCCTGCGCGACAAAACCGCCCAAGTTTTGGAATACGCCCTGATCGAGCGCGATGTCGTCGACGTCCCAGCGGTCTCGCTTGATTGGCGCAGGCTTCTCCTTCTTCGCGACTTTGACGACGACTGGTTCGCTACGGCTCTCTTTACGCGATCGATCTTGTTGGGAATCTTTGCGACGCTCCGACTTTTTCTCCGTCTTAGCCGGACGCTCGAGAACCGAACCCTCGAGGGAGGCAAAAAAGTCGTCTCGACCATTCTTGATCCATTTGTTTGACGTTGTTCGTAGCACAAAGATGATGCCCTCGCGCGCTTTTACATCCAACGGCACATCCAAAGTCACCGCTCGAAGATTGGGACTGATGCGTTCGAGCTCAGTCTCCCAACTGCTGCCCGAGGAAGCCCATGAACGAGAGGGTTGAGTGCTGAAACCGTGCGGCGGCGGTTTCCATGAGCCATCCGTCGTCGTCGTCGCGCCCCAATGAATGATAAGATCGTCTTTGGAGTCCGCCAAGACGTGTAATTGGATCCCACTACCATTCACTTCTCGCGCCTCCACGAATATCGTCGTACCACCTTCTTCGTACAGTTTATTCCACTTGACGTTCGTGTCGTCGGTCGCTCTGTCCTGCGCGACAGCCTGGAAATCCTCGAGGGAAAACTTCTTCGTCGCGATTGGCGTCTCAATCGTCTTCGCAACCACCTTGGGCGCTTCAGTCGCGACAACCTTGGGAACACTCTTCACGCTAGCGTCACCGGCCGCGATTTGCTCAAAACTCATACCCTCGGCGAGCTTACTTTTGATTTGATCCGCCGCGCGCCTGAGCATGTCGTCCCGAGTCTGGGCGTCGAGGCCCGGACGTCCGACGGCTTCCCATTCCACACGAGCCATGTCCGCGATGAGAAGCTCGATGGGATCGGTGAGTGCACTCGTCATCTCTGTCGCCGTCGCCTTCACAGTCACCTTCGGCGCCGTCTTCAGGATTTCCTCCTTCGGCGTCGGCGCGGGCGCTTCGACGGCGCTCGCCGCCGCTTTGACCGCCGTCGACGGCGTTTCCGCCGCGAGGTCGATCTCGAAATTCCCACCCCCGACCGCGTTGATCCACTCTCCAGTCTTTTCGACGTACAGCGCGAACGCGACGCTCTTCGCCTGCGGATCGAGCACTAAGTTCACCGGTCCCCACACCGGAAACGCGCTCCGCATCGCCTTGTCGCCCTTGTAATATTCGGTGTTCGGCGGGTGCAACTCGCTCGGCAACACCTGCCACGTCTTCCCCGTCTTTTCCCGCATCACCCCCCAATGAAACGTCACCTCCCTCGCGTTCGCCACTCCCTTCGGCAGCGTCTTCAGCGCGATCGACACCGTGTGCACGCCCTGCGCGTTCGTCGTCCGCGTCGCCGTCGCCGCGCACCCGCCCTCGCCCTCCATCGTCGTCTCCGCGCGTCTCGGTCGCGTCTCTCCCGACTCCCGCGTCGTCATCGCTTCATCGTACGACGTCGATCGTCCTCGCGTCGTTCGTTCGCCTCCCCGCGTCGTCATCGCGCGTCCCATCGCGTCGCTTCGTCGTCCATCGTGCGCCGCAGCCGCCGCGCGTCGTCCTCCGCGCGCGCGTCTCTCGTCTCGCGTCGCGCGCGGCGTCGGGCGCGTCGTCGCCGTCGTCGCGACGCGCGGCGTCATCGTCGCCGTCGTCGCCGCGCCGCGCGTCGGCGCCCGCGTCGCCGTCGTCGCGCGTCGCGCGGTGCGGCGACGGGCGAACGAACGGCTCGAAATCGTCCGCGGCAGTTTCCGTATGGGCAAACAGTCCGGGAAGTCATCGCGCAATCACCCCGGCCCGCGACCGGCACACGGCGGCGCCGATGGACGCGCTCGAGCGCGCGAGCGCGGGCGACGCCGCGTGGTTCTCCGCGCTCGACGACGACGCGCTCGAGCGCGCGATGACGCGTCGCGACGACGACGGACGCACGAGCTTTCATCGCGCGTGCGCCGCGGGCGCGCGCGGACGCGACGTGACGCGACTGGCGCGCGAACGGATGAAGGGCGAGGCGATGGCGAGGGTGGTGACGACGGCGGACGACGGTGGGTGGACGCCGCTGCACACGAGCGCGGCGCTGGGGGAGCGGGAGACGTGCGGGACGCTGCTCGCGCGAGGGGCGGATTGCGAGGCGCGGACGCCGGGGGGGCAGACGCCGGGGCACTACGCGGCGAGCAAGGGACGCGTGGGGACGCTGGAGACGCTGGTGAGCGGAGGGAGGGGGTGGTTGACGATGGAGGACGACGTCGGGGCGACGCCGTTGCATCGGGCGGCGGCGCGAGGGGAGCTGCGGGCGATCGATTTCTTGGTGGACGCGCTCGCGAACGGGACGACAGAGGTGCCGAAAATGGCGCTCGAGGCGAGAGATAAGCGCGGACAGACGCCGCTTTTAGTGGCGTGCGAAGCGGGGCAAGACGAAGCGGCGATTCGACTGGCGAAGCACGGCGCAAACGTCGGCGCCAAGGATGGCGAGAAACGCGGCGTCGAGGAGCTCGCGCCCAAGCTCGTGAGCGCGCTGGCGCAGATCGAGGCCGAACGTTAGCGCGATAGCAACACAATTTGTACATTACATACATGGAAAGAATTCTATGAAACACAGTCAGTCGCGCGCGACGCACGATTTCAGGCCGACTGCCAAGGCGTCTTCGTCCAAGTTACGTCCGATGAACACCAGCTTGTTCATCACTTCGTCCGAGTTCTCTTCGACGGGCCCGTCCGTGATTTCGTACACTTCGCGAACCGCTTGTAACACTCGGCGCTTGTCCGATCCTGCGGTGTAAACGAGACCTTTGGCGCGTAAAATGTCCGCGCCGCCCTCGGCGTTTCGTCGTTCCCACAGCAAGTCTTCGAGCCAGTTTTGAAAGGATTCGCCATCCAAGAACCCACTCGTGGCGATGCACACGGTTCTGATGTCTGAATTGTGCACGCTCGACGCAGGTGCGTACTTTTCGACACCCTTGGCCCAGAAACCGCCCCCCGAGGCGACCACCGCGCTCGGAGGCGCCGACGCGAATTCGCCTAAAACCGGCTTCCTACCGCAACCTCCACCGGCGACCGTGCCTTGATTGAGCACGATGCCTAAATCCACGCTCGATCTCGTCGTCACCACTATCTCGGCTTCGGCGTTAATCGCTGCTATTCGCGCTTTCACGCGCTCTAAGTCTTCCGCCTTCACCAAGTCGGCTTTATTTAACAAAATCGTATCCGCATACGCCACCTGCAGCGTCGCCTCTTTGTTCTCCTCGATCTGCTTCTCGATGTTCGATGCGTCGACTAAAGTCACGATGGAGTCTAAAACTGCCCCGTCTTCCTCCACGAGTTCGTCGTCTACCCACAGCTCGCGCGCCACTGGCCCCGGGTCAGCGAGTCCGGTGGTTTCGAGGAGGATGAAGTCAAACTTTTCCCCCATCTCCTTCCGCTTCTCCAGCAAACCCTCGATGGTTTGCACCAAACTCCCCTTAACCGTGCAACACACGCATCCGTTGTTAAGTTCGACCCAATCCTCGACGAGCGTGCGCGAGGCGTTGTCCCCGTCGACGCCATCCTGTTGGACGAGCATCTTCTCCACGCCGAGTTCGGCGCCGAAATCGTTGAGAATGACGGCTATCCTGTACCCATGATCAGCTTTTAAGATGTAATTCACCAGCGTCGTCTTGCCACTGCCGAGAAAACCGGTGATGACGCACACGCCGACGGGCATGACGGGCGGCTTCTGGGGACGAACGCAGGCGCGCGCGCACTCGTACGCGCGCCAGGGTTTGGCGTCAATCTGTCGACGGCGTGGTTACCGATTAAAAATGCTACGCGCGCGGCTAAGATCGGCATTCAATTCGTACTACGTTTTTCAGCGCCTAGTGCGGCCTAGTGCGAGTGGGATCACGTAAAGAGTCGCGCGGCGTCTAGAACGCCGCTCGGCGAGTGCGCATCGGCGCTCTTTGCCGACTTTGCGGGCGTGGTGTCGTTCATGAACGCACCGATGGCGGTTTGAAGAAATGCGTACGCACTCGAGGAATAAAAATACTTGCGTCCATCCGTCGCTTGATCTTCCTCGCTCGCCTGGCCGTCGTCATCGCCTCCACAATTTGAGCGGCGTAACCACCGAAGTGCCAAATTCGCGCTCTCAAACTCAACCTTCGTGCGCATCGCCTCCAAATTCTTCATCGTCTCCTCCAGGATGCTGCGCTCGATTTCCAATGTCTTATCGAACTCGACCAGCATCTCGATCCCGACGTCGTCCTGTGCTTCCTCTGAGTCGTATTTTTCCAGCGCGCGATGCGTCCTCGTTTGGCTCCGTTCGAGCGCCGTTAACCGCCCGCGCGCATCGCTCATCATCACATCTAACCACTGCCGCACACGTTCAATCACCACATCGGCGTGTTCCCTCGCCAACGTCTCCGCCCCGATCGCTAACGTTTCCTCGCGCACCGTCGTCGCCTCGGCCGAGTCGTCGACGTCTGGCGGCGGCGCGTTCGCCTTCGCCTTCATCGTCATCGTCGCTCGCCCGCGTCCTCTCTTCCCTTTACCCGCCGTCCCGCCTCGTTCAAAATCGTTCGTCCTGTCCCGCATCGCCCCATCGGCTCGCGCTTTGCCCTGTCGTCTCGTCTTCGCCTCGACTCGTCCCGTCGCGTCGGCGGTTTGAAATCGAACCGTCGTGCTCTTCTTCACCGTCTCATCCCTATCCCTCGCTCGCGCCTCCGTCGCCGTGCGCGCGGCGCGCAGTAACAGATCTAACCCGCGCGGATCGCGCGCCATCGTCGGCGTCGGTCGCGCGCGCGATCTGACGCCGCGTCGTCGCCGCCTCGCGGTGTCGCAAAATCAACATTCGCGTGGCGCCAACGTCCGCGCGCGGCGACCGACCGCAAAAGCGTCCGGTCGCCGCGCGCTGTTTATCCGGTCACAGTCGCGCGCGCGAGCGACGCGAGCGACGCGAGCGACGCGAGCGACGCGCGCGCGCTGTATCTTTCGTCGGACGGCGGATCGATCGACGAAAACGCGCGCGCGTCGACGCGACGCGGGCGAAGACCTCGAGCGGAGATGCGAGCGTCGTCTCCGGCCGATTGACTGCGCGTTTGATCGAACGTTCGAGACGTCATGGCGGTGAGCGGTGGGCTCGGGTCGTGGGCCGCGATCGTGGGTAACGTGCTGTTATTCGCGCTGGTGCTCGGATTAGCGGTGACGGTGGAATTCGAGGCGTTTAAAAAGTCGTTGAGGAGCCGAGGTTTGGTCATAGGCGTGTTTTCGCAGTTCGTCTTCTTACCGCTGTTTGGGTTTACGATGGCGCGGACGCTGCTGTGGGATCAACCGGCGCTGGGAATACCGCTCATTATCACCACGAGCTCGCCTGGGGGTTCGTACAGTAATTGGTGGACGTCACTGTTCAACGCGGACCTGTCGCTGAGCGTGGCGATGACGACGGTGAGTTCGATTTTATCGGTGGGATTTTTACCGCTGAATCTGTACATGTACACCGAGGGAGCGTATCCTAACGGAACGAATGTGCGGATGAAATGGGGGGGACTGTTTCTGTCGATCTCGATGGTGATTAGCGGGATCGTGTTGGGGTTGTTTGTCGGTCGGCGAGCGCCGAAAGCGCGCGCGCCTCTCAACTTTGTGGGCAACGTGTGCGGCGTCTTGCTTGTGCTCTTGGGGTTCTTCTTTTCGTCAAATTCTTCGGCGCCGATTTGGGATCGCGAATGGAAGTTCTACGTCGCCCTCATCGTGCCCTGCGTCGCTGGATTAGTGGTTAGTTTGGGATTCGCCAAATTGACTCGGTTGGATATGCCTCAAGCCCTGGCGGTGGCCATCGAGGTGTGCTATCAGAACACCGCCATCTCGTTGGCGGTGATTTTAAGCTCATTTGAGGACGATCCGTCGTGCGCATCGAGCGCAGGATCGGCGTGTAACGTCGTCGGCGTCGCGAGCGGCGTGCCGACGTTTTATCAGTTCGTGCAGGTGTTTTCGCTTGGGATTTTGTGCTTGTTGGCGTGGAAGAGCGGTTGGACGTACGCGCCGAAAGGCACGCCTCTTCTCACCGCGATAAGCAAATCGTTCCAGCCGACGCATCGCGATCCAGGAGCCTTTAGGGAAGTAGATTTAGATAGAAGCGAGGAAATGAGCGAGATGCCGCGCGAAGTAGAGAATGTCTAGAGGATTATGATATGACAAGGCCTAAATATCGCCGAGGTGCGGAAAATCCGCGCGCACGATCCGATGAGCCTGGATGCAGCCCTCGTATTTCCCAAACGTCCTACGCACCATGATGAAAATCCATTCGGTCTCCTCTCCTACCCTATCCTTCACTCGAACATCAACTCTTGTTCGGCCGTCTTCCATAGTCGACACTTGCGTGATTTCGTGCCCAGTGTTCCTCACGAAGGCGTCGTAAGTGTTCAAAGCCTTGCCGATGAAATGGTCAAAGTGATACATATCACTCGAAAACCCAAAGAATCGCGAGCGTTCCATATTTCCGTGCTCCACGGCGTACTCCCACATCACTTGAACGCCGTGGTCGGTTCGCGGCGTCGATATGTCTCTCATCGCCCACAATATACAATCAACCGCGTCTTCCCACGTTTGCATCGCGTGCGGGTACACCAGAGGCCCCGGCACGTTTTGCGGGTTTCGACAGATCCCCAAGCACTTCGACCCGTTCTCTTTCACGCGCGCTTCGCGACAGAACGGGCACTCTTCGCTCGTGGGCTTGAACTCTCTTCGGTCGATGACTTGCATGAGAATCTCTTCCGCCGACGCCATCGTTCCGGGAAGGTACCCACTCTGCCCTTCGTTCGGGCCGCTCGAGGATGCTCTAATCGTCGACGCGCGTCGACGGGCGTGCGCTCGCGAGAGCGATGGGAGGAGAGGGGTTACGCGCGCGAGAGACGCCATCGTCGAGAGCGGCGTTGTGCGGCGCCGAGCGAAAACTATTGAAAAATGGATATTGAAAAGCAACGCACGAAATTGAACGAATGTTGTAAGAGATTTACGTCGCGGCCGGGGCGGTCTCGCTCTCGTCCCCTTTACTGCCCGTGGCGTGTTGAATAATTTCTACGATGACGGGCACGAGCGAGAGAACGACGATGCCGGCAACGGCGAGGGCAAAGTTCTCCTGCACCGCGGGAATGGCGCCGAAAAAGTAACCCAGTCCCATGAAACTCGCGATCCATAACGCGGCACCCACAACGTTGTACGTGATGAACTTGGAATAGTTCATGTTTGCCACGCCGGCGACGAACGGCGCAAACGTGCGCACGATTACGAAGAAGCGCGCGAGGACCACCGTCTTACCACCGTACTGATCGTAAAACTTTCGTGTTTTCGCGATATATTCAGGAGGAAAGATTTTCGGATGCGTCTCCATGAAATTCGCACCGACGTAAGAGCCGATGGAGTAGTTCACCGTGTCCCCGAGCGTCGCCGCGGCGAAGAGCAGAGCGCACGTCAACGGAAAGTTCACCACGCCCAGCGCGCCGAGCGCGCCGGTGGCGAACAGCAGAGAGTCCCCCGGCAAGAACGGCGTCACCACGAACCCAGTCTCGGCGAAGATGATCGCGAACAAGATCCCGTACGCAAACATCCCCTGACTCACGAACAACTCGGCGAGGTGTTTGTCCAAGTGCATCACCCACGACAACGCCTTGGCCAACAAGCCCTCGCTCGACGACGCCACCGCCGCCGCTTTCGCCGCGAGCGCGCTCTCCGGCATCACCATCGCCGTCACCGCCACCGCGCACGCCACCATCGCGCACGCCCCGAGCGCCCGACCGCGTTTTTCCCGCGCGTCCTCGCGCGCGAGACCCTCGCGCGCGTCGTCCTCGCGCGCGTCGCCCTCCATCCCATCCCTCGTCGCCCTCGCGCGCCCGTTCGCGCCTCTCCGCGCCGCGTCGCGTCCATCCCGCGTCCCGCTCGCGCGCTCGCGCGTCGTTTCGCGTCCCAGCGCGCGCGTCGCGCGTCCCGTCGCGCGCGCGCGCGAGGTCAACCGCGCGCGTCCCCGTCCCGCGCCCGTCGTCGTCGGCGTCCGTCTCGCGCGCGCGCACCGCACCGTCGTCGTCGTCGTCGTCGTCGTCGCGGTCAGCATCATCGCGCGTCGCGCCGTCGCCGTCGCTCGCGCGTCGCGCTCCGTCGCCGTCGCGCGGGTCGCCGTCGGTTCGGTTTCGTGTCGGTGTTCTCACACACGGACCGTCACGCATTCGAGACTCGTTCACAACACGGATTCAAATCCGATTCGAATCCGCCGGCGACAGCTCGGCGCGTCGACGCGCGCGGCGAGACGCGTCGGCGCGAGCGCGCGACGCGACGCGCGAACGAAGCGAACAAGCCGACATGCGCGTCGCGGCGTCGCGCGATGGCGCGCGTCGCGGCGTCGCGACGACGACGGCGCGCGGGAAGGGACGGGGCGGTCGCGTCGCGGCGACGGGACGACGACGACGGACGGGCGACGACGCGCGCGATGGCGACGACGGGACGGAGGCGACGAGGACGGAGAGCGCGAGCGCGAGGGGCGAGCGACGTCGGGCGGCGCGCGCGCGACGAAAGGTGGAGGGAACGGGACGCGGCGACGCGACGACGAGGGGAGGAGAGGGGACGCGCGCGGCGCCGGCGCGGCGACGGACGAGGGTGAGGGACTTGACGGCGACGCCGGAGAGGGCGGAGAAGACGATCGGGTACAGTAAGGCGGGGGCGAGAGATCCGAGGAAGGCGGCGGAGGAACGGGAAAAGATGTGGGCGCGGTTGGGGGCGACGGGCGGCGAGAGCGGGGGCGCGCGGTACGCGCACTTGCTCGACGGAGACGCGAGGAACGCGTCTTCGTCCGCGTCGTCGTCGTCGAGATCGAGAGGGAGTAATCGAGCGGCGCTGCGATTGGGGTACGCCGCGCACAGGGAGAGGTTTGCGAAAGGTTTGAAGTGCGAGCTCGAGGAAGAGATGGCGCTCGCGGAGGAGCGATTGAACACGTGGCCGCGAGAGCGGCTCGTCGCGGAGGGATACGCGATTTTAGGCGTGCGCGCGAAGTACGAAGGAACGCTTCAGCGAGATTCGCTCGTGCGTTTGACGATTCCTTACAAGGACGCGAGCGAGGCGAATCCGCTCGGACAAGAGTTGCCGTATCATCGCTTCACGACTGGAGACATGGTACAGCTCAGCGAAGGCGACGACCACGAAGCCGCGGGTGGAATCACGGGCGTCGTCGCGCTGAGGTCGATGTTTTTCATCACCGTCGCCATTCACGAGGATGATCTCTCTCGACTCGTGTCCGAAGGCTCGAGATGGAGGGTGGATTTGAGCGCGAACACGGTGGCCCACGATCGCTCGCTCGCGGCGCTCGTCGCATTTTCTGAACCGGGAGGCATGTCCGGCGCGTCTTCCATGTCCACGCGCGCGAGCGATAAGAACAGTTCTTCCACGGCGTACGCAACTTTGCAGCGCGCCTTGCTCGGCGTGCCCGATGAAAACGGAACGCTGGAGGAATTGGCGGCGACGCCGCCGCATTGGGCGGGCAAGGCGCAAAAGCCGCAACTCGCGATGGCGTTGAAGGAAGTGCGAGAGCCGTTGAACCCAAGCCAGCGCGTCGCCGTGAAAAGCGCGCTAAGCTCTTCGCTCGCGGTTTGGCAAGGTCCGCCCGGTACGGGTAAGACTCGCACGCTCATAGCGTACATCGGTGCTGCCGTACACCTGGCGTCCATCCAAAAGAGGCGAGGAAGGGGTCCGATCGTTCTCGCTTCCGCTGCGTCGAACGTAGCCGTGGATAATATCCTCGAAGGACTGGCAAAAGAATCTTTCATCGTCGATGGACGACCGCTGCGAGTCGTGCGCGTGGGAGCGCCCGCAAAGGTGCAACCTTGGCTTCAGCAACTCACGCTGGATGCTCAAATCGCGTTGCACCCTCTCGGGCGTCAAGCGGCGGCCATGCGTGAAGCTATCCGAGGACAATCTGGTCCAGCGTTTGCTCGCCAGCGCAAGCAAGCGACGCAGTTGGAACTGACGGCTGCGAAGAGCATATTAAAGTCTGTGGATGTCGTGTGCACCACATGCGTCGGCGCAGGCGACGAGTTACTGGAGGACTTCACGTTCCCAGTGGCTGTCGTGGATGAGGCGACACAATGCACCGAACCAGGAGCGTTAATCTCTCTCACGAAAGCCTTGAGCGCCGTGCTCGTGGGTGATTCCAAGCAATTGCCTCCCACGGTGGTGTCTCGTGACGCCGTCGACGCTGGCTTACAAGTTTCAATCTTTGAGCGCATGGAGAGGCTCGGGGTGAAGGTGTCTTTGCTAGACATGCAGTACCGCATGCATCCGCAAATCGCCGAATTTCCGTCTCTGGCGTTTTACAAAGGGAAAGTAGGATCGGTACCGACGCCGCAAGATCGTCCGTTGGTGCCGGGTATCGCTTGGCCGTCGCCGAACGTTCCAGTAGCCTTCGTAGAAATCTCCGCCCCTGAATCGCGAGCACCCGATGGAAACAGTCTGTATAACGTCGGAGAAGCGAAGATGGCCATCGGTGTGGTGAGAAAACTTCTCGCGGCGGGCGATTTAGCGGGACCCGGGGACATCGGCGTCATCTCGCCGTACGCCGCGCAAGTTCGACGGTTGCAAGAAGAATACGGCGTAGGAGGAAGTCCGAAACGAAATTACTTGGACTACACCGAAGAGGATAAAATAGAGGAGCTCGAAATACGTTCCGTTGATGGATTCCAAGGCAGAGAAAAGGAAGTGATCGTTTTGTGCACCGTGCGAAGCAACCCGTCTGGAGACATCGGCTTCGTCGCCGACCCGCGCCGGCTCAACGTGGGAATCACGCGAGCGAAACGTGGATTGATCGTCCTCGGAAATCGCAAAACTTTGTCAAACAATGAGATGTGGCGAAGTTGGTTTAAGTGGATCGACGAACAAAACTGTGCGGTTTCCGACACTACAAATTTCTAGCATATCGTGCAATATTTTTTACGCCGACGCCGGCTCAAATTTCATCGCCGCACCGTTCATGCAGTATCGCAAGCCCGTTGGCGGCGGCCCATCTTCGAACACATGCCCAAGGTGCCCTTGGCACGCCGTGCATCGCACCTCCGAGCGCGGTAAGAACATGATGGAGTAATCCGGAACCTCCATCACCGCGCCCGCGAGCGGCTCGTAAAAGCTCGGCCAACCCGTCCCCGAATCGTACTTCGCCTTCGAGTCGAACAGCGGCGTTCCACACCCAGCGCACACGAACCGTCCAGTTCGTTTCTCCGAGTTCAACTCGCTCGAAAACGGTCGCTCCGTCGCCTCTTTCCGCAGCACCTTGTACGAGAACGGTTCCAGCTTGTTCTTCCACTCATCCTCCGTGAACGCGATCGGTCCCCGTCGCTCGAGCACGGCGAGCTGGGCGTCGGTGACGAATTCACCGTTCGCCTTCGCGTCGCCGCTCGGCGCGGAGGCCGCGAGCGCGGCGCCGGCGAGCGGGAGCACGATGAGCGGTCGACGACCACGCTTGGTGACGTGGCGCGCGTCGTCTTCGGACGACGACGACGCGCTCGCCGTGCACGGAATCGCGGCGAGGCGGCGAACGGCGACGGTGCGCGACGGGGCTTTGGATCGCACCGCGACGTGCGGTCGCGCGGTGGACGCGAAAGAGCGCGCGGACATCGCGTCGAGCGCGTGTGTGAGGCTTGGATAACGAGCGAGCTCGCGCTCGCGAGACGCGAAGGCGCGCGCAAGGCGAAGAGCGGGCGGACGATCGGCGCGAAGGCGCGCGCGAATCGCGCGATCAATTCATAAAATTTCATAAAATACAACAATGAAATACAACGATGCGCTACTGTGCGATTCCAAGCGCGCTAGATGTCGCGTCTCAGAGTAGACCAGCCTTCGGCCACGCGTCGGCGATGGTCGAGTCCTCGAAGAAACGCGCGTACCCGCTGTGATGGTTCGCCACCGTGATTGGATTCAGCATGCGCACGTCGCGAGAAAACTCTTCGGGTTCTTCTTCGCCCTTGGCGACGTACGTGTGACCGCCGCCTGAGTTTGAATTCGTCCAGAGCATCGAACCCGCGTGCGCGTACTCGACGGCAAATTTCCCGTCATTTGCGGACGGCAACCAATAACCGCTCGTTGGCACGCGAGCGAATAAATCGCCGCCGTGCACGATGCGGGCGTAATTCAAATTTGTCAACCCTTGATCGAGGTAACGCGCGAAGGCTTTGTCGCCCACGCGCGGTTGTCCGAATGTCACAGCCTCCACCTCGACGTCGGCGTGCGCCTCCGCCAATGACGCCGCGCACAGCGTCGTCAGCGCCCCCCCCAACGAGTGTCCCGTGACGACGACTTTCTTTCCGCGTCCACGCTCTAGTTCATCGCGCACCGTCGTCTCGATCTCGTCTCGTAACGCCTCGTACGCCCGCGCGTATCCCGCGTGCGCGCGTCCTTCCTTCATCTTCACCTGCCCCGCCCTACCGTTGATCTGCGACTCTCGAATCAACCCTCTCAGCGGGCTCGGCGTCGTACCTCTGAAAACCACCACCACCCACTCCTCATCGCTCGTCGCGAACACCCCCGCGCGCGTCGTCGCCTCGCCGCCGTCGTTCCACGACAGTCGCTTCAGCTTTGGAAACGCCTCCAGCGTCGCTCGCCGCAGCGCTCGCCCGTCTCCTATCAGCGGTTCGAATCCAAGCGGCGTCGCGAAGTCTAACTCCGCCTCTCGCGCGTCCGCGTCGAAGTATCCGCGCTGTCCGAAGCGCCAGTAGCTCGCCATGCTCAGCGTCGCGAGCGCCGTCGCTCCCTCGCGCGCGCGCGGCACGAGCGCCTCGCGCCCATCACCGCTCGCGCGCGAGACGACCGCGCGCCGTCGCGCATCGCGCGCGATCAGACGCGCCGATCGCGCCGCGACCGCGCGCGCGCGGCCTCGCATCCCGCGCGACGCGTCGCGACGTGACGGTCGTCGCCTCGTCCGCCCGTCGGACCGCACTCGCGCGCGCGGACGCGACGCGGCGCGCTCGGCATGGCGCGCGCGCCGGCGTTGCGCGCCCTCGCGCCCGCGCTCGCGTGCGGCGCCGCGCTCGCGCACGTCGCGACGTCGACGTCGACGCCGACGCCGGGACGCCTCGTCGACGACGTCGATCGCGCGGTGACGTCCGCGCGGCGCTTCGCCGTGGCGTCGACGCACTTCGTGCCGATGTACGCGATCGATTATCGCGAACACCGCGCGCGGGTGCGCGCGCTCGGGGCGAGCGCGAGCGAGGACGAGCGACGGGCGTCGAGACAAATTTTGTGGCGCGCGGTGAGCGAGCGATTTTTGGCGTGCGCGCGGGCGCTGGGAGGGATATACGTCAAGGCTGGGCAACACCTGGCGGCGCAGCCGATCGCGCCGAAACCTTTTCAAATCGTGCTGCGAGCGCTGATGGACGACGCGGCGCGACGGCCGTTTGAGGAGGATCGAAAGACGTTCGCGGAGGAAACCGGGTTGGAAATCGAAGAGGCGTTCGCGGAGTTCGACGAGACGCCGGTGGCGTCGGCGTCGTTGGCGCAGGTGTATCGAGCGAAAACGTTCGGGGGGGAAGATGTCGCGGTGAAGATTCAGCAGCGACCGGTGGCGAGGTTCCTGGAGAGCGATCTTTTTACGATAGAAGGGTATTACTCGCTCATGGAATGGCTCGTGCCGTCGTTGCGATTTGGGTGGCTGGCAAAGGAGACGCGAAGGCACATGGGAGAGGAGATGGATTTTACTCGCGAGGCAGCGAACGCGCTCAAGGCGAGCAAGATGCTCGCGGATGAGTTCGACGAGAGTGAGTTGAAGATACCGCGCGTGCACAGACATTTGAGCGGTAAGCGAGTGCTCACGATGGAGTTTGTGCCCGGGGTGAGAATAGACGACGTCGAGGCGCTCAAAGGCAAGGGGATCGATTTAGCCGACGTCGCGGCGAGAATACAGAAAATATTCGCGCAAATGACTTTTGTGCACGGATTCGTGCACGCTGATCCGCACCCGGGGAACATCTTGATTACAGATAAGGGAGGCATTGTGCTGCTTGATCACGGCGTGTATCGCACGCTCGACGACGATTTGCGAAAGAAGTGGGCAAATGTATGGCTCTCTATCATTAGATCGGACGATAACGCTTTGCGCGAAGCGACTGGATCACTTGGGATAGATCCCGACATGTCGCAGTTCTTCAAGCTCATTCTCGCCGTCGTTCCGACGCGCGTCGTTGAGGAGCCTCTCGCGGGGTCGATCAAGCGAAACGACGATTCTTCCTCTGACTCTTTCACCGTGGCGGAAAAGCGCTCGGTCATGAAGCAAATCATGGGGGTAAAATTAGAGGATCAAACAAAGCTTTTTGAGACCTTGCCTCGCGATCTTTTGCTCGTGCTCAAGGCGAATAATTTGTTGCGATACGTCAACGAGCAGTTGGGCTCGCCCGTCAATCGTTACAAGATCATTTGGAAGAGCGCGAGCGAGGGGTTGGCGAAATCCTCGACGCCCTCGCCACACGACGATGTATCGACCATCAAGCGAGGGGCTTTCGCCCGTGCGCGCGCGAAGCTTGGAGACGCCGTGGCGATTTCACTGCTTCCACTTCAGCTCATGCTGCTGAAGAGCCAGCTCGCCATCGCGTTTTGGAAAGTGTCGAAGACGCACGCGGCGACGGCTGCGATGACAGCGGCGAAGACTTCCGCCGCGACTAACGTGAAGAAAAAATAGATTTAGGACGCTAGCGAAATTTCCATTGTACGATAGAAGATTCTTTTACACAATAAAGTAGATACCTCACGCCGTCGCGTTTTCTTCGCGCGCCGCGGCGAGCTGCCAAATCCCGAGCGATTCAGGCGTCTCCCCTTCCTCGTCCGCGATCGAAGGATCTGCGCCCCAGTCAAGGAATAAATTTACCGTCTCCGTGTCATCTAAGTTGACCGAAAAGTGCAAAGGCGTTTGCCCGTATCTATCGCGAGCGTTGACGTCAGCCTTCAAAAGCGCCAGGTGCATGGCGATTTTCGAGTGTCCGCCGTCTGCGCACCAATGCAACGGCGTTCGCCCGAGTGCATCGCGTTCGTTAACATCCGCACCGCCCTCGATCGCTTTCATCGCCGCGTCCTCATCACCTGCCTTACACGCCGCGCTCAGCGCCCCCAACTCGCCGCTGTTCGACGCGCTCTGCGACGCTTCGTCGTCGTCCTCGAGCGGCGCCGGTCGACTCTGCGACCGGTTTATCGACCACATATTCGCGTACACCTCCTTCTCCTCCTCATCTCTCGCGTGAAACTCCTCTGCGGCGAGTCTGTCCTCCTCGGTGAACCCATCGGCGTTCCGCGTCGCCGTCGACGGTCGCATCGAGTCCCGCCTCGCCCCCCACATCTCAAACGTCCGCACGTATCGCTCCATCGCCTCCTCCCGCGTCAAATCCTTCACCTCCTTCCACGCCTCGTATTTCGCCCTCGCCACGACATCCAACGCGCCGAACGTTTTACCACCCTCAAATTCTCGATCGAAATCCTTCGTGCATCGCTTATACAACCCGTACATCTTCGCCTTGAGCCCGGGCTCAAAGTACGCGTCGGCGTCCGCGAGCAACTTTTTAAACTGTCCCGCGCACCGCGTGAATCTTCGTTCCATCTCCCCGACGTCCTCGTCCTCGTTCGCGTCCTCGTCCTCGTCCGTCCTCGTCGTCGTCGTCGTCCCTTTCTCGTCCTCCGTCATCGCCGTCGCGCCCTCGCGCGTCCCGCCGTCGCCCGTCATCGCGCGTCGCGCGACCGCCGTCATCGTCCCCGCGCGTCCGTCGCGCATCGCGCCCGCGACGACGGCGAACGCGCCGATCGCGAGTCCGCACGCGTACGCGTACGCCTTGGCGCGATTCGTTCGCGCGTCGCTCGCCATGCCGCGCGTCGCGGACGTGTGCCGCGCGTCATCCATCGCATCGCATCGCATCGCATCGATCGGTCGGTCGGTCGGTCGGTCGACATCGACGACGCGCGACCGGGTCGAATGCATGATGAGTGAATGGATGACGGACGGACGATGGACGACACATCGCGACGACGGGGAACGACGAAACGATGCGACGCGACGCGAGAGCGACGCGACGACGAACGACGCGCGGCGCGGCGCGCGTGCGCGACGCGGTCGTCGCGGCGTGCGCGATGGTGCGAACGACGCGAACGATGGGACCGAACGACGCTTCGTATCTCGAAAGCGACGCGACGCGACGAAGGACGATTCGAACGGGACGGCGCGCGACGACGAAGGGAAAGACTGACGAAAGCGCGGCGGTGGGACGAAGACGCGAGTGGCGCGCGCGCGGGAAGGGCTCGGGACGTCGCGGACGATGCTGCAGGTGCGAGGCGAGGATTCGCGCGGGACGCGGCGTCGGCGTCGAGACGCCGCGATGGAATCGCGAGACGAGGATGAAGGACGCGACTGACGCGCGCGCGGCGGTGTAGGTGGACGATGAAGCGACGAACGTGGATTTTGCGGGTGTGAATTGCGAAGGATTCGGTGGTGGGGCGTTGTCCATCGATGCGTACGCGTGGAGTCACTCGACGCCGACGGATTCGATGCTTCGCGTCGGCGTCGACGCGCCGCGCGCCGACGACGCGGATCGCGGCGCGCGCGAGACGTACGCGAGCGTGTTGATCGTGAATGATGCCGATCGCGAGGTGAATTTGAATGGAGTTACGGTTCAGTTTGAATTTTCGAAATTGATACGATTGGATGACGCCGCGAGCGAGTTTACGACGCTCGGCGAGTTTGAGTTTACGTGTTGGGGGTCGCAGATCGTCGCTCCGAGCGGTGCGCGGCGAATCGTCGACTGCGGCGATTTAAGCATCCAGATGAATGATGTCGGCCCACGTGTGACGTTTGGCGCCATCGCTTTAAACGCTGGCGAGTTCCTCGCCGGAGGATACTCGAACTTTTTGTTTTCTTTTCGAGATCGCGAATCGCGCGTGCTTGACGCCGAATCGGTGCGCGCGCTCGATCCCACGTGCGATCCCAGCGCGTTTACCACCGCATCCTCAATCGTAAGTGTCGCACCAACGTCAACGTTTGGCTGGAATCCAAACGCTCAAATCATGCTGAGTGCGTGTCCGAGTCTTCTCGACGTCGTCTTCAGCACTCTCGAGTCTCAGATTGAAGACGGCGTCGCTCGAATTCGCGGCATCGTCGGACATCGCTCGTGCAGCACTCTTGACGCGTCAAAGGTGACGTTCGCGATCGATCTCGGCGGAGACTACGAGCAGTCTCAGTTGCAAGCCGCGTGCGAGGGGTTGCAAATCGTCTATCCGATCTCATCGGTACCCATGAGCGACGCCGCGGCAACATGCAAAGCCGTCGTTACCGAACGAGGCGTAGAACTCAGTTTTGGTGATGATTTAGTGCTGTGCCCGGGCTGCTTCATCGTCGGTGGTCCAAACAACGTCGTTCTCGATCTCTCGTACGCGGATGGTCGTGGTTTCTCGAGCACAGAAATTTCGCCGAATGGTTTACGCGAACCGATTTGCGCTGGATTTCCGCGGGGCGACGGGCCGACTGACGCGGAGCTCGTCCGCCCGTGCGACGAGGAGGCAAACGCAGAGTACGAAGGATCTACACTCACTACTGGTTTGTTCTTGGTTCCATCTCCCGAAGCTTGCTGCTTAGCCTGTAGAGAAAATCCAAACTGCAACGTGTGGACGTTCTGTACCGCCAACGACGGATGCGGGCGATCGGAGTTCGCTTATTCGTACTCATCCTGCGAACTCAAGTACGCCGCACCGGAAATCATTTCTCAAGACACCATTCCTGGCAAACGTGGACCAAACGCGACTTATATCTCCGGTGCGCTGCGTGATAAAGAAGTGGAGCCAGTGCCGTTTGATACATCAAACGAGCGCAAAGAATGTCGAGCAGAGACAAACGCAAACTACGACGGAATCCAGATTTCAATTGTTAACGCAGTCTCTTGGAGCGCGTGCTGCGACGCTTGCCTCGCTGATCCAGCGTGTGCTGTGTGGAACTTTTGCGATGACGTCAGCGGATGCGATGGCGAATTCGCTTACCAGACGTGTGTGTTGAAACTTTTTCTCGTCGGCGGCGACCCTCAAAAACCACCAGCCATCGCGCGAGGCGACGGCGTTCCTTGGGTCAGTGGCTCGCTCGTCGATCGAATTCCTGAACCCGTCCCGTCGATTGAGGGGTGTCGAGTAGAAGAAAACGCCAATTACAAGGGACATCCGTTGAATAGCGGCTCGGACTTGGTTGTCGATAGCGAAACCGAATGCTGCGCCGAGTGCAAAAAAATGAAAAAGTGCAATGCTTGGGTATTCTGCGCGTCTATCGATGGCTGTGGCAACGAGTACTACGACTACAAGTTCGGCGAATGCTGGCTGAAGAAGCTTTCGAAAGAAGATGTGGAAACGATTCCGGTGCCGGCTTGGGAACGCGGGGAAAACGTGACATGGACAAGCGGCGTAGTCGGCGCTGAAGTCATGATGCCATCACCACCACCATCGCCTCCGATCGTGCAACCTTCACCGTCTCCTCCTCCACCGGTGGAAGTTCCATCACCATCACCTCCCTCGCCGTCACCGCCGGTGGAAGTTCCATCGCCATCACCTCCGCCGCAACCGCCGGTGGAAGTTCCATCGCCATCACCTCCGCCGCAACCGCCGGTGGAAGTTCCATCGCCATCACCTCCGCCGCAACCGCCGGTGGAAGTTCCATCGCCATCACCTCCGCCGCAACCGCCGGTGGAAGTTCCATCGCCATCACCTCCGCCGCAACCGCCGGTGGAAGTTCCATCGCCGCCACCTCCACCGCCGGTGGCGGTGCCATCTCCATCCCCTCCGATTCTTCCTACTTGTCTCCGACTTCTTCAGGATTTACAAGGTCGATGTGGATCAATTTTTGGCATCGAAAATGACGAAGCTTTCGATCCGTCATGCTGCGACATTGTTAGGGGAATGAACGTCGAGCGTTGCTTTTGCGATACAGCCATCATCGACGAACTCGGTGATGCGATTCGCACCGTTCAAATCACTGCACCGACTCTCTGTGACTCTGGACTTGAGCTCGTTTCCGGCCTGTCTTGCTTTCCGAGTCCGCCTCCAAGTCCACCTCCGCCATCGCCACCGCCGCCGAGTCCGCTTCCATCGCCGCCGCCGCCGAGCCCGCCTTCTCCATCGCCGCCGCCGCCGAGTCCTCTACCACCGAGCCCATCACCACCACCCCCATCGCCCCCATCGCCGTCGCCGCCGAGTCCACCACCGCCGCCTCCAGTGCCGAGCCCCCCGCCACCAAGCCCCCCTCCACCATCGCCGCCACCGTTGCCGCCTCCACCGCCACCGCCGAGTCCACCACCTCCAGTCGATGAATGCCCAACGCTACGTCTCGTCGGCGGACCAAATGCAGTGCAAAATGAAGTCTTGCTCAACTCGCTGTACGTTGACCCCGGGGCTGTTGCGACGGATGAACTCGACGGTGACATTTCAGACGCAATCGAGGCAGACACAAGCGAAGTGGACACCAGTCGTGTCGGCACTTATCGCGTGTATTACCGAGTGCGTGACTCAGGTGGATGCGATGTCTCCGCAGAACGCCTTGTTCGTGTCATAGCTCTCGTACCGACTTCGGAATACTCGCAGCTCACATCGTTGTGCGTGTCGAATATCCCACGTGTCGAAGAACTGTGCGTGGGATTTGAAACTGCGACCATCAGTGGTCCGAACCCTGCTTCGTTCCCGAGTTGTTGCGTTGCGCTGAGCGACTTGGATGAAGCTGGATGTTTCTGCGTTCCAGAGTTCATTCAAAGTTTCGAAGGCATCCGCCCGTCCGTAGGTGAACTTTCAGCATTTACGCCTCTTGCGTGCGGTTTTAGAATCAAAGTCGGTGACGTGTGCGAGGATCAGCAGCTTTTGACGCAATTCTTGAGCACTCCGACTGCGGTACCCGAGTTCGTCATCCCCGACGAAAAGTGGGAGCGCATTGTTGACGATGGTGGCGCGTTGCGAGATGACATCTCCTGCGCCGATACGATTGACGTGACGCGGAAATACTGCAGCGCGATTCAGCAAAACGATGTCGGAGTGATACCACGCATCTCTGATTTTGCACCGTGCTGCGGCGCTGCAGCTCGATTGCACAACGAAAGCTGTCTGTGCGATGATTTCACACTCATCACCGACGATAACGTCATGTTCTTGCGAGAGATTGTTGGGTTCACGCCGCTAGGATGCGGGTTCAATTTGACGGAAGCCTGCCCGGCGCTCTCCGAGGAATTAGGGGTTCAAACCATCGTCGTTGAACGGCCCGGAAATGACACCGATCCGACGATTCCGATCGGAACGGACACTCCACCCATTACACGCCCGCTTGAAGGATACGGTGTTGTCGTTGAAAACGGTCAAGTGATTCCAAGCGACACGCCTGGACGCAGCGAGTGCGATCCGGTCCGAGAACTGAAGAACTTTCTCGTCGTCGCCTCGCGGCCAAACTCGACCGATTACGACGTTCTCGGCGCAATCGGTTGTTGCGCGAATAGCACAATTCGTGTTCCTGAAGTCACGGTCGTGATTGGCTATCGACGTCGGGAAGGTAACATGAATGAATTCGTTGATGCTTTGAGCGTTCCATCTGTGGAATGCGCTGGACTCTCGCTCATATCCGCTCGCGGAGAAGTCCTAGATGATACGCTGTGCGATCGCGCGACGATTGAAGAAAGTATCGCCGGTATCAAAATAACACTTGCAAACTTGACGATTCCTCCGGATGCCGCCATCACGGGACGTGTTCAAGATGGTAAACTGTTCACCGCAAAGCATGAATCAGAGGCGACACTCGACGCACTCGCGCCAACGATTCGAGCGCTTCAATGCGATGTCGGAGGTAGTTGGACAGACGTATTCGAGAGTCCTCCTAACGATTCACGACGCAAATTGCTACAGTTCTTTGGTGGCATTCCCTTCTTTCCAGATCAAGACCAGTTTGGCGACGCAAATCGCACAGACATCACACCATCGATCGCGCCGTTACGACCGCTCGCTGGCTTCAATTTGACGCAATACGCACGTCCATCTTTTCGCGACGGTTTCGACGGCGAAACCTCAGATGGAGGACGCCCCGTGGATTGTCTCGATGTCCTTCCACGCGTTCAAGCCTCGCTGTCGTGGTTTGGTGAACGCGTCGACGTCGGTGGCGACTTCCGAGTCGCGCCATTCAACCGCTATGATTTCCGCGGCTCGATTGGAGTAAACAACGACGGTGGTGCGATTCGGTTGATTGATGTCAACATCCCAATCGTGCTGAGTTCGTGGGTAAATGACATCAACGGTACGTGGAGAGAAGTTCAAAATCCTTTCGACGAGTACGCCATTGAGTGTTTGATGATAACCGTCGTGAACGGCGAATCTCGCACTCCGAGCCTCGAACCTTGTGCAGGGCTTCAATTCCGCATGGCATCGTACGCACCCGACGGCGTCTTCAACGAGGCGAGTGGACGACCACTGCCGAAAGTTACTTTGCTCGAAGTCTCCCTGTCGAACGTCACGCTGTGTGCTGGATGCAAACTCCAGGGCGACAATGAGACCTTGTTTCGCGTTGTATCGCTTTCGGGCGCGCGTTTTGATTACGTTGGGCCATCGGTTGGAAACCCCACTTGTCGAAGAGACATACAAGGACAACTCGTTGAGCCAATTGCGATGCTTCCGACTTCACCTCCGATGACGCCAACACCGGTAAACGGTCTCGTGTGCAACGGCGAAAAAGGATTGAACCTCAAAGGCATACTTCTTCGCGATGGCTCAAAATTCATCGTCGATACCGAAGAGGCGTGTTGCCAAGCATGCTTTCGAACGCGCGACTGTGATACGTGGGTTTACTGTACCGGCGATTGCAAAGACTTTGCATATCACTCGTGTTGGTTGAAACGGGCGATTGGCGGTGGATACACCGCGGAGCGTGGACCTACGGAAATTGCCGCATGGGATCGAGGTCCGGACGTTCCTTGGACGAGCGGATGGTTTCCTACGCAAAGGTCTCCACCATCGCCATCACCACCACCAACGCCTTCACCAACGCCTTCACCAACGCCTTCGCCAACGCCTTCACCAACGCCTTCGCCAACGCCTTCGCCAACGCCTACGCCAACGCCTTCGCCAACGCCTACGCCAACGCCTACGCCTACGCCTCCGACAGAATCATCGCCCACGCCTCCAGCTCCGGATTCCGCGACTTACTTCACTCTTCAGCCTGGTGTCCCTGTGCAGATCCCAGCGTCGACGATTACGGTAATACCGGGCGCACAGTTGCCTCCTGGTGCACCGCCATCCACACCGACTCCGGCGCCGATTCCGGTCGATGGACTTTCGAGAACGTGCTCACCCGACGACGCAACGATTTGTCCGACGGAGTCCGCGCCAGAGCGTTTACGCGAGACGGACGCACGCTTGAGTCTCCAGCTCTTACGCGGCGAAGGTGGTTCTCAAGCTGTCGTTACAGGAACAGCGATCAATTTTGGACGCGTGAGCGATCAAATCTGCCTGAATGGTGTCGCCGTGATGCTTCCATTTGAGAGAATCGTCGTTGCTGCGAACGAAGCTCCGATTGTCGCGCCTCCAGAAGACTTCATCGTCGATTGCATCTTCGTCGGCGTGCGATCTCGCGATGGACCACCATCAAGCGATGACAATGGCTGTGGCGTCTACGTCGAAGCTAAAGTTGTCGAGGCCGGCGTCGAGCTCACGTTCCGCGATATCTCTCTCTGTGCCGAGTGCTGGATTGTCGGCGGTCCATCGAGCGCCCTCTTCACCGTTCGTCACATCGACGGTTTGGCGTTACAGCTCCCTGAGCAGAACGTCACCATCGCTAACATCTTCACCGAAGACGCCGCGTTCTGTGCAACGTCGTGAAACGACGGTTCGCCGAGCGCATCAAGACTCTGACCTTTGATACGAAGCTTTGATACGAACACCGTGCCCGCGCTTGCTCGCGTCTCCTCACTTTGCATCGCGCGCGTCCCCGTCCGCGCGCGCTCCGCGACGCGAATCATCGACGTGGAGGTGAAAGAAATGTTTCGCATCGTCACGTATTAGAAGCGCTGCGCGACGTCTATTTCTTCGCCGCCACCGCGGAGTAACTGTCTCGCCATGGGGACGAATGAGCGCGGTGAAGACTCGACCATCGACGACGCTGCCATCGCCGCGGCGTTATCGATCGACGAACGCGACGTCGCAAGTATCGACGCACAAATTGAGCGCGACGCGGCGCTCGCCAGGAGCTTGAGTGATGCACAGGAGTTGGTCTTGGACGTTGACGGCGAACTTGACCGAGCCATCGCGCGCGCCGTGGCGGAGGCCGAGGCCGGTCTCGTGGACGTCATCGGCGAGCGGTCTGCGTTAAAGAATGCGTTCGTGCCGAAATTGAACGATTTCGTCGTCGATGCATCTACGACAGGCCCACCGGCATCGGCGGTAGTCGATGCTGACCACTCACGCTTGCTGTTGCGTCTGGACTTCTACGGCGTTCGGGAAAAAATCATCACTGGCGATGGGAACTGTCAGTTTCGAGCGCTCAGTGATCAATTATTTCGGGATGGGGGAGAAAATCACGACGCCGTCCGCGCGGCAGTTTGCGATCGATTGGTGCGAAATCCGGACGACTACGCGCCTTACGCCGCTCCTCTCGATTTCGACGAATACGTCCAGAAAATGTCAAACGCGGGCGAGTGGGGCGATCACATTACGTTGCAAGCCGCGGCAGATGCGTACGGAGTCGATATAAACATCATAACTTCGTACTCCGAGCACGGTTTCATCGAGATTACACCAAAAGAGGGCGCCGATGTGAATTCGCCGAGAAGTTTATGGCTGTCCTTCTTTGCAGAAGTGCACTATAATAGCATCGTTCCTGGGCCGCGCGCGTAGGCGCGGCGACGTCGCGCGATCTAAATATGTAAAATTAATTTATGCAACGCTGTACAAGAGCGACGACCGCGAATATCGGCCGAAAAGACGCAAATCAAACGCGTAAGACGCCAACTCTTTACTCACGCCGAAGACATCGCGACGGCGCGTCGAATCGCCGCCGGCATCGCCCCCATCACCACAGGCGTGTCCACCAAATTCATTACATTCCCATATCCACGTATCATCAACACCTTCTCTTGTCCAGCGACCTCAACGCTCGCCGCGATCGCCCCTACCGCCGCCAACTCCCCCGGCGCGCCGTTCTTCGCCGCCGTCAAAAACGCCAACTCAAACCCATCGTTCGTCCGATCCACGCGCTGCGACAGCGCGAACGGCAAATTTTGCCCCGAGCTCGTCAGTGTGCTCGCCCACTGGTACAGCGCATCGCATAGCGCGGTTTCATCGCACGTCGGCGGCAGTTTCGCCGTTCCGAGCTGGATGCCATCGTCGTCATCGTTCGCTTCCGACGCTCGCGCGACGCATCGCGCGCGCGCCTTGACGTCGGCGTTCGCGCCTCGTCGTCTGCGCGCATCGACGCCCACCACCGGCGCGCTTCGCGCGCGCGTCGTCATCGCGAGCGACATCGCGCGCGTTCGAGTGCGGTCGCGATGCGCTGCGATGCGATCGGCGAAGCGCCACACCCTCGCGCGCGCTCGATCGCCCGCGCCACGATGCTCGCCGCGGAAGCGACGCTCGCGATGCGCTCGACGTCGCCGCCGCGCGCGCCGCCGCGTCGCGCCGGCGCGGCGAGAAGCGCGCCGGCGTCGACTTTATCCAATCGACGATCGGCGCGCGTCGTCGTCGCGGCGCGACGCGGCGCGACGCACGCGACGCGCGGCGTGTCGCTGAGTGACATAGATTACGCCTCGGCGTCGACGCACGTCGCGCACGCGCGGGCGATCGCGCAGACGGCGGAACTCGAGGGAGGGATCCAGGCGTTTTACCTGGGGACGCTGCTCGCGATCCTCGGCGGCGCCGGGTTCATCGTCGTGCGACAAGTGCTGATTCGTCGAGAGTTGGACGACCAAGCGAAGAAAATGGGTGAGAGAATACGGGCGGGGAACGCGAGCGCGGAGGATTACTTCGAGATGGGGAGCATTTTGTTGAGGAAGAAGGTGTTCACGCAGGCGGTGAGAAATTTGCAGGCGGCGGAGGAGAACTGGGACGGAGACGAACAGGACTTGGCGTTGGTGCACAACGCTTTGGGGTTTGGATACTCCAATACCGATAAGATTGATGACGCGATCGTGGAGTTTAAGAAGTCGGTGGCGTTACAGCCTGGCTACGTCACGGCGTGGAACAATCTCGGCGAGGCGTACGAGAAGAAGAAGGAGCTCAAGGAAGCGATCAAGTGCTACGAGGAGAGCTTAGTGTTGTCGCCGAACAACCCCACGGCGAGCGAAAGGTTGGAAGAGATCACGCTTCGATTGCGCCGCCGCGGGCAACTCGACTGAGCAGACGATTCGATTTAATATTATTCGCAAAAGTATGTAGCTACGTATTACACCTCGCGCGCTTTGTCGTTCATCGTTCGCCCACGCCGTACCGCGACGCGAGCGGTTGATTGTCGAGCGCCGCATCGTTCGACGCGCGTTCTTCCGCCAACCTTTTCTTTTCCCTGCTCCGTCGGTTTTGAAACCAATTGTACACGTTGTGTTCTTGAATGGGCCCGTGTTCTTGCAGCCGCTTCGTAATCTCCGTCAATCTCGCTCGCACGGGCGGTTGCTCGCCCGCCAAGAACAAATCCTCCAAAATCTTGTACTGATCCGGCGTTCCACTCCATCTCGGTCCTCGCACGCCCTTATCTTCCCCGCGTCCGACGCGCTGTCCCTCCTCGTACGTCTTTCTCTGCTGCGCGTTCGCCGTCCCGCTCGCCGCCATCGCCGCGAACGCCTGCGCGCTCGCGTTCGCCCCCGCGTGCGCGCCCGCCGATCCCGGCACCTCGTACCTCGCCTCACGCTGTCTCGGCGTCTGTTGCGTCGCGCTCACCGTCGTTATCTGCAACAACTGTTGACATATGTGCGCGTACGCCGCGATCTGCTGCCGAAACGCGTACAACTGTCGCTCCGTCATGTGCACCGCCGCCCCGCGCGGGGGCGCCTTCCCCTCTCCCGGCCGCGTCACCGTCGCCGCGTTGTGCGGCATCGCGCGCGCGTCCTCCGCCGTCGCGTTCGCCGTCGCGCCGTCGTCGTCGTCGCCGCCCGTCGTCGCCGTCGTCGTCGTCGTCGCGTTCATCGCCTTCGCGCCCTCGTCGTCGCCGTCGCGTCCCGCCTCGCCCGCGGCGTCGCCCTCGCGCGCGCGCGCCGCCGCCTCGACTTCACCGCCGTCCATCGCCGTCGTCCTCGCGCGCGCCGTCGCTCGCGCGGTCGTCCTCGCGCGTCGTCGCGTCGCCGTGTCCCGAGCCGTCGCGATCGATCGTCGACGCCGCGCCCGCGCGCCGCGCGCCGCCGCGCGCCCGCGCGCGCGAACCGACGATCGATCGCGCGTCGCGGCGGTCGGCGCCGCTCGCGCGCGCGCGCGACGCGCCGAAGCGCGCGGTCGACGCCAACGACCCTTCGCCTCGACCTTTCGGTTTCGCGGCGACGCGGACGCGCGCGGCAGAGCGCGACGCCGCGCGCGTCGGCGATGAGCTCGCCCGTGATTCTCACCGGGCTCGCCCTGCTCGAGGCGCACCGACGCGCGAACGAGGCCGAGGCGCGCGCGCGCGCGAGCGCGAGCGAGGCGGAGACGAGCTCGAGCGACGACGAGGAGGCGCGCGAGGACGACGACGACGACGAGAGCGACGCGAGCGATGCGAGCGCGACGCCGGCGCGCGGTGCGGAAGAGGTAAACGCGCGTCGGATGTCGCCGAGCGGACGCGCGGCGATGGGACGGCTGTCGAGGAGCGCGAGCGCGAGGGAGCTGGCGAGCGCGGCGAGCGGGACGGCGAGCGGGACGACGAGCGGGACGACGAGCGGGACGACGGCGACGGCGGCGGTGGAGACGTCGCCGAGCGTCGCGTCGGCGAAGAAGGCGTCGGAGGGGACGTGCAGGTTTTGTTTCACGGGGTCCGAGTGTGGGACGCTGATCGAGCCGTGCGCGTGCGCGGGGTCGCAGGCGTACGTGCACAAGAGGTGCCTACGACGATGGCAGCGCGTGAGTTATCAAACGCGCGGCGCGCGCGAGACGCAGTGCAGGGTGTGTCACGCGAATTACACGTACGAATCGAAAATTTGGAGCAAGGAGGCGCGACGCGGGCCGAGGTTTTGGTTTTCGTTCCGAGCGAGGGATCGGTTGAACGAGTACTCGCGCGCGTGGATTCAGAGCGCGGCGAACGCGTTGTTACGACGAAAGGGCGTATCCCTGCCGCGGAGCGCGAGCAGCGCGGGAAATCTCGCCTTGCTCGTCGCCCACAGCGAGGTTCGCATCTGGGCCGGGCGCGAAGAGCGCAGGGAAGGCGTGACGAGCGGATTACCGAAACTCTTGCGCGTCGCCTCGTTTCTCGTGCGCGCGGCGAGCTCGTACGCCAAAGTCAGGCTTCTCCTCGCCCCGAACGCCGCCGTCGCGACCGCCGCCGCGTCTTCGTGAAGAATGTTATCATCAGTGTAATTATCACTCGCGCGGCGAACCGCGACTTGATCTCGACGCTCCGCTCGGTCTTCTCTCGTCGTCGCCTCGCGCCGCGCCGCAGTGCGCGCCTCGCGTCGCGATGTCCGCCCCCGACGCGGACGTCCCGCGCACGCCCGCCGCGCGCGTCGACGCCGGCGCGCCTCCCGCGCTCGACCTCGCGTCGACGCACGAGATGGCGAACATCGAAGCCTTCGTCGCGTCGTCCGCGCCCGTTTTCTCGTCGCGCGCCGAGTCGAGTCGAGATTTCGCCTTATCCGAGCTTTGGGACGCGTTTACCGAGCCGAGCGCGTTCGGCGCCGAGGTCCCGCTGCGCTTGCAAGACGGCCAACCGTGCGTGTCGCAGTATTACGTGCCGTTTTTGTCCGGAATGCAGTTGTTCGTGCGCGGGGACGGCGAGGACGGCGAGGACGGCGAGGACGGCGCGAGACGAAGACGAGTCGGAACGGGGACGAGATTGATTTATGAATTCTTTGAAAAGGCGTCGCCGTACTCGAGAGCGCCGTTTCGAGAGATAATTGATTTGATACTAGATGAGCGGGCGGAGTTGAGGACGATGACGAGCGCGGACTTGGCGCCGAGTAGTTGGATGAGCGTGGCGTGGTATCCGATTTATCGCATACCGCAAGGGACGATGTTACACGACGTGCAGGGGTGTTTCTTGACCTATCACGCGTTGTACGCGGGAGAATTGTGCGATGGTGACATCGCGTGTCCGTTGCCGCCGGAGATGACGATGTTATCGGAAGATTTGCTCGCGCTGCGCGCCGCGCGAGCGAAGGAGCGGGCGTCTGCGTCGGACGACGCGGGCGCGGGCGGCGGATCGACCGCCGCACCGCACGCACACATCCTTCGCCCGTTCGGATTATCGATGTACAAAATGCAAGGCGACGTCTGGGCCGCGAACGACGACGTCACTGACTGGATGAACAAGCTCATGGACGGCGCCTACACCTGGCTTCGCATGCGCAAGACGGTGCACCCAGATTACGAATTTTTTAGCCACTTTGGATGATCGCGCGCACGCTCTCGCCGCGAGCGCTTAGAACGCATCTTAGCTCTTACGCGCGTCGTCCAGTACGGTACACTTGCAGTAAAATTACATTTCTTCATCGAAATTCCCCTCGTCTCGACGTTCCCCTCCGATTGTCTCACCGCGCCGGCGTCCCCATCATCATCTGCAACGCGCTATTCTCCGCCGCCAGCGTCGCCACCGCCGTCGCCATTCTTTCTCTCTCCAAAATCAACGTCCTCTCGCACTCCTCCAGCTCGTTCAGTTTCTTTTCCAACCCCTTGACGTATCGCGTCTTTCGCTCCTTGCTCCGCGCCGCGCTCAGGCGGTTGGCCAAAATCCTCTTCGCTCGCTTCGGATCCTGCATCGCCAGCTCTCGCACGTCCAGCGGCGCGTCGTCCAAATCGATCGCCATCGCGTGCGCCATCGCGTCCTCGTCCCCGAACAGCGAATCGCTTCGGCTCGGCGCGTCGTCGCCGCCGTGTCGGTCCCGCGCGCGATCGAGCGCCCGTTGCAGCGCGCTCGACGCCAGCACGTCCACGGGCGTGCTCAGCGACCGTCGGTGCTTACCGGGCGTCGGCGTCATCGCGCTCGAGCGCGGCGACATCGCGCGCGCGCCGCACCGCGCGACGCGGCGTTGTGACGAATTTTCGACTTCATTCGTCGCCGCGCCGCGATGCGTTTGGTCGTCGCGCTCGTCGGCGACGCCGCGAGCGACCTCGACGCGCGCGCCGCGAGCGCGCGGTGGTGCGCGGACGCGATCGACGCGCTCGACGGCGTCGCGGCGTGCGAACGCGCGATGCGGGACGGGGAAGATGACGACGACGATGGGTGCGCGACGCGGACGACGCGCGCGAACGACGACGACGACGACGCGCTGCGCGCGAACGGCCTCGGCGCGGCGTCGAGGGGAGCGCGATACGTCGCGCGCGCGTGGGGGACCGGGATCGCGCGCGCGCTCGCGAGCGATGGGCGGGAAAGCGAGACGACGACGGGGGTCGACGCGGAGACGCTGCGGGAGACGCTGCGAGACGCGAGGATTGAATTGTCGCGGGAAAACGGCGAAGGCGGACGCGGCGCGAGCGCGGAGGAGGCGGCGGCGAGCGCGTGCGGGGCGATGGAGCGAGCGAATCGCGAGCGAGGGGTGTGGGTGGATGTGATTTGGTTCGCGCCGAACGCGGCGGCTGTCGGCGATTTTAAACGCGGCGCGGCGTGGACGACGGGAATGGTCGCGGCGTACGGCGTGTTTCGACGCGCGAAGGCGTGCTTCGGGACGTTCGCGCGGTGTCGCGTGGTGCTGTGCGGCGAGGGGGGGGGGTCGGAGATGGCGCGAGCGGTGGCGGACGCCGCGGGGGCGTCGATTTCAAACGTCGGCGACGACGAGACGGTGGATTTGGGCGAGCGGTGGCGAGGAACGTTGGCGTTCGCGTCGTCGAGCGGGAAAGATAGGGTAGAAATTCACGGGTTACGCGCGACGCGTTTGCAGCCGCGAGCGAGCGCGGATGATGGGGAGGAGGAGACGATGGATGCGACGGCGACGACGAGCTCGGCGCCGAGACCGCCCGCGCCCGCGCCGCCTAGAGCGAGCGCGTTGCGCGTGGTGGAAATTGTGCGCGCGCGCGACATCCCGAGCGTGTACTTGAGCTCGACGTTATCTCTGTGCGTGCGCATGGACGACGTCCCGGAGTCGCGAGACGTGCGCGAGGCGTTGTTTTCGTCGTGGAGCGCGGCGTTCGCGGACGCGCCGACGCCAGGCGACGTCCCGGCGATGGTAGTGAAGACTCAATGGATGAGCGGCACGGCGGCGCGGCGTCAGTACCGCGACGTGTCGAGCGACGGACAACTCGACGCTACGCCGATGCTGCTCTATCCCGTGCGCCGCGGTGCCGATGGGTTAGAGTTTCATCTTCGTGCGTTCGCGACGGTGCCCGAATTGTTGCGGCGTCTCTCCGCGAGCGCGGGCGCGAGTGGGTTGAACAAAGTCAACGTCGCGATGGACAACATGAGCACACTCGCACGTCAAAACGCATTAGACGAAGCGGATCACGCGCTCGGTTTACTCAGCGCTCGACAGAGCGTCAAGCTCAAGGATATCGTGGAAGACGCAGACGTCGTCGAAGACGTGAACGAAGACGTGTACAAAGACGCCGAACCGAATTTGGTACCGCTCGACGAAGCGATCTCGCCCGAGATCGGTGCCGTGAAGAGCTCGCAAATCTTTTCCGCCGTCGCTGCGGCGTCGCGTGGGACCAGATCGAGCGAAGGCGATGCGTACGCCGCGTATGCGCGGCGATGGGATCGCGGCGGCGAAGCGACGCGCGTCGGCATTCGCGTCGATCCCGGCGCGACGAAGGCTACGAATACCGCCGCCTCGCACGCGTACGCGCTACGATTCGACGATATCGCGGATAGATTGATGGACGTGAACGAATCCAGCGTGTCAAATCCGACGTCTCGTCGTGTTGGCGAACAAGACGCCCTCGTCGAAGGGTTCCTCATCGAGACGTTTTCGAAATCAATCGACGTCGCGATGTCGCAATTCGATCAAAACGCCGCGGCGGCGACCATTCTACCGAGAATAGGTCGATCGAACGTCGTCGAAGACGCCGAGGCGCGTGAGAAGTCGTTCCGTCAGCTCATCAGCGAAACGGATGAGGACGCGAGAGCGCAGCGTCGCGCCGAACGCAAGCGACAGATCGAAGAACGCAGGGAGAAGACTTTCTTGGCGCTCGGTATACGCAAACCTTCGACGGCGACGACGACATCGTCCTCGATCATCGAGCGCGACGCCATCGCGCGTCCGCGCGCGGCGGCGGCGGCGCAACAGTCGCAACGTCACCAGGCGCTCGCGTTCGACGCCGTCGCCGCCGACGCGCGAGATCCGCTCAAGGAAAACCACGTCGCAAAATCATCGTCTATTTCGTGTCCCGCGTGCGCGTGCGCGCTCAACCATCCCGTAGGCGCCGTCGCGCTCAAGTTTTGTTACGAGTGCGGCGCGAAATTGTAACGCTTCTCCCTTTTCGCGTTCGCCCTCGCGACGCCTCCCCGCGCTCTCGTCGAGCATCGTCCGACGCCCCGCGCGTGGTTTCGTATTCAACCTGTAACATCAACGAAATCGCATCGCGCGAACGCACTGAAGCCGACATGTGCATTTATGCAGTATTCTTTCGTATTAAAGATATCCACTACGCTATGCGTGCGCGAGTTCAAATCTCGTCGGTGACGTTCGCGCGACGCGGTCACTGTGTCCGAGTGGTTAAGGAGGTGCGTGCCGCGCGTCCGCGTCGTGAACTCCGTGACTCACGCGTGCGTCGCTCCAGGTGGACTTGAAGATGCGTTACTTTTTTTACGCCGATCGCTCTTGGATTTGCGCTGCGCGCGCGCCCGGGTCATTCGCGCCAACCATCGCGCGGGCGCCAGACGACGCCTCGCCGCGCCCATGAGCGCCGCGAAGGAGGTGACGTGGGAGGACCAACAGCGCATATGCGCCTTCTCGCGCATGAACGCGCGCGCGCACGAGATAAACTCGGAGATTAAACACAAAGAGAAGCAGATCGATGACTTGGACGAAGCCTCGACCGAGCTCGCGGTCAACGACGAGGACGACGCGTGCGTGCTCATGGGGGAGTGCTTCGTGAAGATGGACAACGAACAGGCGGAGGCGAAGGTTGAGGCGATGCTGACGCGCGAGCGCGCGGCGTTGGAGGCGCTGAAGGGGGAGAGGAAGGTGTTGCGAGAAGGCATGGAGGAGTTGAAAAAGGTGCGCCTCGCGCGTCGGACCGCGCGCGCGTTCGACGACTGACGAGATTTAGAAATTGTACGAGCGACTAGGAAACTCGATTAATCTCGAGGAATGAGCCGTTAGGATGCCGTTAGGGAGACGACGCCGACCGAGTTTGTTGTGAAAATGTTAATCCAGAGCCGGCTACGCCGCGCGATTTACACGTTTGACTCGACGATTTCATCACTTCCATCGCTTGCACGAGCGCGCGCACTCCGCCGCCATGTTTTCTAAGCACCCCTCAAACTTCACCCGATTTTCTTCGCTCGTCGGTGGAAACGCACGATCGCACGCACCCGCGAACGCGTCCTGACACGCCGCTCTGCACGCAAACTTTTTATCGTCGTCTCGCGTCGCGCACTTCGTCTGACAATACTGCGTCGTCTCCCCGTGTTCCACGCACACGTCCACGCACGCCAACCCATCGACATTTTTCCCATTCGCGCAATCGTTCACCAACCGTCCGCTCGACGTCGTCGCGTAATCGTTCGCCTATCTCGCGCGCGCGCGTCCGTCGTCTCGTCAGTCTTCGGTCCAACTGGTCGGTCGGTCGGTCGTTCGTCATCGGTCCGCGTCCATCACGCACCTCGCCGTACGCGCGCCGCATCGCGGAGTCTACGCCGCCACTGACGTTCGCCCACTTGTTCGCCGTCGCCCACGCCTTGACGGCGTCGCGCGTGTTCGCATCGTATCGTCCATCGGCTCGGGCGCCGCGTTTCAAAAACTTTTCCCGGACGAGGAGTCTTTGCAGGCAGTGCACGTCGGCGCCGATCGACCCGGGCGCGAGGTCGCGCGGGAGGTGGCAGAAATCGTCGATCGATCGCGACGGCATGCGGTCGGGCGCGAGACGCGGCGAGGTGTGACGCGCGCGAGGCGATGAGATGACGGCGACGCGTGCATTGATGAGAGCGCGAATCGCGGCGAAGTCTACATTTTCTTGGTCTTGCGACGCTTGCCGCGAGCGCCGCCGGCGATGGCGCCGGTGATTGCGGCGGGTAAAGGCTGAGATTTTGAGGATTTGTCGCCGTTGAGCATGGCGACGGCGGAGACGTTGGATTCGTCTCGAGCGCGCGCGCGCTTGGCTTTGAGCAACGCGTCGCCGCCGCCGCGACTGGGGAATTTCGCGCTTCCGATCAAGGAGTGACGATGAGAGCCGAGCGGGATGGCGATCATGGCATCGAGTTCAGCGCGAAGCTTGCGCTCGTTTGCCGCAGCCGTGCTCTTGGCGCTTTGGTCTTCTTGGTACTCTTGTAAATCTTCGTCGGACTCGGATTCGCTGAGAATGATGCCGAGCTCCTCGGCGTTCGTCTTGCGCCACTCCTTGTCCGCCTTGGCCTTCTTCTTCGCGTGCGACAGCTTGTCGATCTTACGCGTCACGGCTAAACGTCTGCTCGCGGCGGTCAAAGTCTCTTCCGCGATCGGGAACGGGTCTAATGGTCCGTCGCGGTTGAGAGACTTCAACAGCGAGTAATATCGCGCGCGATCCTTCGGCGTCACCAAGGAAACCGCCGCGCCCAACTTATCCGCGCGCCCAGTGCGGCCGCTTCGATGAATATACGTGTCCGCACTGAGTGGGATTTGGTAATGAATGACCAGTTCCACGCCCTTGACGTCGAGACCTCGTGCGGCGACGTCGGTGGCTACGAGCACCGAGTGCGCGTGGCGATCGCCCTTGTCCGCCGCCGCCGCAGCGGCTTTGAATCGATCGAGCGCCTTCAAACGAGCACGCTGTTGCATACCCGCGTGAAGCCCTTCCACGGGCACGCGAAGAATCTTCAAAAGCGCCACGACCCGACGCAAGCATGAAATAGCGTTGACGAAGACGATGGTCATCCCGGGATGCGCCGAGAGGAGATAGTACAACAGCGAGTCGCGATCGTCCTCGGTGCACTCCAGCGCACTTTCCGCGATTGATTTCGCCACGGCACCCCCTTTACGCTCTTTTGTGGTCAGATCGACCATTTTCACACGCCCGTAAAACGGAACAGCCTCCATGAGTGATTCTAAAGAACCGCTCTGCGGCTTTCCGCTCATGGATGCCGGACGTTTCGACGTCCACGCCTTACCTTTTTTCAACTTTCTGCGCACAGAATCCGGAACCGTGAGCGTAGCGCTGAAGACGAATGTTTGTCGATCAAGCATCTGCTTTGGGCGCAGGGCTAACACTTTCTGTTTATCATCCTCTTCCGTGTCCTCAGCGAACGCATCCGTCGCCCCCGCAGCCTCGCGTTCTACGCTAGTGAGCTTTGCGGCGCCGCCCGGACGCTTGATGCGCGGCGGCTGCGGGATGTTCTGAATGATGCTCGTGAGCTCGCTAAAATGACCTCGCTCCACCATACGATCGGCTTCGTCGAGGACGAAAAACGAAAGCGCGCTGAGTTCGGTCAAGTGCTCGTGGCCGCTTTGCATTGTGTCCCACATCCGCCCAGGCGTGGCGACGATGACTGCCGGTTTCCTATTCAAAAGTCGTTCTTGCTTTTCCTTCGACATCCCACCAACGACAGGACATACGTCAATTTTCGTGTACACCGCGACTGCGCGCATCATGGCGCAGACTTGGAGCGCTAATTCGCGCGTGGGCGCGACGATGAGTGCTCGAAGCACGTCTGGCAATTGCTCTGAATCTTCTTCCTCTTTCGTCGCGTATCCTTCGGGTAAACCGATACCTTGGGAAAGTAAGCGTTGCAAAATAGGCAACGCAAACGCTAAAGTTTTCCCACTCCCCGTTTGCGCCGCACCGATGATATCGCATCGACCCTTTGTCGCCGGTAGCAAGCACTCGCGCTGAATAGGCGTTGGCGTGGTAAAACCGCAATCTTGAATCGCGCGCATGATGAGCGGGTGTAAATCAAACTCAAACCATGCACTCACGTCGCAACCACGATCTAAATCCACGCCATCGACGACAGCACTCATTCCTGATGTCGGGTGCTTGTTGTAATCGAAACCACTCGCCGTCGACGCCTTATTCATCGGCGCATCTTTCGCCGCCACCTTTTTGTGTGTAATCTTTTCCCAATCCTCTTCCACGTCCAATGCTGCATCCGCAACGAGCTCTTCATCCGGTTTCACTAAAGTCTTTCTGTTTTCTTTCTTCTCTGTGACTTTCGTGTCCTTCTTCTTCTTAGCTTGAGTCGCGCCAGACGTTGTCGGCGCGTCGTCCACGATGGCAACGCCGTCACCACTGTTCTTCTTCGCCGCCGGTACCGCCACCGCACCACTCTTCTTCGCTATTTTCTTCGCCTCGATCTTTGCCTTCCAGCGCAGTTTTCTCTTCATAATTCGCGCCTCCTTCCCCGACAAGCCCTCCAGAGCGGCTTCGTCCAGCGCCGCTAACGCGCTCGGCACCGCCGTCGTCGTCGAATTCTCATTCGACTTCTTCGAAGCCTTCTTCTTCCCCGCTTTGGCCTTCGCTCGATCACCATCGCTCTTCATTGACGCTTTCGCTTTCGTTTCACCTTTCTTCGTCGTTCCCTTTGCGTCGCCGTTTGACGCGTTTGTCTTCGCGTAGTCGCTCGCCGCCGACGGGTCCAAAACTTCCAAACTCATGAATCCTTCTTCTTGCGCCCCGAGCATGAGCGCGTTGGTGTTCACGCTTAACGACCGCCACGACTCGTCGTCGCGCAGCCACGCGTCGTGGTCGGCGTCGTCATCGACGCGTTCGTCGCGCGATTCGTTTCGTTTCTTGCCCATGGCGGCGGCGCCTTTCGATCCGTCTCACGCGCGCGTTGAGCGTCCGTTCGCGCGACGCGCGCGAGTCACGGTCAAAAACGCGTGTTTTCTGCGCCAGGCGCGCGCGATGACGGGTGCGGGGCGAACGCGCGCGCGTGTGCGGAGTTGGTTGACGCGCTTCGGGACAAAGTTGTGCGTTGGCTACGATTATATTAGTACAGTGTCACGGCGCGTCCACGAGCTGGCGATCGACTAAGGACTTAAGGTCGCCGTAGAGCTTTTTCCACTCTTCCACCTCGGCGCGCGCGCGATCGAGCTCGGTGGATTTCTTGGCGAGCGCGGCGCGAGCGTCGTCGTCTACGGCGCCGGATGTCGTCGGCGCGTCGTCGTGGCCGACGGTTTGAGATGCATCGACGGCGCGCTTCTTGGAAATGCCGGAGATAGAAACCGACGTTCCTTGCCAAGGTTTCAATCCACTTCGATCCCCCGGACCGATGAGAAACTTGCTGAACGTCGGCGCGGGCAAAGTCTTGGCGCGCTTTCTATCGGCGCCGTAATCGCCTCTGCCTTGACCGCTGTATCGCGAACGAGGAATGAGAGCAATGTCGCTGATGGGCGCCTTGGGATGACGCAAAATGTGTAACGTCTGGCGAGACGCGACGTCCCACACGCGCGCGGTACCGTCTTCGCTCGCGGAGATGATGGAGTTGCCGTCGCTCGAGCACCGCACGCTCACGAGCTTCTTCGAGTGCCCGACGAGCGCCACCATGCCGTCTCTCGCGTCGATGCCGCCGTCCAAACTCGCCGCCACCGACGGTGCACCGTTAAGTGGGATCTCAAACACGCGTCCATCGACCCCACCGGCGTAGAGCGTGGCTTCGCACGCGTCCAACGCGCAGCACGTCAACGCCGTGGGACATCGCACCTGCCGAAGCGTCGTCCCATTCCCCAAGCTATAAATCTTACACGTCCGATCGGCGCTGCACGAAACCACGCTCACGTCTCCACCCGCGCCCGCGACGCTCCCACACGTCACCCCGCTCACGCCCAGCGCGTGTTCGGTCCAACTTCTCCACGCGTTTGCTCGCGTCCCCGCGCCGCCGTCGTCGCACAGCGCGCTCACCCTCCACGCGTGCACCGCCCCATCCTCTCCTCCCGTCACCAGCGCGCTTCCGCAAGGCGTGAACGTCATCGTCGTCACGCCCTTAAAGTGCGCTTTAAACCTCGCGAGCAACCGCCCGCTCCGCGCTTCCCACACCGCGCACGTCCCGCTCGCCGACCCGCTCGCGACGTACGCCCCGTCTCTCGACGCGCACACCGCGCTCGGCCGCTCGGGCAGCACGGAGGCGCGTTCGAGAGATTCTTTATCGACGCCGTGCGTCGTCATCGCGCGCTTATCGGGCGCGATGGCGATGATTCTTTCGCAGTTGCTCACGCACAGGGCGGCGGCGCCGTCCTTGGCGACGTATTGCTTGACGACGGCGCCCGTGCGCGCGTCGAAGGCGACGATGTGCGAGTCCTTCGCCGCGCTGGCGATGAGGACGACGTCGTCCAGGGCGGAGGTGGCCATGGCGACGAACGACGGAGTGTGCGGCGCGACGACGTCGGAGCGGGACGCGAAGCGCGAAGCGCGGCGCGAGACGAGCGAAGATTCGGATGACGGCGAACGACGTGGATGTGGGCTAGGGCATCATAAATTACAAACAACTTGACCGTGAAAATCAACGCGACGAGGCGAATGAGGGAACGCGGCGCGAATCGAAGGGCAAAGCGTGGAATGTTGGATCACTCGGTCGCGGCGGCGGCGGCGGCGCGAGAAGCGCGAACCGCCGCCAACCTCTGGCATTGCTTCCACCATCGAGCGTAATCAGCGAGCAGATTGTCTTCGATAGAACCTTGTAAATTAGCCAGTACCGTATCGTTGATGCCGTTGACCACGAAATCCAACCCCGGAGTCATCGCGACGAAGTCGTTCACCGCCGCGTCGAGCGTGAGCGTCACGTCTCCGTTCACCGTCTTATCACCCCTCGGCGGTCGAAGCGCGCCTTCCATCGTGAGTTTCACCTTGCCTTGTAAATCCATCTCTTTCGGTAATCCCACGAACTCCAGTTCCTTCGCTCCGATCGTCAATCCCTCCTCGAGCGGCGTGAGCGTGAGCGTGGCGTACACCGTCACGCGTTGGCCCAAAAACTCAAACGGCAGCAATCGCACGCGCCACGTCGTCTCGTCCAGCTTCTCTCGCCTTCGACCGTCGGGAAACGTGACTCCGATGACGCGCTCACCGTCGGAGAGGTACGACTCGAACGTGTGGCGCTCGTGTTCGTCTTGTAAAGTCATGCGAAGCGATTTTTGGCTTTGCCACGAACGACGAACATCGGCTCGAATCGGCGCGGGACGACGCGCCGTGGACGTTGACGCGTGCGAGGACGCGCGCAAAGATGCGTTCGTGCGCCCGATGAACGTGGAAGCGCGCGAGGCGAGCGCGGTGGGCATCGCGGGCGGGTGTCTGACGTCAACGCATCATCTTGTCCCAAGGATAGCGCCTCGGGACGGAAAGGCGAAACGCGCGACTTGAAGGATCGGTCGATAGCGTACAGTGATTGAATTTGAATTAATCTTGCGTTGCTAGCGGTTGTGTGTGATGAAGTTTTCGCGCACTCGCGCAATCCCTCGGACGCGCGACTATTTATTGCCCGAGCATCTTGAAGTACAACTCTTCGTACTCGAGCGCGGGCTTGTTCCAGGACCAGTCTTGGAGCATGCAACGCTTTTGAAGCGAACGGAACCACACGCGATCGTTGTAGAAGGCATCGAGGCATCTATCGAGCGCGTAGTTGAGCGAACCTTCATCGGTCCCTTCGAAGCTAAAGCCGTTCGTCATGTCGCCATCTTTTTCCCAGTCGGTGGAACCGGCGATTTCCCAAGCCGCGCGCTCTTTTTCATTATCGACGTCGAAGACGGTGTCACGCAGGCCACCAGTGGCACGAACGACAGGTACAGCACCGTAGCGCATGGAAATCATCTGTGTCAAACCACACGGCTCGAACATAGACGGGACCAAGATGATGTCGCAACCAGCGTACATGAGGTGCGACAACGGCTCGTCAAACGCGAAGAAGAAACCAGAGTTGTCGCCGGCGAGTTGATTGGCGAGACCGTTGAAATCTCCTTGAATTTTGGGATCAGGCGCGCTACCAAGCAACACAAATTGCCCACCACGACTGATGGTGTGATGTGCGGCGTGCTTGATCAGGTGTACACCTTTTTGAGCGGTGAGACGAGAGACGACGCCGACGATGGGCTTGTCGTCCCAACCAGTCATGCCGAGGCGACTGCGAAGCTCAGCCCTGGCCGCTGCCTTGCCCTTTTCAGCGTTCTCGGCGTTATACTTGACCGGCACGAATGCATCCGTTTCGGGGTCCCAAATGTCGGGATCAATGCCGTTACGAATACCGGTAAACTTGCCGCCGTTGCCTCCGATCACCGGGCTGCCCGAGACTTCACCCGCATAGGACGGCGAAACCGTGGTCGTCATCTGTGAGTGGTGCACGGCCTCACCGAGCTTGGCTTGCCCGTAGTTCATGTTATGAATCGTGAACGCCACTTTTGGCTTGGTCAAACCATTGTGATGGTAGTGGTCCCAGTAAGCTCGCGCGACTTCTGCCGAACTCCAGTCGTGGCAGTGAAGAATATCCGGCTGACGAGCCGTGCGAAGGAGGAACTCGAGCGCAGCGTTGCAGAAGAAGTTGAAACGCTCAGCATCATCGTTTCTACCGTACACCGAGTCGGTCTGGAACATGCCGTTTTGCGGCTCGATGAAGAAGCACTGCAAGCCTTCCACCTTGCACTTTTCGACGCGAATCGTCGTGCCCGCCCAATCGAAGTGCGTTTCGTATTCTCTGGCGCCGAGCAAGACTGAGTTGTTGAAAAACTGATACTTCGGAAGAATGACTTCCACTAAGTGTCCATTATCTTGAATGGCGCGACCGATGGCGGTGACGACGTCGGCTAAACCGCCAACCTTGGCGATGGGTGCCATCTCCACCGCGACGTGCACGACGTGCAGAGGCGGCTTTTTCGCCGCGCTTCCGCGCGTCGGGATGTGATAGTCACGTCCGCCCTTGTTATCATACTGCGCACCTTCGCCAACGCCACTGCTGAAGACGAAGTCGACCATCCACGCGTCAGACGGTACGCTCGGCACGGTGGCGGAGAAAAATTCTTCGCCCTCAGTCGGAGGCGTCATTTTCATCGGCGCCACCGCGGTTTCGTGCGCCCAACGGTTGAAGCCGCCAGTCAAGTAAATTTCTTCGCTCCAGTTGAGGTGGGTGTTGTTCTTGTTGTAGAAGACCTTGAGCGGCTTGCCCACCTCGGGAACTTTCGGTTCGGTGTGAATGATGAACGCCTGCTGCTTCAAGCCCACTTCAATAGCCTTCGCCTTGGCCGCCGCGGCCTCCTCCGCGCGGCGGGCGACGCGCTGCTTTTCCTCAACCAAAGCTCGCAGCGCCTCCGCGCGTTTTTCTTCGAATGTGAGCTCTCGCAAGACCTCCCACGTGGACTCGTCGGACGTGACGTCCATGGCGAGTCGGTAGTCCGCGTTCTCGTTGTTGTCCCAAGCCATTTCGTCCTCGTCCGAGATGACAAAGTCGAGCACGCTCGCCGAAGGACGAATCGGGACGTCGGCGACCCACCAGTCGTTATTTTCATCTCTCGTTTCGCCCGTCGCGCGAACGAGCGTCAACTTCTCCTCAACGCCACGCATCCAACCGTTAAATCCTACGTGCATGATGAGCTTCTCCGCGTCGTCACCGCCAATAGGGTTCAGTGCCTTGTTCCAGAAGACGCGCTCCGTGCTACCGGCGACGCCCGCGTCCCCCGTGGAGGTTTTGCAAATGAGGCGCCCGTACTTTTCAAACGTCGCCCCGACGCCCGCGACGCCATCGCGGGCGAACGCCATTTCAGCGTCGACTATGGCGTTCGCATCCGCGCGCGCCGCGTCTTCCATGGCGACCACCTTTAGGATTTCCACAAACTCCTCCGGCGTCGGCCCGAAGTCGACCGCCGCGACGAAATCTTGGCCTTCGTCTTTTTCATACGCCTGTCCGTCACCCCTGAACACGAAAGACATTTCGTACGCCCGCTCATCGACGTCAACGTCGACGTACACCCAGCTCGTCCCCTCCACCCGCTCCATCGCCTTCTCGAACGACCCAATCTTCCACTGGTTGTACCCGCCGACGAGCGTGCGCTCGCTCGCCGACCGCAACGCGTCCGCCCGCTCCACGTCCGCGAACACCCTCACCGGCGCCCCCGCCACCGGCACCGCCGGCACCGTAAACACCCTCGGCCCATCCGCGCCGTTCAACTGCGTCTTCGCCAGATCTCGCACCGCCGCCGCCGCGTCCGCGCGCGCCGTCGTCTCATCCGCCGCGTTCGCGCTCGCGCGTCCCCGCGTCCCCCCGCGTCGTCTCACCGCGCTTCCGCGCCTCCGCCCCCCCCCCGTCGTCGTCGTCCTCACCGCGCGCGTCGCCGTCCGCGCCATCCCGTCCGTCTTCCGCGCCTCGATCGCCCGCGGCGCGCGCGTCTCGAAAAACCGATTCGATCCGTCCGCCGCGATCGTCTTCGCCGATCGCCGTCGACGCCGCGCACCGATCGCTCGGTCGCGCGTCGCGCACCGCGGGTTGTTCGGATCACCGCGCGGTTTCACCGCGCGTCGTGCTCGCGCGCTGGACGCGCGTCGCGTCGCGTCGCGCGATGGCGCGCGTCGCGATCGAGTGGCTGTGGTCGTCCGTTCGAATCCGCGCTTCCGGGTGTTTGCATCACCCGGCGGCGACGCGACTTCACTCATGGCGCGAAACGGTGACTGTGTACGACGAAAAAGGTGATACAAAAGCGCCGCGCGCGCGATCGACGGCGCGCGCGACGGATGGAACGATGCGTCGCGACGTCGCGACGCGTCGGCGCGTCGACGATGCCGACGCGCCGCGCGGACGCGCTGCGCGGACTGTTCGACGACGGCGACGGCGACGGCGACGCGGCGGCGCACGCGCGAATGCGCGGGAGCGATCGCGCGGCGGTGCTCGTCCCGCTCGCGGCGCGCGGGGACGACGGTTGGGACGTGACGCTGACGACGCGCGCGACGTCGATGCGATCGCACGCGGGAGAGATCGCGCTGCCGGGAGGGAAGCGAGACGCGCGGGACGCGTGCGACGCGGGCACGGCGGCGCGGGAGGCGCGGGAGGAGATCGGGATGCGGACGCCGAGGGACGTGGAGGTGGTGGGACGGTTGCCGGTGGTGATGTCGAGGCATCGCGTGAGCGTGCGACCGGTGGTGGGGGTGGTTCGGGAGGGATTTCGCGTGCGCGAGGAGGAGATCTCGCGCGAGGAGGTGGCGGAGGTGTTCACGGCGCCGCTGGAGATGTTTCTGAGCGCGGATCGTCACCGGTACGACGACTGGGCGCGGCCGAACGGGGCGCGCCCAGCCGTGCGCGTCCATTACTTTGAGTACGAGGGGCGCACGATATGGGGGCTCACGGCGATGATTTTGATCGAGGTCGCGCGACGAGTGTACGGTCGAGAGCCCGAGTTCGCGGTGGCCGCGGACGATGGCGTCGCGGTGTGGGACGCGCGATGTCGCGACGGGGAGGCGGCCGTCATAAAGAGCGCGCTGTGATGGAACACTGTAGGTTGATTTATAGCGGCATGAATATTGTAAAACTGAATTGGATATCTAACCGCAGTGCGGCGGGTCGATCTTAGACCACTCGAAAACCTTTTCCCACTTTGTCGCGGCGTTGTCCCAGGACAAATCTTGCGTCATCGCTTGCGTTTGCATCGCTCGCCACATCTTCGGTTCGGAGCGATACACGTCGCACGCCGAACGAACGGCCCACATCAGAGCATCGGCGTTCATGTCTTTGAACAACCAACCCGTGCCGACGCCTTCGCCCTGATTGTAATCGGCCGTGCCCGCCAACACCTTGTCGGCGTCGCCGAACGCGTTGTACGCGGTGATGGTGTCCTTCAAACCGCCCGTGGCGTGCGCGATGGGCAACGTACCGTAACGCATGGCGTAGAGTTGATTCAAGCCACACGGCTCGAAGCGCGAAGGCATGAGCAAAATGTCGCAACCAGCGGTAATGCGGTGCGCCATGGGAACGGAGAAACCGACCCAACCGCGGAACTTGTCCGGGTACGTGCTCTCGGCCCAACGCATGAAGTCTTCGAGCTCGGGCAAACCGCTGCCGAGCATCACCACCTGGACGTCCTCGCGCATCATGTCGTGGAGCGCGTTCTGGAGCAAATCCGGACCCTTTTGCCAATCCAAACGTCCGATGAAGCCCATCAATGGCACGTCGTCACGTTGCGGCAAGCCCAGTTCCTTCTGCAGCGCGCGTTTGCACTCGAGCTTTCCGGACATGTCCGTCACCGTAAAGGCCGCCGCACAATCCGCATCCGCCTCCGGATTCCACTCATCCATGTCTATGCCGTTCGCGATGCCGTCCAAGCGGTTTTGGCGACTCAAGAGCAAACCTTCCATGCCCTGACCACCTTCTGGGGTGGTGATTTCGTACGCATACCCTTGAGAGACGGTCAACACGCGGTCGGACGTCGCGATCGCACCCTTCAAAATGTTCACCACTCTACCCTCATCGAGTTCGTGCGCGCGCATGTGCTCGGGGTACTGGTACTCGAGCGCGCCGTACCACTCGTTCGGCACGCCGAGGTTCGGGAACGTCGTCGACGGTTCCGCGCCTTGGTGCAAAATGTTGTGAATGGCGCAAATCGTGCGCGCATCCTTGTAGACGCCGTGAGGACGGTATTTGGACGCCACCAAAGTCGGTACCAAACCGGCGTGCCAGTCGTTGGCGACGAAGACGACGTCTTGTCCGTAATAACCACCGCACTCCGCGAATGGCAACTGAAGCGGCGCTTCGCACGCGGCGTGGGACAACAAAGTGAATCTGAACTGGTTGTCGCCGTACACGCCGTACGAATCTCCGTACAGTCCACCCTTGCGGTGGAACGACGGATGATCGACGAAGACGTAATCGACGCCGTTCTTCATTTGATGAAAGTAACCCACCTCTTGTTCGCCACCGAAGCATCCGAGCTTCGCCTTGACGCACGTATCGAACGCGCCTTCGTACAAAACGTCCGACTTTGAGCCGTTTTGATACTTGGGCGCGATGACCATGACGCGGTGCCCGCGCGCGACGAGCGCCTGCGGCAAAGAACCGCACACGTCCGCTAGCCCCCCAGTCTTCGACCACGGCGCCACCTCGCTCGACACGAACACGATTTGCATCGGATTATCCGTCTTCTCCACCGGCGGTCGCGCCGTCGTCGGCGCCGTCGTCGTCGGCGGCGGTAACGCCTCCGCGAACATGGCGGTATCCGTCGTCGCCGTCGTCGCCGTCGTCGCCTCCGTCTCCTCCCCCCCCATCGCCTTCTTCGCCGCCGCCGCCTTCGCCTTCGCGCCGTATTCCGATTCCCCCTCGTACGCGCTCGGAAGATCGCCCGCGAACGCCTCCGCCTCCGCCTTCGCCGTCGTCCTCGCCTCCGCCTTCGTCTCCCCCCGCATCGTCGCTACCCCCCCCCCGCGCCCCTCGCGCGCCGCGCCGCTTCCCTCCGCGCCTCGCGTCGTCATCCGCGCCTTGATCGCCTCGTTCTCCGCCCTGAGCGCCGCGATCTTCGCCGCGAGCGCCGCTTTGCTCGACCCATCGCGCGCGTCGTTCGTCGCGTTCGCCCGCGTCGCGCGTCGTCGTCGCGTCGCGACGCGCGTCGCGGTCGCGACGCCGCGCGAGCGCGTCGCCGTCGTCGCGCCTCGCGCGCTCGCCATCGCGTCGTCGCGTCGCCGCGGCGTCGGGGTGTGCGCGCCGCGGTCGCGCGCGCGCTGGGCCACTCGTTCCGATCCGGGTTTGAGATCCTTTTCATATAGAGCTTGGTTGATGTAGTATACGTGTTTGAAGTACGTATAAAGAGTGGATAAAGCACCGTGTGTGTGCTCTATTCAAAAACAGCGGGCGCCCTAGGGCGCGCGCCGACGGCATGCGCGAGAGCGCGACGCGCCGAGATCGACGCGATGTCCGCGCCGCCGCAGGGGCAAGTGCCGACGTTCAAGCTGATCCTCGTCGGCGACGGCGGGACGGGTGCGCGACGCGACGCGACGCGAGCGCGGATGAGGGCCGAACGCGATCGAACGACGCGAATCCGAATCTGCGCATCGGAAACGGAAAACGAGGGCGACGGGACGCGCGGGACGCGGCGGGGAGAAGACGAGGGCGACGGGAGACGCGGACGTGGGTGACTGACGACGCGACGCGACGCGCGGGACGCGCGAGGACAGGGAAGACGACGTTCGTGAAGCGACACTTGACGGGGGAGTTTGAGAAGAAGTATTTGCCGACGGTGGGCGTGAGCGTGCACCCGCTGGATTTCCACACGAACTGCGGGCCGATTCGATTCGATTGCTGGGACACCGCGGGGCAGGAAAAGTTTGGCGGCCTGCGCGATGGGTATTACATCCACGGGCAGTGCGCGATCATCATGTTCGACGTGACGTCGAGGACGACGTATAAAAACGTGCCGACGTGGCACCGCGACATCACGCGCGTGTGCGAGGACATTCCCATCGTGTTGTGCGGTAACAAGGTTGACGTGCGCAACCGTCAGGTGCGCGCGAAATCGATCACGTTCCACCGTAAGAAGAACTTGCAGTACTACGAGTTGTCGGCGAAGTCCAACTACAACTTTGAAAAGCCGTTCTTGTACCTCGCTCGCAAGTTGAGCGGGAACGCGGCGTTGCAGTTCACCGAATCCCCGGCGTTGGCGCCGCCGACCGTCCAAGTGGACTTGGCCGAGGTTGCCGCGTACGAAAAGGAGCTCGCCGATGCGGCGGCGCAGCCGTTGCCGGATGAGGATGACGAGTTGCTCGACGCGTAATTGAGTCTCACTAGCAAAAACAAGTTGAACTCCCTTCGACACAACAACACAAATTTTACGTCTGTAGAAATCGGGCATGTCGATACCGATAGCGTTTTAAGACGAACGAACGAAATTATTAAACTCTCGGACGCGCGTCGTCGTCGTCGTCGTCGTCGTTCTAACGTATAATTAGTGTACTATCGCAACTCAGCTACGCGGTGCGCGTGCGCCGCTCACGCGCTCATGGCGTCTTTGAAAAGATTATTACTAATCTCCGACGCCTTCGCGCCGCGTCGACGTGTCATCATCATTGTAACAGCGCGCGACAACGTCTTCTTTTTTGTCGTCCGAGACGCGATCGAATACGCGTTATCTTCGTCCAATTCTCGCTGCTCCTCTTTCGAGAGAATCTCGTAGCAGTCGGTGCAGATGCACCGCGACTCGGGCTTGCATCGCCCGCGATTTCCGTGAGGTGACACTCGCGTGTGCTCCGCGCAAAACCACGCCTGACATAAACCGCAGAAATGCCGCACGGTGCGAGCTTTTTTCAAGTTTACTTGACACCCCGGGTCGCTACACGCGAGAACTTTAACGCCTGGCTCGCGCCGTCGTCCATTTAACGAGTCGTTTGGCGCGAGCGTCATCGCTTCTCTCGCGTGCCTTGATACTATGCTTTGATGCACGGGTGAAAAGCCGTCCGAGCCTCCCGCACCGGCGGCGAACTCACGCTCGTCCAAGTGTTTCCTTGCTAGCTGCTTGCGGCTTTCCATGGACATGCACGCATCTCCCACAGCGACAAAGTAAGGGTCGCTCTCGCTCATGCTCGATTGACTCTCGAGAACCTTCGTAGGCGTGAAGAGCTTTCTGTTGATGCTTATACCGACGGACGGCGGTGTCGACGGTTCCTTCATGCGGAGCGCCGGTTCGAGGAATTCCTTCACGCTCTTCTTCTCTCCCTTCGCTAGAGCGACGGTAAACTTGACCAAGGCCGCCATCAGCACCAAGCCGCGGATGATGAGGCCACGCGCGGCGATGACGAATCGAAGCGTCAAAGCGAGCGAAACAATCGTACCCACCCACTTGGCGTCGCTTTCATCGGCTATCGTCACCCAGTTCGACATCGCTTTGGTTGATTTACTCCTCCCGTACTCGCCCCAAGCAATGACGCGAAATTTGTGCCGCACCCCAGGCGCGCGACTCAACTCATCAACATCCACCGTAAACGTCTCACTGTCGACGTTCGCAACGTGAGTCCACTTTAAAACTCTACCACCCACCCCGACTCCGCTTTGCACGACGTATTCGTGCGCGCGCGGCGAACCGAGATCTTTCGGCGCTCTCCACGTCACGCGCACTCGCGGCTCCCCGTCGCCGCGCTCCACGCTCGCCTTGACCGCTCTCGGCGACGAAGGTGCGCGCCCGACGTGCAACAACTGCCTCGTCATCGCTCTCGTCAATTTTTCGTGATCGCGCACCACCCCCATCCGTCGCAACCGTTCGCCGTCCTTCGCCAACAACGATGGAAAATCCATCGACGACACGCCGTTCTCCGCGAACGCGTTCGCGCATTCCGGCGCCCCAACCCCCCATCGCACCCACTCCGCCGTCTCGCGCACGCTCTTCATCAACCCCGCGCCTCGCCGCAGTTCCCGTAGGCTCACCGTCGTGTCGTCGTCGTCCGGAGAATCCAATCGTCGCGCCGTCGTCGCCGCGTCCGAGCCCGCCACGCCGAGTCGCGCCGTCCCCAAGTACTCCGCCAGTTCGCCCAGCGTCAGCTCGCCGTCGCGATCGTCGTCGATCGACGAAAAGAACTTTGAGAATCCTCGCGCGCGGTCTCGCGCGACGCTCGCGGCGTCGAGCGCGAGCGCGGCGAGCGCGACGAGCGTCAGCGCGAGCAGCGGCAGCGCGTGTTTAAACGCCGCCCGCGCGTCGCGCGCGCGCGCGGGCTCGCGCTCGAGCTGCGCGGCGTAGTCGTAGCCACCGCCCGCGTCGTCCGGCGCGCCGGGCGCGGCGCCGGGCGGCATCGCGCGCGCGCGCGCCGCAGAGTGCGACGCAGCTCGGGACGACCGTCGTCGATGCCCGCGCGCGCGGGCGTCCGACGCGCGCGCGCGCGGACGTGATCGCGACGCCGGCGATCGCGCGCGATTCGAGCGACGCTCGAGCGACGACGACGCGCCGCGCGCGCCGCGCGCGGTGAAAACGAACGAAAGTCGAAAGTCGTTGGAGGATTCGAGGCATGGGAATTTGCTTTTCGAGCGCGTCGACGACGCCGTACGTCGACGACGACGGCGTCGGCGACGCGCGGACGTCGACGGGGTCTGGATCTTTCAAGGCGCGCGCGCGGGCGATCGCGATCGCGATGAAGGGGGCGGCGGTGAAGGCGAAGGAGAGGATGCGGCGAGACGGGGCGAACGCGAACGCGAACGCGAACGCGAACGCGAACGCGAACGCGAACGCGAACGCGAACGAAGACGATCGGCGAGCGGACGCGGTGGCGCGCGAGAGCGCGAGCGATGGAGCGGTGATGGGTAGCCGTGCGATGACGAAGTCCACGAGATCGCTCCGGATGACGCCCGCGGCGGAGGTGTTGGCGGCGGCGGAGCGACGCGAGGCGGCGACGACGAGCGAGGCGACGCCGTTGCCGTTGCCGCCTCCGTTGGGGAATTTGGCGTCAGCGCACGGGCGTGGGTCGACGCGCGTCGCGGAGAAGCTGAAAGTGCTCTTGCCCGGATCGCACGATGGATACGTGAGTTTGGATGAGGTGACGCTGGACATGGCGGTGGACTCGGGGGAGAAGACGCGATTGATTCAATCGCGAGATAGAGTGACTCGGCGGACGAATTCCTTCGTGTCCACCACGGCTGGGGCGGCGAAGGGCGCGATGGCGGCGGCTGGGAAGGTGGCGAAAGTGGCGTCAACAAAAGTGACGATCCCTCGGCACGCGAAAGGTGCGGCGTCCATGACGGCGGTGGAATTGTCCGAGTCGCCGCCGAGCTCGGGCCCCGAGCGCCGAGCGCATAGAGATTCGAGGTTGTCCGAGGTTAGCACGACGGCAAGCGACTTGAGCGCGAGAGACGCGATGGACGATAGTCATCGCGAGACGATGCACAAGCGCGATCGATCGAACCCGTTCATGGATGACGGCGCGCCGTCCGTGAGGGCGTCGACGGATCACGACTACTCAGACAACGGCATTCCTTCGCCGCGTTTGGGTCATCGTCGATCGACGAGCGGCGGCGCTTGGAGCGAGGTGAGTTACACCACCTCGGATGATGGTATGTTACGAATGTGTCACACGTCGCTCGCACCGACGAAACCTCGTCGATGGACAAAAGGGGATAATTTAGGGGAAGGTTCGTACGGCAGCGTCTGGCTAGCGCTCAATGGCGACACGGGTGAGCTTTTCGCGCTCAAGGAAGTTCGCGTGGGGAGTTCGGATAAGCACCGCGACGAGTCCATTGAGCAACTCGAGCAAGAAGTGGACGTGCTTTCGCGCTTAGTGCATCCCAATATCGTACGTTACATTGGGATCACGCGTCAAGAGACGGCGCTGTACATCTTTTTAGAATACGTCCCGGGAGGATCCATCGCGTCTCTCGTGCAGAGATTCGGTAAGTTTGAAGAAAACGTAATTCGCGTGTATACGCGTCAAATTTTAATCGGTTTGGCGTATTTGCACTCGCAGCGCGTGGTACATCGAGACATCAAGGGGGCGAACATTTTAGTAGAAAAGAGCGGGCGCATCAAGCTCGCCGATTTTGGTATGGCCAAGGTGCTCGAGCGCGTGTCGATCGGGAAATCGTTCAAAGGAAGCGCGTGTTGGATGGCACCCGAGGTAATACGCCAACAAAATATCGGTTTTGAAGCCGATATCTGGAGCGTTGGGTGCACGGTGTATGAGATGTCTACGGGCTCGCCGCCGTGGAGCGAGTGCAGCACGCAGGTGCAAATAATATTCAAAATCGCATCCTCGAACGAGATCCCAGACATCCCCGAGGATTTGTCCCCCGAAGGACAAGATTTCTTGCGACTATGTTTACAAAGAGACGCGGAGATGCGCCCCGAGGCTGTGGCGCTCTTGGACGAGCCCTTCGTCTTGGACGCGCATCGCTCGAGCGATCACACGCAAAACATCCCAGGATTGCAGTACGACACGTGGGCGTCATCTTCGGCGGTCGACGACGGGAGCATACTCTCGTCCGAAGCCGATCCGTCATCGAGGGTAAATTCGTCGCGTCACGTGGCGTGGGAGAATTAGGAAGTGTGGGGATTGTTAGTAAAATCAACATTTGTTCATCACATTGTCTCAAAAAAACGTTTCCGATGCGTCTCTCGTCGCGTCTTACACAGCGGCGTAGTGGTCTTCGTCGATAGTCGTGAACACCTCACCACCGTTCGACATTTCTTCGAGCGCAGCTTTGATGGCATCGCGAGTAAACTTGCCGTTTTGCTTCGACGCGATTTCATCAACGGTCATCCCTTGCTCGCCCTCGGCGAACTGCTTCAGCACGCCCATAATTGAAACGTCGATTTCCTCGGAGCCCAAATCACCATTCGCGGCGACGTTCGGCGCTTGTTGCGGCACGGTGTAAGCGTTCGCCGGCGCGGCACCGCCCGAGACCTTGGTCTTTTCGGCGTGGCCGCTCGCGTACACGACTTCCAACATGTGAAACGTCACCTCGTTGTGGTCGGTAATCTTACGCACCGCCTGCTGAGTGTGCGCGGCAATCATGTGTTCGTTGGCCAAAGTCTTCACCGAGCCATACACACGAACGTACGCGCCAACCTCGATCGGCTCGGCCGTCTGATCGCCGTCTTGGTCACTCCACACCTTGACGTCGCACACCCCGGTGGAATCGTCCACCTTGTACAAAACGTACGAGCTCTTACTCTCGACGCCCACAATCTTACCGACGACGGTCAGGTTATGAACCGGCACCCCATTCACCACGAGCGTTTCATCCGGCGTCTGTCGCGCGTCGATCGCTCGCTTCAGCATCTTAACCGTCAACGGTTTCATCGTCGGCGGCGCGCTCACGTTCGCGTACGTCTTCCCTTCGCTCGATCCATCCTGCGGTCTACGTCGCGTCATCGACGCCGTTCGCGTCCCATCGTCAGTCACCCGTCCACGATCGTCCGCGCGCGCTTCCCTCTCCCGTCCCTCCTCGTCCTCTCCCGCGTCCGCTCGCGCGCGCGCGTCGAGATCATCGTTCGAGTGCCGAGAATTTCAAAATTTCAAAATCAACAGCTCGTCCTCGATCGCGCGCGCGTTCGGTCGCGTCGCGTCGTCGTCGCGCCGTCGCGTCGCGTCGCGACGCACTGCGGCATGTACCCGTGGCTCCCCGCGTACTGCGTCGCGCCGGCGAAATCGCTCATCGCGCGCGCGTCGTCGTCGAGTGCCGCGCGCGCGGCGCGTCGTCGCGCGTCGGCCGCGCATCGTGCGCAATCGAGGACGGGATTTGAAGCGTCGATTCGCGTCGTCGGGCGGCGATGTTAGCGCGCGCGCGCGCGGTCGTCGTCGTCGGGCTAAATAAAGCGCGCGCGCAGTGCGCGACGCGCGAGCGAGACGCGTCGCGTCGCGTCGCGTCGCGCGGCGGCGGCCGGCGCGCGGTCGCGTCGACGGCGCGGACGACGCGACGCGCGGGAGACGCGGGACGGCGCGGGACGACGGTTCGCGTCGCGGCGCGGGACGCGACGCGCGGGAGACGCGGGACGGGCGATGACGGCGCGAGAGGCGGACGAGGAGGCGCGCACGCGCGCGCGCGCGAGGAGGGTGAGCGAACCGGCGCGCGCGGGCGAGGCGCTGAACGGTGTGGCGCTGTTCAGAGAGCTTCGAAGGGACGATCGCGCGGCGCTGTGCGCGCGCATGGTCGAGTGCGAGTTCGAACGAGGCGAGGTGATCGTGCGTAAGGGCGAGGTTGGGGCGAATTTTTACGTAATCGCGCAGGGATGCGTGCGAGTGGACGCGCGCGACGACGAGGGTGACGTCGCGGATACCGTCGACGTGGGATCGATGGAGGACGAAGACGTCTCGGCGAAGGATGGCAGTCGTCGAGTCGTGGCGTCGCGGCGAGAACAAATCGCGCCGGAAAGTCCGTCGTCGTGCGACGGCGAGGCGAGAGTAACGCCACTCAAAGATAGTTCTAAGTTGTTGTATCCGGGCGAAACTTTCGGGGAGGTGGCGTTGGTGCGAAAGTGCCCGCGCACCGCGACCGTCGTCGCGGCGTCGCCAGTCATCAAACTCTGGGTGCTCGATCGGGCGACGTTTCACGAGACGCTCAAACGTACGACTTTCGAGCGACGTTGCGAGTACATGGGTTATCTAGAATCTGTCGCCGTGTTTCGCGACTCGCTCGACGCGCGAACGACGTCAATGTTGGTCGACGCGCTTCGCATGACGACATTTGAGAGTGGCGCCGTCATCGTCAGCCCAGATGATTCTTACGATGAAACCTCCTCAAAGTTTTACGTCATCGTCAAAGGCGAATCGGTCGTTCACGTGGAAGATGGCGAATCGTTCGAGGTGAATAGGTTGAAGCGAGGGGATTACTTTGGCGAGGTGAGCCTAATTCATAAGACATCGCCTACGGCGACGGTGGTCGCCGTCGGTCAAGTTAGCGCGTTGACGCTCGATGCTGAGTCATTCCATCGAATGATTGGAGAGGAAATAATCGACATGATGGCAAAAAAGATAGACTCCTACTCGTACGCGTCGAATAAGGTGGAAAAGAAATCGAAGCGAAGATTGACGCGTCGAGCGGGATCGTTCGCTGCGTTGCGAGGGGCGGTAACGTCACGATTTCGATGGCTTTCTTTCGATCGGCGAAATATCGCACGCCGAACAGAAGCAATTGATTCACCGCACAATATTCATGCGATGGCATCGATCGACGTCGCGCCCGAAATTTGCGTGCGCTCGAGCAAAGACGTTGTTTTCGTCAAGGAAATTGGTGGAGGCATGCTCGGCGCCGTCTTCGTCGCAAAGACGTTGAGCACACTCACAACGTGCTGCGTCAAAGTCATGCACAAATGGAAAGTCGCGCATTTAGATCAAGAAAAAAACGTCTCACGTGAGCTCGAGCTCATGAAACGATTCGATTCGCCGTTCCTGACGCGCGCCTTGGGCGCGTTTCAAGACGCTCGCGCGTTGTACTTGCTCATGGATTATCTTCCCGGCGGCGATTTGTTCCAGCTCTTGGTGAGCGGACCATTCAGAGGTGGACAATTCCCCGTCGATATCGCTCAATTTTATGCTGCCGAAGTCCTCGTGGCGCTCGAGTACATTCATGCGAACGAGTACGTGTACCGCGATTTGAAGCCCGAAAACGTCCTCATCGACGCCGACGGGCACATCAAGCTCACTGACTTTGGCTTTTGTCGCCGATTATTACGAGGCGAACGCGCGTACACGACATGTGGCACCGCGGATTACATGGCTCCAGAGGTCATGCTCGCGCAAGGATACGATCAGCTCGCCGATTATTGGTCATTTGGCGTGCTCTTGTACGAAATGCTTGTCGGTTACGCCCCATTCGCGAGCGCGAACGACGGCGCTCGTCACCGTCGCATCGTCACTTCCGATCTAAAATTTAGTACCGCATACTTTCCTCTCACCGCAAAATCCCTCATTTCTCGTCTATGCGTCGTGGACGTGTCGCGAAGACTGGGATCGAGCGCGCGCGGCGTTTGGGATTTGAAGAGTCACAATTTCTTCACGGTCGATTGGGCCGACGTCACCATGCGTCGCCTCGCACCACCGCACGTGCCTGCGCGCCGCGAGCTCGATTTTACTGAAAATTCTGTGTCTAGGCACAAATCGCGCGAGATCATCAAGGCGCTCGAGCGCCGAGGCGAACGCGAAAGAGCCGAGTGCGGCGCGCCCGCGCATCGTTCGCAAGGAGATGAGTTTCGTGGATTTTAAAATGGGTAATGTGTCTTAGCAACAACTAGATGATAATCCGAGCGTTAGAAAAGTACGGATTTCGCGTTCATTGCTGCTTGCACTCGGGCGGTTGTTCGCCCTCCTTCGCCGCGCCGCCCATCGCCGGCGGCGCCGCGAAAGACTTCTTACCGCCGACGAACTCTTCTTCCTCGTCCTCGTCTTCATCTTCGTCGTCCTCGTCGTCCTCGTCGTCCTCATCGTCCTCGTCGTCGAATTCGTCTTCATCGTCGTCTTCGTCGAATTCATCTTCTTCGTCGTCGGCGAATGCGTCGCCGGTGAACCAGTTGACGGCGTCTGGAATCAAGTTGTTCGCGATCATCATGCCGAGCTCGTAATCTTGCTCCATCGCGTCTTGCAACTGTTCGGCGTCATCTTCGGACATGTTTTGTTGCTCTTCTTCGTCCGGGACTTCGGGCGGGTAGAAGAATTGGAAAAAGCTTTCCGCCGGTTCCGTCTTCGTGATGGGCTTTTTGTTCTTCGCCCCTGGTTTCGGCTTCTTTCGCAAAACCTTCACCGTCAAGTTCTTACCCGATTTCCAGTTGATTTCACTCGACTCAATGTATCGCAAGAGATTGTCTTCCTCGTCGTCCATGTGATACGTCTTCGTCAACACGGAATCTTCAAAGTACTCATTTTCTTCAAAGTGAAAGTCGATCTTGAAGCCGCACAGCTCGTCGCCGTCTTCGTCTTCGCCCTCGAGCGCGGACGTGGTGATATCGATCAAGTGCTTCAACGCCCCCTCATCGCGTTCGGTGATCATCTGCGCCAGCTCCTCGTTATTCTTGAGCGCAATCATCCAAAACTCTGGCACCCCCTTCGGCGCCTCGACGGCGTCCTTCGCCGCCGCTTCGATCTCCGCCTTCAGCTCTTCATCATCGTCCGGCACCGCCGCTTCCTTCGCCCCCGTCACGATTTCACTTCTCGCCTTATACATCGGCGCGTACAGCGCCGCGTATTTCGCCTCCAGCGCCTTTTTCTCTTCGAGATACGCCTCGTGGACGCCGTCGTGCGCCTCCTGCAGCTTCTCCAGCGCCTTCACCCGCGCTCGCACCCTCGGGTGCAGCTCCTCGAGGAATCCCGATCGCAGCCCGACCAATCCATCGAGCTTTTGCTGCAGCGCCCCGATCAGGCCGCTGTTCCCGTGCAGCTGCTGCAGCGCCGCCATGACCTGCGCGCCGTCGACCGATTTTTCAAAATCAGGATCGACGTCCGCGCCGTCGTCCGCGCCGTCGCGTCGCGCCGCGTCCGAGCCCGGCATGCGCGCCGTTCGATCCTAATTTCCCGTCCCTTCGCTTCGCGTCGCCGTCGTTCGCGCGCGTCGGCGTGTGCGGCGCGTCGCGTCGCGCGCGCGCCGCCGTTTCATCCGTCGTCGACGTCGTCCCGACATCGCGACGCGCGCGACGACGCGCGCGCCGCGGCGATGTGGGCGCCGCGTCCGTCGCGCGCGCCGCGCGTCCGCGTCGCCGCGACCGGCGCGCGCGCGGCGTCGCGCGGCGTCGCGCCGCCGGTCGCCGCGCGCGACGGACGCGCGACGGATGCGAATCGTCGACGCGCGGCGCGCGCGCGCGCGTCGGCGCTGCCGCCGGCGAACGAAATCGCGGGATTCGTCGTCGGCGCCGCGCTGCTGGGGCTGTGCGTCGGCGGCGCGAGGCTGGACGGGGTCATCGCGCGCGCGCAGGCGCGAGGGATGGCGGGCGACGACGACGGGAAACGACGCGAGCGGCGCGGGAAGCGCGGGGGGGGCGTGTTCGTCGTGGACGACGATGGGATGGGAGAGGGGTAGAGATGGCGAAAGAATAGCGTCGAAGCGCGCGCGCGGTCGCGCGCGGCGCGTGTAAATCAAAATCAAAGCGCGTAAGCAAATACTGCGAATAGCGGCGTCGTATCTTCAAATTATTACTTCGAACGCGCGTGGACGGTCGACGACGGCGCGAGAGGGCGCTCGGTGCGTCGGTTTAGAAAACCTTGACGAGCTCGACGTCGAAGTGCAGCGCGGATCCGCCGGGGATGACGCCCTTGATGCCTTTTTTACCGTAACCCATGGCGCTGGGAATGATGAGCGTGCGCTTGTCGCCCTCGCGCATGCCCTCGACGCCGACGTCCCAGCCCTTGATGACTTCGCCCACCCCCAAGCGGAACTTAAAAGTAGCGCTGCCTTTGGTTTGATCGAAAATCTTACCGCTCGGGAGCTTTCCGATGTACTTCATCGCCACTTTTTTGCCGCCGGCGGCGACTTTCGCGCTGGTGTTCTTCGTGGCAAAGGTGTTGATGATTTCCATGCCATTCTTGTGCACGCGCTTGGGTGTCTCCGGTTTCTTCGACGCAGATTCCGGTTTCGCCCCCACTGCTCGCTTCTTCGGTTCGGGGGTCTTCGCGGGCTTGGTTTCCGCCTCGCGCTTCTTCGCCGAGCGCGCCGACTCGTCTTCGGTCATCTCGACGATCTTCACACCACCCTTACGAGTGACGCCTTCGGGCTCGGACTCGGACTCGGACTCGGACTCGGAGTCGTCGTCTTCGGAGTCGTCGTCTTCGGAGTCGTCGTCTTCGGAGTCGTCGTCTTCGGAGTCGTCGTCTTCGGAGTCGTCGTCTTCCGAGTCGGACTCGTCGTCGTCGCCCGTCGTCATCATCTCCTCCTCCTCGTCCGAATCCGAGTCCCCCTCGTCGCCGTACACGTCGTCCTCGTCCAACTCATCCCCCTCGCCGTACTCCGGCATGTAATACCCCGTCAAGTGCGCCCCGCACGCGCCCTCGACCGTGAACTCCGCGTACTCGTCCAGCACCAAATCCAACCCGCACGTCTCCACTCGCCCACCGATCAGCGCGCACACGCGGTACTCCTCCCGCTCGAACGAATCGTCCGTCGACGAATCATCGTCATCGTCGTCATCGTCCGCGCCCGCCGCCGCTCGCAGCACCGCGTCGTCGGTCTCGCATCGCATCTTGATCACGACGCGCGCGCCGTCCTCGAGGGCGTCGCTCGCCGCCGTCGCCTGCGACACGTGCAGCCGCACGTCGACGTCCGGCGGCGGGACGTACGGCGTCCACACCCCCGGCTCGAGTCGCGCGCCCCAGAACATGTCGAGCGTCGGTCGCGCGTCGCGGTCGCGCGTCGGCGCGCGCGCGCGGCGGCGGCGGCGGCGGCGGCGACCGACCGCGCGACCGATCGACCGCGCGATCGATCGTTCTCGCGCGCGTCGACCCTCGCGCGCGGTTCGACCGCGCGCCGTTTTAAACCTCGATCGATCGACCGATCGACCGCGCGATCGATCGATCGTTCTCGCGCGCGTCGACCCTCGCGCGCGCGTCGACCGCGCGCCGTTTTAAACCTCGATCGATCGACCGATCGACCGCGCGATCGATCGATCGTTCTCGCGCGCGTCGACCCTCGCGCGCGTTTCGACCGCGCGCCGTTTTAAACCTCGATCGATCGATCGATCGTTTTCGCGCGCGCGCGGGATTTGAAATCGCCGCGCGTCGCGTCGCCATCGCGCGACGCCCGCGCGCGTCGTCGCGACGCGCGGATCGACGAAGACGCGCGCGACGTCGCGGGCGCGTTCGTCGAACTCGACGCGATGTCGTCGACGCCGCGCGCGACGGAGGCGAGCGCGGCGCTGGAGATGTTTCACGCGCGCGAGCTGTCGCGCGAGGCGCGCGCGAAGATCGAACTGCTCGAGCGGCGGCTGACGACGTCGGAGCGAGCGACGCCGCCGAGCGCGTCGCGGGAGACGGGGAGAAGCGCGCGGGCGCGCGCGGGCGCGGAGCGGTGCGCGATGGAGGACAGCGCGAGCGATTCGAGCGAGGACGAGGGAGGCGGGACGCGCGCGTACGGCGTGGTGGACGCGCGGGCGAACGCGTCGGAGGGGAAGGCGTCGACGGTGCGAGCGGAGGGCGTCGGCACGGGGGCGAGCGGGAACGGAGGGAAGAAGACGACGAAACGGAGACGGCGGGAGTCGGCGACGGCGAGCGATCTGGAGAATGAAAATCCGGAGCGGGGAGGGGCGAGCGGAGGGTTGGCGCGGTCGAGACGACATCCGGGGGGGAAGACGGCGAGCGCGCGCACGCCCGAGGCCAACGTCTCTCTGCTCGATCGGTTTGAAAATACTGGATCAGGGTTTAAGACGAGCTCGCCGCTCGTGGAAGCGATGACGACGCCCGGGAAAGGGACGGCGGGTGGCGAACGCGAGGCGGCGGCGACGAAGATTCGAGCGCTCGAGGAAAAGTTGGCGGCGACGGAAAAAGAGCGCGAGGAGTACGAACGCGGTTGCGAAGAGTTGAGGGCGTCGAATAATGAGTTGAAGCGCGAATTCGAGCGAGCCAGCGAGGCGAGGCGGCGGGGCGTGCATCAGCTCGCGGTGAACCTCGCGGTGTTGGAACGCAAACAAATGCGCATGCAAATCGCCGAGGAAGGCTTGCGTTTGGGAACCATCGGCGTTCAGCGCGTGGGATCGGTGTTGCAAGAAGTCTGGGAAGACGGACGCGCGTTCCATGAACTGGATGATCGACTGGATCGCTTGACGGAATCTCGTAAGCTCGCCGAAGAAAAGCGCAAGCAAGTCAAAAAGAAGTTGCCGCCGCCGGGAAGCGCGGAGATGGACACGACGGCGCACGCCGAGTACGTGTTGAGCGAGGAAGTACACAAAGCGCGCATGGCGATCATTCGAAAAGAAGAAGAAGCGCTGAAATCCGAGCGTGAGAGTCTTGAACGCGAAAAAGCTGCGCACATTCGCGCGCTCAAGCGCGTGCGAGACGAAGACGGCTCGAGATTTAACAAGCACCCGGTGCTCGGCGATCGTTACGTGTTGATGAATCTACTTGGACGAGGTGGTTTCAGCGAAGTTTACAAGGCGTGGGACAGCGTCGAAATGCGAGAAGTCGCGTGTAAGCTGCATCAGTTGAACCCGCAGTGGAGCGAAGAGCGCAAGCGCACGTATGTCCGTCACGCCGCGCGAGAGTGCGACATTCACAAATCGCTCGATCACCCGCACGTCGTGCGCTTGATCGACGTCTTCGAAGTAGATTCCGATAGTTTCTGCACCGTGTTGGAGCTGTGCACGGGCGATGACCTCGACGCTCGATTGAAGGCGCAAGGCTCGATCAGCGAACGCGAGGCGCGCGCCATTCTCGCTCAAGTTTTCAACGGCTTGGCGTACATGAGCACGGGGCCGAAACGCATCATCCATTACGACTTGAAACCTGGAAATATTTTGTTTGACGAAGCCGGGCGAGTGAAGATTACGGATTTCGGCTTGAGTAAAATTATGGAAGAGCGTAGCGTCGGTTTCGGCGCCGACAGTGGCATGGAGCTCACGTCGCAAGGCGCTGGAACGTACTGGTACTTGCCCCCGGAGTGTTTCGAAACCGGTCCGGCGCCGCCGAAGATCTCGAGCAAGGTTGACACGTGGTCGTGCGGTGTCATCTTGTTTCAAATGATTTACGGCAAGCGACCGTTCGGCCACGACATGTCACAGGAGCAAATCTTGCACGCGGGCACGATTCGAAACGCCAAGGAGGTGGAATTCCCAAGCAGACCCTCAATTTCGCTGGAAGGCAAGGCGTTCATCTCGCGATGCTTGGCCTATAAGCAAAGTCAACGCCCGGACGTGCTCGAGGCGAGCAAGGATCCGTACATGACATTTTTGACGAAATGATTAGACAGACACGATACGAATAGAAGAAGGGAATAAAAGATGATGGAACATTGCAATGAATTCTCACATGATGACGCACGCGTTGGCGTCGCGCTCGCGCTGCTTCTCTCGCGACACTCGAGACGGCGGCGGCCGCGATGGGCTGTGCTCGAAGTTAGCGGTGTCTAATCCGTACTTTTCGCGCATCCTAATGCGCCAAGCACTATCGCCCGCGCGTTCCATCTCTACTCGCGAGCTCCCGACGAGGGGCGCGCGTTCGCGATCCCCGTACGTGTCCTCGTAGTAGCTATCTTCCTCGTCATCGCTATCCACACCACCGCTTTCGGTCGCCGCTCGCCGTAAAGCGATCGCTAATATGATGCTCAAAATTTGCACGAAGAAGACGACGAGGACGAGCGACGTCACCGCGTTCTCGTGCTCCTCCATGAAGGACCACGCGTTGGCGTACGCCCCCGTCACATCCGTCGGCGCCGACGCGTACGCCTTACCACTCGACACGTACGCCGCCAACCCAGCTTGCAATATCACCATCCACATCACCTGATGCGCGTACATTCCCAAACAACACGCGTTCCCGTTCTCCGCGCCCGCCAATCCCAACCACGCCGTCGCCGCGCAAAACGCTCCGCTCCCCCCGATAAAGTACACGAACCACGGTTCCGTCTCAAAGAAATTATGCACCCGCGCCTTCGTCTGTTCAATCGCCGTCGCGTTCTCGCTCACGTCCACCGTCGCGGGCGTCCGCGCGTCCGGCCCGTCGTCCCAATCCAAACCGTCCAGCCCGACGCGCCGCTTGTTAAATCCCAACCACAAGTGAAACGCAAACAACGCCGTCGCGAGTCCGCCCGCGAGCAGCGCGCCGTTCGTCAGCCGCAACAACGCCCGAAGGAACGATTTGAGTCCCGGCACGCGTCGTCGCGCCATCGTCGCGCCGTCTTCGTCGTCAAACTTTTCTCAACACCAATCGGTTGTCGCGCGCTCGCGTCGCGCGTCGCGCGCGCGCGCGCTCTCGCTCTCGCGCGCGCCGCGTCGTCGCTCGCGCGTCGTCGATCCGTCGCGTCGTCGCGTCGTGGATCCGTCGCGTCGTCGCGTCGTCGTCGTCCGCGCGCGTCGTGCTCTGCCGACGGCACTGCGTCGCGCGTCGCCGCGCGCGCCATGGCGCCCGCGCGTCGCGACGCCGTCGAGCGACGGCGCGAAAGAGACGGCGTCGCGGCCGCCATCTCGCTCGCGCGCGCGTCGTCGAGCGACGCGCGCGAGGACGCGCAGAAACGATTTCTGCTTCGACGCGCGTCGAGCGGGATGCGCGGCGCCGAGGCGCTCGCGACGTTCGTCGAACCGCCGGCGATGGCGACGGCGACGCGACATAAATTAGGAGGTGCGCGCGCGCGATGGCGCGATGGGCGACGCGATGGACGAGCGATGGACGAGCGATGGGGAGACGCGCGGGTGGAGAGATAATCCAAATCTAGACGAGCGCGCGACGACGAAACGGATCACGGATCGCGGACGACGACTGACGGATGGACGAATGGATGCGAAAACGTAGGCTTGGTGTTTTGGCTGGGGAACTTTTACCTGTGGTACGCGGTGATCGGCGCGGCGTTCGTGCCGCTCGGGTTGTACTTTACGGCGCTGGTGAAGAGCGTCTTCGTGACGAACGGCACGGAACACGGGCCGCACGCGGAGCAGGTGGGGATCGTGGTGATGATATACGCGTGGATACTGAGCGCGATATTCGTATATCCCGCGTATTGCGTGTTCGGGCCGTCGATGTGGTTGAAGAATTTCTTCCTGGGGTACATCGCGTGGTACGCGACGCTCGACAGGAAGACGGCGAGCTCGGGGAAGCGTTTCGCTCGATGGTCTCGGCGGTTACCGTTTTGGAGGATTTTGGCGGAGTATTTTCCGGTGCGATTACACGTGAGCGCGAAGTTAGATCCGAGCGGTAATTACTTGTTCGGTTATCATCCGCACGGCGTCATCGGCGTCGGCGCGTTGTTGACGTTCGCCACCGAGGCGACGGGATTTTACGAAGCATTTCCGGGACTCGATTTGCGTCTTCTCACGCTGTCCATGAACTTCAAGTTCCCGTTCACTCGCGAGGTGTTGATGGGGCTCGGGATCAATAGCGTGACCAAGTCGAGCGTGGAGACGAATCTGACGCGCGCGCCGGGGGCGTCCGTCGCCATAGTCATCGGCGGCGCCTCCGAAGCGTTGGACGCGCGTCCGGGCTGGGCCACGCTCACGCTCGCCAGACGCAAGGGGTTCGTAAAGATGGCTCTTCGCACAGGAGCATCGCTCGTGCCCGTGTTCGCGTTCGGCGAGAATGACATCTTCGAACAAGTGGAAAATCCCGAAGGCGGACGATTGAGGAATTTCCAAATGTACATCAAACAACTCATTGGCATCACGCCGCCTGCTTTTTACGGGCGGTCGCTCAGTCGAGGCATGTGGCGTCGAATCTTTGGTCGCAAAGGTGTGCTTCCGAAGCGTGAGCCGATCGAAGTCGTCGTGGGCAATCCCATCGCCGTGCCCAAAGTCGTCGATCCGTCAAACGAAATCATCGACAAGTACCACGCCCTGTACACCGAATCTTTGAAAGAGCTTTACGAGTTACATCGTCGACAGTTTCATAGACTCAATCGCGGGGGGTCGTCGGATGATCTTCTGAGCGATCTCCTGACTCGGCAAGGAAAACTGCAAAACATGCAGTTCAAGTAGTATCACACAGTATCGCGCGAACGCAAACGAACGCGCGCGCGCAACTCCATTCTTTCTCTCGACGAATCGACTCGCATTTATGTAGGACGTGTAAAGCATACGCAGGATTTGAACGAATTCGAAGATTTATTACATGCAATTTCACGCGCGACGCGGGGTGCTGCTCAATTGTGGCAGCCCGTTACAACTTGGCGCCGGTGAAACGCAAGAGAATACCGTCGTTGCCGAGAATAAATCCTTGATCTTCGCTTTGGAACTTGACGTTGTAGAGGTTCGCCGCGACGTTGTCCGTGCCGCGGTCGCGCTTCCATGACTTACCGGCGTCGGTAGAGTAAAACACGCTTCCAGAGCCACCCACGGTCCAGAACGTCTTGCCGCTCGGGGTGTAACCCAAGTCGAGCAGACCAAAGCCGCGAGAGCCGATTCTACCTTCGTTGAATTCAGAATCCTCCTCCGGGAGGCCGGTTTCGGCGGAGAAGAAGATGCCACCGCCGCGGGTAAGCTCCCAAATCCCGCCATCCGGGCGCCAGCCCATGCTTTGCACCCGACGCGCGGACGTTCTGTTGTGCGGTTGCCAGTACGCCTGACCCGGCGCCCAAGACATGTAAAAGTTCCCGCGAGAGCTTAAACCGAGGTACTCGCCGTTGTCGTTGCGCGAGATCGTGGAGAACGTGCCCGTGTAATACGAAGCGCCGGTGATACCAGAGCTCACCGTGCGGTTCAACGTCGCGGAGACGGTCTCCTCGACCGCAGCCTTCCAGTTGCGCGCCGCGTCCTTGGTGAAGTAAATCGCCCCCTCGTCCGTCACCATCTCAGCCGTGCCGTTATCTTGCACCGCCGTGATCAACACCGGCGCCCCCGGAAGTCGCGGGCTCAACCCGACGCGCTCCCAGTTCGCGCCACCATCGGTCGTGTGCAACAACACCGCCGGCTTACCGATGATCCATCCCTCGTCGCCGCAAAACGACACGCTATTAAAGCGATAATTCACGTCGTCGTCCAACAATCCGCTCAAGTCGCGCACGTCCCACGTCTTCCCTCCGTCCTTCGTCTCGAGCACCGTCTGCCTCGTCCCGAGCAAGAACCCGTGCTTGGGATCGTTCGAACTGAACGCGATGTCCAGCAGAATCACTCCCGGCTCCAGCGGCAGCTCCACTTGCTCCCAGTACGAGCTCTCGATCGAACCCTCGGCGAGCGCGCGCTTATCCATCGGCAGCGCGCTCAGCGCCGCGACGAGCGTCGCCGTCTTCACCGCCAGCGCGCGTCGCGGCATCTTCCCCTCCGCGCTCGCGTCCTCCCCCGCGCCCTCCGTCGTCGCCCGCGTCGCCGTCGTCGTCCGCGTCGTCGCTCGCGCGCGCGATCGCGCCCCCCCTCGCGCCCGTCTCGACCCCGCGTCGCGCGCGCGCGCCGTCGCGCGTCGCGCCGTCGCCGTCGTCGCCGTCGTCGCCGTCGCGCTCGTCGTCATCGCGCGCGGTCGTGCGCGCGCGCGTCGGTGTGCGCCGCGCCGCGCCGCGCGCCGGCGCGTCGCCGCCGCGCCCGGTGGTGACGTCACCACCGCGCGCGATCGATCGCGCGCGCCATCGCGCGACCGCCGCGTCGTCGATCGCGCGCGCGCGTCGATCGACGACGCATCGATCGACGCGGCGCGCGCGCGATCGATCGACGCGGTCGCGCGGCCGCGCGCGCGATCGATCGACGCGCGATCGCGCGACCCTCGCGTCGTCGATCGCGCGCGCGCCGCGAACCTCGCGCGGTCGACGCGCGCGCGCGCCGAGCGATCGATCGACGGCACACCGCGGCGCGATGGATGCGCCGGCGAGCGGCGCGTCGTCGCCCGGCGACGCGCGCGCGTTCGACGACACGGTGGACGGCCTGCGCGGGGAGCTGGAGGGGATGCGCGCGGCGCTGGAGACGAGCGAGGCGAGGCTGGAGCGCGCGCGCGCGGCGGCGGCGCAGGCGGGACGGCTGAGCAAGGCGTACGCGAGCGTGGACGAGGACGTGCGGCGACTGACGAGCGCGCTGGAGGCGCGCGAGCGCGCGCTGGAGGAGGCGCGAGCGACGGCGAGGGAGATGGAGGAAGCGAGGGATCGAGCGGCGGCGGGAGAGGCGAAGACGAGGGCGGAAAGGGACGCGCTGCGGGACGAACTGCGGGCGACGCTGCGAAGGACGCTGGCGCGGGCGGAGGCGTCGAAGAGGACGACGACGTCGACGACGGACGCGGAGGCGCTGGAGAGGGCGAACGAGAGGGCGAAGGAATTAGAGGACGCGCTCGAGAGGGAGAGGGCGGCGCGCGAGGCGGAGACGAAGGCGAACGCGGTCGAGACGGAGGCGAAGACGAAGGCGACGAGAGAGACGTTTGACGCGGCGAAGCGCGAGCTGGAGGATGCGCGCGAGAGGTCGCGCGCGGAAGCGGACGAGGCGAACGAAAAGGCGGAGACGGCGGCGGCGGAGCGAGACGTTTTGAAATCGCGGCTTAGAGCCGCGGAGGAAGGCGAGAGGGCGTCGCCGGAGCTCGCGCGAGAGATTGAGGAGTTACGAAGTTTACTTTCCGAACGAGACGAAGAAATTCGGGCGACGGCGTCGACGTTGCGGGAGTCCGAAGCCGCGCTCGAAGAGCGCGCGGATGAGCTGCGACGAAGCCGCGAGAAAGAAAACGCGCTGAGCGTCGCGCTGAGCGACGCCGAGGCCCAGCTCGTGGAATCTCGAAAGAACGTCGACCTCATCGTTGCTCGCGCGGACAAGGCGAGTCAAATTTTCACGGAAAACGCCGCCGCGCTCCGTTTGGCGGATGCACGCGCGGCGACGGCGGAGTTAGAGGTCAACGTGGCGGAGGAACGAGTGAAGACGCTCGAGGAAAACTTGGACGCCATCGCCGCCGAACGCGACGAGCTCCAGCGCGAACTGGACGCCCAAAAGCAGCAACAGCATCAGCTGCGACCGATATCGCCGGTAGTGGCGTCCTCACCCAGCGCCGCCGTCTCGGCGTCGCCCTCGAAACCCGCCGCCTCCATCGACGTCATCGAGGCGCTCGAGCACGAACGCCGCGCGCGCGCGCTCTTCCAGAGCGACGCTCGGTACTGGCGAGAGCGTTACGAGGCCATCGCGGCGACATCATCCGCCGTGCTCACCCCTCTCAGCGCATTCGCGCCTCAAACGGCGAGACGTCCCAACACCCCCGGGAACGCCCTCGCCCTCGCCGCGGGTCTTCCGCCGTCCCCGGTCGTCCTCGACGCCGACGCCGACGCCGACCCCGACGTCGAAGACATCGACGAAGAGCGCCCCGACGCAGAAAATACCGAGAACGAGCCGATCCCGCGAGCAAAAGCGAAACCGATGACATCGATCGATTCCCCGGCGCCGCCGACGCGCGCGCGCCGCTCCCTCACCGCGTACTTCCAGTGACGCCGCGCGGCGACGTTCAACGTAGCGAATTGAAACGAATTAGCATGTGCGAATAACGCGAGAGACGATGATTCGATCGCGACGACCACCGCGTCGACCGCGCGCGCGGTCGCGCGAGGCGACATTAAAACGCGCGCGCTCGGCGCTCGCGCGCGACGCAGGGAGCACAAGATGATGACACTGGCGGCTCGCTTTATCGTCACATCGCGTCGTCGCGCGCGCGCGGCGGCGTCCGTGACCGCGCGCACCGCGAAACAAACACGCGCGATCAAAGTTTCGCGCGCGCCGCACGCCTCGAAGACGCGCGGCGACGACGTCAGACGCGTTCAAAGCGACGAATTCCACAAAACTGATCGTTCGCTTTAAATCCTGATTAAAACGCGAGAGATGTGCGTCGAAACGACCGAAGGCACATCGCGAACGATGGCGAACGAACGCACGAGCTCGTCGTCGTCGCTGAGCGAAGGCGGAACGCCGACGGTGACGGTCGGGATGGGAAGCGAAGACGCGGGGAAGAAGACTCGAAACGCGAGCGTCACGGCGTGGACGAAAGAGTTGGAGCCGCACGCGATCGCGAAGACGTTCGAACGGCGGTACGTGACGATCGAAGGCGTGGAATACGATGTGACGGATTTTAAGCATCCCGGAGGATCGGTTATTTATTACATGCTGTCGAACACGGGAGCGGACGCGACGGAGGCTTTTAAAGAGTTTCATTATCGGTCGAAAAAGGCGCGCAAGGCGTTGGCGGCGTTGCCGCATAAGCCAGTGGACGCGGCGACGCGGGAACCGATCGAAGATGAGGCGATGCTGAAGGATTTCGCGCAGTGGCGCAAGGAATTGGAGCGTGAGGGATTTTTTAAGCCCTCGCCGGCGCACGTGGCGTATCGATTCGCCGAGCTCGCGGCGATGTTCGCGCTCGGCACGGCGTTGATGCACGCGCGTTGGCACGTCGCTTCCGTGATCGTGTACTCGTGTTTCTTCGGCGCGCGATGCGGTTGGGTGCAGCACGAGGGTGGGCACAATTCGTTGACTGGAAACATTTGGTGGGACAAGCGAATCCAAGCCTTCGCCGCGGGGTTCGGCTTGGCGTCGAGTGGCGACATGTGGAACAACATGCACAACAAGCATCACGCGACGCCCCAAAAGGTGCGACACGATATGGATCTCGACACCACTCCCACGGTGGCGTTCTTCAACTCCGCGGTTGAAGAAAATCGCCCGCGGGGATTCAGTAAGTTGTGGTTGCGCCTTCAAGCGTGGACCTTCGTGCCCGTGACGTCCGGTATGGTTTTGTTCTTCTGGATGTTCGTCTTGCACCCGCGTAACGCGCTGCGACGCAAAAGCTTCGAAGAAGCGGCTTGGATGTTTTCCGCGCACGTCATTCGCACGGCGGTTATCAAAGCCGTCACCGGCTACTCCTGGATCGCCTCGTACGGCTTGTTCGCGGCGACGATGTGGGCGAGCGGATGTTACTTGTTCGCGCACTTTTCCACGTCTCACACGCACTTGGATGTCGTGCCGAGCGATAAACACCTCTCGTGGGTGCGATACGCCGTCGATCACACGATCGACATCAATCCGAACAACAGCGTCGTCAACTGGTTGATGGGCTACTTGAACTGCCAAGTCATCCATCACCTGTTCCCGGATATGCCTCAGTTCCGCCAACCCGAAGTCTCCCGCCGATTCGTCCCGTTTGCGAAGAAGTGGAACTTAAACTACAAGGTCTTGACGTATTATGGGGCCTGGAAGGCGACGTTCGGCAACTTGAACGACGTCGGGAAGCACTATTACGTGCACGGATCTCAGCGCGTCAAATCAAAGTCGGCGTGAGTTTCGATGAGCTCTTCGCCCTCGCGATGTCGCCTCGCGCGACGTTCTCTCATCTTATCCCATCTTGCATCATCTCGCGCGGCACTTCACTAGCTCGCCGCGCGTTATCTCCAAGATTTACCGCTTTGTGAACGTTTATTCTAGCAACCTTTAGGGTTTTTTTCGCGAACGAGACGTCAACTTGTCTGCCGCCCATCGCAACGTTCCGCCACACCACGGCTCGCCGACGCCCGCTCGCGCGATGTCGTGCGTACGTCTGCTCACCCTCCTCGCCCTCGTCGGCACCGCGCGCGCCTCGGCGGTGGATAACCAAGCCTGCGCGACGTCGTCGACGCCGAGCGGGACAGATTTCTTTCCCGCCGCCGCGCGCTTGTCCCCGGGGAATCTCACCTCGGGAAGCGCGAGCGCGTTCGTGGACGGTGGCGAAGGGTTCAATGTCACCTACGCCGAGACGTTCAAGGTGGTGCGCACGAAGGCGCTGCCGGGCGTCGAGGCGTTGACGTACGTGCTGTACCAGTGCGGGACGACGCAGCCGACGCAGGACGTCGACGGGTCGGCGTTCCCCGCGGGTGCGCGATTCTTCTCGGTGCCGGTGAAACGCGTGGCCACGGGAATGAGCGTCGCGGTCGGATACCTCGAACAGCTCGGATTGCGAGATAAGTTGAAGTTGATCGATCCGGCGTACGTGCACGCGCCGTGCGTGCAAAAGGCGGAGGAGGACGGAACGCTCGCGGCGAGTCACGTGATTTATTTGGGTGCGTCGAAGTACAATTACACGCTGTGGCACAACAGTATTTCGACCAATAATGTGGAGATGGTCATCACGGATGAGTGGGACACCGGGTATTCGAACTCGGACAAGGATGTGGTGTTCACGCCGTCGCACACGAATCTCGGCATGCTCGAGCGACTTTCGTTCATCAAATTTATCTCTTTGTTTTTCAACAAGGAGACCCAAGCGAGCGGTTACTACGCCGACCAGTACGAACGTTGGAATTACATGGCGGGGCAAGTCGCCGCGGCGCAAGCTCGAGGTGGCATTCCAACCGGTTACAAGTGCGCCTGGGTTACTGCTGCGTACGAAATCACTTGGGACGACTACAAGCGAGACATTTGTACCGCCGCGGGCTTGAGCATTCACATTCCGAGCGCGGCGACGTCGAGCGCGGGCTATTACAAGTATCCAAGCAAAGCGGCGTTTCTCACCGATATGGCAAATGTTGCCGTCGTCATCGATGAATCGTGGTTCACTACGCCGAGCACGGATGCGACGAAGACCGCCGTCATCACGAATCTTGCCTTCAACGAAGCGCCGGGTCTTCCCAGTCTTTCACCGTCGACTGGTATGATCTTGCGATTGGACAAGCACGTCAGCGATGGTGATCCCTTGTACTCACACTCAACCTTTTGGCCGACCGAGTCGTTGACGTGGTTCGAGGACTCTTACGTGCATCCGGCTGTGGTCGTGCAAGATCTCGTGCGTCTGTCGTGGCTGAATGGCGTCGCGGGCGTCACGACTCTTCAAGAAGGATGCCCTCGATTCTTCCGAGACATCAACAGCAACGACGTCGTCGTGAAAACGACGGCGAATGAGTGTACGCTGTGGGACAACGCCCGAGTCAACGGTCTGTGCCTCGCGCAGCTTTCCGCGCAACGTGTCGCCGTCGCCGCGCTTCTCGGCGCGTCTCCCGCGGCGCGCATCGGCGCGAATCTTGTGACGGTGACCTTCGTCGCCATCGCCACCATGATTCTCGTGTAATTCGCGAGATAATCATCGCACACGCATCAGTGCATAACTTTCAAAGTTTACTTTGGGGCGGATCGTGCGGTTGACGATTAGGAAGCCTTTGATGGCTCCGCTGGCAGTCTACCATTTCCGACACGCATCGGAACGCGATCGCAGTCTAAGAGTGACGGATTCATTTTTCATATTTACATCTTATTAAAGTTTACTTTGGGGCGGATCGTGCGGTTGACGATTAGGAAGCCTTTGATGGCTCCGCTGGCAGTCTACCATTTCCGACACGCATCGGAACGCGATCGCAGTCTAAGAGTGACGGATTCATTTTTCATATTTACATCTTATTAAAGTTTACTTTGGGGCGGATCGTGCGGTTGACGATTAGGAAGCCTTTGATGGCTCCGCTGGCAGTCTACCATTTCCGACACGCATCGGAACGCGATCGCAGTCTAAGAGTGACGGATTCATTTTTTATATTTACATCTTATTTTTTACGGAAACAACTGCTCACCCTTCAAGAATGCATTCCAAACAAAGCAAGAGCTCGCGTACATCGCCGCGGTGTACAAAAATGTCGCTTGAAACGACCCCGTCGCCTCGACGCTCGCGCCAGTCACCATGTTGGCGACGATTGAACCGACGACGCCGACCGTGTTTGTGAAACCGAGAATAGCGCCCGCGCGAGACGGAGCGACGTCCTGAAGGTAACTGTGATACCCCGCAACCGCGACGGCTTGAAGACCGAGCGTGGCGACGATGCACGCCAACGCGACGCTCGCGGTGGTGGTGTACTTCAACGCGAATAATCCCAGGGCGGGACCGATGGTGGCGACGTTCATCGCCAATCGACGCACTTTCCATCGCTCCATCCCTCGACTAATCAACTTATCCGCCACCTGTCCCGAGCTAAATGACATGAACGCGGTGAATACCCACGGTAAAGCGCCGAGGATCCCAGAGCTCGCGATGGACATTCCCAAGTCGTTCGCGAGATACACCGGCAGCCATGACTGTAAAATCATGAACCCCCAGTTCACGACGACGTGACACCACAACAGCGCAACGAGCTGCGTCGCAACTTCGGACGACAACTCGGTCATTTGCTCGCCGTTTTCATCCTTCAACTCGCTCACCTTCGGTACCCTAGGGACGAAAGTTTTCACGCTCTGCGGCATTGCGGCGTAGGCGGCGACGGCCCACGCCGCGCCAAACGCGCCGAAGCCGTAGAAAATCGCTCGCCACCCAAACTGCGTGATCAAACTTCCAGCCGCCGCGAGCCCGAACGCCGAACCAATGTTAAACAGCGCAAATATCGTTGACAACGCGCCCGACCGTCGCTCCGCCGGCACGTGCGCCGCAACCGCCGCTGCGGACGCCGGTAGCGCGCATCCGCTCGCCGCGCCGAACAAAAATCGCGCCGCCACGACTGCGAGCACCGGCGCCGTCGTCATCGAGCTCAGCGGCGTCACCGCCACCGCGATCGACCACACGCACAGCCCACCGAGCAACACCTTCGCGCCACCGAATCGATCGCTCGACGCGCCCGCCGCGAGCTGCGTGACGCCGTATCCCCACAGAAACGCGCTCTGCGCGAGCGCCAAATCCTTCATGGACATGCCCAGCTCCGCCTTCAGGCTCAGCGCCGCGGCGGCGAAAATCGTTCGGTCCGCGCTCGCGAGCAGCATGGCCACGCCGAGGGCGAGGATGATTTTATTCGCATCGTCGGCGTCGCGCGGCGCGGCGGCCGTCGCGCGCGCGCGCGTAGCGGAACGGCGCGAGGATGACTGCGAAAAAGCGCAGCACTTTTTGAGCGGGACAACGCGAACTAGCGTCGCGACGCGTCGCGATGCGCGCGTGGAGACGCGCTGGTATGCGACGCGCGACTGTTTTGCGCGATTGACGCGCGCGAACGGCGTCGCGCCGCGCGTGCGGGTGGATGAGAGATGGACGGCGAGCGACATGGCGCGAGGCGCGCTGTGGCGACAAAGGGAAGCGCGCGCGTTTGGTTGTTCATTTGCGTGCTTATTCTCGTCGTGTCGCTCTAGATCAAATCAAACTGCCGGAGTTCTGCGGTGATGGAGCGCTAGAACTTGGACTGCCGCCTTGGTGAGGGTTGGCGAACGCCGGGTGCAACGGTGGTTCAGCCGCCGGGCGCTGGGGATATCCCATCTGCGGATGCTGCTGCGGGTATCCCATCTGCTGATGGTGCTGGGGGAACGCCATCTGCGGATATTGTTGTGGATACTGCACACCAGCCATCGGTAGCGCTAGCTGAGGTGCGCCAACTTGCTGCCGCTGCAAGGCGCTGTTGGGCGGCGCTTGCATAAAGCTCGGATTGATGTGTTGCGGCGGTGCCATGGAACTCATGCCATGGCCACTCCTGGGTGACGCTGGAGCTTGCGCGTATAAGTCATTGAGTGCGCTCTTGTCCAAACTTTGAGGCTGTGGTGTACCGAACGGGTTATTTCCGAATGGGTTCGTGCTTCTCGGCGATTTTGCTTGGGGCGCCGGCGCCGTTTGCGGAGCCGCCGGCACCATTTGCGGGGCGCCGCCGTATGGGTTCGCTCCGAATGGGTTGTACGCCACCGCAGAGGGTTCCGTCGGCACCGCCGGAGCGATTGACTCGGAGAAAGAATCAAGTGCGCTTGTACTGCTCGAAGCTGCGGGCGCGACCGGCGCTAACGCCGGCGGTTGCGTCGGCGCGGGCAGCGCGTTTGAGCTAAAAACATCGTCTTTGCTCGTTGGGCTCGGCGTACCTAAATCAAGCTGACTGAGCGCATCGAGCGCATTCAACGGCTCCACCGGCGGTAGCGCAGCAGTGGTACTGATAAAGTCCGCGTTGTTGGCGGGGACGTCGATCGCCAACATTGTCGACCCCACCGCATTCGCTCGTGCATTGTTCGCCGTCGTCGAAGATGTCGCGCCCAACCGCCGCTCGCGAAGAGGCAAGCCTTCGCGAGGCGCCGATTCGAAGTACTCTTCCATGCTCTTCAAAAACGTCGCAGGGGGTGCTTCAAGCTTGACGACTGCGTTTTCCACCGCCGCGCACGCTTCGCACGTGTCGTAAAATCGTTGCAAGTCTTCGATTTGCGTCAAGTACTTTTTGAAAATCACCAACCCTTTCTCCGCCTCGACTTTGCTCGTTTCAAAGTACTTGTCCACCAGGTTTATGATGCCCTCGTTCATGACGCGATACACCAAGAAACTATCCTTTGCGACGAGTCCGACGGCGTATCGCGAGACGGCATTTTTCTGCAGCGTCGTAGATGTTGGCGCGCAATCCGTGATGCGTCGCACGAGCGTCTGCACCAAGGGCAAAACCTTGATCAACGTCGCGAAATCACAATCTTTCAACGGATTCGCCACCACCGCTCGCGCCTCGCCGTTTGTCGTCGTCGTCACCGCGCCACTCACGTTTCCTACGAGGCTCGGGATGAACTCATTCAAAGCGCACAGCTCTTCGAGGTACGCCGCGTACGCGCGCGTCCACCCCGACAACTCGTACGCGTCCTTGTTGGTCTCGTCCTTCCAGTAGCGAATGTTAAACAGCGTCTGTTCTTTCGGCCCGTACGTTTTCCGAGATAAAAATTCCAAAAACCTGAAGAAGTCATCCTTAAACCCCCCTCCCTCGCACTCCCGCATCAACCTGTGCAGCAACACGTGCGTCTTCAGCATCGTCCTCCACGGCGCGCACTTCCGCACCTGTCTCGCCAACGTCTCCAACACGAACGCCCGATCCCTCGAGCTCCCTCCGCCCGCGCCTCCGCACGTGCGCACCAGCGCCAGCACGTGCTTCTCCTTCGGCGGCACGTCATCGAAATTCGTCGCCTTGCTAAACGCCAACTGCGTCTCGGCGAACTCCTTCTCCACCGCCGTCGCCGCGAGTTTCGCCTGCGTCGCGTCCGCGTCCCGTCAGTCTCTCGCGCGTCTCCCCGAATCTCCCGCGCGGGTTTCCCTTCGCGTCTCCGCGCGCGCGCGTCGCGCGTCGCCTCGCGTCGCGCGTTCGCGCGCGATCCTCGTCGCGCCGATCGAGACACGCGCCAATCCGCCGCTCGATCGCACCTTGCCGCGCTCCCACAGCGCCGTCTTCGCGTTCCCGCGCTTATCGGTGCGCGTGCCGACGCCGCGCGCGACCTGGACCTCCTCCGCCACCGCGCGCACGACGCGCGACGCCTTTTTCTGCAACCGGAGCGGCATCGCGCGCCGACGCGACCGCGCGCGTCTGTGCCGGCGCGGGCGCGCCCGCGCGCCGGCGAACCCGCGCGCGCGTCGTCGATCGAACCTCGCGATGCGGTGAAATCGGTGGAGTCGATCGATGGCTCGAGGTTCGAGCGATCGGCGGCGACGATCGCGCGCGCGCGCGGATCGCGACGCGCGATCGACGGACGGCGTCGTCGATCGAACCTCGCGATGCGGTTAAATCTGCGCGAACGATCGATGGCTCGAGGTTCGAGCGATCGGCGGCGACGACGCGCGCGCGCGCAGATCGCGACGCGATCGACGGACGGACGCGCGACGATGTTCGGCGCGTTTTACAAGACGTTCATGTCGGTGCGTGCGCGCGAGCGCGCGCGGGCGCGACGGCGCGCGCGGGCGACGGCGCGCGGGCGGCGCGCGGGCGACGGCGCGCGCGAGGCGGCGACGATCGAGCGCGCGATCTCGACGACGAGGGGGGAGGGCGGCGCGCGACGCGCGCGAGGACGGGGGGACTGACGAGGCGCGAACGCGCGCGCGCAGAATTCGGCGGTGTACGTCGGGGTGATCGTCGCGGGGGCGCTCGCGGGGGAGAAGGCGTTGAACTACGGATTCGATCGCGCGTGGGAGAGGTGAGGGGTCGAAGCGACGCGACGCGAAACGACGCGACGCGAAACGACGCGACGCGCGCGACGCGCGCGAGGCGCGCGCGCGCGCGCGCGATGATGCGAATGGGGATTGACCGAGGTTTTCGTCGACGGTTCGCGCGCAGCTCGAATAAGGGTAAACTCTGGAAGGATGTGGAGAAGCGACTCGAGCTCGAATAGGGTCGCGAGAGCCTGTTTAATTTTAGTTTAGCGGCGAATGAATCATGCGAATGTAATACACTAAGAAAGGAGACTTTCGATACAAATGGACTAGGCGCGCGGCGCGCTGTGCTAAAGGGAAGGAGAGCCGGTCGCGGGCGCCTCGACCGCGCGCTTGGGCGTCGCGACGATGCGCTCCAACGCCGCGTTGAGCGTCGAGTGCGACTCGTTCATGAGTTCTATGGATGCGCGAAATAACACGGGACCGATGAATAAGTTGATGACGATCACGGACACGGCCAGCGTCGAAAACGCGGGGCCCCAGTATGGAAATCTCGCGGCGACGGTGCGCGACAAACCGAGCGCGACGCCGGCTTGGGTGACGTGCCCCATCCATTCAATGTTTTTGCGCCGTTCGCCCGTGATGTCGCTCACCGCCGGTGCTTTGAGTATGCGCGCAGATATTGCCGTGGCACAATACAGCCCCAAAAGACGAACGATGACGAGACCGACCGCGATGACGATGGAGTTGTACACGTTTTCCAGGCGCAGGCTCGCGCCGGCGAGGGTGAAGAAGAGCAAATTTACCGCTGGCGTCACGATCGCGATCGCGGCGTGTAACTCCTCGCGCTCGTGCGCGCCGTTCGTATGCTTGCGATTTGCCGCGGTGAGACCGGCGGCGACGCACACCAATAAAGGCTCCAATCCGAGATGTTCGCTAGACACAAAGATGGCGGCGGCGCCGCACACGATGCAGCCGACACGAATGTTTTTCCAACGCGCCGCCAAGGACGTGGGTTTGAGCAAGCGTCCAAGTAGGACGCCTGCGATGATACCCGCAATGGCGGCCCCGATCACCCGCACTATAGGTTGCAAAAGCTTGGTGATGGGATGCGAAGTTTCCCATTGCGTCGCGGGCTTCAAATTCACCAAGAGTCTTCTCGCCGCCGCGCTCGCGCCGACATCGCGCGTCGTGTTGCTCGCGATCTCACCTCCCAAGGCCATCGTCGCCGCATCTGATATGATATTGTGGAAGTCTAATCCCGAAAGCGCCACGAGCTCGACGTTTATAGCGAACAACGCGACGACGAGAACGTCTTTCAAAACCGTCGTGCTCAAAATGTGCGCGCAATACGGCCCGCTCGCCTCGCACTCGTTGATCACCGCCATCGCACTCGCGGGCGAGCGCGCCAACGAAAGCGTCCCCAATAAAGATCCCACCGCCGCGACGTGTCGCTCCGTCAGCCCTTGCAAAAACTCCACCCTCTGCGCGAAAATCGCGTCGAACGCGCCAAACGTCGCGCACCAGCAGCAGCACGCCACGCTCGCGATGGTCACCATCGTCACCCGCAGCGTCTTCCGCACCTCACTCAGCACCACCTCAGATCCAGCCGCGACGCCGATGCACGCCAGGCATCCGTTATCGACGAGCCATAACCGTCGAGATCCCGCCGCCGACAACGCGCCTAAACCGTGTCGCCCAAACGCCACGCCGGCGAGCAAGTATCCCGTGATCTTCGGCGTCTTCGCGTGCTTATTCATGAGCTGCGTCCACCGCGCGTTCGAAACTCCCGTCAGTCACCGCGCCGCGCCTCGCGCGTCGCCGTCTCGCGCGCCCGAACGCGTCTCGCGTCGCTCTCAACGCGCGCGCGCGCGCCCGCTCGACCATCCATCGCGTTCGCGCCGCGCGCGCGCCGCGCGCGACCGCCCGACGCACCGTCCCGACGAACGAACTCGCCCAGGCGATCAACGGTAACCGCATCCACGCGTCGATCGCCCATTCCTCCGCGCTCGCGCCGAGCGCGAACGCCATCTTCTCGCAATGACGCGCAGAGCCGGCGCGTCGTCACAACGCGTCGTCGCGACGTCTCGAGCGCGCGCGCGAGATCGAAGCCCTCGCGATCGTTTTCGTCTCGCGAACCCCGCGCGCGTCCGCGTTCGCGCGCCTCGTCGCGCGTCGCCTCGTCCGTTCGAGGACGCGTCGACGACGATGCCGCCCGCGCGCGACGCCGCGCTCACGCCGGCGACGCAGCGATCGGTGGAGGACTTGTCGCACGACGTTCGGCGAGGGACGTACGACGCGAAACCGCCGGCGGTGCTCGCGAAACGCGTCGCGGAGACGCTCATTCAGGTCGTGGCGACGGCGGACGGTCGCGCGACGCTCGAGGAAATCATCGCGAGCGTGCGCGCGATCGGTGGATCGCTGGCGGTGCTGAAGCGGGAACACTTGCTGGTCGGGAACGTGGCGCGGCGCGTGCTGCGAGTGATACGGGACGAGGGGGCGACGAGCGAGAGGGGCGACGGCGGCGGCGGCGGCGAGAGCGGCGGCGGCGGCGGCGGCGCGGCGACGAAGAAATTGAAAAAGGATGTCATCGATACCGCACACGAGGTGATCGAGGAAATGGAGACGGTGTCGACGAATATTGCGAGCCAAAGCTCGGATTTTGTGACGAATGGATGCGTGGTGATGACGATGGGGTCGAACGCGAGCGCGGGGACCGGGTTGGCGGAGGCGTTTTTGAGAGACGCGAATAAGAAACGGTCCGCGAGCGAGGGAGGGGGTGGATTTAGCGTCGTCGTCGCGGAGAGCGCGCCGAGATACGACGGACACGCGATGGCGAAGAGTTTAGCCGAGCGTGGGGTGCGGGACGTGAGCTTGATTTGCGATAGCGCGGTGTACGCGACGATGCCGAGCGTCAAGCTGTGCGTGTTGAGCGCGCGGGGCGTGCTCGCCGATGGCAGCGCGCTCGTCGATAGCGGGGCGTATAACATAGCTCTTGCCGCGAAAGCGCACTCCGTACCCGTGCTTATGCTCGCCGGTTCGTACGCAATCTCACCGAAGACGCAAAAAGAAGCCGGGTTCGACCGCGTCTACGGCTTCGGGTCGCCGTCGACGGCACTGGGTTACGGCGAGCGCGGTGCCGATCCGGACGCCGTCGTCATAAACCCGTCGTTCGAATTCGTACCCGCGGAACTGATCTCGGTGTTCGTCACCGATCACGGCGCGCATTGCCCGGGATTCATCAACGTCTTACTGTCAGAGATGTACTCCCCGCTCGATTCCGCGCTCCTCGGCGTTTAAAATTTTTAATACTTAGACCCGCGAGCGGCCGTGCGCGCGCCTCAATCGTTCGTTCGTCGTTTTGGCGAATATTAAAGAATGTCGCATTTTTTGCATCACAACGCCCATCTCCGATGGCTCTGCTTCTGCTTCGCGCCGCGCTACGTGTTTAAGTTGGCTATGCTCGCGCGCCCCCTCCCTCGTCGGTCTTCCGTCGCGCTCCTAAAGAATCTCGCTCGCTTCGTCTCGCGCCTACGCCAAGAACCCAAGCTTCCCACCATTCTTCTTTGCCGTGCGAATCAAGTTTTGTTTCACCTTGGTGTCGCATCCAAACTCTTCGCAAAAGTCGCCGATGACTTGCGAGTGCAGCGCGATCGCCTTGCCGCGAATCTGGTTGAACCGCTTCACCCCGATCACATCGCGCGCGACGCGCACGATCGGCGCGAACAATCCGTTTTCGTACTCGTTCCCGGCGCGCGTGACGTGCGCGCGCTTGTGCGCGCGCGTCGCGCGGGGCGTCCGCGCGCGCGCCGCCGATCGCGCGATCGGCGACGCGTGCGCGACGTTCGCGGTGAACGACAGGGCGTGGTGCGACATGGGGCGGTGTGCGCGCGCGACGGTCGTCTCCGTGCGCGTGTCTCGCGGCGTGCGGCGCGCGGGCGGGCGTGTGACGCGCGCGCCGTCGTCGCGCGGCGTGACGTCGGCGCGCGCGTGGATAGGGGGGGGTCGCGTTTGAATCACAAACGATCATTGAGTCATGATTGGTCGTTTTACCCCCCCGGCACGTCACCAGATCCACGCGCGCGTCGCGCGCGCGAAGGCGTCGCTGCGAGCGCTACGGTGAATATCAATACGTCGAGCTAGCTAATCGTGGGATCGGGGAGGAGTCGACCGCACGCGGCGGCTTCGTAATCGCACACTTTGGTGTACAGGCGACTCGGGTCGGCGAGACGGAGCTCGTCTTCGTCTTCGTCTTCGACTTCGGCGGCGTTCGTCGAGGCGTTCGTCGAGGCGTTCGCCGCGACGAGAGCGTCGACGGCGACGTTCGAGACGGGGCGCTCGACGACGACGCGGTCGGCGAAGACTTCGCCCAAGGCGGAGACGCGCTCTTGACGCACGCAGTACGAATCGTCGCGCGCGCCAGACTTTTCAAGCTCGATGACGGCGTCCATGTCCATGTGTTTGTTCGGGTATGATTGGATCAACCAAGGCGCGCTCTGCGGCGCGGCGGCGGCGAAATTGGACTGCGAGCCGCGTCGTCGCGCGTCGTCGCCGTCGCGCATGACGTCGCACACGACGGCTTGAATATCAAGCGACGCCCGCGCAACGCCCGTGCGGAAACGTTCCGGCCAGTTTGAAGGCACCTCGTGTCGCCACGCGGTGAGCGACTCGTATAGTTTTTGATCGTCGGCGATTTCTCGCATGCGCCGCACCAAAGCGTCGACGCTGTCGAAATCTTTGACGCGCAACACGCAGTCTTTCTTCGGACAGGGCAAGTAATCGTCCACGGTTTTCGTACCAAAGTACACTGGGATGGATCCGCGAAGCAGTGGGAGCCAAAGCTTTTCGGTGACGTGACCGGGGCAATCCACTTCTTCGGCGACGTAATAGAACAAGTATTTGCTCAGCTGGAGCTGCGTTCGAATGGTCTCCGCCGAAGACGCCGATACGCCGAGATTCGGCACAAACCACGAGGCGTCGTAGTTCTTCATGCACGTTCCGAACGATTCTACCGGGTACTTTTGCGAAATTCGTCTCAATATGTGCGCCCCGACCGAGCGACCGTGCTTGCACGCCGCGGCGCTGTCGCCGAATCCAATCAAAGGTACGCGCATGCGGAACGGACGCAGAAACGCGTCAAAGGACGAAATCATGAACTTTGCAGTCGGCAGCGGCGAGCGCCACACGCTTTCGAGTGCAGAATTCGACGTCGCCAAGTAGTCTACTTGCGAAAGTAACATTTGATCTCTCAAATCTTGTCCGGTTTGTTCCGCCGCGGGAGCGGCGGTGGATACGTACATGTACACCTGATCTCGTCGAGACTTTTGCGGCAGATGCGTGACGAAAATGTCTTCACCGGGGTCTCCTAATTTAGCATGCGCGTGCGTCGACGCGACCGCACCGTTTGACGCGCGCCTGGCCGCCTCGGGCGCCTTGCGCAACCTTTCGCGAAGAAGGCTCCTCGCGCTCGCCGTCGCGTTGCCGTCGGCTTTGTCGCTACTACCGGCAGACCTCGCGCTGCTCTTCGCCAGTCGTCTTTTCACTCCTAACGAGCTCGATGGTTTCAACATCGTGTCCCCGCGAAAGATGACGACGTCGGCTTCCATGCACCGCTCCTCGCTCCGACTATTGGTGTGCAACACCTCCTTCACGCAACGTCCCTTCAAGTTTTCTCTCGCCGCCGCGCGCACGCCTCGCTTGGCATCCAACACCGCGCTCAAATCTTCCGCCCAAGTCGACGTCCCGATCGGTCGCGACCATCTATGTAAGTTGTACAGGCAAACCGTAAACGCCTCGTCACCGAATTCCAAATTCGTACCCATCGCGCTCCCTCTTGCCTGTAAATCCTCGTACCATCCCGGCCTATGCGCCCACTCGCGCAACGGCTTTCTCCCTACCGCGTGCGCGTCGTCCACTTGCACGCTCATCGCCACGAAATCCTCCACCGTGCGCGCTCGATCCAACGCGTGCGCGTTTCGCTCCAACTCCGCCTCCAGCGGGTCCTCCAACTCCACCCGCGCCCTCGCGTGCGCCCGTCTCCCGAGCGCACCGACGTCATCTACATCTACTCCACCCCCCCAAATCGTCGCCGTCGTCTCTTCGACGAGCCACGGAAACGCGCGCAGCGCTTCGTCGCTCAACACCTCTCTCGCGCGCGGCGCCACGCCCACGCGTCGCGTCCGCACCGTCGTCGTCGCCATCGACGCCGCCTTGCGCACGAACGTCACCGCCGCGGACATCATCATCGCGCTCAGCATGACGCTCATCGCGATCAGCGTCAGCGCGAGCCTGTACTTTCGAGTTTTCGTCCCGCGCCTCGACCGACGGCGGTCGTCGTCGACGCCGATCGCGCCGCTGTCGCCGCGCTCGGGCGACTCAGCGCGATGCGACGCGCTCGGACGATCGTCGTCGTCATCGCGCGCGCGTCGAGCGCGCACGCCGAGCAGGGGTGCGCGCTCGGCGTGCGCCATGACGCCGGCGTGTGCGGGCACAGATTTTTAGTGTTGGGACGGCGCGTCGACCGGGACGGCGCTCGGGACTCGCGGAGAGACGGCGGGCGGAGAAGTGCGGTCGAAGGTATGATACACGGTGTGAGCTAAACAAAACGATGTCAACACGCGATGGGTGGATCACGGGGACGTGGCGTTGGTCGGGGCGTCGTCCTTCTCGACGCACGAGAGCGGGAGACCGAGCGCCGGCGGTCTGGTGGCTTCGACGCCCGTGGCGGTCGTCTTTGACTTGAACGGCGGCACGACGAGCCACTGAGGGAAGACGTTCTTGAGCGCGCTCGAACCGTCGACGGCGTGGGGTAAGGATTTGAGAACGTCGCCGTAGGCGTCGTGACGAAGGACGAAGAAAGAGTCTTCGTTCAGTTGGCACTCGGATGAGCGCAGCTCGCAGAGCTTGCCCTCGGAAAATTTGCACCGACACTGGTGCGGGCACGCGTCCTCCGCCGCGTCCGCACCGCTCACCGCGATCGTCGCGTCGTACGTCAATCGCACGGCGTTCCACTTGTCGCTATCGATCAACACTCCCAACGCGCGTTGATCCGTCGGCGCGAGCGCGCCCTCCACCTCGGCGCGTCCGTCCACGAACGCAAACTTCGACACATCGCTCTCCTGCGCGTGTTTGATCACCGTCGCGATTAAATACCGATCCTTTATCGATTTATTCGGCAACAGCACTCCCGCGCGCTCCGCGCATCGCCAAACCTCCGTCGCGTTGACGCACAACACCTTGTCTCGCGTCGCCTCCGCCGACTCGCACGTCGTCGCCTCCTCGCGCGTCCGTTCGTAGATTCGCTCCAATCCGCTCGCCAGCGCCACGTTCACCGATATGTGCGCGTCATCGACGCGCTCGACGTTCGCGAACGCGCTCTCGCACACTCGCGCCGACTGCAGGCGATCGCCGTCGTCGTCGAACACCCGCACCCCCTTCACCGTGCGCGTCGCTCGCTTCACGCTGTCGAATCCATCGCTGTGATAATACGTCGCCGCGACGACGAGTAAGAGCACCCACGACAGCGCGAGCGTGATGGGCGCGCGCACGCTCGCGCGCGTGCGTCGCGCGGTGCGATCGACGGCGTGTTGGTCAGCCGTCTGCGCGTCTTCGGCGTCGCCGTCGAGCGCGCGCGCGCGGACGAGCGGCGTGGACTCGTTCATCGTCGTCATCGTCGTCGTCGTTCACCGCGCGCGCGGCGCCGGGCGAGGCGCGGCGCGGCGCCGAGGCACGAAGTCACGCGGGACGTCCCAACACCAATCATTGCGGAGCCGCGAGCCGCGCAAAGTAAACCGCGCTCGATCGGGCCTAGCGCGTCGATGCGTGATGTCGATCGCGATGGGCTACGCTCGATGCGTCCATCGATGAGCGTTGAAACTCGTCAATCGTTCGTGCTTGGGTGACTAGGGGAAGGTGCGACAATCTAAAGTTCGGCGCGTTCAGCGCTCGGAGGCGAGCGCGGCGGCGGACCACGCGCACGCGCCTTTCGGGAACATGCCGTGGACGTTGGAGGCTAAGACGATATCCACGACGGATGAATGGTCGAAATCATCGACGACGACGATGTGGGCGAGCGAACACGCGTGGAGCGCGGCGTCGGCGGCGAAATCGCGCAACGGCGGGTTCGCGCGCGAAGACGCGAGCTCGAGAAGCGACTTTGGATTCTTCTCAAAGATGTTCAACGATCGAACGACCGTCGACGCTTGTGGGGTGAGCGTCCAGCTGAGCTTTAAGAGTGCGTCATCGCGGAATGATTTCTCGTTGAAGGCCGCGACGACGTCGCGGTTGAAGGCGGCCATCGCGCGGGCGTCGTCGGAATCGGCGTACGTATTCGTCAGCGTCTCGCGGGGCCACAGTTTGAATCTCTTGCCGACGTTCGCGTCCTCGAACACGACGATCGCGCGATGATTGACGTCGACGTAATCTTTCCCGAGCTGCGCGTCGTACAGCGCCGCGCGCGCGTCTCCTGGATACGGCGCGAGCATGTCTCCGAAGATTTCCGTCGCCGCCGTCGCCAAGCGCTCCACCGCGCTCTCGCTCGGATCGCCGTAAAAGTGACTCAACTCCACGATCACCACCTCCGAAGGTTGTTCCACCAGAAACACTTTCACTTCCTCCAAGATTTCATCCACCGCCTGTCCCTCGAGCGCGTGGTGCGCACGCCAGACGCCCTCGTCGCCGTCCCAACCGCTTCGCAAGTCGACGTACCGCGCCCCCAGTCGCAACTGCGCGCCCACGCGCGCGGACTGCGCGCGCGCCCACCGACGCACGAGTTGATCCGCGGGCACCCCGATCGATTCGGCGAGCCGGACGGCGTCGTCGACCCAGCGCGGAAGCTGTCCCGCGCGTCCCGGTTGGAGCTTTGGACTCAGGTACTGCGTCGCGCTGTCGTGCGAGCCGGGAAGCGTGAGCGCGCCGAGCGCGCGATCGCGCGTGGCGTTCATCCACGACGACGGGTCGAACTCGAGGCCGAGCGCGGCGCGCGGGAGGACGAGGGCGAGGACGAGGACGAGGACGCGCATCGCGCGCGAGGCGGCGTGTGGCGAATACGACTATAAATACACGCGATGGGCTACTCGCGCGCGCGAGGCGCGTCGACGTCGACGTCCATCGGCGCGTCGTCGAGGAGTCGGTGGACGTACGCCGCGACCGGGTCGACGACGTCTGGGGGCAAGAGGCGTCGCGCTCGATCGACGACGCCGGCGGCGAGCGCGAGCATCTCCGGCGAAGGTTTGCACGTCATCGCGATCACCTCCGCGAGCTCGACGTTGACGCGCGCGAATTCACGCGCGCGAGACTTGTGCGTGGTCTCGGCTTGGTCATCCTCGCCGTCGTCGTCTGCGAGCGATGATTCGTTGCCGGCTAAATCCGTCGCTCGCTGGATGAGTTCGTGCGCGAGCTCGGTGGCTTCTTCCACGTACGCCTCCTCTCCGGCGAATAGCACGTCGTTGGACTGTAAGCCGTCGATTTTAAAGGGTATCGTCTCTTGCGCCATGGCAGTGATCATGGGGATCAACGAGACGTACGCGCGAACTTCGTCGGCGCTCGACGGCTCCCAATCGAAATCCTCCACGACTTTCATCAACCCGCGGAAGACCAAGAATGCTCCTTTTTCTAAATTCCCTGGCTGTACCACGAGAAGAGCACTGCATCGCCGAACGAAATCTAGCATCTCAGCGCCGGCGCGATCGGTGGGAAGATCGATCCATCCGCCCACGGCGGTTTCGCCGCCGCTCTCTTGCGCATCCGTCACCGCGCTGCGAATCAGACCATCCACTTGCTGAATCAATCCGTGCACGATCGCCGCTTGCGCGGTGAGCATGAACAGTTGTAGGCGAACATTGACTCCACGCACACTGGGTATCGTGATTTGACAGTACGCCGTGCAGGCGTTGACGAAGGCTTTCGTCTTGTTCGTGTGTTCGACGCCCACGCGCTCGTACACACTCGTCATCAGAGAAATCGCGTGGTATACTAAAATTTCTTGCGCCATGTCCAAGTTTGCGAACGCGCTTCGAGCGGTGACAAGGAAGTTCAAGTGCGCCTCGAAGTCACCGGCAAAGCTGACGTTGTTGATGAAGTCCACGACCAAGCTTTCAGCTTCGGCGCGCGATTCTTCCGAGCTCATGCCGTCGATATCGTCGTGTACCGTTCTCGCGGCTTCTAGCAGGGTGTGCAAACACATGGGATCCGAGATGGATCCAGCGCTCGACCCACACTTCAGAAGAGCGGCGCTAAATTTCACCTTGGCTTCACCGCCTAATATTTCGCCGAGGTACACGTACCACTTCAAGGAGACGAGGTAATCGACGTCGCGAAATTGATCGGTGACGACGCGTAACGCCCGCTCAACGCAGCGCATCGCCTCGGCGGGTAATTCGGCCGATTTCGTCGGCTCGCGCTCTTTAGCTTGGGCTAAGTGTGCGTGCACGTGTCTCGCAACGTCCTTCATCAACGTCTCAAGTTCACCTTGCGCGAGATACTTGATGACGTAGAGCAAAAACCGCTCGGCGACGCGCAAATACGGTTCCACGTGAGTCCATTTCTGCACGACGCGCCAAACGTCGCCTAATATCGCCAACCGATCGCCTTCGTTTGGCGCGATGACATCAAACTTATCGACGAGGGTTCGATAGCAATCAGCCATGGCGTCCCTATGCTCGAGTGAATCTTCATCCGTGGACGTCGCGCCCACGAGCGCGATGAGCTTGAGGGCGTTTTCGCGAACGACCGTCGGCGACAAGGAGCGAAACACGGCGCGAAGGAACGGCACTGGCGGAGTTTCACCGCCCATATACAGCACTTTATGCAGCAGCGACGGGTTGGGGTTCGTCGCGCAACACTCGATTAGCCACTCCATGGCGGGATCCATGAGTTCCGAGTACTCGGTTCGGCGCAAGCCGAGCCGGAAAATGTAAGCTGTCGCTGGGTCCTCGTCAGCGGTCTCGTCGAGCACGTTCACGTAGGACGGCATGAACTCTTTCAATATTTCCAACGTCATCGCGCTGTCTTCGGTCTCGCAGCCGTACGCCAGGGCGCACTTTGCGATGTACATGCGAACGTACGCCGCCGCGAGCGGATCCGCCACTCCGCGAGACATCTTCATCAGTCGTCGTATTTGCACCGTCGGCGGCTCGTCTTGAATGAATCTATAGCACTTAAATAGCGCGAGCTCCATGTAAATCCGCGGCACGATGTCCCGGATGGTGGCGATTTTGTAAAACCAATTTCTGCACGTATTCTTCGCCACCGTTCTCACGCGCGACGCCTTAAAGTCCTCCGGCAACGCCTTCGTCCCCCCCTCCGACGTCGACTCCTCGGATTTCCGCAATATCCGATCGTACACCAACCGACCCACGGTCTCGATCACCTCCGTCACCAGCACGAACAGCACTGGATAAAACTTCCCGACCTTTGTGTCGCCCAACAGTTTCGCCACCTTGACGCACAATTTCAGCGCGTTCACCCGATCCTCCGCCAACCACGCGTTCGCGATGTCCTCGTTCAGCCTGTGCAACCGCGTCACGTACTCTTGCTGCGATATCCTGTGCGTCTGCGCGTTCGCGCCCGTCGCCGTGTTCTCCAACTCCGCCAATCGCGCCTCCACGCCCGCGCTCCCCTTCGCCTTCGTCGATATGATCTCAAACGCCATCGACACCTGTATCGTCCCTCGTCCGCTGTGTCTCTCGTGCACGTCCCGTTTCTTCGCCATCCACCGCTCGACGACGCCCCGCTCGCCGCGCGTCGTCGCCGTCGCCTCGCGTCGTTCGCGTCCGCCGTCGTCGCTCGAGCGCGCCGAATCCGAATCCGAATCCGAATCCTCCGCGCCCGCGTCGCGCATGATCGCCCGCACCGGGTCGCGCTCGTACGTCGTCGTCGTCGTCGTCGTCGTCGTCGTCGTCGTCGTCGTCGTCGCGTCGTCGCGCGCGCGCAATCGCGCGGCGATTCGATCGCGAACGAACGCGTGCGCGGCCGCGCTCGACGCCATCGCGCGCGCGTCGTCCGTCGCGCCGACGGCGCGACGCGCGAACTCGCGCGCGAACGCGCCGTCCGCGCGGGCGTCGCGTCGGAGATCCATCGCGCGCGGCGTCGCGCGATGCCGATCGACGACGACGACGACGACTGACCGGCGCCGGCAGAGCGCGACGCGACGCGCGCGACGCGAGCGAGCGCTCCGGACGCGAGCGAGCGCGCGAGCGCTCCGGACGCCGCGCCCGCGACATGCTCGCCGCGCGCGCGCTGCACACGGCGCGATGGTGCGCGACGCACGCGCCGACGACGTCATCGCGATTCGCGTCGAGCGCGCGCGCGAACGGCGCGCGCGCGACGACGCTCTGCGCGCCGCGCGGACGAGACGCGCGACGCGCGGGACCGGGTCGACGTCGCGAGCGTCGCGGGCGGGACGCGCGGCGATGGAACGACGCGCGAGGGTTCGCGCGCGGCGCGAGGGGCGACGACGAGGACGAGGACGACGAGGAGGCGGACGACGCGTCGGGGTCGTTCGACGAGAGCGCGCCGAGGGATTGGGCGGGAAAGGTGCGGTGGATGCCGGTGATGGACGTGCGAAGGGAGACGGAGGAATCGCCGACGCTCGCGGAGGGAGAGCTGGTGATGCCGATGTTTCCGCTCGGGAGTCACGTGTATCTGCCGGACACGGAACACGTGCTGAATATCTTTGAACCGAGGTATCGAAGCATGTACAACGAGATTCTGTTCAACGGCTCGCGGAGATTCGTGGTGCCGATGTGCGCGCCGAACGAGCCGGGGAAGTTCGCGTCCGTCGCGGCGGTGTTTTACCTGGACGATTTGAAGGAGGTGAGCGAGCAGACCAACGACCAGGTGAAATTCGTGTGCTCGCACACCGTCATCGAGCGCGTGCGAGTGGTGCGGTCGCTGAACGATCGCGTGTGGGGCGATCGCAGCTCGTTCTTGAAGGTTGTCACGGAAAAGTTCGAAGATTGCGACTTGGACGACGATTTCACGAACAAGGAGACGGCGCTCGAGGAGCGATTCCGCGCGCTCATCGACATGCAAGAAAAAGTGGACGAGCCTATTCGATTCACCAAAGACGTCGAGCTCGCGGCGCCCATCAGCGCCAAGCGCGGAAAGATGGGATTCTGGCGCTTGGTCAACCTGTGGCAAAGCTTGCTGCAAAGCCGCGTGACGCATCGCGAGAACGAATTGCAAGCGGGGATTCAGAAAATGTTGCGCAAGTTTCTCGAAGACTCGGGCGTCGACTTATCCGACGGCCGCCAACTGCAATTATCTTTCGAGAGCATTCCGGACGATATCAGAGCTGAGATTCAGCGCATGAACGAACAATACGGCGAAGAACGCGTCGAGCTGTTGAACTCAGCCATCTACCCGTTCCAATATCTGGTCCAGATGGACTCGCACGCGGAGCGCTTGGATTACTTCGGCGAACTCGTATCCGAAGAAGAGAAGCGCCTGGCGGCCAAGAACACCCTGCGCGCGATGTTCGAATCCACAGAGTGAGTAAACGACAATTCTTTCTTTTGAAATTACAATTCCTTCTTCCCTCGCGCGACGTCACCACGTCGCCATTCCAGGAATAGCGTACGAAAGCCTCGTGACTCCTTTCTTCACGCGCACGCCCGTCATCTTAAAATCCTGAATCTCCGACATCCTCGCGACGTGCGTCCCCCCACAAGGACACCCTGGAGTATCCGGCACGATCGTCACGATCCTCGGCGTCATATCCGGCGCGATGAACGCCGGCAGCTCTCCCCCGCACGCCGCCTTCGCCTCGTCGTACGTCATCTCCGCCGCCGCCGACGCCCCGTCTTCCGCGATCAACTTCGCCATCTCCGCGTTCAATCGCGCCATCAGCGCGTTCGCGTCCGCCAACTCGTGCTCCGGGTCGACTTTCCCTTTATACTCCACGTACGCCAGCGCCGGTTCGTGGACCCCCTTCGTCGGCGTCAGCGTCGTCGGCGGCAACCCCGCGCGAATCATCGCCACGTCCAGCGCGTGTCCCGCGGAGTGTATCCTCGCGTGCAGCACGCGCTTCGCGCCGTCGATCGTCACTCGGCACGCATCGCCGACCTCGAACGGCGGCTTCGTCCTTCCCGCGTGCGCCACCTCGCCCGTCTCGCGCCGCCGCGTCGCCGCGTCGAACGCCCACGCTCGCCCGTTCGCGCCGACGACCCGTCCCGAGTCGCTCGGTTGCCCGCCTCCGGCCGGGTGCGCGATCGTGGACGCCAGCGTCATCTCGTGTCCGCCGTCGTCGCGCGTCGCGACGCGCGTCACCGTCGTCTCGCGCTCGAACGCGTACGTCCCGCCCGCGTCCGCGTCCGCGTGCGCCAGCGCCGTCGCCGTCGCGCGCGCGGTCGCGCGCATCGTCGACGCGCGCGACGGTCGCGCGCGTCGCGGCGCGACGCTCGTTCGCGCGACGTCGACGCGCGCGACGCGCGGCGGCGCCATGCAGTGCCGTCGTCTCTCGCGCGTCACTCCGCGACGGCGCGTCGACGCGGATTCGCGACGCGCGACATGGCGCGCGACGACGCGACGCTCGCGCGACGCGTCGAGGCGCACGATTTCGCGGACACCGGGCGCGGGCAGCGCGCGCTGCGCGATTGCGCGCGAGGGGAGGTGCTGCTGGAGATTCCGCTCGAGCGCGGGTTCACGCTCGCGGCGGCGCTGGAGGACGACGCGGTGAAGCGCGTCGCGTCGTGCTGCGCGCGACACGACGATGTCGTCGCGCTGCACGTGTGCGCGGAGCGGTTCAGGGGTGAAAAGGCGACGCGCGCGGCGCACGTGGCGACGCTGCCGCGAAGCTTCGACACGGCGTTCTTCTGGAGCGAGGAAGAGCTGCGAGAGCTGACGGGAACGACGTGCCTGAGGGAGACGATGAATCTGAGGGAGGAGACGAAAAATGATTACGAGACGCTGACGAAAAAAATGGAGGCGATCGGGGAGGGGGGGTGGATGCGCGAACACGAGGTCGATTACGAGCGATACGCGTGGGCGAGGTCGAATTTATGGTCGAGGCAGTGCGATTTGTTGATGCCGGACGGGAAGCGGACTCGGGCGATGGTGCCGACGTTTGATATTTTTAATCACAGCGCGAAGGCGCCGTTGGGGAAGACGCACAAGCTTAACGCGGAGAAGAACTGCGTCACGGTGTACGCCGCGGACGACTACAAGGCGGGCGAGCAAGCGTTTATTTCCTACGGCAGTGGTGAGGCGGCGAATTCAAAGCTTTTGACGTGGTATGGGTTTTGCATCGATGACAACCCTTACGAGGAGTTAGACGTGACCCTCACGATTACGGTCGATAAGCTCAGAAAGACGGTGTTGGAGACCGCGCTTCGAGCGAGCGCGGTGGCGTATCTGCAAGACATCGACGCTCGGTGGCGCGAGAGCGGCGATTACGCCGAACCGTATTTGCCCATGCTGTACCAGCAACTGTATACGCCCAGTGCGGAAGAATTAGAAGTAGAAGAATCGACCGCGGAGTTCATCGTCAAGCACACCGTGCCCGAGCGCGAGCCGTTGCCGCCGCCGCTGCGCATGATGGCGCGCGTGCAGCAGCTCGGCGACGAGGAGTTAGCGGATCCAGAGGTGCGCAAGGCGATCATGGCTAGTGCAAACGACAAAACCGGCAACACGTACATATCCAAGGCGAACGAAATGGCCGCGTTGGCGTCGCTCAAGCTGATCTTCCAAGACGTGTGCGAAGGCTTCACCGTCGGCGACGCCGAGAGCGACGCCACCGAATTGGCAAAACCGTTCGCGGACGTGCCTTACAAGCGACGTTTAGCTCTTCTCGTGCGTTCTGGTGAACGGAGAATCGCGACAAAAGCATTTGCGGAGTCATCGGTGAGATTAGACGCCGTTGTTCGCGATGTGACGCGCACCGCGGTGACGCGGAAAGAGGGCTTGTGCGAAGATCCAAAGTGCGTCACGTGCAAAAGTCATGGCTGTCGTTGGTTACATGAGCTCCGAAAGCGCCGGCCTAAAGTGGAAGCCATGCTCCCAACAGTTGCTCGTTATGCTCGACAGATCGAGGACGCGCTGCCTGTCGCGGCGCACATACAGACGATCAACTTGGCGTACCTGTGGTTGATGGGTCACACCGAAGATGACGTCGCGAATCGCGCGGCGACGAACGCGCAGACGTGGCCGTTTGACACCATACCCACGTGCGATGCATCCGCGTATGCCGACCTTGAACGCATGGCAGACTTGGAGATAGATGGCAGCGCCGGAGAGGAGCACCCGCACAACGGTAAAGAGGGCGAGATGCTCCTTCCGGGTGTGTACACGTGCAAGGTTAAGCAGTGGGGCGCGTGGTTGCTCTCGCAGTGGGCGACGTGCGGTATCTTAGATATCACCGATCTTAACTCCATTGGCGCCGAGGCCGCGGCGCTCAAGCGTCGCCACGCTTGCAGCGTCCCCACGTCGATCGCGCTCGATTTCTTGGCCGAGTGCGCGCCGCTCGTCGAAGTTGGCGCCGGCGGCGGATTGTGGGCTCGTCGGCTTGCCGAGCGAGGCGTCGATATCATCGCGTACGACACGCCGACGTTCGACGAAGAGTACCAAGACGGCGGCGCTGCGAAAATTGGCGCCTCGAAGCTCACCGAAGTGAATTGGTTCGACGGAATACGTAAAGGCGGTCCCGAAAGTGCGGCCAAGCACGCCGACAGAGCGCTCCTGCTCTCCTGGATCGACATCGCGGGCGAAGGCGACTACGCCACCGCCACGCTCGACAACTACACCGGCGACACCATCATCACGATTGGCGAATGGCGAGATCACACATTTGGCGATTACGCCCCCGGAACCACCGCCACGGGCATGAGTTTTTCCCGAGAATTCCAACGCGAGCTCGAAGCCGCCTTCGACCGCGACGAGACGCTTCCGTGCGCCAACTGGCCCATGTTCGACTCCGTCTTAATTCGCTGGCGCCGTCGCGCGCCACCGTCCTAGAGATTCATGTCGTATCATATCAGTCGACGAGCCTTCGTCCCGTTCGCGCGCGCCTCGCCTGCGTCTGGAAAAGTTAGTTAGGGTACAACGGTACAACCCGGGAGTGCGGCGCGTCCCACAGCCCGCCGCCCTCGACCGCGCGCCGCCCTCGACCGCGCGCGCCGCCGATGACGACGTTCACCGCGGTGACGGTCGCTTCGCCCGCGCCCGCGCGCGTCGGCATCTCGCGTCCCTCGCGTCGCTCGCGTCGGTTCGCGCGCCGCCGTTCGCTCGGGGATGACGAAAAGATGTTCGTCCCCGCGGGCGCGTTCGGAGGCGTGTCGCCCGAGCGCAGAGCGAGCGAGCTCATGAACGCGATGTTGACGTACGTGTCGGCGTGGATCGTGATCTCGCAGCTCGAAAACGTGGCGCCGCGTCGGTCGGTCGCGGGCGAGGACGCCGGCGAGGACGGCGAAGGAGAAGCGAGACGAGTGACGACGTCGCACGAGTTTTTGCTCGACTATCTCGAGGCGAATCCCGTGCGCGACGGCGAACAGTGGTTGATCGCGCTGACGCGAGTGAATCCGACGCTGGCGGAGCGGATCATGGCGGTTCGTCGCGCGTACGCGGAGGAGGATTTCGAGTGGCACAACGTCGCCAAGTTGACGTCCGAATCCATCGCGGCGGGGAACGAGCGCGCGATGCGCGAGTGGCTCAAATCTGCCGTCCCACAGAGCGCCTGAGACGCAGTCACTCATCGGCGCGAGGCGTGCGTCTTTTTGTATTTTTCGCGTCAACGCTCGGTGCGGCCTCGCGACGGTCTTCTATTCTATTCTTTTGTCCGCATTCGTCCTCGTCCTCGCGAAGACGACATTCATTTGTACAAACAATCAACAATTGTCAATGTTTCATTATAAAATTTAGTTTCATAATCGCGGTACGTGCGCTCGCACTTCTACGCTTTCGCCTCACTTTGTGGCTCCCCGCCGCAATCCTCTAATTCGTCATGCTCGCCGGTACGATCAACACGCACGCGCGCCCTGCCTTATCGCGCTCGCTCGCGAGCATCGAGTCAAAGTCTCGAGCGCGTCTGGTGCGCGTCACGCGCGAACCGCGCGCCGTCAAGGGCGCGCGCGCCACGATCGCGCTCGCGGCGTCCTCGTCAGCGCCGGCGCCGCGACGGTCCGTCATCGCCCACGCCGTCTCGCGCCGACCGACGGTGATGTACATCACGAAACTCAAAGATGCCGCGCTGAGCGTGCAGTTCTTGGCGCTGAGCGCGTTCACCGTGCTCGCGTACACCATCGTCGCGGCGACGAATTACGAGCTCTTCGCGAAAATCATGCCGACGCTCGTCAACGCCGGCATGACCGCATCGAATTGGCCCATCTTCAAGGCTTGGATCATCACCGCTCAGCTCGGTTGGTTCGCCGGTAAGATCACCGCCGTTCGCGGCGGCGCCTCGCAGGTGAAGAAATTTTGCGCGTTGAACGTCTTCCCGATGCTGTACTTGGTCGCGACTGCATTCGGCGTCGGCGCCTGGGACGCCCCGGTCTGGGCCGTCTTCACCGCGGCGTACGCGTACTTTGGATACGTCGAAAAGTGATGGCGATCGCGGTGATCCCGATCGACCGATTCCGACTCGCGTCGCGCCCTCCCTGGTCCGCGGTCCGTCGCGCCCTCTCCGCGCAGCTGTTGTATGCTATTTCAGTGTAAAGCCATTTTCGCCACGGCGCGAGTAATCCGCCTCTGGTCGTCGACGTTATCGTCACTCTCGCGCACACACACGACTCCATCGGTACGCCTCGCGCGTCGAAACGATCGCTTAAAATATCTCCCGCCCATCCGCGCCCCCCCGCCGTGGTCGCGTCGCGCGCGCGCGCGTCGAGCCCGCGCGATGCGCGCCGCCGCGCCGCGCGGGTTCGCGCCGCCTCGACGCATTCGCGCGTCGTCGTCGCGCGCGCGCGCGCGACGACGACGCGGTGACGCGCAAACGACGGCGAAGAATACATCGCGGCGCCGTCGCGCGCGGGAGGGACGGAGACGCGCGCGACGCGTCAACGGGACGGTCGTTTGACCGCGCCGTCCCGGAGACCATCTTTCGGGTTTGTGGATAACACCGCCGGGACGCGACGACGACCGAGACGCGGAGACTGACGTTGAAACGCGCGCGCGAACGAACGAACGATAGAAATGTCTGAAGGCAAGGAACATCTTTCCATCGTGATCTGCGGTCACGTCGATTCCGGTAAGTCGACGACGACCGGTCGCTTGTTATTCGAGCTCGGGGGTATCCCGGAGCGCGAACTCGAAAAGCTTCGCGCCGAAGCCGATGCGCTCGGTAAGTCTTCTTTCGCGTTCGCGTTCTACATGGATCGCCAAAAGGAAGAGCGTGAGCGTGGTGTGACGATTTCTTGCACGACCAAGGAATTCTTCACGGACAAGTGGCACTACACCATCATCGACGCCCCGGGTCACCGCGATTTCATCAAGAACATGATTTCCGGCGCGGCGCAAGCCGATGTGGCGCTTCTCATGGTGCCGGCGGACGGTAACTTCACGGTCGCCATCCAAAAGGGTAACCACAAGGCTGGTGAAGTCCAAGGCCAAACGCGCCAGCACGCGCGTCTTCTCAACTTGCTCGGCGTCAAGCAGCTCATTTGCGGCATCAACAAGATGGATTGCGACATGGCTGGCTACAAGCAAGAGCGTTACGAAGAAATTCGCAACGAAATGAAGAACATGTTGATCAAGGTCGGCTGGAAGAAGGATTACGTCGAGAAGAGCGTCCCGGTCCTCCCGATCTCTGGCTGGAACGGCGACAACTTGTTGTCCAAGTCCGCGAAGATGCCGTGGTGGAACGGCGTCGACGTCGAAGACTACATGGGCGGCGGCAAGAAGTTCCACATCGACTGCCTCCTCAACGTCCTCAACGACATGGTCGACAAGCCGGACCGCAACACGGAAGCCGCCATGCGCCTTCCGATTTCCGGTGTCTACAAGATCAAGGGTGTCGGTGATGTCCTCGCCGGTCGCGTCGAGCAAGGTCTCGTCAAGCCGGGTGAAGACGTCGTCTTCCTCCCGACCCACACCTCCTCCAACCCGTGCGGTGGTAAGGTGTTCACCGTCGAAATGCACCACAAGCGCGTCGAAGCCGCCGCGCCGGGTGACAACGTCGGTATGAACATCAAGGGTCTCGACAAGCTCAACATGCCGCGCACCGGTGACGTGATGATCTACAAGAAGGACACCTCCCTCGCCCCGTGCAAGGAGTTCACCGCGCAAATCCAAACCTTGGACATTCCGGGTGAACTCAAGGCGGGCTACAGCCCCATCGGTTTCGTCCGATGCGGCCGCTCCGCGTGCAAGTTGACCGCGCTCAACTTCAAGGTTGGCAAGGAAACCGGCGGTAAGAAGCTCGAGTCCCCGATGTCGTTGAAGTCCAACGAAGTCGCCGAGTGCGTCTTCGAGCCGGTCCACCCGCTCGTCGTCGACTCCTTCAAGAAGTGCGAAGGTCTTTCCCGCATCGCTTTCTTGGACGGTAACACCGCCGTCATGTTGGGTAAGATCACCAAGGTTGAGTACAAGGCCATCTAAGCGACGAAATCGCTCGTCGCCGGCTCGTCGTCCACTCGGCGCGACGTCGCGCGCCTTCGTTCGTTCGTTCGTTCGTTCGCACGATTCGTTTTCACGCCTCATCCACGCTTAGATCTCATTCTTAATACCACGACATCACTTACGTTCTCTTTTCACCCGTCATCGCGCGCGCGTCGCGCCCTCGATCTCTCCTTCGCCGTCGCCTCTGCCTCGCCTGTGGTCTCGAAAGCCCTAATCGGATACCCGATCGCCGAACCGCGTCGACGTCGCGTCGCCGCCGCGTCGCATCGCGCGCCACCACTCGACGCACACGCGCCCGCGCACCCGCACGGCCGACGCACGTCGCGAAACAAAATCCTCGCGCCCGAACGCACGCTCGTTCCAGCGCGACGCACCTCGCGCGCGACGCACGAGGCGAATAAAAGCTCGCGCACGCGTTTTCATCGCGGCGCCGATCGAAAGATTAATCGATCGTAAAACGCGTTGCGGTCAGCGCGCGGGACGAAGGACGGGCGAGCACGCGCGCGTTCGGTGATAAAGTTTGATTATTGTCGGCCGCGAGCGTCGCGACGGATAACGCGCGCGCGTCGAACGGCGAGAGGTCGATCGGCGTGAACGAGGGACGGTCAACAGTAAAGTTTAGGCGCGGCGAAGGAGTCAAACTCGTACGCTCTCTCGGGTGAGGGAATAAAAGGGCGAGAAGCTCGAAAACACGAAAAAAGGCGAAGGCCGCGAATCGACGACGAAGATGATGGACTCCGAGGACGGTAGTAGCGATAATATACGGGACGAAGAGGAACAGAACAAGGTAACGGAATCGAGCTTCATCGCCGATTTGCGACCGTGGGGGTGCGAAAAGTACGCGAGCAGCGCGTATCAGGACTTGACGAGATCACCTTCCTGACACGGTGAAATCGATTAAAGAGTAGCGTGCTCGTGAGGAAAACGCAACTAGAAGAATTGATTTGACGTTGGGAAACGTGGATACGTAGATTTCGTATCGACGAGGTATAGTATCATGGTTGCTGCGACGGCTTCCGTGACGACGGTGGACGGGATTTACCCGTCGCCGCACTTTGAGGGCGCGGAGAAGCGCATTGAAATTGACTTTCACTTCAACGAGAGGAACCCGCGCGGCTTGAGGGAGATTGCGCGGGCGCAGCTCGATGAGTGCATGACGGCGGCGCGGTGTGAAATCGTCAGCGTTCGCTCGAATGACAAATTTGACGCCTACGTCTTGTCGGAGTCATCGCTCTTCGTCTTTCCCACCAAGTTGGTGTTGAAGACGTGTGGCACCACGCATCTTCTCGCGGGTGTGCCGAACATCTTGAAGTACGCCGCCGAGGTTGGCATGGAACCGCGACGCGTCAAGTTTACGCGCTCGTCGTTTGACAAGCCTGACTTGCAACCCGAATTGCACGCCTCGTTCGATGACGAGACTGCGTTTTTGGAGAAACACTTCGGTAACTTGTCGGCGGCTGGTGGGTCGTCTTACATCTTGGGGAGTAAACTCAAGGGTGTGCAATGGCACGTGTATGTCTCTGGCGACGCGTGCCCGTTGCAAGACGCCAGACCGAAGGCTTCTCTCGAAGTGTGCATGACGCATCTCAATCGCGCGCATTGCGAAGAACACTTCTATCGCAAAGAAGAAACCTTTGTGAGCTCGGCCCAAACCACCACAGACAGCGGTATTCGATCGATTTTTGAGGAATTTGACATCGACGACTACGTCTTCGAACCGTGCGGGTATTCGATGAATGGCTTGCACGAGAAAGGCTCTTTAGATGGCCAGTTCAGCACTATTCACATCACTCCCGAAGATGGATTCTCGTACGCCTCGTGCGAGCTGTCCAACGTGGAAGTGCAAGACCTCGATGCCTTCGCGTACGTTCGTAAGGTCGCCTCCGTGTTCAAGCCCGGGAAGATGGTGTTCGCCATCTCCATCGACGGTTTGAACGCCGCTGAGGTCGCCACTGAAGTGCTCGCCAACGGTGCATTTGTGCCGGGATACTCTCGCGCGCAAGCTACTCGCCAAGAGTTTGACGTGGAAGGTGTCGTTGCGTATTACACGTATGAACGCAACGATCGTCTGCGATCCACCATCAGCGTTCCGAACTTGTGCGGTGCGTCTATGTCGACCGCGCACGCCTTCTCGTTTACAGACGCCAAGGAGGCCACTATGCGCCCTCAGACTCCATCTTGTGTCATGGAGTTCCCCTTGTCCGATAACTCGGACGCCGGGTCGAACTCTGAAGAAGCCACGGACGAGGAGATGTGAGTTTGGAAAAGCTTTGCCGCAACGGCAAAGTTCAATAAGACGAAGATTTTGATGGATTCCTTTTGGAGCCGCCGCTACCCAGTCACGAGTACAAGCAATCGCTGTGTTGTCCTGCGCACTTTTGCTCTCTGTACTCGTGCACCATTGTCACGACATGGCGCCTTGAAAGCGTGCATACTGCGTTTAACTACGCGTTACCGCTTCGCCGTCACGTGGTCACGACTGGGAGGTTTAGAGCGACGGTGCCTCGAGTGGAGAGGTATCTGTGTTCAAATACATGTCTTCTCGCGATTCCATGTCTTTTACTCGCGAGCTATTATGTAATAACATCAGCATCACATGCAACGAAACATGAATTGCAACTCGAGGCAACGAAACAAACTAATCATGAATTGCAACTCGAGGCTAAGCGAAAGCTGTGTAAAATGGATTTGAGAAGAGGACGTGGCCGTAAATCTCAAACTTAATTGTCGACTCTTTGTGCACGCATAAAATCACAGGCATCTTATCCAGCGCCTTGATCGAAGTAGGTAAAACCAGCGCGTCGTCCATGACCGCATCATCTATGAACGTCTCTTGCTCTTCCGTAGTATTGAGGCATCGCCCGCGCAAACCTCTGGCGTGCTTGAGCGTGCTCTTGTACGTCGATCGATCTAAAATCTCGAGTGCGGCGGCACCCGCAGCGGCGATTTTCGCGGCCTCTTCGCACTCTTTACGGACGTCTAACGTCACGTCTAATTCTTTCGTCAATGATTGACCCTTTGAAAATCCCTTTTGTGTGACTTTCACGTGACGCTGCTTTTCGAGGTAAATTTTGATTTCGAATCCAAACGCCGGGAGATAGGCGACGACGTATTGCTGCCCGAGTTGCCTTACAATCGCACGCGCGATGACCGGATTTTTCTGCAGATATTTGCAGAGAAACAAGTGCTGACTCCGCTCTTGGGCGTACTTCGCCGCGAGTTTCCGCTCGTTGCAGTGATCAGCGACGTCGCTACAGATTTCCGGCGTCATGAGACTGTGTTTCTCTACGACGTCTCGCTCACTGGATTTCCCTTGTCTCTCAGCGTGCTCGAGCGCCGCTGCGAGTAGACGATGCACAATGATATCCGGATATCGACGAATAGGCGACGTAAAGTGCGTGTAATAAGGAACGGCGAGAGCGTAATGCCGCCATTGCTCTTCGTCCACGCTCCCCGTACAAAAGTATTTCGCCAGTTGCATGGGCTTTGTAGCGAGCAGCTGCACGATGTCAAACAAATCTTGCGAGTCGCGCGCTATTGCTCGCAAACTGTCGTGAAGACGTTTCGAAGATGATATGTCGATATCGATATCGTGCTCGCTGGCGAACGTGGATAGCTCCATGAGCTTCCGTTCGTTCGGCGGCGGATGGCATCGAAGCATGGCGTGCGATGGGAAAATCTCGGCTATGAACTCGGCGACGTACATATTGGCGAGTAGCATGTACTCCTCGACAAGACGATTGCTGTCGCGAATGACGTAAGGTGCAGCTCCCACGGGCTCGTAGTCATCGTTAAGCTCAAAACCAACCTTTGGTTGATCCAATCGAACAGCGCCGGCTTCAAATCTCTTCTTGCGCATCGCTTTCGCAGCTGCGTTCAAGATTGAAATGCTCTCGATGACGTCTTCAGCGGTGTACGCGCCTGAAAACTTCACATCATCTAGTGCCTCTTTCGCTTTGTTCACGTCCGACCCAGCATCGATCACATTTTGAACGTGAATGTATGACAGCTTCGCAGCGCTCTTTATCACGCCACGCTTGAACGAGACATTCTTCACAACGCCACCACGCGTCATCTTCCATTCCACCGAAAACGTTAATCTTTCAACGCCAGGATTGAGTGAGCACAGATTTTCGCACAAAAGTCTAGGCAACATTGGAAAAATGGTGTGCACGAGATACGTCGTGGTGCCTCGTTCTCTCGCCTCGGCGTCGAGCGGCGTGTCAGGCTTGACGAAGTGTGACACGTCGGCGATGTGCACGCCGACGTTTAGACAACCATCGGGCAAAACTTGGACGCTCAGCGCATCGTCCAAATCTCGCGCCGTCGGTGGGTCTATGCTAAAAACGAGCTTTTCCCTAAAATTCACCCGCCGTTTCATCTCCTCGGGTGGAATTTTCCAGTGATCGCCGACTTTGACCTTTGGTAAACACGCCGTCGCATCCGCGCTAAAATCTCCGCTCTCTATGCCGTGCTCGGCGACGATGACTTTCGTCATGAAATCTAAATCATCACCCATACTTCCTTTTCCCACGACCTCGATGATGTCCATCATCGGCATCGACATCCCTTTGCTCCACTTTCTAAGTCGCACCGCCACGAAGACGTCCTCGACATCCTCCGCCCCCGACGCCAGCGTCTTCTGTAACGACTTCGGCACGCTAAACTCAGAAACGCGGCCCTTCGGCAACTTTGGATCCAAGGGCACGAATGTGAGCGACGCGCCGCCGTCTTGGACTTCTACCCTCCCGACCATCCTCGAGCGCCGCGTCGCCGGCGTCACCGGCGCATCCGGGACGACGCGTCCCGTCGGTCGCCACCCTCGTCGACACACCGATGCGAGCGCCTCTACGCTTACGAACGCTCTCTCTTCGTCTGAAATCTCGCCTTTAGTCCCCACGACGCGCTCCCAGCGATCGCACGCGTCGATTACCACTCGCACGCGGTCGCCGTGCACGCTTCTGCCCTGACGCTCCCAGCCCTCGCACTTGACGTCCAGCGGCAGCCCTTCCACGCGCACGTACGCTTCGTGCCGCTTGAACTCGTTCACCACGAACTCACCGACGTGCGCGCGCGCGTCATCCTGCGCGCGAGTCGCCGTCGTTTCGTCGTCAGTCGTCGAGTCGGGTCGTTGCGCGGACAGTTGAGCTTGAGAAAACGAGCGCTCGCGCGCGCACCTGGAGCGCGCTCGCGACGTCGGCGAGATCAAACGGATCGGATTCGGTTTTAGGGTGAGGGATCGCGCGCGCGCGCGGTGGCATGACGCGACCGGCGTCGCGCTGTGAGGTTGAGTCGTCGTCGCTCGAAAGTTGACGGCTACGTGACTAAAAAGCGCTAGGAACTTCGCGAGGGCTTTCTGCTCGCGAAGAGCGGCGGTGTGTTCTACGACGCGCGATTCGTATCGCTCGTGCATCTTTCCATTCGTCCATTCGTGCGCGTCGTCTCTACGCGGCGTCTCCTTCTCGATTTCCGTCTCGGTTCGCTTCTCCGCGAGCGCGGCGGTTCGCGCGCGTGCGCTCCTTGCTCACGCACGTGCGACAGACGTACCCGTCACCCTTGCGCCGCCACTCCGGTCCACCGCTCGTCGTCGCCTCGCACGTCGCGCACGTCACGCTCGGATCCGCGTTCATGCGTCGCAGACGGTCCTTCTTGTAACACGCGTCGCACCAGTGCCCCGCCGTCGCGCCGTTCTCGCCGACGATTCTCCGCCAATAATTCGTCACCAGCGCCGTCTTCTCGCACCCACGGCAAAACACGCTCGGATCCGCGTTCAGCCTCTCGCGATAATCCAACTTGTGGCACGCCTGGCACACGCGCTTTCCCCGCCGCTCGCCGAACTCCGCCCTGTACCAGTACGTCTTCTCGCTCCCCGGCCCGATCTTCTCGCACCGCGCGCACCGCTCACCGTCCCCTCGCCCTCCCGTCGCCACCGTTCGCGCCCGGCGTTCGCTCTCGTAGCATTTCGGGCACACCGTCTCTCCCTTCGTCGGCGGCGCGTGACTCCTCGCCCACCGTCCCGACGCGTTTCCCTCCCCGCACCGCGCGCACGTCCGCGCCGCGCTCGCCCGCGCGCGGCACCTCGCGCGGTACTCTCGCTGGTAGCACGCGCCGCAGATTCGTCCCGCCTCCGGCGTCGTCGTCGACCGAAACCGCCGTCGCGCTTTCGCGCGCACCGGCGTTCCCGGCAGCGTCGCGCGCGCGCCGTCGTCGGCGCCGTCGCCGCGCGCCGTCGCGAGCGCGCGCGCGCACAGTCCACACGCGCCGTCGTCGTCGTCGTCGGCCGTCGACGCGTCGTCGCGCGCGCGCTTCGCCGCGCGTCGCTCCGACATTGGATTCGATTTCGAATCCGCGCGCGATTGTGACGCGCGCGCGTCGTCGCGCGCTCGCCCGCGCCGACGCGCGCGGCATGGCGACGTCGGTCGCGCGGTCGCGCGCGCGCGCGGTCGCGCGCGCGATCGCGCGAGGCGCCGGCGCGCGCGAGGGATGGGGACGCGCGCCGGTCGCGACGACGGCGCGCGCGGTCGAGCGCGCGCGCGCGCGGGAGACGCGCGTCGCGCGCGCGCGGGCGTTCGCGAGCGATGCGGGCGCGCGCGCGCGGTCGAGCGCGCGCGCGTCGACGAGCGCGCGCGCGGGAGACGACGCGAGGACGGAGGACGGACGCGCGGCGGCGACGACGAAGCGCGAGACGACGGCGGCGACGCCGACGACGGCGGCGACGACGACGACGGCGGCGACGAGCGCGGATGACATCGATTTCGGAATACTGCGAACGATGGGTGGGTACCTGTGGAGCGACGAGAACCCGGCGGGGAAGCGACGGGTGGCGGGCGCGATGGCGCTGCTCGCGGCGAGCAAGGCGGCGAACGTGAGCGTGCCGTTCGCGTTCAAGTACGCGATCGATGGGCTGAGCGCGCAGGCCGGGATGGCGACGAGTGGGGTGGAGGCGATGACGCACCTGCCGATGACGGCGATCGCGGCGACGCCGGCGGTGATGTTGGTCGGGTACGGGGCGCTGCGAGCGTCGGCGAGCCTGGCGAACGAACTGAGAAACGCGACGTTCGCCAAGGTGAGTCAGGGGGCGATACGAGCGATCGCGCGGAGGGTGTTCGCGCATTTGCACGAACTTGATTTGAAGTATCATCTCGATCGGCAGACGGGGGCGTTGAATCGCACGATCGATCGCGGGACGCGAGGCATTAGTTTCCTGTTGAATAGCATGGTGTTCAACGTGTTCCCGACGGCGTTTGAAATCGCCCTCGTGAGCGGTATTTTATCCGTAAAGTGCGGACCAGAGTTTGCGATGTTAACCGGAGGTACGATCGCGACGTACACCGCGTTCACGATCGCGTGCACGCAGTGGAGAACAAAGTTTAGGCGTCAGATGAACGCGCTGGAAAACGAAGGCAACACGAGGGCGATCGATTCCTTGTTAAACTTTGAGACAGTCAAGTACTTCAACAACGAGGAACACGAGGTGAAACGCTACGACGAGAGCTTAAAGGGCGTCGAACAGGCGAATTTGAAAATCGCCAGCTCGCTAGGGATGTTGAACTTTGGACAAAACGCCATTTTTTCGGCGTCCCTCTCCGCGGCGATGCTCCTCGCCGCGCAAGGCGTCGCGCAGGGAAACCTCACCGTAGGGGATTTGGTCATGGTGCAAGGGTTGCTATTCCAACTATCGGTGCCGCTGAACTTTTTGGGGTCGGTGTATCGCGAAGCGCGACAGTCTTTGATCGACATGACGTCGATGTTTCATTTGTTGGAAGAGAAGAGCGCGGTGCGAGAGCTGGAAAACGCGCCCGCGCTCGTCGTCCCGGACGAGGGGCTTTCGGTGGAGTTTAGAAACGTGAGTTTTGGATACGACAACGGGAGAAAAATTATAGATGGACTCTCCGTGACTGTTCCCGCGGGTGGTTCTCTCGCGTTGGTCGGCGCGAGTGGGAGCGGAAAGAGCACGCTCTTGCGCCTGTTGTTTAGGCTGTACGACGCCCAAAAGAATGGCGACGGCGAAACTTCGGGCATCTTTCTCGGCGGTCAAAACGCGCAAAGCGTCTCTTTGCGCTCTTTGCGCGAATCCGTGGCTGTGGTTCCCCAAGATACGGTGTTGTTCAACGACACGATCCATTACAATATTCATTACGGTAAAATGAGCGCGTCGGATGCCGAGGTTCGCGAAGCGGCGCGTCTCGCCGCCATCGACGGTCCCATTCTCCGCATGCCCAAGGCGTACGACACCATCGTCGGTGAGCGCGGATTAAAACTTAGCGGCGGGGAAAAGCAACGCGTCGCCATCGCGCGCGCGTTGCTCAAGGGTTCGCCTTTGGTTTTGATGGACGAAGCCACGAGCGCTCTGGACACGAACACCGAGAAAGATATTCTTAAAATGCTCGAAGTGTTGATGAAGGGCAAAACCACCATCGTCGTCGCGCACAGGCTTTCCACGGCGCGAAATTGCGACAACATCGCCGTTTTAGAGGATGGCAAGGTTGTCGAATACGGTTCGCACGATCAACTCCTCCGACGCGGGGCCAAGTACCACGCGATGTGGACGCAACAAAACGGCGCGGGCGACGACCGCGCCCAGCGTCCCGCGCACGACCCGACGACGTCGCTCGACGAGTTGCTCGCCCGCGAGCGCGCGAGACAAGACGCTGATGCGAAGAAGAAAGCTCAGGCCCAGGCTGCGCTCGACCGCAAGCGATGCTGTTGATCGCCGAAGCGGCGCCGGCGGTTAGACTGCGTCCCCGGGACGCCTCCCTTGTCAACACAACGCACCGCACTCGCCGACTCGCGCGCATCCATGCCCACCGTCGGATCGATCGCGTCCAAAGCGTTTACCCGCGCGCGTTTCCGCGCGTCCGCGCGCGTCGACGCGCGTCCGCGCGCGCGAATGGCGACGTTTGCTTCGTCAGAAACCGCACCGAGGGTCATCTTCGCCCTCGACTTTGACGGCGTCGTGTGCGACTCCGTCGGTGAATCTTCGCTCAGCGCGTGGAAACACGGAGAGGAACTATGGCCCGACGTCTTCGACGCCGACGCGACGCGCGCGGAGAAGGAGCGAGTGCTCGATGGTTTGCGCGCGGTGCGACCGGTGGTGGAGACTGGGTACGAAAACACCACGCTGGCGCGCGCGTTGCTGGAAAGGTTGCCGGGGTACTCGATCGAGGAGATTCTGAACGATTGGGACGGGCTGTCGGGAGCACTCATGGATAAATGGTCGCTCGATCGAGCGACGATGGTGGAGGCGTTCGGGAGGATACGGGATGATTGGATATTGAACGACTTTGACGGGTGGTTGGCTCCGAACGCGTTGTATCCGGGCGTCGCCGAGGCGGTGCTCGCGGCGCAAAAGAGAAGCGACGCGGCGGTGAAGATCGTGACCACGAAGCAAGGAAGATTTGCTCTGGCTATTTTGGAACGGATGGGTAAGATTTCGATCGCTGATGATGATATGTATAGCACGACGGTGAGCGGGATCCCGAAGACGGATGTCTTGCGAACGCTCGGCGTCGACGGGAATCCTCGCAAAATTTTCGTCGAAGACAAGCTCAGCACGCTGGAAAAAGTGTGCAAGGCGGATGACTTAGATGAATGGGAATTGTTCCTAGTGGATTGGGGGTATAACACCGAGAGTGAACGCGCGAGAGCGGCGGCGAACGATAGAATCACCGTCATCGACATCTCGACGTTCATCTCGTTGCTCAGAGAAGGATAGCGCTATTGAACTGTTGATAATTACAAAATAAAACGAGCCACGCTAATCTGCTTCGCTAAGTATGAGTTTACCCACTTCGTGATTTTCATCGCGAAGATTTGCGAACCAAGTGTGAAAATGTTCGCGACCGCCTTCGTCTCGACTGAAGTCGTACACGCACACGCCTGGGATGACTTGATACGTTCGCATCGTCACCACTTGCCCCGTGCTTTGACATTCAAAAACCACGCGCGCTTGCGTCTGTCGATGAGCGACACTCCCAAGCGCGGTGGCCCGTTCGATGATGGCGGCTTGCACGCGATCAATCTCTACTTTACTCACGAAGCGCGTGGCGTTGCTCACCGTGTTTTCATCCTCGTCGAAGATGTTTGCCACATCAAAAGCGGCGATATTGATCAACTCGAACGCGTTGAGCTGTTTGATCGGGCGAAGTTTCGACTCATTTGTGCTCATCATGGATGATTTCTTCACCACGAGCTTGTCGTCCGGCGTCATAAACTGCGCGAGCGTCGGGTCTTCTTCGTCGAAGAACCGATTCGTGTTGGCGTTGTGCTCAACCTTGACGGGAACAAAGTCAACCTTGAACCAACTGTTCTTCATCACTTGATCGAGCGTCATTCTCTTCGTCGGATCTTTCACAAGCATGCCTTTGATGAGTTTTTCGCACGAGCGCGACATCGAACCGCTCGGGAAATACGGCTCCGTCTTTTGAACCATGAGTTGCAGTTGCACGAAATTCTTTCCGTCGAACGGGTACTTCGCCGTGAGCATAAAATACAAGATACATCCACAACTCCACACGTCCGCGGGTCCACCATCGTATCCATCAGAGCGCGTCTTCGTGTTCACCGTCTTAAAATTCTTATTCCCCACGAGCCTCCTCGATCCTCCCATCACCTCCGGCGCCGCGAAGTGCGGCGTCCCGCAAATCGTGCGAAGATTAGTATCCTCCGCGTCCGCCCGCAGCGCCGCCAACCCAAAGTCCCCGATGCACAATTCCCCGCGCTCATCGAAGAACAAATTCTCAGGTTTCAAATCCCGATGATATATCCGTTTCTTATGACAAAAATCCACCCCCTGTATCAACCTCTGAAAATGTCGTCTCGCCTCCGCCTCGCCGAAACTCCCCTTCGCTCGCACCCTATCGTACACCTCCCCCCCCGGGCAGTACTGCATCACCATGAACACGCTCTGTTCATCGCTCAGCACCTCTTTCAGGTCGACGATGCACGGATGCGTGAGATCCGCCATCGCCTTCACCTCCGCCTTCACCTGGTCCTGCTCGTCCAGGCGTTGCAAATTCTCCCTGTCCAAAATCTACGTTTCGATTCGCGTCGCGCGTCGTCGATTCCCGTCAGTCGTCGGTTTCGGCGATTCGGTCGAGGTCGCGATGGCGCGTCGCGCGCGTCCGCCGCCGTCGTCGTCGTCGTCGTCGTCGTCGTCGTTTCTTTTCGTTTCGTCGACGCATCCATCCATCCATCCGCGCGCGTCGACGCACCTTGATCGCCGCCTTGGCGCCCGTCTCGTCCTGCACCGCGAGCTTCACCCACCCGAACGCCCCTCTCCCGAGCGCGTGCTTGAGCGCGTACGCGCCGACGCGCGTGACCTCGCGCGGCATGGCGGTCGTCGCGTCGCGCAGTGCGACGACGACACAACATGGCGACGCGCGTCGCGACGACGGACGCGCGCGCGCCGGTCGCGCGGCGCGCGCGCGGTGCGCGTCGCGACGTCGCGCGGCGCGCGACGGGAGACGACGCGCGGCGCGAGGCGCTGCGAAAAGCGCGCGCGAAGTTGCCCATCGACGCGGTCGTGGACGCGTGCTTGGACGCGCTCGAGGTGCGTCGACGGCGCGCGAAAGCGCGACGCGGGACTGACGAGGCGAACGATTGGGTTCGATGCGAACAGCGCGCGACGCGCGCGGTGATGCAGGCGCCGCCGGGGGCGGGGAAGACGACGGTGATGCCGCTGGCGGCGGCGCTGGCGGCGGCGAGCGCCGGCGGCGACGGACGCGCGGGGAAAGTGATCGTGCTCGAACCGCGACGGTTAGCGGCGAAAGCGGCGGCGATGCGGATGGCTGAGATGTTGGGGGAACGCGCGGGGGAAACGGTGGGGTATCAGGTGCGATTTGAACGAAGGGCGAGCGCGGCGACGCGGGTGGAGGTGGTGACGGAGGGCGTGCTGACGCGGCGGTTGAGAAACGATCCAGAGCTGCGGGACGTGGGATTGGTGGTGTTCGATGAGTTTCACGAGAGGAATTTAGACGCGGACGTCGCGCTGGCGCTGTGTCGAGAGGTGCAACAGACGATACGGCCAGATTTGAGACTGTTGGTGATGAGCGCGACGCTCGGGGAGATGGGCGCGCGCGTGGCGGCGTTGTTGAGGGATGAGAACGGGCCCGAGGTGCCGGTGATCGTGTCGGAGGGGCGGTCGTATCCGGTGGAGACGATTTATTTGGGCGCGCCGGGCGCGGGATGGGGTGAGCTCGAGCGCGCGACGACGAACGCGGTGAAGGACGCCGTGCGCGCGTGCCCAGATGGCGACGTGCTGTGTTTTCTTCCGGGCGCGGCGGAGATCAATCGCGTGGTGCGAGATCTGCAAAGGGAGCTTCCGAACGGTGTCGTGGCGTTGCCACTGTACGGCGCGCTATCGCAAGAAGAACAGGCGGCGGCGCTCGCGCCGTCGAAACCGGGCACGCGTCGCGTCGTCGTGAGCACTCCAATCGCCGAGTCTTCGTTGACCATCAACGGCGTGAAAGTGGTCGTGGACTCGGGATTGTGCAAGACGCCCAAGTTCGACGCTCGGAAGGGTATGACGCGACTGGAGACGACTCGTGTCTCCCGCGCATCGGCGGATCAAAGGCGCGGGCGAGCCGGGCGCATCGCTCCTGGGACGTGCTATCGTTTATGGAGCGAGGCCTCGAACGCGAAACTTCAGCCAGACACGACACCCGAGATTTTGCAAGCCGACTTGACTCCGGTGGCGTTAGATTTAGCAGCGTGGGGCGTCGGCGATGGGGCAGACATGGCTTGGCTCGACCCACCGCCTGAAGGCCCGCTCATCGCGGCGAGACGGTTGTTACGCGAGCTCGGCGCGTTGGAGGAAGGCAAACTCGTCCCTAGCGACGTGGGTTCGATCATGTCCGAGCTTCCAGTGCACCCAAGACTGGCGCGTATGTTACTTTTTGGCGCGTCACGCGGCGCTGAGAGCGCTCGACTCGCGTGTCAACTCGCAGCTGTCATCGGCGACCGCGACTTGATCTCTGGACGCGACGCCCCTCTCGACGTTCGGTGTAGACTTCGCGCGCTTTGGGGTCAAGATCCACTCGCAAGCGCGGGCGATTTGGATGAAGAGAAACCAGAAGTCGACCCGACGAAACCGACGCGCGTTCCAATCGGTACCAAACTCCCGAAGAGCGGGAAGAAAATCAAAGGCGCGCCTCGCGGCAAACGCGCGAGCGTAAACGCGGCGGTGAGCGTCGCGACGGGCGGCGCGAGCGGTGCGAGCTGGAATGTCGACGAGCGGGCGGTTCGCGAAGCGAAACAAGTTGCCGAGCAGTTACTCGGGAACTTGCGCCGCTTAGCGTCTTCGCATCCTGACTTCTGCGCTCCGGGTGTCGGCGAGGGCGACGCCTCGGCGGTGGTGTGGTCGTTCTTGTGCGGCGCGGGCGAAAGCGAAGCCGGCCTACTGCTCGCTGTCGCCTATCCTGATCGCGTCGCCGCGCGTAAAAACCGAGGAGGGGCGTTTCAACTCTCTGGCGGCGGCGCCGCGAGCGTGGGAAGTGAGCACAAGGATGACGCGCTGCTTCGCTCTGGCGACAAGGCGAATGAAACTTTAGTCGTCGTCGAATTAGCTGGCGATGGCGCGGGAAACGCGGGATCGAGGAACGACCGCGTGCGGTTGGCGGCACCGATCGACCGTGCATGCTTAGAAAGCGGTGGTGCGCTGTACGAAGCGTTGTCCAAGGAGAGTGACGACGTGTTCTGGGCGAGCGCATCGAAATCAGTCTTCGCGCGCAGGCGCTTGACGGTAGGATCTTTGGTGCTTCGAGAGATTCCGTTTTCGGTGAAAGACAATCCCGAGGCGACTGTGAGCGCGATGTTAGACGGTATTCGCGAGATGGGTCTCGCGAGCGCCTTCGGTTTGAACAAAGCGACGACATCGTGGCTCAAGCGCGCGGAATATGTCCATCGCTCAGGCGTGGACGCCACGTTTCCAAATCTCTCCGAAGAAAATTTGCTGAGCTCCGCCGGTGAATGGCTCGCGCCGTGGATCGCTGGCGCGCAGTCTAAATCGGATCTCGCGAAAGTTGACGTCGCATCCCTAGTCAAGGCGCATTTCTGCACGTACGACCATCTCAAGCTCGTGGACGACGCCTGTCCCGTCGCCGTTCGCCTGCCCAGCGGATCCAACGCCAAAGTCGACTACGACGGCGACGTTCCCGTCGTCGCCGCGCGCATCCAAGAGTTCTTCGGCACTACCGAAACTCCACGCGTGGGCGGCGTCAACTGCGAATTACACCTCCTCAGCCCGGCCGGTCGCACGCAAGCCGTCACGCGCGACTTGGCGTCGTTCTGGCGCAACGCCTATCGCACGGACGTTCGCAAAGAGCTCGCCGGTCGATATCCCAAGCACTTCTGGCCCGACGATCCCGAGTCCGCCGCCGCGACGAGCAAGACCAAAAAGTACATGTAATTAGCGAATGAGCGCGCGCGTAGTTAGCGATCTTTACGCGAACATTCATTCGCGAGGACTTCGCGCGCGCTCGGCGCTCAGGCGCCCCGCGGCAGACATCATTCCCCGACGCTCCTCCGCACTCGAGCGAACGCACACCATGGGCGGCGTCGCGATCCCCGAACTCAAACAGTGCGTCCTCTCCTCGCGCGCGCTCGCCCGTTCGCGCGTTCTCTCTCGCGCGCGACGTCGAATCGTCGCGACATCCAACGCCGCCGACTTTTCGCAATCGAACGCGTTTTTTACCCGTCTCGACGCGCCGACGCGCGCCGCGTGCGCCACGCTGACCGCAGACGCGCCCGTGACGCACGCCAACCAGGTATATGGACAAGAAGCTGCGCTTGCGGCTGAATGGGAACCGGAACGTCGTCGGGACGCTGCGAGGGTTCGATCAATTCTTAAACGTCGTGCTCGACGACGCGACGAACGATACGACGAGCGAGAAGACGCCGATGGGGATGATTGTCGTGCGAGGGAACTCGGTGGTGAGCATGGAGGCGCTGGAACACATCGCGCCGGCGGTGCGAAGGCAAGGGGCTTGAGCGCGGAGAGTTGTTTAGAGTTGTAGTATAAATAAAACAGTGTCAGAGAGGAATGTCGTCCGTCTAACTCGCGTCTTCGTCGTCCGTGCCGAAGTCGGACACGTTTTCGGCACCCATGGCGCGAGTGCGCTCTATTGACGTGAGGGCTGTCAGGCTGGCGATGCCGAAATCGTCTTCGCCGTCGTCGACGTCGGCGGCGGTCGCTCGGAAGCAACCAAAACACGTCGCCGTTCGCTTCAACGCCGCGCGAGATGTAGATGACGCCGCATCGGCGGCTCCTCGAGGAATATGTAACGCGGCAGAGCTCATTGATTCGTACAAGACCGCCACGCGCTTGCCTAAAGATATCTCGCTCGACTTTCCCTCGTCGACGACGATGTTCGGTTGCAAAATGTTGATTCGTATGCGACAGTGTAAAATTCCCACCGATTTCAGCGTTTTGGGGTCCAAGAGTGTCACCTCGACGCTGTGAATGTCGCCGGCACGCAACTTAAAGATGTTGTCAATCTTCCCCACCGCGGAGATTTTCCTCGAGATTCGCAACAGCTTTGTCGCCGTAGCTTTGGCGGCGTTGCTGTCCATGCTCTCGCTCATCAAGAACATAGCGAGTTGCCCGTCGACGACTTCATCTGTAGTATCGAGCCTGGCGAAAGCGCCGCTATCCCAAGTAGGATGTTCGATGTCGTGCTCAGCCTCGACGTGCTTCTTCATGATGTGCATTTTCGACACGACGCGCCTGCGAGCGTACTCGATCGCCACCGCCATTCGACACCGCTTGCCATTTAAATACTTTGCTTTCAGCGATGAGTTACGCGCGTTCGGATCTAATTCAACAAACAACGGCATCACACGCAATTCCACAGTGATTTCATCTTTTCTTCGCTTCCAAATGCGCTCAATATCTCGCATCAACGGCTGCGTGATGAGCTCCTTCTGATCGATGATTTCTTCGTTGTCCGCGGACAACCACCACTCCTTAACGTCCCAGAAGTATCCTTCCGGTTCGCACAGCGAGCTCTTAAAGTAGTCATCAACGACACGTTTAAGTGCCGTATGAATGACGCCAATCTCGTTTAAATTGACGGCACCGAACGTCTTGAGCGAAAACGAATACGCCGGCAAGCCGACGAAAGATATGCGAAGCGAGCGGACGTATGGACCGCCCTTCGCGCGCATCCACGTGAACATGAGTCGTAAATTACCCGAAATGCGAATATCTGCCAAGCGAATGCGAATCGGAATCGGTACCATCGTCCCGCGACCGAACATGGCGGAGACCAGCACTACTGAGTCTTCCATGGTCCAGTCTAAATCCCATTCAACGATCATTTCGCCATCCGACCCGGCAAACGTTCGCGAAGTCTTTATCGCGGGCGCGTTCGTACCGAAACGAAACTCACTCAACTCTACTTTACTGACGAACGGCAAATCTAAACTCTCGAAGCACCACTCTAGCTGTTCGCGCAAGAGGCGATTCATCCACATCGCCATCCAACCATCCCACATGTGTTGAAAGATTGCGCTCCACCAATCCGAAGATTCCGCGCCGGTTCTGTTCAACTTCGGATCGCCACGAATCATTTGAAACTTTTTAAGTTGATCGGCGCGACAGCGCACTAATAACGCGTCACGCTGGATCTCAGATACCCAAAGCAAATGTCTCGTGAACGCCGCGGTCAGTACGCACGCGAACGCAAAGTTTTGCAACCAAACCATGAAGAGTAACGAACCGAGCGCGACGACGATATGCGGTCCCAACGTCGAAAAGAAATCATCAATCATCACACCAACGCCCTGTAGTACGACGTGTGCCCTGCGAAACGGTGCAGTGAGAATTCCACCCGTCGCACTGAGCGCGTCCTTCGCCAGCGAGATGGTGGCTTTCCTTTCCTTCTCGTTATCTTCTTGATGTTCTTCAGCTTCGTCGTCACTCTTAGCATCATCAACACCATCTATCAGCGATTTTAAAGTCCTCATGCGTCCCACACACTCTCGAATATCGTTCTTCTCCTTCTCCGTGCCATTCCCGAAACACGCGGCGATGAGCGCGCTCCGCGCGTGCGTCTTCACGTGATACGTCCAATCATTCCCTTGAAACACCTTCCACGACTTCCCAACTCCCACTATCCCCATGCTCGCGCCCATCCCCGGTAAACCTGGCAAAAATCCCGCCTTTTTCTCGCTATCGATCTTCCCTCGCGCCACCGGCGCGATGATTCCTCGAACCAACAACTCGTTCGCCAGAAACATCGCATCCGCCTCGTCCCGAAACGTCTGTTCCCGAAACGTCTGTTCCATCGCCCACACCACGAACGATCGTCCCGTGAAGCACTTTGAATAAAAGTTCACCGCCGTCGCGTGCGTCGTGAACTCCATATCGCTCAGAAACCGCAGCGTCAATCCAAATATGTCGCCGTTGGACAGCGACAGCGGCGCTCGCAGCGTTTCCCGTCGCGAGTGTTTCACCGTGTCTCGCGCCTGCGCCAACTCCGCGTTCAGCGTGCTCGGCGAACCGAAAATCGACGTCACGAAGCGTTTACTGGCGACGCGGCCGAAGGTTTTCGGCGGCGTGACGAGCGTATCCGCGTCGTTTTCCCGAAGCGTCCGCATTTCGGCGACCATGGAATCGTCGACGACGCGCCGACGACGCGCCGACGTCGCGCGCGAACGACGCGCGAAACGCGGTTCGCGGTGCGCGCGCCCGCGCGCGCGCGGCGCGCGCGGGCGATGCGACGACGCGCGCGGATGTGTGACGTGTCGACTTTGGGAGAGGATGCGAGTCTGTTATGGCAATTGAGCGCGCGGGGCGACGCTCGTCGTTCGCGTTCTGGACTCGAAGGCGGCGCGGAAAGTTCTAAAGGTACCGATGAGCGAATACATCAAGTTCTAATGCGAAGCGCGCGCGATCGCGCGTCGCGCGCGATGTGGGGTGCTAGATTGTCGATTGGCGACGGCGACGGCGCGCCAGAGTAAGAGCGCTCGCGAGGCGAGCGCGCGGTAATAGGATTCCACGGCGAGACGGCGACGACGGCGAGATCGCTCGAGAGCGATGCGACGCTCGCGAACGCGCTCGGCACGCGCCTCGGTGAAAGCTCTCCAAGAGTTCAAAGCCTTCAAAGTGAGCGTGACACGATGATACTCCATCGCCGTTCGTGAGCGGTGGCGGCGAAGGCGACGCTCTTCGGCGACGCGGCGCCAAGCGTGCAAGGCATCGTACATCGCGTAAAACGCGTTTGAGTGCGACGGTTTGGCGATGCGCTCTCTCCATGCGACGATGGCGCGATTCACGACTCGCCGGACGAGGTAAATATTTGCCACTTTCTTTCGCCAGTGATCGAACGCGGGCCGTGTGATCGTCGGCGCGACGACGCGTCGGAGGCTAATTTTCAGCTCCTCGCAGCGCGCTTTGCGCCACTTGGCGTGCTTCTGCAGGCACGAAACGTATGCGCGCAGCCGTCGCTCGCGATCTTCGCTGACGACCTCATCCACGACGCTCTCCACGAGCCTGCGACGCGTCTGGTTGATGTGCGCTACGTTCGCCCAAGAGGTGAAGATGTTCGTGATGAACGACAACTGCGCGGCGTCGCGCTGTTGCCGACGCCACGCGATGTTTTTCGCAAAACCGGCGAGTACTTTGCGTGCGAGCCTCTTGGCGTACGCTTGCGTCGCACACTCCGCGAGCGTATACCACTTTCCCGGCGCAAGAGATATGTTTTGCATGCTCTCAACGATATCATCGTCGTCGTCGTCGATTCCTTCGCCAAACGAGTCCCAGGTCACGCGTCGTCGCATAATTTTCTTCTCCTCAGCGCTTCGCGCCTTCGTGGGAGAAAACACCGCGTTTTCGTTGGAATCACGATCGAATAAACTTCCGTCGTGGAAAACGACGGAATCACCCGTCGCGCGCTGCAAACGTTTCATCGCGTTCACCGCCTTTGCGTTGAGTTCTCGCTCCAGTTTCGCCGTCGCCATGACGACGGCTTCCGCTTCGAGCACGCGCGTCTGTGCTTTCTCGACGTCTTCCTCCGCTTGCGCCTTCAACATTCTCGCCGCCTCTTTATGCTCTTCAGCGATATCGATTGCGCGTTCTGCAACTCGAGCGGCGGCTACGTGCGCGGAAGATAGATTGACCGCGCAAGCCGCCGCTTCGGCGGCCCGCTGAAGCGCGTGCGCGATCACTTTTTCGTCGCCCGCGCCGGATTCCGAGAGCTCTTCTGCGCGGCGCTCGGCGAGATTGGCGGACTCTTCCGCTTCGATGGCAAGGAACTCAGCCTTGATCGACTCATTCATCGCATCCTGCGCGCCCTGAACCGCCGCGTTCGCCCGCGAATCGGCGTTTGCGACGAGTCGACTCGCCCTGAGACTCGTGTCGTGCGCCGCCTTTCGCGCGGCGACGCACTTTTGAGTCGCGTCACGCGCGCTTGTCAGCGCTCGTTGATGCTCTTGCGAGAGCTCGTATGCGTCTGCACTCAGCGCATCGACGTTCATCGAGTTGTCCGGAATGAAATCAATCGTCGTCGCGACCTTTTCGATCGCTGCCGCCGTTCGCGACGCCGCGACGTCATCTCTGTTGAGCGACAACGTTTTCCGCCGCGGCGAGTCCGTTCGTCCTCGTGTCGAAAATCCCACATGCAAATGCCGCTTAGCGGCGCCGATCCCCCGAAACATGGCTGAATCACTCGACGCCCACGCCACATCTTCTCCGTCCGCAGTAAATCTCCGCATGTTCTCGAGCGTGCGAATGAGTTTTAGCGATGACGAGACTTGCGATCGTAGCGCGCTTTCCGAGCAGCGCTTCTCGAACAGGTACTTCAACTCACTTTTCATCATCAAGTGAGCGTCGTGCGCAGTGTATTTAACCTTTTCATGGATCGCACGCTGCGCCTCTGGTACGGACATGCCAAACATTCGCGCACGCACGGCGATACGGCGTTCCTTAACGCGACGCGCGTGCAGCAACCACCCGCAAAACGCGAGGGTGCGTAATCTTCCGGTGGCGTACGAGTGCGCCAACTCGTTCGCCTTTCGTTTCCAAAACGCCCGTGCTGCAAAAAGCTCCCAATGATGTAACGCCGCTTGCGCGATCCGAACGTTGTGAATCGCCGCACACGTCTTACCTAACGTTTGTTCTCGCACACCCTCGCGCCACGACTTGAACGCCGACCGTCGCATCCTACGATCGGTCACGACGACGAACGTTTCGCACGCTTCGCGCATCGCTCGAGTTCGAGGCGCGCATATCACGGCGTGCGCGCGAAGCGCGTCGAACGCACGCTTTAAAATCGGCGCGCGACGAATCATTCCCATATCGTTCGCCGCCCTTCGCAACGCTCGCGAACGTCCCGCGGCGCCTCGCAAAATCTCAAACGCCAAACGTTTCGTCGCCTTGGCCGCGCCCTCGTCCAACGCCTTCCCACCACGAACAAAATTCGCGTGTTTGCTCGAAGACGACGCGACACCCGTTAAAAACACCGGAAGATTCTTCTTTTCCGAGGCCTTGGACGCCCTGTTCGACGCCGCCGCTGCTTCGCTCCGCCGCTCCGCCAACGCCTCCAACCTCGCGCCTCGCTCTCTCTCGCGCGCGTCCAACTCCTCCCGCACCCGTTTAGCGACGCGCGCCGCGCGCGCCCGCGCGTCCACATCCGCGTCCTCAATCACTCCCACCGCCCGCGTCACCACCGGTCGCCAATCCAACCCCTCTCCCGCTTCCCTCAACGCGTCGCCGTATTCGTCCGTCGCTCTCGCCGCGCTCGTCGACGCCGCGAACAATTTCATCCGCACGCTCCGCACATCCTCCGCCACGCGCTCCAGCGCCGCCGCCGACTTCACCGACGACGATCCCGATCGCCATCCATCGCCGCGTGAGGCATCACTCGACGACGCGCGACGCGCGTTCGCGTTCGCGTCGTCGCCGCTTCGCTCGAGCGCCGCGATTCGCCGCGCCACCGAGTTCGACGTCCCTCTCTCGCCTCCCGCCGTCGCCGCCGTCGCCGGCGTGCCGACGTCGTGAAACGACCCATCGTGATCGTACCCTCGCGGCGTGCTCGGCGCGCGCGCGCGCGTCGCGTCGCTTCGACTCGCCGAATGCGCGCTCGCATTCGAATCCGCTCGACCGTCGTTTTCGTCGTCCTCGTCTCGCGCGCGCGCCGAGACGCCGGTCTCGCGCGCGCGCGACATCCCGCGCGTTCACGTCGCGCGTCGCACGCCGGCGCGCCGCGCGTCGTCGCGTCGCGAGGCGCGCAATGCGACGTTCGATTCGCGATTCCGCATTCGCCGACGCATGCCGACGCGCGCGGCGTCGCTCGCGCGCGCCGTCGGAGCGCCGCGACCGCCGCGCGCGCGCGCGACGACGCACCGCGTCGCCCCGGCGCGCGCGATGCGCCGCGCGCTGGCGCGCGCGCTGGCGACGACGACGGCGGCGGCGGCGGGACGACGCGCGACGACGCGCGACGGCGCGACGCGCGCGCGCGACGCGTGGCGCGCGCCGGCGACGACGCGCGCGGATCTCTCGACGCGCGCGTCGGCGAGCGACGCCGAGCGCGCGGCGCGGACGGGGCGAGGGACGACGACGACGACGACGCGGGCGGCGTCGAGCGACGCGGCGGGCGACGACGACGCGGCGGCGGCGTCGACGGCGAACGACGCGGACGGACGACCGGAGGAGCGCGCGGGCGGTAAGGGCGGGAACTGGGGAGAGATGAGCGGGCGAAAACCGGCGCGCGCGGCGCGGACGGAGTCGATCGAGGGGGAGGTGTTCAGACCGCGCGAGCGGTTGAAGACGAACGCGGATTTCGATCGCGTCAAGCGAGAGGGGCGGACGTATAACGGTGCGCATCTGCGAATTCGCGCGGTGGATAACGCGAATCACGAACCGGCGACGTGCACGCGAATCGGGATCGTCGTGCCGAAGAAACAGGTGAAGCGCGCGGTGGATCGAAATCTGATAAAGCGACGGATTCGGCACGCGTTTCGCACGAACAAGGACGCGTGGCCGGCGCGCGTGGACTTTATCGTCTTCGTCAACGCGAGCGCGCTCGAGGGCGGGTTCGAGGGCGTGCGAGACGACATGTTCGCGTGGAGTCGAGAGTACGCGGCGCGCGGCGAGCAGTCGCGCGCGACGAAGAGTTTCAAAGACGCGAAGCGTCGGCGAGCCGAAAAGTTTCGCGCGAGCTCCGACGCCGTCAACGCGTGACCGAATCATTCGCCACGCGCGCGTCGCGATCGCGCGCGCTTCGGGCGGACGAAACCTCGGTGTTTTTTATGTAATTCATCGTCTCGGCACCGCGCACCGCGCCTCGCCTCGCCTCGCGCGACGACCGTCGCGCGTCGTCGTCGCGTCCCGACTTCGTCGACCAAAACCTCGCGCGCGCGCTCGGCCCTCCGCACTCGCGCGCGCGCGCTTCCCGCCGCCTTCGCCCGAGCGGTCGAGCGCGATGCCCTCGACGTCTTCGCTCGTCGCTCTGGCGCGCGCGTCGTTCGCGCGCGCGTCTTCGTCGCTTCAAATCGTCGCCGCGCCGCAGACCTCTCGCGGCTTCGCCGTCGCCTCGTCGCGCCTCAGCGCGGCGAGCGCGTCGGACGACCGCGCGCCGATCGATCGTTACGCGGCGGGGAGAGGGCCCATGGCGGGGCTCCTGCGCGTCCTGCGCGATGAGGGGGCGATGACGACGAGGGCGCTGTTCGAGCGCGCGTCGGCGCTCGGCGTCGGAACGCGATCGATGCGTCACATGAAGGGATTGCTGAATAAGATGAAGGCGATCGATCGCGTGTCGACGAGCCCGCCCGGAGAGGGCGAGCGCGACTCGGGCGGCGGGAAGCGACGAGGGAGAGGGAATTTTACGTTTAGCGTCACCGAGGCGGGGCGCGCGCACGTGGACAAGTTGGATCGCTCGATTCGACCGCCGGGTTGAATCGATCGACGTCGACGACGCGAGCGTCGGTCGTTGCGCTAGCTAAAAATACGGTAATCTAACATGCGTTCGTAGTCAAACGTCGAACGTCGAGTCTTCGCGAAGCGTAGCGAACGCGTCTGTCTTCGCGACTCGGTTCGCGACGACGCGCCGCGCTCACTCCTCCTCGAGCAAATCCGCCGCGACGTCCGCGACGTCCACCGTCCCTTCCACGGGAATCCCCACCTTTTGTCGCTGCGCCTCGTCGATCAATTCCCTCGCCAGTTTCTCCGCCTCCCACGCCTCGCGTTCGCACCGCGCCGCGTGCGCCTCCGCCGCGCTCGCCTCCGCCTCCGCCGCGCTCGCCTCTCGCTTCACTCGCTGCGTCTCGTTAAACAACGCGTTCGTCACCGCATCCATGGCGTTTTCTTTCCCTTTCGCGTTCGAAGTCTCCGCTTCGTCTCCGTCGCGTCGTCGTCGTTTCCCGCCTCCCTCCGCGTGTTCCCTATCCGACGCCTCTCGCTCCTCCTCCGCGCCGCCCGTCGCGTCCGCCGCGTCCAGCGCGCCGGACTCTCTCATGTTGCGCCATTTATCCTTGAGATCGACGTTGGAGCGCGCGCGCAGGATGTCGCCGAGCTCGGGGTCTTTTTGGATCGTGCGCCACTTTCCGGGGCCGTGCTTGCGCACGCCGTCGCGCAGGGCGTCCTCTTCGGCGCGCGTCCACTTATACTTGGCGGTTGCCATCGCGGGCGCGCGCGCGCGCGCGGAGAGGGACGCGCGGTGCGCCACGCCGCGCGCGTGAATGCGGGGACGGCGAACGCGGCGCGCGGCGGCGCCGTCGACGGGCTCGCCGACTCGCCGGCTCGAAATGCGTACGAAAAGCCTCTACACTTCTAATCAAGCTTCTACACTTCTAATGATTATCACAAGTCGATCATCCGAGCCGCTCGATGTGATCAGGCGACGCCTAAGAAACCGGCGATGACGAAGAGCGTTCCGCTCGCCATGAGGGCGGCGTTTTGAAAGTGCGACGCCCACGCGGGTTGGCCGATGAATACCTCCACCGTCGCCGCGAGGGGGATCTGAAGCGATAAACCGATCGACGCCACCGTGGGAGACGTGAGCAGGACCGCGCGCGCCCAGAGATAATCGCTGAGGACGTTGTCAAAAAATGCCTTGGCGCACGCGAGCCAGAAGACGCGCTCGGTGAAGGCGAAGAATAAATTCGGCAAACCGTTTAGGGCGCGAGTGACGATCAACACCGCGCCGTAGCCGACGAAATTAAAGATCCCCATGAGCGCGAAGAACAAAGTCATGTCGGTTTTGTCGTCATCCTTCAAGTAAAGCTTCATGGTGGCTGTGTACAGCGCGTAGAGCCCCGCCGCGGCGAGCGCCAAGACGTTGCCGAGCGCGGGCGACTGAATGTTCTGCCCGAGGGCGTTGTTCGCCATATCCTCGGCCGAGGCTTCGTCGAAATTCACCCCCCGCGGGTCCCTATCCGCCAACGTCACGAGCACGGTGCCGATGACGTACGCCACGATGGCCGCGACTTTCATCCACGAAAACTTATCCAGGCCCATGTACACGCTCACGACGAACGTAAACACCGCGCTCGACGAACTCAGCATCGAATTCGCCGTCACCGTCGTCATCAGCAGGCTATAATCAAACGCCAACTGCGCCATCACCCATATCGGCGCCACGACGAACGCCGCCTTGAGATGATACTCAAAACTATACATACCCGCCTCGCCGCGTCTCTTCGCGCGACTCGCCGCCGTCTCGTTCGCCTTGCCCCGTTCCGCGTCTCTCGTCTCTCCCTCTCCTCCCGCCGTCGCCAGCGGCACTAATTCCACCGCGTTCGCGTGTCCTTCTCCCGGCGTTCTTTTCTTCGCCGCGCCCGCGCGCGCGCTCGAGCTGTGTCCTCGCTCCGCCTCGTCGTCCGCGTTCGCGCGTCCCGCGCCGCGCCTCGCGTCCCGCTGTCCCGCGCGCGCGCCTCGCGCGCTCTCCACCATCGCCGCGCATCCCCGCGCGATCGTCCCGAGCCGCAGCGGGACGAGTATGATGAACCCCGAGCCGCATATGAAGCTCAGGAGCACCGGGGACAGGCCGTGCGCCTCGAGTCGGGCGACGAGAAACGACGCGGCGATCCAGATGACGCAGACGAGGGCGATGAAAAAGTACCCGAGCGCCGCGCCCGAGCACGCGCGCGGCGCGCGGGCGAGCGCGATGGTGGCGTTGGTGCGCTTGGGTGATTTGGGCGCGGGCGGCGCGGGTGAGGGCATGCCGCCGCGCGGCGACGCGCGCGGGAAAGTGAAGACGACGCGGCGGCGGGCGCGCGCGAAGGCGAGCGAGACGACGGTCGTCGGCGCGGAATCGGTCGGAATATCGTATAACAAACGCTCGAACGAGCGTGGACGCGTCGGGGCTAATCTGCGACGTCGGCGAATAACTCGTCCTCGGGCTCGCTCAACATCTCGTACTCGGCGTCGAGATTGGCCTGGAGCGTGGCTTCGTCGACGTCGGCGTCGTCGAAGCACACCTCGTGGAGACGCGTCTCCGGGTCTTCGTTGGTGATCAAGAGCACCGGATTGAGCGGGGCGTAGACGAGGTATCTCGACGTGCCGCTGGTAAATGTACACACCTCCACGCCCTCGTTCGGTTCGTCGCCGCCGGTGTCCATCTCGAGCGCGTCGTCCTCGTTCATGCGCACCGGACCGCGAACCGTCATGCAAAACGCGCTTCGTTGAAGCAAAAATCCACGCATCGCCAGCGCGCGATTCATGTCGGGTAATATTTGCAACAGCTCATCGTCTCCGATATCACTCAAATCCTCGCTCTCGTCCAATCCCTCGCCTCGCAAAACATCGATCGGGGTATCCACCGGCAACACCAAGCACCGCTCGCTCCCGCTCGCGAGCGTAAACCGGCGCCGCAGCGTGCACAACAACCTTCTATTCGTCTCCGGCTCCAGCACCTCCACCAACGGCAGCGCCGGCGCAATCTCCGCGTTTTCATAATCCCGCATTCCCGCGCTCGCCGTCGCCGCGCGGCTCTTCGCCGCGTTCGCGCGCGCGTCTCTTCGCGCCGCCGTCGCCGCGCCGCCGCCTCGCGCTTTTCGCACCACCTCCGTGATCGCCGCCCTGCGTTCGACCCGCGTCTCGGGGTGCTCGCGCGCGTATCGCTGCGAGGGCTTATGCGTCGACCCGGGCGAGCGTTTTTTCGCCGCGCCGTGCGCGCGCGAGCCCGCGGCGCGCGCGAGCGTCGCGCGCGCGAGCGCGGACGTCATCCTCGCGTCGCGTCGCGTCCGTCCGTCTCGCGCGTTATCGGCGTCGCCGCGTCGCTCGGAGACGCGCGGCGCGCGCGCGCGGTGTGCGTCGACGACGCGCGAGCGTCGCGCGCGAGCGTCGGGCGTCGCGCGGTCGCGCGCGCGGAGAATGCGGCGCCGCCGGCGGCCGGATTCCGCGAGGGTCAGGCGCGACGAGTTGCGACTCAACGCGAGTCGTTAACTATGGGATTTGATGGCGCGGGCGTTTCGACGAAAAACGCCCGCGCGCGCGCGAAACGCATCGCACCGCAGAAACGCGCGCGATGAGTCTCGTGACGGCGCCCGCGCACTATCAAGAGCGCGTCGACGCGAAGGAAGAGTGTCAAAACTGCGGAGCCGCGGATCGCGCGCTCGCGGTGTGCGCGCGGTGCCGAAGCGCGTGGTTTTGCTCGGTCAAATGTCAACGCGCGTACTGGCCGTTTCACAAGCAGTGGTGCCGGAGGAATGATTTCGCGGACGCGGTGGAGCGACACGAGCCGAAATTCGCGCGGTGGATGCGGAAACACGGGAAACAGGCGGTGTTGAAGGATGGTGGGCGGCGAACTCGAGCGCGAACGCGAGCCCGATGCGACGAGAGGAGACGAGCGCGCGAACGACGGACTGACGGACGACGGGACGCGACGCGCCTTTTGAACGATGACGCAGACGAAGTCGATCGGCTCGATCGTAACGTGGTGACGCAGGACGACTTGTACGGACGTGCGAATCCGAAACCGTCGCCGCCGGACTTTGACGCGGAGGACATGCGAAAGATGCGAGCGGCGGAGGAGGCGCGAATGCTCGCGGCGCGAGAGGACACCGAGGACGTCGCGTGGCTCGACATAAAGGTTCCGGACAACCTTGGCTTGGAGCTCGAGCGGTACAAGTGGAGACAAAATCAGTCGTTCGTCGAGGTTTTCGTGAAGCTTCCGCGCGGAACGAAGAAACATGATTTGGAAGTGTTTCTCTCGTCGACGCGACTCGACGTGCGCGTGCGCGACGAAGTCGTCGTTCAAGGCAATCTCACCGCCGTCATCAAAGCCGAGCTCAGCACGTGGGTCATCGTCGACGGCGTACTCGAAATTTCAATGCTCAAGAAGAATCGCCGCGGGCATTACGACAATGGGTGCTCGAACGCAGATACGTTTTGGCCGAAGCTCCTCGCCGACGCGGAAGCGTCGCTCCCGCTTCCGGCGCCGAGCGAGTACTTCAGCACCGAGTACGAAATCGAGAAGGATCTCGGGAACAACGCACGCAAAAGTTCAAGCGCACCGATGATTTCTCAGCGCCGCTGACGTCTCGATTCGTGTGTCGATGGGCTCGGCGCGCCGCGGCGCGCCTGCCGCAGACCGCGGCGCGCGAAGGCGTCGCGGGCGTCAGCGCCGTCGCGCGCGACGCGCGATGACGATGCGACGGCACCGCGCGTCGAGAAGGCGCTTCGGCATCGCACTCTGCGCCGTCGTCGTCGCGCGCAGCGCGCGAGTCGGGAGAGCGAGTGAGTCCCTGGACGCATTCGACGGCGAGCGGGACGGCGCCGTCGACGCGCTGCCGACGCGCGGCGACGACGACGACGTGGTGACGCGTATTAGATTTGGGGAGAAAGTCGCCGTCGATGATTTGATTGGTCCCGTCGTGATCAATCACGATTGTACGACGAAGTACATCGAGAACTGGAGAGAGATGACGGAAAGAGAGCGAGAGGCGACGCGACGGCGCCTGGGCGCTCGGAACAGGGAACGGCACGCGGCGTGTAAGCAAAAATTAGGTAACGAAAACGAATTGTGATATACGTTAGATACATTCTACGATTCAGCACTCGACGGCGTCTAAATTCAGGCGAGCGACGGTTTCGACGACTCGAGCCCAGATATCGGCGCTCACGCCCTGAGGCAAGCCCGGCGCTTCGGTGTAGATTCGACCAGTCTTGCGAGCTTCGCGCGCGTACTGCACCACCTTGTCTCGAGTTTCTCGTCGCGCGCACACGACGAACTGCAGCGCCGCCTTCATGTTTTGCACGGCTTTACCCGCCTCTTCGGCGTCTTTCTCAGCCATCTCTCGCTCGTCCCGAAGCTTTTCCAGATATCGTATGCTTTGATTTGGATTCTGCGACGAAGCTAGAGCGTCGGCTTGTTCGATGAGCTGTTCGACGCGCCCTTCAAGCTCGGCGACGCGCGTTTCGGCTTGCTCGTTGATTCGAGCGAGCCGTAAAACCTCGGCTTCGAGTAGGACGGCGCTCGCCGTCATCGCCTCGGCACGCAGCGCATCGCTATCGGCTCGGACTTTCGTGCTATCGGCATCACACGCCGTGCGCTCGATTTGAATCCTTCGATTCGTTTCTTCGTTCAATTTGGCCTCGCACCGCTCGAGTCGCTCGGCGTAATTATCCGCACGCTCTTGTTCGCGCTGAAGTTCGATGGCTCGTTCGCGATCCCGGACATTTGCGTCGGCGATAATCCTATTCAAGTGCTCGACTTCCTCGGTGAGATCTTGCCTGTTCAAATACGTCATCTCGTTGTCTCGCAAGCACAGCTTGAGCTCTTTGCATCGCGCCTTGAGTTCGTCGATCTCTCCGCCACTTCGTTCGTTATCGCGCTTGAGCGCCGAGATGGTTTCTTTTTGATGATTAACCAGCGCTTCGCGTTGCTCGTACTTGTCTCGAAGTGCGAAGTACTTGTGCGCGGTTTCCGAAGCCTCGTGTCGTGCTGCTTCGGCTGATTCATGTTCTGCCTCGAGCTCGGCTTGCAAGTCGCGACATATCGCCTGTGCTTGCGCAGCCGCCAAGCGCGAGGCCTGCGCGTCTCGAATGCTCGCATGATTCAGTTTCCCTTCCCCGGCTTCTATCATCGAGTTCAACCTAGCTTTGGTCATCACCAATTCTTCGCGAAGCTTGGCGGCGACGGCGTTTGCTTCTTCTTCCCGGCGTCTGGCGTTGCACACCGCCTCACGCGCGTCCTCTTCCATGCCCTTCATGGTGCGCTTCACTCGCTGCGACTCATCCACCGTACTGTGCGCTACAGCGCCCGTGTTCGCTTTGACATCCGCTAAAGCGACGGCGAATTCTTCTTGCATGCGTTCGACTATAGCCGCGTGATGCTCCTTCAAAATTTGTATCTCCCGAGAGTTCGCCGCATCTTCCAATCGAGCGAACGTGAGGACGCTATCACGCATCATCGCTCGCGCAGCGCTATCGTTTCCTCTCGCGCTGTGCACGGCTGCGGCGAAAGCCTCAGCCTTTCGTCGCGACTCACGTAGTTCCCGCTCGTTTGACCTATTTGACTCCGCCGTTCGTTCCAATTCGTCTCGCAAGCGCGCCATCTCCTCGCGCGCTTCGCTAAGCTCATCGTCCGCGCTCGCCTTGGCCTCGCTCACCGCTTTCAACGACGCCTCAGTCTCTTTCAAACACGTCCCAACGCTCGCCAACTCACCCTCGAGCGCAGCGTTCTTTTTCGTCGTCGCATCGCGCTCCTCCTCCAATCGTGCCTTGACCTCGAGCAACTCCTTCGCCTCTCCCGCCGCCTGTGCCTCCGCCGTCTGCGCCTTCGCCAGGCTCGACTCGTGCGTCGCCTTCATCTCTTCCACGCACCGCTCCAACGCGTCTCGCTCCTCGTCCGCCTTCATCCGCACCGTCTCTAACTCTCGCGTCAACTCCAATACCTCGCGCTCCGCGTGTCGCTTCAACCGCTCGCTCACCTCGCCTCTTCGCGCGTTCGCGTTCGCGCGCTCCAACGCCCGCTCCTGCATCTCTCGCTTTTCCGTCTCCCTTCGCGCGACCTCGCTCGCGTCCCTCGCGCGCGTCTCCAACGCTCGCACGCGTTCATTCGTCATCAACGCGCGCTCGCGCTTGAGCCCATCGTCGCCGCCGCCGTCGTCGCCGCCGTCGTCATCCGACCGATGTCGATTCGCCCGACGCAAATTCGCCAACTCATCCGCCAACTTCTCCGCGTCGAACGACTCCCGTCGGCGATACGGCGCGTTCCCGAGGTCGTGAAAAATCGCTCGCTGCCGTGTGTGCTCGGCCGGGCGCCACGGACGCGCGGGCATGCCGGCGCGCGTCGATGTGTGCCGTTCGCGAACAATCGCCGCTTTGGTTCCCCTCGCGCCCCACACGCCGCCGCGCGCGCGTCGGCGGCGTGTGGGGCGTCATGGACGCGTTCGATAGGATGATGACGGCGCGATGCGCGCGCGACGAGGACGACGACGCGTTTCGCGAGCGCGTGCGGCGTCGCATCGAGGATGCCGCCGCCGCCGATGACGACGCGGCGACGCCGACGCCGACGCCGTTGGAGCGCGAGCGCGCGTCGACGCTCGAGGACGACGAGAGCGTCGTGGCGTTCGTGCTCGAGAAGCACGCGGCGAAGGATTACTTCGCGTGCTTGAACGTGCGTCGACCGGATTGCGATGACTTGGGACGGGCGGTGTGGGACGTCGGCGACGCGGAGCTGAACCGAGCGTTTCGTAAAGCGTCGCTGCGGGTGCACCCGGATAAGAACAGAGCGGCGGACGCGAGGAAAGCTTTCGATGCGATCGGGGAGACGCAGAAGATGTTTAAGGATCCGGTGCGACGGGCGGAGGTGCTGCGCGCGGCGGCGGAGCGAGCGTTTAAGGAAAAGTGTAAACGCGACCCGGAGGCGATGCGAGCGAGGGCGAAAGCGCAAGAAAAGGTGGATGCGGAGACGTATGCGGATGAGATGCGTAAACAGAGGGAAGACGCGGCGAAGAAACGCGCTGCAGAGGCCAAGGCGAGGAGCGCGCAGGCGAATAGGAGGAAGCGACGCGCGGAGAGCGATGAAGAGGAGGACGCGTTAACCGCCATGGCGAAAAGTTTAGAGGCGGAAGAGGAGGCGAAGAAGACGCAAAATGTCGTCGGCGGCAATGGCGATGACGATGATTTCGCCGGCGTCGTCAGGCGTAAGTCGTCGAAGAAGCGGTTCATGTTTTAGCGCGAGGCGTCGCCGCGCATCATTATTTCTTTAGACTCGTAGCGTCTCCCGGTTCGTGCTCCCGGTGGTCATCGTAGTAAACGTTTGGTATACATTACACTTATCGAACTATCAAAATACGATGCCGACGCGTTCGTCCGTCGTCATCCTCGTTCAACCAATTAAATTTTACTTCATCGATTTCACCTTCGCGAGAATCTTCTCGTACATGTCGTCGAATTCCTTTTTATCGCTCGAACTCATCTTCACGCTCCCCTTCACGCCCTCCGGCATCACGAGCATCACCGACGTCGGTCTTTTTGTCATACCAGCCGCACCGAGCTCTTCCTTACTGTGCACGTACACGTACGGCACGCCCGCCTCCTCGCACAGAATCGGCACGTGCGTGATGACGTCGATGGGCGAGATATCCCCAGCGATCACGCACACACCCTTGGTTTCCTTCTTCAACGCCTTGACGACCTCTTTCACCCCTCGTCTCACCTGCTTCGCCTTGGCCGCTGTTTCGCGTTCGCCCGTCGTCTCGTCAGTCGTCGCTTTGCGTCCCGAATTCTCAACAATTCTCCCATTCCCCCCCTCCGCGCGCGCGTTCGCCCTCTTTCGCCCCCCGTTCGCGCACAACGGTCGAACGACTCGCGTCGCGCGCGTTCGCGTCGCGCGTCGCGTCGCGCGCACCCTTTTTCACCACTTTGAGTATCTTTTTCGTCGTCTTCAAATCCGCGAGCGGCGTCGCGATCGGCGCCGTCGGACGCAGCGCGCCGTCGCCCTCGTCCTCGCTGTCGCCGCCGGGCGACGCGGACTTGTCCTTTTTGGGCGTCTTCTCCTTCTTGTCCTTCTTCGGGGTCTTTTCCTTGCCCATCGTGCGCGCGTCGGTGTGGCGCCGCCGCCGGCGGTCGCGACGCCGGTATAAATTCCGAAACGTTCCGGTTACGCATTTAACCGACTAAACCCTCTATAACAACCACGAGAGAATCGCGACGCATCGCGACACGTCGCGACGCGTCGCCGCGCGCGCGATGCGCGCCGACGCCGCGATCGCCCTCGACGACGCCCTCGACGGCGACGACGCCCTCGCCCTCGATCGTCGTCGCGCCGTGCGCGATCGCGCGCGCGAGGCGGCGACGAAGACGGCGATCCACGGCGCCGCGTTCGACGGCGACGCGCGCGCGCGCGCGACGACGACGACGCGCCGCGACGACGACGACGACGCGAGGCGACGCGAGACGTCGATGGACGCGCAGCGCGCGGTGTTGGAGACGCTGACGGCGATGCAGGAGACGCAGATCAGGATGAATGGGAAGTTGGCTTGGATTTCGCGAAGCGTGCCGAAGATTTACGACGCGGTGGTGAACGACGTGACGACGGCGATCGACGACCAGAGCGCGAAGATCGAGGCGCTGACGGTGCGATTGGCGCGGGGCGCGAGCGCGGGGACGACGGCGGTGGTCGGGAAGGGGACGCGCGAGACGCGCGAGGAGGCGGCGGCGGACGACGACGAGGGGCGACGAGCGAGAGAGAAACGTTTGAGCGCGCCGCCGTCGCGGTCGGAATCGCCGACGGCGCGACGACAGCAGACGCACGCGCGCGCGCCCGCGGCGACGGTGAATTACGGTGAAATAGCGAACGAGGAGAATGAATTCGCGGCGTCGCTGCCGCGGTTGGGACGCGTCGGGCCGGAGGTGGAAGCGTCGACGGCGGCGAATACGGTTTCGAAGTTTGAAAAGAAGAAGACGCTGTCGCCTTCGTCGTCTATGGGTAAGGCGGAGGATCCGCGGAAGTGGTCGCGGCAGAAGTGGTTGTCGCATTTGCGCGCGACGGCGCCGAAGCTGTTCGGCACGCTCGACGATTTGTCCATCGGCGACATGCTCGACGGCTCGAAATGTTGCTTCGTGAGACGTGGTGCGCGCGTGGTGCGTCAAGGCGAGCGCGGTACCTCGATGTTTGTCGTCGTATTAGGGAAAATGCACGTCGTCGTGACGGACGCGGCGAAGAATCGAGGCGAACCGTTGCAAGTGGCCACCATGCTCGCGGGCGATTTCTTCGGCGAAATCGCGCTCATGACTGGCGAAGAGCGTCGAGCGACGGTCATGGCGCCGTACGAAGGCGATGGAAACGTTTGGGTTTTGGAGTTCTCCAAGTCCGATGTCGGGAGCGTCATCTTGGCTCGCCCCAACGTTCTGCGCACGCTCACAGACGTGTGCGCCGATCGCCGACTTGAAAAGTTTTGAGTCGTGTCAGAATAATACCGTGTAATTACATACAGAGCGCGCTGCCTAATTCTCCTCGTCCACGTACGCACCGTCGCGCCACATGCCGACGAGCTCGTCGCCCGATGTGCGCACGAGCTTACCCGGGCCATCCGGCACGCCCGCGTTGAACATGCCTTCAAAGAAGCTGTTTTCTCCCGTCTTGAAGCTAAGCTTCCCTTTCCCGTCCGGGAGATCTGCAAACCAATTCCCCTCGTACCAATCACCGTCCGCAAATACTTGACGACCGACACCCTCGCGTTTTCCGTCCGCCCATTCGCCTTCGTAGACGGAGGTGTTGGCGAATTCCATTCGAACGGCGGCTCCTCTTCTTTTCCCGTCTTGTTCGAGCATGCCGAGCGCGCGCCTGGAGAGTTCAGATTTTTCTTGCTTTTTGGGTTTGTCGGGTCGCCACCCAAACAGAGTTTTGACCGGTGAAGACTTTTTGTCCGGTTCCTCGCCTTGCAACGTCTTGTAGCCGATGACGTTACCAGACTCGTCCATCCGCGGTTCGCTGACGCGCACGGTGACTTGCTTGGTGGCGAAGTCGCGCGGGAGAGGAAGCGCAGCGGAGCGTGAAGAGCGCTCAGCGCCGGTTACTTCCGGTGCGATGACGGCAGTCGTCGCGAGTTGATCGGAGGTGAAAATTACGGCGCGCTCTTCCGTGGCGACAATCGCTTGCGTGTCGTCGTTACCGAAATTTTTCAAATCGTCCCGCGAAAGCTTCGTCGTCTTACGCTTTGTCTGCTCTTCGCCGGCAACGTATCCAGGCACGAACAGCATCGGATTCGACTTATGCAGTGGGTCCTCGGACACGACGGGAACGGTCTTTGATTCCGGCGCCGGTGCCGCCGCCGTTTCGGCGTCGGTGACGGTGAGCAGGGTCACTTCCACTTCGGTCGAGCCTCTCTTGTCTGGATTCGCGATTGAAATGAATTGTTCCGCACTCGTGAGTTCACTCAGCGCTTGAGAAATCGTCGCGCGCGCGAGCGGTCCAAACGCGTTGCCGTGCTTCACGGTGCAGATGACCAATCGAGCGGTGTCGAAGCGCCCGGGAGCCAGAAAAGGACTCTGCCGCGCCGCCGTCGCGATGGCGGCGCGCGCGGCGGCGGCGATCGCCTCGTCCGCGCTTCCGTACGTCGGCACATCGGCGACACCGCGACCTACGTGCGCGACGCCGCACCCACCACCGTGAGACGACATGACATCGTTCACCTTCGCCCGAAGACGCCCACCCTTTTCGATTTGAGGCGTCCACGCGTCGACGTCGCTCGCGTCGCGTTCCCCGCCCGAGCTCCAGCAGCTCGATCGGAGCGATTCCACCGCGCTCAGCACGGCGTACAACAAAGACGCATCCGCGATCGACGTCGCGTCTTGCACGGACATTCCATCCTCTCCGTTCTTCAACAGCTCGGACTGCGACACCGTCAGCGCCGCGTCGCACGCCCCCGGCTCCGCGCACGCTCTCAAAAACTCATCGCACCCGCGTTGCTTCCGCCTTCCCTCGAACGTGAACGGTTCGATCACCCCCGCGATCATGATCTCACCCTCCGGCGCGCGATTCGCTCCCTTGAATCCAAAAAACCGTTTCTTCTTCGCTCGCGCGTTCTTCTCCCGCGTCGCCCATCGCGTAAACGCCGTCGCGCTCTCCACCGCCTCCCCTCCCGCGCACACGACCACCATCACCCTCGGCGCTCCCATCGCCATCACCGCTCTCGCCGCGCTCGCCGCGTTGCCCTCGATCGCCGTCGTCGTCGCCTCGACGTTCGCCGGCGGCAACCGCCACCGGTTCGCCGCGCGCGAGCGCTCGAGCGCGTCCTCGTCCGCGTGCATCGCCCACATCTCCGCCCTCGGCAGCGCTCTGGCGTCGACGAGCGCGTCGACGAGCGCGCACCCGCGCGCGCCGACGCCGACGACGGCGACGCCGGCGCCGTCCGCGCCGATGTCGTCCCTCTCGGACGACGGCGACGATGATTTCGACGCCGCGGACGCGCCGATGCGCGCCGCGTCGCGACGCGCGCGCGTCGACGACGCGCGCCGCGTCGCGCGCGCGCCGATCGCGCCGGTCCGCGCGCGCGCCGCGCGCATCGCGCGTCGCGTCGCGCACTGGCGACCGCGCTCGACACACGACGACGCGCGCGCGCGACGTCGCGATGCTCGGCGCGCGGCAGAGCGCGATGCGCGGGCGAAGCGCGGGCGCGAGCGCGGCGACGACGCGCGCGGCGCGACGGGGTCGACGCGCGACGACGCGCGCGGGCGTGTTCGATCGATTCAACCGCCGCCGAGAATCGCCGGCGGCGACGAAAGATGACGCGCTGAGAGCGCCGGGGGAGCGCGCGGAGGCGATCGATGCGCTCGAAAGGTCCATGGCGATGGCGAGCGTGCGCGCGGAGGTCGGCGCGCGCGATGAGAGCGGGCGAGGGAAGAGAAACGCGGTCATGGCGGGGAATTGGAAGCTCAACCCGAAGACGCTGGACGAGGCGAGGACGTTGGCGGCGTTGGTCGGCGCGGCGGCGCGAGACGGTGGAATCGGGACGAATAAGAGTAAAACAGAGGTTTTTGTGTGTCCGCCGGCGCCGTTTGCGGCTGAGGTGGCGAGAACGGTACGAACGAAGCGAACGCGCGACGCGACGAAGGAACGCGATTCTATCCGAATCGAGCGAGGATGAAGAGACTTTACACATTGTTGAGAATTGAAGCCGGTCCTCTACCGGGGCTGCTGCTTTTGAAATTCATAGTCATAGTTACGCGGACTCGCGCGGGATGAGTCGAAGCGCGGGCGCGCGCGCGAACTCGGACGATGGACTGACGCGAACGTTAACGTTATCCTAAACGTAGTTGGAGGGAAGCGGCGTCGCCGTGGGGGCTCAGAATATTTACTTCGAAGCCTCGGGTGCGTTCACGGGGGAGATGAGCGCGGAAATGGCGAAGAGCGTGGGGTGCACGCACGTGCTCATCGGGCACTCTGAACGCCGAGAACTTTTCGGGGAGACGGATGAGATGACGCGACTCAAGACTCGAAAGACGCTCGACTGCGGCATGACCGCGGTACTGTGCATCGGCGAAACGAAGGAAGAGTACGAACGAGGTGAGGCGAAAAAGGTCTGCAACAGGCAACTCAGCGCGGCGCTCAGCGGTGTAGAAGCGGATGAAATGTCCAAGGTTATCATCGCGTACGAGCCCGTGTGGGCCATCGGCACGGGATTAACGGCGACGCCGGCGATCGCCCAGTCAGTTCACGCGGGCATTCGCCAATGGTTCCGAACGAATTACGGCGAATCCGTGGCGGCGAAAATTCAAATTCAGTACGGTGGTAGCGTGAAGCCAGAAACGGTGGATGAGCTCATGCAGGCGCCGGACGTCGATGGTTGCCTCGTCGGCGGGGCCTCGCTCAACGCCGAGCAGTTTGGCAGAATCTTCAACTTTGACGAATCCCCCGTAGGACCGCAAAAGCTCTGGGCCGAAGAAGTCGTTCCTTGCGGCATGCAACTCGGCGAGTCTCCGATATGGTCGCAAGAACGTCAGACCCTTTACTGGGTCGACGCACCGAGCGGTACGTTGTTTTCGTGGGACTTGAAGTCGGCGCCCACACGAAACAACTTCGGAGAGACGCTCGGCTGCGTCGCGCTTCGGTCTAACGGCACCTTGCTCCTCGGTTTAGAGTCTGGACTCCACGCATTCGACCCGTCGACGAAGAAGTTGAAGCTCTTGAGCGAGTTCGAACCTGGATTGAACACGCGCCCGAACGACGGGCGAGTCGACCGAGCCGGCTCCTTTGTCATCGGTTCGTACAACAACGCCCACCGCGTTGACGCGGCGCCCATCGGCGGATTATGGCGCCTGCCCGGAAACGGAGGCGAGTTGGAAGAAATTCTGGACTACAAATTCAGGTGCAGCAACTGCATTTGCTTCTCGAGATCGGGAACGACGATGTTTTTCTGCGATACACCGACGCGGAAAATTTACCAGTTCGACTACGACTCTCGCGTCGGACCGTCCAATCGTCGCCTTCTCTACGAGCTCCCGAGCTCGATGAGCGGCGGACCCGATGGCGCGCAGTGCGACGAAGACGGTAACTTGTGGGCTGCGATTTCCGGCGCCGGTCAAGTCATTCGCATCACCCCGCAAGGCGCCGTCGACCTCGTCGTCGAGCTCCCCGTCAAGGCGCCCACCTCCGTCACGCTCGGCGGCCCCGAACTCGACACACTCTTTGTCACCACGCGCGCCGAGCCCGGTCGCATGGATGCCGGTTCCTTATTCGCCTGTCGCGTTTGCGACACCCGAGGCATCCCAGAGCCCGAATTCCTCGATCAGACTCCTCTCGGCGCCGACTGCGAGACGCTCGCGCCCGGCATCGGACGCGCCACCGCCGGCGCGTCTCGCGGCGCAAAGTTTTGTATCTCCTGCGGCGTCGGCTTCGACAAGCCCGCGGCGAAATTTTGCGCCTTTTGCGGCGCAAAGCGTGGATAGCGCGACCCTTGTAACGCCGCGTCTCTCGCACTTCCTCTCGCATTTCCTCTCGCCCGCAGTCGCGCCGGTGCGTGCCGGTGCATTCGCCTCGAAAGGCCGCGGTGGTCAAAGACGACACTCCGCGACGTCGCGTCGCCGCGCGCGCACCGCGCGCGTCCCGACGACTACCCGTGGTGCGCGCGCGTCCCGCGACCGCGCCGGCGTCGCCCGCGCGCGCGCGCGCGACGCGCGTCGACGATTCGCGCGTTCGCATCGAGTCGTTCGATTCCAACCGTGACGCGCGATGGACCGACGCGACGCGCGCGACGACGACGACGACGCCGACGGCTTCGAAGCGATGGACGCGGTGATGCGCTCCGGACGATCGATGGGCGACGCGGACGCGGACGCGGACGCGGCGTGGCGGACGGCGAACGGACGGGGACGCGAGGGGAACGGGCGCCGCTCGCCGAGCGACACCGATGAAGGATCTGCGTCAGAGAACGCGAATGAGGCGTATTCGCGATGGCGACACGGACGACAGAGCTTGCGAGATAGTGATCGGGGCGCGGGACACGCGCACGCGCTGACGGCGTTGGATTTGATGCGGGCGGAGGCGGCGGCGTGCTTGACGCTCGACGCGAAGACCGGATCCGTAAGCAGCAGTATTTTTAGCTCGTCTTCGGAGAAAGGTTCAAAGTCTACGAGCAAAAAGAAGAGCGAGAATCGCCAGCAGACTTTGCGGATTCGAAAGAAACAGAGCGCTCGATACAAGAAGAGTCGTGCGGTGTTGTCGCCGCAAAAGCCCGTTCTGCAAAAGTGGGAGGCGGTGATGATGGCTTTGTTGTGTTACACCGCCATCGTGACTCCGATGGAAGTCGGTTTCTATACCCCGAGTTTCAACGCGTTGTTTTACATCAACCAGTTCGTGACGGCTTGCTTTGTCACCGACCTCGTGTTGAACTTTTTCATCGCCACGCCTCATCACCGCACTGGGCACTTGGTTTACAATCAGGCGTACGTCGCCCGAACGTATCTCAAAAAGTGGTTTGTCATAGACTTTTTGTCGGCGATTCCGTTCGACGCCATGTATTTGGGCGTCGGCTCGAGCGCGTTGGCGCAGCTCAGTATTCTGAGGACGTTGCGTCTTCTGCGTCTCGTCAAACTCGTGCGGATTTTACGAGTGAACCGAATTTACAAGCGGCTGGAATTGGTTTACACCATCGATTACTCATTATTAGAGCTCATGAAGTTTGGCTTGACGGCAATCATGTTTGCGCATTGGCTCGCGTGTGGATTCGGCTTGGTTGAAGATTTGGAAGGGACGAAGTACTCTTGGACGCGATCCACAGAGTTCGGAGATTTGGTCATCGGTCCCGACGGGGGTGAGCCGCGAGAGATCGTCGGCTCGTTGAGGCTGTATCTTGCGGCGCTATACTGGTCCACGATGACCATCTCCACCATCGGTTACGGAGACATCGTTCCAGTAACGACTGGAGAGCGAGTGTACGTCATCATGGCCATGCTCATCGGCGCGTTTGAGTACGGTTACATCGTGGGGGCTGTGTCGAACGTCATCGCCACGAGGAACGAAAAGGTGAACAAGTTCCAAGGCGTGATGCGGGACTTGAATGGATTCCTAATTGATCACGGTTTTCCCCAGGATTTGCGCGTTCGCTTACGAGAGTATTTCAAGTATCAACTCGATGGCGCCGACGCCGACGTGTACAGAAGATTGCTCGACAAAATGTCGCCGGCATTGCGATCTGAGTGCACTATGCGCATGAATACGTGGATACGTAATATCGACTTTTTCAAACACTGCCCTGAGCCACTGGTCATTCACTTGTCGACTCGTGTCGTCGAGCACACGTTTCCGCCAGAGGAGACGTTGTTCAGACCCGGTGATGCAGTGTCAACCATTTTCCTCATTCGCCGTGGTGTCGTTCAAGTCGATGGATTGATAAAAATGTCTGGGAAAACTATCGCAGAGGAGGCGTTGTACTCATCCGATACGCTGCTCTACGGCGCACAGGCGTTGACGTACGCGAACATCTACACCCTCGAACGCGAAGATTTTCACGAGTCGCTCGCGCCATTCCCCGCGACGAAAAAGTTCTTCCGTCTCAAAGGTATCAAGATTATTTTTAGAGGCGAAATAATCGCGTATACCAAAGCATACACCGCTTTGAAGAAGTATGGCTTAGACGCAGATTTATCACGCGAAGTCAGCGCACGTCCTGCGTTTTATTTACAAAAGTTGCGAATAATTTACGGAGACGACGGAGAAGGTTTGGACGATCCGAAAATCCTCGAGCAGAAGACGAAGGCGGCAGTTGTCATTCAGAAACGTTTCAGAGGCATGATTCATAGGGTGTCACTCCACCGACTCCTCGTTGAGCGTGGTGTTCAAGGAATTTTCCACAAAGTATTACGCGAGAGAGATCCGATGAGTTACACGGCTCGCGCCGTGGACGTGTTTCATTGGCGCCTGGCGTACTCCCTGACCGAGATGCATCGGAAATTGAATTCTTTGCTCGATCACGGGAACATCGAAGACGTAGTCACAAATGAATCTTCTGGACCGCCAAGTTTGATGGCGACAGCGCTACAAGCGGCGACGGGCAAGGCGATGACGGCGCCGCGCAAGGGAGCTAACAAGGCGTCGACAGACGGAGCACCGCCGCAGACGCCCGTGACAAGCGCACGAGCGCCCGTGATCACCGCTGCGGCGGCTGGGTGGGATACTACATCCACAGAGAATCCTCTTCAACGGTTGCAAACCCGCGTAGACGAACTCACCAATCGCCTCGTGCCCCTCGATCGTAAAATAACATCTTCACAGGCAAAGCAAACAGCTGCGTTGGCGGAAACGAACGAGCGACTCAGCGAAGTCACTGCTCAGCTCGAGACACTCCTGAATCTGACGGTATCTAACATGGAGACAGGCTTAGCCGAGGCGAGAGTAGTAGCTCGAGCGTCTAGACCTCGGCGACAATCGCTTTCGCCACCGCCGCGCTCAGAGGCGCTTTCCCGGTGAAGGTAATATAGAAGTTGTACAGCTGTAGTAATTACAACTTTAGAGATGACACGATACGACCAATGAATAAATAAATCACGAATCGGCGCGACGCGTCGGTGCGATATCAACGCGACAAGATGTCGATCAACGCGTCCGCCTGCGCTTTCGTCAAGCCGACGTCGTGCTTCGTGCGCACGAACCGTCCTCGCCAACGATGCTCCGCGCTCACCACCTCCTTATCGTCCACCACGGCGAACGGCGGCCACGCGGTCTCGTCCTCACCGTGCGTCTCTCGCATGTACCGCTCGATCTCCAGCACGCGAAGTTCCGGAACCTTCGAGTCGTGCGCGACCGAGTCGCTCCGGTGCGGTTCGCCCGCCGTTCGCCCCGCCACCGCGCCCTTCGGCAATCCGTGCCGTTCGAACGCGTACGCCAAGTATTCCTGGATTTCACGAAATCCATCGTCATCGTCGTCGTCGTCAGTCCTCTCGTCTTCGTCGCGTCGTCCTTCACCGCCGTTCGCCGCGTCTCGAAAGTCTCGCGTCGCCGCCTTCGTTCGCGTCGCCGCCGCACCTCAAAGTACCGCCAGTACGTCGTCAGCACCACCTCGCACGCCGACCGCTCCGCGACGTCCCGCAGCAGCGCGATCAAGTCTTCGTCCAGCGCGATCTGTTTCGCCGTCGCCGTGCGATTCAGCACGCCGTCGACGTCGAGCAAGAGCACCGGTCGGCGCGGTGCCGCCATCGAATCGGAATCCCGCGCGCGCGGCGCCCTCGCGGGACGCGCCCTCGCGCGCGCGCCGTCGGGACGCGCGCGCTCGAACCGTCGCGCGCGGGTCGCCGGCGCCGCCGCGAGCGTCGCGCGCGGTCGCGCGCGCATGCGCCGCACACGCGCGCGCGGTGACGAATGACGCGCGCGCTCGCGCTCGCGCTCGCGCCGCTCGCGTGCGTCGCCGTCGTCGTGCTCGGTCCGACGAAGCGGTTCGAGCGCTCGGCGCTGGGACGCGCGCATCGCGCGCTCGGCGACGCCGCGCCGCGCGTCGCGACGGCGCTGGTGACCATCGCGGTGTGCGACCGAAAACGCGGCGCCGCGGTCGCCAGCGCGTGTTTCGACGCGCTCGATCGGCCGAATCCGCTCGGTCAAATCGTGTATCTGACGCTCGCGATCGGTGGTCACGCGAGCTTCGTCGAGGGGGTGGAGAAGCGGCTGTTGGACGGCGGCGACGCGCGCGGGTGGACGGCGGCGACGAGCGCGGCGTTCGCGTTCGCGTGCGCGACGTGGGCGTTGGTGTGCTGCAGCGAGCCCGGAACCATCACGAGAGAGAACAACGAAGAGTATTTGAAGGCGTACGCGTACGATGAAATCGTGTATCACAGGAAACGATGTCGGACGACGGGGAAGGACGCGCCGGCGCGATCGAAGTGGTGCACGACGACGGAGCGGCGCGTGGCGAGGTTCGATCACTTCTGCGTGTGGGTGAATAACACGATCGGGGCGAATAATTTGAGGTGGTTTTTGCTGTTTTTATTCGCGCAGCTCGTGTTGGTGGGGTACGTGACGTTGGCGTGCGCGCACGCGGTGCGGCGTTCCATGACGCGCCGAGACTGTTGGTCGTTAAGGTTCCAGCACGAGACGCCCTCGGGCGCGCGCGCGACGCTCGGGAACGACAAGGCGCTGCTTTATAGATTTGTGGTGTACCACTACGCCCCCGCGGTGACGCTCGGCGTGTTTTGCGCGCTCGTCTTCGTGCTGTTGTCGGTTTTCTTGGGCTACAACGTGTGGCTCGCCGCGAAAAACGTGACGACGAACGAAACCTTCAAGTGGGAGCTCGTGCGCGAATCCGTGGAGACGATGAAGGGCGAGCGCGCGGGCGGAAGCGGCGATGAACAAATCGATTGGGGCGAGATGACGAGAAATAAGTACGACGTCGGGATTTGGGGGAACATCAAAGAAGTACTGTTCCCGCCCGTGAAAACGCCGAGCGCGTTCGCGCTTCCGTGGGACGCGCTCAAAGCGAAGCGTCCATAGCACATCTAGACTACTAGCGTTTAACATAGCGAAACTCACAGTTTCGAGTTCTCGCGCGCCGCTAATCTCGCGGCTAAGAAATCGCGCAAAATCGGCGTCCCGTCGACGTTGACTCTCGGCAGGCGATGCCCGCCGTCGTGCGTCTCTCGCGTTCTCTCCGACGACGTCATCGCGTCGTACAGCCCCGCGCTCATCGCTTTCGGCATCACATCATCCTTCAACCCGACCACGTGCAGCGTCGGCACCGCTATCGCACCGTAATCACACCCCTTCGTCTCCTCCGCGCGCGCCCGCATTCCCGACACCAAAATCCCGAACGCGAACCGCTCCGCCAATTCCGGCGTCGCCAGCGCGATCGCCGCCAGCGTCGCCCCCTGACTGAACCCCAGCACGCCATCATACGGTCCATCCTCCTCGCACGCCCGCTCGATCTCCCGCAGCGACGCCTCGATCCCTCGATACGTCGTCTTTCCGTCGCGTCCCGTCGTCGCGTTCCACCACTCTCGCGAGCGCGCGTCCTCCCCGAAGAACGCCCTCACCTCCGCCGTCGCCGCGCCCGCGCCCTCGTGCGGCGCGTCGATGGCGTGAAATCGCGCGACGTCTTCGTAGTCTTCGCGCCAGCGCGCGACGCGCGCCTGCGCGTCGAAGATTTCGCGCGACGTTCGAAAGCCGTGCAGGCTGAGAATCTTCAATCGCGGCGGTTCCGCCGTCGCCGCGTCGCGCGTCGCGCACGTCGTCGTCGGCGTCGTCGTCGGCGGCGCGCGCGTCGGCGCGCGCATCGCGATCGGCGTCCGACGCGCGCGGCGCGACGCGCTGCGCGGCACTCGATGACGCGCGCGGTGAACGCGTTCGTCGTCGTCGTCGTCCTGGGAACCGCCCTGGGCGTGCGCGCGGTGCACGAATCGCAGGTGGACGAGCGAAGGCGCCTGCGCGAGGGCGTCGCGCGGGACGCCGAGCGCCTGCGCGCGCGCGCGACGCGGGAGAAGGCGCGATTGGAATCGTAATCGACGACGCGATTGGACGACGACGATGACGACGACGACGCGACGCGCGCGCGACGATGGACGCGGAGGCGCGAAGACGACGCGGAAGAAGTCGCGGGCGCGCGAGAGCGATGCGGGCGGGACGTGGGACGCGAGGCGGGACGCGGACGCGCGCGCGCTGGGGGCGCTGGCGTCGGCGCCGGCGGCGGCGGCGGCGGCGAGCGCGGCGCGAGCGAGCGACGCGGGCGCGCGCGCGTGCGTCGCGAGCGCGGCGATCGTGTCGTGGGGAGCGTACGCGTTGACGATGCGATTGCTGCCGACGGTCGGGGCGAAGACGCTGGCGAGGAATATGAGCGGGTACGACTTGAATAAAAAAGGAACGGCGCTCGGCGAGCGACGCGTGCCGGAGAGCGGGGGGTTAGCGGCCGGATGCGCGTACGCGGTGGCGCTGACGATGCAGCAGTTGTGCCAGAGGGGTATTCGATGGTGGTTCGGGCAGAGCGCGAGCGGGACGAACGCGTGGGCGCTCGAGCAGAACAGCGCGTTGGCGTGCGTCGGATTTATGATCTTCTTGGGCTTCGTGGACGACGTGCTGGATTTGCCTTGGCGAGTGAAGATTGTCATGCCGGGATTCGCGGCGCTGCCGCTTTTGTTGTCCTACAGCGGTGGTACGACGGTGCTCATACCATCGCCCGTTCGCGCGTTGCTAGAGTTACCGGCGGGCGTTCGATCGATCGACGTCGGGCCGCTGTATCTGTGCTACATGTGGCTTTTGGTGGTGTTTTGCTCCAACTCGATCAACATCCACGCCGGATTGAACGGGCTCGAGGCGGGGCAATCGTTGATCATCGCCGGTGCGATTTTGTTACTCAACGTGTTGTCGTTAGCGAACGATCCGTCCACGGAGCCGGTGACCGCCGGCGCGCACTTGTTTAGCATTTTTTTGACGCTGCCATTCTTCGCCACGACGCTGGCGTTGTTGCGGCACAATTGGTATCCGTCGAAAATATTCGTCGGAGACACGTACACGTACTTCGCGGGTATGACGCTCGGCGTCGTGGGCACGCTCGGGCACTTCAGCGAAACGTTGCTGTTGTTCTTTCTTCCACAAGTGCTCAACTTTGTGTACAGCACGCCGCAGCTCTTCAAGATCGTGCACTGTCCGCGTCACCGTCTGCCCATTTTCGATCCCAAGACGGGGCTTTTGCATCCATCGATGGCGACAGAGACGAGATACAACATGAATCTCGTGACTTTATTCTTGCGCCTCTTCGGTCCTTGCACCGAGCGCGTCTTGTGCGCGCGTCTGTTGGCGTTTCAGTTTCTTTCGTGCGCGTTCGCCTTCGTCGCGCGCCACGCGCTGACGGGCGTCTGGAAGTAGCGCTTAGTCGAGTCTTTGGGTACAAATAGTGTAACAATCTAGATCAATTTCCGGGAAGTCGTCTCTCGCGAATTTCGTGCAATTCCTTCGCCAGAGAATCCGCCCGAACGCGACACTCGCGCAGCTCTTCCGCGTCGCCCGCCGAGCCCGTCGTCGTCGTCGACGCGCGTTCGCCCTCTTCCCCCGAATTCGCGCCCTCGCGCAGTACATACGTCGATAAAATCTCAATCCTCTCCTTCGGCATCACGAATATCCCACTCTTCGTCGTTTCCACCGCTTCGATCTTCCGCAAAGTCTCCTCGCCCTCCACCATCTCGCCGAACACCGCGTACTCCCCGTCCAGGTGCGGCGCCGTCCCCAACATCACGCTAAAGCTGCTCGTCGCGCTGTCCGGATCGCTCCACCTCGCCATCGACAGCTTCCCTCGCGCGTGTTTCACCGACGCGTCGAATTCTCCTCGCACCGTCCTCGTCGCGAGCTCGCGCTGCCGCTCGCTCATCGCCGCGCGTCGCCCCCCCGCGCAATCCGCGATCTGCGCCACGAATCCCGCGTCCACGCGAAAGAAGTGATTCGTGTCGTACAGTCCCAGCTCAAACGCCTCGAGCACGTGCGCCGCCGTCGCGCGCGCGGCGTCGTCGTGATCGTACAGCGCCAGCGTCACGTCGCCCAGCGTCGTCTGCATCACGAGTCGTTCGCGCCCGAAGCGCGCGCTCGACGCGACGGCGCGCGACGCGAGCGACGCGAGCGCGAGCGCCGTCGTCAGCGCCGTCGTCGGCGCCGTCGCGCGCCGCGCGCGCATGGCGCGTCGGCGCGCCGCGCGCGCGAGTGCGCCGTCCGCGCGCGACGCGAACGCCGAAATCAAGTTTTTAATCCATCGACGGCGCGTCGATCGACGATCGCGATCGAACCTCGACGCGAGGTTCGACGCGACGCGCGCGAACCCGCGGGACGATCGAGGCGCGACGGCACCGCGGCGTCAGATCTGGACGCGCGGCGCGACCGACGCGACGAACGCGCGCGCGCGAGGCGACGCGCGAGGGCGAGACGGCGACGCCGCGCGCGGTCGACGCGACGCGCGAGGCGTACGACGCGACCCGAGGCGGAGAGGACGCGAGAATCGTGCGAATCGATCGCGATTCGCGCGGCGACGATGACGGGCGCGGAGGGACGCGCGCGGACGATCGACGTCGATGGGACGTTCGCGGGAGAGGGGGAGGACATGATCGCGGCGCTGATCGCGGCGAGCGCGAATCCGGCGACGAGGGGGGGCGCGGGAAGGGGCGAGGGGACGACGCGAGGGTTCGAGAAGGACGGCGACGTGGTCAAGGCGAAGCGATCGTTCGAGCGAGAGTTGGTGCCGTTTGATTTCGAGGACGGGACGAGCGCGGTCGATGCGGTGGTGCGCGAGACGAACGTCGAGGTCGAGGCGAAGCCGAGGGAGAGGAAGATGACGGCGGTGCCGACGCCGAAGGTTCGCGGGAACGAGGAGCCGACGAAGGCGAAGACGAAGGAACGGAGACCGAAACCGAAAGCGGTGCCGGCGCCGAAAACGGTGGGTTTAATCGATCCGAGAGTGCGAGCGAATCAAGTGTGTGAACCTCAACAGCCGGCGCTGACGCCGGAGCAGCAAGCCGCGGTGTTGGCGGCGGATGGAAGCGGGAAGAAGTCGAAGGGCAAGGTGAAAACCGCGACGAACGACGAACGTTGGGCGCAGGCGTCTTTTCAAAACGCGCCGGCGGCGGATCAGTTACCGATGCCATCGTTTTTGAAAGATATAGCGCCGACCAACTCGCCGCGCGTGGCGTCTTCGAGCGCTCCGCCGCGACTGGACGTCGCGACGCCGCGCCCTCAAGCGAGCGCGGCGGGATTGAAAAACTTACTCGGGGTGAAGCCTGCGGCCGCGCCGCAGCAAGCCAAGGGACACGCGTTGTTCAACAACATTTTGAACAGCGCCAACGGTGACGCGCATCCGTCGCCACCGCCGATGATGGCGCCGTCTCATTACGCGGCGCCGCCGCCGCCGCAAGGCGTGCAGCAAAAACTCAATACGCTCTTCGGAGTGCAACCCCAACCCGCTCAGCCGTTTCCCGTCGCGCCTCCTTACCCGACGGCGCCGGAGACTAGTGGTGGTAGTTTTCAGACGCTCATGGCCAAGCTCAACGCCGGTCGAGTGTGAAAACAAATTCTTTCTGTTGTACAACAAACCAAGACGAGTCGGCGCGAACGCTTTCGCGTCGACGCACCCTTTGGGCGAGACGTCGAACCAGACTGGTTCGAGCGCTGCCCGCAATCGGATGGAGAAGATGAGGCGAGTTTTAAAAGCCGACATTTTCAAACCAAGTTCATCCGTTCAGACGAGCTTTCCACTGACGCCTTCGGGCGTCGACGAAAAGCCCTTTGCGTTGTTTTTCGACGCGCATCAATCAATTCAAGACCTCGTTTTGCGTCTCGCGTAGACGTGACACTCCCACAGTCAAGTGTGACACGCGTCGTTGTAATAATTTCACAGTTACAAAGACGCCGAAATCTATTCATTACACGCGCTATCCAACACACGCTCGTCCTCTCAATCGACTATCACTTCCTTTTCGATCGTTTCGCCAGAGCGTCATCTCCGTCGGCGACTCGTCCGTACGCATCACCTTCGACGCCATCTTCAAAATCATCAAAATCGTCGTCAAAATCATCGGCGGCGTCGAGCATGGCGTCGAGCGCGTCTTCTTCGACCTCGTCGTCGTTCTCGCCGCGCAGCGCGGCGTTTGCGAATTCTTTATTCACCTTTCGAACGTACGCGTCGTCGAAGCTCGACTTCATGCCGTCGAATAGCTTCTTCAACACACCAAGTTCTTTCGCGTTCGGTGGAAACCTTTCGTGATAGCATATCAACTGCCCTGCGACGAGGGCAAGTCGTTCGTCGAAACTGGGCACGCGCGAGCGACTCGTCAGGTACGCCGGTTCAAAGCTTTCGCAGGCGAATCCAAAACTGATGTTAATCCTCGGCCTGTCCTCGCGCCCCTCGCCTATCGATCCCCAATGTATCAACCGATGGGTGAAAACCACGCCATCGCCCGCTTTACACGGCAACGCGCGAACGTATTGAAACGCTTTTTTTGAGTCCAAGGCCACGCTCAAGGGATCCTTCGCGTTCGCGTCGTCATCATCGCCGTCGTAATAACCCGGATCGTGCGGTCTCGGCACGCAGTACAAACACGAATTCTCCGGCGTCGCATCATTCGCCAACGCGACCCACGCTGTGGCGTACTTCGCGTCCCCATTCTCCGAAAACGATCCCGGCGAGTCGTCCGGCTGTCGATCCCGGTGCGGACAAAACGCCGTCGTCGCCTCCCCATCGCTCACCGGATCCACGCACCACGCCAGCACGTCGTAATTCATGATTAACCCACCAAAGCATCCTCGACTTTTGCACGCCGTTTCTATCGTTCGCAACAGCGTCCACGCGTCCTCGTACACGAAAACGTACGTCGGATCCAGGCCTCGCGCCGCCAACCCGCGCGCGAGCGTCGCCACTCGCCTCGCCAGCGCTCGGTTCGCGCATCGCGGCACGATCGCGTACCCGAGCGCGCGAATCGCATCACCGGCGTCGCGCTCTTCGCGTCCGCTCGTCGTCGCGCGCGCGTCGTCGTCGTCGTCGTCGAACGTCCACGCGCCGGCGTCGCCTCGAATCGCCTCGTCCAGCGCCGTCCACGTCGCGCGCGCGCGCGCGACGTCGAGCGAGCGCACGGGCGACGCCGCGTCTCGCGCGCCCATCCCGCGCGCCGCCGCGTCGCGCTGTGTCGCGAAAACCACGACGAGTGCGCGTCACATCGCGCCGCGAATCGAATCGATCGTCGACGATGAGCGCGCCGAGCCGCGTGCACGTCGATTCCGTGCGCGCGATCGCGGCGACGATCGGCGCGCCGCCCGTGGACGCCGACGCCGCGCGCGCGCTGGCGAGCGATTGCGAGTACCGGCTGCGACAGGTGTTTCAAGACGCGATGAAATGCATGCGGGCGTCGAAACGAACGACGCTCTCGGCCGAGGTGCGCGCGAAGACGCGCGCGAAGACGCGATGCGAACGACGACGATGACGAGACGCGCGCGCGATCGACGCGGGATGGACCGATGGACGACGGACTGACGAATCGGACGACGACGACGTCGATCGAACGCGCGCAGGACGTCAACGCGGCGCTGCGATTGAGAAATTGCGAACCGCTGTATGGATTCGGGGCGGGAACGAGCGATTATGAATATAAACAGACGCGCGAGGATCCGGATGTGTTTTACGTGGAGGACCGAGAGATCGACATGCGGGAATTGCTGACGAGGAAGTTGCCGAGACCGCCGATCGAGGTGAACTTGGTGCCGCACTGGTTGGCGGTGGAGGGAGTGCAGCCGATGATTCCAGAGAACCCGATGGTGCCCGCGGCGGAACCGGTGGCGATCGAACCTCCGCGTGGGATGAAACGGCCGCGGCCGCGAGCGATGGGGGCGAAAGAGAATGGTGGGGATCCGGACGCGGGAGGATTGTTACCCGTGGTGTCGCACACGCTGAGCCGGGAATTGCAGTTTTATTTCGACAAGGTCACGGCGCTGATTCGACAGGCTGGACGCGCCGATGCGAGCGACCGTGAAGTTGAATTGCTCTCCACCGCGCTGCGATCGCTGAGCGCGGACGTCGGTCTGCACAATTTGATGCCTTACTTTACGCAGTTCATCACCGAGGAGACGACGCAAAACCTGAGGGATTTGCCGCGGTTGCGAGTGTTGATTCAGATGATTCGGGCGTTAATTTCCAACCCCGACATAAACGTGGAGCTGTATTTACACCAGCTCATGCCGAGCGTGGTGACGTGCGTGGTGGCGAAGCGTTTATGTCAAAATTTGGACGAAGACCACTGGTCGCTGCGAGACGACGCGGCGTACACCATGGCGTTCATTTGCGGCAAGTTCGGCGACGCCTATCCAAGCATTCGACCTAGGATCACGCGCACGTTGTTGCGGGCGTTATTGGATACCAAACCAATGACCACGCACTACGGCGCGATTCGAGGCTTGCACGCTCTCGGTCCCAAGGTCGTGCGAGAGACGGTGATGCCCAACTTGCGCTCGTACTTGAACACGCTCGAGCCGTTGCTCGAACCGCCGACGCCGAACGACCCGAGCTCGCTCGAAAAAATGAGCGATGAAGAGCGAAACACCGCGATCGCCAAAGCTAAGCTCGCGGTGATTCGTCATAGCGACGCTCAGCGCGTCATGGGCGCCTTACAAGACGCCGTCGGCGCGTGCGTTCAAGACGAAGTCGGCGTCGCCGAAGACCGCGCTCGCGAATCCCGTCTCGCCGACCAACTCATGCGTTGGCACAGAACCCAAGATGGCGATAGATTCGAAAAAGACACCGCCGACGGCGACGAAGTCACCGAGCCCGCGTCACCGACGAAACGTGCGTCGAAATCAGGCAAAGACGCCGCCAAGAAGGCTGAACCCGCGGCGAAATCCGCCGTCGTCCCCAAGGCGCCCGCGCTCGTGCGAAGCCGTCGCGCTCGCCGCGGCTCGACCCCAGACGACGACACCGACGCCCTGGGCGACGTCGCCAGCGCGCACGCCCCGAACATCGCGGCTTCGGAGACGCACGTGTGATGACACTCGCCCGGTATCGATAGCAGTGCGTCTCGGTAGACTTTTAAATCGACGCGTTCGCCTCGCCTCCTCGCCGCCGCGCGCCGCACACGCCGCCTCCGCGCCGATGCGCGCCGCGGCGTCGTCCGCGTCCGCTCGACCGCGCGCGTCGTCCACGTCGCGACGACGACATCCTCGACGTCGCGCCCGCGTCGTCGCGATCCCGCGCGCGTCGTCGGCGTCGTCGTCGGCGTCGCCGTGGGGCGTCGACGTGAACCAAGCCTGCGTCACGTTTCCGCGCGGTGACGCCGACGGCGTCGTCCGCGCGCTCCGCGGCGCGTCCCTGCGCGTGCCTCGAGGCACGTTGTTCATGCTGCTCGGCCCGAACGGGTGCGGTAAGAGCACGCTGCTGCGAGCGCTGGCGGGACTGGTGAAGACGGACGCGGGCGCGCTCGAGGCGCCCGAGCGCAAGGCGTTCGTGTTTCAAAATCCCGATCATCAAGTCATCATGCCGACCGTCGGCGCGGACGTCGGGTTTGGATTGGGCAATGATCACACTCTGAGCGAAGACGACGTCCGCGAACGCGTCGTGCGAGCGCTGCGAACGGTGAATTTAACGGACGACGACGCGTTTGAGCGACAGGTGGCGACGCTGAGCGGGGGGCAGAAACAACGCGTCGCCATCGCGGGCGCGCTCGTGGAGGAGCCCGAGCTGTTGCTGTTAGACGAGTTGACGACATTTTTAGACGAGGCCGATCAGCGAGGGGTGATAGAGGCGGTGCGCCGCGCCGTGGACGAGAGCGACGGTCGCGTCACCGCGCTTTGGGTGACGCACCGGTTAGAAGAGTTAGAGTTCGCGGACGGCGCGGCGTACATGGAGGACGGCGTCGTCGTGAAATTAGGCACTGGGAAAGATATTCGCGAGTTCATTCGCGAGAAACAAGACCAGAAGCGACACGTCGTCGCGTCGCGCGAGAATTGATGTTATACCATACGACCCGTAGCCCCGCGCCCGCGCCCGCGCGCGCGCCGCACTCGTCGCCGCGTCCGCGATGTCGCCCTCCGACGACGCCCCCGCCGCGACCCCACCGTTCGATGCGTACGCCGCGCTCGGTCTCGACGCCGCCGAGCGCGCGTCCATCGACGCGGCGCGCGTGAAATCCGCGTACCGACGCATGGCGCTCGCGACGCATCCCGACAAGAACGACGGTGATTCGCGCGCGTTCAAGCGCGTCGCGATGGCGTACAAGATCCTCGGCGACGCCGAGCGACGCGCGGCGTACGATGCGAGCGGAGGCGTCGAAGGCGAGGACGCGCGCGACGCGCTGGAGACGGAGATCGACATCAGCGAGGTTGGCTTCGCGAACACGCTCGTGGCGAGCGTCATCAGTTCGTTGGGCGTGAACATCAAGACGGCGGTGCCGGTGAAAGCGCTGGAGGCGGTGCGACGAGGAGAAACGACCGGCGGCGTGGTGGACGCGACGATGGGGTGTAAATTGAGCGAGAGCGCGAGAAAGGGAGAGATTCGATTGTTTCGATGCGCGCTCAGCGAGGAAGACGTGAGGCGAGGGGTGGTGGTGAGCGCGACGTCGCCGAGCGGGGATAAGTTTAAGCTTTTAAAGTTTGATCGCGCGTCGAACGGGGATGGGGGACTGGAGCTTTCGTTACAAGAGGTGAGCGCGAAGTTTGATTCCGTCAAGCCGAAGCGGTCGCACGCGGGATTTTACTTCACGGGGCACAAGAGTTACAACTACGAACCATTCGAGTTGATAAAGATGAGCAAATTGGAATCGCGAGATTTGGCGATGTTCCACGCGCTCGATAATTGGACGCCGAGGGAGTGCGTGAGCATATCGCCGGGAGAGCACGTGTTCGGAGTGTACGGCGACAACTTTTTCGACAAGTGCAAGTTTGAGTTCGAAATTTTCGTCGTCGGCACAAAGACTAGCGACGGCGCCGTTCTCGAACCATCGAAAATTCACGAGATCGAGACGAAGATGTCGAAGAAGCGGGACGATTTGATGCGGTTTGAAAAGGAATATTTAGCCGCCAAATCGGCGTTTGAAAAAGTGGTGGTGCGTCATCAGCAAGAGGCGGACGAAGTCAAAGCTTTGATCGCCGCTCGAGAGGCGGCGTATTGCGCGCTCACGTTGCCGTCGGTAACAGTAAAGGAAGCAGAAGAACCTTCGGGCGGCGCTTCGTCGAGCGGATTCGCGATGCCGACCATCGATACAAGCGCTCTGAAGAACGCGTTTAATTCTTTCTCCAACCCGTTCACGTCGAAGAAGTGAGTCGCGATGGATGATTACTCATTGAAACATAACTAGTGCTCGCGTGTTGTAATACATATCATACACATACTTTGTCTTCGGCGAAAGAAAACAGGCGTCAGGACGTCGCCGCGCGTTTCGGCGCCACGCCGTCGCTCGCGCTCGACTCGCTCATTCTTCGTGTTTATCCTCGAAGAATTTTAAATCCATATCAGTGAAGTGCCTGCACGACGCAATGTCAGACATTACTTTTCGAGCGACGGGTGGTGGACCGTGACCTCGAATGGTCATCGAGAAATCCGCACCCGGATGAAAAGCAGTGCCGAACAAGTCGTACTCCATCGCCGAATCGACGTCCGACGTCTCGAGGCCATGTGTGGAGAGCCACGGTACGGCGTCGTTGCCGTCGCAACTGTCTGCGTCGGAATCCCACTCACGATCGACGTGTTTGGGTGCGATGGAAAACGGGTGCGAAGTCAAGAAGTCAAACACCAAATCGCGCGTGTTCGTTCGCGGCGCAAAGTAATCCAGCGCCGGCGATTTGGCCGTCACCGTCCACTCCGCCGTCGGCGCAAGATGCGCGGCACGCTCCCGCTGTTCGCGCACGATTTGTTTCACTTTCAAGGCGTTCATTTCGCCCACGAGCTCTTGCCACGGAACGCTCTCCGCACTCGCCGGCGCGTCGTCGTTCGCGACTTCGCCCGCGAATCGCGCGCCGCGAACCGCCTTCAACGCCGCGTTCACCAACGCCAGCGCCACCACGCTCGCGAGCGCCAAAACGAGCTCACCATCCCCCCCAATCGCCATTCGTCGTCCTCCGCCGTCGACGCTCGCGAAAACGACTGGAAAATCGACGAAATGCGCATCCTCGATCGCCGTCGCCGCGTCCTCGATCGCCGCCGTCTCGATCGCCCCCGTTCGCCGCGACCTCGCCTCGCACCCCCCCCCCATCGTCGCCCGCACCACCACGCGCCGTCCCACGATGGAACGTCCGATTCCAAACCCAAAATGCCGCGCCACCGTCGCCGCCTTCGCCGCCCCCCCTCGTTCGATCGACCGATTCGTTCGTCCCTCGCGCGCGTCGCCGATCGGTGCCGCGTTTCCGCCCCCCTCCCCGCACAACCGACTCGCGTGCGTCTCCCCGCCCGCCTCGCACGTCACGACGACGCAGCACGCGGCGTCGTCGTCCGAGACGTTCGACGCGCCCTCGATCGTCACCGCGCCGTGCACGAGCGCGATCGGCGATTTATGTTTCGTCAAATCCAACGCGCGTCGCGACGCCGACGACACAGCCGACGCGTCGCGCGCGCCGCCGATCGCGCCCGCCGCGTCGACGCACGCGAGCGCGAGCGCGCAGACGAACAGCGCGCGCATGCGCGCGACGCGAGACGGCGCGCGCGCCGACGCGTCGCGATGTGACGCGCGCGCGGTGCCCGCATCACATCGCGACGCATGCGCGCCGACGCCGACGACGCGGCGACGCGTAAAACGCACCGAATCGCCGAGGCGTCGATCGCGAGCGTCGTCTCGCGGTACCTGGCGCACAATGAAGTCGCGAAGCGCGCGTTGACGCACGCGATGCGCGCGTCGGGGGCGACGATGGAAGATCTCGCGGACGACGGACTCGCGCGTCTCGCGCCGCTGGATCACATCGCGTATCGCTCGTTCGCGCACGAGGATTACGGCGTCGAGGGCGTGTGCGAGGTGTTCGAACGGCTCGGATGGGAGACGGTGAGCGCGAGCGAGGGCGGACGATTGGAGTTTACGGAGAAGCGCGTGCGCGCGCGATGGATGAAACCGCCGAAGACGCCGCGAGGAGAGACGCCGCTGCCGAGGATATTCGTCTCGGAGTTGGTCGTCGATGCGTGCGACGAGGAGTTGAAGGGATATCTGACGCAACACTTCGAGCGCGTGGGGGAGGGGAAGGTGTTGCGGAGCATGGAGTGGGCGAAGGGGCGAAACGCGCGATGGCAATTGCCGCCGGCGAGCGTGTACGCCAAGGTGGAACGGTTGAGCGAATACGCGAGTTGGACGCTGTTGCACGGATATGCGGTGAATCACGTGGCGCTGAGTTTGTTTCAGTTGCGTAAGATGTATCCGGAGACGCCGTTGCGGACGCTGGAGGATCTGGAGACGTCGTTCGCGAGCAACGCGGCGTTTAGTAGGATCAGGTGGAACGAGAGCGGTGGGCGGATTAAACGCTCACCTTCGGGGCTTCTCGCACAGAGTGCGCTCATGTCGGTGCCGCACAGGTATGAATTGTACAAGAAGACGATCGTCACGCAAGATCGTTACGGACAGGAGGACCATGAGGACACGTTCAAAGATTACGGTTTGCCGGGATCGTACGTGGAATTCGTGCAGCGCTTACCGAAACCGCAGAACGCAGACAAGTCGTTCGAAGAACTTCAGGAGTGCGACTTACGCGAAGGCTTCGAGGCGGGAAATGCGAGTAAGATTTTTGATTCCACGAGTACGAGGCCGCCGCCGCAGTCCGGTGCGGGGTCGAGCGCGCCGCAGGGAGGAGCGCCGCAGGCGTCGAACGCACCGCAGGCATCGAACGCGCCAGGATCGAGCGAACCGGCTGAGCGCCCTGCGGGGATGCTCATGAATTTGTCAAGTCGAGTCGTCAACTTTTTCAAACCGTCTTCTCAATCCCCGAGGGTCAAGAAGCCGCGCGTCGAAGAGGAAGGCGCGTTGGCTAGTGCTCCAGCCGCGAACGACGATGTGATAGATTTGACGTGATACATCGATAGATTAGCGAAATGTGATGAGTTTTGTGTACAACGAAAATTTGCTGCTAGATGCGACCCGAGTCTCTTTCCCAAGTTTTTTTCGGTTTCGGCGTTTTCCATGTTTCAAATGGAATGATGATGCATGACAAACAAATCATCGCGAAGAACGAGTATATGAACACGTTGTACTTGAAAAGATATCCTAAACCTTTTAGGTTTTCGATGTTGCCGCCGAAGATATCCGTCACCGCCGTTTCAGCCGCGTAAACGTTGAAGACTTGCGCGCAAAATTGCACGATTGAAATCGAGCCCAACATAATCAATCCTGTGTTGAACAGCAACGAACTCATGCTCGTGCGACCTAATTTCATGGGATACAACTTCATGAAAAAGAATCGAAGACCCAACCGTGTGTTACCCTTGATGACGCAAAACACCAAATAAAAGCAAAACAGCGCAAACGCAGCCGTGCCGAGGAGCGACCAACCACTATCCAACCATATGAAGAACGAGTTCAGGAACGGGTGCGCCGCGGGCTTGACGAGCACTGTGATGATGATGTGTAACGTCCACAGCGTGCTCAAGATGACACTCAAGCCACCGAGGAAGCACTGTATGTAGTACGCTAACACAGTCATCAACCACGTGGCCTCGCGTTGTTCGCCTTGCGGAAACACAGTCATCAGCTCCACTTCGTCATCCTCGAGCTGGGAGAGCTTCACCTGAAGCTCTTTCAAATCTTTTTTAGTCTTTTTCGTCCGTCCAGTTTCGCGCTGCTCCTTCTGAACGTTCTTAATTTGCTGATGTATCGCTTGCGCGTCACGAGCTAAAATCGTCGCGCACCGAATGTACTCGCTCTTCGGGATGACTTTTTGCGGACGGTTCATGAACCCCTTGATCATATCCACCGGCAGGGCGACGATGCCGACGCCAGCGTACACTAAGAAAATGAACCAGGATATAATGGACGCCACGGCGATCATGTACACGATAAACGTCGGTCGGACGGTGAACGTTTCCGTTCCGACGTTTGGGCCGTAGGCGTCGCAATCCATCCCGCTCATCGTCGCGGTGTAAGTCGCGAAATTCGTCACCGTCGTTGGCGATGAAGGTAACGCTATACATGACGTCGCACCATTCAACGCCGAGTTGCCAATCAACGCCATCCCTGACTTGACGCTCTTCAACTCAAACTCGGCTTCGCCGCCCACGTAATACGCCAGCAACATCGCCATCAACAAAACAAACAGCGTCGCCACGCTCCAAATCGACGAGCTCACCAGCTTCTTTCCGAGCGTCGCCTCGGAATCTTGCTCGTAATAAAACAACGTCCACGGCACCAAGACGAACATGTACGCAAACATCGTCAAATACGTCGCGTACCAAAAGTCCTCCATCGGCAGCGTGTACCGACACGCGCTCTCTATAATCGCTTCATCGCACGCCGCTCTGTTCGCCACGTCCAGCGGCAGCAACAATATCGACAACACCGACAGCGTCAATCCAGTGACGACGACGATCTTCGGAAACCACGCCTGATTGCGATCATCCGGGTGTTGAAAGTGCACGAGCACGTAGACGTTGCACGCGAGCGCCAGCGCCGTCACCACGATCGCCACGACGATCAAGAACCTGCGCGCGCGCGCCTCGCCCGCCGTCAGTCCGCGCGTCGACGCGCATCACACCGCGCGCGCGCGCGCGATCTCGCATCCGCGCGCGCGCGCGTCGTCACCGTCGCGTTTTTCGATCTCGATCGCGCCGCGTGTCCCACATTCCGAACGCGTTCGCGCCCACCGCGCCGCGCGACGACCTCGCGCGCCGTCCGCGCGCCGTCCGCGCGCCGTCCGCGCGACGCACCAGTTATAGCTCTCGCTCGGCGCGCTCATCGCGCGCGCGACGCGCGGCGCGAAGTGCCGTCCCGCGCCGCGCGTCGCCATCCGCCACTCTCGCGCGCGTCGAGAGGTCGACCGTCGCGCGCGACGACGACGACGACGACGAGACCCGGGATCGCGGACCGCGCGGCGACGACGCGACGCGCGCGCGCGCGTCGCGCGACGGCGAGCGCCGAGCGCGGACGAACGAGCGCCGAACGCGATTCGTGAATTGTGAATCGACGAAGATGCGCGACGAGGCGAGCGCGTCGCGGCGGCGAGGGCCGAGCGAGGACGATCGACGCGGGGTGGAGGAACGCGCGAAGAATCCCGCGCTGTCGAGTCGGGACGAGGACGAGGGAGACGACGACGAGAGAACGACGACGCGCGCGCGGGCGGAGGGCGAGAGCGCGGACGCGCCGGGCGGGACCGCGGAGACTTCTTCGGGGTCGTTATCGTCGTTCGGTGAGCGCACGGAAAGAAAGCCGACGTCTTCGACGGCGGCGGAGTTGGGCACGTGGGACGACGAGGACGAAGACAGAGGTTTGCAAAGGAGGAATTCGTGGTTCTTGGAGAGTGACTCGGAGAAAGATTCGAAGAAAAGGCTTAAACTACCGTGGTCGAAGAAGGCAGTGTCGGCGAAAGCGGAAGACGACGAGCAGACGAACGAGCAGACGAACGAGCGCAAAAAGCCGAGTATGATCTCCCGTATGTTAGTTCCGTCTGCGACTTACGTCAAGCGGATGACGGAAAAAGTCCGCCGGGTAGACACGTTCGGGAGCAAGCGATTGGATGAAAATGACACGTACGGTTTTAGGAGTCTACTGTGTCATCCCGCGAGTGCGTACGCGCGCGCGTGGACGCGGACGGTGAACATATTTATTCTAATCGTCGCTTTCACGGAACCGGCGGTTTTAGCATTCAAGGGCGAGCATCGCTCGGCACGCCTAGCTTGGAACGAAGTCATGGAGATTTGTTTCGACATCATCTTCATAGCCGACATCGCAATCAACTTTTATCGTCCAATTGAGAAGTATGGCAAATTGATTTGGGACAAGCACGCGATTGCGATGAAATATCTTGGAGGATGGTTCGTCATTGACTTGCTCGCGTCGCTACCGATTGATCTCATGTTTGCCGGTGCCACCACTCCAGGCACGGTGGCGGCGAGAGTACTGGCTGCGTTGGGCATGCTTCGCCTGCTTCGATTGTATCGCATCCGACGCATGATGAGCGAGCTCGAAGGCAACCCTAATCTGCCGTACTTGGGGTTCGTAGCGCTCAAATTTGCACTGTTGATCGCGTTGGCGAGTCATTGGAGTGCATGCTTTTTGTACTACCTCGCTCGTTGGCAAAAGTTTGATGAAAACACTTGGGTGTACGCGTACGATCCGGATCTTCCTAGCCGTACGTTTAGCGACAAATACACCACTTCACTGTACTGGGCGACCGTAACGCTCACCACCGTGGGGTACGGCGACATATCTCCCGTGAGTAACCTCGAGCGAGCGTTTTCCATGATTATCATGATTTTGAACATGGGCGTCACGGCGTATATTTTAGGTAACGTCACGCAAATCGTCACCAAGGACGATTCGACAATCATGGACTTTCGCGATCACATCGCGTCCCTTCAACGTTTCATGCGACGGAACGATATTCCAAGAGCCGTTAGAGAGAAGATCAACGCACATATGCAGCTCGAGTACGATATGCGTTGTCGAGACGACGAAGCGGTGCTGAATTTTTGTCCGCCGACGATTCAATCCGAGCTGAGACACGCAATCTATCAACACTACATTAATCGATGCGGGATATTCTCCAATGCGTCGGCGGTATTTATTCAATACTTTTTGGAGTGTATAACAGTGGAGTACTATCATCCCGGAACGCTGCTCACGTCCAAGGGCTTGGACGCGACGGCGATGTATTACGTGTGCCTCGGCAAGGTGGACATCGTATCTGAAAAATACGTGCGCGAACCAACGCTGAGTAACAAGATTAACACGATCTTGCCCGGTGAATGGTTAAACATCGCAGCCGTGCTTTGTCGTCGAACTTGCTTCCACACTAGCATCGTGACGTCTACGTGCAAAGTTTTAGTCGTCTCCTCGAGCAAGCTCGACAACGTCCTCGCACGTTTTCCTCGAGATGTCAAACAAATTTTGCGTACGTTGAAAGAGAAGTATTTGCTTGAGCTGAGTGCGATGGGACCCCGCGCGGAAGATGGTTTCGAACTTTACACCAACTTTGTGCAAGCGCTCGACCAAAAGTCTACTGATCTGTATGAAAGTGAATTGCACGAGCTCAACGTCGCGGCGGTGACGGGCGATACGACGGCGCTCGACATGGCGCTTGCGGATGAGCCACGGAATGCGCATCTCACAGATAGTGCTGGACGCACACTCCTCATGGTAGCTGTCGAAAACAAGCAGAATAACGTCGTGAAGCTACTCCTCAAGTGGGGCGCAGATCCCAATGCCATGAGCAAGGCTGGGTATTCGCCGCTATCGCGCGCCGTCTCGGTAGGAAGTCTTCCATTGGTGAAGATTCTTGTCACCGCAGGCGGTCTCTATCACTCCCCTGACGACCAAACCGTGCTTCACTCCGCAATCTCACAGGATCAAGTGCAGAGAATAAAACTTTTGATCGTCGCCGGGGTGAATTTGTCAAGCCAAGACTATCAAGGGAGCACGGCGCTCCACGTCGCGGCGAGGCTGGGAATGCCGACCATCTTGAGGATTTTATTCGACGCTGGGATTGAAGATAACTTGTTGGATAAAGACGGAAGATCAGCCGAGGATGTCGCTAACATCAGTGGGAACCCTGGTTGCGCGAAAGTGATCCGAGAAAGGAAGCAACTCCGCTCGACGAGGTCCGGTGTCCCATCGCACACTCCGATGTCGCCGTGACGAGCCGAGAGACTCCCCACAATTCGCCACGATGACGTCCGATGGCGCCTTAACGATGAATGAAACGTCGGATGACACGACGCGACCTTCTGCTCCACCACTCACGTCGTGCTCGGCGCAAACGGATTTCGTCGACGACGTCGGAGCGTTCGTCGACGACGACGACGACAACGACGAAGCTTGCCAAAAGTTTGAAGCCATAATGGCTGTTTGCGCGATCGTCGGTCTGGTGGCTATCACGTGTGTCTTTGTCGTCGCTGGTGCATTCGTCGGCACGAAGAATAGTGATTCAGCGACGATATTTCAGAGGCGATTAGAGACCTATAAAATACTCAGAGGTGTCTCTGAGTCCTGACGCCGCTCCCCGACGTCGACTTTCGCGACGACAATTTCGATTCGGTCGAGTTATAATACCAGTACACGTACGAATTCAGAATAATTAATTCAAGCGTCGTCTAGCGCTAGCTATGTTTTTCCAGTGAATATCAGGGACGTGAATGTGCCGAGACCGAGCGCCGTTGCGACGACGATGCCGCCAAAAATCGCGTTGTTTGCGAGAGTCGCATTATCCGCCTTACTCGGAATGCACGCCGATTTTAGAACATTCGTGACGTCAAAGATACGGTGCGAAATTCCAATATAAATGTACGAGCACACCATAAGATTGAGTAGAGGATAGCCCGGGACGAGAGACATCAACATTTTCGGCTGAGCGTTCGGCATCTGCGACGTCGACAACCAAATGTGAAACTGCGCGATGTATGTCTCGAGCGTCACCTTGCCACATATGCAAAATAATTCGATATGATTCTCGCGGAGCTTCTTCGTAGAGTTTCGCAAGACAAAGAACGCAGTTATTGGGATCCAACTCGTGTAAGGATGGTACTTGTTGTACTCAACCTTGTCCAATGTGAAAAACGTCACCCACCACCAGTACAGCGCGCCGCTCGCGAGGGCGACGACGCCACCCTGATACATCATCCGCTCTCGCGTCGTCGAACGCTCGTCGATCCATTTCATCGTCAACTCATATTTCGGGTGAAAGTACGCGCACGCCATGCCGTAAATCCACACGTAACGATCCAATCCAGACCGGAACTGCCACTCGTGCAACGGATGCACGTCTGGTTTCGCCGGATTGACGTATCTAAACAAAAACGTAAACGGCGTGAAAATCCTCTTAAACGCCCCAGGAATTTCCCAAACCGCCGCTACGATGGCGAAACATGCAATGAACTTTCCATAGATCCATTTTGGCTCAGAATTCTTCTCTCGAGCGATCGCGAGCGCGCCGTACACGAGCAACGTGAACAGCGTGTGCATCGGGCAAATGTAATACAGCATGTAGTCGTTCTTCATCACCGCGCACGTCACAAAGACGAAAAAGTTCAACCGCCACATCATCTGCGCGAACCTGACCGCGGAGAAATCCTTCTTGACGTAATAAAAGGAAAAGTTACCGAAGCCAGTCATCCACACGTACGCCGCGATGAAGACTCGAATCAAGTTGTACATTTCCCCCGCGTCAAAGTAGTGATACAACAAGAACAATACCTGCATCCATCCCTTCATCTCCTCCGTCTGTTCCCTGTGCAACGGCGCGTGCGTCTTCGACTCCTTCAGCGTCGTCTTCCACCCGTACGTCCCGAGCAACGCGAACACCGCGAATAACAAATCCCGATCGTACGACTTCTTCGCCTCCCGCACCGCCCCGCTTCGGTCGCAAAACCAAAACAAAAACATAATCACCCCCAGCTCCGCCCACGCCTGCACCGCCCGCCGACTCTCCCGCAGCGCCCTCGGCCGCAGCATCGCGCATTGCACGCCGTTCGACGCCATGAACGTCCGACTTTTCGCGCTTCGTTCCTTCCTCGCCTCGTCGTCGTCGTCGTCGTCGTCGTCGCCCTCCCGCGTCGTCCATCCATCCTCACCCCGTCCTCGCGTCCCGCGCTCGACGTCCGACGCGTCCGCGCGATCGAGTGATTCCACCGCATCGTCCGCGCGCGTCCGCGTCGTCGTCGTCGTCGCCGTCGTCGCCGTCGTCGTCTTCGCGTCCGCGTCCGTCCCACCGATCGCGCGAAATTCGCAATGCATCTCCAGCGCGAACGCGCTCGCGAGCGCGATCGCCGCGGCGCAGTGCGCGGACTCGCGGAACATCGCGCGCGATCGAGCGGCGCGCGCGCGGACGCGCCGGCGTCGGCGCGTCGCGCGATGCCGCATTGGTCGTCGCGCGCGCGATCGCACATCGCGCGCCGGCGTCGATGCGCGCGACGCGCGCGCGTCCGACGCGCGCGGACGACGACGACGACGCGCGCTCGCGCGCGTCCGCGCGCTCGGACGCGCGACGCGCGCGCGCGACGCGACGCGAGCGCGACAAAAGCGAATGGATGCGTTGGAACGGTGACGCGTCGGACGACGACGACGCGCGCGGCGCGAGAGCGACGCGATCGCGCGAGAGCGACGAGGAAGACGCGCGAACGCGATGGACGCGCGATGACGGCGCGCCGACGCGCGTGCGAGCGGCGTACGAACGCATGGAGGCGGTGGCGGCGGATTACGCGCGAGACGCGCGGCGCGCGGCGGAGGCGACGCGAAGAGAGATCGACGCGGAGCGCGAAGAAGCGCTGGAGAGGATCGAAGAGACGCGGCGAGAGGTGCTGCGAGGGAAGGATTTGCTCGAACGCGAGCGGCGGGATTTCGACGCGCGAAGGATGATGCAGGAGGATGAGTTGGAGCGGGCGTACGCGGCGCTGCGAGACGAACGCGAGGCGTTCGAGAGGGAACGGATGCGATTCGAGGCGGAGAGGATAAAGTTTGACACCGAAATCAAGGTGCACGAGAGGTACGCGCGAGCGACCGGGGGGTCGATGAGCGCGCGGTCGATGTCGTACGCGGCGAGTCAGAGTTTCGGAGGGGAGGACGTCGACGGCGAGTCGAGAGGCTTCGAACCGGCGCGCGGCGACGACGCGAAAGTCGCGGCGTGGGTGGACGAAGCGATGGAAGAAACGATCGCTGGGTCGCCGGCGGTGGGGACGACGAGTCGATGGAAGAGGGCGAAGGATAAGGTGACGACGTTGACGCGAGCGGTGGAGAACGCGTCGCTGACGAAAACCGCCCAAACAAACGCGGCGGCGGGCGTCGTTCCAGAATCCGCGCGCGCGTCGGCGTTGGACGGCATAGATCTCGTCGGACGCGTTTTGTGCATCGGAGGACTAGAGCGTGGAAGCGACATTCCTTTGAGTGACGTGGAGTACATGAGACCGGGCGAGGCGGACGCGAGGGGGTACCTGAGTTGGAAGCCGTTCGCGTCGCTCAATACGCCGCGAGCGTACGCGGCGTGTTCCACGACCGCTATAGGAGGTACCGTCGTCATCGGTGGTAGCGATGGGAACGAAGCACTGAGAAGCGTTGAAGAATACCGCGAGAGCGTGGGGAAGTGGCGCGTCGTAGATCCCATGAGCGTTCCGCGCATTTGGTGCGCGTCGACGATGATCGACGGCGTGACGTTTGCGTGCGGAGGATACGACGGGGAGTACTACTTACACTCCATGGAAGCGAACAAGACGTTCGGTTCGTTCGATTACGGCGAAGGTCTCGGCGCGGACGCTAGCGGTGTGGGTTCGCAACCTTCGTCGTCCTGGGTCACCTGCGCTCCGATGAGCGAAGGTCGCGCCACGCTCGGCGTCGCCAACCTTGGCGGGAAGCTCTACGCCGTTGGTGGATTCAGCGGCACGGGAGAAATATTAGATCTGTGCGAGGTGTATGACCCGCGCGCGGATACGTGGACGACTGGTCAACCTTTGAAGCATAAGCGTCGGGATCTGGGCGTGGCGAGCTTGAACGCGCGAGGGATGATGCTCACCGTCGGCGGACGCGACGAACGAAGCGTCTTGAACCTTGTCGAGGCACACGATCCTCGCGAAGCAAAGCGAGGATGGTGGGACTTAGCCCCGATGCATTATCGTCGACAATTGCACGCCACCGTGGTGGATCCTTCCGGTGACGCCGTCTACGCCATCGGCGGTTTCGACGGCGTGAGTGCCATCGCGGCGGTGGAGGTGTACGATGTGCGCGCGAACAAGTGGCGGGAAGTAGCGCCGTGTTCCACGGCTCGTCTCGGCATCGTGTCGTGTTGCATTCCGTAATTTAATAATAAGGTTTGATCGTATTAGGATAATATCAACACGTTTACGCGTTTCGCGATTCATTCAGACGTCTCATCTTACGGCTCCTCCACGATTTTTTCTTCGTCGAGCGAGCTACGCATTGTTGGCTTAGGAGGAGGCGAGGCCATGCTAAAGACGTCCTTCATCGACGGTTTACTAACCAAGACCTTCGAACTTGGAATTGGCGAGTCTTCGGTGACGTCGTCGGCGGATGGTTGACCGACGGACATCGTGGCTATATCCTTCTTCGAAAATGTTCGCTGCAACGCTCCGACAACACCAGGACTCGCCGCTCTTGCCGCTTCTTTCGCTTCTTTTTCTCGCTTTTGCTTTGCGAGCTCGGCTTTCATTTGATTTGACAAGATAGCGCCGAGCAAACTGGTGATTGATTTTTCATTCTCTCGCGAGTAATCTTTTTGCCCAGCCGCGAGCTTGCCCGCCGCCTTCGCCCACGATTTTCGCGCCTGGCCTCTGGCCTGGATATCTTTGAGACCAGCGGATAATTGACGACTAGACGCACCCGCGACAGCTTGTAAGTCTTTAGGTAGCGCCGAAACTGGCACGGCTTCTTGATCGAAATCTCCGCTCGAGACGACCTCCTTGACGTCACGCCCGAGTAAACTCAAATCGTACGCCGCCACCTCTGCGGCGTCAGCTGTGGACATCGACTCATTGGCGCGTTCTAAATACGCTTGTAAAGCGGCCTCGCGCGTGATGCCGAGTTTATCGGCGTATTCTTGCAAAGAAGTCGCGCAATGTGAACCAACGGTCGACGTGATGGCGTACACGGGAAGAATGAACAAAGCGCTGTGCATCAACACGCAGACGTCGACGGCAAACAGCGCCCAGGCGGTGCCGACCGACATACTCGCGTTGTAGGTCAACCACTTTTTATCTTGCCACATGCTGAAGATGAGCATGGATAGTGAAATGGCGTTTTCAAACAACACGAATTGGTAAACTTTGAGCAGCAAACGCGGTCGACCCAACCAAAAGAAATTTTGCGAATCAATCTCTTTTCGCAGCTCGCGTCGCCGCACAGTGGGTGATTTTTCGATAGAAATGTCTAGCTCTTCTTCCGCCAACCTCTCTTCGAGTTCGTTCTCGTCGGCGAAACGTTCGTACGCAGCTTGCGCGAGACGCAACGCCACGCTCTCGAGCATCGTCCCCACGAAGAGCATGACGCCCAGACACACGATCCCCGCGGATAAGAACAACGCCTGCGGCACCGTCACGAAAATCGTAGCCATCGACCACATCAACACCGTCATCCCGATGAGCGAGCTCATGTCTTCCTCCATGGACTCGCGCAAGTAATCGTAAAAGTTGAAATCGTGCGTCGCCCCCGTGCGCTCCAAAAACAATCTTCGCAACGACAAGTACATCCCCTTGTCCACCGCGAATCGAAACTGCGACCAAAACGCGCGCCACACCAAATGCACAATCCCCGTCGCGTTCCTCGGGTTAATCTTCGGATTCAACGCGTGCACCTTCACCTCCCCCTCCGTCTCCCAACGCCGCCACTGCCGCAGCTTCCACGAGCACACGTACGCGCTCACCGCCACGTAACTCACGTGCGTGCACGCCAAAATGAATATGAAAATATGCGTCTGATGCAGCGTCGTCGCGCTCCACAGCGGTCCCTCGCCTTTTGGGCACTCATCCGTCCCGTACGACCCCTCCTCCTTCACGCAAATCTTCATCAGCGCGTCCTGCAGCGCCGTCAGCAGCAGCGACAGCGTCCCCAGCAGCATCAGCTCCAGCTGCAGGTGTTCGAACACGTGCAGCATCGCGCTCCGCTTGTGTTTCCTCAGCGTTCGTCCGACGACGACGTTCGCGCGCGCGAGCGCGATGGAGAGCAGCGCGAGCGCGAGAAACAAACCGCCGAGTTTATACCCCTTCGTCGCGCTCCATCCCGCGCCGCCGCCGCCCGCCATGGCGCGCGTTAAGCGTCGGCGCGTTTGCGATCGCGCGTCGTCGATCCGGTCGTCGACCCGGTCGTTCTTTGGCGCGCGCGCGAGCGCCGTCGTCGCGCGGCGCGCCGCCGAGGGACGCGCGATTCGGTCGGTCGGTCGGTCGGTCGCGGTCGGTCGCCCCACGCGTATGCGCAAACAGTCATAACTCGCGTCCAGCCATAACTCGCGTCGAGTCATGACTCGACACGGCGACTCCTGAGACTGAGACGACAACACGGACACACAGAAAAAGCGCGCGCGAGGGAGCCACCCTCATCGCGCGCGTCGACGCGACACGCGCGCGCGACGCCGCGAGCGCCGATCGACGGCGTCGATCGACGCGACGCGACGCGCTCGAATCACCGCGCGCGCCGTGCGCGAACGCGACGCGACGCGCGCGACGCGAAGAGGGACGCGACGCGGGACGCGACGGCATACCGCGGACGACGGCGTCCGGACGACGGCGCGCGCGGACGCGGGACGCGACGCGACGCGACGCGAGCGGCGCTCTTCCGCGCGTCGAGTGAACGATGCCGAAGCGATTGGTGTCGCAGGGAATGCTGCCGGACGTGTTCCAGCAGTACATCATGAAGTACCTGGACGACACGGATTGCAACGTGCTGTCGCGCGTGTCGCACGGGTGCCTGGACGCGGTGATCGAGTCGGGACGCGATCCGGTGTGCGCGATGCGGGTGAGTAAGTTCGTGCACTCGCCGGCGATGTTGAGGTGGGCGCAGACGCAGGGCGTGCCGTGGGATTGGCGGTTGTGTCGCGCGGCGGCGGCGAGCGGGAAGCTGGAGAGCGTGCAGTGGCTGCGCGAGCAGGGGTTCTACGCGGGGCCGAAACCGGAGGAGTGGGGGTATCGAAACGGGTGCCCGTGGACGGCGGACACGTGCGTGGCGGCGGCGCGGGGAGGGCACTTGGATATTTTGAAGTGGGCGCACGCGCACGGGTGCCCGTTGAACTCGGCGGTGTTCGCGAACGCGGCGAACGGGGGGTACTTTGAAATGATGTGCTGGCTTCGCGAGGTGGGGTGTCCGTGGGACGAATTGACGCCGATTTGCGCCGCTCGAGGAGGGCATTTGGAGATTTTACGCTGGTTAAAGGCGGAAGGGTGTCCGTGGGGAAGCGCGGTGTGCGCGAAGGCGGCGAAGAACGGCCAGCTCGCGGTGCTGAAGTGGCTGAAACGACACAACTTCCACTGGCACTCGAGCGCGATTCAGTACGCGTGCGAGGGCGGGCACTTGGAGGCGCTGAAGTGGTTGCGCGCGGAGGGCGAGACCTGGGACGAGCAAGCGGTGTGGGACGCGGCCAAGGGCGGACACTTACACGTTCTCGAGTGGTTGCGAGCGGAGAACTGTCCATGGCCGCACTCGGCGGGCGACGTCGCCGCGCGCTTCGGCCACCTCGACTGCCTCAAGTTTTTGCACTCGCAAGGGGGGATCCTGCACGACTGGACGTGCCAAGAAGCCGCGGTGGGTGGGCATTTGGACATGCTCAAGTGGTTACGAATGCAAGGCTGCCCCTGGAACTTGTGGACGCCCGTGCAAGCGGCGCGACACGGCCATCTCGAGGTGTTGAAGTGGGCGCATAAACAGGGGTGCCCCGTCGACGCGCGCGTGTGCGCCGCCGCGGCGTACGGCGGTCACGTCGAGTTGCTCGAGTACCTTCGCGCCGAAGAAGTGCCTTGGGATGAACAAACGTGCGCGCACGCCGCGCTCGGTGGTCACTTGAGCGTGCTGCAGTGGGCGCGCGCGCGCGGTTGTCCATGGAACATGTACACGTGCGAGTACAGCGCGTGGGAGGGAAATTTGCACATTTTGAAGTGGGCGCGTCAGCACGGGTGCTTGTGGAACTCACGCACGTGCGCGTTCGCCGCTATAGGCGGACACTTGGACGTCTTAAAATGGCTTCGTCAGCACGGATGCCCTTGGGACGGTTGGACGATTCAGAAAGCCACGGAAGAGGGCAACTTTGAACTTCGCGACTGGGCGCTCAAGCACGGCTGCCTCTCGACTTCGGCGTCGACGGAGTTTAATTTGTCCAATTTCCCCAACGATGAATTTTTACAAATGCTCGATGGATAACATCGTTGCATACGCTTTAACGCGCACGCCGCTTTCATCGATGCAGTACCGACGGTGAACGACACAGTAGATTAGTAGGGCGCTTCGCCAAAGCGCGTTTCACACGAAACGCTCAGCTTTGCAATCATGATTACAGACTAAGCATTTCTAAAGCCCGCGAAGCGATCTCGCCAGCATCGGTCGCCGATAACGACTTTGCTTTCTCGAAACAATCTTTCGCGCGCGCTAAACTATCATCTATCGCGTCTCCGGCGAGTTTGTAAGCGTTGCCTAATTGCAAGTAAACGCGAGCCTCAGCGTCATTTCCAGACTCGCGGGCCTTCGTGAGCGCGGACTTCTTGTGTAAGTTGAACGCATCATCGTCTTCGCCGCGAGTGAGTAAAAAAGCGCTCGCACAGTTCGCGAAAGCCTGCGCCAACGTCCCTGGATCGGTGGAATCGTCCGCCTCTAGCACTCGCAGCTCTCGAGTCCAGCATCGCCCGGCGTAGTCGGGCCGACCCGAACGCAAAAGTGCCGAACCCGCGCGATTATACGCGCGCGCCGCCTCGCGCAAGCGACCGAGTTTTTCTGCCGCCTCGCCCGCGGTGCTGAGCAACGGCGCACATCGCTCCCAGTCACCGAGATCGTGTAAAATAATCCCCGCGTCGAGCAACGTATCGCACTGCGCTTCGTCGCTCGTCGATTCGCTCGCGCAATCCAACGCCGCCGTCAATTCCTTGCGACACTGTTCTTTCTCGCCCTTCGCGCAATGCGCCTTCGCCGCGAGCGTGTGCGCGTCCGCGCTCGCCGCCCCGCCCTCCTTTCGCGCCTCCTCCAGCGCCGGCGCCAAATAGTGCAAACATTCATCCGCGCGCTTCGCCTCTAAATACGCCCTCGCCAGCACCAACCGCACCTCGCGAGTCAACCCCTGATCCTCCTCCCCGATCGCGAACACGATCGCGTCTTCTAATCCCTCGATCAACTCGTCTAAATCTACCGTTGTCGAGACGCCATCTCTTCGCAACGCCGCGCGCGCTCGCGGCAACGTCGTCTCGCGAATTCGCCGCGTCTCGCTCTCCTTCGCCTCTTCCTTTTCCGCCTTCGTCGGCATTCGCGGCGGTTCGGGCGGTTTGTACGCCGGTTTCGCGTTCGCATCCGCGACGCACTCGCGCGCGTGCGCGTCCCACGCCGCGCGCTGGCACGCGGCGTTGCAAAAGTGCGCGCGCCGGCACTTGGCGCACTTTTTGAGTCGGTCGCTCGCGACGCCGCAGTTCGCGCATCGCGGGGCGTCGGCGTCGACAGAGTCCGAGTCACTCAACGCGTACTTGTCGTCGATGACGATGGTGGACATCGCGCGCGGCGTTCGGGCGCGGCGGCGTGTGAAGCCCGCGCGGGGCGCCGCGAACGGGACGCCGCGAACGCGCGAGTCGCGTCGAACGCGACGCGGCGAGGCTGAGACGATGAGTGTGGACAACACGAATATATACTTTCACATGAGCGAGACGCTGGCGTCGCGGGAGATGCTCGATAAGCGCCCGACACTGGTCGCCGTCGGCGGTTCGACGAAGCGAGCGATGAAGCGCGTTAAATTGCGCTCCAACACGTCCGGTTCTCTCTCGTAAAGGTTCATCACGCCGCTCATCACGAGAGCGAATAAATAACTTTCGAAATTCGCGACGTGCGGAAGTATGCCTTTGCGCACCAAGACTAATACGAGGGAATCAACGGCGCGCGGTACAATCCAAAGAGTCAAGTCGGTGCGCCTGCCTTCGTCTTCGACCAACAACGCGCCGCTGGCGACGACCCCGGCGAGATAGTACAGCGCGCGGTGATCGCGGAGACCGGAGTTTCGATGCAAACACACCGTGCTCATATATAAACCAACGTACGTGGAAATCATCGTGGACGAGCGCACCGTCGCCTTGGTCGCGCGATACAGCGTCGACAGCGGCTTCTGCACCGCTTTGCTTAAATTAAGAACCACGTATGGCACGTAATGAATCGAAAAGTAAAACGGAAAACACTTTTTGAAAGTGGAAAACGATGACGCAGCGACGTGGGATGAGCACCACAGCGCGCCCGTGCTTCCGTGCGTGTGGTCGCACCCCACCACGGCGGCGCTCGCGCCGCTTCGCACGCTCTCGCGCACGGCGCCGAGCGTCTGCTTGTCGATCGGCCCGGCGTTCACGATAAAGTTCCAAAACCCTGGATCGAGCGTATCGGGTCGCATGACGTACGCGTACATGATTTGCGCGGACGAAAGCGTGAAGAGCGCGAAATTCGTGTGCCTCCACGCCGCCGGACCTCGCTCCTTCATCCAAGGATGCTCCTTCTGCGCGCTCGCCCAGCTCGCCTGCGCGAGCTTGGCGAGAAGATACAGCGAAAACGCGCGACGATACTTCGGTTTGAGGAAGAATATGGACAGCCCCGCGACGCCGCCCGCGATGGACGCCGCGGACTCGGGCGTGAACGGCTCCCTCGCCGACCGCTCGACGACGGCGTCCGCGCCCTTTTCCGCGCCCTTCTCCACCGTCTCCGCGCCCTCCTCCCCCCCGCTCGGCGCCGTGACGTAACACAGCCAACACCGCGTCGCCGAGTACGTCCCCGCGAACCCGCCCGCGAACAATCCGAACCGCGCCGCGTCTTCCCGATACCTCAACGTCTCCTCCCCCACCAGGTGACCCAAATCCAAGCACTTCCTCGCCGACCCGCGCCTGAGCGTCCTGACGACGTGCGCCGCCAAACTTATCCCCGCCCGCGTCGCGTACGCCGCCGCGAACCCTCGCCGCGCCGTTTCCATCGCGCTTCCCGCGCACGTCCTCGCGTCGTCGTCGTCCCGCGTCTCGTCCCGCGCCGCGTGCGCGCACGGACACCGATGCGTCCCGGCGCTCGCGCGCCCGCGCCGGCCGTAATTCTTCAGATCCTCCGGCACGGACGCGCACAGCGTCGGGTGCGGCGCCATGCCGAACCGCACCGGCGATTTCGTCGTCGCGCGAAGCGGCGGCTCGACGTCGTCGTCGAAATCATCGTCGATGCCGTCGTCGTTCGCGCCGCGCGGCGGTCGTCCGTCGCGGCGCGCGCCGCCGCGCATGGCGCCGCGCGCGGGGACGCGCGACGCGCGACGCGCGCGACGACGAGCGACGCGCGACGCGCGACGCGCGCGCAACGACCGCGCGTCGGCGCCGCGCGCGGCCTCTAAATTTTATGACGTCCCACATCGTATTGTAAACGTCTGGAGTCCCATCGACGGTTCGTCATTAAATACTCCCGTCACGTACAACGCACGTAACGCTGTATTTCAGGATACGTTTGCGGTATCTATGCTATGGTATATGGATAGCTAAACACCGCGCGCGACGACGTCGACCGTTCGTCGCGGCGACGCGCGCGCATCGCGACGCGCGACGACGGCGGCGCGCGCGTCGCGACGGACGCGAACGCGACGACGACGACGACGACGCCGTCGATCGGCGCGCCGACCGCGCGCGATGGCGACGACGGGACGCGCGATGACGACGACGACGGTGGTCGCGTCGCGATGCGGACGCGCGCGACGACGACGGCGGACGACGCGCGCGGCGAAGGGCGAGGGCGCGCCGGAGAGCGACGTGCGTGATGACGCGACGACGCGACGCGCGCGGGACGACGCGACGCGCGCGGTGGGGGCGAGGGACGATGGGGGACTGACGAGGACGCGCGCGGAGCGACGAACGCAGGACGTGGCGCCGGCGCTGGAGAGCGATTGGCGGGAATTTCGGGCGCAGTTGTTGGCGCGCGAGCGCGCGGTGACGCCGGAGGAAGAGCGGGCGCGCGCGGCGGCGGTGTCGGAGGAAAATTTGAAGGTGCTGGAGACGCAAAATCCGAGGCTGGCGGCGTCGGCGCCGTGGGCGCACGTCATCGGCGCGCCGGAGAAGGGGTGCTTGCTCGTCGCGGCCGATCACGAGTTTAGGATGTCGCAGCAGTATTTTCATCAAGCGGTCATCTTGGTGCTCGAACATCACGAGAATGGGTCGATGGGGGTTATTTTGAACCGGCCGACGCAGTACGACATGGGGTACGTGAGCGGGGAAGCAAACGGGCCGTTCGCGAAGAACGCGTTGTATTTTGGCGGTGACGTCGGCGATGGCACCGTGAGTTTTTTGCACGGCAGAGAGGACGTGAAGGGGAGCGTCGAGGTCTTACCCGGGGTGTATCTCGGCGGCTACGACAGCGCGTGTGAATTGGTGCAGCAAGACGGCTCGACGTGTCACGCCGACGAATTTAAATTTTTCGCCCGATATTGCGGCTGGGCGCCCGGGCAGCTAGAGAGCGAGTGCGAGCGTGGGGTGTGGTTTCCAGTCGCCGCAGCCAAGGAGTTGTCGCTGAAACAAGTGATTCAGCTTCCTAAGCCGCTCTGGCGCGAGATTTCAGAATTGTGCGGCGGAGAACTCGAAGAAATGGCGCGAAAAGCGTACCAAACGTACGAGGCCGAGCAAACCTTTTCGCTCGATAACTTGGACGCCGACGAGCGCGCGACGGATGAATAAATGCGATGCGATGTGATGCGTACAGTAAAACAGTTGATATGATTTTTAAGCGCGAATGAAAACGAACGAATGGTAATACTATATGATTGGAAAGATTTACGATGAAGACGCGCCGTCACTCCTCCTCGAACGCCGCAATCTTGGACGACACGAAGTCGGTGAGCAAGAAAGAGATGTCATCATTCGCGTATAACGCTTCGATCTCAGCCTTCTGACCTCGCGCCTGCATCACTTCTAACTCGCTCGCGAAAGGTCTCAGCGGATGCGTCGCCGCGGTTTCGTTCAGCGCGTTGTTAATCATCGCCTCGTCTCGGCTCGACAACGCCTGAAACGCGCACTCGGGGATCAAATACAAATCTTGCGAACGTAAACCGATCCATTTCAGCGGCGTGACGTATTCTGACACGTCCATTGCGCTCGACGAGTTTCCGACTGTGTACGTAGACAGAATCCAGCAACCCGACGGATTCCAATCGACGAGCCCGAAAAACTGCGCCTCGTTCCCGCGGTCGTTGTCCTCGAGCGCGCGTCGCAACAAGTGGAGAAATTTCCTAGTCGCCAAATCTGGAAATCCTTTCGCTGTGACGAGCACGCACGGCAACTTTTCAAAGACGCGTTCGGCGCACAAACGATTAAACACGGCGTCCTTCTCTACGACGATCACGTACGCTGCGTCGCTGTGAATCTTCGTCGCGTCGAGCTCAAATAAATCACCCGTAATTGCCCACCCATCGTTCCCGCACGCGGTGCAATCGAATCGAGCGCCCGAGGCGGTTTCGATGTGACATCGACCAGCCACCTGCCCCTTCGAAGCCGCAACGATTCCGAGGGCAATTCTGGGCGCACCCAGAGCTTGTGATATTTTCCGAATCGTCGCCGCGATTTGATGTTCCGTCACGCGCGTTTGCGTCGAACCACTTGGCCAACCACCGCGTCGACCGCGACTATTCATCACGTAATAAAGCTCGCGCAGCGACATGCCGCTCTCGCAATCGGTCCGTCGCAACGCGTTGGCGAGCACGCTCAAAACATCCCAAAACCGCTCGTACGCGTTTCCATCGCCCGTAAACCTGGCGACAACGCAAGATGTTCGTGATTCATCGTTTCTTTTGCCTCCGATGTCGTCGTTCTCGTCGCTATCGCTCGGGTCATCCTCATCGATCGCCTCCCCGTTCTCGTAGCGCCGATTCGATCTCGAGAGGCGATCGCCGCGCACGACGGGCATTCCCCCACTCGCACCATCGCCCGCGCGCAGGGCGTCCTGCGCGAACTTACACGCAAGTAACTCAATGCGCTCCAGTACGCGCGCGCGCATGCGGGTTTGCGCGGAGAATACGGTATCGAACACGTCGTCCTCGTCCTCGTCGTCGCCGTCGCCGACAAAGTTTGCAAAGTCTTGCGAATCGTCGTCAAAGAATCGTCCACCGTCGTGCTCGAGCGTCGCGGGCGAGCGCGGGGGCGCGAAATCGACGCATTCGAGGTCGTCAGTCATGCGCGGCGAGACGTCGCGCGTCGGCACGAAACCGGTCGCGCGGGAGTGTGCGGTCGAGGGCCGTCTCGGAGGCCGAATCGCTAAGATGCTAAGATTTGTACGCGTCGTGATTGCAACGTATTTACTAATGTAGGTTTTTTGTTTTGTGTGTTTGTGTGTGTTTGTGTGTGTGTGCTGATTAGTTCCATCCGCCGTTGTCCATATCGCGCGCGCCCGGGGGCGGCTTGGAGCAGTTGACTTTGAAGTAGGCCAACATACGATCGACGGACGGGAACTCCATCTTGCGGTAGTAGAAGCCCGCGGGGATGACCTTAATGTACTCATGGTGCACACGACCACTGGAACTCATGATGAATGAGATGCAGAACAACACCATGCCTTTGTTCACTCGCTGCTCGACTACGCCGAGGGCGTACGGGCGGATACCCGGGTTACGGGCAAGTTGCTGTTTCAGGGCGTTGTCGATGTCCTCCGCCGATCCGCGCATAAACTTGCGGTGCTTGAGCATATGCTTGACGTTGGACACGATCGGTTCGATATGTCTCGCCATGACTTCATCCAAGTCTTCGTACTCTTCGTCGTCGATGATGAGCGGAGTACCGAGACCGAGGTTGCCAACGCCAGAGTCCTTCTTTGTCTCTTTGATGTTGATGTTAGAGACAACGCCGTCGTACACTTTGATAGAGCAATCGATGTTTTTCGTGCCTCTTCCACTCGGACGAATGATGACTTCTCCGATGTCCGCGGTATCGAGTCGTTCCACGGCTTCTGCCCAACTGACGTTTTGGAAGTTGGGGTGATCGATGTTACGCGGCACGAAGGTTCTCTTTTGCATATCCTTCTTCGACTTTTGCTTCTTCAATCGCACCTCGCCCGGCTGCTTCACCATGCTGTAGTAACCGTTTGCTTCCGTGTAATGCAAGTGTTGCTCCCACTGGAGCGTCTCATCGGGATGCAGCGCCGAAGAACTGCACGCGAGTTGGACGGAAAAGTTGTGCACGTCGACGCCGTCCGGCTTGACGCGCGCCGTGATGACTTGACCGAGGGCGACTTTTTCTTCGATGCGGCTGAAGCTTTGATCGTCGCTCACGTCGTACTTTTCGACGTAACCAGTGAGGCCACTGTCGAGTGTACAGACGGCGCGTGCGCCTCGGCCATCACGAGGACCTTCAATCTTCTTCACCGTACACTGGATGAGTTTACCCGCGCTCAGCGTGTGCATGGTTTCTCCGGTAAGTAAAGCGAATTCGTCTTCAGCGGTGAGTGGCATCCACGGCGGACGAAGCTCCTCAAATGGATGACGGAACTCTATGCGAATCTCGCGAAGTGCCTCCAAAGATTTACCCGCGCCTTCCGACTCCAAATACTCGGCATACTCTTCGAGGATGAGCGGCGCCACCTTTTGCTCCCACGTTTTCGGATCGAACACTTTTTGTAAGATACGCTCGCGTTCGTACTTATCCATCGCCGCAAGGTTGGCCTCGAGTTCTAAAGCATTCACTACGATCGCCATCGCTTGCTCGTAACGCTCGGGGTGGCAACGCGTGGAATCAAGCATGTCCGCCTCGGTGATTCGCAAGAAGCTCGCCGCATTCCTAAAGACAACCTCGCCCAAAGCCGATTTCAAATCTTCTCGCGAGTCAACGACGCCACCTTCGGTCGTGCGCACAGCGTTTATCACTAAGGTTGCCTTGCGAGGGCCGAGACCACCGACGTAACGAAGCAACACGCTGCACCATGGATGCGCGCTAGCCATGTTGACGTCGACGCCGACTTGGTTCACAAGGTTTATGAGCTGGCGTTCGACGATGGCGACGCGATCGTCTTTGCTCAGCATCGAATCTTGTAGCGGACACATTCTCAACGAAGCGACTTCGCCACCGCTCACGAGAGAAGCCACCACGGCGGCGGGGTTCAGCAGACCTCTACCCAACGCCACGGCGCGCAACACAGACGGCTGCTGCTCGGGCATCTCTGCCTTGGTCTCTTTCGCGTTTTCGCACAATTTCGCGACAGAATCGTCCACAAAGTGAACTGCAATTTCGGAAACTTCTTCTGGAATCGCGCGCGGTTGCTCTTCGATGATGCGACCGACGACAAGGTTGAGCGACTCTTTCACGCGCTTTGAATCCATACCGCTCGCGCCGACGCAACACACGTGAGGACGGTGTTGAACGATAAAATCCATGAGCGCTTGAATCTCATCCTGTTGATTCATCATTTGCGCGCCACCGACGTTTCCGGGCCCGCCGATGTTGCGCCCGAGGGTATGACATTGAATGAAGTCGACAAGCTCGCCGGCTGAATCGAGCGCGACGAATGTGGCGGGCGAACCAGAGACGGCGGCGACGACGCGCACTTCGATATCTTGGTCTTCCGTGTTCGCCGGACGCCAAGGGGCGTGACAAATGTAGTTCCATGCGCCGTCAGCGCACGCGCGATTCAATGCGTCTCTTGCATCTAGCGCAAGCTGACTCGCCGTCTCGCGCGAAAACGTCGGAAGTAGGTGCTCTTCGAGCGCGGCCCGAATCACTCTGCGACGTACTTCGTTCCAAGTCGACGCGAGATCACTCATGCTTTCACTCAAGTACGCTTTTTCCATGCGCTCAATCACGCTGGTCAAGCGCTCGTCGCCGAAACCAATGTCGACCTTGAGTAGCCCTCGACGCTTGCCTTCGAGAATCTGCGCGAATTGTTCACCTTGGAGAATGTACACGGGCATCTTCAATAAGCGCTTCACCGGAGCAATTGGATGCCATGGATCGATGATATCCGTGCCTTCCGGCGTAGGCTGCGTCGTGATGGTGGCATGGCCCAAAAATTCATCCCGGAACCATTTGCGCACTTCGGACTCTGCGCCAATCTCCGTCGCCGCCACGTTCACAAATGCCTGCATCACTTCATCGCTGTTCGCATACCCTTGGTCAAAGTACACCTTGGCAACATCTTCTGGCGTCAAGTTTGCCATGAGTTCGCTGGGGATTCCACTCTTGATGGCTTCGCCGAAAGCTTCCGCGGTGGGGCCAGACATGTTGACGAGGTCGCGAATGCCTCGCTTGACGTGCGCGTCGTATTGCGTCTTGCGACCCGGTCGACGAAGCTTTGAGTTTGCATCGAGTGAAGCAAAGAACAAGTTTGCCTTGGCTTCGGCATCGTCGACGTGCTTATCCAAGTACGCGACTCGCACCAATTCCATGCACTGGCGTGCGACGTGGCCTTGCTCGCTTTCACCCTTCTCGTTCGCGGCTTGTTCAAGCGCCGACGCGATTCTCGCCTTGCGAAGTTCCAGTTTCACGTATCGTTCGTCCCATTCCATTATGGCATCGATGACATCGAAACGTCTCAGAAGTCGTTGGTAGTTGTCGCCATCCTCAGTCAGCGCCGGACGCGCTTCCTCGGCGCGCCCTCGCAACAGAGGCAGCAAATCATCGCGACGTTGCGAGACGATGTACGGAATCTCCAAGTGGTGGTCAAAAGTGAGAGTGAGTAATAACGCGATGCATCGCGTGATTTCCTCTTCTTCTTCTTGCGGCAAACTTTCCTGCAGGCCTGCAATTTGCTCTTGTCGATTGTTGCGGTCGTTTTCGTTTTCGTAATCTGCCACCCCGTACAGAAGGGAATAACCTTCCACGGTCGGCTTGTTTTGGATCGAGTCTCTACCCATGATGCGATCAAAAATCCACATCGCTTCCATGCCCCAATCCGTCGGCGCGTGCGCGGGACGTGGCTTGAGTTGCTGACGCTCTGGTAAATCTTGCGCACGAATCGCGTCATCCTTCGCAGTCAACATCTGTTCCTTGATGACGGACGGTTCGAAGGTTTGAGATGCCCAATCCTTGGTTTCGCCGCCCGATGACTTTCGCCCTGCACTCTTTCTCGCCGCCTTGGCCGCTTTTCGCGCATCACTCGCGGCCTTGGCCTGTTCGTAGTCTTCCTCGGTGGCTCCGTCCTTTTCGATAAACGTGTCCAATTCGTCGCCATCACTCTCTTCGTCCTCACTCAATTCTTCCACGACGTCTTCTTTGGCGCCACCAGTGCGATTACGAGCGGCGAACATACGATGCAACTCATCGGTGTCGCCAAAGATGTCCGCCGCGTCTTGGAGCTGATCGCGCCGCAAACCGGGAATGGCGGACGCGTATCTTCGCTGACGTTCCTCCTTCGTCTCTCGCGGGCCATCCGTCTCGTCGCGAACGATGAAGTCGTCCATCTCGTCTTCACTGTCATCGCTGTACCCTAAACCTTGCTGCGCCGGCGGCGGTTTCGCCGCCTCGTCCGCCGCCCCAGCCGCCGCGCCCTCGTCCGCCGCCGCTTCCCCCCCGGCGTCCGCCTCCTCGTCGTCGTCCCCGAACAACCCACGCTCGAGATCGGCGATCGTCCCGGGCGCTTTCGCTCCCGCGCTCGCGCCCTCGCGCTCGGCCGCCGTCTGAATCCGTTTCTTCTTCTCCTTGCGCTTGAACCCGGTGACTTGGTTATCCTCGAGCAATTCGTAATCTTCCTCATCCAACTCCATCGCCCGCTTTCTCCGTCGTCGTCGAATCCCCGCGTCTTCGCTATCGCTGTCTTCGTCCTCATCCATTCTCTCCGCCTTCCCCGAACCGTCGTTCGCGTCGACTCGCGGTTCGTCCGCGTCGTCGTCCGCCGCCGCCGCCGCCGCCTCCGTCGTCGTCGTCTCTTCCATCGCCGCCGTCGCCTCGCTCGCCGCGCCCGCCGCCTCGACGACGCCCGCCGCCTCCTCCGTCGTTTTCACCGCCGCATCGCTCGCGTCGTCGCTCATGTCGCGTTCGTCGGCGCGGAAATTAAAGAAGATGCGATCTCGATCGCGCGGCGATCGAATCCTCTCGCGACGTCGCCGCGGCGCGCGATTCGCGCGCTCGCGACGTGACGGTCGGCGGTGATCCACGCCTCGCGCGCGTCGCGCCCGTCGCGATTCGCGCGTCGATCGCGGCGACGCGTCGCGGTGCGCGGCGCGCGCCGTCGCCGCGAGACGCGCGGGCGAGGGCACGATCGCGTCATGGGCGATCGAGCGCTCGAATGCGTGTATTTATATATCCAAATCTTCGGACGTTCGGGTATGTGTATACAGTGAGTGCGTGTAATTTATGATCGAAGGCGCGACGCATCCATCCATCGCGCGCGCGCGCGGCGACGCATGGCGACGCGACGACGCGCGCGCGGCGCGCGCGCGGCGAAGCGCGCGCTCGCGTGCGCCCTCGCGCTCGTCGCGTGCGTCACCGTCGGCGCGCGGTGGCGGTCCGGCGGCGAGGCGTCGTCGACGGCGTCGACGTCGAGCGCGACGACGTCCGTCGACGACGACGCGCGCGAGGGCGCGGAAGCGGCGACGGCGGCGCGAGACGACGCGACGCGGTCGACGCTGAAGGCGACGCTGCTCGCGGGGGCGAAAGACGAGGGCGCGTGCACGAACGAGCGCGACGTGCGAGGACGGTTCGCGACGCGCGACTTCGCGCTCGTGAGAGAGGTCGAACGGAGGACGCGCGCGCGCGTCGGATTCGGATGGGCGCGCTGGGGAGACGCGGAGATGATTTCGAGCGCGAGGGATGGGTCGCCGATGCGACTGGCGGTGCGGGCGCTGATGAGCGTGAGCGCGACGCCGAACTGCGTGCTCAACGTCGGCGTGCACTGGCTGTGCAACGGGGCGCTGCGGAATAATTGGAACGCGGCGATGGACGGCGTGGACGTGAACGATACGATCGGGCACGCGTTTTTTTTCTTGCCGATGGGTGATCCGGGGGACGACGATAGGTCGATGTGGAAGGAGAACGGCGTCGACGGGTACATCAACGTCGTTCGCGAGGCAAAGCGCAAGGTGATTTTAGTGGGGCCACCTCACGTCGAGGGGTTGCCGTTCATAGGGCACAGCGCGTTCGTAGACGCGAGTGGGAAGGGGATGGGCGGCGACGGCGCCGCGGATTCCGTCGTACAGCGAATTTTCGAAATCGGCGACGCGTTCGACGAGCCGCCGGTGGTCATCATGGCGGCCGGTATGGCGGCGAAGACCGCGATTTTGAGCGCGCAAGATCGCATCAACTCCAAAGGCTGGGGGCTCATCGATGCTGGAACCACGTTGGATGGATACGCGGGAGTGAAGTCGCGCGATTACAACGACCCTCGCGTGTACTGCCGAAAATCTCGCGAACGAGCGCGCGACGAGCACGACGGCGTCGACTTTTGGTTCGCCAAGGGTGTGTGTGAGAAATTCGGCGCGTAGCGAAATGACGATAGATTTTAGATTTCACAACCAGCTTGCTGTAACTATAGCTAATCGAGACCACGCGCATCGAGGTAAAGCGCGATCATCGCCACGCGTGATTCGCGTCAGCCGCATCCGCCGCGCGCTTTGTCACGAAAGCGCCGACGGCGAGCGCGACCAAGGTGAAGACGAGCAATACATAATTGAAATCATCGTCCAAGGCGTCAAAGGATTGACTCGGGGTGATGCGGGCGTAAAACAAGTCCAAACCATGAGCGACGAAGTGAATAGACGATTCGAGCTCGGCGGGCGCCGTGACGAGACCGCGAAGGCCGTGTACGACGCGCTTGTGCGTGACCCAGCTTCCGGGAAAAATCGGAATGACTTCGGTGTACGGGATCAAACCTTCCTCTCGGTCCGCCGCCGATGGTTTGTTCGGGCGCCTTGGATCTAAGAATCGCTTATCGATTGCCGCGACTTGATCGTTCGCCGTGGCGAGCAGAACCGCCGGCTCGGTGACGCCCCGCTTCGAACGCGTCACGGAAATCATCTTGGCTTCCGGGCGAACGTAATAGCTCTGACCGATGATGCGCAAGGGTGGCGGATTCAACGAGCTGGACGTCTCGTTTCGCGTTTTTCCCAAAATTGAATCGTACAGTAAATCGCCCACCGCTAAGTTTCGCCGTTCTTCGCCGTCATCGAACATTTCGAGCACGCTCATCGCGTACCGCTTCGCTCGCGTGTTGAAGTAGTGATACGCCACCCAATTTTCGCATACCACGGCTTTTACCGGTCCGCGCGCGTCGCCGTGGCGAACGCGATACAATATCCTTCCCGTGACGCCGTCGATCAAGCTCACGTGCACCGCGGTTCCGTCGCTCGTGGCGACGAAGATGGTGTTTGGATTGAGATACTTGAAGAGTGTCGAGCGATCGCCCGGCACGCGCGTCCACGAGTTGACGCGTTCTTCAGACGTGGGCTTGTTTGCGAATCCAACGATGGAACCGGCTGCTGGTGGGAACGACACCGTCCACGTGTGCAGAGAATCCATCGTCGTCATTCCATCCGAGGCTTTGCGAAGTTTGTACCCTCGCACCTCGTTCGTCGTTTGATCGACTTTGTAGTACGACAGACTATTGAGCGCGTCCAACGCGCTCGGCTCGGCCCGCTTCGGGTACGTCGCCGCGCGGCCTTCGGCGTCGACGACGATCAGCGCGTCTTCGCCTGTGGGTAGAGTGAAGGGCAACACGTGCGCCGCAGCGACGTCCACGATCGTAGGCTTGCCGAATAGTTCTCCGGTGAATTGGTTGACGACGAAGAAGGTCGTCGTCGTCGACGATTTCGCCATCGCGAGTGCGTAGTCGACTTCGTCGTCGCCGCCGATTGGTTTCCACTTCATCAGACTCTTGAACGTCCCAACGGATTTTCCACCCAGATATTGACGCCAAAGCGTTCTTCCGTCACCGTTGTGCAACGCCACGATCGCACCTCGCTCGGAGAGCGTCAAGATGGATTTACGAAATCCGTTGGCGTCTCTCTTGGCGAGTAACTTGGTCGCGTCCGCGCTGCGGAGATGGATCAGTCGCGCCATCTCTCTCGGCCCGGCGAGCTGGAATCGCGCCTTAAGCGCGAGCAATTGCAGCTCGGAGCGATCGCGCAAGGAGAGTTTCGTGAACTGGACGCCGCCCGCGGCGTCCGTCTTCTCGGGAAGGTCGCCGAAGATGACTTGAACGGCTTGCGAGGTAGCCTCTTCTCGCGTCCAGCGCACGACGTTCCCTTCGTGGTACGTCATCGTCGCGTCCTCGTCGACCACGATCATCGCATCCGCGTCATCCGATGTGAAGAAGGCTCGCGCAGGCGGCCCCGCACGCGCGCGCGCGTCGCCGCGGCGAGAAGTTCCGACTCGTCGCGTCGCGCCGTCCGCGACTGAGATGGCGAACCGCTCGTACTCTCTCACACCCTCACCGACGACGTTCGAGCGCACGACGCCGATGGTGATGGCGTCGAGACCAAATTTCCCTTTCCCCGAGCGCACGTGCACGGACGTGAACGCGGGACACGCGTCGTCGTATCTCGCGACGACGCGCATCGCGCCGGTGTCCGCCTCGACGCGAATCAACGCGCACGCGTCGCCCGCGCGCGCGACGGCGAAACCGTGCGTCTGCGCCGCCTCTTGCGCGCGCACGTCGTGTCCCCGCAGCGGTTCCAACGCGTCGACGTCGCCGTAAACGTGCGCTGGAAAGCTCGAGATCGTCGCCGCGCCGAAGAGAGCGCTTCCGCGAGCCAACGCGTCGACGTCGACGACGACCAATTTTCCATTCGCCATCCTCGCCAGCGCGCTCGACTTTTTCTCACCGCTGACGATCGTGAACGCGCCCTCGACGCCGGCGTGCTTCGAACCCGCGCACTTGGCGCCGATGATCGAGCCGTCCGCGACGCGAATCGCCGCCGCGCACGGCGCGCCGCCGTCTCTCGCGCGCCCCACCGCGTACGCCGTCTCTCGCGTCGTCTCCACGAACACCCGCGCCCACGCCACGTCCACCACCGCCTCTCGCACCTTCGCTCGCCACAAAACCTCCCCCGAGCGCGTCTCTCGCATCACCACTTCCCCCCTCGCCAGCGTCGTCGTCGTCCCGTCGCCCGCCGCCGCGTCCGGCGCGTCCCTCGCGTGCGTCTCCGCCTCCCGCATCGCCCGCTCGCTCTCGTGCGCGTCCCCGTAGCTGACATCTTCCCACAGCAGCGCTCCCGGGGCGTCGCGCAGATCGTATCCACGGATCGTCTTCCCTCGCGCGTCCGCCCGTCCCGACGTCGTCGTCGCCACGCCGCGCGCCGCGTCCGCCGCGAACGTCTCGATCGCGTCCTCGCTCGCGACGCGCCACTCGATCGCGCCCGTCGCCGCGTCGACGCTCGCGATCGCGTCGCTCGACGCGCACAGCCGCGCGACGCACGCGCGCGCGTCGCCGACGCGCTCGAGCGCGAAATCTTTCGTCCCGACCGCGTCCTCGCGCGTCGCGCGCGCGCGCTCGACCGCGCACGCCGCGACGACGGCGACGCGCATCGCGAGCGCGCGCGCGCGCCTCGCGCGCCTCGATCGCGCGCGCGCGCGCATCGCGTCGCCGTGTGACGAATGCGGCGTCGAATCGTCACACGACGACGCGGACGACGACGCGACGACGCGACGACGCGCGATGACGACGACGACGCGAGGGACGACGACGACGATCGGCGCGCTCGTGGACGCGCGCGCGCGCGCGATGTACGACGCGACGTACGAAGGAATTCGCGCCGCCGCCGCGGACGTCCCGGGGCGACATCGCGTCGTGACGACGCGCGACGACGACGCGGAAGACGACGACGACGAAAGAATCGAGTCGAGTTTGGTGCTCGTGCGCGTGCCGGGAGACGTCAGGCTGGCGGACGTGGACGGGCTGGTGATGACGACGACGACGACGCGCGGGGGACGGCGGGACGACGCGGCGACGACGAGCGAATACAGACTCGGAGATTTCGGGAGAACGATCGCGCGCGCGTACGACGTCGCGGACGCGAGCGATGGCGATGAAAATAATGCGTCGCTGTTGACGGCGTCGAGCGTCGGGATCGCGCGGGAACTGACGCTGACGCGAAGATTAGAGGCGAGCGACGACGGTTTCGAGGCGCGCGGCGACGACGACGAGAACGACGCGTCGCCGAGCGCGGCGAAAGAAAAGAAGGCGAAGAAGGAGAAGAAGGAGAAGAAGGAGAAGAAGGAGAAGAAGAGGGAATCTTCGACGGAGAAATCCGCGGCGCGATGAGCGACGACCGGCGACGAACGACGCGTTTGTAGCGAAGACGCCGACTAGACAGACTCGACGCCGCATCATGACGCGCGTCGCCTTCGCCCGCGCGGCGCCGTTCGCGCCGAGCGCGCGCGCGACGACGCGCGCGACGACGACGCCCGCGCATTCGCGCGTCGCCGCGGTCGCGCTCTCGCTCGCGCTCGCGACGTCGCCGCTCGACGCCGACGCGGTCGCCTCGGTGGGTCAGAAACCACCGCCGACGATCTCCACGCCCGAGGGATGCACGCTGCGCGCGCTCGACGCGTTCTCGGACGTGCGCGCGAAGTTTTCTCTCGAGGTGTCCACGGGCGCGCTGCCGGAGGCGGTGCTCACGCTTACGGGGTGCGATTACTCGGGGAAGCAGCTGCGAGGGAAAATTCTTTCCGGCGTCGTCATGGACGGGACGAATTTTGAAAACGCCGACGCCTCTGAGACGGAGATGAGCCGGACGTCGGCGCGAAATTCGAATCTGCGCGGGGTGAACTTTGCGAGCGCGAACGCGTACGAGGCGCGATTCGATGGGTCGGATTTGAGAGGGGCGAATTTCGCGAACGCGCTGCTGTCGAACGCGAGCTTCGGCAAGGGCGAGGATGGACGATGGGCGAACGTGGAGGGCGCGGAGTTCGAGGGCGCGCTGTTGTCATTGAGCGACGCGCGAAAGCTGTGTCAGAACCCGACGCTGGACATCGAGGGGCAGATCGCGGTGGGCGGATGTTGATCGCGGAGCCGCCGACGCCGACGCGTCGCATTGTGGATGACGGCTCGTCGGATTAAATTCATTTTTTCTCTTTAGATTGCGGCTACTATAGGTTGAGTTGTAGATTATCTAAACGCTCTCACATAACGCTCTTGACGACAAAGTTGAGATCCGGTCGTTCGGCGACGGCGGTCTTCGCCGCCTCGACCGAGGCGACGCTGACGCTCGTCGCGTCGGCGCCACGCACGGTTTCGAGCGCGTCGGCGAAGTCCTTGAAGTCCTTTTGCGTCGTGCCCAAAATTTGATCACGACGCTCTTGACGCTCTTCGTCCGTCACCTTGAGCAAGTGTCGCATCAACGCGGTGTAACCCTTTGAGTCGGGAAGTTGGTACGAGTCGACGTCGCCGATGGTACCGATGATGCTCTTCGTGAGCTCCTCCTTGCCGATTTCGAGGTTGCGCAAAAAGTCAACGGTGGCGTCGTAGTTGTCGAGCGTCTTCAACAAGTTCGGATCGCGGTAGGAGAGGTAGGTGAACATACCGCTGTGCGAGTCGAAATCGCTGAAGCCGCCGTAAGCACCGCCGGAAACGCGCACGCGATCCCACAACCACGTCGTGCCGAGCAATTTGTTGATGACGTAAGAGCTTCCGTGAAGTTCGTACCCCGCCTTGTACAAGTTGGCCGCCTTGCCGACGTAGTTGACTTGCGTCGGGACGGTGAGGATTTCGTTTTGCTTGGCGTTGATCCCGGTCCATTGTTCAGACTTGCCAGCGCCCGTGGCGGGTAAAGAGTTCAAGAACGCCTCGACCGAAGGCATGGAGAGATCCAGCGTCTTTGCATCCGCCGTCAAGTTGGTGACGCTTCCAGCGCGGTTGTTCAGGCACGCCGAAATCGTGTAAAGATCCGCCAACACGCCGTCCCAGTCGTTGTCGACGCGCTTCACGAGCTCACGAAGGTAATCGAGCTGCGCCAACCCCCCCATCTGTTCGCTCACCCAGCCCGCGACCGAGTCTTGGGCATCAAGGCGACCGGCGGCGACGCTGTGGCCCGAGCCTTGCACGCGAGATTCCATCCCCGCGCGCGTCTCAAGCACGAGTTGCTTGAAGATGTTCTTGTCGTCAAACTTCGCCTCGAGCATGAGTTCGGACATGAGTTCGTGCATCACGCCAACTTTGTCGCTCGTGGCTTTACCGCGAACGACCATGAAGGCTGCCATCTCATCCGAGTCGCGCATGCCAGACGTAAACGGAGACACGGAAATGCCGCCCGTTTGCGCGCTGATGAGCTGATCGAATTCGATGAAAGATTTCGTCTTGGTGCCCATGCGACCGAGAGCGCGAGTCCACAGCGGGATGAGCGGCAACAAGTGTGCCGGCACCGTCTTCAGGTCGAGCAAGTGCTCGGCATACAAGATATCGTTCGTGAACAAGTCGTGCGTTAACACCTTGGTGGCGCCGACGGCGGAGATATCCGTGGGGATGCCCTTGGCCTCCTTCGGGATGTCGCTGATGGCGAGCGTGGGCACGCAAGCGAGCGCTTCGGGAGAATCGGACGTCTCTTGGAGCTCCTTGAGCTCTTTCGTCGCTTGCACCATCTTTTCGAGCTCTTCCGGGGTCATGCTCGCGCGCTTAGCGTCCAGCTTACTCTGTTCCTCCGCCGCCTCTTTTTCGGCGAGCGTGGAATCCGGGTTGAGTTCGACGGTGACTTGGTGCGTGTTTTCGATGAGCAATCGACGCATCAGAGGACGGAAGATATCGCCGGCGGCGATTCTAGCCTTAAGCTTCGCGAGCGGTTCTTCGAATCGCAGCGGCTCGAAAGGATCGCCCTCGTACAGCCACGTGCTCATCGAGCGGAACATGAGCGACAAACCTCGCGGGAACCGACCAGTGTTGTTTTCGCGCAAGCTGAATTCGATCGAGTTAATCGCCGCTTCGATCGCTTCGTTCGAGAAACCTTCCTCCGCGATCGCGGCGATGGTGTCGTGAATCAGCTTTTCAACCTTTGGGATGTCTTCTTGCGCCACGCCTCGCAAGCCGAGCGCGTACGTCGGCTGGCGGAGCTCGTCCTCCAATCCGTAGCCGACGATGGCTTCACCGAGACCAGACTCTTCGAGCGCCAAGCGAAGCGGTGCAGATTGCGAACCCATCAATAAATGGTCCAAGAAACCAACGGCGAGGCCAGTTTCGGGATCGAACGGCTCTTCGCTGAGCAACCAGTTGACTTGGACGAAGGACTTTTGAGCGTCCTCGCCCTCGCCCGTGGAGTACGTCTTGACGACGCGTCGAGGCTCGGTGAAAAACTTTTGAGTAGCGATCGTGCTGTCCACTTCGCGACGATCGAACTCGTCAAGGAAAGACGCCAAAATTTTCAAGCGCTCCTCCACGTCGTCGTCGCCGTAAAACCACATGCGCGAGTTGCTCGGGTGATAAAACTTGGCGTGGAATTCCTTAAACTCGGCAAACGTCAACTCGGGAATCACCGTGGGGTCGCCGCCCGAGTCCACGCCGTACGTGTTGTCTGGAAAAAGCGCTTGCTGGCACTCGCGCGCGAGCACGGAATCCGGCGATGAATACACCCCCTTCATCTCGTTGAAAACCACCCCCTTGAATGTCATCGGCCCGCTCGCGTCGTCGAGCTCGTAGTGCCACCCCTCTTGCTCAAACGTCTTTTCGTTCGAGATGCACCGCGGATGAAACACCGCGTCCAGGTACACGTCCGTCAAGTTTCTGAAATCTTGCAAGTTACACGACGCCACCGGATACGCCGTCTTATCGGGCCACGTCATCGCGTTCAAAAACGTGTTCAACGACCCCTTGATCAACTCCACGAACGGTTCCTTGATCGGATACTTTCTCGACCCGCACAGCACCGAGTGTTCCAAAATGTGCGGTATCCCCGTCGAGTTACTCGGCGGCGTTCGAAACGTCACCCCGAACGTTTTATTCTCATCCTCATTGCTCAACGACATCACCTCCGCGCCGGTTTTTTCGTGCTTAAACAAGAACGCCTTCGCGTCGTACTCCGCGATGTAATCCTCCCTGACGAGCCTAAACCCGTGCGTCGTCGTCGGCGCGCGCATGGATTTATAATCCACCCTCGTCTCGTTCGCTTCGTTCGCGATCGCCCGCGTCGTCGTCGTCGTCGTCGTCGTCGTCGTCGTCGCCGCGAATCCTCGTCGCGCGCCGCACTTCGCGTTCGCGCTTCGCCGCGCCCGCGTCGCCGTCCATCGCGCCGTCGCCGTCGTCGCCGTCGTCGTCGTCGTCGTCATCGCGCGCGCATCCATCGCGCGCGCGCGCGCGTCGACGCGCGTCGCGCGTCCGAGCGTGCGCAGCGCGTCGCGCGCGCGCGAGCTCCGCGGCGTCGTGTCGGCGTCGAGCGCGACGGGCGCGACCGCGCGTGAAAGTGACCGCGCGCGTCGATCGCTTTGCGACGCGCGTCGACGCGATCGACGCGCGCGACGTCGATCGTCGCGTCGACCCTCGGGCGAGGTTCGTCTCGGCGAATCGAACCTCGGCTCGAGGGTCGCGCGATCGCGCATCCGATCGCGCATCCCATCGCGCGTCGATCGCCGTCGCGCCGCGCGCGCGACGAGGCGGCGCGCGAGACCGCGGCGCGGCGCGACGCGCGAGCGAGCGAATCGCGCGCGCGCGAACGATGGCGATGGCGATGGCGACGACCGGCGCGACGCGCGCGACGCGCGCGACGGCGCTCGGCGGACGGCGCGCGATGGGCGGGACGACGTCGACGCGCAACCCTGGCTGGGGCGCGGCGACGGGGCGCGCGACGACGACGCGACGGGGACGCGCGGCGGTGCGAATGATGCTGCCGCCGGGAGGAGGGATGCCGGGGATGCCGCCGAACATGGACCCGAAGAAGATGGCGGAGATGCAAAAGGCGTACGCGGAGGCGATGAAGGATCCCGAGACGGCGAAAAAGGTGAAGGCGCAGATGGCGCAGATGCAAGGCATGATGTCGAATCCGATGGTGCAGCAGCAGATGCAGGCGATGAATAACATGGTGGCGAATCCCGACATGCAAAAGAGGATCGCAAGTTTGAAGGATGATCCCGCGTTCGCGGATTTCTTTGACGATTTGAGGAAAAACGGACCGGGGGCGATGATGAAGTGGGCGAACGATCAGGATTTCTTGCAGCGATTGAACGACGCGTTGGGTGGGGAGGATGCGATTCGCGCCGCGGCGGGAGGGATCGCACCGCCGGAAGCGGCCGCGGCGCCGGCGGCGGTGCAAGCGCCCGAGGTTGAGACGTTGCACGACGCCGCGCGATACGGCGACGTCGAGGCGGTGGAAGACTTCATCGCCGTCGGCAAGGATATCAACGCGCGCGATTCGTCCTCGCGAACGCCCATTCACTACGCCATCGCGTTCGGCAAAGGAGACGCCGGGGAAGAAATCTTCAATCTCTTGCTCGAAGCCGGCGCGGATTTGACGGCGACGGATGAGAAGAAGAACACGCCTCTGCACTACGCGTGCGGGTACGGCAAGCCGTTCGCGGTCAAGGCGCTCTTGGAAAAGGGTTGCGATAAGACGGCGACGAATGGAACGGGCAAGAAGCCGATCGAACTCGTCAAGCTCGAGCCGAAGAACCCCATCAACAACGATGCGGAGTTGGTCGGCGCGCTCGAGGTTTAACTGCGTCTCACGTCGTCCCGGCGCTCCATCATTGAACGGATTTTTTAATAAGACTACAAGTATACGAAACTGTTGCACATTAAATGTTATCATTTATTAGTTTTTCGCGCGCATCATCGACTCGTCGTCCTCATACGTCGCGATCGCGGCGTCCGCGCGAACCGTCTAGGCGGGATACCCAGCCGCTTGCGGGACGACGACGCTCGACCCTTCAGAGTAGGCATCGATGATGAATCTCTTGAACATCGTCTCCGCGCCGACGGTTAAGATGCGAGTCAGCGCAGTCCAAGCAGATTTTTGAGTCGTGAGTACGTACACGTTGCCCCTCGGCGTATCCGCGCTGGCTGGTTCGCCGCTCGGGTCCGCGTTCGAGTTCGCTTGCCCGGCGGCGGCGTCAGACGCGTGATCGTTTTGTTCACCCACAATTTGCATATGGTACGAGTACATGCCCATGATGAGCGACGTGACCAAACGAGCGGCGATGAGACACGGCAAGACGCGCATCTCGAGCGGCGTGAGCGGATAGACGGATTGAATCCCCGCCAGCATCATCGACATGTCGTGCACGGGGTCTTCCTTGTCCAGAGCGCAGTACGCGCACGCGACGGCAATTTCGTTTACGCGCCACGACACGACGACGTCTCCAAAATCAATCGCAGCAAACTTTACATTCGCTGGAAACTTGACGGGATCTGGCCCTGATTCCAACGCGATGATGTTTTGCTCGTTCAAGTCGTTGTGCAAGATGCCGATGCGAAGTTTGTCCGCCACCGGAAGCACCAAGTGTTTGAAGGCGTTGAAGACGGTGTTGCACATCATGATGCGCGTTTCGTCTTCGAAGAGTTCGCGCATGATGAGATCCGTCATGAAGTGCTGCACGTCCATGAAGAAGCGAAGATCCCACAAGCGCGAGCGACTTGTGAGCACCTTCCAGCACATCGCGTGCTGCTCTACGTAAGGCAGCGTAACGGCGTCTCCCAGTTCGCGCCGATCCTGCTGGATTTCCATCTCTTTCGGCGTAGGCCACTTGGACAACGCGTGGCACACTTGTCCGACGAATAAGCCGCTCCTTCGCACAAAGTCGATCGAGTGCGGCATCGGCACCTGCACGATGGTTTTGCCTCGCACATACGTCAACACGCGCATGGTGTGCGCGACTTGGTTGCTGGCGAGAAACGTCACGCGCGTGCAAAACTCGCGCTTCGCGCCGGGCGTGCCCTCGGAGACGAGATTCACCGTCCCGTTCGGACCAGGCGTGGTGTACATCGCGAGTTTCGACTTGACGACGTTTGGAACCTCGACGCCGTGCGCGGCGAGGTACCCTATGATACGCTCTTGCGCCGCGAGTACGCCGCGACTGACTCCAGAGGAGTCCATACCGTTGTGTACCTTGGCGACGTACTCGTGCTTGACCTTCTCGCCCGTCTTGGGATCGTCCGTGTACGCGCAAAAGTACCAATTCTTATCGTCGTACGACGGAAGCTCCTTCAAAGATTCGCGGTCGATGTCGCCTAAATCGTAATGCGCCCGCAGTAATCCATACACCTCGTGCGTTTGCACCTTCGGTCGTCTCAATTTCCTCTCCGACTCGTCCAACACGCTCGAAGGCACATTCTTCATCGCGTGCGGTCCCAACCCTTTCGGCGCGGCGACGATTTTCCGCGCCTTTGCCGGCGGCTGATCTCCGCCCCTCCCGTCACCGCTCGACGTCGTCGCCTCGAGCATGACGTGTCCATTCATCCCCATCCCTCGAACGTGCTTCGTGCCCGTCGTGTTCGCCTTCAACACGTCCAACTCCTCCCCCGTGAGCGCGTCTCCCTCCCTCGCGTCTCCGTCGCCGCCGCGTCCCTCCTCCTCCCCATCGCGTCCCGCCGTCTCCTCGCCCTCGACGCCCGCCCGTCCCTCTTCGTCATTCCCCTCGCGCGTTCGCGCCGCCGTTTCCGTCTCGCGCGCGCCCGTCTCGCGTCCGCTCGTCGTCGCCGTCGTCGTCGCCGCGTCCTCGTCCCGCGAACCACCCTCGCTCGACTCTCGCCGTCGCGCGCGCGCCTCCCGCGTCCCGCGTTCCGCGCGCGCGCGCCCCGTCGCTCGCACCATCGCCGCGGTCGACCTTTCGTCGCCCTTTCGTCGCGTTTCCGTCGCGATTCGATTCGATTCGATTCGATTCGATTCGATTCGATCCTTCCTTTCCTTTCCTTTCCTTCGTTCGCGCCGATTCGTTCGATTCCCGTCGCGTCCGTCGCGTTCGCGTCCGTCGCGCGCGCGAACGACTCGACCGTCTCGATCGATCGCGCGCGCCGTCGTGTGTCGCGCGCGCGCGCGATGGATGCCATCCACGCCGTCGCGCGGTAAAAATAAACACACACACAGAGGATCCAAATATTACCGATCGCGGACCCGAACGCGTTTATCCATTGCGTACTGTTTGCGCGCGTACGATGGCGCGTGGTTCGGACATTCGGCATGACCCCCCCATCGATGGGTCGCGACCCGTCGATCGCTATCCACTCGATCCGGCGCGCGCGTCGACGCCGCGCGCCGGACCGCGACGCGACGCGACGCGCGCGCGCGAGCGGCGATGGCGACGGCGACGGCGTCGCGATGGACGGCGCCGGCGGCGACGGCGCGATGGACGACGACGACGCGACGAGGGACGCGAACGACGACGACGACGACGACGACGGGACGGCGACGACGGGACGCGGAACGCGCGCGCGCGCGCGGAGACGACGCGGAGACGACGCGGTGGGAGACGCGGGACGCGCGAAGGTCCGCGGGCGCGACGCGGGCGCGGGCGAGCGAGGGCGAGGGCGAACGCGCGAGGGCGAGCGCGACGCGAGGCGAGCGAGGGCGAAAGACGCGAAGGGACGCGCGCGCGCGGGCGAGGAAGGCGTGTGGTGGGTTCGCGGATGATTCGCACGAGACGCAGTACGAGGGGGTGAGGACGAAGCGGGCGAGGAAGGCGACGAGGGCGAAGGGCGAGGACGAGACGAAGAAGAAGAAGAAGAAGAAGAATCGCGGCGGGTCGAGTTCGAGCAGCAGCAGCAGCAGCAGCAGCAGCAGCAGCAGCAGCAGCAGTTCGTCGTCGTCGTCGTCGTCGTCGAGTGAGAGCGATTCGGCGTGCGGTCGAAGGTCGTCGCGAAAGGCGGCGGATAACGCGAACAAGCTACGAGACGCGTTGGCGGACGTCGTCAGGAAGGCGAGCAAGGCGAAGCGTAAGGCGAAATCTTCAAAGTCCACGATGAAGATGAAGAAATCGGGCAAGGCGGGTAAGGAGAAAAAGAACGGACCTTCGGGCAAGAGGAGGCATAAGTTTTCGCTCGAGGCGAAACTAGGAAAGTTGGTGTCGCAAAAGTGTTACGAGGAGACGCTCAGGGCGGACGCCTTGGGCGCCGGTTTGGCGGTGCTCGACGTGACCGCGTCCTCGACGACGGCGACGAAAGAGACGCGGCAACCGACGGCGCTGGCCACGCTCGGCGCGTGTCCGCTCGTATCGCCCGTGGTTTTAGGCGACGCCACGCGAGAGGTGCCCATCGCCGTCGTGGAGATTTGCACGGGCAAGGATTGCCGCAAAAGCGGTTCAGAAGCGATCGTCGACGCGTTGAATGCGGAATTACCTCGTGGGTGGAAATGTCGAGGCAGTGGGAAGTGCATTTCAAGCTGTAAACGCGGGATCAACGCTCGCTTGACGACGGCCATCGGAAGAGAAAAATTTTCATACTTGGACGAGAAGAGCGCTCGCGCGCTCTTCGTGCCCATGGCGCTGGCGACGAACGAGCTCAACGCAAGTTTCGACGAGCTAGACGACCCTGCGTCAAAGTTCATGACGCCGCGCGAGCGTAGAAAATCACCAATCGTCGCCGCGGCGGAGGCCATTTCCAACGCCGTCGAGGCCTCGCATTCCGACGTGCCGCCGGGGTTTTTGCCGCGAGTACAAACTTAGCCTTGTAACACGACGACGTAGACACTATTGCACGTTGACGTCAATGTATAAATTTTCGTTTTACATATTGAATTGGGCAAGGGAGGTGCGCGTTGCGCGTGCGAGACAAATTGCTTGAGGTTGTTGATGCGTCGTTACGCCTCAACTCAGTTCTTCCATGACGACGTTGACGCGGTCGTCGTCACCGAACGTATACTTCCAGCGCCATGATGGCATCGAAATATCGCTCCATGTTTCTTGAACGCCACCCGCGCCGTCCGGTCGCAACATCAGTCGCTTACCGGTCGGAACGACGTAACGCACGTCGCCTTCGAGAGCGACGTCTTTGGCGTCGAATTCACCGTTGCCTTCGACGACGATGGAGCAACGCTCGCGGCGCGTGATGAAGTTACTCCAGTATACGTTTGACGCTTCGCTCCAATCGATTCCAGCGTTTGAGACGACGACGTTGTTCAATCGACAACGGCCGCACGCGGATTCGTCAAAGCACACGCTCTCGGCTGAAGTAGTACCAAACGGCGAGGACGACTCGACGAAGAGTGATCCTTGCACAGAAACGTCACGCCATTCAATCTCCGCGATCTCTAAGCGCACTTCTGAGCCTTTCTTGATTTCGCCGCCTTGAATTTTTTGCTCTACGACATCCCAAAGCGGGCCGATGCTAGGAAGGGCGCTGTAGATGAACTCTGGTCCGTCGCTCAAGTACTCCTCCAAGGGTTGATCGTCCGGCGGTGGGTGGGCGACGTTACAACGCTTCAGCAGATCGCTCGCGTTGCGAAGTAAATCCAAAAATGAGCCATCGGGGGTTTGCGCGAGATTCATCGATTCCGGTGCTCGCTTCTTCTTCGCGCTACTGGTGATGCGTCGGCGAAGCGTGTACAGGACAAACGTTGGCAAATTATCGAAATCTTCCGGACCAAGTCGATGGCTCGATCGGCGCATGAGCGCGTCCGCGATGTTTTGCATCGAGCACTCGAGGCGACCACCTTTAGTGCCGTTCGCCAGCACCGGTTTCGTGAGGTTTATCAACATGCCCGGAAACGCCGCGCGAGACGAACCGACGAGCGCGTCCCGTATGTGCTTCAATCCAACGTACAAAACATTCGTGTTTGCGGGATACGCACTTTCCGTACCGCCGTCACCGTTCGCTTTATCACTCACGCCCAGTCGATCGAGATCGGTGTACTCGATGTTGGACACGCCGTACACAAATTCATCCGTCAGAGCATTCTTCTTTTCGATGAGCACGTTGACGCCTTCTGAGGCGCCCACGTGTCTCTCGCAACTCGCGAATCCGAGCGCTTTGTCGCCCTTAATGCCGACGCCTGAAAGGGATAGAAGTGTGGTATCCGTTCCCGCCATCGGATTCGTTATTTGGCGCACGATCCCGCCTGTTCGGTCGCGAGACTCCAACCAATCAAACACGCCGTCGTCGTGCATGAGCTTCCAAATGGCGCCGTGTCCCCCGGGCTTGAGCGCCATTTGCGAGAAGCCTTCTCTCACCCAACGGCCGCCATCCATACTGATCACTGGAACGAGTGGTTGCTCGAACAGTCGATAGTTTTCCTCACCTCTACCGAACCAGTTGTTCTCTTTGAGCAAAGCCGTGATCCGTCTGTGGTTACCCTTTGCGGCGCTCGTCATGACCGCCACCGGTGTTTTGTGGTGCTCACCAGTCAATTTGTAGTACAACCACTCTCGAGCGGTCAAATCGCGGACGAGGCCTTCGATGAGAGGCCGCCCGTTGTACGGCAAGAGCGCTGCGGGCAAGCTCTCGCCGGTTTCGGCGTCCACCAACCCGAGCCTGTCGCCGGCGCCGCCGAGCGGATAAATCTCCGCCATGTTCGGAAGCTCTTCCAATCCCCAACGCGCAGCCGTGGCTGCGAACGCACCATCGCTCGCTCTCAGATCAACGCCCGGGGGGACGTGAAAATCCACGTCTCCCGGAACGCCGTAGCAATCCACGCCGTAGCAATCCGCCCCGCTGTGCAACATCGCCGGCTCCCCCGTGGCGTATTCCAAGCAAAGCTCCAGCGCCGTGCACTGATACCCCACGACACCGCCGAGCATGTCATAAAACGTTTCTACTTTGCCCAACACCGCGACCAAACGCGCGATTCGACCCTCGAGCGCGTCTTCTCCCGCGTCGTCGTCGTCTTGAAAGTCAAACAGGTGCGCCTGCCCGCACGCCACGCACGCGCGCACCAAATACCGCTCTCTTGGCGACATCGTCTCGCTCATCGCCACCACCGCGCCTCCGCGTTCGACCCACGCGCGAACGATCTCTAGTTCGTCCATCAACGCCACTCTTTTCTCGTACGTCTCCGTCTCGCTCGACGCGCCCTCCCCCGCAATCTCCAACAACCCATCTCGAACCTCACGCACGCGCTCCAGCGCCCGTCGCACGCTCGCCGCGCTTCGCGCGTCATCGTTCGAGTCCCCAGATTCCGCTCGCACGCCGTGATCGGCCTGAATCGCGCGCGAGATCCCTCCCTCGCGCGCGCGCCGCCGCGCCGAGACCTCGCGCGTCGTCCCGACCCCTCCCGCGCGCGTCGTTCGCGCGCGTCCGCCTCGCCGCGTCCCCGATCGCGCGCGCGCCGTCGCCATCACCGCGCGCGCGCCGCGCGCGACCGCCATGGCGTCGACCGTCGCGCGCGCGCGCGACGACCCGCCGACGCGCGCGAGCGGTCGGTCGCGTTCCGCGGCGTCGCGCGCGCGCGCCGGCGCGTTCCGCCGCGTCGCGCGCGCGACGGGACGCGCGCGTCGATCGCGCGCGCGCGCGCGCCGCGAGACGTCGTCCGGCGCCGCGAGCGCGCGCCGCGCGTCGGAAACTGACGACGCGACCTCGGTATCTTTGCAGAATGATCCTCACACGACGCCTCGACGCGCGGCGCGGCGCCGAGCGCGCGCGAATCGCGGTCGACGTCGACGCGACGCGCGCGCGGCGCGACGACGAGGGGCGCGGCGCGCGAGCGCGCGCGAACGACGACGAGGCGAGGGAATTGATTCGCGAAATCGCGCGCATGTCGAGAACGTTGACGTTCGACGACGCCGTGGCGTCGACGTCGACGTCGTCGAGCGATGACGAGGACGTGTGCGCGCCGGTCGTCATCGGTGGCGCGCGCGGACGTCGTACGTGGCGCGCGAGGCGCGTGCGCGCGCCGGAGGCGTCGGACGAGGACGAAGACGACGACGAAGACGCGCGAGCGAAGGCGCGAGCGAAAGCCGACGGCGATGGATCGAGCGATGATGGCTCCGTGGACACGGTCGCGAACGCGATTGGATCGAGGACGATCATCGCCGTCGGACGAGCGAGACAGGATGCGTTTGAACGAGCGAGGGCGAGACGGGAACGCGCGCGCGCGACGGCGGCGAAACGAATCGCGTCGTTGGAGTTGGAGCTCGCGGTGGCGCGAGAGATGGAAACCCGAGAGTTGGCGATGAATTTAGAAACCGTAAAATCGATCGGGGCGCGGTTGCGGGCGGCGGATGAGGCGCTGTTCGACGACGCGCGACGGGCGCGGGAGGCGCGCGCGGCGGCGGCGCAACTGGCGAGAGAGGAGACGGACGCGCTCGTCATGCGCGCGGTCGCGGCGGATGCGGAGGCGAAGGAAGCGGCGGAGCGCGCGAGAGTTGAGGAGGAAAAGCGGCGGCAAGAGGCGGAGGAGGCGGCGAGGAAAAAGGCGGAGGAGGACGCCGAGGCGGCGAAGAAGCGAGCGGAGGAAGAGGCGAAGGAAAAGGCGCGCGAAGAGGAAGCGAAGCGCAAGCAGGCGGCGAGCGATTACGTCAGTGGTAAAGCCACGGGAGAAATCCCGCGCGTCGCCGCGGCGGCGGAGGCGTTGGAGCAGGAAACGAACTTGGCCAAGACGCTCGTCGAGGCGCGCGCGATGGTGGCCGAGTATCAGTCGCATCCGACGGCGAAATTGGAACGCCGGAAACTCACGAACACCATCGTGGTGCACGTGCAACAAATCGCGGCGACGAAGGAGCAAATCAATAAGAAGAGTCGAGACATCATGATGCTGCTGGTGCAATTGCAGGAGCCTCAAAAGACGTTCGCGTTGATGAGCATCGCGAAAAAGATGCTCTCGCAGTGCGACGTGCAGGTGGCCAAACTCAATCGCTACGCGTTTGCGCTCGCCGAAGTCGCGGTGAGTATCGCGATCGACGTACCGAGGTTTGGTGTCTTGCTCGTCGCCCTCATACACGAGGTTTGCGTCAACGCGGTGCCGAAGTATTACCCGTTTGTTCCGGGACGTTACGCCACCGACGACGAATACTACAGTCTCATGGGGTACGTCAAAAACGATGAAGGCACGGCGTTCGAAACCACGGATTCCTACGTCGATCGCATGACGGGTAGCATGCTCTTTTACGCCGCGTTTTTACAAGTCGACGCGCCGAATCACCCACACGGCGTCGACGCCGCGTGGCGATGGCTCGCGCGTCTGTTGAACAGATGTCCGCCCAATCGCCACACCGCGGTGGCTCTGGACTCATTCCTCAAAATCGCCGGCTTTCGCATGTACGCGGCGTATCGCGGTCAGTTCGTCAAAGTCCTCGAACTCATCCATCGAGAGTTTCTTCCAAAGTTGGACGCCAAGAACGATCCCGACATTCGGCCCGTGTCGTCGCGCATCGCGACGTACCTACAGGAGAGTCTGTACACGAAATCTCCCGAAGGCCGCGACATGCCCAACACCGACACCAGCTCGCACACGTTTTGAGCGCGCGCGACGTTAGAATCATTTGTTTGTAGGGACGCGCCCAGCGCTCGATAGTCGTTCCTCCTTCGTTCCTCCGTCCCGCAGCCGCCGCCCGCCGTCGCCGTACAACGCGTCGCGCCTCGCGCGACGCCCAGCGCGATGGCGCCCGACGCCGCCGCGCCCGACGGCGACGACGTCCACGACGTCGTGCTCTTCTACGCCTACACCGCGATCGAGCGCCCGGACGCCGTGGCGTCGACGCTCAAAAGTTTCTTTGCCGAACACGCGGCGCACTTTAAAGGTCGCGTGCTGGTCGCGCGCGAGGGCGTCAACGGCACCGCGTGCGGATCGCGACGGTCCGGCGCGCTGCCGATGTTCCAGGCGCTGCTCCGCGAGCTCGTGCCGGGGTGCGAGACGATGCCTTACAAGACGTCACTCGCGAGCGAGCAAGTGTTCCACGACGCGCGCGTCGAGACGGTGCGCGAACTCGTGGGATGGGGCGAGCGATTGGCGCACGAACGACGCGAAAAAGTGGTGCACCTGAGCCCGAAAGAGTTCCACGAAGCGTTGAAGGCGCGCGACGGCGAGGCGACGGTGTTGGATCTGAGGAACGAAAACGAGAGCATCGTGGGGAAATTTAGAGGCGCGAGATGCCCGGACGCGAGGAACATGCAAGAGCTCGGACGGTTTTTGGATTCGGCGGCGCGAGAGAGTTCGGGGAAGGAGGTGTTCATGTATTGCACCGGAGGCATTCGGTGTGAGAAAGCGGCGATTTATTTAGAGAAGAAAGCGCCGGATGTCGCGAAAGTTTATCAGTTACAAGGCGGCATTCACGAGTACTTGGAAGCGTACGGCGGGAGCGAGGAATGTTTGTTTCTCGGGAAGAATTTTACGTTCGATAAGCGCGGGGTGATGCCAAAGAGCGGGAAGGTCGATTGCGACGGAGAGGTGTGGAACTGTCAGCGATGTCGAGACGGTGAACCAAAGCTTCGAAGCTGCGCAGTTTGCGTCGTCTGCAGATTCCCACTCGTCCTCTGCGAGCGGTGTCAAACGTCGACGTCGAATCGCGGCGAGTGGACGTGTTCGCACCACGCCAATCTCGATGGCGTATACTCCATGTATGCTGTCCCTCATTTAACGGCAGAGGACTTGACGGCGCGGATCGAACGCATGAAGTGCATGGAGCGGGAGCTCTTCGACGCGGATCCAAAATCGACGGCGAACAAGCGACGCACGCTTCGCAAATGTTTTACGCGCATGGAAGCCGAGCTCAAACGTCGCGAGGCGGGCGGTGCGTGCGATCGCCGTGACGTCGCGTTTTGTCGCAACTCCGGGCGCGAGCTCGCGACGTGCGCGGGAGATTGCATGGGATTCTGGGGCCCCGGGCACGTTATCGAAAAGCCGCCGACGACGCTCTGCGGTGTCGACGCGACGTCCGTTGAGTAGTGAAACCAACGAGTTAGCACCTAGTAAACGAACCAAATTCTTTGAATATTTCTACTATAGCATACATATAATTCGCGCCCTACGCTCTAACGTACCCCCTGCCAAAGTCTGCCGCTCAACGCCACTCCAGCCCCTCGACGACCTCGAGCGTGTTGCAATCTGGATCCCGAAAGAATATCGCCGGCCTCCCCGACTTACTCGCCGTGTACGCGATATTTTCTCGCTCTAACGCATCGATCAAGGGCTGGATGCGTTTCACTCCGATGCAAAAGTGTCGATCTCGCCCCCCGTGCGTCGGACGAAACTCGGCGTGCGCGCAGTCGGGGTTCGGCAGCTCCATCAAGTGAATCATCTCCGGCCCGATCCACAACCACGCCCCGCGGTACGGCAATTTATCCTCCGGACGCTCGGGGTTAATTTTCAATCCGAGCAATCCGCCGTAGAACGCCATGGAGCGCTCGAGGTCGTCGCAAATCACCGCGACGTGATGGACGCCCTGTATCTCGATTTCTTCAGCGAGCGACTTTGTGCGCGTCGCGCGCATCGCGCGCGCGCGCGTCGCGCGCGAGGACGCGACGGGGACGTTCCGAAGGTTACGGACGATGCGCTGCGTCGATGCGAGCGCGTTCGCGACGGACATGACGACGCGCGCGCGCGCGAGGAGGCTGGAAGTGTGGACGCGGGCGCCGGCGAGGCGCAGGAGCCGCGACGGCGAGTGTCGATGGAATTAATCGCGCGGTGCTCTCGCGCGCGCGTCGACGCGCGCGTTTACGAACCACCGCGGTCACGTTATCGTCGCCGGTCGTTTTAGGACTTCGTCGCTGCGACGTCGTCGGCGTCCAAATCCAAAAGCTCGGCGAACGCGTCCAAAAACGCCTCGGGCGGTTGCGCGCCGCCGATCTCAATCTTTCGCGACGCACCGTCGCCGTCGCACGTGATGATGAAGTGCGGCACGCCGCGAACGCGCGCGCGCGTCGCCGACATTTGCTCCTCCACGACCGTCTCGAACGGCGACGCCTCGCCGTCGGCGAGCACTTTGGAAACCGCCGCTTCGTCCAAACCCGCGGCGCTCGCCGCGTCTCTCATCACGGCTTCGTCGCACGGCGCGAGCGCTTCGATGAAGTATCTGTGGAACATGGCGCGCATGAAGGCGTCCTGCGCCGCCGGGCCGTGCGTTTCCTCGGCGTAAGCCGCGACGCGGTGCGCAGGTCTCGTGTCGCCGGTGTTGCCGTCGAGCGTGTACGCGCCCTCGATCCCCGCCTTCGCGAACGCGCTCGCGAGCCTGGGCTCGAACGTCGCCACCGTATCGGCGCCGAATCGTTCGTTGTACCACGAGCGCTTGTTCACGCCCGCGCGCGCGACGTCGGCGCCCATTCGCCGCCAATCATGAGAACTCACGAGCTGAAATGGTCGCCAAACGGCCCGGGAGGACGCGACGTCGGGACGAAGCGCGGCGCGCGCGCGGTCGAGGTTCTTCACGCCGACGTAACACCAAGGTCACACGACGTCGGAGACGATTTGGATCGTCAACTGCCGGGTGGTCATGTTTCGAGGCGAGGCGAGTTGTGACGGCTTACGGCTTTGTTGCTGCAAGCGCGAGGCGACTAAGACGACAGACCGGCGAGCTGCTGTCGTAAACGATGAATCGTGGCTATGTGTTCCTTGTGTCGCGCGGATTGCACGTCGCGCGTGTACAGATCGTTCGTTCGATTGCGCGCGGACTCCTCTCGAAGCTTGGCGAGACGGCTCGCCGTCTCCGGCTCGTCGTCGACCAGTCGGCCGAGGAATCTGAGCTTAATTTCGAGCTTTTTCAGCAAGACGTCCAGAGCACTGGCGATGATGCGATGAACTTCGTGTTCTTCGTCTTGGGCCAGGATCTTGGCTTGAATGGCGGCAGCGGCGAGACCGTCGACGTTGAGGTCGGCGGCGTCGAGCGACCCGCCGAGCGCGATTTTCGTCAGCGCGGCTTTCGCCGACGCAGCGGCGACGCGAGGGGAGATCATGCTCACCAAAAACTCGAGCTGAGCCATCGTGGGGTTTGGGGCGAATGAGAAAGGCACAGGATCGAGGATCTTGGCTCCCTCATCATCGATGATGGCGCCGCGCGGCACAAGTAACTCGCGCTCTATGTTTTCAATCGCGGCGTCTTCGATGGGCATGCGCGCGAAGTGCTTCAAGCACTCATCCTCGCTCTTTGTCCCGACCGCAGAAGCAATATCGTTCCAATTTAACTCATTCGACTGCGAAATTGCATCGAGCAGGGCGGCGACCTCCTGCGGCGTCCACTCGGCGTCGTCGACGATTTCGTCCGCCGAGACGGCTTCGGCGTGAAAGTCTGGGTACATTGCCTTGACAAAGTCGCCGCTCGCTTGGCCGTGCGGGTACACGCCTTTGGAAAAGCACGATGGGCACAAATCAAAATCACGCGTGAGAAACGCGTGGTAAAAAACGCCAGTGCTCTTTAAATCAGCGCCGCACGCGTTGCACGCAAACTTGACGTCGACCCCACGCTTTGACAGCGCGTCGTGAGAGGCAAACAACGCATCCAAAGATTGACGCTCGAGTTGCGTTTCCGAAGACGGCGCATATCTCGACTGCGGTTCGAGCGGGTGTAAACCACTCGCAGTCGTCGCACGACATTTCGAAAACTCGAACAACGTCCCTTTGAAGGCGGCTAAGGGATCCGTCTTCTCGACACGCGCCGCGCCATCCTCGCCAGTGACGATGCGACGCCACGCGGCGAGAGGTTTTTGTTTCAAGTCAATCACATCACGTCCGGATGTGAATTGCCAATTAATCAATCCCCACTGCTCGAGAAATGAGAAAATTCTCTGATGCGCGGCGGCGTCGACAATATTTTTTGTCGTTCTTGACGAAGACACTTCATGCAACGTAACCTCTTGGCCTTTGAAGCGAAACTGATTCATGATTTCGTTTCGACACGCGATGTACTTTTGACACGTGTCATCATCGTCGAAGAATTCTGGCAACGCACGTCTTTCGATGGCGTGAACTTCGCCCCATTTGAACCAAGCGCTGTGCGTCGGCACTCTGTACTCCGTTAAAGGCTCGGCTTTACGCTCGGCTTTGCGCATTGACGGCGTCGCATTCCACGGCAACTGATCCACCGAGATATTCTGCATGCGTAGCGTTTTCGCAATCATGAACTCTTTCGTGATTAGTTCTTCGTCGTCTTGCAAGACGAGTGCGCCGTCGTCTTGACTCGCCGCCGCCGCGACGACTGGATGCGCGCGAACGACGCGACGACGCGTGACGGCAAACCCCCACGGCACGCGTTCCTCTTCTCCTGGAGCGAGAATTTCGGCATCACCCTCAAAGTTTTCGGGCGCACGCGCGCGTTTGTTTTGTGGCGCGTTCGATGGATCCCACGCGTGCCGCGGCGCGCTCAACATTTCGCGCGTCACGTCGTACTCGTAATCGAGCTCGTTCATCCACTCGTTAAACGTGTGACTGTCGCGCAACCATCGCGCGCGCACGTTGTGCGGCAGGTCGTTTCTCTTCTCCGCTTTATTTCTCAAAATCACGCTCGTCTCCGGCGCCCACGGCGCTTTCCCCTTACCACTAATCGACGAATCCGCGTACCAGGCGTCGTACGAATCCGGATAAAACCAAAAGTGTAACCTTTGCTCCGTCTTTCCACTCGACGTCGCCACTCTCGTCTCCGTGATTCGCCACAACGCGCCGTCCTCGATCTCGTCGTCATTCACCGAATCATCCGTGCGTAGGACGTGCGTCACCCCTGGCTCATCCGCGGACGCCGCCAACGTCGCCCGCATCGCCCTCGCCAGCGTCTTCAATTCCCTCGCGCGTTCCACGTCGTCGGCGATGTAAATTTTCACAAACCCCAAATGTCCGCGCTCGATCAACTTTTCCCGCACCGCTCGAAAGTATCCCTCGAACTCTTCGCGCCCGTCGTCATCGCTCGCGTCCTTCGCCAGCTTCCCCTCCCGTCGCCACTCCACGTACGTCTGCAGCGCCTCGAACAGCGCCCCTCGCGGCGTCGCGTCTCGCCACAATTCGTGCGGCACCCGCACGCACCCATCTCGCCGTCCGCGTCCCGACGTCGACGTCTCTCCGCATCCACCGCTTCCCAGCACCTTATCCTCCGCCGTCAGCAGGCGTTGGATCTGTTTCGACAGCGCCGCCGCGTCGAACGTCGCCGAGAGCGTCGGCTGCGCGCGCCGCAATCGACCCAAAATCGCATCCAGCCTCTTCAAGTGCGCGTCGTTCTGCGCGCGCGCGCGAATCTTTCGCCCTCGTCAGTCGCGCGCTCGCGCCGTCGCGCGCCTCGATCCTTTCGTCGCGCCCGCGTCCCCGCGCGTCGTCGCGAAATCCCAGCCGCGTCGCGAATTCCCGAACGCGTCGCCCTCGCGTCGCGTCGCGCGCGCCGTCACGCGCCTCGTGATCGCGCGCGCGCAGTTTGTGCGCCCGCTCGCGCCGCTTCGCGCGCGCCGCGTCCATCGCGCGCGTCGCGCGCGCGCGATTCGCGCCGACGAGTGGCGCCGCCGTCGCCACACCGCCGCGCGCCGATCGACGCGCGACGCGACGCCGACGCGCGCGCGAATCGCGAGACCGGCGCCGCGCGCGTCGCGCGTCGACGCGCGACCGCTCGTGATCCCGCGCGTCGTCCTCGAGCGCGTCGTTTCGTCGCCGCCGCCATGTCGCGCTCGAGCGACGACGACGACGCCGACGCGTACGACGACGGCGAGGACGACGCGCTCGAGGACGCGGTGCGCGACCTGATCGACGCCGACGTCGCGCACGCGAGCGCGACGGCGGCGCTGCGGCGAGCGCGGGACGCGCACGGGCTGGACGCGCGAGACGTCGCGCGGGGACGCGGGTGCGAGGAGGCGCACTACGACGTCGTGAAGTGGTTGAATTACGTGCGCGCGGAGGCGGAGAAAAAGCGAGGGACGATGACGAAGGAAGCGATGGTTGAGGCGATTCGAGCGGGGGCGAAGGCGCGGGCGTGGGACGACGACGCGTACCTGAAGCCGACGCTGGAGGACGACGGGGCGCTCTTCGGATGGGAGGCGTACGTGGAGGGACGAGAGGAAGAGGAAGAGGAAGAGGAAGAGAACGAGGACGGGGAAGACGAGGACGGAACGCCGTCGAAGGAGGAAATGGCGCGAAAGTTGCGAGTCGAGAACGAGGCGCTGAGGGTGCGATTGTGTGAGGTGATGACGGCGGCGGGGATGGTGGACGAGGCGAGCGTGGCGGAGGCGTTTTCGCCAGTCGTCGCCGAGGGAACGGAGACGCTCGGTCGAGGGACGTCGGCGGCGGTGAAGAAGAGCGCCGCTGAATCGATGGTGTCGATGCCGGCGACGAGTCGACGACGCGCGCCGACGACGGCGGAGGAGAGACTGAAGCAAGAGGTCGACGACGGGTACTTTGACTCGTACTCCTACTTTGACATTCATCGCGACATGATCGGGGACACCGCGCGCACGGATGCGTACAGAGACGCGCTCGAAAAGAACCCGACGCTCATCCAAGGGAAACGTGTTCTCGATATTGGGTGTGGGACGGGGATTTTAAGCATGTTTGCCGCCAGAGGGGGCGCGAGCGCCGTCGTCGGAGTCGACGGCGCCAAGCACATCGCCGAAGTCGCCAAGGCAAACGTGAAGCACAATGGATTTAGCGATCGCATTCAAATAGTTTACGGGAAATTGGAAGATATAGAAGGTGATATTCCAGGTGCACCGTTTGATGTGTTGGTTTCCGAATGGATGGGCTACGGTTTGCTTTTCGAGTCAATGCTCGACACCGTCCTCGTGGCGAGGAATCGCTTTTTAAAGCCCGGGGGCGCGGTGTTGCCCGACATAGCCACGATTCATATCGCTGGTTTCGATCGCAAGGCTACTGACTTCCCGTTTTGGGAGGACGTGTACGGGTTCGAGATGCCAGAAATCAAGAAGCAGCTGTTTCAGGGCGCGATGAAGACGGCGGTGGTGACGCACGTAGACGGCGCGCGCTTGACGACGTCCGGTTCGCAAGTGTGCGAGCTCGACCTCGCCACGTGTTCCATCGCCGACACAGAGTTCACCACGGAATTTTCGTTGTCGGCGAAAGACGGTCGTATAGGGGAAGAAACTCACGGCATCGTGTTGTGGTTTGACACTGAGTTTTCAAAGAGATTTTGCGCCGACCTCGCCGTGATGTTGTCGACGAGCCCGGAGGCGAAAAAGACGCACTGGGTGCAAACGATGCTTCACTTCCGCGAACCGATCACGTTGGGCGATCAAGCGACGGACTCCATCGTGGGAAGAATATCTATGGTTAAATCAAAGTCCAGACCGCGTGCTTACGACGTGTCGCTCGAGTATCGCGTCAAAAACCCGTCGGGTGAAGGACCGACGCGCATCGCCTTGTACGCGCTGTGAAAGCAAAGTCGCGTTGTTGCGTTGATATTAATTAATACTACGGTACTTATCTCCTCACGCGCCGCCCTCAGTCGCGACACTCGCCGGAGCGGCAGTCCCTCGTCGTTCATTTCCGAACGTCGCCGCCAACTTTGCACGCGCGCGCCACACGTCAAAGAATAACGAGTCCAACTCCTGGGTCACCATGTCGTAATCGTCATTGCACAACCCGTCCAAAACGTGCTCAGCGGAGATCAGGAACTCGGTAAACTTTAGGAGCTTATGCCCACTCCAAATAGTTTTTACTTCGCGCGCGGTCGCTCTGTAATCTCTGTGGCTCATGAACATTTGATGCATCTCGCTATCCAAGTCATCCATGTCGAGCGCCCCTTGCACTTTTTCCATGCCCGACGTCGAAAACGTCGAACGACCGGCAATTTTTCTATGAAGAAAGGCGGTCTCAGCGTTTCTACGAGACACGAGCGCCTTTATAGTCTGCACTCGATCGTCCAAATCTAAAGCTCTTTGACGCAAGTCCTGTTGCGCGTCTTGTGCGTTGCGGGTTTGCTCCTTTAACGCTTTGAACAATCTGTAACACCTCGGCGTGACGGTTTTTTTATCCCTTTCGAACTCGGAGTCGACTTTATAATTGAGCCACTGACGAGTGAACTCTGTGCCGATGACTGAAATCGGCAAGGCTAATAATAATACCGACGTCACCATTGTGAGACACGCCACAAGTTTACCCCAACCTGTCGCCGGCACGTGGTCGCCATAGCCGACTGTCATCAATGTCACCATGCACCACCAGAAGCTCGCGGGGATGCTCTTGTACGGGCTCTCCACGTGCGTGCATCCACTCACAAGCGTACCGTCGCTTTGATAGATAGATGTGACGCTCTGGCTCAGTCCTTCACAATAAACGTCCGTTCTCCGCGCGTAAATGTCCAAGCTCGCCACGTAATCGCCGTGTTCAGCATAGTAGATGAGCGTCGAAAAAATCACCGTGCACACTGAACCGATGGCGAGCGAAACCAACAGCATGTCGATGCATTCCCTGATCGACGATCCGATGATGGATAAGCGTCCGAATTTCACCCCAAGCCGGACGATTCGCAGCACTCTCACCAAACGAATCGTACGAATAATCTGAAGACTGGATACCGAAAGCGGAAAAATAGCTTCGAGATAAAACGGAAGAATGGCGCACAAATCAACCACGTTCAGAGGTTGCCTGACAAACTTTCGATAGTTTGGACAACACAGCGACCGCAAGACGTACTCAATCGTAAACATGATGACTGAGAATAACTCGATACCGTAGAACACGTTCTTGGACTTGCCATTTTTGTATTCCGGCAACGTCTCAATGCAAAACGAAAGCGACGATGCAAAGATGAGCGTGATGTAAAACACGGCGAGCCAGTACGCAAAGGGCGAAGAGGTGACGTTTTCAAACGCGTTCCAAATCGAACTTCGCACCAGTCGAACGATGGTCGAACGCAACTCCTTATCTGACAGTTCGTTCACCGTACGTCCAAACGAACTGAGCACGTTACGCGCGTCGTTGTCATCGTTGACCGACGTTGAGGAGTAGAAGCTCAAACTCTTGCCGAGCATCGGCGCGAGGTTTGGACGTCTAGAAACTTCCCCTTTTGACGGTTCTTCTTCGCTCAGCATTGTTTTCGCAATTTCGCTCAAGTTCCGCCCTACTTGCGTCATCGTGTCGTCCGATTCGACGGCTGCGGCGAGCGCATCATCGCGCTGTCGCGACGACGACGCAGGGCCATCGTCCACGGACGCGGCGTGTGTGAGTTTGGACCGCGCCACCTTGCCGCTCGCCGTTTGTAAAAGGGGCGAGTTCTTCAACTCTTCCGCCAACTCGTCGTACCTGACGTCATCGGAGTTTTGCGACTTCTCTGCATCGTCCGTGAAATCCTCGGACACATCGTCGTCCTCGTCTCCGTACGCGTCTCCGAGGCGATCCCTCGGCGTATTCGACTCGCCGGACGGCGACGTCGCATTCATCGCGCTTTCCATCTCTTTCGTGTACGCCCGCTTCGCAGCCTCCGCCGCCGCATCTTTTGTCCGATACAAATTGTCGATGTGTTCGCGATCGCTCGTGAAGCGCCGCACGATCGAATCAAACTTGCCAATCGCGGCATTCAGCTCGGCTTCGTCTGGATTCTTGCTCGTCTGCGCGTAAACTTGATCGAGCGCGGCGAACCTGCGCTCGTCCAACAGCCGCTTATGCTCCAAACGTATCACTATCTGCACCAGCGATTGATGATACAACTCGCCATCGCGCCACGCCTGTCGCGCCCACTCTCGCGCGCTCCCCGCGCGTTCCGCCAATCCCACGAAATTTCCCCTCAAATCCTCGCCGAAAGCCACCAGCCGCTTCACCGCCTCGGTCGGCGACAGCGAAATCAACTTATCAATCGAAAGAATCCCGTACCCGCTTTGTTCATCCTCATCTCCCTCTCCATCGTTTTCCCGCGCGCTGGACTCCTTGAACGACGCCAGCGACGTCGTCAATCGTCCTCGACCTCGAGACTTCGCCTTTCGCGTCTCCGCGCTCGCGGTCTTTCTGTCCCGCACGAGCTTGCGCACGCGCGCCTCCTCGCTATCCCCCGCTCGGCTGTTCGACGTCCCGATCGCCACCATGACGTCCGCGCGATCGCGCCTTCGTCACCGCGCGCGCGTCCCGCGCTCGATCGCGATTCGCCCGCGCGCGCGCGCGATTCGCCGACCAAACGCAATCGCGACGAATCGCAATCGAACGAATCGAAATCCGTCCGCGTCCCGCGCGCGTCGCTCGACGCGGCCCGCGCGGGCGCGACCCGCCTCCGCGCGCGAACCTCTCAACGCGTTATTCGACGCGCGCGCGCTCTCGTCTCGGAAGCGCGCGCGTCCGTCGTCGCGCGCGCTCTGCCGCGCGCGGCGCTTTCGGCGCATTCGCGCGCGCGGGCGCGACGCGTCGTTCGGACATTCGGCGATACCCACACGCGTATGCGCATTCAGTGCGCCACGACGTCGGATTCGGTGGGCGGTATTTTTTCACCACTCGCGCGCGCACACATGGGTCTGAAAGCATCTCCAATGCGACGATCGGACGCGATCGGACGCGCGATCGCACGTCGTCCGCGCCGTCGCGCGCGCGCGTCGCCCCGCACTCTTTCACGCACACATTCGCCATGCTCGCCCAAAAGTTCACCGTCTCCGCCAAGGCCGTCGCCACGACCAAGCACACCGTCGCCAAGCGCGGTAACTCCATCGTTCGCCGTAACTCCAAGGGTGGCGAAGAAGGCGCGGTGCGTCCACGACGACGACGACGACGCGACGCGCGATGATGATGATTACCGCGACGATGACGCCGACGACGACGCGAAGCGCGCGCGACTGACGACGGTGGATCGATCCGAATCGCACAGCGCGCGTACAACAACGATGCGTTCGGTATGATCGCCAAGGCTGCGTCGTACTCCCTCTTCGGCGCCGCGATCACCAAGGTGCGTCGACGGAAAACCCGCGCGCGCGCGACCGCGTGTGGATAAGCGATCGACGCGCGCGGCATCGCATGAGGGGTCGTCGCGCGCGCGCGCGGGCGCGCGAGCGAGCGCGCGAGCGCGCGAACGAATGGGAAAATTATTTCGCGTCGATTGGAGCGCGCGCGCGGGACGGCGGCACCGTCGCGCGGGCGCGAGACGGGGGCGCGCGCGCGATGCGGTGGCGCTGTCGGGGCGTGGCGAAACACCCGGAAAAGAAGACGCGATGATGACGCCCGTGACTGACTGAGCGCGTTGACGAATCGTAGTCCGGCGTTGAGGCTGAATTCACGTGCGAGGGCCCGATCACCGTGTTCGCGCCGAACGATGACGCGTTCGCCGATTTCTGCAAGGCGCAAGGCTTGTCCAAGGTTGAAATCATGACCTACGACGGCCTCAAGGACGTCGTCTTGAACCACGTCGCCAAGGGCGCGTTCACCGCGGCGAACATGCCGGCGGAGGTCACCATGGTGTCGGGTAAGACTGTCGCCACGTCCACGTTCAACTACAAGAAGAACGACATCAAGGTTGACAACGCCACCATCCACGCCATCACCGCCGTCGTCGCGTAAGCGCTCCAATGGTGAGCGTTCGCAAAGTCGAATGTTTTGACGACGCGACGCCGATGGCTTTCTCAAGACGTCGCCCTCGTAGACGGCGCGCGCGGCACCGCGAGGTGATGCGAGCGCCGTCGTCGAGTGTTGTTTTGCATTATATTCGTCAAATGATGTTGTAATAAGCGATCGACGTATTATTTCACTCGCGTCGAGCCGGAAGCGAGCGCCGTTTCGGCCCCGCGCGCTCGCGAATGGGGCGTCAATCGTCGCCGCGCATGGCGCGCGAGCGCCGTCGTTCGTCGACACGATGACATCAGACGACGCGAACGAAGACGATGCGCGTCGTCGGCCGTCATCCGACGTCATAGACGAGCTCGCGTCGCTGTTTTTAGATGAAGATTACGCCAATCGCCGTCGCGTCGTCGACGACGCGTCGACGTCGAAGGACGACGCGAATACGCCCGCGCGTCGCGGCGAGTCGTCGCCGTTGATGCGGTCGTCGAGCGCGACGACGCCGGCGCGACGAACGGCGCCACCGGCGACGGTGCGCGGATGGTTCTCCGAACTCTGGCGGTCGCTCCTCGCCGAGGACGACGACGAGTGGGCGGACGCGAGACGAGGCCGAGGAGGGACGCCCACGGGCGCGCGCGCGATCGAAAACATAGATTTAGGAATGGAACAAGAGATGGAAGTGGTGCTGAGGAAGACGGCGACGCCGGCGTCGAGCGAGAGACTTCGAAGGACGTCGTCGTCGTTTGGAAATCGAAGACGAAGCTCGGGGAGCGGCGGGGGGGGATATTTCTTTGGAGACGACGAAGATGAGATCGTGCGATCGTCGTCGTCGTCGAGCGATGAAGAGGTGAGCTCGCGATTCGTGGCGCGCGATTTACCGGATGTTTTCCCGGGAAAAAAGGTGATGACTGTCGGAGAGGGCGTGATGGATGAAATCGCCGCAGAATCGCAACGATTGTGGGGAGCGCCGAACGCCTTCGTCACCGCGGACGATTGTCGTCGAGCAGTGCGTTCGTTAGCCGAAGCCAAGGTGGTATGTGCAGCTATGGATGAGCGTTTAGAGGCGTGGGTGGTGAAGACGCGCGTGCGCGACGCCGACGGCGAGATGTTCGACGGGGATGATTTGTTAGAGTATTGGCGCCGTCGCGCGAAGGACATGTGTGAGGTATTTTTGAAGACGTTGGTGAACGTCGGTGGTCGGCTCGAGAGCTGTTCGACGACGCCGAAACATCGCGACTCGTTGTTGAGAGTCGTAGAAGGCTACGTGACGGGTGGCGTGCAGCGCAAACTTTTCAAAGTTGGCATTCATCCGAAGTTTGCGCGCGAAGACGAATTCACCGCGATTCGACTCGAGCAGTTGGCGTCGTTACCCATCGATGCGCTCGGCCTGGAGGTCGAACGATACGCGAAGGTTGTCGACGACGAAGATATTATCGCTTCACTATCATCGCTTGGCGATTTGTCGAGTCCGTCGCACATGGCAACGCGCCTCGTGGACGTCTCCACGCGCATCCGTCAAGCGGGTGGCGACGAAGACGATCCCATGAACGCCGATGATTTACTTCTCGTCCTTTTGGCCCTCGTCGCTCGCGCCAAGCCCGAACGAGCGTATTCGCTCGTCAGGTACGTTGAGACGTTTCACGCGTTGGTCTCCAACGCCCACAAAGGCGAAGAAGGTTTCGCGCTGGCGAATTTCTCCGGCGCCGTGCGTTACGCTCGCGGCGACGCGTGCGGAGCCATCATCGAAAAGTCATCGACAGCGCGATTAGAACACACGCAGTAGCAGCGTAATATGAAATCGCGAACCAAAAAAAGCTAATGACTAATATTAATTACATCACACAGTCGGCGGCTCGCAGCTCGCCGGTCGCTTGACGGCTTCGGACCGCCACGTCACTAAAACTTCATCCGTGCGGAACCTTTGCGTGCACCACGTCTTCTCCAAAGGTGTCGTCTCGCCGTTTTCGTACTGTAACAAACCTGTGTAGGCGATCATGGCGCCATTATCGATACAAAATCGATCGTCCATTCGCCCGTCTTCGTCCAAGCCGTACAGCTTCCCTCCTCGTTCGCTCGCCATGATGGCCATCATCTCCTGCAGGCGCAGGTTGCACCCGACCCCGCCGACGATCAGGACATCCTTGGCATTCGTGTGCGCCATCGCGCGCTCGGTGATCTCGACGAGCATGCTAAACACCGTCTCTTGCATGGACATACACAAATCCGCCACCGTGACCTCGCCCGCGCCCAAGTGCTCCTTGGCGTACGTCTCGTAAAACGTCAAAATCCCGCTCAAATTCACATCCATTCCCTTCACCCCGTACGGTCCTTCGATGAATTTCGTCCCCTTTTTCGCCTCTTGTTCGATATTATACCCCGGCGCCGGGTCGTTGCTCAGCCCGCACACGCGCGCGAACCTATCGAGCATGTTCCCCACCGCGATGTCGATCGTCTCGCCAAAGATTCGATACCGTCGTTCGTTGTACGCGATGACCTGCGTGTTCCCTCCCGACGCGTACAGCACCACCGGATCTCGCGCTCCCGTGACCAACCTTCCCATCTCGATGTGTGCCACGCAGTGATTCACCCCCACCAGCGGTTTATCGAACAGCAGCGCCAGCGTCCTCGCGCACGCCGCCGCCGTCGTCAGCGGCGCCCCCATCCCCGGCCCTCGCGTGAAGCACACCGCGTCCACGTCTCGCATCGACGCTTTCGCCTCCTCCAGCGCCCGTCGCGCGAGTTCGACCACGACGTCTCGGTGGTGTTTCGCCGTCTCTCGCGGCAGGAATCCCGTGCCCGGCGGCGTCACGTACGTCTCCCGCGGGTTCGCCAGGATCGTCCCGTCCGCGCGCGCGACGCCGACGGAGATCTTGTTCGCGCTGCCCTCGAACCCGATCGCGAGCGTCGTCGACGACGCCGTCGACGCCGTCGGCGCGGCGCGCGTCGACGCGGCGTCGGGCATCGCGACGACGCGCGGCGGAGTGCGACGCGCGTCGATTCATTCGCGCATTCATTCGCGCGCTCGATTCGATGCGCCGTCTCGCGACGCCGCGCGTCGCCGTCGCGGGCGTCGGACGGCGCGAGGACGCGCGCGGGAATCGTCGCGACGTCGCGCGCGCGCGGCGATCGGAGACGGCGTCGACGACGCGATCGGAGACGCGAACGACGACGCGCGATGGGATCGAAAAGTCGTCGGCGACGACGCGCGCGACGACGACGACGGACGACGGCGGCGCCGGCGGGTGGTTCGGCGGTGGTGGGGGGTGGCTCGGCGGTGGTGGCGGCGGTGGGTTCGGCGGCGACGGCGACGACGCGACGCGCGGGGCGAGACGCGCGGCGTTCGCGCTCGCGGCGGCGACGGCGACGGGCGCGGGAGGCGCGCGGGAGGCGAACGCGACGACGACGACGACGCGAAGGCGCGGAGACGGCGGACGGCGCGCGACGAAGCTCGGGGACATGGCGACGAGCGCGCTGTACGGATTCGCGGCGTTTTACGGGATAAAAATCGCGCTCAAGAGGTTGTTCGCGCCGTTCGCGCTGTTTTGGGGGACGACGCAGCTCTTGTTCAGGATGCACGCGGTGAAGATTTCGCCCGCGATGCTGCACGAACGGTTGGTTCGACCGTACCTGCCGATCGAGTATCAGAAGAGTCTGAACGATTTCGGCGTCGCGGCGATGAAGACGAAGGCGGCGAAAAACGCGATGCGCGACGGGTGGTGGGATAAGCAGGAGCGACGATTTTGGACGTGCGCGCACAGATTATTGCCCGCGTGCGACTCCGCGATGGGCGAGCGCGCGTTCGTGTTCGGCGTCATTCTCGCGGGCTTGGCGTAGGTTCGTTCGTTCGTTCGTTTAGTTTGTTTGTTTGTCACACGCACGATTACGCGCACGACTACGCGCGAGCAATCGAAAACGCGTCGCGTCTCGAATGAATGAAATAAATGAAAGAATCACGGGTTCACGCGCGTCGACGTCCACGTCCCGTCCACGATCTCGTGCATCACCCGCTCGTTCTTTCTCAGCGACAGATGATCGATTCGATCGGCGCGCAGCGCCACCAACGCGAAGTGTTCGCCCACCGTCTCGTCGTCCAAGCGCGCGTCGTCCTCGTCCACGTCGTGCGGATCTCGCCCCCCCTCGCCCACCTCCGCCCGCGTTTCCCCCGGCGCCGGCCACATAAACTGTCCCCTCGCCCCCCGGCGCATTTTCCGCCACAAATTCCGCCTCCGCGCCTCGCCCCTCGCGTCTTTCGCCGCGGTTTCGCTCGTCGCGCACGCCAGCGTCCCCGTCACCCGAAACTGTTCCCGCGTCTCCGGAAAGTACCACGCGATCTCGCCCCTGGCGTCGCCCGCGATGTCTCGGATCTTTTCCGACCTCGCGTCCGCGCAGAACGTCAGCGCGTTCGCTTCGTCGCCGTCGTCGCGCGCGTCGTCGTCGTCGTCGTCCCGAAAAGCGTCGCCGAATCCCCGAAACACCACCGTTCGCACCGCGGGCGCGCCCGTGGACGCGCGCACCGTCGCCAACTGCGCGAACTTGGCGCACGCGCTCTTGCCGTTCTTTTTCAGCGCCGCCTTGACGGCGACGCGCCACGCGGGGACGCCGAGCGACGGCATGCGCGACGCTTTGTGGCGACACTTTGAAACGCGCCGCGACGCCGACGCGGTCGGCGCGCGCCGTTCGGATGCGCGACGGCGTCGACGTCGACGCGCTCGACGCGCTGGAGGCGCTCCGCGACGCGCTCGACGCGTCGTCGAGGCGTTCCGACGACGATGATTCGTTCCGCGCCGAGTCATCGTTCCGCGCGTCGATGACGCCGCGCGGGCGCGGGTTCCATCGCGCGCTGGCGATGACGATCGACGACGCGCCCGCGAACGCGCGCTGGATCGCCGTTTCGGTTCGCCTGCCTCCGGGCGCGACGTTCGACGCGGATGAGATTCGGGCGGCGACGCGCGCGAGCGACGGGTGGACGTGCGAGACGAGCGGCGACGCGGATGGCGAACGAACGAGCGCGAGCGCGAGCGAGAGCGCGGTGACGTGCGCGCGACGAATGATTCAAACGACTGCGTCGCACGGCGACGAACGCGCGCTCGCGTTCGCGGCGATGGCGCACGCGCGATACGGCGCGACGCGGCCGGGCGGCGGCGCGGCGAGGATCGAAATCGACTTCGGCGCGGCGGCGACGCTGATGGACGGAACGACGCGCGTCGCGCGGGCGCGAACGGATGGTATTTGGGACGTGCCGGTCGGGGACGCGAGCGCGGTGGGGCGCGTGCGCGCGACGAACGCGGCGGCGCAGTTGGCGGGCGCGGCGTGCGCGTTGCGCGCGATTCGAGCGTCGACGCGGCGCGCGCGGACGCGGTGACTTTGTTCGCGCGGACGTTCGTCGCGCGCGCGCGTCGCGTTCGTCCTTTTGTGATAATGTACTTTTGTAATAACGCTAAGCTAGTCGTAGAATTCGTTCGCGTACGGAAGCGCGTCGTCGTCTTCCTTGACGAAGACGAACGTCGTGCCCTTGTTCCCCGTGCACACGCGCACGCCGTCGCCGACGTAATCGCACGTCAGGTACCCCATCGCCTCCTTCCCGAGCAACCTGAACGGCACCGGATACGGCACTCGCACCGCGATCGGTTTCTTCAGGTCCACGTACGCTAAATCGAACCCGTAATCGATCCTCCCCTCGCGCGCGTCCAGGCGCGCGTTCGCGCTCAGCCGAAACCATCCGTATCCGTCGCCGAAGCACACCGCCTGGTCGACTCGACGTTTTCGCGCCTCGCCGCGCAATCGCACCCCCTGTCGCACCGCGAACCCACCATCGCTGAGTTTCGACAGCACCGCGCGCTGAATCGGCGACGAGCTCCCGCTCGCGTTCGCGCTCCCGCTCCCGCTCCCGCTCGCGTTCGCGTCGTCGAAGAGCGTCGCGAACGCCGCCTCCAATCCCGGCGTCGTCGCGTCCGTCCGTCTCCCCAGCGGCGCGCGCGGATCGAACGCGCTCTTCGACGCGTGCGCGAGTCTCCACGTCCCGTGCAGCGCCGCCGCGACGGCGTCGCCGTCGCCACCGAACGCGCGGTCGAGCTCGAACGTTTCGGTGAGTTCGTCGACGCGCGCGCGAATCGCGTCGTCGTCCGCCTCGCGCGCGATCGCGTCGAGCAGATCGCGCGCGGAGGACGACGCGACGGCGCGTCGACGCGGGAATCGCCGGCGCGCGTCGACGCGACGGAGATTCGCGACGCATCGCGACGCGACGTCGAGCGCCATGTCGACGCGCGACGGAGTGGCGCGCGAGCGCGTCCGCGTCCGCGCCCGACGCGTCGACGCGCGCGCGACGCGGCACACGACGCGACCGGGACGCGCTCATGACGCTCCGCGCGCGACGCGCGACGAGGTGTTCGTGTTCGGGCTCGGGTACCTCGGACGCGCGCTCGCTCAAGCGCTCACGAAAGAAGGGTACGTCGTGCGAGGGACGACGCTCGACGACGGCGCGAACGACGAGACGACGACGACGTGGCGCGGGACGCGAGGCGACTCCGAGGCGATCGAAGCGATGGTCGAGCGGGCGACGCACGTCATCGTCGCCGTGCCGCCGGTAAGCGCGGAGACGGGCGAGGGGTGGAGGGATCCGGTGTACGACGCGTTCGCGAGGACGTTAAAAGCGGCGCGCCGGGACGACGCGGGACGACGAAGGACGCGGTTCGTGGGGTACTGCAGCACGACCGCGGTGTACGGCGATCACGAGGGACGATGGGTGGACGAGACGAGCGCGCGCCGGGCGGCGTCGGGAACGGCGAAGACGCGACGCGACGCCGAAGAGCGATGGTCGGCGCTCGCGAAGGCGGCGAACGGCGAATTGAAAGTCGTCTCCTACCGCCTCGGAGGGATTTACGGGCCGGGAAGGAACGCGCTGGAGACGGTGAAGCGAAGGGCGAGGGGGGAGAGCGAAAGCGCGAGTCAGCGCGCGCGCGCGTCGCGCGCGTACACGAGTCGCGTGCACGTGCGAGACGCGGTGAATTTAATCGCGGCGACGATGCGCGCGGGCGAAGCCGCGAGCGACGCGTACAACGTCGTCGATGACTTTCCGATGTCGCGACGAGACGCCGTGGCGTTCGCGGAGCGACTCGTGGGCGTCGCGCGCGACGGCGCGTCCGAGGCGCCGGCCGCGCCGGTCGCGCGCGAGGAGGCTTCGCGCGGGGAGAAGCGCGTGAAGAACGACCGCATGAAGCGCGCGCTGGAGCGATTCGGCGGCGAGCGAAAATGTCTCGAGTTTCCCTCGGCGTATCAGGGTCTTCGCGAACTCGCGGTGGACGAGGGAATAGTGCGACGCGACGACGCGTTCGCGAAATGGTTCGACGAGCGATTCTCGAAACTCCTGGCGGGAGAGTACGCCGATGTGCGATTCGAGCAAAGGGGCGACGACGGCGCCGACGCTTCGTCGAACAGAGACGACGCGCGCGAGATGCCTCGTCCCGAGAGTGGCGAATCGAGTCGCTGGTTTTGCGAGTTTTCGTAAAAGAATCTTCGTGTGTGTGTACAATAGTCGTGTCATTTCTAACGCATACCTCTAGGAACGAGTCCGCGCGGTGGGGGCACGAGTCGCCTCGCCGGCGCGTTTTGGACGTCCGCTTCAATCGCTCGCACCGCCTCGATGTCTTCGCGTCGACCCTTGACGCCGAGCGTAAGACCGGATTTCTGCACCCACCGCACCCAAGGGCCCCATGTGCGTCGATCGCGTGAAAGCGTCGAGGCGTGACCGACGACTATGACGCCTCTTCGCGCCCTCGTGAGCGTGACGTTGCATCGTCGAGCGTCCGCGACGAAACCGATGGTGTTGAGGTTGTTCGCGCGCACGGTGGAGACTATCATGAGCTCCTTTTCTCGACCTTGATAGCCGTCGACGGAAGACACTTCGACCCCGGCTTCGCCGGTTTCTCTATCCACGCCCGTACGCACGCCTCGCGCGCGTAACATCGATCGAATCAGTCGCACCTGCGACGCGTACGGCGTCACGATGCCGATGTTGCACTCGCGCAACTCCTTCGCTTGGAGAAGATCGGTGAGAATCTTCATCACTCGCTCGGCTTCGACTTTGTTTGAGTAGCTCATATTATCGTTAGTTTCCATGGCGTCTTGAGGTGATGGACAGAACGCGATCGGCACGCTCGGAATGGGCCACGCGAATCCTTTGGGCGCCGGACGCTCGGCGGCTGGCGTGCCGCTCTTCACGAGACCCTTGTAAAACGACAGCGACGGAAAGTAACTGATCGCCGGGTGCATGCGGAACTGCGTGTCTAACAAGTACGGCTTCACCCCGGCCCGAATCAAGCGGTCAAACAGCGAGAGTGTCATGCCCGCGAGCTCGGCTTCGCGCGAAACCACCGTCGGCGGAAGTTGTTTGTGATCGCCCACGAGGACGAGCTGTTGACAACCGTTCGCAAGCGGAACGAGGGCCATGGGCTCGGTCACTTGGCTCGCCTCGTCCAACATCACAGCACTAAAGTTGATTCGATCGAGGAAGTCGCTTCCAGATCCCGAACACGTCGCGCACACGGCTTGTGCGTAACGCACCGCGCGCAACTGCGCCTCATACGCCTCGTGCTTCGTCGCCCCCGGCGGAATGGCGTTTTCGATTTGATACCGCGCCAAATCAGGTCGCACCGCCTCGGGTCGCCCTAAACGAATGACGTTCACACCAGCCTTCGCCAGGCCCTCGACCATGTTATCCACCGCGGTATTCGAGTCGGACGTGCACAATACGGGTCCGTGCCCGATTTCGAGCATGCCGCGAACGATGGCCACCGACGTGTGCGTCTTGCCGGTTCCCGGCGGCCCTTGAATCAACGTCAATCGTCGCTCCAACGCCGCTTTCATGGCGTCGCGCTGCGACGTGTTCAGGCTGTGGATTCTTGTCACGCTGTCGACGACGCGATCGTACGGTCCAGCGAGCGATAAATCGCCCGTGGGATTAATCGTCCCTTGGCACAGCGTGGGCACGACGTCGCGCTCGACCATCTCGCACCCGGGGAGCCACGGTTGGGTTTCGCACACGTTGAATCGCGGTTCCTTCGCCGCGAGAGGTGGCGCGCCGCTTTGATCGATACCATCGGTTTTATCATCCCCTCGCACGTTAAGCGAGCCGATCGCCGCCGCGAGTTCGTCCGCCAAATCTTTCGCCGGTCTTTGAAAGCCGGCGGTGAGAATTTGTCGAAACACGGGATTCGTGTTGCAGATGGCCTTCTTCGTCGGATCGTTCGGCTCGAGAAGTTCGTACAGCGACTCTATTTGACGCGTGTACGTGATTCTGTTCGCTAATCGATCGATGCGCCAATCGTCGCCGGAAAGTTGTTGGACGTCGCCGTGATCGAGCTTGATGTGCAACTCGTTGAGCGTGTACGGGACGATTTCAATCACGCCTTCGTACTCTTCCACGGGCGTCTCCGGCGCCGCGAGCGGCTTCGGAGCTTTGGGTCTCGGCACGAACGCGGCCGCGGTGACTTTCAACGACGAGTTTGCCGCGATTTGGTTCACGGGCTCGGGTTCGGATTCGGGTTCCTCCTGCTCGACTGGCGGCTGGTACCTTCGCACGAGGATGGAATCACCCACCTGCACGCCTCGTTTGCCGTCGTTAGACTCGAGCGATTTCAAGCACGCCATGCGCGTGATGACGTTTGGCGCGTCCGCGCTCGTCGGTGTGGATAAGCACAAGCGCCCACCCTTGAGCTTGGACGGTTTCGCCACGAGGTTCAACGAACACGTCCCCGCCTGCTCGAGCGATTTCGGCGACCGCTTCTTGATGCGCTCCATGATTTGATTAGACTCCTCGCAAAACTCCATCACCAACAGACGAACGTTTTTCGTGTAATACGCCGCCGTGGCGAGATCACCAAACTCTAAAACACCCCCCGTGCTCGAAGACGTCGACGCGGTTTCTTCGCCGACGAGATCCGCCCCTCGACAGCACGCGTCCACGAACGCCAACGCCTCCTTCGCCCTCGTCCGGCACGGAATCGCGGCGATGACCTCGGTAAATCTCTTGACCGACATCTTCAACCCGAACGCCGCCATCGCTCGCGCCACCTCGCTCGCGTGATCGGCGTGCGTCTCCTTGACCAACGCCGCGACGAGCTTGTAATACGTCGTCTCGTCGATCCCCATCGGACACACCGTCGCGGGATCGCCCGGGTGTCGCTTAAACGTCCCATTCGCCGTCTCAAACCTATACCTCGCCATCGCGTGCGCGAAAAACTCGAACGCCCCGCTCACGTCCCCGGTGTTCACGCACCGCTTAATCTTCGTCGCGTACGCGATTTTCGGCGGCGGTTTCGCCGTCTTCTTCCCTCGTCCGCGTCCGCCGCCCCCGCCGCTCGGCGCGTGTCCGGCGTACCCGTACCCGTACCCGTACCCGTACCCGTACCCGTGCCCGTGCCCGTACCCGTGCCCGTGCTCGTATCCGTACCCCTGCGTCGCGCGCGCGCGCCCTCGTCCGCCGTATTCGCGTCCGCCCCGCGCCGTCGCCGCCGTCCCGCTCGGTCGCCCGCGTCGCGGATGATGCTGTTGACGCGCGTCGTCCCGCGCCCCCTCGCGACTCCGCGCGCGGTCATCCATCATCGCTCGTCGCGTCCCATCGCGCGCCGACGCCCGCGCGTCGCTCGCGTCGCCGTCGCGTCGTCCCGCGAAGATTCCCTCCGAAGATTCCATCCCGACGCGTCGGAATCGCGACGCGTCGGAATCGCGCCCGAACGATGCGTCCCGCGACGATCGCGACGCGTCGCGATCGTGACGCTTCGGAATCGCGTCGCGTCCGACGCGCGCGTCGCGACGCGTCGTCGCGATGTGACGCGTCGTCCCGAAGCGTCACAATCGATCCACCATGCGGCCGACGCTCGCGTCGATGCGCCCTCGCGTCGCGTCGCGATCGACGCGTCGCGATCGACGCGCGTCGAGCGCGCGCGCGTCGCCGACGGCGCCTAACGTGCGGACGATCCTCGGGACGATGACGTTCGGGTGGCGACACGCGAGCGAAGCGTGCGACGACGACGCGAGCGCGCGAATGCTGGACGCGTTCGCGCGCGCCGGGCACGACGAGATCGACACCGCGATCGCGTACGCGAACGGGGAGACGGAGCGAATCCTCGGACGCGTCGACGCGGGACGGCGCGCGCGCGTCGACACGAAGGCGAATCCGTGGCCGGGCGGGACGATGACGCCGAGCGCGGGACGAGGGGGGTTAGGGGCGAACGAACTGCGGGCGCAGGTGCGACGGAGCGTGGAATCGCTGCGAGGGACGAAGATTCGAACGCTGTATTTACACGCGCCGGACGCGGACACGACGCTGGAGGAGGCGCTGCGAGAGTGCGAACGGCTGCGCGTCGAGGAGCGCGCGTTCGAAGACGTGGGACTGTCGAATTTTTCGGCGTGGGAGACGGTCAAGGCGCACGAGCTGTGCGAAAAGTACGGGTGGAAGAGACCGACGATTTATCAGGGGATGTACAACGCGCTGACGCGAAACGTCGAGGCGGAGTTGGTGCCGGCGCTGCGGGCGACGAAGATGCGCTTCGCGGCGTACAATCCCCTCTGCGGAGGGTTGTTGACGGGGAAATACAAGGGCAACACCGACGTCGGCGCGGTGTCCGGCGGGCGATTCGCCGGGAACGACATGTATCAGTCTCGATTTTGGTTGCCGTGCTATCACGAAGCCGTGGCCGAGGTGGTGGAGGCGTGCGAGAAGCGCGGCGTCGCGCCCGCGGACGCCTCGCTGCGATGGCTCTACCGGCACTCCGCGTTGGACGGCGCCGAGGGCGACGCCGTCATCGTCGGCGCGTCGAGCGCGGCGCAGCTCGAGGCGAATTTAGCGAGCGCCGCGCGCGAAGAGCCGCTGCACCGGGACATTCTCGACGCCTTCGACGCGGGTTGGGAAAAGTGTCGCGCGTCCGCCGCGCCGTACTTTCGCGGCCACTGTAAAATCGCGCGTTGAAGTCATCATCAAGTCACTCATCGCAGTCACCATCGTCGCGCCGTACTTTCGCGGCCACTGTAAAATCGCGCGTTGAAGTCATCATCAAGTCACTCATCGCAGTCACCATCGTCGCGTCGTCACATCGCGCCGTCGCGCGCTCGCGGACGAAACATGTCCGTCGCGACGTCGCGCGCGCCGTCGCGCGCGCCGGCGTCGCGTCCGCGACGGCGCGCGCGTCGCGGACGCCGCGCGACGACGCGCGCGCTCCTCGCGACGACCCGCGGGACGTGCACCGCGCACGGACTCGACGGCGCGTTCGAGCTGACCCACGACGCGCGCGGGACGACGTTCGTCGAGCGCGTGACGCTGGCGCGCGGCGACGACGCGGACGCGCTGACGACGGAGAGCGGTCGGGACGACGACGGGACGACGTGGGACGCCGACTGGTACGGCGACCGCCGCGCGACGACGCTCGACGGCGCGCACGCGTCGGCGATGATGACGTGGGTGCGCACGAATCAGTGGAACGATGAACTCGCGGCGGCGGGACGATTGCGGAGGAAGAAGCTCGCGGAGGGGGTCGAGGCGACGGCGGCGCTGCGGCGGTACGGCGTCGAGGCGCCGACGCCGGCGAAGGTCGAAAAGCGAGGACGAGGGAGGGCGAAGCGACGAACGGGTCGCGGGTTCGGTGGATTCGGTGGATTCGGTGCGTCGAGCGACGCGCGAGCGCCTCGCGTGCCGAGGTGCGCGACGAGCGTGTACGCGGTGTCGATGCTCGACGGCGGTCGAGTCGGCGGAAGAGTCTTCGTGGACGAAGCCACGGGGTTCGCTTGGCGCGCGGAATTTTATCATCAACGCGGCGTCGAGACGTGGATGTTCGAAGGGTGGGAGCGCGTGGCGGTTTCGGAGACGGACGAGGTGGCGGTGCCGCGTCTCGCGCATCGAACGCACGCCGAGGGCCAAGTGACGACGTTTCGCGCCGAATCGACTTCGTCGGCGAGCGAGGATCGAGAGACGTACGCGGCGTTACCGAGCTCCAGCGTCGCGCCGTGGGCGAGCGAGCGCGCTTGGTCGGGCGATGACGCGACGATAGCGACGTGCCGAGGCGAAGGTGGACATATATTAGTCAAGGCGACGCTGGAATCGAGCGACGACGGCGGCGCTTCCCTGACGGATTGGTTCGTCCTCGACACGGCGTCGACTGGACTCGCCGTGGCGCCGCACGTCGCGGACGCCGTGTCTATGCCGTCGTTTGGTTCCATGGCGATAGTCGGCGTCGCCGCACCGCTCGAAGGCGCCCTCAGGCGTGGGAAAAAGTTATCCGTCGGCGCGCTCAGCCTGTCGTCGCCGATTTTCATGGAACAGAACTTGGACGGCGCGCTCAGAGTGCCGAACGGCGAGCGACTGGCGGGCGTCATCGGTTTGTCCGTGCTCGGCGCGCACGCCATCGTTCGCATTCACGCGCCGTTGCGCGTCCCTGGAAGTCGCGATCCACCAAAGTTGGACGTGCGCGTGTTTCGTCCAGAGGCGTACGAGCCGAGCGCCGAGATCGAACGCGCGTGGGAGCCCGTGGTTTTCATAGACGGCGTTCCGTACGTCGAGTGCTCGTACACGATCGCCAACGACGGATTCCAGGGCGTGACTGAGATGACCACGGAGCGCAGAGGACTGTTTAAGCTCGCGTTGGGGACCGGCGGGGTCGGCGTCGTGCTCGGCGATCGCGTCGCCGTCGAAGCCGACGTCGCCAATCGCACCAAGGCTTTACAGCCCGGAGGCATCATGTCCGGTCCCGGCGAGAGCGCCGGTCGTCTTCAGCGCGTCGGCGACGAGATCGTCACCGGTCGAATCGAGACCGTTCGTTTCAAATCCTTCGAGTTTAAAAACGTTCGCGCCGTCGTCCATCTCGACGGCGCGCCTCCGGACGCCGACCTCAGCCCGCACGCCGACGGCGCGGCGTGCGCCGACCTCTTCCGCGGCTGCGAGTTCGTGTTGGATTTACGTCCATCGAACCCTCGCATCGCCGTGTGTCCGCCCTGACCCGTCATCGCGCGTAATGCGACGCATTCATTCTCGCATTCGCGCGTCCCGCGTCCCGCGTCCCAGCCGTCCCAGCCGTCCCGCCTCCTTTGCCCGCCGCCGCCGGCGCGGTGCGCGCGTCCGCACCTCGCGACGCGCTCGAGCGCGCCGCGACGCGCGCGGCGCGGCGAGGAGACGAACGCGCGCACCGCGCGGTTCGCGCGCGCATGGCGTCGAATAAGCGCGCGCGCGCGACGCCCGCGACGACGCCCGCGACGACGCTCGCGGACGCCAACCTCATCGCGCAGCTCGTCGACGTGGACGGCGTCGCGGCGGGACCCGAGCTCGATTTGCCCCCCGACGTGGGCGCGCGCGAATTGCAGTCGCTCCTGCGCGAGCTGCTTCGCGCGTCGAGCGCGAATCCGGAGGACGACGACCGGCTGACGACGCCGTACGCGTTTTACGTCGACGGCGAGGAGGTGACGGGAGCGTTGGCGGCGACGATCGTGGAGCGGAAGATCTCCGTGGAACAGGTGTTGAAGATAGTGTATCAGCCGCAAAGTGTGTTTCGAGTGCGCGCGGTGACGAGGTGCTCGGCGGCGATCGCGGGACACGCCGAGGCGGTGCTGAGCGTGGCGTTTTCGAGCGACGGGAAACACTTGGCGAGCGGGAGCGGAGATTCGACGATACGAATGTGGAATTTGGATTCACAGGCGCCGAAACACACGCTCAAGGGACACACGAATTGGGTGCTGTGCATCGCGTGGAGCGCGGATAACGTGTACTTGGCGAGCGGGGGGATGGATAGCGCCGTGCGATTGTGGGATCCGATCACGGGCGAGGCGCGCGGAGGGCCGATGAAGGGTCACAAGAAGCACGTGACCGCGCTGGCGTGGGAGCCCGCACACGTGGCTTATCCCGTCGTGCGATTTTGTAGCGCGAGCGCGGATGGGTCCGTGCGAGTTTGGGACGCCGTGCGGCGCGCGTGCTTGTTTACCATGTCGGCGCACACGAAAGCCATCGCCTCGGTGAAGTGGGGAGGCGAGGGATTGATTTACACCGCCTCTCGAGACACGACCATCTACGTCTGGGACGCGAACGACGGCAAGGTGGTGCGACAGCTCAAAGGACACGGGCACTGGGTGAATTCGTTAGCGTTGTCGACCGAATACGCCCTGCGCACGGGGCCGTACGATCACACCGGGAAAAAGCCTGAAAACGACGCTCAAGCCAAGGCGCAGGCGCTGACGAGATATAAGGCGGCGACTGGAGGGAAACCGGAGCGCTTAGTGAGTGGTAGTGATGATTACACGATGTTTATGTGGGAGCCGTCGACGACCAAGACGCCGCTGCAGCGCTTGACTGGGCATCAACAACTCATCAACCACGTCTTATTCTCGCCGGATGGAAGATACTTCGCGAGCGCGTCGTTCGACAAGGGAGTCAAACTGTGGGACGGCCTTACGGGCAAATTCATCACTTCTTTTCGTGGTCACGTCGGTGCGGTTTACCAGCTCGCCTGGTCCGCCGACAGCCGGTTGTTGATGAGTGCGAGTAAGGATAGCACGATGAAGGTGTGGGACGCGCGATTGAAAAAGTTAAAGGAGGATCTCCCGGGTCACGCCGACGAGGTGTACGCGGTGGACTGGAGTCCGATGGGGACGAAAGCCGCGAGTGGGGGGAAAGATAAGATGCTGCGACTCTGGATGCATTAGCGAATGTAATAGTATTGGTCATTTTTACAAAGTGTCTTTTCGTAGCGACGCCGCGCTTAGAAGCGCGAGCACGTCGTAAAGCGTTCGCAGTTTATTCAGATTCGGAAAAGTCACTCTCATCATCGTCGTCGTCGTCTTCCTCCGAAACGTCGTCTTCAGAATCGTCGGAATCGTCGACCACGTAAGTTTTCGCCGTCCGGGCTCTCGCCGGGCGAGCGGTCGATCTCGGCGCCACCGGGGCGACGACTTCGGAATCGCTCTCGCCGCCAAAGTCCTCTTCGGAATCAGACGCCACGGCAGCCTTCTTTGCAGGTGCACGTTTCGGCGCGGCCGATTTCTTCGCAGGAGCTGGCTTGGAGATCGCAACATCATCGACGGCGGCGTTGATGGAGGACATGTTGAACGCGCTCGCCGGCTTGGCGGCGGCGGGCTTGCTCAACGCGGCGCCACCTCTCAACGCCAAGCGCTCGGCGAGAGACATCGGCTCGGTTTCTTCGTCTTCGCTTTCAACCTTGGCCACCGGTGCCGGTGCAGGTACGGGCGCCGCCTTGGGCTTCGCCGCCGCCTTGGGCTTTGCCGCCGCCTTCTTCGGTTTGGCGATTTCGAAATCGTCGTCGCTAAAGTCATCGTCCCATTCATCTTCGTCGCTGCTGTTCGCCGCGCGCTGCTTCGCCATCTTCTTCTTCGCGGCTTTCTTACCCGCAGCGGTGTTGTTTCGCGCCGCCGCGCGTTGTTGCTTCTCAAGAACGATTCGGGATTCTTCGTCTTCGGCGTCGAGGAGCTCGAGCGTCTGCTCCAGGGTGTCAAGATCCTTCATCCACAAGTCCTTCTCCGTCGTCTTGTGAAGCTCAGCGACTTCTGCTTCCTTGGCTTCTTTTTCTGCGCACAGCTCGTCAACTTTCTCGAGCGTCAAATTCCAAAGAGGCATGCCCAGGAGGTAATCGTAAGACCCGGCGACATCGTTGGCGATGAACTCGCCGTCTTCGTCGAGTTCGGCGACGGAACCCTTGTCGGTCTTCGGAAGACGATCATAGCACAAAGCTTCGAGCTCAGCGATGAGTTCTTGCTTCTTCTTGCGGTTCACGACAAGGCTTCCATCGACGACAGCGAGAATAAATCGCATCTTGTTCGACAAGCGCTTGAGCTGAGACTCGGCGAGACGAATCAACATTTCTCGGCGTTGCGAGTACGCCTTGAGACGCAGAGGAACGAACGCCTCTAAGATGGCGACCGGAGAAGAGTACTTGGTGATCACACCTTGTTCGTTGAACAAGTGCATGTTGGTGATGTTCAGCTTGGTGCTCAACTTGAACTTCTTCTCGATGCCAGACGCTTGCGCGGCGGCCAAGTTCTCCGGCGGCATCGTGATCACAAAGTGCACGGTGCTGTCGGTGTGGTACTCCTTGTAGTCGGTGATGAACGGCTTGGCAGTTTTCGTTTTTGGCACAAGCATTTCTTCGAGGAACTCCTTGTAATCCGAGGTCCACGATCGCAACGGCAACTCGGTGACTTCCAACGTGCACTCATCGCGAATGTTGTACGAGCCGGTGACGTTGTAGCGCGTCTCGCCCTTGACGAGTTCTTCCGTGATCGAACCCTTGAAGTGTCTGTACCACGGATGCATTTGCACCGGACTCTCGCCTTCGAGCACGAGTCGAATGTTTGCGATCAAATCTCGCGGGTTGAAGTTCGGAATACTCGTCGACCATCCCGTACCGATGCCTTCAGCGCCGTTCACCAACACGAGCGGGAGAACCGGATAGTAATAATCCGGCTCGATGCGCTGACCGTCTTCATCGAGGTAGTTCAACAACGCATCGTCACACTCCGGGAACATCGCGCGGCACACTTCGTGCAAGCGAGTGAAGATGTAACGAGGGCTCGCATGATCCTTACCGCCTTGTAAGCGAGTACCGAACTGCCCGCTCGGCACGAGCAAGTTGATGTTGTTCGAACCGACGAAGTCTTGCGCCAAGTTGACAATTGTCATCGCGAGAGAAGCTTCACCGTGATGGTAGGCGGAGTGCTCGGAGACGTAACCACTCAACTGCGCCACTTTGATGTCGGACTTCAGCTTACGCTTGAAGCACGAGAAGAGAACTTTGCGCTGCGACGGTTTGAAACCGTCCACCATACTGGGAATAGAGCGCAACAAGTCGGCTCTAGAGAACAAAATGAGCTCCTTGTTGATAAATTCGTCGTATCGAATGTCTTCACCGGTCATGTCTAAGAAAGTCCCCGGTTCGTACGCCGTAAGCCACGCCTTGCGATCTACGACGCGCTTTTTGCTGAACGACATGTCAATCAAGTCACCGTCACCGTCACTTTGCCAGACAAAGCTCTTTCGGTGGTGATCGAGAGACGCAAAGTATTCTTTTGCTTCGTTGGCGGTAGAAGTACCGAGACCCTTGTAATACTTGATGCTCCAGCCAGACGTGCCGTCGTTCGCTTCCTTCCACGCTTCGTACTCGGGCATAGTGTAGAACACCTTCGACTGCTTACCCTTGGTCGCCTTGATGATTGGCGTGATGAACTCGAGTAAAAACCCAGGAATCTTGAGTAGAGACGGGAAGTGAGCGTGCAAAAAGTTGATGAGCAAGCCCTTGATGTGCGAACCGTCGTGATCCTGATCGGTCATGATCATGAGCTTGCCGTAACGCAGCGATTTCGCGCTGTCGTACTCCTTACCGTGCTGTAAACCAAGGATTTGCTTGATATGATTGATTTCGGTGTTGTTCTTGATTTGCTCATGCGAAGCATCGCGGACGTTCAAGAGTTTACCTCGAAGCGGGAAGACGCCGTACTTGTCGCGCCCGACGACGGAGAGACCGCTCACGGCGAGCGCCTTCGCGGAATCCCCTTCGGTGAGAATCAAAGTACAAGACTCAGAGTTGCGTCCACCGGCATCGTTAGCATCGTCAAGCTTTGGAATACCTGTCAGACGCGATCGTTTGGCACCATCCGTCTTCTTGAGTTCCTTGCTCTGCTTGAACTGCGCCCACGACATGATGTTGTCGACGACGCCCGACTCCATGAGCTTCTTGATGATGGCATCTGAAGGCGCGTAAGCGCTGCCAAACTTGTTCGGTCTCGTGATGAGGGTCTCTTTGGTTTGTGAATCAAACGCCGGGTTCTCGATGAGCGCGTTGACGAATACCCAAAGATGGTTCTTCACTTGAAACGCCTTCAAATTCTTGCAACTCTTTTCCTTCTTCTGAATCTTCTCCAACAGCTTTTGAGAGATTTGATCTGCGACCGAGTTCACGTGCGTACCACCCTTCATGGTGCAAATACCGTTCACGAACGAGCACTGCTGGAACTGCGCGGTGTCGGAGATGGTGACGCACACTTCCCATCGATCCATCGTCTTTTCGAAAATCTTTGGCGCGTTCGCTTGGCCATCCAAGTACAAACTCACGTAATCACTGAAACCCTTCACCTCGAGCTTTTCGCCGTTCAAGTAAATGTTTGTGTTTTTGCCGATGTTACCCGCCGCGTCGTACACGCGCTTGCACATCAAAGCCGCGACGTCTTCGTTCACGAGGGACTCCATGCCGAACTTCTCAAAGTCTGGTTTGAATGTGATGCAAGTCCAGTTCTCGCTTTTCTTGCACTTGGAAAGTTCCGGTTCGCCCTTGACGCTCATATTGTTCTTGAACACTTGACGATATCGCTTTCCGCGCGAACCATCGCACGTTTCGACGATGAACTCGGTGGAGAAGATGTTCGCCAACTTGGCGCCGTAACCGTTGCGCCCGCCGACAACCTTCTTTTCGTTGTCGTCGTAGTTGCTCGACGTCAAAAGATGACCAAAGATGAGTTCCGGGACGTAAACGCCTTCGTCTTTGTGCATTTCTACGGGAATGCCGTTACCATCGTTATACACTCGAATCAGCCCTTGCTCGACGTCGATGTCCACGCGGAGTTCCTTCATCTTTGGGTCGCGCACCTTGTTGTCCGTCGCGTTGACGAGAATTTCATCGAAAATCTTGTACAACCCCGGCACGAAGGACACTTGCTTATGCGTCAAAGATTTTGTCGCCGCATCGTACACCCACGCCTTCTCCTCCGCTCGCTCGCACGACCCGACGTACGTATCCGGACGAAGCAAAATGTGTTCGAGCTGCGTCTTCTTTTGGTAAATCTCCTCCACGGATTTGTTATTCTTCGTCTTGTTCGTCGCGTTCCCGAGCGGCGACTTTGGCTTTTTGCTCGTCGGTTTCTGTTCGATCATCGCGCCCGATCGTCAGTCGTCGTCGTCGTCGTCAGCGTCGTCAGCGTCGTCGGCCGCGGCGTCGCCCAAACCGTCGATTCGGTTCGTTCCCCCGTCTCTCGCGCCATCGCGCGCACCTTGCTCTTCACCGCGGGCGAGTTCTCGTCGAACTCCGATTCCGACGCGTCGTCCTCGTAATCATCCTCGCTGTATTCGCTGTAATCCATGCTCACGTCCGCCATCGCGACGCGAGCGCGCGCGAGTGTGCGCGGGACGCGCGACGCGCGCGCGCGATGGCGCGCGATGGCGACCGACCGGTGTGTCCATTTTTTATGACCGCGCGGTGTCTCGAGTCACGATCGCTCGATTTTGGGGGTACAATCACCCCGATCGCCGTGTGCGTCGATGGCGTTCGAGCGCGTGATTCACCGCATTTTGCGCCCGCGCGCGCGCAGCCGCGCGTTCGCGCGCGCCCGCGCCGGGCGTCGCCCCGCATCGTGCGACGCGCGGCCGCGCGCATCATGGATGACGATCGAATGATTAAGAGCGCGTGGACGCCAGAGGTGCGAGAACGCCGCGATGGATGGAAATCGAGCGCCCCGCGCGCCGTCGCCGCGACGACCCGTCGCGACGTCGCCGACGCGACCCCGACATCGGCCACCGCGCACGGTTGGTAACGACCCCGGGTGACGTCGCGGTGACGGCGCGCGATGGCGCCGCGCGCGGGCGCGGGCGTCGCGCGCGCGACGGCATCGAGGGCGTGGATGGGATGTGTGCATTATATTTCATCATTCACGCGCGCGCGCGACGCGCGCGCGACGTCGCACGCGACGCACGACGTCGCGCGCGCGGACGCCGAGGATCTTATCGCCAGCGCAACCGACGGCAACCGACGGCGATAGGGCTTGGATGAGGTTGGCCTGCTAAACGCGGGCTCGGGCTCGGGCGGAGGACTGACGAATGCGCGCGCGCGCGATGCGAACAGGAGGATGAACTGCTGAGACGACAGATCGAAAGACTCGGTGGTCCGGGGAACTGGACCGCGATCGCCGAGGCGTTGACGGGGCGGTCGAGCAAGTCGTGTCGGCTGCGGTGGTGCAACCAGCTGAACCCGAGCGTGAAGCGAGGACCGTTTACGGCGGAGGAAGACTCGACGATTCTGGCGCAGCACGCGATTCACGGGAATAAATGGGCGGTGATATCGCGATCTATGCCGGGGCGCACGGATAATCAAGTGAAGAATCGATTCAATTCCACTCTCAGACGCTTAATCGCGAGCCAAAAGAAGGATGGCTCCGCGGGGTCGACGTCGGCGACGAGCGCGAGAGACGCTTCGTCGTCGCCGCGAAAGGCGCCGTCGCGACCGCAATCGCGAATGGGCGATAACCGAAGCGACGGTGTCAATGCGCCGTCGACGCCGAGCCGATCGAAGCGCGAGAGATCATTATCGCCCGGCGAAACGGTCGAGCAAGCGGGGTCGCCCAAGCGCTCGCGAGACAGATCGAGCAAGCTCGCCGAAAAGCGCGGGAACGTTGGAGATTCTCGAATCGATATTCCTCGCAAGAGTGCCGAGGCAGTGGCGATCGAACGGCAAGGTTTGGATAACCTCATTCAAGCCTCTCTCATGGAGCTCGAGCGACTGAAGAGCACGAAGGGTGAGATTCACGAGTGGGGAGCGATGCCCTACGGCGCCGCGCGCGACTGCGGCACGCCTGAACCGACTCGCTCGGAAGACGATGGCGTGGTTCCCACTTTGCTCGCTCCCAAGCCCAAACGCGGTGGCTTCTCTGTGCACGGGCCTTCCGATTTGTACGACTGGCGCTCGCACTCCCCGGCGCTCAGCGCGCCGTTTCTCGCCGGCTTGAAGCGCGTCGACTCGTTGACGAGTCTCAACGGTGATGCCTCGCCTTCTCGTCCGAGTAGTGCGCTCAGTGCTCCGGTGAGCATGCAAGCTGCTTCGATGTTACAGTCCGATGGCTGGTACGCGCGCATGCTGAACAACCTCGGCGCGCGCAAGATGGAGAACTCTGACGCGATGGATCGGTCCATCGCCGAGGTGAAGACGGAGTCCTTCGTGAAGCCCGTCCAAGCGAACGCCGCCGCTGCCATCGCTACCGCCAGCCTCAGAGCTTAAGCTCAGCCCGATATCGCGCCCATGAGAAGCACCTCATAGTACTTCGACACCAATCTGACCGTCCGCACAGATATCCAAGACACGAACCGAAATCAATTTTCGGCTCGCACGACCACACAGACCACTCATAATTCCCACCACCACTATTCTTTTCTCGCTCACTCGTGGGCGATGACTCGTACGTATGAAGGAGACGACAATACGTCTCTTCGCACCGCGCATCGTATATTTAATCCCATCGTAACATACTGATACCAAACAAACAACACGCGTTTCCATCGATTACAAACTACTAACTCAATTTTGCCAACTCGTCTCCGCGAGCGGCGGCCGCGACGACAGCGTTCATCATCGCTTGGCGCACGCCTGCCTTTTCGAGCTCATGCACCGCTGTAATTGTCGTCCCACCCGGCGAGCAGACTTTGTCCTTTAAAACGCCGGGATGTTCTCCCGTCTCGAGCACCATTTTGGCCGCTCCGTAAAACGTCTGCGCGGCGAGCTGTAAGGCGACGTCTCGAGGTAAACCGGCGCGAACACCCCCATCAGCCATCGCTTCGATTAAAATGAAAATATATGCCGGCCCAGACCCGCTCACTCCCGTCAAAGCGCTCATCTGAGATTCCATAATCACCTTGCACACACCCACCGCCGACATGAGCGCCAACGCCTTGTTCCTGTCGTCGTCGGAGCACGTGCTCCCGACGCACAGCCCACTCGCTGCGGCGCCGACTAAGCACGGTGTATTCGGCATAACGCGCACCATGGGCGGCGGCGTGGCGTTTTTGGACGTCCAAACCCCTTCCATGACGTCCAACGTCACGCCCGCGGCGACGCTCACGAAAACCTTGGGCTTGAGCTCGTCGGCGTCGCAGCCTCCGTAGACTTCTTCGAGGACGGATTTGATGTACGGCGGCTTCACGGCGAGAAAAACGACATCAGAAGACTTCGCCACGCTCACGGCGTCGGGAGCGACGACACCGCCGCGCTTGGCGAATGCTTCACGGCGCTCGACGTTAGATTTGTTGCACATCGTCAAGTCGGTGAATTTTATCATGTTTGCCGACACGAACCCGCACGCGAGAGCGTCGGCCATGTTTCCGTACCCGATGAAGCCGACGCGCATCGTGTTCGTTCGATCGTCGAGTCCGCAAAGTCGGTCGAGTGCGCGCGCAGTCGCGATAGTGACGCCATCGCGCGGTGGTGCGACTGTGGAATCGCGAACAAAGAGGTGACCGGAGCACAACAGGCGAGCGGGGTGGTATTACAAGCATAAAGCGCTGGTGATTAGTAGTAAAACAACAAAAAAACAGACGATCACGTATTATCAGACGTCCTGGGGTGCGTTGGAAAAGTCGTACTCCAACAACACATTGTTCGCGCCGTCGCATATGATGCGTTCGGCGTCGGCGTACGTACCGCCGAGCCAAATGGTGTGACCAAGAACCGCGTATCTCGCGTCTCTGCGAACGGCTTTAATGTTCGCCACTTTGGGCGGGGGCTTCACATCCAAGTCCCACACTCGAATCGTTCCGTCGTGAGCGCCGCTGACTAATCGACCAGGGCATCCCGTGGACAGAGACACGACGGCGGAGGTGTGTCCTCGAAGTTCGGCGACGAGAATCGGCGTGACTTGCGGGAGGCCTAGTTTCTGTCTGTTCATGCTCCTAAAACCACCGACCGTTTGTTCCTCGACCAAGTACCACACGCGGATCACGCCGTCGCCACCACCAGTGACTACGGTGTTCCCGTTCGGGCCGTGCGCGATAGCGCGGACGGTGGAGCCTTCGTGAGCAATCCAAGCGTTTACGACGGCTGTTTCGCCGATAGTCGTATGACTCACTTCCGCGCTCAGCAACGCAGCGGATCCATCGGCGTTTCCGATTGAAATCAACCCAGAGCTTTCACACGCGTTCAAACAAAGCGTGGGTTGTCCGCTACGCCACTCACCTTCCTTGGTGAGCGCCGGCGCCTGTTCGCGGACGTACTCGTCGGCGTCGATGAGCGACTCCTTGGCGTGCTTGGCAGACTTGACCTTGGCGTGCGAAGTCGCAAGAGACCAGCGACACAAACGACCATCGAGAGCGACGCTCCAAAGTGAGCCTCGCGCGAAAGTAACGCCCGTAACGACGTCGTCGTGATTGGCGCAGCCGAGCTCGTGCAGCGCGGCGCTATTCTTGCACGCCTTGTACAGTCGTACGACGCCGTCTCGGCCTCCGGATGCGACGTGCGCGAAATCATACTTCTCTTGCTTCGGCGCATCTTTCGTGATCGCCACCGCCGTGACCGCACCGCCATCGTGCGCCCCCAAGAGCACGCGTTCTCCCAACGGCCTGGCGTCGACGTCGGACCAATCCTTCTTGTGCGCCGCGGGCGACACTGCGAGCGCGGAAGCGTCGACGACGTCGCACACCGCCACATCACCGCGCGCGGAGCCGACTACGGCGTACGGATACGCCACCGAGACCCTGCGTATGTAATCCTGCCCGAGATCGTAAGCCACTCGCGGCGTCGCCGCCCCTTCGTTCCACCTTTTCCTCGTCTCCTCCTCCGTAGCCTCCTTGCGCGCGCGCACGAGCGCGACGAACTCGTCGTCGTAACTGGCACCAACTTCACGTTCACGTTCCCGAGCCTGAGCCGACGACGTGGACATTTGCGCGCCTTCTTTCGCGCGCGCCGCCGCGCCGTCCTCGCCGTCCCCTTCGCCCCCTTCCGCGGCGTCGCTGCTCAGGTACCGCTCGTACCCACCCGAATCGTTCGCGAACTCTGCTCCATCGCGAACGATGGTTTTTCGCCTCGTCGTCCTCGCGCGCCGCGCCGATCTGTCGACCCACGACGCCGTTCGAGACGTCGACGTCGCGCTCGAACATCGCGTCGGCTTCCCGCCGCGCGTCGAAGACGTTGACGCCGCGCGCGTCGACGCTCGGTGATGCATCGCCCCGATCGCGCTCGCGGCGGGTGCGCGCATCGTCATCCTCACCTCGCGCGGCGTTCGCGCGCGCTCGACGTCGTCACGCGCGTCGCGCGAGGCCGTTCGCGTGGATTAATTCCCCAATCGTATCCCGCGAACGGCGGAAACGGACGCGATGCGATGCGTCGCGTCGCGTCGCGGCGTCGCGGCGTCGCGCGCGCGAGTTGAGATTGAACCCTTCACGCGCGCGACGCACGCGTCGTCGTCGCCTCGGTCGTCGTCGTGTGACGCGTCACACGACGTCGTAACGCGCCCGCGCGCCCGCTCGAGATATTTTCGCGCGAACACTCGAAAAAAGGCAGATCCACGCGAATGCGACGACACGACGCCGCGACGACGACGCGCGCGGATTGGCTAGACTGTCTAGGGTTTGGGACGAGGGCCTTCGTGTGAGTATTAGATCGCACTTATATTTAATTATATACGAGATTTATGTCGTATAAATACATGGCGCATCGACGCGCACGCGCCTCGCGCGGCCGTCGCGCCGACGCGCGAGGTTCGGCGTCGGCACAACCCGACGACGTCGCGACCATGGCGTTCATTCTCGGTGGATTTTCCCACATCTTCGCGTTCAAGGGCGCGTTCCAAGCGGAGGTGCGCGATTGAAATAATATCTCGCGCGTCTTCGAGCGCGCGCGCGCGACGGACGCGGCGCGCGCGCGCGCGACGCGGGGCGATGGCACCCCTCGAGACCCGCGACTGACGACGCGAGCGACGCGCGCGTTCCGTGCAGGTGACTGTGGGTGAAAACGAAAACGCCGAGAGCGCGATTCGACGATTCAGAAAGGCCGTGATGTCTTCCGGTCACATCCAAGAGGTGCGCGCGATCGCGACGACGACGCGCGCGCGCGACGAGTGGACGAGTCCACGGATAGGTCCCAGAATAGGGTTACGCCGAGGGGCGCGCGAGGCGAGCGAGCCGTCGCCGCGGTGGACGACGCGCCCGAGCGCGCGATGGGCATGCGCGAATGACGATCGACGATCGATGACTGACGAATGATGGATGTGACTCGACGACGCAGACCCGCCGCCGTAGATACTTTGAGAACAAGCAGGACATTCTCAAGCGCAAGCAATCGACGCCGAGAAACAAGAAGGGCGGCAAGCCGAAGACTGCGGCGCAAGCTATCGCGGAGAAGGAAGCCGCCGCTTTGAACCCGCAAGGCCAACGCGCTGGTGGACGCGCGCGCTTCAACAACTGAGCGTTTGCGTAGCCGCGATATAGGTTTGGGCGAGCTCGCCTTCGATTTAGCTTTGATTGATTCGATGTTCGTCATCCGGGAGAGGATGGTGTAATCTTACCGTAACACACAACACACTCGTCAAAGTCGTCGACGGCGGCATCCTGAGCGCCGCACGACGCGCCCGCTCATCGCCGCGCGCGATGTCTTCGCGCGAAGTCGTCTTCGCCGCCGGATTGGTCCGTGTGGTTTGCAATACTGATGAAAACCTCGCGCGTTCGAACGTTGACGCGTTCGCAGAGGTTGCCGCGCGGCGTGCGGGCGTAGACGGCGTGCGATCGTCGTCGCGCGCGCACGGCGAAGACGAGGACAGTTTTTGTTTGATTAACTCGCTCGAACCGACCGCTTCGCGCCCTCAGCGCGCGTCGAACCGGCGCCATGTACGCACCACGTCAGCAACCACGGATGCAGCGTTCGTTGAGTCAAAAGAAACGCGACCAGGCGGCGGCGCGTAAGCAGTATAACAATGAATGGCAGATCGGGTTGATGAACGCACCGTGCGCTGATCCTGGGTTCTGCTGTTACGCGTTCTTTTGCGGACAGTGCGCGGCGTACGGGCAGAGAAAACTTCAAATGGGGCCGGCGTGGCCGTCTCAGTACACGTGCTGCAACGGAGGCACGTGTATCTCGGGGAGGTGCGGCGAACAATCGAACCCGGAGCTGTGTCTGTGCTGCGAGGTGGTGTGCTGTTTCCCGAGCGCCATGGCGACGACGCGTTTCATGATTCAAGACGAACAACGCGTGATGAACACTCAGTGCGACAACTGTCTGATCGGCTTCATGTTGCTCACCCAACAAATTGCGTTTTGCTTGCGTTGCGTCGCGATGGTGTCGCAAAACCCAGATATCGAACGATTGGCCGACGCCGTGGATTGCCTGGCGGATCTCACGTACGCCAGCGTGTGCGCGTGCATGCTCACGCAACAGCAAGTGCAAATCAGATACCGCGACAACGGCGGAAGCATCGCCCCGACGGGACGGATGGCGGGTGGCGTGACGACCGCGCCGCAACCGCCGATGATGCAAGCCGGTGTGCGATCCGGTCCGCAAGTTGTCGCGCAACAGCCGCCTCCGACGTACGTGTACACGGTGCCTCCGACGCGTCCGTCCCCGCCACCGCGCCGCGACGAGAATTATTACCCGACGGTTTAGGGACGAAATTTACGCGACGATATCAACAGTAGCTTAGCGTGTACCAAGATGAAATTAAAAAAGAATTTACGCCTCACCGTAAAGCTTCGCGAACGCCTCCTTCAGCGCGTCCGCGCGCAAACCCCGTTCCGACACTTTGCTCGCTGCGTCGTTTGCGACTCGAGCGATGTCGCTCGCCGACGATTCAAGCCGCGTGAAGTCGTAACCGCTCTTCCTTGCCGCTTTAACGAACGTGGCCACGGCGGAAGTTTTGATCTTCTCCACTTCCGCGTCTTCCTTCGCCGGCGGGCCGGGTTTCGAGACTGGCGTCGGAGGTTGCGCCGCGACGACGTCCTCTGCGGCGTCTTGTTCCATCGGCGTCGGATCGTCGGCGGCTTTCTCGTCTACCGCGCCGTTCTTGCGCTCCTCCTCTTCTCGAGCCTTTCTCTTCAGTTGTCTTGCCAGCGCTTCAGGGTCCTTGACGAAATCGGGATTTTGCCAAACCGGCGCACCCTTGGCGGCTTCGTCTCGTTTTCTCGTGGGTCTGTCTCTGTCGCTGCCGGAATCAGCCGCCGCCTCTGCCGGCGAAGCGTGCGCAGACGTCTTGCCCTCGCGCTCCTTTCGCGCCTGATCGATCTCGTTGCACCTCGTTACGAGCTGAGGATCGAGCGCTGATACCATTTGCGCTATGGTGTCCTCTAAAGCGTGGGCCTTGCTCAACATTTGCCTCCCGTCGTTTGACTCGGGGCGTTCGCCCCAATACTCGTGAGCGCTCTTCGTGATGAGATTGGCATCCTTGAGGAAGGCGTCAATCGTCGTGTACTTCTCACTATCTACTTTCCAAAGAAGTGTAGAGAGGTCCATGGGATCGGTGACGCGTTGCGAATACCCGGGCAACTCGTCGTCGTTAATCGGCGCCGCGAGCACGTTCCACGCCTTTTTGTACAAGAGCTTCGTCACGACGTCGCGCAAGAACATGCGCTGCTGACGGAGCAGGTGATTCTCCGCCGCGATGGCGGCTTGAGAAAGTTTTTGCGATCCGCGTTTGACGGCCTCTCGACCGCTGCCTTCAGTCGGGCGAGGGGCTCGAGTGAGAACTTCTCGTTTGAGCGCGGAAGCCGGTGCTCGGCCGTCGATGAGCTCGCCGCGGGAAGCCGCGACGTCTCGTCTCTGTGCAATATTGAAAGCCGCATCACAAAGCGGGCGGTAGAATTTCGTCAACGATGCATCGTCGTACGTCGTTGGCATCGCGATGGGGTTCCAGCGAACGGACGCGAACGACGCGCGAAGACTCTCCTCGAGTTCATCGACGGTGGCGACGTCCGCCGTGGTGATCAACATCACCGGGAGATCCGCTGGGATGTCGCGAAGAAGCGTCGTCAACGCCGCGCGCAGCGTCGGCGTAGAACTCTCCCACCAAAGTCGAATTTCTGGGAGATACAAAATTGACGGCGCCGCGCGGCGAGCCTCCGTGATGGCAGTCACGAGAGCTTCCTCGGGCGAGCGTCCAGAGTCGCCGAGAAGTGATGGCATGCCGATCGCGTGGACGGGAAACTGCTCTAGCGCGTGTAAAAGCGCCGATGTGAGCTGATTGTAACCGCTAGTTTCTGCGCCGTGAATGCAAAGCGCCGTGCGCTGACAAGGTGGACGTCTCATAAATTCGAGCGCCGCGGTCGCCGCTGATTCGCTCGGCAGCGCACCAGCGGCCTCATCGCTCACCGCCGCTTGCGCGAGTATATCCTCGTCTTCTTCCTCGGCGACAGCATCCGTGATTTGACGGGCCCCGGAATTCACGCCCACAGCTTCTCCGTCGCCATCGAGAGTGATGAACGTCGCCGGCGGAAACGTCTTGCGAATGCTCTCCAAGCACGCCTCCAGTACGCCCTCAAGAAGCGGCTTTTGTAAAGGCGTAAGCGGCCTCGCGTGCGTGCGTGCGGCACGATGCGACGCGGGAACTATTGCCGCGAGCGCTGCTCTGAAATCTGCTCGACTCGGAATCACTTGCTTCGGGTCGATGCTCAACCGCTCGTCGGATTCGTAAATTTGCGGATATCTTCTGCGAAGGGCGTGAACCGCGGCTTCGGTGCACAAGGCTTTCAAATCGGCGCCGCAGTACCCAACGCACTTCGCCGCAAGGTCGTCGATGAGCGCTTCCGACGGACGCTGCTCCCACGCCTTGGTGTGAATACGTAAAATTTCACCGCGCGCCTTCACGCCGGGAAGCGGAAACGCCAGCTCGCGATCAAATCTCCCGGGACGACGTAACGCACCGTCGATGGAATCCACTCTATTCGTCGCGCCAAGAACGACAACACGACCTCGATTATCTAAGCCATCCATGAGCGCGAGTAAGGTCGCCACCAAAGAGTTGTGAATTTGATCAGTCTTGCTCGATCGCACGGGCGCCAAGCCGTCGAGTTCGTCGAAAAAAATTATTGCCGGCTGCCGCTTTTGTGCCTCTTCGAACAGAAGACGCAGCTGCCTCTCGGATTCGCCGACCCATTTTGACAAGACGTCAGCTCCCTTGCGCATAAAGAACGCGACTTCAGAGCCTGCGCGACTGCAAGACGCGGCGAGCGCTCGCGCGATGAGCGTCTTCCCCGTGCCCGGCGCGCCGTATAAGAGCACACCCCGCGGCGGACTCATTTTAAAGCGTGCGAAGACTTCTGGGTATAAGAGCGGTAAGAATACCATCTCTTTCAGCGCGTCGACGTACTTGTCCAGTCCACCGACCGAGGAGAAGGACAAAGTGGGGTCGACGGTGACTGGTGTAATTTCGGCGTCGACGTTTGGACCCGGCGCGGCACTGGATGGACCGGCGCCCGCGAGAGGATACGCGGGCGGTGCCTTAAACGCATCCATGGCGCCAGCACCGAGATTAAATTCGCCGTCGTCCGAATCTTCAGAATCATCGATCCACCTCCCCGACGTCTGTCGTCTCGAGCGCTCGCGCGACGACGTTTTGTCTCTGTCATCCTTCCACGTCGTACCGCGACGTTCGAACAATCCTGGACGCCCGGAATTCGAGCGATCTTTACCACTTTCGGGTCGTTGAGGCGCGAACCGTTCCGGCGGCGGACCACGCGTGCGTTTCGGGTACGTTTTGTTCGCGACGTCGCCGATGTCGTCGTCGTCCGTCTCTTCTTCGCCGTCTTCGAGCTCTTCCTCCTCGTCGTCATCGTTTCTCTGCTTGAATGTCGGCGAGAGTCTATTCACACGCTCTCTTGCGCGCGTACTCCTTCGCACCGGTTCGTCGTCGCTCTCGTCCTCGATGAAATCCTCCTCGTCCTCCTCCTCGAACTCGTCGTCGTCGTCGTCGTCTTGCTCGGCGACAAACTCATCGTCGTCGTCGTCGTCCACGTATCTTTTCCGAGGCTTGTTCTCCTGACGACTCGATCGACGCTTCTCGCGCCGCACCATCGTCGTCCCGTACGTCGTCGTCGTCGTCGTCGTCGCGCGTCGTCGACGTTTGAGCGGCTCTTCTTCCTCCTCGGATTCAAACTTCTCCTCGGCGTCAACCTCGGCGTCGTCGGCGCGGTGTTCGTCGTCCTCGCTCGACGCTTGCTCGCTTTCCGCGTACGATCGTCGCGCGCTTCGCGACGCCGCGCGAGGTCGCGTCATGCCTCGACGCGACCGCGACGTCGTCCGAGATGTGACGCGCGCGAGGCTGACGGATGGGACAGCTTCTCCGCTCTGTGTTCGATGAAAACTTTTCATCTCTTTTACGCGCCTGCGCTTTGTTTTTACATTTCTACGCGCCTACGCTCGCAACTTATAGAACAACATGAACGCCTGCGATGATTTCACCTCGTTCTCATCGGCCTCGCGCACGACAGCGTCGTCACACAGGAACCAGGCACCGTCTCGCCTCACGTACGCCACGTAATGTCCACCTTCGAGGACTCCGCTGTGTTGGACGACGCTGTACAACTCGTACGCGGCGTCGTGGTTGGTTTCCTTGCAATCATGCGCGTGATAAGGCGACATGTCCAGGTCGAACGGGAAGTCGACGTGAATGTCGTTCTTGCGCATCGACTTGAAGTCGCCCTCGAAGCGCTTGAAGTGAAAATTTAAGATTTTCGGAACGCGTTCAAAGCGGGTCTGCTTGCCGTGCGATTCGCTGACGACCGCGCACGCCGAGCACACTCGACGCGACGTGTTTTCGATCGTCTCCATGGCGGTGAAATTGCTCAAGCACTCCATCAGGCTCACTCGCGACGATTTCGTCGCCGGAGGCACGTCGAGCGAAACGCCCGTCGTCGCCTCGCGCGTCGTCGTCGAAGCGCCGCACGACGCACACGCGATATCTGATCGCAATACGCCCGCGAATGCGGTGTGAAAGACGCATTCACACGTCGCCGCGTCCTCCTTCGCGGCTTCGTTCTGCGATCGCTCGTATTCGTCCTCATCGTCGTCGCCGAACGCGGCTTCCAGCGAAAGCAGCGCCGCGAGACCCACGGCGCGTTTCTTGCGTGGTCGTATCGACCTCCCCAACACGTTCGCGTGCGCCACGGATAAAAAGCTGAGAAAAAATTCGTGCGCGTCCTGTTGCTGCTCCTTCGCCATCGATGGTTCGTTCACCCACCACGCGTACAACAACTCGCCCGCCACGAGCGCCGTCGAAGCCGTCGAAGGCGCGCTCGACGTCGCCACCCGCGCGTCGTCGTACGCCTTGCTCACGTACTCGTCGAACGCGCACGCCACGCAATCGTCTATCTCGCATCCCCCCGCGCGCCGCGCGTGGTTTTCGCGCAAGAAATATTCCACCACCGGTGCCGTCGAGACGAGCGTCTGCAATATGCTCGAGAGGAAGCACGTGTTCCCCATGTTGAGGCTGCCGCGCAGACCGACCGGGGCGCGCGTCGTCGTCGTCGTCGTCGTCGCCGTCGTCGTCGTCGTCGTCGTCGTCGTCGTCGTCCTCGTCCCCGCGCGCTCGACGCTCGCGTCGTCCATCGCGAGGCCGCCGCGCGTCTCGCGATGACGACGCACGCCGACGACGCCGACGACGGCGACGGACGCCGACCGGGGCGCGCGGCGATCGCGGGGATTTTTCAACCGACACCGACCGACCGACCCGAACGGCGAAACTTTTCATGCCTCAGTACGACCCAGAGAACCTAGGAGTAGGTGTAATAAGTATTAGCTAGTCGGTCGGTTACGGCACTTCTCCCGAAGCGCCTCCCTCCCTCATGCTTAGGGTTTAGGGTTACTGGAATTCCGGACTTTTTTAGGGTTTAGGGTTTAGGGTTTAGGGTTTAGGGTTTAGGGTTTAGGGTTTAGGGTTTAGGGTTTAGGGTTTAGGGTTTAGGGTTTAGGGTTTAGGGTTTAGGGTTTAGGGTTTAGGGTTTAGGG